TATGATCGCAACATGGCCGACGACGGGTGAGTACTCAATGCACGCTCGTTTCGTAGGCAAGACCAGCAAATGTACTGCCGGACCAAGAGTCGTCGAGGATCCTTACTCGCCTACAAGTGTGCCATGTGTCGCAGCATGGGCATTGCAGGGAACCTAGGGAGGCGTACGGTCTATCAACAAGAAGATCAGTACATCGCGATTCGAGCAAGTGAGGCGATCTGACACTGCCACCTTGAGGCTATGATCGCAACATGGCCGACGACGGGTGAGTACTCAATGCACGCTCGTTTCGTCGGCAAGACCAGCAAATGTACTGCCGGACCAAGAGTCGTCGAGGATCCTTACTCGCCTACAAGTGTGCCATGTGTCGCAGCATGGGCATTGCAGGGNGGCGATCTGACACTGCCACCTTGAGGCTATGATCGCAACATGGCCGACGACGGGTGAGTACTCAATGCACGCTCGTTTCGTAGGCAAGACCAGCACACCTCCCACCATAACCACCAAATATGCACTATCCTTATGATTCTCCCGTGCCTCTGGCTTGTACCGCCTCAAGCACAAGTCGCGAATGAGGAAGACGATCTGCACTCGAGGGCGCGTTTCGAAGACTCTTCGCGCGACACATACATCGCAGGCATCTTCGCGTCGAGACGCTGACAGGTACATAGCCACACTTGCGTTCACGTTGCAGACGTATCTCAGCATCACTCGACGCGGAAGCATGACACATGAACACGAAAAAAGCTGCAGGCTTTGTCAGACATGTCGACACCTCAGGCCGTCGTTTCTTCAGGTGTCACCGCCATCGTTCACATGCTGTAGCTTGACACGAGCTACAGTTGTTGTCGTATGTATACTGATGTGTTGCGCGATCTTATATATGATTTGCCGACCGACTGCTTTATGGGAATGCTGATTGAACAGAGGCAGAGACAGAGACAGGAAGCTGCAATATATGACACGCTACAAGCATCGCTCATGTGAATCACAGACGCAGAGCGCCCGCTGGGCGTAACAGTCGCTCATTCGGTGGCGAGCTCGGCTCGGATGGCAGCAGACAATCTGCAAGCGAGCAACCTAGCAACACGATCACAGACCTCCCATCGTACAATCCCTGGTAGCATGCAATTGTACGGTATACATGGCGCAGAGGCAGCGACACCAATTGCAGCTTCGAAGAGCTGAAGCCAAATGCCAAGATACACGTCGCGCCCCGCGTAGGCGTGAGCTTGATTCGGGCGAGCGTGCCAGGCAGCCTAGTCACCGGCCGGTGGCAGCTGGCCAAGCGGCACCTCGCTGCCCGTACAAGATCATGTCACACAGTGACGATGGTCTAGGCGATATGCTCGGCAACGCAGATTCGCCTCTTCGACGAGCCTACATACAACGCAGTGTGCAGATTGAGGAAGCCATGTCACGGTGTAGACAAATTGCGACCAACATCAGAGAATTAATAGCATTCATTGACGACCTCGACAACGCTAGAGTCCAATTGATGGCTGACGTGAGGAAAGAGCAAGAGGATCTTCGCTATGCGGTGCATGACTTTCGCAAATTCATGACGCCGCTGCTGGACGGCGTACCGGGCGAGTCGGACCGAGTGCGAGTGCGCACCACGCCTGTGACGATGGGTCCAGGGCTGCATCAAGCAGAGGTAGATGTTCATGACGGTCGTGCAGACGCTAGCGAAGCAGAGCTCCAGCGCAAGTCGACTCGAGGTTCAGTCTGGCTAGTAAACTGATGTCCAGCTCACAGAGCCCGTTGCGGAGAGTGTGTCGAAACAGAATGCCGACGAGTCAACGCATGTCGATGGAGGGGCGCATTTGGCTCATGACACTTCAGAGAAGGCCTTTCCAAACGATTCCCTGCGCCTCGCAACTAATCCAGAACCCGCGTTGACCAGCGCAGCAAGCATTGGCAGCGCACAGCCTTTGCCGCGTTTGCCTCAAGGTGAACGCCTTCGTTCGTCGTCGGCCGAGCCAGATGCAGCCAGACAGCTGCGAAAGAACTCTGGCATCCCCGCCGTGCTCAAGCCGGTCACCAATGTGCTCAAAGATTGCAACAAGAGGTCCGGTGACGATACGACTGCAACAGGCAGCGAACTGAAGAAGACGAAGACTCAGACTCGAGAATTCAGTTTCACCTCAGGCAGATCGGCTTCGGCAAAGGGCGACAAAGGCAAGTCCAAAGCCACCGACGAAGAATGTCTCAATCAGGAGTAGGACGTCGACCACGAACCAGCAGCACGCTAGACACGAATACGGTTTATAGAAAATAGTAAGCATTCTCCGAATCAAATCACATTAGTACACGACTGCATCTTTCGCGCATCATCGGGTGAGGTAAGCGAGCCTGAGCGCTCTTTGTGAGATGCGAAGCGCGTGTAGACTGCGACTTGAAGCTCATAAGGGTACGCGGAAGGTTGCACAAGCAAGACTCGTGTCCGCTCGAATGGCACTGAACAGGCGCAATGCGATGCCGCTACCCGCTTGCGGAGACGAGCCGCTCTGCTACAGTCAGGAAAGGGACCGGTCAGTGCGACTTTGAAAGCAGGCGGTTGCGAATCAGACAAGGCAACGACGAGGTCGGCGCGGTCATGTGTTGTCAAAATGCCTTCTCCGATTAGAGCCAGGCAGAGCAAAACACAAACAGGACGTCATCGACCATGTTGTCTCTAATCGCTCTGGACTCGAGGCTGCGTCTCGCCTCTACCGCACCGGCCACCAGCTAGGCTCTATTGCCATCGACTTGCTCAATGAAAATGACATTATCATTCCAGGTTACACCTGCCCACGAGGTTTGTTTGAGCCTTAGAGCTTCGCAGGTTGCCTTTTGATCTGCTCTAGGGGTTCTGAAGCAAGTCTCGACCCTTCGATTGAAAATTGCGAATCGCTGCTGAGCCTGGCAAAGATCTACAGGCTGGAGTAGGATTTCGTCAGACGCACGCATTCTGATTGTGAGGCGTCGGAACCCTTTGAACGACTGACATGATGCTCCTGTGCGCGTCCCACTGAAACTCTCGAGGCTGGACAGTGCTCGTGTAGGGCGCGCCCATACAAGCTGCCATAGTGCGACGCAACGGCCAAGCTCAAGGTCTGCGAGCTGAAGCAGAAGTAGCGTCGAAACGGCGAGACGATACTACGATTTAGCAAGCAGCGCCAAGGCTGACAGACATGTCGATTACCGCTTCCGCTTCGCTGGCCCTTTTTCAAACATAGCGAGATAGTCTCGGTCAGACCCGGGCGCACTATCTCCTAGCATCGTAGCCTTCTTCGCTCTCGACTTGAGATTGCGCTTCGTCTTTGCAGGTCCGGCAATCTGGTCGGGTGTGACACCATCGAGCTGCATACCGGCAGACGAAGCATTACGAGGCTCAGTCTCGCCAGATAGAACTCTTTGCAGCTTCGCCCGTTGTTCCTCAGACAGTTCTCTCGAGGTTGATGGCACTTTGGACTTGGTCAGCGAGATCTGAGCTGCTGCCGAGCTCGGCAAAGGCGGTTGAGCAGATGAAGAGGATTTTTGCTTTTTGGCGGCGAGACCGAGTTTCTCTGCTTTCGTTGGCCGCTTGTATGCTTTCGCTGATGGCTCGAGACTGTATGAGCACCACACCGAGAGTATGAATGTGGGGAGCTACTGACCTGATCGACCCATGTTGCGTGGTCAGGAGACGGCCGATTGATCGCGCGCGCGCAAGCGGTAGACCACTTTGGCTCTCTCGAGATGGAGACTGACTCACAGGATGCCAGCATTAGGCCGCCAAAAGTCATCATCGTACGCGCTCCTTCCTCTGCCCTCTTCGGCTATGGAAGCTCAGTCGCAGCGAGCCAGTTGCCCGGTCATGCGGCCGATATGTCGAGTGCGACGTTTTGCATCTTAGAAGAGGACCATACGCTCGGCAATGCACTGCGGTACATGATCATGAAGAAGTAAGCAGCTTTGCTCGTGCTACAAGCGATTGCTGACCGGGCTCGAGCAGTCCGCAAGTACAGTTCTGCGGGTACAGTCAGCCGCACCCATCAGAGGACAAGATTCACCTCCGTATCCAGATGTACGGTCCGTCCTCCTGTGCTTTTGCTGGGTGTGGCAGGGCCTCAATCGACAGCAGATGGTCTGAGTGCGTATGAAGCGCTTCAGAGTGGCCTCGCATCGCTCGAGGATTGTATACTGGCCATTAGAGACGAGTACAAGTCCCAACTCGCAAAAGGCGACTTCGAGCGGGTGGAGGATCCAGACCTTGCCACGATCAAAGCCGATGCCATTGAGGCTGCCAAAATCAAGCAGCGCGAAGCGAGGCTCGCAGCTCGGCCGGCTACAGCCGCACGAAGCAAATCGAACTCAAAGCCACCCGTCGCGGCTTGAAGGGCTATATTGTAGTTGATGTGTTGTTGTCAATCGAACACAGGCACGCAAAGGCAGAGCAGTACAGACATGGAGCTGCAATTGAGAGCACAAGCGCGTGATGGGGCGCAAAGGTCATCTATGCGACGATCTTGACGATACCGCCTGCCTCTTTGATCTTGAGCTCTGCCCTCCTGGAGACATAGCGGGCCTTGACGATGAGCGGCACTTGCGGGATCCTTCCCTTGGCTAGCACCTTGCTGTAGCCCTGCAGCAGCAAAAAAAAGATCAGCTCGCGATGTGGGAGCTCGAAGGAGTGCCACTTGCATGAGCGATGCAGTCGACGACAGGAACGAGCTCGGATGATCCACCGAGCGCCTTTTGCTGTTCCTTCGGCAGCAGTGACTGTCGGATTGCTGGTCAGCATCGTACGAACTCGTGTGCACAGGCAATGACTGACTGTGATCTTGTCGAGATTGACGACGGGTCGCCAGTATTGGTTGTTGGTCTTGTGGAAGTATCGCATACCGACCTTGCCGAAGTAACCCAGATGGTACTTATCAAAGTTGGTTCGGTGATGATGCTGACCACCGGCCAAACCACTGCAGATCTCACGTTATTGGATGGCGTAGATGACAGAGGAGGGGAGGAACTTGCCGACCACCGGGATGCTTGCGGTGCTTTCCTACACGACCGTGACCGGCAGAGACATGTCCTCTGTGCTTGCGCGTCTGGCTGAATCGGGTAGGCATCTGTGTAAGTCCAGCGTTGTGGCATAGTCAGCGACTTGATCAACTTGTCTGTGCGAGTCGGCCAATTCTGCTTGCTGGCCTGTCCTGACTGCCTTCAAGCTCGTTGCAGCGACGAGATGACAGCGAACGGCAGTGCCGGACAGGACTGCTAGCTGACTGGCCGACTGAGACGCATGATGCCTCACCTTTGACGAGAGACGCCTTCACTTCAGATCGCTCGACCAACTCTTTCGTGGCGCATCCTACAAAATCTCTCACGGTGACAATCTCTCGATAAAAAAAAAAAAAAAGAAGGGATTGACTCTACGCGGCGACAGGCGAGGAAAGAGTGAGCGTGTCTGCTGTACAAGGTCAGTGCCTGCTCCTGCTTCATCCCTCGCACGCACGCAAGATGAAACGAGTACAACAAAGATATCAATCTGTCAATCCCCTGACGGCGAGCGAAAGCTCGTCACATGTCGATAATCATCATTGTACTGTCGAGTAGCTCTCGGCATTCCTGACTCCCCCTCTCTTCTTCTTCTGCCTCCTCGACTGCATCGCTACCGGCATGGCTCATACAGACGAGAACAGACAGACGAGATGTCAGGACAGAATGCGCCTGATCGTCACGCTCGCTTTGTGCTCGGAGAGGGGGAGATGAAAGTAGCGATCGAAGAGGATCCCAGAGTACCCAACGCTGCCACTGTCATCATCAAGAAGGAGGATCACACCATTGGCAACATGCTCAGAGGGTCAGTAGCCTGCCCGTCAAGCGACAGTCGGAGCTTATAGTGCCAAGTATGTCCAGCCAATTGCTACATATACCCTACGTCGTCTTTGCGGGCTACAGAGTGCCTCACCCGCTCCAAGCAGACGTCGTCTTGCGCATCCAGGTAGACGGCAAGGATTCCAGCCAGACGCCCACGACAGCACTACAGACTGCGACGCGAGAACTGATTCTCATCCTCGCTGCTGCTCGACTGCAGTTCGAGGCCTCGTGCAAGAGCTTCACGGAACGTCAAGAGCTTGGTCTCGGTGCAGATGGCGCTGATCTTGGCGGTGCCTATGGAGACTTTGCTCAGGCGGGCGGGTTCGCGCAATAGTCTGCCTTTCTCGGCGCTACTGCGTCCAGACCAGACAGACAGATGATGTATATGTTGTTGTGTCACTCCGATCCTCGTGCCCACGGTTGCACTGCCCGTTCTAGCACTCTCATGAAGGACTGCGCAATCCGCTGGTCGTTGCACTGCGCCAAGTCGCGTATGACCGCATCGTCTCTTTGCCGGCACTCAAGCAGCGCAACAAAATCCAACAAGCCACGAAAGCTCGCAGAGCGGCAAAGATGCCGTCACCAGCGCTGACGAATCTTTCGACGCCGAGCAGACCCAGCTCCGGCGCCTCGTCGCCCGCTGCGGCCAACAATCCTCATTCTATCCTGTCGCCCTTATCCCAAGCCAGCAGTGCCCTAGACTCGCTAGCGGTCTCGGACACCGAGGAAACGGAGCACTCGATGACGAGCAAGTCTCCGCTTGACGGCCAAGGCAGTGGGCCCGCAGGCACTCGAGAAGCAGCCAAGCAGTCAAACTCGATTGACGAGCATGAGGATAAGCATTTGCTGCCGCTCCAGCAGATGCAGCAGCCTGCCAAACCTGCGGAGTATGATGAAAAGGGGGCAAGGAGACGAGATATCTATGCGGCTGCCGCGTCTGCGAACAAGCGGACCCCGACGACGCCCATACCCACTTCCTCCGGCGAATCATCAAGGCGACCGTCTGCTAACGGCGTCAGACCGACCGGATTGACGCCCAGCACGGAGATCACACCCTCCTCCTCGAAAAAGTCCTCAGATTCTTCTGCGAAAAAGAACGAACAGCCTCTGAAGGAAGGACGGCAGCCTGTCGCAACAAAGGAGGCCTCTATACCCACGCTGAATCATGCAACACCTTATGGCTTCATGCGACCCGGTCTGGTCTCCCACATGTCTGTAGCGGGAAGCATGAGCCCAACATACGCTTCTACTCCTATGACTTCACCACAATCGACGCGTGTGCTGTCCGAAAGCCCCAAACTCGCCGGAACACCCTTGTCGACGTCGCAGACGATAGAGCCGGATCACAAGCCCAAGAAGATTGTCGCCATACCGGGCTTGCCGGCTATAGAAGCTGCCAAACGGTTCGCAGCTTTCCAAGCTGTCGACAGGCATGTCCTTCCGCACCACCGCGTCATCGGCATAGGATCAGGTTCGACTGTCCCCTATGTCATCGAGAGAATAGTAGACCAAGGACCAGAAGTCAATGAGAAGCGCTGGTTCGTCCCGACAGGCGTATGTAGATCTTCCGATCGCCCATCGTGCCAGACTGATGATGGGACTCTACTCAGTTTCAAAGCAAGCAGTTGATCTGTCAGGCGAAGCTCAAGCTCGGTGATGTCGATCAGTTCCCCTCCATCTCTGTCACCATTGACGGCGCAGATGATGTCGACGTAAGAAGCCTTGATCTTCCTATGCATGCCAAACTCATTCGCAGATCTCAATAGGAACGGTTGAATGCGATCAAAGGCGGAGGCGCCTGTCATCTTCGCGAGAAAGTGCTGGCAGAAGCAAGTGACGACTTCGTCATCGTGGCTGACTATCGCAAGAACAACAAAGTCCTAGGCGATGCGTGGAAACAAGGCGTACCCATCGAGACACCGCCCTTTGCGTGGAGTAAAGTTCTGAGTAATATCGAAAGGATACCCGGCGCACTCGAGCCCGTGCTACGGATGGGCAAAGCGAAAGCAGGTCCCGTCGTCACAGACAATGGGTCAGTTCTTGTTTTGGAGAGTTGAGCGAAGCTGACGGAGAGGCTAGCAATTTTATCATTGATGCGCCCTTTGAGAACTGGGTCATGAGGGAACCCGAAGTACTGCTACAGAAGCTCAAGATGCTCACGGGTTGCACGGAGATCGGTCTCTTCTGCGGAATGGCTTCGACTGTCTACTTTGGAAATGAGGACGGCTCAGTGACCGTCAAGCGATCAGACGGCACGACAGACACGATTCACAGCGAGGACAGCTGACCGAGGCGCGAGGGCAAAGTTGTATCGATAGTAGAGACATACACGCTCAATGCAGCACGTTCCGACAACACATCACGCCTACGCTGAAGCACCGAACCCGGCTTTGATGCCGTACGCTCTGACGAGATCGAGTTGGGTTTGGTCGGCTACAGCTGTCGCTGCGCCGTCTGCTGCCGCTAGATCCTTGAGAGCGTCTAGGTAAGTCTCTTGGGCTCTGTTGCCGCCTCTTCTTTCCCACTTTCGGTTGAGGTTGTTCATGACGCCCACCGATTTTTCGAACGAGGCGACGAGAGCAGACAGTGGCTGGGTGAGCGATGCAGGCTGGGTAGACGAAGGCGCAGGCAGAGCAAGAGCTGCGAAAGTAGGCGCCGGTAGCGCCGTGTCCCTCGCTTGGGGCGCATTCAGGCTGGGCACAGCCGATCGTGTAGCGTCCGGAGCGACGAGCGTCGAGAGGAAAGCAGTGAGAAGGGCTGTCCTGGTGATGGTCACCGGGTATTCTCGCAAGACATTGGTGGGGAGCAGAGCGTGCTCGGAAAGTGATTGTGCATCGCTCTTGCCGCTCTTGTAGGTATTGAGATAGGCATCGGTCAGTCTGAAGGCTCTGATCGAGATTGTCCCAGCGTGTACGCTCGATGAGTCTGCTCCCCTTCAGTCAGGCGGTTCGCATGCTCTGTCACAGAGACTGACCAAAGACGAGCGCGACACCCTTTTTGGGACGGTTGTCGGTGGGACGTATGGCCAGTCGCTTGCCTGAAGTAGGAGCATGGAAGCCTGCTTGCCATCTCGCGAGAGCTTCGACGAGCGCGCCGCTGGAAGTGACAGTCTGACCGTTCGAGGTTGACGTATAGAAACCAACGACATTGACATCCGCGTGCAGACTCTCTAGCCTAGGCAGCATCTGGTTCGTATAGGAGACCGCCCGAGCAGCCGCACCGTCAAAGTCATCTGTGCGCTTCTTGTAGGCATCATACTGTTGATCGAGCGTCGAGAGACTGGAGGGGAAGAGGTGATCGCCGGGCAAAGCAAACGTGTCGGAAACAGTCAAGAGTGAGGCTGTATCGATGCCCAGCAGCTGGCCGGCGATGGGTGCTGCACCTGCTACTGCAGATCTGGCATGCCTGATGATCTTCAGTGCCACCTGTGTGCCCCATGTCAGCTTTTTTGCTCGGATTCGTGTGGCTGTTGAGCCCATGAGCGTGTCCAACTTGCCAGTGCGTCCAGTTCCACCCGCTCGACTGGCACATCCGGCTCAAAGATGTCAGTGACAACTGTCTTGGTCGCCTCTGCTGCTGCTGCTTTGCTTGTCATGCTGGCTCGCCTGTCGCTGCAGCGCCGTTCTGCGAGTCGCCCGTCGCGACTTTTTCGGTGTCGCCAGGCTTGGCTTGGCTTCGATCCGAGTTGGACCATGTCTGCAGCACCGGAGACGGTAGCATGGGCCGAGTTCAGGAGCCCCGACGGGCGAGCGTACTGGTACAGGGCCGACACCAAAGAGGTAGACTTACACGCAATTTCGTGCTGCAGGTCGCCGAGCGCTGAACACGTTTACAGAGCGTCTGGGAGAAGCCGGCCGAGCTCAAGAGCAAGGCAGAGATTGCATTGAGTGACACGCCCTGGAAGGAGTACGACTCGAATGGCCGCAAGTAAGCCAGACACTCGACTCAGGCACTGCAATGGCTAATGCGCAAGGACCAGATACTGGTACAATGCAGATGACAAGACGACGACATGGGAGATGCCCGAGCAAGTCAAACAGATCATGGCCACTCTACCTCCCGAGGCACATCTTGCACCTTCGACTGTCCAGCCTGCACAAGCCAGCCCTGGCCTCGCCGCGCCTGCATTCGTACCTGCCACTTTCGACTCCAACATGATTGGCGGCGGCCAACTCGTCGCTGCGGGTGGCTTCCTGCCCGGGAGCGGCGGACTGTCCTCGTCAGTATCGACTGCGCCACTGGGCTCCATGCGCGTCGACTTCAACAAACCCGAAGATGCCAAGAACGCCTTCAATCAGCTGCTGCGTCTTGCGGGCGTCAATCCTACTTGGACATGGGAACGAACTATGCGCGATCTCATCACTGAGCCCATGTTCAAGTCACTCCGTACAATGGGCGAGCGCAAGGCTGCCTTCGAGGCCTACATCGCCGACTTTGCACAAAGGGAAAAAGATGCGCGTCAGAAGAGTATCGATCGTCTGCGTCCTGCTTGGAAAAATGGGCTCGGCCGCGCTGTAGAGGCAGGCATGAAGAGCTGGTGGAGCTGGGAGAGAACAAAGGCAGAGCTATCGCGCAATATGAGCGAGATGTGGTCATCCGCTCGCAACGATGATGAGCGTAGAACGCTCTGGTCCGAATACATTGCAGAGCTCAAGGGCAGAGAGGAGACGAAGCGTCAGCAAGTATTCAAGTCCAACGTCGATAAAGTCCACCAGATCATCGCTAGCCTGCACCTCGAGCTTTCGACGAGCTGGCGAGATGCACGCTACATGATCGAGCGATCGGACGACTGGCGCGCCGATCCAGAGCTCAACCAATTTGAGCTGGTCCATGTGCTCGGCATCTTTGAGGAGTATGCCAAGAAGCTCGAGCAAGAGTCGTTCCAGGAACGCCAAAAGCTTCGTGCCGAAAAGACTCGCAATCAGCGCAAGCGTCGAGAAGCTTTTGCTGATCTGCTGCTCGAGCTTCGCAAGGAAGGTCAGATCAAAGCGGGCAGCAAGTGGAAAGATGTCTATCCGCTTTTCGACAAAGATACTCGCTATACCGATCTGCTCGGCAATCCCGGCTCAAACCCTCTCGATCTTTTCCATGACGTGGTCGATGAGCTTGACCAAGTCGTCGAGGAGCACGCTGCAGCCGTCGAGTCTGCTCTCAAGACACAGGCCAAGGCTATCGATACTGCTTGGACGATTGCTGAGCTCAAGACCCATCTCGCCGATAGCAAAGTCATTTTGACTGACGATCAGTTGTCGGGTGTGCTTGCCTTTGTACAAATTCGCGAAGCTGCAAAGGCGAGAGCAGAGGTCGAGCGCCAGGAACGCCGAAAACGAGAGAAGATGGATGATCTGCGCTTCGCTCTGCGCAACCTCAGACCTGCCATTGCTGCTGATAGCACATACGAAGAGGCAGAACCCATGATGAAGGATTTGCGCGAATTCAAGGCGCTCGAAGCAGAGGATCTCCGCAAGCTCGTCTTCGAGAGCCACATCTCGCGACAGAAGGAGAAACTCAGAGAGCGCGAACGCGAACGAACGCCGTCCGATGCGGGATCGCGCGGCGGAGAGAGCGTGCATTCTGGCGGTGGCAGAGAGTCTTCTCGTGCGCGACGCAGGGGTCCCTTCGAGTCTCGTCCAGACCACCGTAGCTCTCGCAGATCTCTCGAGCCTTCTCCTCGTGGCGACCATGATTCGCGCAGACGCCATACCGACGAACGCAGATCAGATCGACACGATGACCGTCGACCGGATGAACGCAGATCGGACCGTTATGCAGACGAGCGCAAGGCCGATCCTCATCGGAGTAGGCGTAGACGCGAAGCGACTGAGGAGAAGGAGCGCACACCGCGCCGAGAGGCCGACAGGGAAGATGCTCGCCCGGAAGCCAAAGTCGAGGAAGAGGGCGAGATTGCAGAGGATATCAAGCCGGCATCGTCGTCACCCAGTGAGCCTCGGTCGCGATCTAGGCGGGATGATGAGCGCGACGCAAAGGTGCGCTTACTGGCCCCTTGCCAGGTGGGATGCTGATCGACCGGAACGCAGCGCACTCGATTATCGTCTCGTTAGCGTCGCTTCTGGGCCCGTGAGCTCATACTGCGATGATGGCGACCAGCAGGATGACGAGCACGATGATGAGGATGAGAATGCAAATGCTCGATCGCGAGTCTGCGTAGTCCTTAGCGCGGGTTTGTACGTCTCTGAGTGAACGACCGACTCTGCTCTTGACGTATAAAGTCATTCATCCGTCTGCCAGGGCGTGTCAGCTGCGGATACCCCGATAGCATCGACTGACTTTGTTGCTCGCTGGAGACGAGACTCTGTCCGATCGACATGCGAATCAAGCTCGCCGAGTAGGCTGTCATCGACAGAGGCATGAGGATGCTGGCACGCCCGGAATGCACTAGACTGACCCGACTTGGGAAAAAATCTCTTGTCCCATTATACTCGCCTGCTCTTTGAGCGTACCCACGACGCCACCAATGGAATCCATCGTTCGGTCTTGCTCGTGCATGAGCATAGCTTGCTGCTGATGCTCGTACTCGGCAGAAGCGCGACCGGATTCGAGATCATCGACCTCATCTCTGTATGTTTGGCCGGGTACTTGTAGCTTCGCATGCTTGGATTGGTCCGATAGAGTCGTCCGTAGCTCTCGCACTTCTCGCTTGACGGTCTCGACGAATGCACGACGTTGATCGAGTTCGCCATCGTCAATGCCAAACGTGCGGGCGCCGACAGTCTCTACGGCCTGTATACTCTCGACAAGCTCTTCTAGATCTGATGCGAGCGTTGCCGTGATTGCCTTGAGCTCGTCTTTGGCCCACTGAAGCTCCTCCGACGTGTCTTGTCTTGCCAATTTACGGATCCTGATGTAGGATTCCTTGAGTGACTGGGCATCTTGCAATGTCCTCTGAACTTCGCTGGGCGATCGCAAGGCGGGTCAGCAGGTCGAACAAGGCACTGTGCTCAGAGCTTGACGCACGCCTTGACGTCGAAGTAGGGATCCTTGCTCATCGCGAGCGCACCGTGGCAGCGCGTCAGATGGTCGACCACGTGAAGGACGAGCCAAGCCAAGAAGCGCGACTGCCTGCCGCTGCCGTCGTGCCCGCCAACGGCTGGATCGGCATTGCGTCGATCAGCGCTCGCCAGACGCCATCGGCTGCATCAGTCAGAGCTTGACCGGACGGGTCCGGGCAGCGTAGACCGAGCGAGCCCACGCCATGGCGAGCTTGTCATTCCTGACAACAGAGCTTCAGCTCTTGTCAGTCGAAGCCAAACGCAAGAACCCCGAGGTCAAGGATGCAGCGGACAAGGCGCTCACACTCCTGCGTACATCGCCCGAGCAAGCGCTCGCTGATCTGCGACAGGAGTCGGCCGCTCTTGCCGGTCAAACGCCAATATTGCTCCAGCCCATCTTGCTGGGATGTCAAACGCGAGTGCCCAAAGTCGTCGCCATCTCGATTGGCAGTCTTCAGAGACTCGTCGGCGTCAGAGGCGCCATCACCTCCGTAGGCTACGCCACAGCGTGCGACTGCGGGCGCTGACGAGCATGCGCGAACAGTCTAATATATCGCCTGTTCTGCAAACGCTGCGTTCGGTGCTCTCGCAGGGCGTAGAGATACAGCTCAAGATCCTACAGACCCTCGTTTCGCTGCTCACGACAGCCAATGCGGTCATCCATGGCGAGATGTTGGCCGAATTGCTCTTGCTCAGCTTTAGGTAGGCAACACTGATTGAGCAATGGAGACGGAGTCTCATCCGCCGAGCAGATTACAGGAAAGCAAGATCGGTGTCGTCTCATCTACGGCTGCGGCCACCCTCAGGCAGCTTGTCATGATCATCTACGAAGGCGTTGTCCAGGAAGATCGAACGATAAATGATGCAGATGATAGTGTGCAGCTCGACGGCACAAGCTTCCAAGTCAGTCTGGACTCGGGAGAGATGCTCAAGCTCGGTCCGTCTGCGCATGATGCCTATCTTGTCTTCCAGGATCTGTGTCTGCTCGTCAAGGGCGAGCCAGCCGTCTTCCTGCAACTCAAGTCGTTGCCGCGCACCTTTGGTCTCGAGCTCGTCGAGAGCGTCCTCTCTGATTTCTGGCCAGTCTTCAAGAAGCATCCAGAGCTACTCAATCAGCTTCGCACGACACTCTCGCCCCTCTTGATCACAGCCTTGGCCGAAAAGCCCACCTTTTCTGCAAGCCTCCGACTTATGCGTGTCATCTTCCTGCTCCTCAAACAATTCAATGACGATCTCGTGGACGAGTCAGAAGTCTTCCTGTCCATGTTTGTCAGAATCCTATCTGCGCCCGAAGCAGACCAAGCTTCACTGACAAGCGTCAGCACGCCTACGATCGAGCATCCTCCCAGCGCTGCACATGCCTTGTCGAGAGAAGCAAGTCCGCCATGGATGCGCATACTCGCGCTCGAGATCTTCAGAGGCCTTTGCTCGGACTTTGAACTCCTGCGCAAGTTCTGGAACCGTTATGATGCTGCTCAAACGATCTCATCGGCCGCAGACCGCAAGTCTACGAGCGTATTCCTGCCCATGATCAGCTCCTTCAATCGCTTGGCAACAGAGAGGCCGCAGCTGCTCGGCGTGGGTGCCGAGATCATGTCTGGTTCCAGTTCGGGCGCGATGCCCAGCGAATATTCAGTCAGCGGCATGCTTGACGGGATGGTCGAGATGGCAACACAAGCCGCCAACAGCGTCGGGGTGATCGGCACTGGCCATGCCACCTCTTTGTCAGCTTCGACTGCAGCGATGAAGTTGCAATGCATCGACCAGCTCGACAAGTCAGATGCACCGCCCATCCCAGAAACTTATCAATCCCTGCTGACGTTACACTGTCTTGTATCTATCGCAAATGGGCTCGCCAACTTTGTGCTGCCTCTCTACAACACACAAGCTAGGCAAAGACCACGTTCTGCAGGCGAGCCGATAAATATGGCCCAGGGCGTGCTTGATCTCACCACCCTCGAGTCAGACTTGCAAGACCGGCTCAAGTCAGCCCAGGCTATGTCGGATGCAGGGTGGCCTGCACTGCTAGCCTCTCTCAGCTTCTTTGTCTCTGCCAATATTGACGAGGAACTCTTTCACGACACGCTAAAGGCAATGCAAGCCGTCTGCAACGTTTGCGGTGTGCTCGGCCTCCAGACCCCCCGCGACGCTTTCTTGACCTCTTTGTGCAAATTCGCGATACCGCCTGCTATACTGACAAGTCTGATAACGAGCATTGAGCCGTCCAAGCCTGCCAATGATACCATCTCACCCCTTGCGCTCTCGAGTCAGCCGATGATGCTCAGTCTTCGCAATCTCGCCTGTCTCAAAGCGCTGCTCAATGTGGCACAGTTTCTGGCAGGGAGCTTAGACGCAGCCTGGTTTCACATTTTCGCCACGCTCGCGAATGCCGACTTTGTGCTACGCACAGATAGCGCTCGACGGCAGAAGCAAAGGCAGATCAATGTACCCATTAGCTCGACATCGTCGCCCATGAAAGCTCGTACGCCATCATCGTCCGGTCAGTCGGCTCAACAGCTTGCGCAAAAAGCTTCGCTATACGAAGCCGATGCAAAGGACGTGCACTTAGGCATGACAAAGGTCTTTGACGCTTCGAAGACGCTAGAAGACGAAGCGTTCAGGTGGTTCATTGCCGCGCTTTGCCGGCTCAATGGCGAGATGCTTGGATTGGCCGTCAACGACTTGGGCGAGCCCGCCGATCTTTCCAAATCAGCGGAGCCTGCGCCTGCTGAGTCACCTGTCACCGCAAAGACAGGACGACGGCGTCAAGCAGATGCAAGCGTCGTCAGGATCTTGCGGCAGGGCGAATCATCCTTTGCCATGACCAAGATCTGCGACATCGCTGTGCTCAATATTCATCGTCTGATCTATCGCGATGCTCGCATGGGGTGGAGCCTCGTCACCTCTCACCTACTCGCTATCGCACAGTGGCCGGAAGGTAACCATCTTACGCGGACACAGGCAGCCGATGCGCTAGATCAGATCTTGGCAGTCGCACCGCGAAATGTCAGCAATAGCAGCGAAGAGCATCGCAGTCAAGTTCAGGAGCAGGTATTGCTTGTCCTTGCTCAGCAAGCATCGCCTCAGTCGCCACCTAGCTCCACTGATGTCGAAGTACGCCGACTATCACTCGAGACCTTATTCAAGATCATCGAATCATCGGGACACTCATTCGTCGGAAATTGGCATCGTGTCTTTACTATGCTCAGAGCTGCATGTCCGCTCAATGACGACTCAGCTCGTGTACCGGCGCTTGTCAGGATGAGCTTTCCGTCGCTTCAACTGATCTGCTCCGACTTTCTGGCGTCACTGGATCCACAGGCTCTCCACATGTGCGTCGATACGCTAGCAGATTATGCCAAGCAGACTGCAGACATCAACGTTGCTCTTACGGTTCGTGAGACTTGCTTGTGTAGCTGAAGCAGCTAAATCGACTTACAGTCGGGGGGCCTGCTGTGGAATGTCTCTGATCACATACAAGGGCGCAGGAGCGAGGATGAACTCGGATTCGGCACTCTCTGGTTGACTTTGTTGGCGCGACTGCTCACGCTGCAGCAGGACGAGAGGCAAGAGGTCCGGGACGGCTCTATCCAGACTCTGTATCGCTGCGTCCTGCTATATGGCGGCGCGCTTGACGCTTCCACTTGGGATAAGGTCCTGTGGGATATCATCTTTCCGCTCTTCCGCTCATTGTCGAGCTCGAGCTATGCAAGCGCTTCGCGAGTACCTGAGCAGAGCGTCAGCAAGGAGGCAGAAGAGGCGCGCACTTTGCTGGTTAAGCAATGGAGTGACAGCAGAATCCTAGCGATGGGCTTCAACGGCCAGCTTTTTCACGACTACATACTGAAGATTGCGAATACCGAACGCTTCGCCGAGGCTTGGCGGATGATGCTGGCCCAACTCGTCGAGGCGTATACCTCGGGCCAAGACGCAGTCGCAACGGCGGCGATGACTTCGCTAGGCAAAATGCTTGCTGCGCCAATGGAGGATAGCTCCAGCTATTCAGAAAGGCTCGGAGAGGCATGGCAAGCAGCGTGGGATGCTTGGGCATCGATGGGCGCATTGCTGCGACCCGGCGTGCCTGTCGAGAGCAAAGACGCAAGCTTCAGTCAGGCTACTTTGCGTGCATTTGTCGAGGTTGCAAAGCCCCTGCTCGGAAGGTCGCTACTATCTCTCAATCTCCAGCGCAGCGTTCAGGTTCTAGCGATCATGCACGACGTGCAGCTTTGGAACCGTAGCGACGACTATCGGCCTGATGTCGACTCACTCACGAACGTGCAACAATCTGTTCTGGAGGTCATAGACCTGCTCGATCTGTCCGTGCCCGGCGTATCTTCGCGTGTGCTGGTCGAGCTTTCAGATTACGCGACTTTCGCTTATACGACTGCGCTACCCTCTCCGACATCTCCAAGTCCAGTGCGAAGGCTTACCTTCGTTGCGCTGGCAAAGGACACAATGCCTCGAATCGGTGGCCTGTACACGAAGCACGCCGGCTCGCTCGAACTGTACACCAGTGCCGCTGTTGAGCATGTGCTCGCTGCATTTGCCATACCCATGAAGCTCAAGTATGAATGTCCCCCGCCAGCCAAATTCGGCAATGATCTGCCGCTCTGGAAGACGGCCACCAATCTCTTCATGGATCTGGCAACTCTTCTCATCCGCACGATCGTCAAGATTCGATCCGATTTACCTCCAAAGACGTATGCAATGATATGGCAACAGCTCGTCTCGACCATCGCGGGCGGCTTGTTAGCTGACAACAAGCCCGTTCGTAACCTCTCGAGCGCAGCCCAGATCGAGGCCGAGGAGTACGATCGTCAGCTCCTCAATTTCATCGAAGCGTCCATATTGCCCCACGTCAGCCATGTCTCTATTGAAGACACAACGCTGCTCAGATTGGCGACGACCCTTCAAAATTGCTCCCGGCTATACGATCTCATCCTGCCCAGCCATGACAGTCGCAAGGCAAAGGCAAAAGCGCTTGCAATGCAAGATGGTGCGAGCGAAGCGCGTTTCGCACAATCCTTTGAGGAGCAAGCGGCTGGACATTGCATCGGCACAACGGCTGAGATCGAGGAGGTCACTCGTCCGCGTTGGGCATTCTGGTCTTTCAACGTGCTTGCCAAGCTCGTCGCTGCCGATCCTACCAACGACACTGCAGAGGCGAGCAGAATGGCGAGGCTAGCTTTGCCGATCTATCTAAGTCGCTGTATCGCTGCCGTCAAGACGTACATTGCCGATGCGACGTGTCGGGGCAAGCTACCTTTTCCGAGGTAAGGAAAGCACCGTTGACGCCCGGATGGATTCTCATAAAGTCATACAGGATACGAGTCGACGAGCTCAGCTACGTGATGAAGAGCTTGCTTGATCTTGAGCTTCGGGAAGGATGCTTCCAAGCGGCATTCGCCGATCATCATGGCCAAAAGAACGGCAAAGCGACTCACCATCGCGCGATTCTCGTGGACGAGCTACAACGCTCTCCGGCGGCCCATCTATTCCACATCTATCCTTTATTGCTCACGCTCAACGGGATGACGGAGATTGCGCTGACGATGCCTCCACCAGTGCGACAGAAGTCTTCCGGAATGTTCTCGAGGCGGACGTCAAGCAATGCCACTGCAACACTTACTTCTGAACCTCGAGATGCGAGGACGCTCAGCCGGTTGTGCCTAGAGCGAGTCGGCCGGACCATTGCGCTCGGCGACACACTTGTGCTCTAGTTGCATGGATAGATTGTACAACATGTGCATTGTCTAGTCTATGCCCAGATCGAGACCGTCGCTGGGTGGTAGGTCTGCTTTGCTGGTCGTAGCCTGCTCGCCAACTGTCGCGTGAGGTGATGGCTCTGGCTTGCTCTCTGATGCCGTAGCTTCGGTCTCAGCGGAAGTCTTGCTAGGTTGCCTGTCAGCTGCGGCGAGTCCCTTCTCGGCCAATATGGACTCATCGATGATGTCAAAGACGACAACGAAGAACGTTCGCTTGCCGTCCTCGGTCTGACAGACATAGCGAACGGGCTGACCGTCCCAGTACTTGGCCAGACTGATCGAGAAACCAGGCAGGTGCACAGATAGCGTGTTGAAGTCGATGAATCCGTTGCAGAAATCGCAAGAGACGAGATCAGTCGACGTAAGTTCGATACTGTGCTGAGCATTGCCAAAGTACTTTCGCCTTGCGTTGACCTGTCCCAGCAGGTGCTCCTTCTCGGCATCTTCTGACGGCAATAGCGAGGTAGCGTCCTCTTTCGGCTGGTCAGGTTGCCACTCCGGCGTTGACTCGTCGGATTCGAGTCGGCGCGTGTTGACAAAGTTCATCGTCGCAAGGAGGGGGGAGAATGCCCACGGCTTGTCACCGTAGAGGTCATGCTTGAGCGAAGGATCTATGAGGTTGACGAATCGCAGTGCGACACTTGTGCCGTACGGTAGTGAATCGCGTAGAGGCCGATCGAAAGTATTGCCAAAGACGAGCTCGTGTGACTTGACGGGCTTGAGGAAACGGCCTTGTATATGGATGGACCAGGTCAGTCCCTTGTGTTTCTCAAAGTAGCCACTCTCCGGGCTTGACAAGCGCTCGACATTGCCCGAGTCTCCTTCAAAAGAGGCTATCCGCACTGTGATGTAGCCATCGAACTCGTCAGACTCGATCCTCGTCGGCTTGGACACATCATGGTTGACTGCGAGAGTCGCTAGCTGGTGCTGGGAGGGACCTGCCGTGATCTTGAGGTGAGGTGGCATCGCGGGCAGGCTGTCACTTGTCGGCCGACAGAGACAGCGCGAGCCCGAGACTGCTGCGCTTCTGCGCCCTGCTCAACGGCGCTCGGGCTCTTTGTCCTCTTGCCCGGCTGCTGAGCCAGCTGCTTGGCGGCCGTCGATGGACTGGCTTGCTGCATGCTGCGGCAAGAGGCGCACCAAGTCTGACAGACTGCCAGACGAGCGTACGGGCCTTCTAGACGACGATCAACTCTCGAGATCATTGCCGCCTGTCAGGCCCACGACGAGCAGCAACCTCGACGAAGTAGCCCATCAGGAGAGGCTGCTCAAGCTCGTCGACAGGGCTACAGAGCAGATCGTTGACCTGAACGCTCCTCACCCGCTCTGGCAACTCGCAATGGAGGAGAACTCCCAGGACGACACCGGCAGGTCTGCTAACTCGTCTGACCTATCCTCCGCGGCATCGTCGCGACCCGCTAGTCCGACACGGCTGATCAGTGCTCTGCCAGAAGACAGCGTCGATAGCCCCGTACGCTTTCGACATGTAGATTCGCTCAGAGCGGGCGTGAGCGCTCATTCGCTCAAGACGATGCGACAGCAACATGCGACGTCTGCCGTCTCTGACGATCAGCAGCCTACGCCGTCAAGCAGTGAGGAAGCCTCTGTGCCCAAGCGTGGCACACTGGTCGATATGTCAGATGAGGACAGAGCCTTTGTACGTCTCGTCTTGTCTGTTCGCTTCGAACTGCCTGCTCATTGCGCACTGCAGATGAGCGACGCTCTCGCCAAGCTGGACCATGCCATCCATTCTGGTTTCGACTTTGGCATGTAGCTGTGAGACATTGTCGTCCAATCGACCGCACGTCGTCGACGCCCATCGGCACGCTTGACCAGGTATCAGCTCGGCTACCTGCCGACATACGAGGGTATGCGTGCGCAGCACATTCCTTTTGGCAGCTGCCTGTGTGCGGTAGCGAGCGACGATCTCATGTGCAGCGAGATGCCGTCGGTTCTGGTAGAGCGAGGCGGATCCAGCAGCTGGCACGGCAGGTCCGCCCTGCCGTGCCAGATCAGAGCTCGCGACGTCGAATCAGTGTCGACCACAGGCCATGCTTGTAGATCGTCCGCATCGCTCAAAGACAGAGGACTGCATGCTTGTGCAATATCAATGATCTAATAACGAGCCCGCTCGAGGGTTTAGTAGTTCTCTACTGCGCTTTGAGGGAGCCTGCCCGCTTTACAGAAATGCGAATGGGGCTCTGATTTGGGCTAGTTGCTCTCTTTGCCACGACCGATGACGTGAACTTGGAAGCCAATCTTCTCGAGTGCCTTGACGTCGAGGATGCCTCGCCCATCAAAGATGAATGCAGGACGATACCTGCCCGACCCGGTCAGTCTCGTCAGACAGAAGCTAGAGGCCATCTACATGTTATCGTAAACCTTTTGCCAGTCGATCGTCTTGAACTCCTTCCACTCGGTTGCCACGATGACGCCTGCTGCGCCCTTGCAGGCCTCGAGCGCGCTATCGCAAAGGGTAATCTGCTTCATCACTATGGACATCAGAGAGTCAGTTTGTGCGCCGTGCCTGCCAAATCATGCACTGACTCTTCTCGCGATCGTCTGCGACGCGAACATCTGTGAGATCCTTGTATATCTGTTCGGCTGGTACTCTGCACGCATTGCCAGTCAGTCATGGATCGTCGCTGTCAGGAGGGCATGCCCTACTTGGGGTCGTAAATGCTGATGAGTGCATTCTCTGCTCTGAAAGCCTGGCAGATCGTGATAGCAGGACTGGCTCGGGTATCGCCCGTGTCGGCCTTGAATGCAAAGCCGAGCACGGCAATCTTCTTGTGAGTGATGGTATTGAACAAGCTCGACACGACCGTCTTAGCAAAGCGCTTCTTCTGATACTCGTTCATCTCGACCACACCCCGCCAATATTGAGCGACTTCGGGTAGATGGAGTGACTCGGACAGGTAGACAAGGTTGAGGATATCCTTCTGGAAGCATGAGCCGCCAAAGCCGACGGATGACTTGAGGAAACGTGGTCCGATACGGTCATCGAGACCGCAAGCGTAGGCGACTTCGTCGATGTTGGCGCCTGTGGCTTCGCAGATGGCAGAAAGCGAATTGATCGAAGAGATACGTTGAGCCAGGAGCGCGTTGGCAGCCTGCGTCGGACCGTGAGCCAACGTTCGGCTTCGATCGGTGAGACGCAACACATACCAGCTTGGTCAACTCTGAACTCCAGAGACCGGTCGTGACAACACGTTCGCGAGGGACCCAGTTGGCGTATACCTCTGTGAGAGCAGCGGCAGCAGCGATACCTTCTGGTGTTTGTAAGCTGCCAATCAGGACACGATCTGGATTCTTGAGATCCTCGACGGCTGTGCCCTCTGCGAGGAATTCTGGGTTGGAGAGGATGTCAAAGCGGAGACCGGGGCGCGAATTTGCTTCGAGGATGGTCCTCATCGACTGAGCGGTGCGGCAAGGCACGGTTGACTTTTCGACGACAATCTTTGAGCTCTGCGCGACTGACGCAATACGACGAGTGGAGAGCTCGACGTAGCTGTGTTTTGCGACCAGTCAGGAAGCTCGTTGATAGGGATCAGATGGTGATGCTGACCTCAGATCAGCTGCGTAACCTGCACCAACGCCCGTCTCTTTGGTAGGCGTATTGACAGAGACAAAGATGAGATCAGCCTCGAGGATAGCCTTGTCGATCTCGGTCGAGAAGAAGAGGTTGCGACCCCTGCAGCTCTTGACGATCTCGTCTAGGCCAGGCTCGTAGATCGGCAGCGTGTCTGAGTTCCATTGAGCAATGCGTGCAGGATTGACGTCGACGATGGTGACTTTGACATGGGGACAGAAGTGAGAGAGCAAGCTGCATGTTGGGCCACCGACATAGCTGTAGCAATGTTGTGAGCCTGGCCGCCACTGGGGGCTGAAGGACGGGCGAACTCACCCTGCGCCAATACAAGCGATAGCTTTGACTGTACACCCCGAGGCTTTGTCAACATCTGCACATGCAAGAAGTAAGACGAAAATGCACCTTTGATGGGTGTGATGGCCGTCGGATTAGACATCTTTGCAAAGTATCTGGCCCACTTCCTGCGCACGTCTTAGCGCGAAGCGCGACGCGCTGTTCCCCACCTTTACCGTTCCGGCCCCCATTTCACACTGGCGCATTCTCGAATACGATCTTGGACATACATACAACAGGGGACAGTGTACAGGTCACTATCGAGCGACGAGCCTCTCGCGTGCAAGAGACTCTGTCTCTTGCTCGTATTCGACTTCCAGTCGTGGGCCCCCTGAATGCACGATTGAGCGCAGCAAGCGAAACGATCTGAAGGGCTTACGCTTTGTCGGACGGACGCGAGCAGATGGCGGAGGTTGTTTCCGCTTGCCCTTGGCTTTCGGTGTGGCTTCTTCGTCGTCATCATCATCGTCGTCGTCGTCAATCGATACGCTCGCCTCATCGTCATCGAAAGATGCCATACTGCCAAGATCGTCCTCGAGATCCTCCTCGTCACTTTCTTCGAGGTCAGATACAAATTCTCTTCTTGCCTCTTCCTCGTCTTCCTCCTCGTCCTCGTACAACGCTTCGTCCTCCTCGTCTGTGATGTCGTCTTCCATCTCAAGGAGATCCTGGTCGCCCTTCTCGCCTAATCGCTCGGCTTCGAGCACGCGAGCCCAGACTTCTTCGTTGACATTGAGAGGAGCGTCGCCGTAGGCACGAGACTTCAACCGGCTGACAAGCTCCTTCTCGAGTGATTTCTCGAGTCGCGCAGCTGTCAGTGCCTTTGTCTCTCGAGCTCTCTCGCGCTTCTCGAGCTTGGGCTTGATCGACACCATTTTGCCCCTGTGTATCGCGTCAGAACAAGGTCACGTTGAGCAAGGATGAGAAGCGCACGTCTCTCGGAGGCGAAGCTTGCGCATCTTGATGAGATATTGTGTGATCTTTGTCAGTCGTTGCTTGCACTTGTGAATTGTAAAACTCGGCCAGTATACCAGATTCTTGTCAATCTGTGCGTGTGCCTTCAGACCCTGACCGGTCTTGGCGAGCGCGACCACGAGAGCGTACCTGTTCGAGTGCTTTCGCATAGTCGCTCGACAGCCGGACCTTCTCCCACATATGCTTTGGCGTATGAGCTCTTTCTATCGTCTTCATGAACAGGTACACAGCTCCTGCAGCTCTGATGTGAGCCTTTGGACGGCTACGAACTCCGACAGGGACGTGCCTTCTTGCTCTCTGATGGTCGCATAGCGAGAGTTGGCGAGCGGACAGCTCTGTCGGTTGCACAGACCGGTGACATTGTACTGATTTCGGCTGCCGTTCAGCTTGGGAGTCAGCACGCTTGTCGACGTTCGGGGATGCGACCAAGTCACCAGAAGTTCTGCTTGACTGTCTTGACCTTGTAGCTGCAGTGCTGGTTGTTGATGATCTGCCAGATCAGCGGATCACTCTGCATCTCTGTCGGGGGCAAGTCCAGCAAAATTTCTGCGCGCGCGTGTCGTCGTTGCTTTGGCCGGCCAGCGTCGGGTCGAATGAGCTCTTTGCAGGGCTACATCGACAGTGCGTGACGACTCATCTTGCTTGCCTGCCGTCGTCCGACTGACTTGGCCATGCTGCGCGCAGAACGCGTGCTCGTCATCACTGCCGATGGAAGGACCATCCTCGTCAGTCGACCGAGCACCTGACGATCCTCTGCCCTGAGACTCATGGCCCTGGCTGCTTGACAGGGCGATCTCAAAGGCTTCGATCAGACGACCAATGTCATCCTGAGCGACTCCATCGAGCGCGTCTACAGTCTGGAGGAGCCAGTGGAGGAGGTACCACTAGGCCTCTTTGTCGTGCGAGGCGACAATGTGTCAGTCTACCAGCTTCATCCGCTCTCAGATGGTTTGCTGACCACGGCCGGCTTGAATGACAGGACACTTGTGGGGGAGCTAGATGGAGAACGTGAGCGCGAGATGGATCTGAGTACGATCAGGGCAGAGCCAATCTCTGAGCTCAAGATATGAAGTCTCGCACGCCCGAACGAGCGTGTGTCTGTGCTCGTCAGCAGTGTGCACGTCGAGCAGTATGACACTTTGCATCATGTTGTTGGCCCGGAACTGAGCGGCCCACTTGCTGCTTGCCGTCACCGGTCCGCTCACTTTGGCGCGTGCCTGCGCGTGTGCCTGCTACAGCAACGTCCCCCTTTGCCTGCGCCATGAGACCATGATGCGCTCGCCAGCCAGTCCCACGACGGCCGGCGGCGATGTTTCGATCGTCGGGTCCAGCGGCGGCCTATCAAGAAACGCCATCGCGCTCAAAGTGAGCAAGATACTCTCGACAGCCTATGAGGATTCAGCTGCTATTGCTGCTCTCGACACCCTCGCACAATGTCAGCTTGCCCCGAGTACACTCTCTGCAAGCAACGCTACGAACGATACGCCTGCTCAGACTCGGACGGGACAGCTCAGCTTGCGGCGAGAGGTCGAGCGACGGATGCAGCTCGAGAGCAAGAAGTTCTTGGAAGCGTTTGCTCAGGTCAACAGCGTCAGCGATAGCTCTTCGCTCAGACAAACTTCGCGCTGAATATGACCCCGCCTTGGCAGGATCTCTCATCGTTGCAAAGTCACGTCGACGAGATGCATTCTGCCTGCAGTGACGTCGAGCAACGATTGAAATCTGCCCATGACAGCACGCGCCACTTGCTCGAGCATGCGGATGGTCTGCGTCAGCAAAGGCAGGCTCCGTGGCCCAGCTCTGAGTATCTGCTGACAGCCACAAGCAGGACCATCACAACACAGCGACAACTGCTAGCGGATGTCTTCACGGCGCGCTTCACCCTCGATGACGACGAGCTCAGGCTGCTCAACTCTCGCGAAGTTAACGTCGGTCCTTCGCTCTTTGCCGTCATGGACAAGGTCGAGAGGATCCGTCAAGACTGTCGCGTCCTCATGGGCGGCGAGTCGGGCACGTCCAGCCAAGCAGGTCTTGACATTATGGCTTCGTCTTCCCAGTACCTCGAGACGGCCTATCAGAAGATCTACAAATGGTGCGCTTTCCAAGTGCGCGGCTATGCTTCCGATGTGCTCGAAGTCTCGCCGAGGATGAAAGATGCAATCCGACGGTTGAAAGCGCGACCGGATCTGCTCAGGTTAGCTCAGCTTCTTCATCTATCATGCCTTGGTGTTCATGACGCCTGGCAGCGAGATAACGGACCTTCTCGGCCAATCTCGCTCGACGACGGTGCTCAACGCGTTCCTGGCCGCTCTGACCAGAGGAGGGCTGAACGGGTTGCCCCGGCCGATAGAGATGCATGCGCACGATCCCATACGTTACGTGGGCGACATGCTTGCATGGGTCCATCAGGCCACGGCAGGCGAGCGAGAATTTCTCGACTCGCTGTTTGATACAAAGTCGGACGGCCGCAAGACTGGCCAAGCGCGAGGCGAGCTCAAACCGGACGATGAACGCGGTCTTGATGAAGTGAGGATACGCAATTTGCTCGATCGATGTCTGGAAGGCTGCGGTCGTCCGCTGCGGTTACGGATCAAGCAGACGGTGGACTCACAAAAGGGCAGCATACCTGCCTATCAGATCGCCAACCTCATCACTTTCTATAAGATTACTATGGATCGCACCATAGGAGCAGACGCACTGCTGAGCAAAACCCTGACTGAGTACGTCCTATCAGTCGCTGTCTTCGGCTCGATACTAATGCGCCTTGTCAGCATCAATACGGAGGCATACGAGTCTTTCTTCGAGACTGTCGACACGCAGGGTCGCAGTCTGTTGCGCTTCATACAGCCACCTAGCATCGATCTCTCGCCGCCTCTGTCGCTCAGGGATACACTCGTCACGCTCAGAGAGATCATGCAAGTGTACGACTCTTCACTCGTCGACGAGCAAGATCGCGAGAACGAGTTCAGAGACGTACTGGACGCTGCGCTCGATCCTGCATTGATGATGTGCAAGGAGATGGGCGAGATGCGACCACAGCCATGGGATCGTGCTATCTTCGGTCTCAACTGCATCGGTCTTGTCAAAGTCGGTGGTTATCGACAGACTTTTCGTCAAGACAAGGCTTACGAGATGACGAGCAGGAGAGCCTCGAGCCGTTCAGTTTCACGTCGGAGCGCATCGCTTCCCTCACAAAAGATCAAGACAAGTTTGTCGACATCTTGATTGACGAGCACGTAAGTCAGCAGATGATTGTTATGCGCGGCTCGCTTGACCAGCCTTGCAGTTCACCGGTCTTCTCAAGGACAGTGGTCTCACTGTGCCACACAAAGCAGTCGTGGACAGCTCGGAGGTAGGCTGTGCATCCATGGTAAGCAAAGGCAGCTTATGGGATCTGATAGGCCTCACTGGCGAAGCGCTGTCCTGCCAGCGCGCTCATCACGGCCGCCAAAGTATTCGACGCATTCCTGACCCAGCTCGATACGCTGAGCTCGAACCGGCTTGCGCTACTCTCGTCGAACCTATTGGCGTCACAGATCCACCGGCAGGCGCTCGTCAAGCTTGCCGAGGCTTACAAACAAATCTGGCTCGCCGTCCGAGAAGCAGACAGCGGGTTCGAGGATACGACGACTCTGCTGACGAGAAGTCCAGAGGACGCTGCCAATGTATTGGGCGTGTAGTCTAGCATTCAGGTTGTCACCTTGGCTTTCGCTAGACGGGCAGACTTGAGGAGAGCCATCCGCTTCTTGAGCGCCTCAACGCGCTCATCTGCCTCTAGCTGTTCGCGCTCTTCGTTCTCGATGCGTTCCATGAGCTCCTCGCGTTCTTCTCGATCCTTCCGCTCTGCTTCACTCTCCTCTGGCTTCCCGTCGCCATCATCATCGTCGTCGCCTCCATCTTGCGTCTCGTCGGCTCGAGCAGCAGGCGCGTCGAACATGACTGGCTCTCCGCGAACGGTCATCGCCGCGTTCGAATAGCCTGCTAGTTCATCTTCCGGGGCTGCGATGGTCTGCTTGAATGCTGCCCACTCGGGATCTTCTTCCTCTTCCTCCTCCACCGGTGCCTCCTGTTCTTCTGCTCGAGTTGAAGCGGCAGGATGTAGGTCCTGAGCAGCAGCAGCTTGAGCATCTGATGCGTCGTCGAAGAACCCAGCTGGCAAGCCTTGGACTTCAGGTGCAGGTTCGGATGCTTTCCGTGCTCGCTTGGGCGCAGGCTCCTCGTCTGACTCCACTCCTCCGTCGTCATCCTCTTCTTCGAGCGCACGCTTCTGCAAAGCTTCCTGTGCTCGTTGAGCATTGCCCCGATGAAGTTTTGAAGTGGTATGGGCTGCCCAGAGGCTCTCGTGCTGCTTTAGGATGAGCTACTTGTCTGGCTACAAGGCACGAAAGGCCTTACTTTGACGGGCAAGGCGCACAAGGAGCAAGTCAGCTTGCCGGTACGATCATACTTTGCCTGCGGGTGCTCGAGCCGGCGAGCGCTCTTCATCAGGGAGCGCAAATCGCTCATCTTGATCGCGGGCTGTCACCGGCCAGCAGGGATCAAGCTCGAGCTCGAGCGCTCGACAAATCTGCCGTCAGCGCGAACGGCGACGCGGGCGCAAAGCTGCTCACTGGCCGGCTCACTTCGCCGGGCTTGAGCATGTCGCCGGCCGAGGAGATCAAGCCTGATGCTCCAGCGTCTCGTCCGGCAGCCGAGCTGGACTCGACGGCAGCCTACCCGTGCCCCGTCTCAAGTACCACTTTGGCCATCTCTAGCTCGTGCGACAGCTTACGCTCAAAGCAGATCAGATCTCGCCCGCATTCAGCGGTCGACAGGATCTTCTCGGCGTGTTCGACCTGTTGCCGCTCTATGACCACTTTGTGCGGCCGTACAAAAAGGCAGCCCAAGACAGCGTCAACGATACTGAGCCGGCTGACCAGACCGACAAGTTTAAACCGGTCGATATCACCCTGGGCATGCCCGCTTGGAGCGTAGGACCCAGCAAGAAGGCAGCGACGCTCGGTCAGCCTTCTTCGCCATCGCAGCCAGACGGGAGAAAGAACAAGATGGACAAGAGTCTGTATGCCTACGCGATGGACGAACCAGGTCGGTCTTGCATTGCTGACTCCAACCGCAACGTCTGAGTCAGTCTGTTCGACAGCGTACGTCAAGCCAGCAAAGGACAGTCAGACTCACTTGCTACAGGACCTCCTCTTCGACCCCAACAAAGAACCTGGGCCTATTCACGACTTTGACGAAAGCGCGATCAGAGAGGCCTTCACGCTCAAAGCTGGCGTCTTGCCTGGTTTTGACCCGGCAACATGGTCAAAGACGTACCGAGATTCAAAGACGAGAAAGCTCCGCAAACATGCAAGGACAGACACGCTCACAGATGACAATCGCGACCGCAAACGTATCCGGCCAAGCTAAACAATACATACATTCTGCGACTGCGACTGAACAAACACATCTACGGGCATTGCGCTAGCGTCTCTCGTCACTCATTCGGGCGTCGTTACCGTCTCTATCGCCGTCGGAATCGCATTGGCCAAGATCTCCAACGACCACGGCGGATTGTCGATCGTCTTGATCGACCAGAATGCATGTCTGCAAGGGCAACCTGTTCAGCACATGCATGCGAGGGCGCATAGCAGACGCACCCTGCAAACTGATACCACTCGCCGACTGCAGTAAGCACGTCAGCTTGCTGCCGCAAATGCCTGGCCCAACGCTTACCTTGGTGCTGCCAGAAGCGCTGGTACCAATCGCTCGATTCGGTGTACGAATTGACGCAATCATCTGGCAGGCTGAGTGACCATTCGTTGAGCCAGAGCGGTCGGGGGTAGTTAAACCAGTCGGCCGACTTGTAGGTGTTGATGGCAGCCTCTGCATCGCTGTACGTGTCCCAGTGGTAGTCTGCAATGCAAGTCAGCTTGACGCAAGATTGTGCGAGATGCCCCGACATGGATGACTGCTAAGAACGAGGTTGTTCTTTGGAACGTTGAGCATGAAATCATCCCACACGCCTGTGCCAGGTCTGCTGGACGCTTGAGACTTGTGCGTCTGCGTGGAGGCTGATGGTACGTACGGGTAGAAGGCATCATGGATGACGGTCGTCTTCTTAGGCGTGTTGCCATTCTGGATGATGTTGTATGAGTCGTGGTAGAAGCTCTTTAAGACGGGCTCGTATGTCTTGTCGTACCATGAGCCTGTCGCAGACCTGTCGAATCCAAGCTCAGCTCGAATCACCTGCTTCAGATGCGGTGCGCGTACAGCTGCGGTTCATTGACGACTTCGAGACCGGCAACCCAGCTCCGCGTCGTCTTGGGCAATGCGTCGATCCAGTCAGAGACGACCTGGATGACTCTACGCGAGCGCTGTTGGTTCGCAGGCTGAAAGAACAGTTTCGGGCCGACATGCCCGGTATGATCGTTGCCAGATTGTGATCCTGGCATTCCGTGCATGTCGATGACGCTATAGATGTTATGCAGCGCTCCCCATTCGATGAGTCTCTGTATCCTCGACAAGCGGTCGCCGATGTAGTAAGGCTCGCCTGCCATGACGCCCGTCACGTTGCCCCAGGCCCAGAAGCCGACCGGTATGCGCATCATGTTGACATTGAGATCGGACAGCGTTTGGACGTCTTTCTCTGTTATCCAGGTATCCCAGTGCTGTGTGAGAATGGGTCCCATTATCTTGTGCCCGCGATACTCCGCCAGCGTCCATTCGTCTACTGCGCCTGTACCGGCGGCAATGGAAGCAAACCATGTCGGGTTCTGGCTGTCGTGTCAGCATGCAACCCGTAGACGGTACAGACGACGCACCATCCAGCTTTCGAGAACTTGCCAATTGCCTATGTTGACGCCGTTGGCTTTGAATGTGGTCCAATCCCATTCGTCTGTGACGTTGATGAGCTTGCTGAGCGAGACTGCATTCTGTGTTGTATTGGCAGGCACAGACGCTTTCGCTTTGCCCCGTGCAATCCTCGTTGTGCTCGCTTGTGGAGACGCACTTGATTTCGAATGCGCTTTCTTGTTTTGCTTGGCGGTAGCCTTGGCGTGTGGAGTTGCGAATGCCATTTGTTGATGACTTGTCGCAGCCACGACCCAGTGCGTGCTCGTCATTGTCACCGTCACAGCGGCCATATCGTCTGGGGTGGCAGTCGCATTTGCTACGATGAGCTGCAGACCGCCCGGGTCTGTATCGTCCACGGGGCCGGACAGTCCGGCATCTTGCGCGGCTGCAAAGCTCGAAAGCAGTAGAGCTGCTGCTAATCTCCAGTGCGGCATCGCCTTCGTCGTCTCGTCTGCTCACACTGGCAATCGCATCCTGCTACGCTCGCTGCGCCTTTCTGTGGAGAGTCTGAAGGACTATCAAAGGCACATTGATGCCTTTCCAAAGTTGATATCGTCGCGTGCTGGGCGTAACGCGATCGATGGTATAAATGCAAATTCGATGGAGAGAAGCTGATTCTTTCCGTATGATGATCATGACGATGACGCAGAGTTTGCCATGCGTGCTGGTCCTGGCAGCAACGAGACCAGAGCGGACGAGTGTATGCCACAAGATCTCGAGCAAAGTCGTCTTGGTACATTGCATGCCAGCAGGCCATTGTCGTTACACAGTGATGCGAGCAAGGCCCTCCAGGCGGAAGACTAACTTATGGCTGTGCTAAGTCGATGATATTGATGAGAGCATCTGATCTCTCGACAGAAAGGTGCGCGCCGTCGAGTCCACCGTCAAGCAATCAGTCACCAACGAACACCTCGTCGAATTGCAGCAGCAACAGCTGGTAGACGGCTGCACCTCGAAATCACTGATCGAGAGGAGCTACTGCATACATCAATGGCCTCCCTACAGTGGCATGATCGCAGGCCGCCATTCTCGGGCTCGGATTGGCAGCAGCCGGACAGCCTCCCAGTGGCAAGCGAGCTGATCCCGTCTGTAGATTCATCGAGTACAACGATAAACAATTCGAGATGCTTCATTGCCGGGGCACGGCGTTTCGAGGCTGCAACCTAGCCAAGTGTGTTTCAAGTCCGTCTCGCAGAACGCGCGTGCCGCCAGAGGCTCACAGCAAGCTGAGTCTCAGCCAGCTCGCGAGCTCAAGGCATGCCTCATCCGCACGACTACGAGTCTCGGCAGTCCAGAGCAGAGCTCGTTGCCGTCCTGTAGCTCGTAATACGCGGTTCCAAAACCAACGATGCAGGTGCCTGCCCCCAAAGATCATGCAAATGAGCATGCTGTCGCTGGAAAGCTGGCTCAGGCGCATCAAGAGCTGCGTTAGGAGCCGTCAGGGTAACGGTAGGTGTGCCGCGCGCAGGGTACGTCAAGCCGCGAAATGATATGCATATTACCTTCTGCACTCTCGGCGTGATCTTTCCACGAGGCATGAAGTTTACACGATAGACTGATGATGATCATGCATTGCGTTGTGGGAATGAGGACTTGTAGATGGAAGGTGTGCTGCTCTTGCCTACGACCCGCTCACGCATTGAGTACTCACCCGTCACCGGTCATGTTGCGATCATAACCTCAAGGTGGCAGTGTCAGAGCGACTCGCTCGCGGGCCGCGATGTACTGATCTTCTTGTTGACAAACCGATCATCTCACGAGAGACGCGTGATCCCCATGCTGCGACACATGGCAGACTCAGAGGCGGGCCAGGGTCATTGATAAGTGTCGGTCTGGCAGTACATTTGCTGGTCTTGCCCACGACCCGCTCACGCATTGAGTACTCACCCGTCACCGGTCATGTTGCGATCATAACCTCAAGGTGGCAGTGTCAGAGCGACTCGCTCGCGGGCCGCGATGTACTGATCTTCTTGTTGACAAACCGATCATCTCACGAGAGACGCGTGATCCCCATGCTGCGACACATGGCAGACTCAGAGGCGGGCCAGGGTCATTGATAAGTGTCGGTCTGGCAGTACATTTGTCGCCTTGGTACTTGGTGTGCATAAATTTGCCAGTGGTGGGAAAGTTGCACAACAGTCCGCGAATGAGTGAGAAAAAGATGGCGGGTAGCAAATGAGATGGCGGGCACCCAAAAGGCCTGCCATCTTCTGGGATTCCGGGCTTCTGACCAATACTGCGTGCACTGAACTATGTGCATGCTGACATCGTGTACTGACGAAACGGACCAAGCAGGCCGTCGAGAACGACACCAGACGGGCTGTAGCGTGAGTCAGAGATCAACATCATTGTTACCAAATGCACAAAGCAACCCTTGAGACACAGTAGGTCCACGTTGATCGACATGTAGCCTGCTGCAGCCGGTGAGCCAGCACTGTCTCCCGCGGCTCAAGCCGGGCTTGGCGTTGTGGCGTTTACTGCGGAATATCGGATCAGATCGATCTCTTCCTATCTCATCTTGACAATCAATCAGTAGGGTAGAGTAGGTCGCTACAGCCGTAACATTCGCGAGCTCGGACTCATCATGCATGAACAGGCTCAGCCTCAAACAAGACAGCGAGTCAAGAGTCGCGCGCTTGCAGACTGCAAACTTTTCAGGAGACCTCGCCCACAATGACGAAAGACCTTTTCTCAGTTCGTACGTGACTTTCGTACCGTCTACGCGTGCAAACACTTTGCTAACGTTGCATACTGCCTCATAGCCATCTTCTTCATCCTTTTCAGAGAAACACTAGAAGCGGCTATTATCATCTCCGTCCTGCTTTCCCTGGCGAAGCAGCTCGTAGTCCACGTCGTGCCCGTCAGAACCTCGCTCGCATCTGCCGACACAGGCGGCGACACCACCCTCATCCAATCGAAAGAAGCCGAGAAAGAAGACGCGCCAAAGTTCCCTCACGGTAACCATGAAGTGGATGTGCACGAATTAGTCGACGAAGACATCAGCCACGCCGAAGGACGCCAGAGGAAGCTTCTCAAGCGCCTCTACATCCAAGTAGGTAGTTCTTCTCCTGCTAGCTGACACTGACACGCGCTCCAGATCTGGGCGGGCGCCTTGACCGGCCTATTCATCGCGCTCTGCATGTAAGCCACTGGGTCGGGCGATTTGACGTAGGCTTACTTGTCCTCTACAGTGGCGCTGCTTTCATTGCTGTCTTCTATACTACACTCAACGACCTCTATGGTCAGTCAGAGGACCTCTGGGAGGGGATCTTCTCTCTCGTCGCGTAAGCCCCACCTTCTCAGCTTGGAAAGGTCTCGAACCCTATGCAGATCCGTCATGATCTTCATCATGGGTATCACGATGATGCGAGTCGATCGCGCCAAGATCCAATGGAAGTATAAGCTACAGACTGCCTTCATGAACAAGGGCAAAGGAGGTAGGTCGTTATGATGGCTCGTCCGACTTCCAGGCTGATCGCCATGAGACAGTGTCTTCCGAGGGCAGATCAAGCAGATGGGCTCTGTTCATCCTGCCGCTCATCACCGTGCTGCGAGAGGGCCTCGAAGCGGTCGTATTTGTTGCCGGTGTACGCCACATGTTGCGAGCCGAGGAGGCTAAGACTAACAGACTCGCAGGTCACTCTTGGTCAACAGGCTACATCGATCCCGATTGCTGCTATCGTCGGCATCCTTTGTGGCTTCCTCGTCGGCTTTCTCATCTATAAGTCTTCCAGTAGGATAAATTTGTCGATTTTCCTGGTCGTCTCGACCAATTTCTTACTCCTCATCGGTGCTGGCCTGTTCAGCAAAGCCGTTCTCAACTTCCAGAATTACAAATTCAACCAATTGTGCGTGGTTTACCCTGGCCGGGCTTCTTACGAAGCTCATCGCTTGCTGCAGGACTGGCGGCGACGCGTCCGAGAGCGGGTCGGGCCCGGGCTCATATCCTGTGGCAGGCAATGTGTGGCATGTCAACTATGGCAACCCCGAACTCAAGACCGACGTTGGCCTAGGCTGGCTCATCTTCAATGCTATTCTCGGATGGACAAACAGCGCAACAGTCGGGACGATTCTGTCATACGTCTTCTACTGGATCGCCGTCACGGTCGTGCTTGTCTACATGAAGTGGTCAGAGGGCAGGACGCACTTCTTTGGTCTGAAGTCTGCCGCATGGCATAGGCGACAAGCACGCAGAGAGAAGCGCGAGCAGGTTGAAGTCAACAGCTTCTCGCGCACGGGCAGCGACGACAAATCGACAGCGTCCGGCACAGCCTCTTCGCCGACGAGCGCCGCGCCCTTACATGTGCTGCATCGCAGCGACGACGAAGGTATCGCAATAGAAGAACCAGCCAAGTAAGAAGAGGAAAAAGAGTCGAGAGGTCGGTACGATGCGCAAGCAGGGCAGCATGTAGAGGGGGAAAACGAAACGATACGTTAAGTTGCTACGACAACATTCATCATTGCAGCAGTGCTGTTCTCTACGGTCTATCGCTGCCTCGTCTGTCTTTGAGAATGTTCACTGACTCCCTCTTGTACGCCTTGTAGCCGCGCGCGAGAGCCAGATGAGGCTCCCCAGCCGAAGACGACGCTTTGCTCTTGCGTCTCGTGGTTGACGGCATCATTGTAGGGTTGTACTTGACTGATCTCGAAAGGTCTGCGTCGTTGACCCGTAGTGGGTGCGGATGGATCAGCGGGTCTCGAAGTCGGCCTGACTTTGCGGCGATCTACTTTGCGAGAGGCTGACGTCGGTAGCCCATTTTCGTAAATTTTTGAGAAGATCTGGTTCGCCATGACGGTTTCAGTCACAGGCGCTGATGTATCAGCCGTAAGCTGAACGCCCTCGTTCTCTTGATTCGCTCTTGAAGGTGTGCGGAGCTGGCATTCAGTATGTGACTGGCTGAGACGACGCGCACCGGTATCAGCATTCGATGTCTGATCAATCTGCGAGAGTGGACTGCGCTGACGATCATCTGGCGATTGCGATTGATCGTCTTGCGCCTTCAGTGGTACAGGGACAGCGAATGAAGGCGCGCTCGCTGAGGCCGGCTGCGCCGAGTTCGTCAGTCTTTTCGCGAGAGCTGCAGAGCAAGGCAGGACAGGCGCTGAGCCAGCTCTTGCGATCAGTCGCGAGACACTGTAGGATTGAGGATAGTCACGCTCCACTTTGCGTGTGCTTTCTGCGAGCGAGTCTTCCAGCCATTTTGGGTGGACGATGAATCCGCCACGATCGAGCAAAGGCTGCCATTCTGGCAGGACCATGCCTGTCTGAGTGCTGCAATGGATTAGATGAGTCACACTGTCCGTCATGGTCCGAACAAAGAGGCCGCCGAGCTTCTGCGCAATGCTTCTCATGCTCTCCGCTTGATGCTCAAAACGCTGACTAGTCGTGATGACGCAGCCATGCAATGGCGGTAGAGCATCGACCTGCACGCTTTCTGTAGTAGCCGGTGGCTCTGTAAGCCCCGACGGTGAAGCGCGAGCAAGACGGATCAGACGATCAAAGCCCGCGATCTCGATGCCGTGTTCGCGAGCGTAGCCAACCTTGCGACCCTCTTCAAGGACACTGACCATCGGCGGCACAATGACGAGATTTGTCTGCGGCTCGATAGAAGCAGTGACATGTAGACCGAAAAGTCGCCCAAGTCGTTTGAGTAGCGCTCTGTCGAGCTCGTCAAGACCTGAGCCGGTGCAATGGATTAGATCTGCGCCAGCTATCGGCAAAGCGAACCTGACGGCGCGGCTCATGTGATGCGCATCAGGGTTAGATATCGAGCCAATGTAGAGGCACCGTTCGACCCAATATTGGCTGACTACGCGGGTATCAGAGAGATCGATGCTCTCAGGCGGGCTGCACAAGTGTCAGCATGGCACAGCTCTCAAGGAGCCAGGCTTACTTCGCAAACGGCACGACGATCCAATCTGGAGTGGCCATGTCATCCTCCTCAACGAAAGTTCCTCCATGCTCGATGACGCATTCGACGAAGCGCGTGCAGGATATCCCTGCGAGCCCGCAATGCTGAAAGCGGTAGCCGGCGAAGATCTGGCGCGCTGGTCGGGGTGCAGCTTCTGGTTTGGCAAGTGTACTCATGAGACTGGGTAAGTTCGGATTCCTCGGCGTTGCCGCGATAGTCTGGCCGTTTCTGACGCCGCCCAGATGAGTGCTTGGTGTCGCATGAGGCTTGCTATCGACCTTCATAGCCACTGATTTAGCAGTTTGATGCAGCTGAGTCGAATCAGCCAAAACAGCTGGCTTGCTGGATGTGCTCGAGCCTAGGAGCTGTGAGAGGTCCTCAGGTGCGAGGCGAACGCGGGTAGCACTCGCCGATCTGCGTATGATCGCTTTCTCCCTCGTGCTTGCGCCTTCATCTACGATTGTGGCGTCTGCCAGTACGACGGAAGGGTCATCGTCAGGCTGCTTGCGCTTTAGCTGCGGCGCCGATGCGCGGGAGGTACGGGGCCTGAAGTGAGTAGCAAGATAGGCTGGTAGGTCGATCGGCAAGGGTACCTGACGCTCTGCCAGTTTGGTATTTTTCTTCGAGAGATCGTATGCGTCCTCTGGCAGAGCATAGCCGGCTGCCAATGAATCTTCGACCCATGTCGACCAGACCGCACGACAGGTTCGCAGGAGTCTTTGGGCAGTGAGAACATCGTCGACCAAGACCATGCCTCGCTCATCTGGGGTCTTTGCGAGATTGGCAGCGATGCGTCCATTGAGCTTGGGAAGCCAGTCGACCTTCAACTTGCTCGATGGCTCTAGCTCGCCGGTCTCTTGATGAGCCTTGACGATCTCTGGAGTCGCGTAGACGACGAGGTGAGAGACGCCTAATTTCAGTCGAGAGGATGTGTCTGCGCCTTGTTCCTCTAGTAGCCGCAGATAGTCATTGCGGGTCGACTCGGGCTCCTTTGGAAACCCGGTGATGCTGATTTTGAGGGTCTCCAATGGTCTTACTCGGTGCAGCTTGATCGATTCCAGCAGATCGATGGCTTCAGCTTGTAGCCAGCACTGGTGCAAGTCATCAATCCAGTCGATGGAGAGCACAAGTATGCCGCGCCTGACTGCTGTTCTGAACTTGTCACTGTCGCGCAAGGTGACTTGCAGGTGCTGTCTGGCCAGGACATTCTCCTCTGACTCGTCCTGTAAGCCCAGGGAAGGCACGAGGAGGATCGACGTTGTCGTCATGAGCGAAGACGACATGCTGCCGCCCAGCGCAGTGACTTGTTCTCCCAGCTTGGTCCGCGCATCGTCTTGTATGCCCGTCGCAGAGATCTTGACGCCATGGAGTGGCAGACGGTCCTCTTCTTCTGGCTCGCTCTCCTCTGCGCTTGTGGTCAGCTTCCTCTGTCCAGAGATTTGCACAATGGTGTACATACCACCTAGCGCTCTCGCTTTCCCCTTCCTGAATGACGTCGCGGCTTCTTGTCCGTACAGACAGTCGACACGACTAGCCTCTCTGGCTCGAATGGCAGCTTGGACTTGCGCCGATCGCTCTTCCTCTGTCAGTGTGCAGGCTTGGCTCTCAGGCGCCGGTCGGAGCTTGATTCGCTTGTCCTTGACGGACATGTGGCCCTTGCGACTGCCATGAGGCGCCATGCCTGACTCACCGGACTCGGGCGCGCCGACCAACTCGCGGCCAAAGCCAGCGAAGACACGCGAAAGCGCGACGCGTCGATCGCCTCGTGACGTCAAAGACGGGGTCGGCAGTCAAAGCTGTGGAGCCATGAAGGCTCGCCGTCGAGACTCCAAGTCGCTGCCATTCAGTGGCGCGAATGGCAACAGCTCAACGGCTGGACTCGCACGCCGTCAAAAGGCTCGCTCGTCGCTGAGAGGCTTAGCGATGACCTTGCTGGCCCTTGGCTCTTTATTGGCAATCACATGGACCTTTGGACCTCCTCTACCGGCGCTCAAGGGTATCAGAGCCAGTCACACATCACTGTTTGTCAGCAGGGATCTTTCCGCTCCCATAGGAGAACGCACGAAGCATGAAGCAGCTGCACATCCGAACGAAATGGTCTTGATTCTCTGTCCAATGAAGAATGCGATCGAACACATCTGGCACTACTTTCACCTCATTGACTCGCTCACCTATCCACGTCACTTGATCCAGATCGCTGTCCTCGTGAGTGACTCTCACGACGGCACATTCAAACGCGCAAAAGAGCTCGCCAACGAGCGCCAGACCAAATGGCGACGTCATCTCCGCTACAACAAGATCAGCGTGCTCAACAAAAACTTTGCAGACTCTCCTGCTATGCCTGCAGCGGGTATCGAGAATATCGGCAAGACGAGGCATTCTTTCGAGCTGCAGATTCATCGACGAACGCTGCTAGCCAAGTCGCGTGCGAGCTTGCTGTCGGCTGGTCTGAGTCCAGAGGTCGACTGGGCGCTCTGGATGGATGTGGACATTGTCGACTACAAGCCGACACTGATCGAGGACCTCCTGTCCTGGTCACGAAGGCTCAAGACTGCAGACGTCATCGTGCCAAATTGCATGTGGAAGACGTATGATGATATGGGGTCAGTCACGTCATATCTCTAGCCACTTGCGCTGAAGCGGTGGGGACAGCCCTTATGATAAGAACAATTGGGCCGAAACTGACGAGAGCATGGCCATCAAAGCTTCGTTGCAGCCCTCAGATATTCTCATTGAGGGTATGTGCCTTCGATGCAATCCGACAATGGGAGGCTGATGCGTGATCTAGGCTACCCTGAGCTGCAGACTGGGCGGTATCTTCTGGCAGATGCCTACTCGCGGGAGCGGCCAGAGACGTCTCCGGATGAGATGGAGCTCGATGGCGTCGGCGGCTGTTGCACCTTTGTCAGAGCCGAGATGCATCGCAATGGCGCAACGTTTCCAGCCTACGCGTTCGACAATCAGATCGAGACGGAAGGCTTCGCACAGATGGTCAAAAGACTTGGCGGTCGGATGGTTGGCCTGCCGAAGTATCACGTCTTTCACGGGCTGTACGGCTAGACGACTAGATTGTCGCAAAAGATCTTGAACGAACACGAGCTGCTGGGGCTTCGTCCAGCACTTCTTGCAAGACTGTGCGACAGTCGATATGGGCGCCGAGACGGGCGCAGAGCAAGAAGCAGCCAGATAGCTTGCGATTGAGGCTGTAAGTCTCCACTGGCGGCGGCGTCAACCGATGTCGCAGCATGATGGGTATCTGAGCTCGGATGCGATCTGTGATGGTCTGCTGAGCAAAGGGATAGGGTGACGGTGCGTCGGGTCGGAAAGGCTCGCCTAAGGCGACCATTGACTCGACGTGCGCATCCAGCATGACCTAAAAGCACCTTCAGCCTGTGCACAAGTCCTGCTCTTCGAACACACCTCGCTTTCGTTGCCCGTGAGATAGCCGAGCGCGAGAGATTCGTCAATGCATGCTTGTCGGTCACCTTTGATGGCTGCTTGGAGCAGCTTGAGATAACCGTCGATAAAGTCGGTGCTGTATGATCGTGATGCGCCGAAGTCGATGAGCTCGATCTTGCCGTTGGCCTTGTTGTAGAGAAAGTTCGTCCAGTTGGGATCTGTCTGCATAAAGCCAAAATGGAACAGTTCGCGAAAGCAAAGACGTAAAATGTCGGAGGCGATGCGGTTGCGGGTATCTTGGGCGAGTCGGACTGTCTTTGTAAGGGGGATGCCTTGCATCATCTCGGTCGTCAAGACTTGCTCTGAGCAAAGCTCGGGTATGATTGCAGGCACAGAAAAGCGCGTGTCGCCCTGCAGCAGATCAGCGAACCTCTGGCCGCATTGCGCTTCTCGAGTATAGTCACATTCGTCGTCCAACTCGCGCGACAGGACTTTGAGCGTGTTCTCCAGATACAAGCCGCGCGGTAGAAGAGCAGAAGCAGTCAGGAGAAGCTTGAGGTTCGACAGGTCTGATTCGATGCTGTTTCGCACGCCAGGAAACTGGATCTTGATGGCGACAGGCAGACCGGTGGAGACCTGAGTCGCGCGATGGACCTGTCCGATAGAAGCTGAAGCGAAGGGCACGAAAGAAAAGTCTGCAAGTCTCTCTTCCCAATCTTGACCTAGGCCAGTCTCAAGGACGCTCTACACTGTCAGTCAGCTCAAGAGCGTGTCCAAATTCGGGAGGAGGACTGACGCGCGTCTGCCATTCTGGCATGTAATTTGCATTGTTCTGCACTTGCAGCAGGATCTGCTCGAGCTGGGGCGGCAGCATAGCCGAATCTGCTCGTCGCTCGCTGCATCAGATTCGTGCTGCCAATGCATGACAGATGAGTTACTAGCCTTGGATGGACATAAATTGACCGAGCTTGAGGGCAGCGCCGCGCATTCTCGTTAGCTTATCGACAAGTCGGCGGATATTTGATGGGCTGAGGAGGAGTGAAGATCTGTTACCGCCTGCTCGTGCCTGCCTGAAGGCCTCAGAGGCAGCACCCATACTGAGACCAGCAGCCAGGCCGCCATAGTGAAAAAGACGTCCGAGTCTCGAGGACGGCACTTTAGAGGCGCGAAGGATGACAGCAGACTCGGGTTGCTCTATGTCCTGCGGCAGGTCTTCGTCCTGTTGGGATGAAGTCGCAGTGGGTTCTGCCCCACTGACAGATACTTGGGGCAGATCGACTTGGCGCGTAAGTTCGGATGGCACTGGCGATGTCCCTGACGGCTCGAGAGATATGGGCTCGGCAGGGCGCTCTGACGGTCGAAGCGGCTCAGTATACGCCTGACGCGGTATATCTCCTGCAGTGGCTGTCGACTCGGTAGCTGTAGCGCCTTGTGGAAGTTGACCCGACGATGGCTCTATTGCAATGGACGACTTGTTCAGACTTGCAGGCTCGGCGAATATGCTGACATCGGGGTGGACCTCTCGACTTGTCGGAGGTCGAGCGGCCGCTTGCTGTTTGAGAACTCGTTTGAGGATGTCACGAGGCGGCACTCGAGGTGATTGCGGCCACGCCGGTGGACCCGGTGGTGCATGCTTGAGCGAGAGCTCGCCGCTCGCTCGGGCAACCTTGAATGCTCCCTGTGCGATCGCATAGAGCGTATACAGCTTGCTCATCGACTCATCCGGCAGCACTGTAGGAGGAGCTGTGGCGGCTCAAGCTGAGCAGCCGAGCAGTCGCGCCTTGCCGCTGACAGCAAGACAGGGAAAGGACGATGACGTCGACTTAGCCTGGCCTCTACAGCCACAAGTGATGCCAGTAGCCAGCGAGGGACATGTCAGGCTATGTTCGGAGCATTGTGAGAGCGCAGGGCACGCTCAAAACGGCTGCAAGCTCGTCTGCAGCCGCTCGACGATCAAGCTGGACCTCGATCTCGACCTTCTTCAATCGTCCTCAATGGGACGTTTCAGGTGCCCCCGCTCCTACTAGAGCATGGCCAAGCTCGGCGCTACATACTCGGTGCGCTCCTCTGCCATGTGAGCTCGCACGATCGCCGTCTGACAGGAGCAAACAGCTCGAGAGCGACATTGGCACAACCATCGAATTTGTCCGACGAGCTTGGCGGCCACGACGGAAGCCTGAGCGCAATGGTGCCAAAGCGACTACCTCAGAGGCCATCGGGGGGCACCGCAGTGCGAGAGATGAGCCCGATCTATCGGGCAATCGATACATTGAACGCCTATGGGACAGCGAGGTCGAGCTTGGACGACATGTCGGCCATCGGTGCCTACTGTCTCATCAGAGATCAACCGGAACATCAAGAAACGATCAAGCTCGTCAGCAATCGAGCGCTCGTGCGGCTGGCTCATTGCTTGACAGTGCGCATACAAGACGACGCGCTCTTGCAGGACATCGTCGCAGACTTGCTTCGCCCAGCAGAACTTGCAGAGACGCAAGCACTCGTCCAGATGCTACAATCGTACCTTCCAGATTGGCAAAGGGCCATGCAAGCGCGGCACGGCAGCGACTTGAAAGCCTCACAAAGGCTCGCGCCTCTAATTCTCAATCGATGGGATTCCCTCTGGCGCAGACGGCGGGAGCGCAGCGCAGATTCGCTCAACCTCGAGGACGTCGAGATGATCGTTGCTGCTTCGACGCAGTCCGAGCGGCCAATGTCGACCCTATCATCAGACGATGCTCATGAGGCTGCAAAGGCTCTATGGGACCGGGCGGCCGTCTTGCTCCTCTTGCAGCCAAAGGGAGCCAATTCGCGCTTATATCTGCGCTGGCTGAGCGCACTCGTGCCCGGCGCTTTCTCTAGTAGCGAGGAACGCGTCCAGTTGCCGCTCAGGATGTATCTCTTCTTTGCTCGACACGGCTATGTGGACGACGGCCTCTTGACCTCCGCTATCGAAGATCTCACGAATAGCCATACTACTCTGGCAAAGTCGGCAGTCTATGGTTTTGCGCTCTGGCGAGCGGAAATGCGCCTGTCGCTCCAGAAGGGCTACTTGCGACGCGCCCTGCCCGTCATGATAAAATACGAGAGACAGCGCCGTCGACTGGGCCTGCCAATCGACTCGGAAATCTCAAGCTGCTTACGAGAGCTCTATGATGCCTCCTGTGGCCTTACGGGTCGCGAAGGTTTCGATCTGACCGCTCGTACCATCCTTTGCCTGCTCGAAAATCGTATACAAGTATCACCGGCCGAGGTGCCATACTTCCTGGGCGAGCGAGGCATCGATCGCTTCTTTGATCTCGCAACGGCGCGACAGAAGGTTTTGCAGCGTGCCCAGATTGACATGGTAGAGCTGACGAGCCATCTGCTCATGACACGATCTCTCTGGCGGCCTAAGCCTCAACATCTCTTGTTGCTTGCTCAGATCGCTCCTCATCCGAGGACTCGACAGCTGGTGACTGTACTGTTGCCCAAGATGCTACAAGCAGCACAAGATGGTCAAAACTTGATAACCTACGACGAGCTGGTCACCGTTGCATTCCAGCGAAGACTCATTGACGCAAACGCCTTCTTTGTGCGTCTGGACGGACAGAAGACCAAGTTCAGTAGCCATGTATGCGCCATATTAATCGACGCGCTACCGGCTTCCAGCGAGCGTATACTCGGCAGCTTCCTTAATGGCAGAGAAGACCTAGCAGCTGCGATATCGAGCAAAGAGTCTGGAGGGACAGCCAAGCTATCTCGCGTGCCTTTGTCGGATCTGACGATGCTCTTATATGGCTACGCGCTGACCGGCCAAAGAACCAAGGCAAGACGTGTTTTGCACCTACAACAACAGCTTCGGCTGGTGCCAGACGTAGCACATTTCAATGCGACCTTGTACTTCGTTGCTCGCCACTCGCCACGCGCAGCGAATGAGATGCTCGCAGAAGCCGAAGCCTTTGGCTTCAAGAGCGATAGCGATACGCGCGCCACGCTTAAGCATGCCGTTCAGGCAAATGGGCCAGTGTTGTCCCTGCCTTACGCCTCTGGGATGCAAGCATAGATGTCCGCCGCGTCTGTAAGTCTAAGCGTCAATACGATGCTCCCGTGACGAAGCAAGTACTCGCTTGAATGTCCGTCAAAAGCGAGCAGGTTGACCAATGGCGCCTCTCTTCCACCGAGCGCATTGAGAATGTCTTGTCCAACAATGCCGCCCAATACGGCGCAAGATGGCATGAAATCATAGCTGGCCGTGCGAGCTATGTCTCTGCAGATCACCTGACAATGAGCGCAGCACGGGCAAGCTCAAGGACTGATCTTACCTGTAAAACGCATCGAGATCCGATGCGATCTCAAGTCCTTTGGCTGGTAACGTTGTCGTCCCTATCGCGCTGAGAGCCGAAGCGACTGATTCATTTGCAGGCATCAGACCATGGTGTTGCCTCTGATATTCCCAGAGCACTGTTTATAAGAGTAATGAGTTGGGCAGCAAGTGCCACAACGACAAGCTTCGACGAACCAAAAAGCGCTGACAGAGCTGGGTTGAGCTTTCGACGCTTCTTTGGGGACAGATTCCAGACGTATGCTTGTGCAGTAGCAAAATCTACAAAGTCGACTGAGCGTTGGACGGTCAGCTTCTTTGCGTCCTCGGACAGCGTGCCATCTGGCCGTCGCTCCTGTTGCTCGCTGTGCTGATGTCAGCGATTTGGAGGAAGGTCAGGGCCGGCTACTGACATGACGTAGCTGTGTTTGCCTAGATCGCAGAAAGCATAGCCGTTCATACCAAATGAGCCTGTCGCGTAGAATTGCTTTCCCATCTTATGCGTCAATGCATTGACTCGCTCCTGCAGGCCAGATGAGCGCGACAACACCGGATGGAAACGGCGACGCACTATCAGTTCGACGGAAGAGTCGGTGAGGCAGATGAGGTCGAAGCGTGAGTAAAAGTGCTCGTCCGAGAGGAGCGACATGTCATGAAGAATGCTGATCTGGACACGAGGATTGAGGAGCTGTATGCGCTCTTGCGCTGCTTGCGCTCTCTGCTCGCAGGCGAGCGCCTCAGGAATACCGCGCGCGATGACATCGACCTAGCGGACTGACATTGGCTCCAATATCAGATTCGCGTAGAAAGAAACCCGTCGCTAGGTCTTCTTCAGTGACTGCCTGGTCGTCGAGGATACTGAGTGAACCGATGCCGGCCAAGACGATGTTCTTTGTAATCTCTGTGGCTATGCCTCGCAAGCAGACGAGCAGCACAGCGGCTTTGCGCATCCTGTCGCGCGCTCAATGAGTCGTGTTGGCCCACTTTGAGCTCGACGTCGAACCTGTTCTGAGCTTCGACACCCCATAATCGTACTGCGGAAATGTTGTGCTCGCCGTCAGCGTTGAACGAGCCCAGGGGAGTACATGAGAACTGACTTTGCCGATCATAAAGAGCCGCTTCCGCTGCAACGATGTACCATCAGCTTGGAGCAGCTGGCACGGATCGAGCCGAGCGTGCCTTCTGAGATGCCCTCCTGAGTCGACACTGGTTCAGCATGGCCGTTCGTCGCCATGCTGCTGCCCTTCTCGCCCGTCGTCCAGTCGATTCGAGTCGCGACGTGTTGCCGAAAGCGACGACGCCGACAGCTGGCTTGCCTGGCAATAGCTCGGCCATGGCAGACTTGAGAGCTCGACAGACGTCGGGCAGCTCGGTCGGCTCAGAGCAGCAGCTGGGACAACGGCCAGCGGCCGCACCGTGGTCACCGAGCTCAAGCTCACCCCGTTCATTCGACAGTCCTCGCTTTGGATCAAGTCAAGCGGTCTCAGATGCAGCTCGCTCGCCTGAATCCGCTTCAACGCAGTCGTTTGCTCGAACGAGTCATGTCAGGAAGTCGCCAGCGAACGGACTGAGTCGCTCGCAGCAACAGACCACGCGACGTTCAGCAGGTCCCTTTGAGCCAGAGACCTATCTGGCCAACTTTCTGCAGGATGTGGGCGCTGCCTCATTGGTACCTGGCCCCGCCCAAGGCAAGTTCTCCCATTCGGCAGCCCGGGCTCGACGCAAGAGTCTGTCGACGTCTAGCTCGTCTGCACATGGCGCACAGAGCCCGCCGCCCCAGCCCGGCATACCCTCAGATGAGCCGACGATAGCACGACATGTCGCCCGTGTCCAAGAAGAAATTATCTCGCTTCGGCTGGCCGCTCGCTCGCGCATACAGAAAGCCTTTCCCGACTTTGTTGCGCAATACCGAACGACTTTGGAGTTGCAAGATCGTCTCGTGCGGCTCGACGCAGAGACGGATGACCTAGCAGACCAGACAGATGCATTTGCACCGCGATTGATACAGACGCTACAACGGCACGCAGCGCTGCAAGAAGAACACTTGCGTGCAAAGACGCTTGCACGAGGCTTGACGCGCATTGTCGAAGCGCGGTCTACCTTGGCCAGCTTGAAAAGCACCATCGATGCCGGACGGTTGAGAGAGGCAGAGACAAGCATACAGCATGCAAGCTTGCTATTCCGTCAGGCAGCATCAGACGAGCACGAGACAGTCTGGATCCAGCAGACCATGCAATGGGAGGAAAATCTAGTGCGTCCTTCGCCAATCTCTCCAATTTTATGCTGCTCAGGCTGACACTGACAGTCATCATATCGAGAGATGGATGCTTTGCTCACGCAGAGTCTCGTGGATGCCTTCCATGGCGCGGCTCATGTCGAAGGCGCCAAAAAATCGGGTACGGCCTCTCTTACTGTGAGAGAGGTCGTTCCAGGCTCACAGGCGCCAAACGCCGAGCCCATCGCCCTTGTCGACGTCCTTGAGACCCTCGCTAAACGGACAGCGCTCGAAGCACACCTGACCAAGCTAGCTCGGCGCATCATCGAAGGCATCGTCGAGCCTTTCCTCATTCGTCAGCCCGTCGGTAATAGCAAAAGCGGCGCGATGCCTCGTTTGGTACAGACTGGTGAATCGACAATCGACCTATCAAGTGGTAGCGCGACCTCTAGACTGGCGGTGCTAGACGATGTCGCGATGCTTCTCGCCTTCCTTCGGCAACGCTTCGGTATTGCGACGGACGCTTTCGCGCTCTTTGCTGCAGCACTCATGTCTCTGCTACTGCCGCTATTGATTGATAAGCATTTAGAAGCGCAATTGCCGTCTTCGTTCGATGGACTCGTTGACTACAGAGCCCTCTTGGACCGAGCAAGGTTGTTCGAAACCGAGCTCTCTTCGACGGGGTATCTAGTCAGCACCGAAGATCGCGTTCTGTCGCGATGGGCAGATCAAGCAGGAGTCTCATGGACTCGCAAGATTGCTCGCCAGGCCCTCGAGCAGGTCCGCCGTGACGTCATGTCGAGCGACTGGGAGGCCAGCATGGTCGACTGGACCGTCATCGATCCTCCAGTTGAGGCAATCTCTACTAAGCCTGCGGACGATTCTCCAGTGCCATCGACCGAAACCGTCTTTCCGCCTGTCCGACAGCTGTCGGTCGAGCCGGCCGATCGAAGCCAGACAGTCACGCCCAGCAAAGCCACGGGGCGACTCGGGGCCTCACGACTCACTCGCAACGGCGTATCGCCCAGCGCACCTCGGTCGCTATCCCGGACACCAGAGCCTGTGCCTCCTCCAGCACCGGCTCAAGCTGATCAGGATGAAGACGATGATGCTTGGGATTTCGACGAGGCATATCTGCCCGATCCGCCGTCATTGCCGCCTCCTTCGCCAATGCCAAGCGAGAGTGCCGGATCAGATGGTGCATGGGGCTTTGACGACAGTGGGCCAGCTAGTCCCGCGCAAAGCAAGGCGTCAGCACTGTCTTCTGCCCGCATGCTCGAGCAGGACACAGTAGTACCACAGGTCGCAAATGGCACGAGCCAAGACGACGAGACAGGAGACGCCTGGGGCTGGGATGATGACAAAGAGCTCACACTGCCTTCGCCGGCCTCATCGCGACATAGCAAGCGCTCCGCAAATTCGCATCTTGTCGTCCAGCCTTCTGCAGCTGTGCCTACTTCACATCAGGAGAAGATTGCAATTTCGACGAAATCGGAACGATTGATCGAGCTCGTAAAGTCGGTTATAAGAGAAGGACAGTCGACTTGTCGCTTCTCGACGGCGGAGCTTGGCATGTCGATCGATGTTGCCAGCTTCGTCTCGTCGGGTCTTGATCTGCTCGATGTCTTTAGAGCTACCTTGCCGGTTCATCACGCGAGATCGATCGAGTCCGTGCCGTCTCTTGGCATGCAATTCGCCAACGACTGTCAGTGGCTTGCGAAGGAGATCGACGAGCTGCGTACTGCGGCAAAATCGTGGGACATCACCGCTAGCGTTCTTGCCGATATGCAGATTGTGCAGGAGTCATACGAACGGGTTCATCGAGACGCCTTGACCGGACAGGCTGTATGCGGTCGCCTCGTACTCTTATGTGCAATGCTGACACACGCGCGCAGGATCTGCAAAAGGCTCTCATCATGTCGATGCTCGACGAAACAGATCATCTCAGGAATACGTCCGACGACGAGCACAACGAGGCGTGCGAGCGGGCGCTGAAGCAGATTGTGTTCACGCTTAAGCGTCTCTCGCAAGCCTGGAAGGTCAGCCTGGCCGTAAAATCGCGAAGTCTATCTGACGGGGCTTGACAGCCGATGATGGTTCAGCTGGTCTATCAGACTCTGATGGGCACACTGATCAATGATGTGCTGCTGCGCGTGCTAAGCGATATCGAGAACCTGGCCGACATTGCGGCAGAGGAATCGTCGAGGCTCAATGCGCTCTGCAAGATCTTGCATACGTTCGAAGAGATCTACTACAACCCAGCGAACGAGCAATCGACGATCTCATTGTTCGTGCCGGTCTGGTTCAAGTTCAACTTTCTGTCGGAGCTACTCGAGGCATCTATGGTACGCCTGAGATGATGCAGCTCCGTCCTGGCTGACCTGGGGCGCAGGTCGACATTATGTTCTTGCATCAAGAGGGTCACCTCGTCGACTTTTCGAAGCAAGAACTAGTTGCACTCGTGCGAGCGCTGTTCTCCGAGAGTCCGACGCGGCAGAAGAACATCGAAGCGATTCTCGCGGCCGGCTGAGGCTTGCTTGCATAGCTGTATGCGCCAGGCTTATGCATATCAAGCAAGCGTGTCTTGGAGTCGCTGCCACGACGCGAACAGGCGTACTCCGGCTGGCGTTGGGCCGCCGGAAGATGGCATGATGACATTGAGTCGACCGACAAAAGTCTTGATACCGTCTGTGAGCTTCGTCAGGTCTGCATAGCTCGCTTCGGGCAAGAGGGCTTCGATGTGCACGTCTGCGGCCAGGTGGCGCGTCAGATGAAGCTTTCCTTCGTCTAGCGAGTGCCAGAGGAGTCTGCGCGTGTCGAAACCAGCGAGGTCAAGGAGCTCCTGGGGCACGCTGGGCAGCACGATGTTCCTGTCATCGCTGGGTGCATCGCATGGCAGGATGATGTGGAGCGTATAGCCCTCTGACAGTTTTTGCAGGACACTGGGCGGCGGTAGCTGTTCCCTGGCGTCAGCTGTGCCACAAGGCAGATCCGCCGAATCAAGCTGACAGTTGGACATGCTAGCGAGGCACGTAGTCGTCTGCCTCTTGACTTTGGCAATGCAAGCTGCGTCGATGACGGGGTAGAGTCGTCTTCGAGCTCTTGCGTGCTGACGGCCTTGCTGTAGATCCAGAAGGCTGCTGATCCGAGCAAAGCCAGCCCACCGGCAAGGGCGACATACTGCCGCTTGACCTTGCTCATTGGTGCCGGCCGGCCAGCTGACGTGTACGGCAACGAGCCAGCCGAGTCGCGACGATCTCGACTCTTCTTCCTTCGCGCCAACACCGACCAATACTTTTGCAGCAAGATGCCTGTGCGTACACGGATCAACCCGCATAGGGCGCTCACTGACTGGTCCACAGCGTCAATCGCGCGGCCGATCCTCGGCTCCTCGCTCTGCGCCCGCTAAATCGGGACCGCCTGCTCAGCAGCAACAAAAGTCCAACGTGCCCGCGCATCCACCTCAGACTGGATCGCAAGGTGGCGGTTTCTTGAGTCAGGTCGCCTCGACGGCAGGCGGTGTCGCTCTCGGGCATGGCATCAGTAACATGATCTGGGGTGGCTCATCGGCTGCCGCTGCCGGACAGGAGCAGCCTGCTCAGCCGGTCCAGCAGAACGGTCAAGATGCATGCAGCAATCATGCCAAGGTGAGTTGCTTGCGAGCATATGGGTCACGTCAGCTGCTCATGCAGATTCGGCCCTGCTGCAGGAGTTCACACAATGCCTCAATGCCACTCAAAATGACGTCTCGGCTTGCAATTTCTACCTCGAGCAGCTGAAGCAATGTCAAGCTGCGAGCGCTCGCTACTGAGTTTCGCTCATCTCTTGCAACGCGTAGATCCGGATTTGCATCGCAATGCATCGGCTGCCCTTAGCTTAGCTTAGCTTAGCTTGCCTTGACTTTGTGTCCAATTTCGTACGTCGAGAGAATGCGACAGAGAATCGCGATGTTGGTGAGCAGGAAGAGCACGCTTGCCTGCCACAGCTGATAGTACGTCGTGTGACCCAGCATCTCGAGCCGAAAGGCAGCGGATAGCCAAAGCGCCTGCGTCTTATGAGCTACGAGCGACGTACAGGCAAGAGTTGAGCATACCTGACCTGCTATCCAGCCAAGGAGCCAAAGTGAGCCTTCCACTCGACTGACCCGTACGCTTGCAAGAATGAGCGGGAGGAGCCACAAATACCACATGAAGTACTGACAGCTCGTCAGCCTCGAATACAGCTTTTGCGCTCGCCAAGACTTACTTGAGATGTGCACACCTTGTTGAGGGCCACGAATGCCACAGTCTGAGCAAACCATGCCAAGCCCAGCGAGCGGCTACCGAGCAGGAGGCCGAGCGCGGTACAGGCACCCAATTGAGGCACGAAGGACACCCAGGGCAAGTCAAGCCAACTCGCACTGTCGAGTCCGTAGCTCAGATAGATCGAGTAGTGGTAGACTGAGAAATTGTGGCGGTGATCAAGCCTGTGCAAATGGTAGAGGTACGTATGCTCGATGAAGTCCCAAGACCATCTGTGTGGCAGTCAGCTTCAGGTGATGCTGCTAGCGAGCAGACTCGCATGAGGTAGCAGGCTGCATTGAGCGCTGCAAGCGTCGAAGCGCTGATCAAGGCGTATCGGATCTGGGTCGAGTTCAGGAGGGCGTCGCGTCGGTGAAGCGCAGACCAGCATGCGAGTCCGTAGATGACAGGATACAGCTTCAGATGGATGGCAACACCGAGCAAACAGGCTGATGCAGCCAGTGCACCCGTCTCGAATGCATAGAGCGAGCCGACGACGAGCAGGCCCAGCAGAGATTCAGACGAGCCGCGCGTGGAGATGTTCATCGCGATTGGATTGAGCCACCAGACTGCGTTGAGCAGCCATCTCCGCTTGTGCTGCGATAACAAAGCTTTCTTCTTCAGAAGCCTTTCGAGTATGCAGGCAACGCCGAGGTCGGCGAGCGCAAAGAGCGATTTGCCCCATGCTTCGTGCAACCAAACGTTGGGCGTGAGCAGAAGCGCGAGCAGAGGCGTGTAGCGGTACGTCGAGCGACGGTAGGGACTGCCAATGCCCAGCCTGTCGTCGGCTTCAGGCTCGACGATGTATCGCGCAGCGTCAGTGAAGACATAGTAGTCTACGTCTGTATACTTGAGCGTCGAGTGAGCGTCGTGGTACACCGAGTAGACGATCAGGCTCAGTCTGAGAGAGACGCCGATCACTGCCCATTGCCAGAAGCTCGGCATTGCATCGCTAGAGCATGGCTGTCTCGATCGATCGCGCAGAGGAGGTCATCATCAAGATGTCATCATGATCAACAGCGCAGGGGCAATTCGACAAGCTGACCGAGTCGCGACGTTGCATTCATTGGAGACTACTCACTCACTCACCTTGCCGCTCGGCTACTGCTGCTGCTGCTCCTGCTCGCGTAGCAGCATCGCCTCGCGCCTCTCACGCTAGCCGTCTATTCTCGTCGGCGCTAGTGCGGTCAGGCCTGAGCGCGGAGGCTCACAGAAACGCCGACTCGGTCGACGAGATGTCGACACCACCGAGCGGCTCGTCCAGGCTCGATTCGCGCCACAGTCCTGCTCCTGGGCCTGCGAGAACATCGCGGCTCGAGTCTGTCACGAGCTCACCTCTCGGCAAAGCCAAGCGACAGAGCATTCCCGCTGCAGGTACCGGCTCGGGCATTGGTCGATCGCGAGGAGGCCTGGGCGGCATGTACTCCTCCTCACCACGGGCAGGCTTCGGTCCTCGACGCGGCTCAACGTCACAATACTCCGATCGACGTCTGCTGGCTCAAGACACGTCTGCCATCGAGAACGACTCGGAATCAGGCGAGGAAGAGGCCATGGCGACGGACGACACGCGCGAGTTTGCAGATGACGATGAAGCAGATGATGACTTTGACGACCCCCAGAAGACACCCACGGACACCCATCCTGCAGGTTTGAGCGCTCGCACACGCGCTCAGAGCAAACGAATCTCCCAGCTCTTACCCACCCAGCCCGGGCGCTCGAGCACGCGACTCATGAGTACTTCGTCGCGCCGCCGCAGTCAGTGGTCATCGCCTGCACGTCGATCGATGTATCAGCCCGTAACGGATGCCTACGACGATTCGCAGGCAGGCGGTCCACCTAGAGATACATCCATCGCGCCACCCGTCATACCCTCTGCATTACCGACTGGATCGGTGCCGCCCTATTCGACGCCCCTACCGACGATACCCATCATCGTACTCTGTATCTGCATGGTTGGCGAGTTTCTCTCCGCTTCGACGACGGCCCCCTTCATCTTCTTCATGATCGCCGACTTTGGTGAGGTCCAAGGGGAGGCAGCAGTTGGCCTCTGGGCGGGCATCGTCGTACGTCTTGTGTGTCTCCACTCCATGACAGCCATCTGACGCGCGCAACTGCAGGGAAGTAGCTTCTTCCTGGCCCAGTTCTTTGTGTCCTTGCTCTGGGCCTCCGCAGCTGACAAGTACGGCCGTCGTGCCGTGCTTTTCGTTGCGCTGCTCGGCAATGCGGTCACACTGTTCTGCTTCGGTCTCTCGACCAATCTAGCGATGGCCATCTGCATTCGTATGGGTCAAGGACTTTTCAATGGCGCGGTCGGCGTCGCTCGTGGCGCAGTCAGAGATGTGACGGATCCGACCAACGAAGGGCGCGCTTACACCTTGCTCGGCTTCTGCTGGTCTATCGGCGGTATCATTGGTCCCATCATCGGTGGCCTGCTCGAGCATCCCGTAGAGAACTACCCGTGGCTGTTCAGCAAGTCAAGCCTGTTTGCGGAGTATCCCTACTTGCTCCCCTGCATCATCAGCTCGTCCGTCACGGCAATCGGATGCATCCTCACGCTTTTCCTTGGCTACGACGGCGGAGAGCGTACCGGAGGGATCAAGCTAGCTATGGAGAAGGATCTCGAACGCGCAAAAAGTCTACCTCTGCGAATACGCGATCGTTTCCTCGGATGTCTCTCTCGTCGTCATCGCCCCGTATCAGCACCATCAGAGACTGTCAATCTCTCGCCAGAGCAGCGCACATCTGCACTGCTGCCTGCGCCGACGCAGAACCCATTGGCGATACCTCGCACAGCGACCAGGCAGACGACCACAAGTCAGATGCCGGGCAGTGCGTATGGCTATGAGGCATCATTCAGATCTCGGTACACTGGACGACCGAGAGCCTCCAGCTTTGCCACAACGACGCGCTATGCACCCGACCAGGATGACATGCATGACGACTCGCAGAATCTCAACTTTGTACAACGTCTGCTGCTCGCAAACGAAGACGCAGTGTTTCAGATTTCGGATCTTTGGGTTGCTGCAGCTACGCGAGATGATGACCAGTACAGTCAGGCAGACTGGGAAGAGGGACAGAGCGTGATGGATGATGCGGATTATGACGACGAAGGATCTCAGCCTGACGAGGAGTCCCGCGAAGGTGATCGAATGAGCTCCGCTTACGACCGTTCACAACCTCCGTCCATGACAAGTTTGCGAGGCCGAGCAGCGGAGCAGCAGCTTGCTTCGGAGAGCGCCGTCAGCATACAGTCGTATCAGCAAGATCAGAACCTCAGCGTGCCTGCCTCTCGACGGGCCTCTCGCAACATCAGTCGATATAGCACGCGCTCGCCGGAACCCCGTGATCGGGCCTTACCAGCTACGCGTGAGAGGCCATCCTTCTCCCAGAATTTTCCGCCTTCGACTGGCTTCGGTCAAACTTCGCGACGCTTCAGCACTGCCTCGCGCGTGCCGGCCATCTTTGCCAATACCGGTCTCAGTCAGCCTCTGCCTATGCTCAGTCCATCCTATGGACGCGAGCGAGAGCAGTACTTTGACGGCATGCCGGACACGACGGCTCCCCTTGCGGCTATTCCGGAGAACAAGTCTGCGATCCACACAGAAGCCTCACCTGAGCCGCCTTCGCGTACGGAGAAGCCGTCGATCTTTGCAGATCTGCCAATGGGATTGATCGCTCAGTATGCTATCCTCGCGTTGCATGGTACAACTTGCGATCAGATCTTCATGAGCTTCCTTGTGACCAAGCAAGACATGGGCGGACTCGAGCTCACTGCCGGACACTACGCCGAGCTTGTCGCCGTGATGTGCTTCTTTCAGGTGGGTCTATCTGAAGATAGAAGTACTCGTGCTCATTTGTCGATTGGACAGATGATCTTTCAGTTCAAGTTCTACCCGAACGTCGGGCCCCCGCTTGGCAAGCTCTCGCATCTTGCGATGTTCAGATTGGGCCTGTGCCTATACATACCTGTACGTCATACCATTCTCTGTCCGGGACGTGACTGACGAGCTGGTGTAGGCGTACCTGCTCTTCCCAGAGTTGCGTGCGTTGATTCCATCAGGCAATGGGCTCGTCATGTTCGGCATGATCTTGCTCAGCGCGATTCGCTTCCTCGCAAATGTGAGCTGTCCGCTGATCCCTCTATGCTGAGCTGAAGCGGTCCCGGCGCTCAGACATGTGCATATTCTGCGGTCATGATTCTAGTACGCTTCCTGCTGCGGTCGTGCACTGTGCGTACTGACGAAAGAGTCGCAGACGAACGCACTCACCCCGCCGCACCTGATCCCGATGAGCAACGGCCTCGCACAGTCCGCAGCATCTCTGGCACGCTTCATCGGTCCACTGTCGGGAGGTTTCGTCAGTGTGTCATCCCATTGACGAAATCAAAAAGGCTAATCCCTCGGCGGCCAGATCTGGAGTTGGTCCATCTCTCGCGGGCCGGACTACTACCCTTATCCAGCCAATTACGCATTCGGTTTCTTCCTGATCGCTGTCGTCTGCTTCCTCGGTCTCGTCTGGTCCTTCCGACTTCGCTGACGACGCACGCATTGTAGCTCTGTAAATCGGTTCAGTGTATACATAGGTACAACACGCCTGCATTCCGTCTCATATGAGCTGGCTGGGATCCCTGAGCATGCCTTTTCCGTCGAAGAGCACACCCTCTTCAGCAAGCAGCTCTATCTTCTTCTGCAGTCGCTTCTGATCGCCCTGGCTGCTGCTGCTGCGGCTGCTCGACTGGCCCATATAGCCGCCCAACTGGCCGCTTGCTTTGACGACGCGATGACAAGGTACCACGGGCGCGAAAGGGTTCCGTCTGCACATCCCAGCGTGAACACAGATCCTACGTGAGCTCTCGTCAAGCATACGGACCTCAAGGCGCCGCCAACTGCGCGCGGTGAAGAGCTCAGCCTACGTGCCAGACTTTCGTATGATGTCACGCGACCGGCAGGGATGATCTGACTGTGCAGCAAGTCATAGACTCGCCACTGGAACGCGGTGAGACGATAAGCCGAGCGCATTGCAGGTGTTCGAGGATAGTTAGGCAAGCTGAGTTTTTCTGATTGTGCGCTCGATGGCAGCATCACTGGCATGTAATGCACTCGCGTCGGCCTATCCGGCGCCATGGTGGGTGCGTGTAAGGGTGGAGATGCGTGCAGCTCTGAAGCTTCGACGGTCGGCGTGCGACGCTCGACGCGACGACCGAAGTCACCGAGAAGCCGGTGCTGGAGGACAGCGATGGGCCGCAAGCAGCGTGAGTCCAACAGCGAGGATGTGTACCTGATCTGATGGTCTGTCCGTGTAGCTGCGCGAGCTGCTGCAGTGCTGGCCGCCCACCAAGGCCAATCATTGCTGTCCGAAGAGAGGCGTGCGATCAGCAACAAGCGGCACCTCGACGACCTTGAGAAGAGCAACTACACCGAGCCTGGCGTGTCGTCCAGTGCAGCGAGAGGCGGCAATATCGACGGGCTCGACGGCGACGAAGGTGCAGAGCGACCGACGGGCTCACGACATCTGCGCGCTGCGGCCGAGGAGGGTAAGCGCGGGGGCATGTACTGCAGCTCTTGCGGACGGCTCAAGTTCTGTGCAGGCAGCAAGCGGCGCAAGAAGATGACGACTGCGGTCAGGATGCTGCTCATGTACTCGAAGAATTACAACACCCTCGTGTCAGAAGCGGTCAGTCGATGCGCCGCTACGTACACCTTTGGCTGAATTGAGCGCCCAGAACTTGCCTCTCGACCAGCCAAACTATCGTACTGCTCAAGCGAAGCCTTCGCGGTATCCGCCCTTGAGGCTCTGCTCGGTCTGTGGCAGCAAGCCTGCCTATAGCTGCATTCGCTGCGGGATCGAATATTGCGATCTGACCTGTCGAGCCACGCACGACGAGTCTCGCTGCGAGCGACGGATAGGCTAGACTGGTGCACAGGATGCCATTGGCACAACACTCTCACTACTACTCTTCCTCGGCGTCAGTCGCTGCCTCGAACTGACCAAACTCGCTCGGACTGTCTGTGGTGGCCACAGTCGTGGCGCTAGTTTCGACACGAACCCCGAAAGCATTGCCTTCGTCAATCATCTGTCGTGCGACATCCACCTCGTCCACGTTGACGCCTTCGTTGGTAGGGTCCGCGAGCGCAGCTGGATCAGGCTGCAGATTGTGCGCCAACGGATGACGAGCAATCTGTCCCGCAGTTGCCAAGTCGCGATGCGTTCGGTGAGGGCGATGAGGACCTTGAGGAGCAAGACTACCGTCAGCTCGACGGAGCGTACGCTCGAAGCGCGCGGGCGAGCCATTGAGCGGAGTGGCCGTTCTTGATTCCACAGCGGAGGATTCGTCATCATCCTCTGAGCCTTGCGTCAATCGATTGTGAGCCACCGCCAGTCCGTCGACGGCCGATGCACCACGACGGCGATGGCGCGATCGTTCGCTAGAGCCCGTGGTCGTCGTACTGGCCTCTGCCCCGCTCGATGCAGCCCCATGTGCCGGCTGGGCATGATCCTCATGTCGCGCAGAGCACCAGTAGCTAGTAGCCACGCGTGAGTAAAATTCGTGCAGATACCACTCAAAAGCACTGACCGATGACCTCCTTGCCAAGCCTTGGACTGACATTCTTTTGAACAGTACTTGGCTTTGCGACAGCGTCGACACTTTGCAAACTCTCGCGCGTATGCTTCCCACTTGCCGCATTGCGTGTTAGCGCACTGTCTGATGCCATCGCGCGTCTCGTCCTTCCTGCAGGCATTACGCATAATGACGCCTGCCCAGTACTGCACCGTCGAAGGTAGCCTGGGTGTCCATTTATCATTCGGCCCGGGTCGCACTGTGAACTTCTCGACGAGATTGAACACGTTTCTCGCATCTGAGCGTGGCTGTATCGGTGCGGGCAGTCGCGGCTTGCCATGGTCACGCGGATGCTTGCCGCGCGGCGACTCCGTCGGAATGACGCCGAGCATGAAGTCAGGATCCGCAAGCGCGAGAGCATCGCGTTGACGATATTGGCGCATATCTTGCTGATAGCGCTCATAGTGAGCAGCAGATTCGTAGTGCGAGTCGACATCATCAGGATCGTGAAGGACCGTGCGGACATGAGGATACTTTGATAGATAGGCCAAGAGCTGCAAGCACAAAAAGACGTCCTGGTCGCGGAAGTGAGGATCGACTGGTGTCACACGAAGAGGCTCCGCTAGAAGATCGGTCAAAATCTGTGATTGGGCGTCTGTGATGGCCGAACGCGATCGATTTTCGGCTTGCTGCGACGACTGTTCTGGTATCGGGCGAGTGGCTTGCCTGGGTGTCTCTTGCTCGACGAGGATTTCATGCACAGAGCGGGCTGCGGGCTGTGAATCGAGGTCAATAGCCTCGACGGCATCGTCCATCTGCACATCGCCATCATTATTATCGGTAGTTGCAGGAGCTGGCCCAGCATTGTCGTCTGGCGAGTGCTCGGAGGATGGGTCTGGTTTGATTGAGATCTGCGAGGAGTCTATCTCCGCGCGCTCCGGAACGACACCGCGAGATGATGAGGCAGACGAGGCAGCCGATGACGGTCTGACGACCAGCATGACGTCTAAGCCGGCATCGGTCTCTGTTGCTGAGCCATCCAGATCTTCGGTCTCTGTATCACTAGGCGACTGCGTGCGACGAGGTGGAGAAATGCCTAGTGAAGCATTTTGAGCCGCCATTCGAGCGGTCGGTACCATCAAGACAGGGGCCTGAGGCGATGCAAGGGGAATCAAGGGAGGCGAAGCTATCTGGGTCATGCTGGCAAGATGTCTAGCTGCACGTTGAGGCCGCGGTGTCTCTTGTAAATCCATCGTCCGAGAGGCAGTGACTGGCTCTGCAGCAAGTTCCTCGTTCTCATCGGGTGAGATGCGAATCGTTGAGCACGAGCCTGAGGCCGCAGGATGGGCCCGATGAGTGAGCTTGCGACTGGAGCCATGACTACTACAGGAGCTGGTCTGACTGAATGGTAGTAGATTGGCAGCTTTGAGGGCAGCATATCGCCTGTCTGCGGCACGCTTGCGAATGTCGAGGTGGCCCTCGAGAATGCGGATGATGGGCTCGAGGATGCCTGCTTCGACGACACGCGTGCGGATCGCTTCGCTGCCTCTGACACCAATGTTCATCAACGTTTGAAGGGCGAGTGAGTAGGTCGACAGCAGGCAGCGCGCTCTCGGCTCGTCGGCAGCCGAGACAGGCGACCAGGTGGGAGGATTGGGTAGAGATCTGATGCTGCCCGTAATGGGCGTCAAGCTCGGCAGGAGGGGTGGCTCGGTCGAGTAGGCGGAGAAGGGCCTGAAGGGTGATCTGACACTGCCAGTGTGCTTCGAGGTCGGCTTGAGCGTGCGCAGTCGGTCCTGAAGGACCTTACGCATCGCCTTTTGCTTGTTCTGAGCGCGCTGGTCTGGCGTGACATGTCGATCGAAGCCAGGGGCATGCGGACAGCTGGCCACGACGAGCGCGGCAGAGTGTTCGAGTCGACCGGCAGCGTCGAGGGAAGCCACGACGATCCTGACGAGTCGCTCGAGACCGCCATCGACAGAGATGATCTCTCGTATTCTCGAGCTCGTCGTCGTCAGGTACGAGAGATGGGTCAAGCTGGATATGAGCGGCAGAGACGGGACGGGTGCATCGAGCGCTGCAAGGCACGAGACAGCAGTCTGAGCGAGGGCTTGGCTGACTGATCACGCGCCACTTACCTCGACGGTCGTAGAGAGCAGACGAGACGCAGACACAGGCTCTGTTCTGATGGACGAGAGAGTGATTGGACTCTCTCATGGTGCCGTGTCTCCTTCGCTGGTGAGCACTTTGTTGGCACAGTAGATTGTGGAACCACCACGACTCAGACGAGGCTTGACAGTTGCGCGCCGGTCATGACTGGCTAGTCGCTCTGCTGACGTGTAGGGGTGTGTGCCCTGAGTAGTGACAAGGCTTGTCGTGGAGTCAGACCAAAGAGTGTGGTTGCTGGCGCTGACGAGTCTCGGATGGCTTTGACTCGCGCCGCTGAGTCACTCGTCTCGCCCCACCAAAACAAAGATGGTCTCCCGGCGTGCAAGCAGTCGTGGCTATCTGGGAACAGTCAGTCAGCCGTGACTGCGACTGCCGGGCAGTGATTGTTGCAGGCCTCGTGCAGCGGCTTCGAGTACCAAACGAGCTAGCCGACTTGGCCTTCAGAGAGAGCGACAAAACCCTTTTTCGGCCGAAGTGGGGAAGTTGCTGACCGCGCGCTGCTTCTGCGCTGCACGAAGCGACGACGAACGGAGAGAATTTCAGCCGACCGAGAGCGTGTCGATGTCCAAGGGCAAAGAGCGTCAGATCGATGAGGATGCCGAGCGAGCGACTCGCATCTCTGGTGGGACGGCTGCACGAGCTGAGATGAGCGATTATGAGCCGCCGGCAGCAGAGCTTGCAAAGTACCTCAAGACTCGGCCTCGACAGCTGAAGCGAGACTACAAGCACAGCATACGAGATCGCAAGCTGGCCAGTCATCTCTCGGAGCTGTCCTCTCAGCACTATCGCTCAGCGGCAGCCGCACATGAGCACGACGATCTTTTGCTCGACCGATCTGCTTCTGGACTCCTCGAGCCAGAGAATGACCTCGAGCGGACCTGGCGGGTCAGGCAGCGCGAGATACAGGACTCCGTCGGCTTGTCTTCTGCTAGCAAAGCATTCGACTTGCAACTAGACGACCTAGGTCCCTACGTGGGCGAATATACGCACGATGGACGCCGGCTGGCGCTATGTGGCCGCAAGGGTCACGTCGCCACCTTTGACACGGCCACATACAAGCTCGAGACGGAGATACAGCTCAAGGAGACTTGCAGGGATGCAAAATGGCTCTCGGATGGCTTCTTGGCCGTCGCACAACGTCAGTATGTCTACATCTACGATCAGCAAGGCCTCGAGATACATCAGCTCAGAAACCATATGGAGGTGACTCACATGGAGTTCTTGCGGTACCACTACTTGCTCGCCACCATCGGCAATGCCGGCTATCTCAAGTGGCAGGACACTTCGACCGGCCAGATCGTCACAGAGACCCGTACCCGACTCGGACAGCCGGGTGCCATGACACAGGACCCCGCCACTGCGGTCATCAATGTCGGTCACGCAAACGGTATGTCTTTCCGGCGGTGGCTACAGCGGCAGAGGCTGACTTGCATCGCCGTAGGTACCGTAACGCTCTGGACGCCGAATCTGCCACATGCTCAAGTCACTCTACTGGCGCATGCGGGTCCTGTCAAGGCCATCAGTGTCATGCCTAGCGTGTCAGGCTCGCCTTATATGGCAACTTCGGGCCTCGACGGCAAGCTCAAGGTCTGGGATTGCAGGACGTGGTCTGTCCTCAACGAATGGCAAACCCGCCGGCCGGCCGGTCAAGTCGCCTGGAGCCAGAGAGGCCTTCTCGCAGCAGGCTGGGGCAATCAGCTCGGCGTCTATCGTTCTGCTACCTCGTCACTGAAGAGAGACGGCGCTGAGAAGCCTGGCTTGTATCTTACTCATGCTACGCCTGGCTCGGCCACCCAATCACTCCGATTTTGTCCGTTCGACGACGTGCTCGGCCTGGGACATGCAAAGGGCTTCACTTCTCTCATTGTGCCTGGCGCTGGCGAGCCTCATTACGACTCTCTCGAGGCTGATCCGTTCCAAGGCAAGACTGCTCGCAGGGAGCGACAAGTGCAGAGCTTGCTCGATAAGATACCTGCTGACCAGATCACTGTTGACCAAGACATCATCGGCAAGCTGCTGAAGCCCAAGGAGTTAGCTGCCACGGCTGCTTTCGATGAAAGACGAAAAGCTGCTCGAGCGACGCCGTTTGCTCGCTTACCGCGCACAGAACGTCTGAAGGTCTCCGGCAAAGCGGACATCGACGATGAAGACGAGGACGCCGAGAGCATTGATGAGGAGCAGAGGGCGCAGGTAAAGCCAGAGGTCAATCGTCGAGTCAAAGGGCGAAGCAAGGAGATGAAGCGACTCCTGCGCAGACGGAAAAATGTTGTCGATGAGCAGACGCTCGCGATCAGAGCCAAGCTTGCGAAGCAGCGCGAAGCCCGTCTCGCAGGTGTCAATACTCAGCAATCGGCAGTCGTGTCTACAGGCGCCCTTTCCCGCTTCGGCAACCGCAAGCTATAGCATAGCTAAGTGCGATGCAGATACGAGGCACGCAGGCCGGCAAATACAACAGGAAGTATATGCCCAGGCAGGCTTCTATGCTTCTCCTCGAGCTCTGCCACCATCAAGCTACAGGTCGCATCTGCAAGCTCTAGGCTCTCGGTCTGATATCCTTCGAAACTCTTTGCGACGGAAGCTTGAACACGCTCTGCTGTTTCGAAGAAGATCTTGACACTCTTGTGCAGCTTCGCAAAGCCTGCGTCGATCACGGCTTGACTCGTCATGACAGACATGTCTGGGTTGAACAGCCATAGAAGCACTTTCGTGTGGCCATTGCACGTCAACCTGAAGCGGTACGAGCCAGTATCACGAGACAGCTGCAGCAATTGATTGACTATGAATGTCGGTGAGCTGTACGTTCCTAATTGCACAGTCGCTGTCGCGTCGAAGGTGACGGCGTGCTTCCAGAACTTGAGACAAGCATCTGCTTTGCGTTGAGGGGCAGGTATCAGTCTGTCAGACATCGCCTGGGCTCGCGCCTCGGCTACCGGACTTTCGCACGTTGAACAGCCGACAGGATACCAGCGCGAGCCATCTTGCGCGATTTGCGACTGCATGACTTGTGTCAGCATACCGTCAGATCAATCATGGGCCTATGGGATGGTTGTTCGTTCGCGAGTAGCCTCCCTGCGCGGGATGCTAAGGCGAGCGAGGATGTTCGCAAATGAGGGTCGCTTTCGGACAAGTGTATCAGCTAGAGCAAGAAGATTTTGCACATGCCGCAGACTGGCCGCAGAGGGCTATCGAGCGGGCGAGCGGAGCAAGCATCCAACTTTCTTTGAGTCCTTGAACGGGGAGTGAGAGGTGCATTGACTCTCACCTGGTTTGAGAGTGCATGCCAACTTTCCGTCGCGTTACCATCGATGAGTAGGTAGGCAGATGAGACCAGCAAGGATGTTTTGGTCGGTGTAAAGCGGGTCGTGCCGTCGAGGCCACTGAATGCCTGTATTGAGTCGGCCTCGACGCGATTCTCGACAGTGCGAGTTTTGTGGCAAAGCCATGTATCCACGAGATCGTTCCAGCCTTCTGAAGGCAACGCCAGGTATGCTGGGGAATCTCGTAGAGCTGCAAGTACAGTGTGACATTGTTTACAGTGAAGCGCAGTCGGCCGGACATCATTCAGCTGGGATGCCGGCCAGATCTCGAAGGAGCGCTGCGATGAAGATGTGTCCTCCGGTTGAAGGCGATACTTGATTGTGATGAGACCTGCATTGTCGTTTAGAGCTAGTGGCTCGTATGTTTCCAGAGCGCCTGGTAATTTTACGGAGTATACCTGATGCCGAGTGGCCGCAAGCGCCAGCATATTCGATCGCAGCTCGCGGCATGCGAGCGAAAGCGGCTCGTTCGACCAAAGGTAGACTGAGAGTGTTTTCGAAGCATTTGCTGCCTCTGCGTAGATCTGTATGTGGTCTTTTGATGCGCCTGAGCAAGGCGTCGACATCGCTGGGAGCCGTCACTGACCTGAGGTGGCCTCCTTGCGCTCAGTCGACATGCGATCGGCGCTGAGCTGGCTCGGCGGTCTGCTCCCATGCGGCGATATTGCTTGGCCATCCTGTATGAGGAATTCGGCCAACGTCGAGCCTCGTCTGCCTTGATCGGCAAAAGGCGTCGAGGACATGAACGAAGCGTCTTGCCGACTGAGCCTTCCTTGGCCGGTCTTCTTGATGATACGCTCCATCCTATCGTGCTCTTGACGCTCATTGATTGGGGTCAAGCCAGAAGCAACGATCTCCGCCGTTCTCTTTGCCTGCTGGAGGACTTCGCATTGACGCGGTGTCAGCTCAGCTCGCTGACCCATTGTGCGTGATGAAGCTTTGTTGATTCTCGACAGGATGTCATCGAGGCTGTCAGCTAATCTGACCGAGGCTTTTCCGATCGTAGCTGGCGTCTGTGGCTGACTTTCGGCGCGCTGGCCTTCCAGGCGGGTATCAGACAAACGTTCGATGGCTCGGCCAAGACGGACAAGCTGGCGTTGTCTGATCTCTTGTCTGTCTGTTGGTATGGCCCGCAGCGAGGTGCGCTGGTTTGCGAGCTGGGGTGCGACTGTGTATAGCCGCTCTATGGCAGAGGCAACGTCTGCAAATTGGTGCGCGTGCTTCTCATCCGATCGAGAGCTTTGCTTGACGTCGCGCTCAGGCGTACTCGGCTGGCGCGCATCGCCTGTTTCGTAGTCCGGCAGGTTCTCTGCATCTTCATAGCTCGGCAAGTCACCTTGTGTCGGCTGGGCCAGTGTTGCTCTGTCGTATCTTGAGCCTTCGTCCTGAGCTCGCGCTTGCCTGTGTCTACCTGTCGAAACGTGCTCTGCGCAGATCTGCGTCACTTGCTCGAGCAGATCGTTGACCCGTCCCCAGAGCAGGTCTGATTCGGCGTCAATCACTTCGCGAGCGGACGAGTAGGAATCGGCGTGCATGGGCGTACTGGGCGACATTGCTTTGGGCAAGCTCGAGATTGAGGCTGGTCTTCGCGGAGTTCCATTGTCATCAGTAAGGACAGGCTGCAAGGGTGGGAATCTTGGCTTGGACGGAGAAGGAGACTGAAGACGGAGGGCTTCGACTTGGCTGGCCAAGGCGTGCGAGAGGGCTGCATGCGCTTCGGGCGTACCGTCGAGGCTGGAAGCACGCGAGAGCTCAGCGGGAGTGTCTGCCTGTCGAAACGCGGTGGGCGCAACGGACGCGCGACGTGACTGCGACATCTGGATCCGTTCCTCATCGTAACCCCCGCCGGAAACGAGCAAGATGAGGCGATGGAGGCACCGAAGGAGTTCGACGATTTGCTTTGAGAGCTCAAGAGGGCTCCCCTCGAGCGACCCTGTAGAGGATGCTGATTCTAGTCGCTCACTGTCTTCGGCGAGCAAGCGCTCCTCCTTGAGCTCTGCACTCTCAAAGGCACCCGTCGCGCGTGAGTCGAAGAGAGATGGCGCAGAAGGCGGCAAGAGTCCGTTGAGCGTGGCGTGGAAGGCTTGCTGAGCAGTGAGGAGGCAGTCGAGCGTCTGGTCCTCGTCCTCCTGCTGCAGGGACTATCGACGAGCCAGTGACCGATGAGCAAGCCTCGGCATGGTGCGTGAGCGACGACTGACCTGTGAGGTGGCATGAGACGAGCTTGCCGTCATAGGCACGCCCTGTCCGAGCTTCGAGTGGGCTTCTCTGGCCTTGGAGAGGTCGAGCTGGCTTGGTCGCTTGGCTTGGCGGCCGGCGGGATCACTCGACCGGCGACCAGATTCGTCGGCGTCCCTCATCTGAGCCGGAAAGCTCGGCAGACTCGGAGCAGGGCCCAGGCTGGCGACGTCCTGAGCCTCGTCCTCTCGCCGTCTGGACTGCTCCATCACGCTGCCTCGGTGAGCTCGAGCCAGGTTGGTCGGTCGGCTTCGTCGTGGGGCGCGACAGCTCTCCAGACAGCAGTCGACGACGGCGACAGCACAAGTTGGCTCCCTTGGGACAGCTTGCGATCGAGATGGCGAGCGAGCTGAGCTATCCAGATGCACGGTTCATCATGTTCTCTGACTTTGATGGTACGCTGGTCGCTAGATCTGCGGGCGCACATCTCACAGCGTGATTCACTCGACAGGCACGATCACTACAGAGGTCGACTGCCGTCCGTCAGTCCTGCTAGCCGGCCCTCTGACCGCCAAGGCGTGCAGGATAGCAATGATCACATGACAGACAACCTCGGTATGGGCGTCACCGAGCGGCGCAAGTACAACGAGGCCATCTTGAACGGTTCAATGTCGTTCAGGCAAGTCGCGGGCTCTCGCGCCTGCATGGACCTGCCTCAAGCCGACACAAGACAGAGACGCATTCGCGGAAGAGCTTCAGAGCGTATCTAAGAATCACTCCTTTCCAGACTGTCAGTCCGTTCTGAAGAAGAGTTCGCCTTCATCGTCCCATTTGCCATCGCTTCCTCACTCTCAACGCGCGCAGACATTAAGCTTGATCCGGGCTTCAAGGCTTTCCTCGATTATGCCGATCAGGCTGGCATACCGGTCGTCATTGTCTCAAGTGGCATGGTGTTCGTCCAACATCGCAAGCATCGTCTCCTCGGCTAGACTGAATCGCACGCAGGCCTATCATTCGATCCATACTGTCAAATTTGATCGGACAGGAGCGAGCAGACAAGCTCGAGATTGTCGCCAACGATGTGACGATCCACAGTGATAAGTCATGGGAGATCAAGTATCGACATCCTGACAGGTCAGTGTCGCATGCTCTGCCACGCACGCTGTCAGATCTGATGCTCCTCAAAGTCATTATGGTCACGATAAATCTCGCGCGCTCCGCCCCTATGCTGCTCACAAGCCTCGTCCGACCATCTTCTTGTGCGCTGTCTTGTCTCGCCGAGAGTGTCGCTGATCTGACATCGATTAGCGCTGGCGATGGCGTATCAGACCAGTCCGCAGCGGGCGAATCCGACATACTCTACGTCAAGATCGTGCCGGACGGCCATAACGATCTGGCCGCTCACTGCCAGAAGAAGGGCGTGCCGTTCGTGCCTTTCTTGGCCTGGGATCAGATCCGCGATTCAGTCAGAGACGTTGTAGACGGCAAAGTCTCGGTCAAGGACGTCCAGGACGGCAAGGCGACCATCACAGCAGCAGCAGAGGCGCTCCAAAAGGCTCAGGCGAGATCATAAAACCCGCTTCGTGGCACTGTAGCCCGAGTGCGAGCATCCAAGCCACTTCGAGGCAATGAGGCCCCAGTGTAAGCCGTGATCGCAATAGACAGAGCAACAACAGCATATGTACATCTACATGGTAGCGCTTACCGCTTCTTGCTGCCGCTGTACTTTTTGAGCACGTCTGCTGCCTTGACATGCGTGGAGGCCGGATCGCTGCCGGCTCGCATCAAGCTGAAGCCGCCAGGTATGCGTGGTGAGGCAGCAGAGCCAAAGCTGAAACGACCCGACCGAGAGCTTATCACAGACGCAGCGCTGGGCGAGCTCGCGGGAATGTGTCGGGCGTCCTCGAGGGAGCTCGTACGATGTATTGGGCCTGTATTTTCGAGCTCCGCAATTGCTGTTGTTGAGGCAGCCTTGCTTGGACTGCTCCCGGTCGGTACGAAACGCGAAGACAGGGAGCGAGCGATGCCAGAACGAGACTTGACAGAGCGGAGCATAGGTGGTCGCGGTCCCAGAGAGTCTTCCGGAGCGGCAACAAAAGGTGTGGGCTCCACGGCCGATATTACGCCTGACCCGAGTTCGAGTGACACGGCTGCATCAGCTGACGTAGGATTAGCGGTGTTCGTCACTGTGGCGAGCGCTTCCGAGCCTTCTGGTATTGAGAGCGGCAATTCGACACCATAAGTCAAGCTGAGCGGACGCGCAACGACTTCTGCGTTCGACGGCGACGCAGACATTATGAGCGATGCCACCATGCGTGCGTCTTTAGGGTCACTTCGAGCATTCTGAGACCTCGTCAGGCTGCGGGGGTTCTTGCCTGCATCAGAAGGCGAACGATTGACCGCAGAATCACCCGTTGAGCGACGCGCACGAGCTAGCTTGGGGGGCTGAGGCGTCCAAGGCTCTGTCTCGATAAGCCAATATTTGGTGCCTGGCGAGAGACCGAAGCGGTTTGAGCTGGCCTCGTCTATCTCGACGACGCATTCGGTCAGCGAGGAGATACGGGCAACAATCCACTCTCGCGTTCTGATCTGCTCTGCAATCGGCCCTGTCGGCTGGAGGAAGTAGTGCGGAAAGGCGATGTTGAAAGCGGCCCAGACCTGTGCAACAGTATTTCGCGTCGGTAAAAAGAGCGCGAGATCGCCTTTAGCAAAGCTAAGGCCATCACAATCAGAGCCGTGCACTTGAGTAGAGCATATGACTTACTTGCGAAACGATAACTTCTCTCCCGACTGCTCCGCAGCCCGACTGGCGCGCTCGCGATAGATTTTGCATTCTTTCTGCCATTTGCGCGTTGTCGTTGCCGCGCTGGACAGACGTTCCTTGATAGCACGATCCAAAGCAAGCGGATCGTGCCGACTTAGAGCTGCTAGAGTGTCGTTGAAAGTCCCGACAGCAAGTTCGCCTGACCGAATGAGGCTTTCTTGACTTGCGGGTGGCGTGGTGGTCGAATCGCGAACGAAAGTGAGCAGCTCGTTCTGTGCATCTTGAAGTCTTTTGGCATGTCTCAGTGCGGATAATGCATGTTCAACGGCTATCACACTTGCGTCTGATGTCATACGGTTGGCGAGCTGCTTTTCGAGCTCTGACACGCGCTGCTGTGCCGCATTGACGTTGTGAAGCATCTTTTCGACCTCTTGGGAAAGATCCTGAGCGCTGCTACGATATCGCTGACTCTCTTCAACAAGGGCTGTCCTTTCAAGATCGTGATCCATGCGAAGCTGTCTGACCTCTCGGTCACGTCCTTGTAATCGTTCCTGAATCTGCCGCGACGAATTTGCGAGCGCGGACAGCTCTGCTTCGGCTTGCGCGTGCAAAGTTTTGGCCGTGGATGCGACAGTGATTGCTTCTGCCAGCTCGATAGCGAGCTTGCCGTTCTGCTCTTCACTCCGAGCAAGATGGGCTTGGGCTTGATCATACTTGCGTAGCTGCTCGTCATATCGAGCGGCAGTCGTGATCGCATCGCTTTTGATCTGATCTCTGAGAGTCAAGATCTCGCTGTCACGCACGCGCAGCTTCTGTGCCTGCTGAGCGACAGTGTCCTTCAGCGCTGAGACTTCTCTGTCGTGGGTCGTGTGCTGAATGCGGAGCTGCCGAACCATGACTTCGTGCTCGCTGCTAGTCTCGCGAAGCTGGCGGACTCTCTCGGCTTCGACACTGCGCAAAGATACTAACTCATCCGCTATAGACTTTTGCTGATTTGCGTGCGCCTCCTGCTGCTCTCTCGACATATTCTGAAGGTTTTCTATCCGCATAGTCGCATCCTGCAATTCTTTTTGAAGCCGCGCTAGCTCGTCGCGCAGCGTACCGTCGCTGTCTGCTGCGGGCCCGCGTACAAAGCCCTCGTGAAGGGCAGACATCAATGATAGCGACGAAACAAGTAGAACACGAGGCGCTATTGCAGGATGCGCTCGTTGTCTGTCAACAAGCTTCAGCGAGGTCTCGAGCTCGCCGAGGACGCTGATCAGCTCCTGAAGGTCTTGGATCGTGACCGAGGGAGCGATACTGTCAGCCTTGACGCCGTTAGTGGCAGGCTCGCGCTTAAAGTCGATTTGCAGATAGGCGAGATTATCGTCGAGCGACTTGACCTCCCATGGCAATTTGCCTGCAAATTCAGTCTTGTAGTGCTGTCGTCGCTTGCGTTCGGCTGTTGCTTGCTCGCCGTATATTGTCGTGTGCTCTTTAGCGGCCTGTGACATGAGAGAGGCGTACTCATTCCTTCGCATAATCTCAAAAAGGGTGGCAGCGTAGGCCGGTACTATGCCCGCGAGTCGAGCAAGATGTTTGAAGCCATCGCACCGAGATTTGAGATCAGTGTCCATGCTTGTGATGAGCGCGGGCGTCTTTGTCATGATCTCCTGCAGATGAGCAACTGTCTGCAAAACGTGAATGAGGTGGAGAGATGTTGCATTCTTGCGCTCGACGAGGAACCGAATCCTGTCGCGCGACTCCTCGTCGAGAAGAACAAGCTCGTCCGCCATCGCCTGTAAGGCTGAAGCAGACGAGTCTGAAGCGCTGGACATGGACGCAAGCAACTCTTGCGCACGCTGAGCTGCTTCGTATGCGTCCTTTTCGCAGTCAGCGAGATCATCCTGGTTGTCTTGCTCGAAAGCATGACGTAGGTCCTGGGCACCTGCCGAAACGTCGTCGAGGTAGACGTGCAGCTGTGCGAGCCGTGTCTGCAGATCGTCTGATATGCGAGCGCAAGCTGCTCTGACGCTCTCCAGCTTCTCGCGACTGACGTGATCAGCTAGTGATCGGCTCTCCCTTGACTTGCCTTTAGGCTGCACGACTTGGCCGCTCGCACTGCCGAAACATGGGTGGACTTTGATGCGCTCGAGCATTGCAAGCGATGGCGCGTAGTCCTCCAACAGCTCGACATAGTATGTTAAAAGCGGAGTGGCAAAGAGCTGTGGTCACATCGTTCAGCGCGCAGATCTGATGCAGTGACTGAAGCCGACCTCGAAGACGGCGACGGCGCCCTCCTTGCTGGCTCGATGCTGCTCGAGATTGCCCACTGCAATCTCGAGCGCACGACGCTGCTCTTTGAGGGAGGCGAGCAAGGCGAGTGAGTTGGACAGGTTGACGGTCGCGTGACGGTCATGTGCAGCTAGCCAGGCCTGCAGCGTGCTAGGCTGGATCTGTGCAGCCGGAGCGCTCTCGGTGCCTCCCAGCGCGACGACCCCGTCGACTAGCCAGGGCTGAACGAGTGCGTCTGCGTCGCCAGACAGGGCGTCTCTCGAGAACACAAACACTTCTGCTCGTCTTGAGGGTTCTGAGGAGGACGACTGTGGGGTATGCGATACGAGGGCAGCCTGCCGGCGATTTGGACTTGCGCCGTTGAGGGCCCTGAGCGATGACTGGCGTGAGAGTGGCGATCTCTGTGAAGTGGACACCGGCTCGCGCGCCTCGGCGAGCAGTGCGGGCAGGACTGCCTCGTCTACCTGCCATGACCTGTGAAGAACGATGACGCTATCTGCGGCAAGACCGATCAGATCTGCCAACAAGGCTTCGAAGCTCTTGAGAGAGTGTATGCCGCGCAATGCATGCTCGTCGAGCTCGTAGGTCTCGCCGTCGTGGGCCGAGACCACGCTCAGCATGGGTCGCGCGAGCTCGTCGGTCTGGTCCGTCGCAGTCGGCTCGTCGCGTCAATTGGCTTTGCAGCGACGCCAACAACCTTGACGCTCAGCCGGCCAGCCAGCGTTCCCGTTGCTCGTTCGCGCTCGTCTGGCGACTGGTCGGCCCCGAAGATGCGCGACTACAAGATTGTCATCTTGGGTAGTGGTGGCATTGGCAAGTTGGCTACCTCATGCGCAATTGTCAGGCCCTCATGTCTACCGCGGAGACAGGCAAGAGTGCGCTGACGATCAGGTTTGTGTACGACAATTTCGTAGAGAAATACGATCCAACGATAGAGGATAGCTTCAGGACGGTCAGTCTCGCTGGCGCAGGCAGAAAGGCGGGCTGAAGTTGGTGTGGCATGCGACCAGGTGGCCATGGTGGATGGCTATCGCTGCCAAGTCGAGCTGCTCGACACGGCCGGCACGGAGCAGTTCATGGCCCTACATTCGCTCTACATGAAGTCTGGCGACGGCTTCGTGCTCGCGTTCAGCCTGACCAGCCTGGACAGCATCAACGAGCTACAGACCATCCGGGAACAGATTCTGCGGACTAAGGAGGCAGAGGGCCTCACGCCGGTCAGTCAGAGGTGGCCGTTCTTGACGTGTACGCGTGTCTCAAGCGCTGTGTCCGCATACAGGAAGAGGTGCCGCTCGTCCTCGTCGGCAACAAATGCGATCTCGTTCACGAGCGACAGGTACCGCGCGAAGTAGGCATTCAGCTCTCCCAGGCATGGGCAAAGCCATACTATGAAGCCTCGGCGCGGCACAAGATCAACGTCGAAGAGCTCTTCGAAGATATACTGCGACAAGTCGTCAGGCAAAATCCGCCTGGACAGACCGGCAAGAAGAAGCGGAAGCTGTTCTCGCGATGCAACGTGCTATAGTCTCAAGAGAGACAGGTCACATTTTGCTCGCTGTTGCCCGACCTACAAGATGACCCGACCCTTGCTGGCTGCTATCCGCGTATTGGCTAGCGGTCTCATGCCTGCATTTTACATCATCGCAGCTCAACACGATCGCAACTTGTACGATTGACATCTGCAGGCGCCTCACGGCGCAGCGCAGCCACGCGCAAAAAGACATAGACATTGACATGGGCTTTGGGACGTTGGTTGTATGCATCACATCCGCCAGAGGGCAGAGCAAGTCAGTGCCGGCCAGATGAGATCTTATGGATGGCCGAGAAGCGAGGCCACCTCGCTTGCTGCGCGCTCCATTGTGACAAATTTACCTGAGCGGACGTACAGGACGTGGAACAGGTAGGTACGCGCGCGCCGCGAACGCGTGTTTCTCGTTTCTCGTGCACCACACCTTTCATCATCGTTCAGGCAAGTCAGCGTGACAGCACGCAAGAGTGCCCACTGCTGCGAGAGCGTACATCTCAGTAGAGTCGCAGTCGAGGCTCTGACGGACTGCAGGATCGGTTGAGGTCGTCGAAAGGCCAAACAGCCATCAAGCACAGCACGTCGTCGTCGAGACTTCCCCCGAGCTCGCGCCTTGCCGACGAGCAGTGTAAACTGCATCGCACGCCGTCACGCTAGTAAGACCATCCGATCCCGTCAGGTTAAGCTCGCTCTTGGACATCCCAGCCGGTGCAAAGACCGACAAGAATCGCCCACGACATTGACAGGCAAGTCCATCACGCTGGTCTGACCTCCGCTGGGCTGATCCCTGGGCTTGACCAGGAGACCAGACTGACTAGGACGTTATCTCCTCAACCTCAAGATGTGTGGCATTGTAAGCTCACCCGGCCGCTCTGCTCGACTGCACAAGGCTAATCTGACTCGCTTGTTGCAAACAGTTTGCATACTGCTCCTTCCTGCTCGAAAAGGTGCGAATGCACGGCCGTAGTTGTCACCAGGCTGACGTTTGCAACGATATTTGCTTCCCGTCTGTCTCCTTCCGCCATGATCACCTACACGCTCGACGCATACTCGCGCTTACACGCTGGGCACGCGTCGCCCTTCACAGGACCGTCGAACGATCCTCGAGATCCTGCTGAACGGGCTCCAGCGACTGGAGTACCGCGGCTATGATTCAGCTGGTCTCGCCATCGACGGCGATACGGCCAAACAGGTCTACATCTTCAAACAGGTCGGCAAAGTGGCTGCATTACGCAAACACACCGGCGAGGCTGCCCTCGATCTCGACAAGACCTACCTCTCCCAGACCTCCATGGCTCACACACGATGGGCCACACACGGTGAGCCCAACCCGACAAATTGCCATCCTCATCGGAGTGACCCGACCAATGAGTTCACTGTCGTCCATAACGGCATCATCACCAACTACAAAGAACTCCGTCTCGTCCTCGAGAAGCGAGGCTATAAGTTTGTCACGGACACCGACACAGAGGTCGCTGCCGTGCTCGCCAAGTACCTCTGGGACAGCCAGCGCGGCAGACCAATCTCGTTTACGTCCTTGGTCAAATCGGTCATCAAAGAACTCGAGGGCGCGTTTGCCTTTGTGTTCAAGTCGATCCACTACCCTGACGAGACCGTCGTCTGCCGTCGTGGCTCGCCCGTCTTGATCGGCGTAAAGACTGACAAGAAGCTCAAGATTGATTTCGTCGATGTCGAATTGCCCGGTGCAGCTGATGACAAGCTCGACACGCGTAAGTTTGATGGCCACTATCTGCTATTGACCTGACTTGCCCTTGATGTACAGCCGTCGGAACCGCGCCCATTAACGGAGGCTTGCTGGCTGTGCCTGACGCAAGTCAGACAGGCTCCAAGCTCGTTCGTACCCAGTCGCGCGCATTTCTGTCGGACGACGGCATGCCTCAACCGATCGAGTTCTTCATCGCTTCAGATGCTTCTGCCATCGTCGAGCACACCAAGCGCGTGCTGTACTTGCAAGATGATGACATTGCTCACATTGCTGAAGGGGGTCAGTCTATACACAGGGAAGCGGCATGCTTGATGCTGACTCGCATTGCAGAGTTCCACATCCACCGTCTCCATCGTGACGAGACGGGCAGCGTGTCAGCGGTCCGTGCTATTGAGACGCTCGAGATCGAGTTGGCAGCAATCATGAAGGGATCTTTCAACCATTTCATGCAAAAGGAGATCTATGAGCAGCCCGAGTCTGTCGTCAACACCATGCGAGGTCGCATCAATTTTGATTCGCAGCGTGTCAATCTCGGTGGCCTCAAGACTTATCTTCATGTCATCCGTCGCTGCCGCCGTCTCGTCTTTGTTGCCTGTGGCACATCTTACCATTCCTGCCTTGCTGTAAGTTGATCGGCCGCGCTTCTTCCTGTGGCGCGCTGTATCGCTGACGCCCTTTGGCCAGACACGCGCCATCTTCGAAGAGCTCACCGAAATTCCAGTCTCGGTTGAGCTCGCATCCGACTTCCTCGACCGCAAGTGTCCCATCTTCCGCGATGATGTCTGCATCTTCGTTTCCCAATCGGGTGAGACGATCGACACCATTCTCGCGATGCGTTATTGCCTCGAGCGTGGGGCACTCAACGTTGGCGTCGTCAACGTTGTCGGCTCGACCATCTCGCGCGAGACCCATTGCGGTATCCACATCAATGCCGGCCCAGAGATCGGTGTGGCTTCTACAAAGGCCTACACGTCCCAATATATTGCCTTGCTAATGATGGCGATCCAGCTCTCGGACGACCGCATCTCGCTGACGCCTCGCCGCAACGAGATCATCGATGGACTCCACGAGCTGCCTGGTCAGATCAAAGCGATTCTGCAGCTGGACGCTAGCTTGCAACAGCTTGCTCCCGTTCTCGCTAAGGAGCGCTCTCTGCTCATCATGGGTCGCGGCTTTCAGCACGCAACCTGTCTCGAAGCTGCTCTCAAGGTGCGCACCTTGCTCGTACAGTCTTCGATATCGCTGACATACCAGGGCTTCAAGATCAAGGAATTGACATACATGCATTCCGAGGGCATCCTTGCTGGCGAGCTCAAGCACGGCCCTCTTGCCTTGATCGACGAGTCCATGCCGGTCTTGCTCATCATGACGCGCGACAGTCTGTATCCCAAAGTGCAGTCGGCACTGCAGCAGGTCACCGCTCGCAAGGGTGCGCCTATCATCATCGCCAATGAAGACGACGACAATATTACTGCTCCCCGTGTACGTTTTGCTTGTCTGCTGCGTGCGCTTGCATGACTGACGCATTTCGCCTATCAGACGATTCGCGTACCTCGCACGGTCGACTGCCTCCAAGGCTTGCTCAACATCATCCCTCTGCAACTGCTCTCGTATCACATGGCAGTTGCGAGAGGTTTCAATGTCGATTACCCAAGAAATCTGGCCAAGAGCGTCACTGTGTAAGTCGTGCCGCATGGCTCGAAAGCGTGAGCTGATCCGATAAGACGGTCTAGTGAGTGACCGAAGGTGACAAAGTATGCCGATAGAGTAAGACTCGACAGGCTAAATCTCGTGACGCCTAAAGCCCGACGTCAAGACGAATTTCAGTGCGCTCGCAGTTTGTACTTAGAAGACCTGTCAACGCCATGCATCCCTGTACGATGTCGAACAACACTATGCTAGCTGCGAGGGCGGGAACATCATGCCTTCCAGATTCGCTTGGTGAGCTCGGTGATGCCTGTGAACAATGAGACAAGTGAGCAAACGTGGCTTGCTGGATGTGGAGACGGAACTTGCCGATATCATTGGTGTTAAACTGATACAGTCCCACGAGGACGCCGACGGTAGCCAGTCTGACGCCCCATCGTGCGACGGGACCGATGATAGGAAACTTGCGATCGTGAAGGTAATCTATCAAAATCTGGTCGAAGCCCTGCGAGCGTTTGCGTACAGCTCAGCACAAGTAGGACCTGCTACGATCCGGTCGCCTTACTAGATGCGAGTGGATGACCAGCGTGACGGCCAGAACGCCGTCGAGCATTGGATTCGGGCTCGTCACGACCGTAGCGCCTAGGACCGGCACGAGAGCGGCGGAGATGAAGCGCTCGAAGGTCCAGTGATAAGAGCCATGCGATTTGCTGGGCGGAGGGAACGTCGTTGGGTCATTGACGGTACCTTTGACGTAAGGACCTTGACTGCCTGCTGCGACTGCACCCGCTCTGATGGCCGTGCTCGATTTGACGAAGGCTCGAGGAGCGGTCTGGAATGATCGTGCAAAGTGCATCGACGTCGCCTGGCGCTTGCAGGCCTGCTGCATTGGCGAAAGCATCTTGACCTTGGGAGCCTCTCGAGGCGCGAATCGGGTCAACCGATGCCACGAGTGCAACGACCAATCAGAATACGCGATTTTTCAAAATGCATGGACAGCCCAGTCTACGAGGACGTGATCTGAACGCCATTCGCTCCTCGCAAGAGGCATGCCGCTCGATCGTAGCGAGGAGGCGATTGCACCACCTGTCCAAGCGAGCAGGTGTGACGCGAAAGGTGTGCTTGTCCCGGATAGCACGTTCCCATGCATTGCTGGTGTTGGGTCGTTCAAGAAGGCAATTGCATTGCTGAGCGGCAACAGCGAGCTGAATCTGTTGGCATGGGAGGGCCGTCTTGGACCGCCGCTATACGTCGATCGAGCGAGCATGGCGAGCGTGGTGAGATGCAATCTTGTGATTAGACCGGGTATTGCCGCGCTGCCGCCAGTGATGAGGATATTGCTGGCCATCGTCCGTCGTAAATCGATCGGAAGCTGCAAGAGCTCGCAGATGAATGAGAGCGGTACACAGCATGAGGTCACGGGATTCTCACCTTTGCAAGACAAGTCAAGATGAGCTCGGGAAGGCAAAGGTCGTCCTCGTCAGATTCGGCGAGCAAGGTCTCTGCCGCACACTCTCGAATCCAGCCGGGTATCTGCAGCAGGCCGCCGTCGTCTTCGACGCGTACTCTCGCGTAGCTGTCGCTGGCAGTGGCACTCGCTTTGTAAGTTTCTGCTAGCGAGTGAAGCTGCGCCTCTTCGAGCACTGTCGCTGCCCGTGCATCGCAAAACAGTGACCGTGCCTGCAGATCATGCATGTTCGCATCGGTCAGCAAGTCGTCGGGTACCCGAGTCCAGTGTGCTGTGCTTGAGGGCGGCGCGCGAGACGATAGCTCTGGCGTCGGCAGAAAGCGAGCATGACGTGCCAGTAGCGATCTCAGTCTTCGAGTGAGCCATTTGGACGCACGACGCGTGTTCATCACGGAAGCATAGATCGGCCTGGTCGCAAACACCTGTCTGGTTTGCATGAGGGATTCGTAGCGGTCGCGAGAGCAGTAGCACCGACGGGTGTGACAGTTGTAAAGTCTCCGCCGATATCGACGACAAGTCCAGTCGTCCGACCTGTCGCGAGGAGCGACAACAGTGAAGCGGGCGCAAAAGACATCGATGTCACCTGCTCGCTGCTCGTCAGCCCGGCCCTGCGCGCGCTTGCCGAGTCACTTGCCTGGAGGTTCTCGAGCAAAGCTTTCGTCAAGTCGTGCTTATACTGGCGTGTCATGAAGGGAGACTCGACGAGCAAGACTGTGCGAGGCTTGGGATCGATGAGTAAGACACTGCGTGCCATAAAGTCAGCATCGGCGCTCGCGAGTGACGGTCTGCCGACGTGCTGCTCAAAGGTATAGCGCATAGCGGCCTGTATCGCGATATAGGATGCTTGCTCGGTAGCGGTCCCGTGAGCAGCGGAAGCGCTGGCCGTCGCGTGGCGATGTTGGTCGAGTGGAAAGCATGCGCGAGGCTCGTGTTCGCTGCCAAAGCCGACTTTCCAGACGAGCGAGCCTGGGTCGATGACGATGGGTTCGTCCTGGCTGTACAGAGCGAGATGCCTCTGCGTTCTATTGGCGGCAGAGGGGGCACCTGAGGAGGACATTGCTGGCTTTTGCCGGACGGCTCGCTGCCTCGACGTCTCGGGGTCGCCAGCCCACGCGCGCGCGCGCGCTTTTCCGCCGACCATGCGATCTGGCCTGAGCCGCTTCTGCGATCACTGCCGTCGGACGCTCGGCAGACGATCAAAGTCCACAGCGATCAAGCGGCTGCTCGACTCGCCCCAATCCTCAGCCACAGTCACGGCATGGGTGAGATCGGTCCGCAAGCAGAAGCGAGTCGCATTTGCAGAGCTCAACGATGGTTCCAGCTCGACGAACTTGCAGGCAGTCTTGACGCCCGAGCATGCCGTACAGCTCAACACTGGCACCTCCATCACTGCGAGCGGTAGTCTCGTCAGGAGCCAAGGGACCGGTCAATCGGTCGAGCTTCAGGTCGACGATCTCATCGTGCTCGGGCATTGCGATCTCGATGTGAGCATGCTGTGCCTGAGGATGCGCTAGCTGATGGACTACCGCTCAGGAGTATCCTATTCAGAAGAAGGACACATCGATGGCCTTTCTGCGCAAGATACCTCACCTCAGACCGCGTACAGCTACGTTCGCAGACGTGCTTCGAGCCAGACACAGGCTTGTGCAACGCGCACATACCTTCCTGGAAGAGCAGGATTACCTCCACGTACACCCTCCCGTCATCACCTCTAGCGATTGTGAAGGCGCAGGCCAGGTGTTCTCTGTCTCCGAACCAAGCAAGTCCACCCCGACGGATGTCATCGGCAGCGGACCGCCGTCAAACTTCTTTGGCCGACCAGGCTTCTTATCAGTGTCGACACAGCTGCATCTGGAAGCGCTCGCCGCGTCGCTCGGTCGTGTATGGACACTCGCGCCTACTTTCCGCGCAGAGCGCTCAGACACAAGTAGACATCTCGCCGAGTTCTGGATGCTCGAGGCAGAGTCTGTGTGTGACTCTTTGCAAGGCCTGATGGACGACGTCGAGCAGCTCATACTCGCAATGGTCTCAGCAGTACCCGACCTGCCACTCAGCCCCGCCCTCCTCGCAAAGCCGGCACGATGGCCTAGAATCACCTATGCGCGCGCTATCGAGCTTCTCGTCGCTGAACAGGACCAGAAGCAGACCTTTTCGACATCAGTTAAATTTGGCTCAGATCTGAGCTCGGAACATGAGAAGTGGCTGGCAGAGGTGCACGCTCGAAGTCCGATATTCGTTCATGACTACCCGGCCGAGCTCAAACCATTCTACATGAAGAGACTCGAAGCAGCTCAGACAGCCGAATGCTTCGATCTGCTCGTCCCACACATAGGCGAGCTTGCGGGTGGTTCTCTCCGCGAAGACGATCTTGGCCGACTGCAGCTGCGGATGGAGCAAGACGGCATGAATCTAGATGCATATGCTTGGTACCTCGATCTCAGACGGTATGGTTCGACACCACATGGCGGCTTCGGGCTCGGCTTCGATCGCCTCATTGCCTGGCTCACGGATACAGCAAATCTGAGAGATGTTGTTGCGTTTCCCAGAAGTCTGGAAGCCAGTCGATGCTGATTGCATGCTCGCTGATCAATTGCCGATCGCACCGTGATGCGCTCAGTTCCTGGACAGCTCTGCACCGAGTCGATACGATGAGATCTTCGCCCAGTCTAGCTTCTGGCGCGTCTTGGGCAGTCCCCGCCGCAGCTCTTTGAAAGTCTTCTCGCTCAGCTCTGAGTAGGCAGCGTTGAGTGTCGTCTGATAGCTTCTCTCGCTGTCTGCGATGGCTTTTACGATGGCCTTGCTGACTTGATCGTCTGATTTTGACGATGCGCCAAAGGAAAGTGCTACAACCTTGTCAGCTCGCAGTTGGACGTTGCCTTGTTCGTAATAGTGCACGGTAAGCTTGTTCGTACCGGATATTGTGCCCGCGCTGATGTCGATGCAGTAGCTTGAGCGCCAACGCCCGGTCCTGTCCTACCGATCAGCTTCGGCGCCATCCTATTATGTATGGTTGGCGCACCAGAAGTTCTCTGGATTGTACTTGTTGCCTACTAGGTGTATCGCATACAGGTGCTGCTTCTCAGCATCCACTTGAGGCTGTTGCGGTTCAAAGGGTGCCATGACGATGTCTTGTTGCTTTGCCGCGTCGTCGACTTGTGCCATATTGTCCGGTATGGCAGCGGGTGAGGGAGCATCCGGCGCATTGCTGGCGTCAATTGCGACTCCGTCAGCGTTCATAGTCGGTGAAGTCTCGTCTTGGACATCGAGTGCGGCCTCGTCCATCTGCGCTGCGGACCTGGCAAGTTCTCCGGTCTGTGCCTCGTTCGTCTCGTTTGCAAGTGGTCGCTGTCCACACGCGAAGACGGCGACGGCACCTTGTGCATAGTGATCTGCAACATATCCACGCATTGCACCATCGAGAGCTGTACGTAGTCGCTCGAGCGCATCGTCGACTGAATAGCTTGTGAGCTGGCCTACTGAGCCTGTCAGAGGATCATAGGCAAAGCTTTGTCGCTGTCGCGGATCGATGTAAAGCCTTTGCGATTTAGTCACTAGCACGGCGTCACTGCACAAGACTGTCGCAGCTGTTGCGTGAGGCAGATGCACGACAGTGAGCTGTTCGACGTCGACCTGCTCGAGCGTGGGCAGCATAGCTTCGTCAAAGACAGCGTCGCTGGTGCCAGAGATAGCTCTGACATCACTGAGAACATCGTTGAGCTCCCCCGGCGGTGCTTGCAGAAGAAATTCACTCATGCCCCCTCCCTGCCTGCGAGAGACTGTGAGACCAAAGCCCGCTCGCTGCTTATTCGCCAGCTGAGAGCTTGAGCAGACTTGCGATGTGCCGATCGTCGCCCTTGGTAGCTAGATAGACAGCGGGAGATGTTCAATGCCCAGACGATTACGCCGACCGATGGTATGTCCACAAGAAAGCGCTCGAAAAGCAGTCACGACACGCTCACATTCAGCTACACGTCAGATCAGCTACTTATTAGGCTGGCCCAAGCTCTTGTGGAGGTAAATTGGTCGTGCACCTTTGCGAAGCTTCTTGACTCAAGGTGACGATAGTGCGATGCGGCCTTATTCGAATGCAGTTGCAGAAATTCCACAGATTGGATGGATTTACTGAAGTCTCGATGCGACTTCTGATGCTACAAACTTTTCGTAATATGCATTTCTTATTCGTCTTTGACCTAAACATTGCACTCGTCCAGACCTCCGAGCTTGACCTCGGGTCAACCCTGAAGAACAGCGCTAATCGAGCCAGCGCTACAAATTCGCGCGTGCCCGTGAGCAGGTGATTGACGAGCAGCCACGTCATCGCAGCTGACCACGTCATGACTAACGTGTCGCCACGTCACGGCACGCCACACCATTGCAACTGACCACGTCAGATGTTGTAATATCACGTGATATGATGCAAATTTTGAGCTTACAGATCCATCCCTCCTTAGTTATGCTTTATGTTTGAGCTATTTGTAGGTCACTAGCAGACTTTCGAGCGGATTCGAGAAGATTTTCTAAAATTCTGCCAGGCGGCGGGTAGTCTCATGGAGCGTATGGCAGAAGAGTTTGAGCTATTTTGCTTCGATGTTGTATACGCTGGCTTCCCTGGGCAGCTCACTAGTGTACGCGTAATTGTGATCTCGGTGACTCTTTGGATCGTAGTCCAGCACGTGACGTCCAGTGACACGTGCTTCGATGACGTGGCTAGTGGCAGATGACGTGGCGGGCTAAACGCCCCCGCACACGCTGCGGAGACCCAATCAAGAGGTCGAGGAAGTGCTCGCCTTCGATCTCTAATCCTCAGGAACGTTCAATAGCAAGGCGATCGTAATTGCAGACAACATTTGCGTGGCCATCCGATCTCTGTCCGGTGTTCTCACGTTGATTTTGTTTGTGATCACACAACGCCGCGTGTGAATGTAAGACTTGCAATTCGTGGCCTCTGTCGAGGACCTCTTGAGATCTGCGCACTCAGGATGTATGAATGCATGCATGCATGCACGGCCGCACTTTATGCAGCCAGTACGCATGTTTCTGCCTCACAGCGTCCGCATGAGGCGCCTCATCTCTGACGGCGCGGCAACGAGGCGCACCCAGCTGCAGATATGAAGTGACCGCATCGCGTCAGCTGTGCATCACAACGCGGTCGTCCTGACCATATCAAGTATCGAGCATGTCGCGATCAGCATTGTTGAAAACGTCGTTCCCTCCAATCTGCGAGCTTTGCGACCGGCGAGCTCCAGCCTTCGTCATATGCCGCTGGACCCCTCCTTGTTGATCGAAGCGCTTTGCGTATGCGCTGTCAGGATTGGACTGGACTTGCATTGCCTTGATCGAGGTGGAAGCGGAGGGCGGCAGCAAATACGTGCGCGGAACGATGCTGGAGTGCCAAAGTGGGTTGCTTTGCTGTCCTGATCCCATCGATGCTCGGTGCTCAGGCAGCTGCAGAGCCTGTGACACGGCCAAATGTATTCGGCCGGGATATCGTGCAGTCTGCCCGGCATGCATCTGAGATCATGAGGCCGCTGGCGGACCACTCGCTTGTCCGACAAGTTCGCGAGTCCGCGGCGCTTTTGATATCGACATCGACTCGCCGGTGCGGTCATGCAAGTGCCGCCGTCTTACTTCGGTGATGCAGCCAATGCGCACACCATCGAGTTCACAGCCGCCTGCCATGCACAAAAGACTCGTTTCGTCCAAACGCATCATGCGAGCGCATGACCGAGCGAGCACGTGCCCTGTCCGGTTGGACAGCCACATCGACGCAATCTGACGTGCTGCTCTGCTACGGATGAGTGGTGATATAACATGGCGGTGCCGGGACGTCACGGTAGATGAGTGTGCGACAAGAGAGGGAGACCGGTCACAAGTCCATTAATGGCGCGAGGATCGGTTGTGCAGGCATCACCTGCTTCGTGACCCCTAACCTCGATGCAGTGGACCTCATTGGTGCGCTGTGCCGGACACGAGTCTGTCGCGGAATGACTGAACCATGTGTGACTGTTGCTTTGCGTGTCGACGTTGGAAGGCGCGCGAGTGTTGCGAGAGGAAGAGCCAACGACGATGGCAATGCTGACTGTACGGCGAGGCACGAAGATGTCCTAGGCCTGCGCACTGCTTGTGACTCGCAACTGTCTGGCTTGACTGACGAGCAGCAGCCAGTAGCAGCGCAGAGACGACCCTGGCTTGCGCCGGCAGCAGCAGGCGATGCGGACCTTGGCCGAGCTCAAGTCGGCTTCAGTCGTTCAGCCCGACAACAGATATGGCATCAAGTCTTATCTCGCACAGGCTCGCAAGCTCTCCGACGAGGCAGAGGCGCTCGAGCACAAGGGTGACGCCGAGTCTGCCTACTTGGCACTTAGACGATGGGCTGGGTTAGCGCTACTGCTGTCCTCGATTCGAAGCTGATCAGTGCGAGCCTGACAGCGTCATGAGTGTCATCAACCAGCACCCCGAGCATCCCACTATGCGCAAGCTCAAAGGTCCAGAGTACATGCTCTTCATGGATCTCTCCCAGCGAGTGCATTCAGCCGGCCAAAAGATGAACACTCTCGCGCGGGCACTTCAGGCAAGAGACGAGGAAGCAAGAGCCAGCACGAGCAGTCCGCATGATTTGCCATCGTTGGCGCATTCGAACGGCACAACCTCTATCGCCTCGTCCGCATTACACGACTTCACGCCGCCTTTGACGCCCTCGAAGCGTGCAGCACAACCGGCCTCACCAGCCGGGTCTGCCGCCGAGTCTGCACCTCCGAGTACGATCCGAGAGCGCCTACTTGCTCTACGAAACGCGGGACTCGACACAGGCGCGCAGCCGCAAGAAGGCCTGGCAGGCGCTCATCACACGCGGCCGGGCGCTGCCAGGCAAACGACGCACGTAGCTTCGTCCCGGCCAGCACCTCCGCCACATCTGCCACTCGGCGCAACGTCGCCAGTGAGCGAGAGACAGCAGGCCACCAAGCCGATAGCTTTGCGAGCAGACGTTAATGGCCATCCAGGCACTGCAGCTCCCTCGCCGTTCAGATCAGCCCCAGAGCTTCAGCATGACGAAAGACCAGGATCTGCGCCAGCGCAGCTGGATTCTGAGCATGACAAGCAGCCAGAGCCTGCCCCGTCTCCGACCGGGCACATTCGACCGCAGCTAGAGTCGGACAATTCGTATACCCGGCTTGCAGCACTGCCCACGCCGAGCTACCAAGACTTTGAAAGCCACTTCCCAGCCGTTGAGAAATTGTCAGATCTGCCAGGAGTCCCACCCAGCAAGCCAGGCGCATCGACTGTGCTAGGCCGACCTCCGACGCCGCCTGATTTCAGCAGGCCTGTTGAGCCCAGTCGGCGCCTACTGCCTGTAAGCGAGCACGCGTATGCGCCAGACAGCCTGGCATTAGGAAGCTCTCGTCCGCCGCCTGCCTCAAGTCAGTCACCTCTTCAATCGATCGCGTCCAAAACGCACCCAACTGTTCCAAGCATTGCTTTGCCTCGGGCAAACTCAATCCTGCCGGCCCACCTATGGCAGTACCTGGAGCCGACGCTCAAAACAAACGAGGCAACCACAGATAGCTCCCTTTCTATATTACTGCTCGATCTGCGGACCCGTCCAGAGTTCGAGGCGCGTAGGATCGCGGGCAAGACGGTCTGCCTGGAGCCGGTCACGTTGCGCAACGAAATCTCCTCACAAAGATTAGAGTCCTCGCTCGTGCTATCACCGGAGATCGAGCGGGATGCATTCGCGAAGAGACACACTTTCGACCTAATCATCTTTTACGACCGTTCTTCTAGCAAGCTACCCGTCACACCGCCTGTGTCTGCAAGTACATCGATCGATGACCCAGCCAGGATCCTGTACAATCTATTGACAGCAGTCTACGAGCGCGAGTTTGCTCATCCGCTGAAAAGGTCGCCTATGCTACTCATCGGTGGATGGGATGCTTGGCAGAGAGAGATTGGCGATCGAGGCACGGTTGGCGAGAAGCTTAACGAGCCTAGCAGACCCGCTCGGCCAGCACTTGGCAATATAGACATCAACGCAGGCCGTCAACGTTCTGAAAGCCAGCCATCTGCAAGGCTACCGTGAGATTGAGCCTTGCTTTTGACTTTGATCCTAGCTGACCTCAGGTTCGTAGCGAAAGTGCATACTTGCTGGGACCGGCGCCGACGGCATCCGACGAAGCTGCTGTGAGCATCAATGGACGCGAGGCTGCGCTCTACAAGCAAGGCAATTCTTCCGCGCGGTCCTCTGACAGCTCTTTTCAAGATCTGGGCTACTTCAAGTCGCACGACGTCTCGAGCGGCTCCCTGTACGGTCATCCGTCTGCGTCATCGCCGATTGCCATCCCAGCTCTTGCTGCACAGCGTCAGGTTGTAGCACCAGCATTTGATGCTTTTGCTACGCCTACCTCGGCGTTACTTGACCAGTCAAGGCAGCCACGGGAGCTGATCTATGATCGCCGGCCTATAGACTATCCTCAGATCAACCGAACGGCTCTCAGCATGCCGCAGCGACCACCGCTTGCTGCGATCTCTTACAACGAGCCCATGCGGCCGCAGCCATCGCGCTCGAACACTGCGAGGACATTTTCGTCCTTCAATCAGAGTTCGTCCCAACTTTCTCCCATCACGCCAGGTTGGACCGATCGAGCGATGAATTCGAACTTTGGCGACGGGACAGTCGGCTTGACCGGCCTCAAGAATATGGGCAACACTTGCTACATGAATAGCACAATACAGTGTTTGAGCGCTACGATACCTCTCGCGCGCTTTTTCAAGGGCAAGTCGTCCGGCTCTGCGTCTGAGCTCGTCTGACACTCGCATGAGCGCAGATGGCAGCTACAGGCGCGCGATCAACAGACAGAATCCCATGGGTACTCAAGGCGTCCTCGCCGACGCTGTCGGTGAGCTCATCAAAGTTCTTTGGACCGAGACATACAATTTTGTTGCCCCGGTCTCCTTCAGGGTAGATATCAGTTCCTTCCGCATGCGCGATGTCAGCTGACGCATCCCGCGCCAGGATGCCATCTGTCGATTCGCGCCACAATTTCGCGGCACTGATCAACACGACTCGCAAGAGTTCTTGGCGTTCTTGCTCGATGGGCTGCATGAGGATCTCAATTTTGTCGTGAAGAAACCGCGACCTGTCGAGATGACGCCAGAGCGAGAGGCAGCGCTTGAATCGCTGCCCACGCAGGTGGCTTCGGAGAAAGAGTGGCAAATCTATACTCGTCGAAACAACAGCGTTATTGTCAACTGGTTCCAAGGACAGTACCGTAACAGGTTGCAGTGCCTCACTTGCGGCAAGACATCGACGACCTACGACACCTTTATGTATCTGTCACTACCGTTGCCAAATAAGTCGCGGTCAGAGGTCAGCCTACAGCAGTGCCTGGACGCATTCGTCAAGGAGGAAGTGCTCGAGAAGAGCGAGGCATGGTCAGTGTCTGCTGCTATGGTTCTGTCGGTTTGACTGACAACATGGGCCCCCGCAGGAATTGCCCTCGCTGCAAGACGCGAAGGAAGGCGACAAAGCGGCTAACACTATCGCGCTTGCCTCCGATCCTGCTGATTCACTTCAAGCGGTTCTCATTCAAGGGACCGTTCTCCGAGAGACTCGACACCGTTGTGCGATACCCGCTCAGCAGTCTCGATCTAACAAACTATCTGCCCCCACCGCTACCGCCCGCAACTGCGAATCTGTACAACGTGAAGCCAGAGACAGTCGGTCCGACTGCGAGCTCGAGCAGCTACCGATACGACCTCTATGCAGTCAGCAATCATTTTGGCAGCTTAAGCTCTGGCCACTACACTGCCTTTGTCAAGAACAACCGTGGCTGGTGGTCCATTGGTGATTCACGCGTCAGCAAGGCGAGTGATTCAGATGTCCAGCACGCCGGTAAGAGCGTCTATATCCTCTGGTATTGCAGAAATGTACACTAAGCTTTGTTGTGTTGTTGTCCTCATGTGTGAATTGCAAGCACTGTCACGCGAGGGAGTGCTGTCTTTTGGACCAGCTTGGTCACTCTTGAGGCGATCTGTGCGAATACACAGGCTGCGAAGAGCCGCGCCGATCCTTGCCATTCGCACGCTGCAGACTACTGCGATATGAGCGTTGCGTGCGCGCTTGCGTACGTCGATGGACATGCCGTCCAAGGCTGTCGCAGACCTTTGCGAGACCGAGGCTGACTCAGGTGTCCAGTGTCCAACCGTTCTCCTGTGCCGTTGGAGTTGAGCGCGAGGCATCGCAGGCGCAGACAGCACTGACCTTGATGACCTTTGCCTTTTCGAGAATCACCTTTCCTTCCTTGTATCGCTGCGAAGCTTCATAGGCTTTGATATAGACCCAGCCAAGGGAGATGTTGCATCCCTTGCATCTCAGATCGGCAATAGAGTGCAAACCGGTCAGTAGCATCTTCTCTTCCTTCTTGCCTGTCACGGTGTTCGTGGTCGACCTGAGCAAGTACGCAGGTCCATCGCGACCGCTGAAACTCTTGCTGACGAGCTCATCTTTCAAGGCCAGATGGGCCGAGCATCGGGCACAGCTGAATATTGCGTTTGAAGGAGGATAGTAGTGCAGCAGAGGTTTCGGATCGAGCACGTCGGTCGGCGGCGGCGGCGGGACAAAGTCAGATGCGGTTGTGGACGACATCATCGGGCCTGGCGCCAATGGCGCGATGTTGCCTGCTGGCGTGAGATGCCTCTGCATGACTGCAGCTTGACATAAAGCTCAGCTCCGCGTCATGATGCTTCTTGGCGAGGCTGCAATCCTGAGCGCTCAGACGACGCGTCGAGTCGTGGAGCATCGAGGCTCCAGGACTCAGAGGCACAACTCGATCGGGACCATCAAGGGCGCGAGCGGCGTGCACGCAAAGGGCAAATTGCAATCTCAGACACTAGCCGCAAGGCTGCAAGAGCCACCGGCAGGATCAGCCGGATCGTTCGGTCGCCTTTGAAGAGACCACCTGTGCCATACTCAGCATACTTGAGCGGGCGTAGCTCTGCATGAGTGGACTTCGAGAGACCGCGCAGGGCTGAGCTACTGATCGATCTGAAACTGAAGGGCCGATACCCGTCGAATTGGCAAATCGCGGACGAGCCAGAGCTGTCGGTCGCATATCGGTCAGCTAAGTCTGAGTCGCAGGGTCTTGAATAGCCGTAGAGTCGTAGTCTCGATCGTCAAAGAGCTGAACGAGTCGTGCTACCACGAGGCTTAGCTTGCACCCACATCTGATGAGAGCACTGACCAGAGATGAGAGGACCGAGCGAACGCACGCAATTGCCACCGACCTCATCGTTCAGCCAGTCGCCACGTTTGGGCTTCTTCGTCTTGCTCCCGTACTCAGCATCTCCCGAGCCTCTGCGACGCAGCTCTTGGCGCAGCGACAATGGCGTAGGAAATCGATCGAGAAAGCGGGATATCTTCTCATGCGTGAGACCAGTCACGCAATAGAGCATGCCAGCCCAAGTGCTGGCGAGACTGCATTGCGCAGCGTTGAGCTTACGAAAGGCGGTGTAGGTCGTCAGGTACTTCTGATCAGGCTGAGTACGCCGGAGGTAACGCTGAAGCTCTAGATAGCTTTCTCGATGCACGCTCGCGTCCGGTATTGCCAGCAGATCGGCCTCCTGATATTGGCGCTTCAAGGCGATACTGATCTCAGTCAAACGCTGCAGGACATCTGCTTCTTTATAGACATTGATGACCTGAAAGTCATCCACGATTCCGAGCTGGCTCTTCGAAGTTCTGACGCCTTTCATCAGACTTGAGTTGTGCTCCGAATGCGGTAAGCGATTGGAAACGAGGTAGAAGATCGAGCTGATACCGCTAGCTTTCATGCGAAGCTTCTGGTCGAGGTAGCGCGTCTGCGCAATGCTTTCCATAAAGTCGGAAGTCGTCTTGCGCTCGAGGATGCAATCAAGCACAAATTCACGACGGCTGTCTGACCTGTCGCGTGCGATCCACAGGCAATCGCCAACATCGAGTGTGCGACATTCGGCTTGGATCCCATGTGCTGATAGCTTGGCATCGAGCAGGCCGGCGACGGCCTCGCCCCTTTGCGAGCGAGATACCTCGCGGCTATCAACAATGACGACTATGTCGAACGTACCACGACGAAGACGCAAGGGCTCAAATGTGGGCAGCTCGCCGGTCGAACGATCGGTCATTCGCATAGCACGACGAGGCGTGTCGTTCGCTGCATTGGGCACTTTCTGTGGGATAGTAGCCTGACTTGCTATCGGGTCTAGCACGAGCCACTGACCTGCAGCAATGGGTATCTTGCTGAAGCTCGTCGATGACAGCCCAGAGGCTGACGATTGTCTGGCCAGTGCCGCGGCCGCTGAGCGAGCAGCCATCATGTCTTGCGTTTGCACGCGGCTTGATGGCACAGTCGCAGGGCCGGATGAGCTGCGCTTGAGCGCAGAAGGACCCTGCAAGAGGGCTCTGCGCGCCTCACTTGAATCTTTGGCCTGACCCGCGCTCGTGGGAAATCTCAGAGCAGGTGTGACTGAAGCAGCTGGCGCGCTAGCCAACTGCTTGCTGCCGTCCTGTCTCGAAAGTCCCACGCTTTTCGGCAGAGCGACCTTTGCTGACAGCCAGCCAAACTCGAGTGAGCCCAGATCGGGATGCTGCATAACCGGTCTATCTTTGTCGCGCTGGACATGCTGTCGGACGATGCCATGCAAGGCCTGTCCGACCCAATATCGAATATGGTAGAGCGTTTGGTGGGGAGGCTGCTCGTCCTGTTTGATCTCTGCATCGTCCCGGAGCCCAACAGGATTCCTGTTCGAATCAATATAATCATACGCAAAGGGCCGCTCCGACAGAACAGAGGCAGACTTATGCAGCGCATCTACCGGCTTGTAGATCGCTGCTGTATGTCCAAGAGCCGCCCGGCGTCCGTCCCGACTCGGCGCAGTATAGGGATACTCGGTAGTCACACTGGCAGTGCTACCTTCGCTGGATAGCAGGGCTGGCAGGGAGGAGACGGGCGCGGCCATATGTGTTGAGACTGGCAAAGGCGTGTCTGCAACAGAAGCAGAAACAGGTGCAGGTACAGGTGCAGGTGCAGGTGCAGGTGCAGGTGCAGCTAAGCCGTCTTCTACAGCGCGCATGCGCTTCGCGAGTGCATAGCCCGCGAGTGTCAATGCCCAGCGACTCTTGCCATCCTTTGTAGCGAGATCCTTCTTGATCAAGCCGGCCATCGAGGACCAAGCGTTGTAGAAGCCACCTTCGTCGCGGCTCGCCTGCGTTGGCTTAGCAAAGGAGGAGTCGCAAAGCGGTGTGGCCAGCTCTTCGATATCGGGACGCGTTGCAGATTCGAGATGCTCTTCACTGTCGCAAAGTGCGTAGAGAGCGAGCAGGATGGCGTATGCACCCGAACGATGCTTGGGCGTATAGACGCGCGCGCGAGATCTCTTGGTTGGCGGGGGGCCATCAGCATCGTCCTCTCTGGATTTCGCCCTTGCCTTGGCGACCCGCTTGCCGGATGCCTTCCTGCTCCTGCCTTGCGGTATACGATTTAGCAACGACGAGCCAGGCCCGGCCGACGCATCTGAGTCGGCGGACCAATCTGGTACCTCCTCGCGGGCAGGGGCAATCTGAACGTTTGCGTTCGTTGCTGTACGCTTATGCGCGATGCTGTTCCAGCGTAGGCCAGGCGGCGGGCAGGGTATGCCAGCTGAGGACGGCGCGTGCAGTCAGTGCCTGAACGAGCACGGTGTTGAGCCAGACTGCTCGACTGACAACGCTGTTCGGGGAAGGGCACTTCGTTGGCTTGGCAGTAGTCCTTGAGGCGCTGCTCCAAGTGCTTAGCGTAGGTCTTGCCGATGTCTCGTAGCGCGGTGGCCTCCCATGGGCTGCACATGGGCGTGGGACATGCTTTCAGCGACGCGATTGCCTGTGCCATTTCTAAGTGTATGAGCCGAGGGGGTGGTGCACAGTGCTGTCGCGCGACCTACCTTGTTGCAGTTCGTCACGCTGTTGTCGTTGCCCCTCTGTGCGGCAAGATCTCGCATTTCTTCGAGCCATCGTACTGCGTCGCGCGAGGATCAGCTTTTGCTTGACACACAGTGGCAAGAGATCGCTTGCTCCATAGCGGATTGCCAGGCACGGTCTTGGGCGCCATCACGCAGAGCGCCGTGCGCAGGTCGATGACGCGATGATGATGACGACGACACGCGTCTCGCGCAAAATGTCGTGAAGCCACACGCTCTCAAGCTCATGCTACAGCTCCGGTCCATCAAGCGCTCAAGGACTGCGTCTCACTGCGATGAAGCTATCAAGCGAAAGAAAGAAGGGACAGGCGAGCCATCGCTCAGCCCGTCGATCGATGAAGACGGTCCAATGAGCATAGCAGACCGCGAGCATCTACCGACGCATGGCGAGGAGATCAAGAACATCGCTCGACTGCGACAACTCGCCGTCGCTGCTCAAGAATGCTTCACTGATTGGTTCCTCGGCCATCGCTACCCTCCGGCGGCAGACCTGCTCGGACCGGATGGCTCTCTTGCGCTCGGTGACATCGTCACCCTGCTCAAGCTAGAGAGGTTCGAAGTCACAAGAGGCGAGCTCGTGCAGGCGTTGCAGCTCCAAAGCGAGTCAGGGCTGATTTTTGACGAGATGGCGTCACGCATTCGCTCAACGCGCGCCCCAAATGTCGATATGGTCAGGCGTATCTCGACAAAGAACTGGAACAAGCGGATGCTCTATGTTGAGAAGCTTCCGCCCCGTGCATACTTGCTAGACGGATTACGAGTCCCGATGGCGGAAATCGATCATCTCAATCTGCGAAACTATCTGGGCAACTTGTTCTCGTGCAGCATCGACGTATTGAGATTGCCAATGCTAGATCAAGCAGATGATTCGGCTGCTACACCAGGCCCTCATCAACTAGACTCGTTTCCATTTGGTGGCGGCGACTTCAAAGGCTTCTGCTTTGTCGTTCTGTCCACGGTCGAAGCCGCAGAGCAAGCCTTGTCGCGGTGGCCTTGGCGCACGGACTTGGCACAGCCAAATGAAGGCCCACTGATGGCAGATACGTCCCTTCCGTCAGAGTGGACCAGGACGACACCGAATCACGGCTTTGCGGCAGGAACGGGACCGACACAGCACGCGCACTCATCTGGCTTGAGAGTCTTGTCCTTGTAAGCTGTCAATGCGATACTGTCGTACTGTCGCTGAGCAGCCTAGTATCTCCCATAGCCAGAAATGGGTTCAGCTCAAATCAGAATACATGAGATACTACAACGACATCATAAGTCTCGAATCGAACCGCAGGCCATACACGGAGCATGGTAGGGGTCGGAGGCGCTCCGATGGCTTCGACCATGGATCTGACGAGCGCACACGACGGGCATCACGCGAAGACGCTGAGCAGGGATGGCACAAAAAAGAAAGCATGGCAACGCGATGGGAGCACGAAGAGCTCCCAGAGGCGCCGAAACATCCTCTCGGCTGCCTGCTCTTTGTTGACGGCATCCATCCCAACTCAAAGCACACTGTGCTCAAGAGCCTGTTCGGTAAGCTTGTAGAGCGAGACGGAGCTGTACGATACGTCGACTATGTGCCGGGCACAACGGAGGTAAGCTCCGATTTCGTTATGCAAACTGGCTGACTGATGAGGCACCCTTGACCATAGTGCTATGTGCGCTTCTCGAGCACAGAAGTGGCAGAAGCAGCAGTACATGCACTCAAGGCAACTCTGCGCACCCAGGACGACGGCGACGATGACGAGCCAGAAGAATATTGCGACGGCGCGGCTGACGAAGGCTACGGTTCGCCCTATCTGATCGCTAGACTGCTTGATGGCACCGCAGAAGCACTCTATTGGCAGGCTCGAGGCCACCGCTAGCATTGCAAGACGGCAAGTGAGCAAGAAGAGACAACACGACGCGCGCCTTTGCAATGTGAATGTGATTGACAGTCGCTCTGCTCTATCGGCCGCCACGAAGCGCGAGCACGAGATGTAGCGTAGATCCGCTGACGATGTTGAGCTCTTGCGCAGACTTCTCCTCTCCCCTAAAAGCACGCAAGTCCGCGAAAGTGTCAACGGTGCTCTTGTGAGATCGAGTGAAGAGCCTTACATCTGCTTGCCCGAGAAGATCAGGCGCTGCTGAGCTGGTGGGATGCCCTCCTTCTCTTCTACCTTCTCCTTGATCCTCATAATCTACTGACGAAGGCCTGCTGGTCAGCCCCTCTGACGCAGAGTGACTGCCGGAGGTGCTTGCCGTGTCGCTGGGCTCGATGTCAAGCTCGATCTGGATTCCTGGCGGTGTCAGACCGTGCGGGCCAGGAGCTCCTCATGCGCCCACCTCCTTGCCCGTCAGCGTCTTGACCTTGATCAACATCTCCCTGTGCGAGCGATCACGGGCAGATGCGTAAGGGCAAGGCGCCAAGGGCAAGGCACGCGACTGCTCCGCTCTTGCCTGCCAGCTGCCACCGCTCCATCGTGTCTGGCCAGGGCATCGCCCAGCGTGCATGGTCTTCCCAGGTCCCTCAAGGCTACATCCAACCCGGCGCTCGACGGGGGATGCTCGCAGTCATGTTGCGCCTATGGACTTTGAATATCAGGCCCCCCGTCGTCCCTTACAGCCAGCAACGCAGGCCTCCGCGGATTGCCGTGAACATAGCAAGCGCGGCCACGCAGACGATGCGACGGACATGGACCTCGACGAACCTGCGCCAGCAAACGGTCTTCAGGCTCTCTGGAGTCGCGTGACAGCGACCCCGGCTGCCGAATTCACCGAGAATGAGCTTGCCGACGTGAGCATGCACTCTGCCTCGTCTGCCAATGGTCCTGCACAACCCATTGAGGTCGCTTCACAGCAAGTCACTTGCGCGAAGGACGAGAAGCCGGCTCATACTCAGCCAATGAGCGAGCGAGAGCGCGCTTGCAGTGCCGCAGAACAGCCTCGCAGCGCGACGGCGCCAGATAGTTTAAATGCTCAGAGTCAACAGCTGGCGCTCGCTCAGACGCGAAAGCGCGCTCGTCGCGGCAAGCAGGCCCAAGTCACGAGGAATGCGCAGCAGTACCATGTTCACAACCACACTTATGGCGCCCCGGCAGCATGCGATTCAGACTTAAGCCGGTCCTGGTGGCGAGAGGAGGTGCCGTCAGTCTTGCTGGGCTACGCGCAGTTTGCTTTCAATGCCTCGCTGCTCGGTCTCGCGCTCTGGCTTGCGCTTGGCTTTGTCTTGACGGTCAGACACGATGTCAGCGATCGCATGACGTCCTACTCGACCGAAATTCTGCAAGAGGTCGAGCAATGTCGACAGCTCTATCTGGCAAACAGATGCGAACCAGAGACAAGAATCCCCCACATGGAAAGCACCTGCCAAGGCTGGGAGCACTGCATGAATAGGCAAGCTTCTTGGTCATGTCCTCTGCAGCTGTGGATGATGATCGCGCAAACCGTCAGGAATCCAAAGATCGTTGGTCGGGCACGCGTGGCGGCAGAAACGCTGGGCGAGGTGATCAACAGCTTTGTGGAAGTCATGTCTTGGCGGACGATGGTGCGCTACACTTTGTGCCAGGAGCGGAGGGATCTCGTCTGATTCACTCGCAATAGATTTTTCTGGTCCTGCTCTTTGCCACCCTGCTCGTCTGTACCAACAGCGTGCTATCGTCTTACCGCGTCAAGCTGCATGAGCAGTATCGCAATCATCGACTCGACTCGATGCATTATCCGCGCGAGTCCGAGCGACCGCAGGCGCGACTCACCAACGACTAGATACAGATACTACGACAGCGCAGGCCAGCGTTGCTCGGTCAAATTTACATTAGCGCGCCCGCTCTCATGCTGTGCATCTCAGTACCTGGCCCGCTTTGGATCGCCATAGCCATTTTGATAGGCGCCGTCGTGCGGTCCGCGGTCATAGTCACGCTTTGACCCTCCGTAGTCACCCGTGTCCCTGCTGGGCGCCTGCAAAACCGAATGCGCGTCAGCACACGCACAGCAGACAGGAAACGCTTGGTACGTACGTAGCCGATGCCGGCGCCTCTCGGTGGGCCTCGGTTTTGGCCAAATGCATCTGTACCGTTAGACCCTCGCGAATCATAGCTGCTTCCGTATCGATCGAGTGGCTTGGAAGGCGGCGGTCGCGCACCGTAGCCACCCCTGTCACCGAAGCCGCCCGCGTCAGGATATGCCCCTGGTGGCCGCGAAGGCGGGCCTCCATAGCCGCCCCCGAAGGCCGGCGCGCCTCGAGGTGGACCATCTGAATAGCCGCCTCTTCCGCCCCCGTTGAAGGCTCCACCGCGACTACTGAATCCACCGGGTCCGCCTCGCATGCCGCCGCCCCGAGCACCTCGCATGCCGCCCCTGAAGCTCGACAGCGAGGGGACTTCTGCGGGTGCCGGCTTGGCCAAACCGCCCAAGCCACCTCCGAGTCGCCTTGGCTTCCACCCCTTGACCGTACGACCACGCTCGACATCGACGAGTATGCGTTTGCCGAGGATCTTGAGCCCGTCTGCATCCTTGTAGGCGGCTGTGCGCAGCAGCGTCGGTGTCAGTGAGGCCTTACAGAGGCAATGCAGCTTTGTATGATTACCTTTCATGTCCCTCTCGCGCTCGTACAGGATAAAGGCGTATCCTCTTGACTTTTCCTTGCTGTCCCGAATGATTTTGAGGTTCTCGATGCGGCCATAGAGATCGAATTCTTTGCGCAGCTGCTCCTCTGTCGCGTCACGGTGCAGGCGAGAGATGAAGATGGTCCTGTATGGATCCCCGACGGCGTGCTCGTCCTCTTTTGGCTTGTCTGCGCATGCACACGTCAGTCCTATCGCTAGAGAGAGGGAAGCAAGCGACGCACAAGTCTCCAACGCCTTTTTGTAGGTTTCCTCTTTTCTTCGCTTGCGCTCCGCTCGGCCGTTGGCGATCTTCAGATCGGCAGAGTCTGTGAAAGCTTCTGGGTTGAGACTGCGCTCTTCTGCCTCCAAGGCTTCCTCTCCTCTCTCTGCTCGCTCTTGCCTCACTCGCTCGATGACATCGAACACGCCAGGGATGGCCTTGTTGAGCGGCCTGTCGATGTCTCGCCCCAGAGGCTTGGCATACGGGATCGCTGGCCGAGGCGCGAAGAGCTTGAGCAGGTTGGGCGGTAGTTGTGATGTCTGCCAATGCAAGCCAGCAGCCCTGATATTAGCTCTATCCGCTACGTCTCGGGCGTGACTTGCCATCTTGTCGAGCGCTCGGCGGTCGATGAGCGACTATAGGAGACTCTCCGGCAGCTCCTTACTCGCCTCCACGGGACATAGGCTAGGCTAGGTTTGATTGGGCACCTTGGTGTCACTGAGCGGTAGGGGTGGCACTTACTATGTGACGTGTATACGTGTACCATACAACAGAGCTCTCGTCGAGTCATCATCGATTTCTCGTGCCTCCGAAGCCAGCCGATGTACGCATACTACCCCCGCCCATGCTCTCACGCTCTCGAGACGGACCAGCGCGTGGCTGATAGTCGTTCATGCCGCCTCGCCCACCGAACCAGCTGTCTCGTTGCGGTGCCATACTTCGAGTATTTCTATTGAGCAGGCTCTGGGCGGCCATACCGCCGGCAAGACCTGACCAGAAGCCTGGCCTCCAGCCTGTGCTCGTGGTATCGGGACTCTTGCTATATGGCGGTGGAGGTGGCCCTCCCCCAAAACCTGTCGCGTATCATCAGCATGCCGTCAAGATTTGCTAGCTCTGGCAGACCTGGTCCCCAGCCACCGCCGCCACCGCCGCCGTCGCCGCGTGGCGGAACTGTTCCTGGCGCACGTTGTCCCTCTGGCCGGAAGAAGGATCTGACGAAAGAATATACGAAATAGGCAAGCATGGCCAGGAAGAGACAGTAAAAGAGGCTAGAGAGTATGTCGTCTGCTCGCGCATCAGCTCATCGGCCGACAGGAAAGATGACGCTTGCTGACCATAGCTCATCTTGTTGTTCCTTTGCCACGGCAGTGATCCGTCGTCATAGTCCGGCGTGCGCTGAACGAGGCTGTACGTCAATCCGCACGACCCCTTGAGTACATATTCGTCGTCTGCATGCGCGTAGCCCTGAGCAGCAGCTGAGCTCTTTGCAGCCTTGAGCTAGCAGGAATGCACTATATACCTCGCAAGAAACCTCGACCCGACCGAGCTTGACTGACGACGGCAGCTCTGCCTCGCAGCGCCATTGTATATCTGGAGCTGTTCCGCCCATATTCTGGCACTGTATGACATCCGGCTGAATGGTGAGGTATCAGCGCATCCTGTACAGCTTTGGGGCAGGCTCGACCGACAGCATATTGTCGGCAAATCGACTTGGAACCCTGACACGTCAGCTGAGGTACTGGACTGGTCCGGCGAAATGTCGTCTCCGCTCCATTGTAGAAAGTCAGCGTATCGATGGAGGACAGCTTGACTTTGCTGCCGCGGGTGGTCATAGTCGAAGACTGCAGTGGGTAGATGTCCCGAGCGAGTCACTTTGCTTGATGGGGCCAAGCAAGCGCGCGCGCGCGCGCGATTGGTCGTCTGTCGCTCAGCGCTTCTGCCACGCGCCACGATTGGTTTCGAGGTCTGACGTCTCTCGAGAGTCCTCATGGGAATTCGTCTGAGTGCAGCCAGGCACTGGCAGCTCTCTGTAACCCAGCCAACTGGACGGGTGCTCGCTCTGCCCTTTCTGTTCCTCGCAGATGGCACCGAATGGAGCCAATGGTCGAAGCTCGCTGGGTCTGCAGGCTATACCTCCCAAGTGCTTAGCATACCAAAGGCTGCACAAGCCAATGCGCAGACAGCGGCAAGCAGTACATCAGCAGCTTGCACTTCAGTACGTCGCGCTGACGTGCAAGGCAGAAGTTGCGCACGAGCTTGCAAGATCGTCCAATGCATTCCCGCCGCTCATCTTCGCTCGAAGGGAGCTCGGTCTGATAGCAGAGCACTATTGCGAATCAAATGGCTCTGCGGGACTTGTACTCGTTGAGCCAGCGCGATCAGACGCGCTAACGTACGAGCCGACGTTCCCAATTGTCTTGATAGGCAGCAAGCAAGACAAAGAAGGCCTGCGAGCCCACAGGCTACTCGTCGATGCCGATCCAGACGACGGCCCTGAGCTCATAGTGACGGCAGACGAGCAGCATGTCTCGCTCGATCGGCCAGAGACGTTTGACCTGCTGCTCGACTGGCTCGAGCGAAGAGATCTTTGAGGCTCAGCGTCGATTACGCGACTCGACGCCGAGTCCGTTGCTGGTCGTGCCGCCGGTCTGTGCCATCTCTTCGTCATCAAGACCGGCCTCTTCCAGTATGCGCTCGATCTCGTCCAGCACAGGCTTGTATTCGACTGCCCAGTCCAATGTCAGCTCTCCTCAAAACCAAGCTCGAGCAAAAGACACACGATACCGGCGCTGGGCGATCTTATAGCCTGCCTTGTACAGCTCTCGACCCCGTACTTCGACGTCGCCACGCTCGTACGCTTGCATGCGCCAGTAATCGCGCGACCGTTCATAGAAGACGGCTAGCGTCTCGCCAGCTCGGGGCGTGCTCAGCTTAGCTTCCTCCGTCTGGCCAGTCGGACTGACGCCCATGAACGCGATGGCCTTCTTGCGCAACTCGACGGCAGCCACCTCTTCCTCCTCGGCAGTCAGAAGCATATTGCCATCCGCATCATGAGCTCGCTCGTCGTCTTCATCCGAATCGCTGTCTTCTGCTAGCACCTTTGCAAGCGCTGTAAGCTTGAGTGCTGATGCATCTGCTATCCCTTCGAGCGTTTCTGGCTCGTCTGCAGAGCTCGAGTCGCTATCAGAACCACTGTCGTCCTCCGAATCGGAGGAGTCATGCCAGTCCATTGCTTCCAGAGGGTCGTCTCTGAGGCATGTGTACCTATCCAACTTGTCAAGAGCCAGCGTGTAGAAGTCAGCCAGCGTATACTCGCGATTGTGACTCTCGAGGATGCCGCCATAGATGAAGAGTGTGTTCTTGAGCACGGCCATCATGACATTGTACCGGGGCGATGGCTTGCTCCTCTCTGGATCATCCTCATCCTCTGATGGCGGGTCGTTGTCTTCCTGCATGGCGTCGTCCTCATCACCAGAGCCTCGATGACGTTGCTGCTGCTGCCGTGCTGCTGCTTGGCGCTTCGCTTTCTTTGTCGTCCTTTTCTTGGCCTTTCGAAGCTGGATTGATACCCAACGGCCCGTCTTGAGGAGCTGGTAGCCATAGGCATCATTGAAGAAGATAGACGTCATCGTCTCCTCTGACTTTTCCTCATCGATGACGCCGCCAAACATGATGGCCATCGACTTCGCAGGCCAGAGTGTCATAGTCGAGCCAGATCTGAGCGAGGGAACATAGCCGACTCGCTTACGTTTCTGCCACTTGCAAAGCGCCAAATCTTCCGAATTGATTTGGAGTAACCAGGTGTCGTCCAATGCCCGACCGATCGCCTTCTTGCCCTGGTATTCTTTGACGTAGCCACCATGTAAGACGATGCCCTCGCTACAAGCCACAAAGGAGAAGCCACTGCGAGCACTGGGCTTGCGATCAGTCTCTCTGAGCTGGATCTGCGTCCACCGAATGAGGGCAGTGTCGAATATCCATAGGTCGTTGAGATAAGTCGTACGCAGTCCGACGTCGTGAAATCCGCCAAAGAGGACGAGCAGGGTGCCGAAGAAGGCCATGCGATGTCCCGAGCGAGCAGATGGCCTGGTTTTCGTATCGAATCTTTCCCATGACAGAGTAGCTATGTCGAGAGACCAGAGGTCACGATAGTGATGGAAAGCGGTCTGATTGGTGCTCGAAAATTCGCCGCCGAAGAGCCACAGCTTGCCACCGGCGGCGGGAGTGGTAGCGACAGCATGCGCGCTTCTCGGGCCCGGACAGGTCGGCGAAAAGAACCGTTTCCATTCATTCTTGTCGGGCGAAAAGCGATAGAAATCGTTGTAGAAGTAGCACGCATCGCCGTCATAGTATTCTCCACCGAAAAGGTAGAGATGGTGACCGTTCGGGCAGGCCGTCAGGGTCGCATTGGCTCTTCGTGTGGGCGGCCCTTCGACTCTTTCTTCAGAGACAGCGTGATCTTTCTCCCACTGGAGGCGATACTCCTCGAGCGTCTGGATGAGATCGTCCTCATTGGCAATCCGGTCGGATTTATTGCTCTTGCCCTTGCCTGACTTCTTGACGGAGTGCTGATTGAGGATCTTGTTGGTCTCCTTGATCTCCCGCTTGATCTGTTTCTCGTTGTTCCTCTGGCGTTTCTCAGCCCTCAGCTTGGCTTTCTTCGCCGCATCCTTCTTGACCATCCAGGCTCGCCGACTTGTCAGCAGCAGTCGAGGAGGATGCGATGGCAGATGTCGACGGACAAGACGACAGACAAGGTGGAGGAGCGCGCGTCACGTCACTGCCGCTGACACCGGTAGACCAAGTCTTCGATGGGCCTGGCCGCCTTTGCTGCCGAGAATGAGACGGCGTTCACGCTCCTGGCCGCCGCGGCACTCAGCACAGTCGGCTATGTTGCGACCAGCCGGCTGATACCCGTACTCGCTCAAGGGTTCGTCGAAAAGGGACTGTCAGGTATCGACATGCTCAAGGGCTATCCGAGGGATCAACATGGCAGACTGCAAGGCCCCAGAGTGCCAGAATCGACGGGGGTCATCGGCGCTGCAGTCTATATCCTCTTGCTCTCGCTCTTCGCGCCTCTGCCTTATTACGCCTACCTGCTCGCGCCTAGCGACGTATCACCTAGAACGCAGCTCGTAGAGACAGACCTCACCTTTCCGCACCACAGTCTGGCCACATACCTTGCATCTCTGCTTAGCCTACTCACCGCCACATTCCTCGGCTTCCTCGACGATCTCTTCGACATCCGATGGCGTTACAAGCTACCGATACCCAGTAAGGTGCCAGGCTTATGGCTCCTGCACGCGAGCTGACAATCGGCCCCCAGTCATCGCGTCTGTGCCTCTCTTGATAGTCTACATAGCACAGCAAGGTGGTACAGATGTCGTACTACCGAAAGCGCTCGGCTTGCGATCATTGCTCGGACTCGACGCAACCGGCATACTCAAGCTAGGCAGGTCATTCGCACACACAATCGCAATGCAGGTGCTGACAGCCTGCAGGCCCGCTCTACTATCTCTATATGTCCATGCTGTCCACGTTCTGCACAAACAGCATCAACATCCTCGCCGGTGTCAATGGCGTCGAAGTAGGCTTCCATGCATTTACTCGTTCTCTTGTGCTGACACTCGTTCGATTGACAGGCCGGGCAGGCCCTCGTCATCGCCCTCAGCATCGCCATCAATGATCTCCTCTATCTTGACGTTGACATTGGCGCGCTGGCCGCACTCTGGCGTGGGACGGATCCCAAGACGACCCAGCTCTCGCTGTCTGCTGGCTTCGGACATGGCAGTAAGATCCTGGCAGACCGTCACTTGTTCAGTCTCTACTTTATGCTCCCTCTCATCGCTATATGCTTGGCATTGTTGCGGCACAATTGGTACGCCGACGGCGCTCCGGAGCAAATGAAAGCTGACAGACTTGTCACAGGTATCCGGCCCGATCCTTTGTCGGCGACACATTCTGCTACTTCGCGGGCATGGCATTTGCTGTCGTCGGTATCTTGGGACATTTCTCAAAGACGCTGTTGCTCTTCTTCCTTCCGCAAGTCTTCAACTTCGTTCTCTCGTGTCCCCAGCTATTTGGCCTCGTGCCCTGCCCGCGGCATCGCCTGCCCCTGCGCAACGCTAAGACAGGCAAGCTGGAGCCTTCCCTCGTACGTTTCGTCGAGCCGCCCAGTTTGAGAGCGCGCGTGACGCTATCGATCCTCTCTGCGCTCGGTTTAGTAAGACTGACGCGAAGCAAAGACGGCACAATTCTGACGAGCACAAACCTGACCATCATCAGCTTCGTGCTCGTCGTCGCTGGTCCCATGAGAGAAGAGCGGTTGACACAGACGATCATGCTTCTTCAGACTGCATGCAGTGTGCTTGCCTTTGCGATACGCTACGGTGCCTCATCGGTGTTTTACGACTCGAGTAGGCGGTAGCACACGCTCAAAATGCATTGCATCACGGCAGCAGTTCGCGAGCGAGGCTATAAGCTTTCTTGATGGCCTGTCTGCGATGGCTCTGCTTTTTGAGGTGCTTCGACGATTGAATCGTTTCGTCAAACTCGAGCGACGCGCCAAGCCGCTGGCAGTCGTTACCTCTGCACCACGCCCTGCAAGCAAGTCAGACCAGTAGTGACAATGACCGAGGGCTCCACGTACCAATTGCGACTCGCATCAAAATACTGCACGAGGATCAACGGGTTGTCCGGGTCACTTGGACCATCCGGACGTGAGGCGATGACTGACTTGGGCACCTGCTCGATAACAGATGTCGGATCGACGATGATGGCAGGGTATGCCGGCCAGCCAGAGCGTGGTATGCTCGCCCATACGATCAGACCAGGCACGCACTGAGATGGCGTTAATGTGACACGCTTCAAGAGCGAAGCAAAGGTAGTGCTTGATCCCAGGCTCGCTCGCGCGCTGTGCAGCCCAAGGTGAGAAGTGGCGAGGTGCGGCCTGGTCGGAGTAGCTTGACCTAGACTCTGTCGCGCTTTCGGTGTGGCTCTCGTAGTATCGGCAGCTAAAGCTACAGACTTGATTGGACTGCTGACATCGCGGGGACTGCTTAGCTCGGACGACAGGTCGATAGCGTCAACGTTCAGCTTTGAGCGCGCAATCGAATCTTGTCCATCCTCTGACGGGAGCGGCGAGAGAGATGAGACAGACGATAGCTCACTAGACGATGCATCGGCCTGCGCAACGCGAGAGGCAGCGCCGTCGCCAGTGCTGATAGGTGCCGGCTGTGTCCTTGCTCTTCGACTGGCACCCTCTGGCAGTATCCAGCCAGATTCGAACAAGCCAAACATAATACGCTCCGATACCCCGCCGTCGAGCACAATGCCTTGCGAAGCACGTCGTGCCTCGCTCCGCTCTCGCGAGCGCATTTTTGCTTCTCTGGCAAGCCTACGCGCCTCTTGCTGACGCTCCCGTTTGAGTCGTAAGCGCTCCTCAGCATTGTCTACGTCTTCTGCAGACTTTCCTGCGTCATTACCGCGCGCACTCGATCGGACGCCTGGTGTGAGTGCACTGAAGTCCTTCTTTTTCTTCGATGATCGCTCGCCAGCTTGCGCGCTAGTAGTGGCAGCAGGCAGGCTGACCTTGACTGGCTCTGGATCCAGGTGCGTAAGTTGGTCTATCGCTGCTTGGTCGACCACCGTTGTTTGCGCTTCGAAGCAAGGGTCTCGATCCAGCTGTCCTAACTCGAGCAGCATGCCTTCACACGCCTTTTCCATCTTGAGCGTGAGTTTGTGATAGCGACTGTCTGGCTTATTGTAGGCTTTGGCATTGGCGAAGACCAGCTCAATGTCTGCTTTGAGCTGAGCAGCGGAGTCGTAGAGGTGCGAGTCAAGCTTGTTGGCGATGCTCGACCAATCTCGAGGCTCTTTGATGATATCGTAGTAGTCGGGCACTTCCTGTTGCAAGACGGGCTCATTGAAGATGCCCTGCGGGTCTTGCTCCCGGATACTGGCCAGCAGAGCACGCATGCGGGCGTCGCGCGAGAACAGCAGATTGTCTATAGCCTCCTGGAATGCTTGCACCCGGCGCAGCTTCTCTCGTTCACGCTTCCTCACGAGCTCTGCCAGCATTCTGACTCTCTCTAGATCATTCCTGAGCGCCAGGATGAGCTGCCAGTCCGTATCAGCGTACATACATGGCAAGCGACGAGGTACACACCTCTAGCTTCTGCGCCTTTTCGTGGTCTGTTTGCTGCGGGTCGTCGGTGCTGGCGGTCCAAGGCTCGAGATGAAGTCGCTTCAGCAGAGGTGCACCCCGACGAGCTTCTCGCTTGAGTGACCAATATTTACAGACGAGTGACATTGTCTGCCTCTTGTTACGAAGCTTGATGCGTTCGGTGTAAGCAGCGACTCTGCCGTGGATGTAATTGGGGACGAGCGGCGGGCCTTGGGAGTAAGACTTTTTGTAAGCGCGAGAGATCTTTGCAGCTGCAGGATTGGCTTTACGACGCTGCAATACAGGGGACTCGTCACGTTTGCGCTTGAGGGAGGGTGGCACAAGTTTGCTGCCACGTGAGGCCGAGGCGACAAAGGAATCTTGTGACTCTTCATCGATCTCTGATGCTGACCCGACCTGCGCGACTGATGAGCGGGTCCATTGATTCCAGTGGAGAAGGTACCTGATGATGGCGATGACAGTATGCTTCGTTCTTGCTGTCGTCGTCAGCCTGGGCACTTACCGGGCGTAGCTTGAGGTAGAGATTGTACTCTCTGGCGCAAGTGACGTGAAAGGCAGTATAGCAGCTTCTGTTGGCGCATTGGATGCAAGCACCAACGCGCCTCTTGCAGAGATAGCATTGCAACTTCCAGCGGCTCTTGGGAATGTGATTCACGCCATCGACGGGCTCCATGTAGACGACGTTGCTGATGCCGGTCTCTGGTATCCAGATGGCGCAGAGCAGATGAGCCCACTGGTTTGCCGTCGTCTGCTTGAAGGCGCCTCCTTCGGCAGGGCATAGTACACAAGACTGCCTCGACGCTCAGCTGAGCTTACATCGCAACGACGTGGCTTACGACCGGCTTGTCAGGCGAGACAGTGCACTTTCGGCAAAGCCACTGGCCCTCCGGAATGTACGGTACGCCGTAACAATCTATGCGTAGGAATCAGCGAGAGCTCTAGCTAAGAGAGAAAGCGTAGCTCGCCTTGGTGGACAGCCAGATTGCAGCCGTCACAAAAGACGATGGCGTTGGAATTCTCACATTCGCCGTCGTCACAGATGGCGCACCTCGAGTCTTCTGCAAGCGCGACTGCAGCTGGCTTGGGGATCCGCTTGGTCTGCAGCCCTGACCGCGTCAGGAAGGAGGGACAAGACGCGCGGGAGGCTCGACTGACGAGATCGAACCATTCTTTCTCGAGACGATCCATGACGACCTCAAAGTACTCGCATGACACCGGATCGTCGCCAGATTTGCGGCGCTCCTTGTTGAGTTGCTCGAGCCATTGCTCGTCTTGCTCGTCCATGTCATATTCGACTTGCTTTGCGATTTCTGACTCCATTGGAGCTTCGTGAATGCCCCGTCAGCTCTTCCGTGATGCCTGAGGACTGCACACATACGAAACCACTTGATGTAGCCTCCTGATGCTGGGAAAGACCAGTCTTGGTCATCGAGATTGTAGCCGAACGAGCTCGCGAGCTTGTCGCCGAGTCCGAGCTCATACTTGGCCGGATCGACGCCCAGAGCGAGATTGGCATCGTGGTCATCCCCTCTGATGATCCTGAACGTGACTTGAGGGAGCTTGTCAGGCAGAGATCTCGCGAGGAGCGACGGCATTGCCGCCTCTTTGGGCCTTGGCTCGTCGCGCGTCGACGCCAAAAAATTTGAGGCTCACCACAGGACAGGCAGTCGGTCAAGATGCGGTTCTATGCGTCAAAGTGAGCACAGTCGACTGTCGGGTGGTACAGCTGACATGGACCACGCCCAGGTTCCCCGAAGTGGACGAGCTGGTGATGGTACAGGTCAAGCAGATCCAAGAAATGGGTGCCTACGTCAAGCTGGTCGGTCTGCTCCCTCTGGCGAGCGCGTGGCCTGTCTGATCGAGGGGGCGCGGAAACCTAGCTCGAATATGACAACATCGAGGGCATGATCTTGCTCTCTGAGCTCTCCCGGCGACGCATCAGATCGATCCAAAAGCTCATCCGCGTCGGGCGCAATGAAGTCGTCGTCGTCATGAGAGTCGACAAGGACAAGGGTGAGTCATTCTGCCCATCGTCAACCTGACTCGTGCGCTCAGACATGCTCATGCACAGGCTATATCGACCTGTCAAAGCGCAGAGTCTCGGCAGAGGACGTCGTCAAATGCGAGGAGCGCTACAACAAGGGAAAGACGGTCCACTCGATGATGCGACATGTGGCAGACAAGTCGGGCTCAGATCTCGAGGAACTCAACAATGCCATCGCCTGGCCGCTGTATGCCAAATTTGGCCACGCATATGAAGCTTTCAAGGTCTCTATAGGGTCAGCCTCTGCTCGCGAATGAGCCCTCGCGCGCCTCTCGCTGACGCAAGCGGCCTCACAGTGATCCCGAATCTGTGTTCGGCGGTCTGGAAGTCAACCCAGACGTGCTAGCGGATCTCAAGGACCATATCGCACGCAGACTGACCCCTCAGCTCGTCAAAGTGCGATCCGACTTTGAGCTCACCTGTTTCTCCTACGCCGGCATCGATGCCATCCGACGCGCCCTCAGAAAGGGCGAGGCACTGACGACGAGCGATGTGCCGATCAAGATCAGGCTTGTCGCGCCACCTCTGTATGTCATCATCAGCAATTCCGCAGACAAGACAGGCGCCATCGCACGGTTAGAAAAAGCGCTCCAGGTCATCGAGGATTCGATCACCAAGGAGGGCGGCAAGATTGCTGTCAAGCTCGCGCCAAAAGCTGTCTCCGAGTCTGACGACCTCGAGCTGTCCGCGCTCATGGACAGAGTCGCAAGGGAGAACAAGGAAGTCTCGGGCGACGAGGACAGCGAGGGAGAGGCATGATCTGCTTCTCCACATACGGACGTACTCAAAAAGAGAACACCTTGCAAGCCCTGTTGTCACAACATTTACATCTTTGCGCTTTCTCGCGAGTCTTTTTCTGTGTTGCTCTGTGCAGGGGAAGACCAGCATCGCAGCGCTTGCTTCACTGTCTATCCGCCGCAAGAGGCCCAAGGTAGTCTTCTTTGATCGTGCCTGTTGAGCCCAAAAGACGATAGATAAGCCACGGCGAGAACGCACGGACGAGCCGGAGTGGCCGACTGACCAATTGCGAAAATCTCTGTAGCATCAATGCGCGTGCCTACAATCTTGACGCGAACGACGACGTCCTTTTGAATGGCCATGCTGTCGTCGCCCATCCTGCTGAACCGTGGTGGGCTGTCCTCTGAGAACTTCATGTCGCCCGGCATGAGCTGAGCGAGACAGGCAAGATGGCGCGTCAGCATCGTGTCACGAAGAGCAGGAGACCGACAGGACTGACATGAGCCGACACAAAGACGGTCAGGGCGCCCACTTCGACGAAGAAGCCCATCTGGAAGCGGTGAGAGTCAGCCTGCCGCTCTGATGGCCTGTGATAGGCCGGAGATGGGCGTGCCTTGTTGACTGTGGTGACGACGCCGTCCAAAACTTCACCCTTGAAGGGCCTGAAAACGACGGCGAGGTAGGGCACCTCGAACTCGGCCATGCCTGTGCCAGGTTGGATCGTGCCTTGAGGCTTGAAAGGCCCCTCGCCCGATCCGACGACGAGCACGGCGACGATGTAGCCGTGCAGACCTGAGCACGTCCCCGAGACGTCCTCGAAGAGCTTGTGCTTGACATAGTCGCTCGTGTTTGCGCCAAAGTAGGAGGGATGCAAGTTGATCGTGTGCGTCAGGTTCTTGAGGAAGAACATCTCCGCCCGCCCGCTCGCTCGCTCGAGCAACACGATGCCCTGCCCACCTCTCGCTCACTGACCGCCTCGCACCTCGCTCAGATCAGAGTTTGTCGCCTGTCGCGCGACAAGTCAGCGAGAAGCCAGGCACGGGCGCACAGGCCAGCCCGTGGATGGCGACGAGCGTGCGCATCTCCAGCGCCGGCAGCATCGAAGGCTACGTCGCTGTCGCACTCAGACACCTCAGAGAGAAGCGCACGGCACTCTCCTTCTCCAATGCGACCGCCGACAGCTCGGCAAGCGTCAAAGGCAAGACAAGAGCGCGAGCAGATCAGCTCGAGCACAAGACGTTGCACAAGCTCATCACAGTCGTCGAGCTCGTCAAGAGAGAGTATACCCTGTCCTTCCAGCCACAGCCACAGCAGGAGGGCGTGCCAATCCAGCTCGCGTCCCCTCCCAGCAGAGCAACTAAGCTCGCGCTCGGTACCGTGAACACTTCAGGCAAGCGTCGAACTCACACCAAGCAACGCCTGGCCAAGGAGAAGCCAGAGCTAGCTGCCAAGGCTCTATCTCGACTCCCTAACAGGCTGCATCAGTACACACTCCTGCGCTCACTGACCCCATTGCCTCGGTCGAGTGGCGACGCGATCTTGAACGACGCTCTCGGCAAAGTCTCGGCAGAAGAGAAGCCAAAGCGTACTTCATCGCCCGATGACGATCAAGAGTCTCCCAGAAAGCGTGCAAAGACTTCGCACGCCGACATGGATGCGGAAGGCGAAAGTGATGATCAGGCCTTGCTCATTGAGAGAGATGCGCTCCTGCACGACGTCGTCAGAGACAGCAAAAAGAGGTGCGCACCACCGTATACCTCACCGAGCTTGCCATGACTTCCATTACAGACCACGCATGTCCCACCGGCCGGCTCTCGAGATCATCCTCTCAGCCTGGCCACTCGAAGAGATACCACAAGCTGATGATGCAGTCTCGATCACACACCAGAAGCCTCAGGGCGCCAAGCGAACGCATCGCTCCCGTACTCAACGGCGCAAGCTCAGAGATCGCATCGCCCGCGACGGGCTCGTCAACGTCAATGCAGCCGGATCCTGACAGCTCCAGGGTGATCGAGAGACAGCTCGCTGACCGTTGCATAGCCAATGCACGCTTGTCTCCTGCTGCGCACAAGACATGGCCACTTTCAGAGCCTGGTTACGAACGATCCTGCTCAAATGGCTGCATGACCGTATTGGCGCAGCTCGCGGATGAATTAGGTGTGGCTCATAGTATACGTGATGGGTCTAGTGTCTCGATCGGATCATCAGCCTCCGCATCTTCCTCGTCCGTAGCTTCTTCGTCCGGATGGATGTCTGTCTCCTCATCGAGAAGCTCGTCATCGGGCTCGACCAGCAAATGGTTCGATCGGGGCCTCAATCCTTCTGTGTCTTCCACATAGTCCCCATCGGCTGCGTGAGCGTGCCGATGAGTCGTGCTACTGTCACGATGATGGAGCTCTTCGTGCTCTGCTGCTGCGGCATTTTCGCGATCCAGGGTAGCGTCGGACTCTGCCAGCGCGTCTTCCTCTTGGACGTCCTCATCATCCTCGTCGTCTTCCTCCTCTATCTGGGCATCTCGCCGTGCCTGCATAAGCTCCTGGTCCGCTTCCTCCTCTTCCGTCGCATCGTCTTGCCGACCAGTCGGGTCAGACTCCGTCATCTCCGCCATCGGGTTCTCTGCAGGATCTTCTTCGTCCTCACTGTCGTCCATCATCACAGAGTCATCGTAGGCCTCGTCCGTCACGATCTCGAAATCATCATCTGCCGCAGGCGCTCGCTTGCCATCTCCGATCAACTCTTCGCTGGTAACTATCCTTGCCTGGTCGACGACGAGGCGCGTGACACTACGGTCAGATCTGACGAGCGGATTGAGACCGCCCATGAAGATCCTAAACATCTCGAGACAAGCAGATCGCCGCTCAAAGTGTGTATCGCGATTCCAGAGACCGTCAGTCTTGATCGTGCGCAGGGGTGTCTTTGGCAGAACGAGGACAGGCGCAGTGTGGGTCAGGTTTGAGACGAGGAAGTTGATCAGGATATCGTCGCAGTTGAAGACAGTGTCCACATGGGCTCTGAACTTGACGAAGCGTGCTTCCCAGTAGAGGTCTAGATAGGCGCGATGGAAGAAGCCTGCGTTGCTCAGAATCATACTGTATGTCGCTGTGGGCTGCACATCGAAGACGAGACCGCCCGGTCCTAGCGATTCGCCCTTGCCACCCGAGCCTGGCGCTTTCCGCCTGCGCTTGTAATCTCGAGGTGTGAAACCGACTATCTTGCCCACATCACCACCTTCGAGCTGTAAGCGAGTCTGATGTCCATGCTGGCCGCCATCGTGGTGGACCGGCAATGGATTTTCGGCGAGCCAGACGCGCCATGCCCATTCGATGTCTGCGCTGCGAAGCACAATATCATCGTCTAACATGAACACGCCTCGCGTTTTGATACGCGAGTCGGGTCGGAAGCTGGGCCGAGCGCTGTATCAGCTGATGTCTGGTTCGACACAGAGAGTAAGCCGCACCGCTCGTTCATGCTGTTGTGCTCTGATATCCTGACCCATACTGGCGCGCCAAAATGTGTGCCATTGGACGGATGTGTGAGCCACTGGCTCTCACATCAGCGCTCGCTCGATAACACTTCGAGAGCTTACAGCCGGTGGAGGGGTGCTTGTGTCTTGCCAGATGACGAGCACGCCGGCAAGGGATGGCAAGGAGCCAGAGGTGAGATGCTCTAGCGATGCCTTGAGTAGCTGTGGCCGCTTGTAGGTCGCCATTACGACCCTGCACGAGGAATATCAGACGAGGATCCGTGCTTGTGCACTAGAGGTATGACGAACGTGTATCGCTCTGCCTGAGGAGCATCATGCACGACTTCGCGCTTGCGCCGTATCTTCACTTTGCCACGCCACTCCGAAAGGCTGATCTTTCGCAGTCTCTCGAGACGCATGGCAGGCGAAGGATGCGTTTCTTCGACGGCATAGTCTATGATGAGTTTGATGAAGAGGACGATGACGAGCACGGCCAGCGTGCGAAAGAGCGTTCGCGTCCATGTCGTCTGTACGCCTTGCAGTGTGTCGCTGCGTATAGACGGTCTCCTCTCGCCGCTTACATAGCCATTGTAGCTCGTACGCTTGGGCGGAGTCGCGGGAATGCTGATGGCCGAGGCACGGCTATACGTGACGTCGTCGTCCGCTGTGCGACCTGGCGCGAAGAGACGACTGCGCATACCAACGGTACGGGCTGCTGCGGGCGTCGAAGTCCGCGGCACAGTGAGGCCATCTCTCGCGCTTGCCTCCTGAGCGGGCGACAGGGACGACACTGTCCTATGCGTGCGCTTGAAGACGTTCATCAGGCGCGCGTCGTCAATTTGTCGTGGCCTCTAGCTTGACGGCTCGAGTGTCTTGGCATGCGTGACTCGCAGTGATGCGATCTACAAAGCAGCACAAGCCGAGCGTGCTGACTCCAAGATGTAACAAGTCTTGCGACCAGAGCTTTGATCGCTTGTCGGTGCGATCGATAATGACGCGGACGCGACGCGAACAGATACAGCTGGCCAGCCGACCGAACAAGTCCCAGAGTGCTGCCCCGCTGCTCTGAGCGCTCCCACAGATTCATCGAAGCTTCGTCAGCGATCGGCAGCTAGTCAATGCCGCCGAAGCGCAGGGCCGCATCCACAGTTGTCGAAGAAGACACGCTCAATTTCAAAGGTACAGCAAGGCGCGCCGTGTGCAGGCTGTCTGCTGATCGGCACTCCAGAGACGCTCTCGGTTCTCAAGGACTTTTGTACGCTCAATCTCTCATCACGATTCTCGATCTAAATAGCATTCCGTACAGTCGAAGTCGCACTACACCAGATCCTGTACCTACGCCAGGTCTACCCTCGAGGCGAGCGCATGTGCGATGATGACAAGATCCGCATTGACAATGACGCAGACTTCTTCACGAAACGCAAGAAATACGAAGTCGACGTCTGGCAGTGTCATGTCCCCGTTCTCTCAGAATACGTCCTTGGCATCGTCAATTCGACAGCGGACGAGCTCAGCAAGGTGCGTGATCCGCATGCGCCCCAGAGCCATGCTACAGCTCATCTGATCGTCAGGAGCAAGTCAGCCAGCTTATCGTCTCCATTCAGGACAATGCGACACACGAGAGTCTTGAGAACTACATCTTCGATGTACAGTATTTCCCAACCGTCGATCGGGTCAATAGGTGGGCTGGAAGCGCATAGCAATATTCGTGCAAGCTAACGATGAGCCTTGCAATATAGGTCACCCGCTGGCATCTCCAAGGACGAGATTGAGGACTACATGAGGGCATACATCATGAGTCTCTCAACCATCGAATCTCGCGTGCAGACAGGTCTGCCAGAAGGTATGCATACCGAGCGGCGCATGGCAAAGACTCAGCGCGTCCGCAGATCTCACCTTTACCACCTTTCTCACTCTTGTCGAGCCCGGCGAGGGGCCCCCTACATCTGAAGAGGAGCGCAAGAAGGTACGCCGCGTGCAATACGATCCTTTCGCTGTGCTCATGTGGGTCTCCAGGATCTGACCTCGAAGTGGGTGCCTGCTCAGAGGCAGGTCGAGCCTGTTCGCGCGGACCCGAGTGCGCCCATCACTGTCATCGACAGCTCTCAAGACACTGTGAGCAGCGTGTCAGAGCGTAACAAGCTCACTCCCCTCAAGTCATACGCCCTCGGCCCTCTAGCAGTGAGTGCCTGTCTAGCTAGCCGAAAGGAAGACTCAGCAAATTTTCTAGCTGCAATTGTTCGTCGAAGAAACGGCCGAGAAGGCTAGACTGCTCCAGAAGCTGCGCACGCGAGACGGCGCGCTCTCTTCGTCAGCACCGACGGTCGTCGACAAGGGCAAGAGACGAGCTGTTGATTAGCTCAATTGCCCGAGTAGGGCACTCCCTTTCGCTTGATAGCCATATGCTCGCCGCTCAGCGTCTGCTGTTGGCCCTGTATCGGATGCTCGGCAGTCGACCCGGCGTACTCCTTCTTGAGACGAGTCACCAGATCGATCAGATCAGTCACCGCTTGCTCGTCAGTTTGGAAGCTGATAACGATGCGAGATCCGCCGAGCGTGATGTCGATGTCTGCCGCTCTTCGATCGAGCACGTCGAGGCCAAAGCCGAGCGGCGTGGGATCGATCCAGACCATGTTGGTCTCTGTCGGCACGATGAGACGCACACCAAGCGATTGCAGCTCCGTCGCAATCCTCTCTGCATAACTATGCGCCCTTGATAGCTGCGGCAAGACGAAATCAAGGCCATATTGAGCTGCAACGGCTAGCGAGCCACTCTGCCTGATACCGCCACCGAAAAGCTTTCTGTAATCGCTCATGGATCATCATATGCAGCGAAGGGGCATGATGTACTTGCCTGAAGCGTCTTGCGGTATCGATGAATGGCTTTGCGCCGATGAGCAGACTTCCGACTGGTGCGCCCAATCTGAGTGAAACTTTTAGTATCCTGATAATGGAGACATGTGCGGCTCACCCCTTGCTCATGCAGACACTGATGCTGTCGAACGGTTCGAGAAGCTCTGATAGAGGGAGACCGGTCTTTGCGACCACCTCCCAGATCCGGGCGCCGTCGCAATGCATAAGGATGCCTCTCCGTCGCGCCTCTTGCGATATCGTACGCACCTCGTCGAGCGGGAAGATGGTGCCCATCAAGGTGTTCTCGAGGCAGATCAGCCGGACCGGCGCATAGTGAATATCATCCTCCTCGAGCAAATTGGGCGCAATATCTTCGGACCAGCGCAGATGATGTCCATTGCTGGGCTTGACGGTGATCGTCTGAGCTTGCGAGTGGAATGCGATCCCGCCCGCCTCGTATTTCTGCTCCCAAGCTCAGTCGAGGTCTGCGCTCTGTCGGCTACTCACATAGACATGAGCGCGCACGTCACAGAGCACCGAATGCGGCGGCTGCTTCAGGTGCGAGCGTATCCCGAGTTGATTCGACTGACGCGGGTCTGCATAAGCTCATGCACATGCTGAAGTGCACATAAAGCTGACGAGAGTGCCCGACACGCAAAAGAGCGCTCGTTCTTTGCCGGCCAAATTGGCGATACGCTCCTGCAGCGCCAGCGTCGTCGCATCCTCGCTATACACGTCATCACCGCGTGTTGCTTGCCGCATCAGTTCAAAGACTTCATCGGTTGGAAAGGTGATCGTGTCGGCTATCCGCGCGGATGAGCACGTATCGAGTCATGACCGGCAGCAAGCTCACTCCGGAAGTCTCGCCTCAGCTTGGCCTCCTGTGCACGTCTTGCATCGCTCGATGTTGCCTCGGTCGAGACCATCCTCGACAATGCCTTCTTGCTGCCTATAGCTCGAACACTTGCCAGCATAGACTCGCCGGCGCTCGCGCTCTTGGTGTGCTGTCGATATCAATCGAGCACGTCAATTGATTTTCGCGTTTACTTCACCTTGCCTGCAGAGACAGGGGGCGATCAATCCTGATCAATGGACGGCTTTGACCTGGCCGAGGAGGTCCAGTGCTGGGCGTCAGACGACATACAAGGCGTGCAAGACGAGCTCGACAGCACGACGAGCCCTGCAACGATCTCATCGCGCCTCAACGGTGGGCTATTTGCGACCGTTCGGCTTGATCAACACATGCTCACTGTGCCATGCAGACCTCATCCTGTCACTCGCAAGCTCTTCAGAGCGTGTCACTGACCTCAATGTACTCTCTGAAGCAAAGACGCTCATCAAGTCGGCCGCCAATAGCTCTGACAAGCCCGGGCTGACCGCGTTCCTGATGCGACAGAGGCGTAGATCACCTCACTCAAGCCCAGCATTTGCAGCTACTGGACGGCCTTTGCTCAGGTAAGCTCTGTGCTGATGCTTGCGAACCATTCGCTAAGGATGCGAGGCAGCCTTCCTGAGCGAGCTCGATTCGACCGCGAAAGACTTGCATCCGTCCGAGCATGAAGGCTACCGAGCCCATCTGCCTGCCCTAGAGATCTACGCCTTCCTTGTCAGTGTACTTGTCGCCGCAACAGAGAAATCGGCGAGCAAGAAGAGCAGGTCAGATCAGCCAGTAGTATCGGCCAGGGCGCGTCTCCCCCTGTCGAGGTTCGGCAGGCATGCTGAGCCCAGTGCACTGCAGGGACGAGGCAAAAAGGCGACCGCATCTGCCGGCAAGAAATCAGACTGGACATGGCAGACAAGTATACCCGACGTGCTAGCTCTTTGGGCCAGAGTTCTCCGACTCAAGACCGAACGGCTGTGGTCGAGCACAAGCCAGCGGGACACCTTCATAGGGTAAGCGGCAAGCTTGATGATACAAAGAGGCTGAAACCGCCATAGATGCATAACCCGACCTGCGCATCAGCTCGCCGAGTCGGAACTGTACATGAAAAGCTCCGAGATCCGTATGGGCTACTACCGCGTCATCTCGCTCGCCGTCAAGTCCCACGGCCAGGCCTTTGCGACACAGACACAGGTCATCCAGAGCTTGCAGTACTTTGAGCATCTCAGCGATCCGATGGCAGATTTGCTGGCCGTGCTCGCAAAAGAGTTTGATCATACTCAAGTTGCCGAAGAAGTGCTGAGGTGAGGATTTTGTCATCCGCAAGCCACGGAGCTGACGTGCTGCATCCGAAGGCAAATCGCTGCAAAACAATTCAATGCACAAGACACAAAAGGGCCACGCTCCTTTTCGCGCTTCTTGACGCGTCTAGCAGAACTCTCGCCACGCATCGTACTGAAACAGATCAGCACGCTCCAAAAGCATCTCGACAGCGAGGTCAGCAGTTCGCTTCCCAATTCCACCGCTGCTGACAGACTCAACAGTCCTACCCAATGCGCAATGCAATCCTCGATGTTCTCGGCACCCTGATCAAGGAGTTGTCAAATTCGGAGGACGGCGACCCCGAGCAGCAGAAGAAGCAGCTCGAGGCATTCTTTGACCTGCTCTTCGAACGCTTTCTCGATCTCAATAGCTACGTCCGCAGCAAGGTTGCCGGCGTCTTTCTGCGCATACTTGAGTAAGCCGCGCGTTCGCTGGTCCACCTTAACGACATAAGCTGATGGGATAAGGTAGCCTGCCCACCAAATTCCCCAAGACCAGGCTGGAGCTCACACGCATGGCGACAAAGATGCTAGAGGACAAATCCAGCGCGGTTCGGAAGAACTGTATCAGTCTACTGATCAAGCTCATATTGACGCATCCTTACGGTCGCATGCACGGCGGCGAGCTCGCAGTCGCCGACTGGCAAGCGCGATATGACGCGATCACGAAAGAGCTTGAGCCCTTTGACGCGCCTACGAACGAGGCCCAGCTAGCTATGCAAGACGGCGAAGAGGCAGCAGGAGAGGCTGCGAACCACGCAAACGGCGTGCCGGACGGATCGATAGCTCTCGAAGCAGATGCTGACACGTCCATGACATCTCAAAGCTCGCCTACATCTGCGAGAGATACGAGAACCGCGGAGACCCCTGCCAAACGGCCCCGAAGATCAGATGGCATGGACATTGCCGCAATGACGCAAGATTCCGCTCTGGCGCAACTCGATCAGGATCAGCTCAATAAGCTGAGACTGACGAAGCGCTACTATGCCGATGCGCTTGCTTTCATTCATCATCTGAGCCGCGCAACCCCTGTTCTCGTCCAGCTCATCGCATCTACCGTCAAAAGCGAAGTACTCGAATCGATGGAATTCTTCCGCATCGCATCTGATTACAAGCTAGAGGACGCTACGCTGGGGATCAAACGAATGCTGCATCTGATCTGGGCAAAGGATAACTCGACGATGGAGGACGGTCAAGAAGTCAAGGGAGTTCGGTCGAAGCTCGTAGAGTGTTATAAGACACTCTTCTTCGACGCCTTGCCAGATCTCATCCCCAAGGACAACGTCAGCCGCATTGCTCGCAACCTGATACAGTCAGTCTTGCTGCCGATGTCGATGAACGAGACTGACGTGAGCGCAGGTTGACCTTTGCCGCTACTCTTGCAGATTTGACTTCACTTGAGCAATTGCTCGCTGTCATGACCGCCGAGAAGCCACTTCACGACGATATCATCAACAAGCTTTGGCAGGTCTACAGCACGCCCCGCGAGATCCCTCGAGCACAAAGGCGAGGCTCGATCATCATCCTTGGCATGTTAGCAGCGCCCAGACCAGAGATAGTCTCGGAGCGCATTGATTTGATCCTTACTATCGGTCTCGGCAAGCACGGCAAAAGTGATCTGGTTCTCGCCAAGTATTCATGCATCGCGCTCAAGCGTCTCGGCGGCAGTCAGAAGAAAGTCAAAGGCTCACTCGCTGACAAGAGCATCCGTTTGCCGATGGACGGACCGATTTTCGAACGGCTCCGTGAAGCGCTCGAGACCCCAGCAGACTCGCAAGAATGGTTCTCGATGGCAGAACAAGCTTTGAACACGATCTATGCTCTGGGCGAACAGCCTGACACGCTGTGCTCCTCTGTCATTCGCCACATGACTGTTCAGGTCTTTGGACTGCACAACCAGCCAGACGTTTCTAATGAGCTTGCACAATCGACGGAGCATGTTCGATTGACTGGCGATGCCTTCAGCCTTGCCAGACTGATCTTCGTAGCGGGCCATTGTGGGATCAAGCATCTCATCCATCTCGAGCTTGTAGAACGCGAATTTAAGCGTCGCAAAGCAGAAGCGGACAAGGCGAGCGCGAAGAGCAAGACAGCCAACGAAGAGCTCGACCAGGTTGCAGGCAACGTAGAAGACGACATTGGCGATATCGTCGCGCATGCCCGAGAGAAGGAGCTGCTCTACGCACCTGACGCTCTCCTCAGTATCTTCGCGCCAATGTGTGTCCAGATCTGCTCACAGCCGACCGTCTACGACCACGAGCCATTGCAAATCGCGGCGGCGCTGTCGATGAGCAAGTTCATGTGTGTCAGTCTGCAATTCTGCGAGAAGCACCTCATGCTGCTGTTCAAGATTTTCGAGACAACGACTAATCCGATCGTTCGAAGCAACATTGTGATTGCGCTCGGCGACATTGCCGTCTGTTTCTCGGCTCTCATGGACCAGAACAGTGACAATCTCTATGGTGGTCTGACGGACGCAGATCTGACGGTCAAGAAGAACACGCTCATGGTGCTCACGCACCTCATTCTGAACGGCATGATCAAGGTCAAGGGCCAGCTGGGTGGCATGGCAAAATGTCTGGAAGATGAAGAGCCTCGCATCAGCGATCTCGCTAAACTCTTCTTCTCGGAATTGGCGACGAAGGACAATGCAATCTATAACAATCTGCCAGACATCATCTCCAATCTGTCGACGGGCAAGCAGGGCATAAGCGAGGAGTCTTTCAAGGTGACGATGAGGTTTATCTTTACGTTCATCGACAAGGAAAAGCAAGCCGAGGCGATCGTCGAGAAACTCTGCCAAAGATACAAGCTCCTGACGGAAGCAAGACAGTGGCGAGATGTGGCCTTCTGCCTGTCGCTATTGCCATACAAGTCCGAGCGTTCGGTCAGGAAGCTTGTCGAATGCCTACCGCTCTACCGGGACGTGCTGCACGAGCCGGAAGTCTTTGCGCGCTTCACTGAGATCGCAGCAAAGGCAAAGCTGAACAAGGCTGCAAAGAACGAGTCGGATCTGACAGAATTTGAGGCTGCGCTTGCGGACGCCAACACGAGGGGCCAAGAAGACCAGGCGGTCGTGCAGAAGGCGGACAAGAAGCGGAAAGCTGCGCCAAGGCGGCGTCGCGTCGTTCAAGCGACTCCTCCTTCTTCGCCTGATTGACCGGCGTCAGTATCGATTTGTTGTTGAGATTGAGTATTGTCAAATTGCAGAATCGGTGCCTCGATAGGTAATACCAGTCGAAACGCAGACTGGTCTCGTTGCGATCAGTATGCGCAAGAAGTGCCCAGTTAACGTTCGTGCTGACCTTTCGATTGATGTAAAAGGCGTGCAGTCGCTTATCGCGGATGAAGCCTAGCTTTTCGTATAACGCGAGCGCGCCTGCGTTATCGACCTCTGTCTCGAGTACGATCTGGGGAAGGCATCATCATCGACGCAGATGCGTCAAGGGCATGCGTACCTCCTCGGCACCCTCGTCGACGATGCTGTCGATGGCCAGCTTGACGAGTTGCTGGGCTGTCTCGTGGATCAGATGGAGTGTCGAAGGCACTCGGTCGCGTGTCTTACCAATGCCTCTTTTTCTTCTGTCTGGCCGAATGGAGAGCATGGCGATATAGCCACGCCTTCGGCCACTCTTGTGTACGTCGAGCTTGCATACGATGACGCCTACAGCTTCGGCTGGCTCGCTTGACATGTCGTAAGCCTGCGAGGCGATTAATTTTGAGCTTCAGAGACCCCGCAGACAGGTCACCAAGAGACATAGCTGCGGCCTGCCGTCACGCGTGAGCTCGCAAAAGTATGCAACAGTGATTGCGGACCATGTGCGCAGAAAATAGTGATAGACGTAGACCGTATAAGGCTCAGACAGCTCGGTCTCTATGAGCCGCTGAACTGCGTCAAGCTCGCCGGCGTAGAAGCGAAACTGGATGATGGGAGCCGGTCCATCCGAACGAGGCGGTGTCGGTGACTGAAGGCTGACATTGGAGACGGCTGCCTCGAGCGAGCCATTCTTCATCCGCTGCCCGCCTGGAGACCACACGACGCGAAACTCGCTGCTGCTGGCCTGAGCACTGATCGGCTTGACTGCTCGTCTCCCACAGCCGCCGCGGACGCCAGGATGGTGCGTTGATGCTCCGTGGCTGTCCTCTGTGGCTGACGCATTCATCTCACCCAAACAGAGGCCGACACTCCGTTCGAGCTCAGTGAGTCTCGTCAGGCCCGAGCATCGCCTCGACGGGCTCATCGTTGCAATGCAGGGCGGAGCTCGCTACCCGTACCCGAAGGAAGTCTGGACGCCATCAGGTCAGTCTATACGGGCTCACAGGCCATGCAATGCTCGCAGACTGAAGGGTGACGCTCCCAGGTGGCTGGTGGACGAGGCCTGCAAATTGGAAATCGAACACCGCCCTCGTCGGCGCAAGCATGGTCTTCATCTGCTACGGGATATGGCAGTACTCTGCAGCCGCCGAGGTGGGTGCACTGCTTCTACAAGGGTGGCCGGTGGCATGGCAGGCTGACACGGACATGACAGGTCAGGCACAATCCGCCAACGCGGTGGATCCCATCGATGCTAGTGGGTCATGACCTCCACTAGAGCGGCCGGTGTGCTTACTTCTCTGGCCTGTCCTTCAGTGGGCAAAGCAGTTCACTTCGGGCAAGATGGGCATCAAGGACGAGGCGAGTACGGGCAGTGGGCAGCATTGATCGCTCGCGCCGCCCTCATGATAGCTTACTCGCGCAAGGATGCATTGTATACGGCAGCCAGAATGAAGCGTGGCAGGCCGCTGGTCCCAGCGTGTCTCTACGACGCCACTGGTCACTCGCGCAAGGTCGACGTTGACCTACAGTGACGGTGAGTTGCGTGAGGTTGGCGCTGAGCATCGATTAGACCCGACGCGCTTCTGTTTACACACGTGAACACCTTGCGCAGGCTCTATCGGCAGTCATCGACCGTGCGCGCTGTAGCCGAGGCGACTTGTCTCGCCTCAGCCTGCCATACGCTGAGCGAGGCCACCGGAGCTCCTTCGCTCTCGTCGCCCACTCTGCAGATCTGGACGTATCCGCCCCATCAAAGCTTGAACGCAAGGAACACAGCTGCGGGATGTACTAGGCAGCAAAGCAAGGTATGATCATTCGCTAGCTTCCTCGTCCATCTTGGGAGCCACGAGAGCTCCTCGGCTCTGCTGCTAGTACTCCGCGCTTCGCTGTCACTGCTGCCACTGCTGGCGACTGCGCCCAAAGGTGCCTGACCTTTGTCATCCTCGGCAGTCAAGATGCCAAGTTCGAGCAGCGATGAAAGGCCCGGGATGATCATCACACCAGAGTTGATCAGGTGAGTCCATCGCCCAGACTGGTCCGCCAGTGACTCATCTCGCCGCGCACGACAGGCCTAGGACCAACTTGCAGAACCTCGCTTCCACTATTCAGACCTGGTCATCTGCCGTGCACAGCCTGCCACTGAGAACCTCGCTCAGATCATCGTCAGGCTCCGGCAGGCAAGCCGGCTTCTCAGCGAGCCTGCCGCCACTCGATCCTCCTGAACACTCGGACCAGCTTGACCCCTTCGCGGAGCTTGAGCGGCAAAGTCAGGATGAAGGGGATAAACCCATTGTACCGGAGCTGCCGCCAAGCGCTCGCGTCCGATGGGCCAAATGGCACCCGCTCAAGCGACGTCGGCTCTTGCTCGTCATGCAGACATCCGGCCTCCTTCAGGCCTGGGAGACCTCTGATCTCAGACGCATACGACTCGCCTTCTCTCTCGATCTCAAAGATCTGAAACTCAACACAGATGGCAGCGATGCCATCGTTGTGCCTTTCTATTCCGTAGACGATCCTGATGCGTTACGTATGGCGATCGCAAATCGAGGCATGCCTGCTCAACTGATTCTGTACGATTCGGCCACCTCAGCACAAGTCGCATCGACATCTTTGCCCGGTAAGATAGTGGATATGCAGGTCAACCATCGATATATCGCCTTGGCTTGCGAGCGACCCATGCCGTCCATACATGTCTTTGCGCTTGACACGCTCGAAAGCCTACCGCGTTTCCCAATCATGGACGTGCCCAGCAAGCCTATCTTTTGCCTAGGTCTGAAGCGTCAGCTAGCCTATGCAACCACTATCGCTCTCCCTCGCACTGCTGGCTCAGGCATCATCGGACGAACGGCCTCGGGACCCTTTGAGCAACAAGAGTCAGGCCCAAACCGTTCACTGACGCAGACTGCGCTCGGTGTCACAGGTGCACAAGCGACGCAGACCGCCAGGCGGCTCAGCGAAGGCGTCTTCAACAACGTCAGGGCAACGCTCAACAAGTGGAACGCGCCCGAGCCACTCGCCGGCATTCCTCCTGCATCGTCATCTTATTCTCGTTCGGCGCCCACCACCGGGGCAAGTCCAGCGGAGCTAGCGACGTATCAGGAAGATGCGGCGTACGACTTCGGCTTTGTCAAAGTGATCGACATCGAGCGCAGCCAGCCGGGGCCCGAAGACGAACGAGACAAAGCGGCAGCACCTGCTGTGCTCTCCCATTTTCGTCCGACTCATTCTGCTCTTGCACTGCTCAGCCTGAGCCCGTCTGGCAATATGCTGCTTACTGCCTCAGTGCAAGGTCGTTCCTTCACTATCTTTGAGCTCAGGCAGCCCAGCTTCAGCTCTTCATCGCCCGGCAAGGTCTGGCATCGGTATACTCTCAACCGGGGCATGACAGTTGCGAATGTGACGGCGGCTTCTTGGTCGGCTGATGCTCGTCACGTCACGTTGGCAACTACACGTGGCACCCTGCGTATGTGTCGGTATTCATGGACGTCTGCATACTAATGCTGCTGTAGATATGTATGCGATCCAGATGCTCGGCGGTGCACCGACCCCTTTTACGCATGCGTCAACCATGCTGATCAATTCAGAAGACATGGCGCCTTTATCGATCGTCAGCTCGACTGTCGCGCGTATGCAACGGACACAAGCTGCAGTCGATCCCACTTCGACACCGACGCCTCCCGTTGCACAGTCTCTCATCTTTACAGGCTATAACGAAGCCCTCTTGCAAGATACGGAATTTGCAGCTCATTTCTCGGCTATAACGCAGCGTAACCCTTCATCAGCATGCTTCTTTGTTGCCTTTGACCCCATCCACAGCTTGCTGCAGCTCTATGGCATGCACTATGCATCACCAGTCACCGTCGGCATCTCGTCAGAGGTCGTCGCTGGCGCTAGATCAGGTCTGACGCAGATGATGCGCACTCACCTACCAGAAGGAGCACTCGCATTGACGGCAAGCATCACACCCTGTGCTGCATGGTCGCTGGCTCCCGCTTTGGGCGAAACCGCGCAGCTTGTTGCGGACCAGCCGAGCGAAAGCGATCGCCTAGCTCGAAAGACCAACTGGACTGCCGAAGCTGAGTTGGAGACGTACAGTTCTTCGCCTCTCGTGCTGCCAAAATCGATCTATCTTTCCCATCAATTCGACTTTGCCGTGCTTCATGGCAGTTTAGCGCTAGCGGAACTCAGCAAAGGCATATTTGCCTTCCAATCAAGGTCGATTGAAGTTCGACAGGATGTCAAGGTCGATGGCAAGGTTCTATCAGACGCAGTACCGTCGCCATACGGCGCGCCGATCAGGTCTGCAATGCACACTGTGCTCGACCAAGACCCTACAGTCTTTGGATCCCTATCACCCTCGTCTCTCACTCCGACGTTTCCGAATGGCGCGCGGGGCCGACATGGCAGCTGGCGCGATTCAGCGCCCACCTTCTCGCATATACAAGTCGGCCTTGGCCGGGTAAGGCGGGAGCTAGAACGTGCGGCCACGACGAGTACCCGTCGGCTATCCCGCGAGGGTCGTACAACGAGCGAAATCAGCGTCAGCTTCGAAGATGACGATGCTATACTTGCAGAAGAAGCCAGAGACCTGCCAGAATGCAACAGTGCGGCAAACGATCATGTCTCGACTCCCATCACTAGCATGAGCGATGGCAATGATGTTGCTGATGACTGGGCGAAATGGGAGTCTGACTCGCCTGGACGCGAGGAGAAGAAGGAAGTGGCGGCTGCCACTGCACCCATGGAAAGGCTCTCGCTGGAAGGCGAGGAGGATTATGACGATTTCGCGATCGGACTCTTTGACGAGCAGCGAAGCTCACTGGCTCGGCCGGACTGGCAAGGCGATGAGGCGAAGCAAGCTCCGCCAACGATTGCGACTGACTTTACTGATGTGCAGCTCGCCTCCGCCACCTCGCCAGGAGCATCGGTGCCAGCCAAGATAATCCCTGGCACACTCAAACCCCACGGCCTTGATTCACTTTCGAACTCGCCCAGTGGCGCATCACCTTCATCTACAGGCAGCAGCGGCTCGAGCAAGTCGGCTCGACGGAATGCAAAGCGGGCGGGCCGCAATGTATAATGAGCGAGATTTTGTTGTAGCTCAAGCGACTGCATTGTTGTTCAATTGCCACGTGCAATCAAAATTGACTACATACAGGCAAAGCTTTTGCCAAATCAGACGATGAAAGAAAGCCGAAAGCCCGTAGCGCCGTGTGCCCGTATCATGCCTTGCGTGAGCGGCGAGACTTGTGAGCAGCTTTAGCAGCGCGAGCAGCACGTCTAGCGCGTGCTGCGGCTGCCTTCTTCGCGTTAGTGGACTGAGTGACGACTGAGCCACCTGTCTTTGTGATGATGGCCATTGTTATATCTGCTGTCCCCTGACCGCAGAAAGCCTTGACAGTGGCTGCATGCCTGTGAGCTCGGGGTGCGTGTGCATAGGTCAATTGCTTACTGGAAGAAGCAGTGGCCACCAGAGGCTTGCCGCCTGCCTTCTTGCATGCGCTCTTAAAGCTACCAGAATAAGACTTTGCAGATTTACCAGTAGGTGCCTTGTGCAGCAGTCAGCTTTGTGCCCATTCAGGACCGCAGACTATCTCACTTGGACAATGTAGAGCTCTGGCGCGATCGTCGCAGTGGGAGATGCCACCGAGGTAGTGCTAGTGGCAGTCGTGCTTGTGCTACTCGCGGTGACACTTGTGCTGCTGGCCGGCGGGGTAGTCACAGGCTTGCTAGCACCGTTAGGCGAGTAGTAGACGCCCATCTTGCCCACAATCTTAGCACCTTTCACTGCAGCAGCGACCGCGGGTGTCATGTCGAAGACTTGTCCATGGGGATCCCAGACAGACTCGCTGATCTTGTGGATGCCTCCGCAGCGAGTCTGCACGTAGCCAGGAGTCGAGATGTTGAACATGTCGACGACATGGTGATAGCCACGAGGACCGACATAGTTGATGCACGCAGCTCTCCACAGACGGTAGAACTCTGTGTAGGCGGGGACTTGCGGTCGCGGCATGACAGCAGGGAACTGGATCGTCCAGTCTGTCTTTGAGATCGAGTACTTGGGCGCAGTGGGTGTATAGTCATAAGCTGCTTGAGCCGATGCCGCCATGAGAGCAACAGCGAATGCGATGTTTGTTGTGACGACCATACTTGCTGAGTGATCAGTGTCAATGAATGCGATGTGCAAGTGAATGAGTGTGACGGCGGTGTGTTGCCTCAGTGAAGGATGCTCAAAATTCGCTGTGTCAAGTCGGTCTGCGGATCAGTCGTGAGCCGTCGAAGACTGATGGCCAGTTATATAGATGCGGATAGAATTAGAAATACCAATCGGGCGGGCGAGCACGCGCGGTTCGCTCGACGCGTTCGACACGTGCGGCGTAACAGCGGCCCTGCAAGCGCAAGACGAGCACCGCATCTTCAGGCAACGTCTTTGGCGACCTCGATCGCGCAGCAGATACAAAGAATGTTGCACTGATCGAGATATCCGGATATCGCAGCGTCTGATACATAGGCAGATTGATGCATTCTACGGTGGCGATACAACATTCAGCGACGCCATGAATCTTGAGAGATACTGCTCGCTGATGGCAGATGCATAGAACGAAAATTGCGCATCGTGAGCGAGTGAAATGTTGTGCGCAAGCTCGTGGCTGACAGTGAAGAAGCATGAGATGAGAGCTTCAGTGAGGTCGCCTGCGATGACCTGCTGATCGTGCCAGGACAGGTAGAAGCGCAGGTTGAGATAGATGCTGCCGCCTCGATTGAATGCGATCAACGGTCCTCCCAGATCGTAAAACACGTGCAAGCTGCGCGGATCAACTGAAAACACCCGTCCGATTGGCTTGACAATCATGTTCTGCGATTCGATGAGCAAATAGTCTGTGTCTCTCAGTAGAAAAACGCACAATGAAGCGGACGAGGGCATCGCCATGCTCGTTGATGATGTTGCTCGGCTGCAGAACTGCTTGCGATACAAAGAATCGCAATCCAGCAACATCGGCAAAGAAAGCGAGATCTGCGTTAGCGCCCGAAGCGTCGCAATACGTTCCCTCTGACTCCTTGACCTGCCGTAGCTCGGTCTTGCTTTCAACGGATTGCTGAAAGTCTGGACGAGATGATGCGACCGCCCGAAGAACGTTTTGCTTGATGTCTGACAGCGGTGACGCGGTGCCTTTAGGATCTGGCAGGCCGCCGGAAGCTTGCGGCTGTCTTACGATTTGCTTCTGCTCAAACTGACTCGCCTGAGACTTACCGGCCACGGCGACCGGCAAGGGGTGATGGCCAGACTGAGTTGACAGTAGTTTCTTCTTAAACGCGTTGAAAAAATTGGGCGAGGGCCCAGCGTTTGCTTGGAGTGTGTCGGCAGTGGAGCCCTTGAATACTTGCTGATGCTCAGACTTTTCGATAGAGGAGCGTCTAACCATGGCATCGCCAGAGCTGCTGGCTGGCTCTTCACCCGTATAAGCAGCGTTCTTGTCTGGCAAGGGTTTACGCAGCAATGCAGCAGCCTCCTCGCGCTCCATCTCCCGCCGGCGCTGCTCTTCAGCTTCCTTCTCGAGTCGTCTGGCGTTCAAGACGCGGTCGACATTGAACCCACGTCGCTTGAGATTCTTGAGCGAAGTCTGAAGTAGAGTCATGAACAGCAGCGAATCTTGCAGCTTCGGCTTCGTCAATATGAGCCGACAAAGACTGCTTGCAACCTCGAAATAATCGATCTCGGGGATATTGGCCGCGAGATATAGCATGAGCTTGCGTTGTCCATCCTCAAGAGTCGCAGCTGCAGATGCGCTTGTCACATGCGTTTTTACTACCGTTTGATGCTTCAATGTCCGATGCTGCACGAACGTCAGACCAGAAAAGCTCCAAAGACTTGTGGTGACGAACAAATTCCAGGCTGTCTACAATGCCAACGCTGAGGTGCGACTTGACCCATTCAGCGTCTCGCTTGACATCTTGCCGCTGGTAAGTCTGCCGTTCGTGCAAGAATAGGGCAGTCCGTTCAAAGACGAGCTTCTGCAAGTCTTGCGACCGTTGAGTCGCAGATCTGACGGATCCAGTCGTATTATAGCGCGATGTGACGAGAGCTGAGATGCGAGGCGCACCAAGCGACTCTGCAAGCGCTTCCAGCACATCCTCTTGTGGGCAGGCACTGATTGAATCTGCAAAGATGATCGCTGTATTTGAATCATCGATTACGACCAGATCTTGTGCTCGGCATAGGTCATATGATATCAAGCCGTCGTCTTCGTCCTCGTCGTCCGAATCTGACCGTTTCCGCCCTGCTCTGGACTTCTGCGAGGTCGGCAATCTGCGCGAGCCAAGAAGCCAAGCTGCGGTACGCATCTGACGCTGAAGTGACGAAGGAATTGTCTTCGAGCTGCTCGCTATCTGACGAAGGATAGCAAGGTACTCTGATGCCGAGCCGGCAAGGGCATATATTTTTTTGGGATCATTGACGATCATCTGCGCAATCTCTATCGTAGATGGTTCTGTTTTGACACCAACTGCGGATAGGAAGGGCCTGGCTTCGGAGCCGAAATCAACCGTCTTGATGAGAGAACGCAAGGTCGAGCTGCCCGTCGAGAAGTACAGCTCGCCTGGAGCTTGGAAGCTTTCTCCCTTGCCGTCTTTGATAAATACGAAAGGGGCTGCTTTCAACCGTGCAAGCTCGGCGGCGCTGAAGAAAGCGACGCGTGTTGAAAGATAACCAAAGATGGCCGAGGCCTGGCTTATTGTTGGCGGCGGTCTGGCGAGCAGCGCGTCGATGAGGGCAGTACTGCTGGGATCGGAGCGCAGACCAAACTTGACAGCTTCTGAAGCATAGCTGCTGTGAACGACCCGGAAACCTAGAAGTGCAGCGGCCTTGCTTGTGAAGACCTCTGAGGGCCGAGCGTAAGTTGCCGAGCCATCGCTGAGCAAGCAAGGCACAAATGGAAGATCATGATGCTTCGGATCGAATGCCGAAGCATAATTGCTGGACGTGAAGTGCCCAACATAGTATGTAAGCGCTTTCTGCTGCTGGATAGGTCTCGAAGGATCCGACGCAATCTCGAGCAGATCTTTGACCGTAGGTGTCTTGCGCAATCTTAGAGAGTCGAGAAGGAAACGGCCCTCGTCAGAATTCGGCCTCCATTTGCCAGTTGGCCAGTCCAGTAGTGGCAGTCCGATCGTACGCAGATTCTCCTGAGGTTCGAAGAGATCGCGCGCTTTGTAGAGCTTCCGACGCCCACCCGGCGCAGGCGCAGCTTCGCCTTCGCGCGGCCAACAAGCTGTATCGACCAACCTATTTGAGCATGTCAACGTGTGAGTATGTCCGCGGTCGCATGAGCTTACCGTGTCAGCTCCTCGCTGGACAGGTCTGCTTTGCGGCTGACGAGGTGCCTAGCAAGGTCCTGCTGAGACCATGCGCCGCCCCCTACCAGGCGTGTGAAGACAAGCTGCATCTCAGGGTGTTTCCTGACGCCTAGCGCGAGCAAGAAGCGTTGCAGGTTACCCTTTACCTCGTGACCGCTCGGCAGTGTGACGATCGCCAAATCCTCGAACAAGTCAACATTTGCAAAGTAGGCTTCTGTCGCCCGTCGCTGCCCGTTCTTAGTAGGCACAAAGGGCATCTCACGTGCCACTGATAGCACTTCCTGCTGATTCGAAGCTGACAGACCCGGCCAGATGCGAGCAAGCGATGTCAGTACCTTTTCAGCGAACAATTGATTGCCCAGAATGTTCGTGGCTGGCTCGGCTTCGGAACCGGTCATTTGTGCGCTGAAGAGATGTCTTAGCCATGCCGCAGCTGTTAGATCCGACCAGCGGAAGACACGCCGCAATTCATCAGCGTTGAACGTCCGGCTGAGCGCGTACGGCAGGCAAGTCGGTGGCAACCTTAACTCTGGCGGTATGGAGATCGAACGAGTGTTAAGCACGGTCTCAATAGTGCTCAGAGGTACGATACGCTCTTCTTTGCCCGTATCGACTTGAAGCAGTGCGACCGATAGGAACCGATCGAGAAGAGAGGGTTGATACGATGCATCCTTTGCAAGCGAGAGATACCAAGTCAAGCAGGACCGCATCTCTTCGACAGTGAGGGCCCGCGTTTGCAGCTCGGCAAGGACATCGTCAAGCGACGCATCTCGCAAGAGTGAGCGCTGGCGCAGAAGGCCGATCAGGCCAGGTGCGCCCTCCATTATTGCCGTAGGCAAGGTCGGCAGCTTCTTGAGGAATGAAAGCTCGATCGAAGGCAGCCGGATTTCAGAGGCTGACATAGGCCCAACGCTGCTCATCACGATGAAGCTGTTGTCGCGAGCTGCTGAGAAGAAGTGAAAGGCCGTATCTTGCGCAACAACGCTGGAAGGCGTCGACGTCGCAAAGGTGAAAAAGCGCATGGCATGGATCGATCGACGATGCAGCCATGCCAGACTCTCTTCGTCAGGCGCCTTTCCGCCTTGCTGAAGACTTGCCCAGATTGACCGGATCTCGGCCAGCTCGGCATCATAAGTCGCTCGTGCTAGCATACCACCTGCCCAGAGTAGCTCCCGATTCCATTCGGTGACATGTGGTGCTTGAAAATCGATGCTCTCTCGCTCGACTGTGGGCACGAAACGAGCAGCAAGCGATGCGGCACAGCCCGTCGTCTGGTGAGTCGCAAAGCCGATGAAGACCCTGCCTTGCTTGTCTAGATCGGATGACAGCCCGTCGAAGATCCGTCTTGCTTCTGTCTCTCGCCGTGTTTGCGAAGTATCCCCCTTTTTGGATGCGGCTCGACTGGCTTCATATTCATCTGAAGAGTTGAAAAGCAGCTGGACTTTCGTGGATTTTGGGGGAGCCTTCTTGGTTGCTCGTTCCATCTCTGCGGCGAAAGCGGGTGCAAGCTGCACCTTGACATGCGCGGTGAGTATGCGTAAGAAGAGGACGACTGTGAGTAGCTCGACGGGATCGTCGATAGCTAGCGGTGTACTCTCTTCTTCGGCTGCACGTGTGGTCGAGCCTGAAGCATGCTGACGTGTTGGCTTGGTAGTATGCGATATGCCAAAGGCAGACGAGAGCATACGGCTTGCGAGATTGGTCGACTTTGTGATGGAACTCGAGATGGGGCTTGATGTCGAAGCATTAGCCTTTTCGGCTGCTATGGTCTTGTTTCCTTCTAGTGCTACCCAGCGCATGACTTTGGCGGTGATCTGAACGCTCTGTTGATCTACTGCAGTAATGCGCATCATCCGCGTTGGACTCAATGAATGCAGATTGTCTGCCAGGGCCATTGGCCGTGTAGGAGCGGCAGACTTTGTGATGATTGCGAGCGTGTACTCCTGATACTGCAGCGTGATCGATCGTACATTTGAAGTGAATGCGAGCGCGGTTGAGAGAAATCTAACGAAGGCTTCGATGGGATAGAGCGGCATCGGTTTTCTGAGATCCATGATGAAGCTCGTCCACCGCTGTGCGATGTCTGACTCGTCTGGATTCCTGGCCCGCTTGACGTAGAGCTGATCCTTCCCATCCCGCCAATTGAAACCCATGATCTCTCTGCCTGATGCGACGAGTGGGCACTCGCACAGGGAGAAGAGCGAGTAGAAGCCAACGCCGAACGCGCCGATCTTGTCCTGATCGGGGTTGCCTGCAGCGATGGTAGCTAGTCTACTCCAGTCGTCGGAGGAGAAGACAGCGCCATTGTTTCTGACGACGATGCGACTGAGAGGCTCGTGCTGGCTGAGTTGTGATGCCGCCGTTGCGGTCTGGAAATGTATATGTACTTCTGTGGCCGTGGCATCATCTGCATTCTGCAAGAGCTCGCGAAAGACTGCTCGTCCTCAGATCAAGCGCAAGCCAGCGATCAAGGGCAAGGTGCTCACCCGTATATTCGCCAGAGTAGCGTGCCAGGATCTTGTCAATGAGTGCGCGCTGGTTGACTTGCACGTCCTCTTCTACGCCCGAAGCGAGAGCATGTGCATAGTCTGCCATGCCGGGCAGGGTGTGCGATCAGCTGCCGTACGACGGGCTGCAGCGCCAGCAGTGGCAATGTGCCGTGCCGGTGACGCGGTGACGATGACGACGCGTTAGAACGTTGGAAAGTCGTGCTCCTCCTCCCATCGGCAACTGTCCGACAGTCAGCATGGTCAACATCGCAGTCGTAGGCTCCGGCGTATCGGGTTTGGCAGCTACATGGGTACTCTTTCCTCGGAGGAATACCCGATCGGAGCTCATGAGCCGCTCCGACAGCTGCTCAACGAGCACTCGGATCATGAGGTCCATCTCTTCGAAAAGGGCACCTACGTCGGCGGTCACACTCACACCGTGCCTTTCAAGCAACCTCGTAATCCGACTGCATCGCCCGTGCCTGTCGACACGTAAGCCTGCCCATCGTACGCCGAGGAAGAGCTAAGTGATCAGACATCAGAGGCTTCATCGTCTTCAACGAAGTCACTTATCCCAACTTTCTGCGCTTCCTCGAGCTCAAGAAGATCAACATCACCGGCTCGGACATGTCCTTCGCTGTCTCGCGTGACGCTGGCGAATATGAATGGGCTGGCAAGACTCCCGCGACGCTCTTTGCCCAATGGCAGACTCTCTTCTCGCCTGCCCAATGGCGCCTCGTATGGGACATCATCAGGTTCAACGCCTTCTCTACAGAAATCCTCGAACAGGTCAAGAGCGAAGCAAAGGCCTCCTCCAGCGCTGCAGGACAGAGCATTGGCCGTTATATCGAGAAAGAGGGATACTCGGAGTCCTTCAAGAACAACTATCTTCTGCCCATGACTGCAGCCATCTGGTCCACACCACCCGACCGATGTGCACTCGATTTCCCTGCTCAGACACTCATCCGGTTCATGCACAATCACCACCTCTTGCAACTATTCGATCGTCCAAGGTGGCTCACTATCCAGAATGGATCGATATCCTACATCAATGCCATCACAAAGTCGCTGCCACCCAAGCGGCTTCACTTGAACACGGCAGTCACCGCAGTGACCAACACGGGCGAGGGCCAAGTGATGCTCACCTTGCAAGATGGCAGCAAGCAAGTCTACGACCACGTCATCCTAGCTGTTCATGCCGACGAGGCACTGGAGATGCTCCTCAACGGTGCAGACGGTGCAACACGCGAAGAAGCCGAAATCCTGGGCGGATTTCAATTCAACAAGAATGTCGCTTACCTTCATTCCGACCCAGATGTGAGTCTATGACCTGCATCATTCAGCTCGTCAGACGTTGACTCCCGAGCTGGACAGCTCATGCCGAAGAGACGTGTGGCCTGGTCAGCTTGGAATTATATGACGAAATCTGAGGAGAAGAGCGATGCCGTCGACACCATCTCGTTGTCAGTCGTTCAGTGATAAGCACGGACAAGCTGATGCGTAATGCAGGACATACTGGATGAATCTGCTGCAGAATATCGACGAGAAGGAACATGGCGATGTGCTTGTTACTCTGAATCCGTTGACGAAGCCCAAGCCTGCCCTCACCGTTGGGCACTGGAATTACGAGCATCCACTCTACACTGAACAAGTGAGCATCGCATACGTCTGCATTGATTTTGACTCATACAAGTCCCAGAGCGTCGCGAGTCAGGGTAACTTGCACAGGATACAGGCCAAACGAGGCGTTACCTTTGCCGGGGCTTGGACAAATTATGGCTTCGTGAGTTGTCCAGACGCTCGTGTTGCAATGCTGATGCTCGTACGGTAGCACGAGGATGGCTTTACGTCTGGCTTGCGAGTAGCAACGACTTATCTCGGGGTCAAGCCGCCCTTCGAAATTCGTAGTGCAGAAAGACAGACGAGGTCAGACGCGCTCTCCGAAGCCGGCAAGCTCATCATCGAGTGTCTCGACTTTGGCAGACGCCTTCTGGAACCATTCTTCGTTGCTGCTATGATAATGCTCGTATTCACAGCACTAGCGTGGGAGCATGTCTTGATGCCTTTAGAGCTTGCATTACGGCGCACCACGAGCATCGCTCCCGGCATCCTCAGTCGACGGCGAGAGCGGGCAGCTGGGACGCTCCGGGAATCGCGACAGTTGATACGGCAGCTCCGAAAGTACTGGGCGACAGCGGCGGGAAGGCCAAATCCGAGAGGACCCCGAGCGGCACTTAAGCCGACAAACAAGAAAATGAGGTAGAGCAAGCAGCTGTGTTGTGTTGTTTAATGCTTGATATCCTTGCCCGGATACAGCTTGCCCGGATTAAAGATGCCTTGAGGGTCCAAGCTCTGCTTAAGCTTGCGCAAGACCTCGACAGTAGGCTGACCAAGCTCTGCAGCAAGATATTCTCGTTTACCGACCCCGACGGAGTGTTCACCCGTGCAAGTACCGTCCAACGTCTGCGCTCTCTCGACCATTCGATGAACGGCAGCACGGGTCCGCTTGAGCTCGTCGTCATTTCTAAACAAGATCAGAGCATGGAAGTTGCCATCCCCGACATGACCAACCATTGGTGCGATCAGACCTGCGCTTTCGAGATCCCGCTGGGTCTCTTCGATGAGGGCCGGTAGATTCGTGATGGGAACACAGACGTCTGTGGTCCACACTCGCGTCTTATCATCGTCGAGATAAGAAAGTGCTGACCATAGAGCGACCTTTCGACTTTGCCATAGCTCATCTGCTTCTGTCTTGTCTTTTGCGAATGTGACTTGCAGGGAGCCATGTCGCTTAACGATCTCTCGGGTTGTCTTGGCGTCGTGATTCATCTGTGCCTCGTTACCGCTAAACTTGATGAAGAGACTAGCGGTCTCCGCCCACTGACGGCGTGTCTTGTCGAGAGCGTTGGCCTTATTGACGGCCTTCATCATCACGTCATCCAGAAGTTCTAGGCATGCAACTCCAACGCCTAGCTCTACGTCAGATGCGTCCTGTAGTGACTGGCTCATTGCCCCCGCTTACCTCGTCCGACCATTTCTGCCGCTGCATCTGCTGCCGCTCGTACGCTTGGAAAACTGATGACGGAAACAGTCGTCGGCATGACCGGGTACAACTTCAGTGTCGCTTCGGTGACAATGCCAAGTGTGCCTTCTGAACCCAGAAAGAGCTGGCCCAGGTTCGGTCCTGCTGAAGACTTGCGGGCGCGCGAGCGAGTGGTAACGACTTGTCCGTCTGCCATGACGACCTTCATGGCTATGACGTTCTCTCGCATCGTGCCATAGCGGACAGCGTTGGTGCCTGAGCAGCCTGTGCCAATCATGCCACCGATACAAGCGCCGGGCCCGGGATCTACCGGAAAGAACAACTGTCTATCTTTGAGCTGCTCATTAAGGTCGTCATAGGTCAAGCCCGGCTGCACGACCGCGTCGAGATCGCCTGCGTGGACTGCTAAAATGTTCGTCATGTTTGCGAAATCGAGCGTGAAGCTTCGGCCCGCCTTCATCTCGTCTGTCTCAGGCTTGTGGTCTTCAGGCACTCCGTGCTGAGGGGCCATGAATTGTCCTTCCAAGCTCGTACCGCCAGCAAAGGGCACAATGGGTATGCCATGCAACTTTGCTATCTTGACTATGCGGACGACATCGTCTGTCGAATTGGGGTAGAGTACAGCGCCCGGAACCTTACGGGTCATATGATACGACCAATCGCTTGTACCGTGTGCGACGAGCTCCTGCTGATCCGTCGTGCAATTCTCATGACCGACAACGTTCTTCGCAGCTTCAAGAGCAGCATCGAATTGAGCTTGCGTAGGGTTAGGCATGGCAAGCTCGTCGGCGACTGCTTTGGAGTTTGTAGCGCTTTTCGAAAGCAGGGCGAGTGCATATGTCGACGATCCAGTGACCGTAGCGAGCATGATGAGTGTCAGTGTTGACCATCGTTGCTTATGGCCTCGCATCCCATTCGGCAAACGAGCAGACTCCAAGCGAGACGATGGACGCAAGCTTGGCGGCTTGAAAGGTCGGTCTTGCGGCTGTAGAGGGTGCACTCGCTGTGAAGCGCCTGCGCTCGTCTGTAGGCACCGTCTCGAAGCCACGCAGACTCGCCTCAGCCCATCCGCGCGAACAGACATGCTGTATCCAGGCAAGATCAGTGCTAGCGCTCGAGCATGCTTTGCAGATCGCCAACTTTGCGACGCGCTCAACGCGGGGTAACCTCAATTGCTGCTCACCCTAAACCATGCACCATGCATTGCAATCACTCTTCGTCATCAAAGAGCAGCTGAGCATCATCGTCCTCATGAGGTAACCGGTACCCTCGCTTGGGCCTCAAGCGCTTGGGCATCGGCAAGCGCTGCAACCAAGCAAAGGCAGCCGAAGCAACCCCGAGCAGGTGATAAGGCACAGACGCAAGCATTGACGTCGCCGATGAGTCGTCCCAGCCAGGCTCGGGCAGCCTGATTGATCCCTTTGCTCGCCTTCTCATCCACCATAAGCCGAATAGCCCGGCAATGAGACCACAAATGGCGACGACGAAAATCCACCAGAACCATCCGTGCCGCGAGTGGCCGGGACAAGTGTGTTGCGCTCCCTTGTCTAGCTGAAGACCGCCCTGACAGGACGAGTAAGGGATCTTGCGATATGCTGTTCGCTCATTCCAGAATTGATCGTACAGGCCGCAAGTCCCGGGATCAGACGGTAGAGCGAACGCGCCCTCGACGAGCTCGCATTCGCCTTTCGCATTGCGGCGATGATTGAATTCGCATTCGAAGTCTTCCTCGCTGCAGGTGCAATTTCGCACGATGCTATGCACTTCCGGTAATCGCTCACCGATGTAGCAACTCCTGCCTCGTATTCGCCGGTGATAGAGCGTTTGCCTGCCAAACAGACACTCCTCCTGTCGGTTCTCTGAAGGCGACCAGAGCTCGAAATCGTCTGCGTTGGGATCTGCAAGATCCAATTTGCCTGCCAATCAAGTCAGCATACGCCATACGGAGTGTAAAACTGGCGCCTACATTTGACGTTTGAAAGCTTGGAAAAGTCCAGATGGATCGCGACGCTGACATCTTGCTTCTTGGGCGAATAGCCGAACAGAACGAAGCGCCGGCTAGTATCGCTGGGTACAGTCATGATGGACTGCACGCGTATCGCCTCGCCAAACACATAATCCTGCCAGCTGTCGCCTTCGTCCGTCGTATAGCTGATGCGATCAGTCGCTTGCTCGTCATTGGCAATCACAATGATGGAGCCTTGGTCGCCATACTCCCAAAGATGCGCGTCCTTGCGCACCTCTTGCCAAGTGAAGCCGGCATCTCGCGTAAGGAAGAGGTCCCCATCGTTGTAGGCCCCGAGCTTCTCACCGACATTGCCGACTGCAACCATCAGGCCGACTGCTGTCGGACTGCTGTATGTCGCTCGTGGATCGGTACGCTCGGTATAGCCGTGAAGATGTAAGGAGCACTTAGTGCCTTGACAAGCAAAAGGCTGGTTCAGCGAGTCTCGGGCAGGCGGTGGTATCGATTTCCACCTTCCACCATCATTGTGTGTGATTCTAGTCTGTAAATCCTTGCGAGCTGTCACACTCGCATCTTCAGGATTGCTGACGATGTTCATGACCGCAATACCGTCGAGGCCAATCGCCTTTTCGAAATCTGCGAAGCCGCGCTCGTTGCGATTCACATATTCGAGCGACATTGCAAAATAGGTGCCATTTGAGTTCGACTTGAGTAAGCTCCCCCATTCGCTGCCTTTGGTCGGATGCGTGGTCACGTGAAGAAAGACCGCATCAGTCACCGACTCAAGGACGGTGTACGCCTACCATCCGGTCAGTAACCGTCGGGTGTTCGTCACTAGGTACGTACCTGAGATTCAAGGCGCATGCTTGGTGGGAACTGCGCCTTCGCAAATGTCTTGCCGTCGAGCGAGACTCGGAGATTAAGCGCGCCGGTCGCTTCGATGTATTCAGCCACGACCATGTACTCCTCGAACGTGGCAAATCCGACGACAGAGTCGAATAGCTTCTGCTTGCGATTGTAGAAGTCCCTCCCAGCGATGAGCTCGAGCGCGTTATCTTCAAATGCGCGCTGGCTACCGCTCTTAGTGCGATACGACTCGCAGAAGATCATTGTTTCATCGATTTTGAACTTCTTGTCGCGTGCCCATGAGCACGTCCGGATGTAGTGCTCGATCTGCTTCCAATTGCGACCGTTGTCTTTGCTCATGAAGGCGACCGCTTGACATGTCGTCGATACAGATGACGTGCAGTCTTTGCTGCCAGTCCAGAGCAGCCATTCTGCTCGCGTTGGGTGGAAGTCCAGCACGGGTATGCCGAGCCCGTTCGCTTCCATTGGCGCCTCGAAGGTAGCCCATTGCTCGCCTCGATTGGTCGTATAGTGCACCTTGCGGCTTGACGTTATCAAATAGGCGTGATCGCGAGCATATGCATGCATGGTCATGGCTAGAATTGGACCATCGAGAGCTAACTTGCGCCATGCAAAGCCTTCGTTGTCAGACTGCCAGACTTGCTGATCGAGCGTGTATGCCAAGAGCGCATGCGAATCAGCAAAATACTGCTGATCGAGTACTAACGAGTCGAAATCAGTGCGTTGATGGGTGACTTTGCCAGGCGCTTGCTTGCCCTCCGAACAATCTTTCATGACCTTTTCGTCTTTGCGAAGACCAGGCGTTGGTTGACAGCTATTGCCAGGTATCTTGCGATAGCCTGACGAGCCCAGGAATTGATCGCCATCCTTCTGACACTGACCAGGCGGAATGACCTCTGGCGCAGCAAGTACGCACAGCTTCTTGTCGGGCACATAGTTGAAGTCACACTCATAGTCATCGTTTGTGCAGGGACAATTCTCTTCTGTACCGACAGGATCCTTGAACTTCTCACCGACGACACAGTCTGCATCAGCCTTACGTCTCTGGAACCACTGCTTGTGGCCCATAAGACAGTCGGGTGCGCTCGCGCCGCCTGCTCTCGCGTACCATTTCTCGAAATCGCCTCTGCTTTCCTCGCAGTGTCGTTTGTTCATGGTAGCAAAGTCAAGATACACGATTGCGTGCCGATTACCGTCCTGTGACTTTGCGCCCTTGTCGAGGGTGCCAAGCACGAGGAATTTGAGCGAGGTCGAGTCAGGCACGGTCGTCAGAAGCTTTGCGCGGATTTTGACGTCAAAGTCAAGCTTTTCCCACGTCTTGCCATGATCGAAGCTGTACTTGACATGATCTGTCGCTTCATCATCTTCGATGAGGACGAGGATACTGCCAGCGTCGCCGAACTCGTACTTATGAGGCCCATCGTCGATCATGCGCCAAGTCACACCCGCGTCTGTCGAGAGGAACGTATCGCAGTCGTCATAATCGAGCAGATGGTCGCCTACGCTGCCCACGCCCATCACAAGTCCGGGCGCGGTGGATGAAAAGACACGGCCGAAGTTGTGCGGAGCAGTGACTGAATGCAGGTGCAGGGAGCACAATTCAACATTGGAGACATCGCACTTAAATGCCTTGCCCTTGTGATCGACTTTGGGCGCAGCAATTAACTGCCAGTGACCCCCATCGTCCCAGGTGATCTTGGAGACAATGTCTTTTGCTTGCTGGCCTCCCTTGACTTCATCCGCATTAGCCACAGTATTTGCGATGGCAACGCCTTCTATGTTCTGCAACTTTTCGAAATCGACGATGCCGTTGACATTGCGATTGGTATTTTCGAGAGAGCGCACGAAGAACACACCATCCGAATTGCTTGTAAACAGTGTACCCGAGTTGGCGCTCGGATCTGTAAGTACATCGACGAGGATAGAATGGCTAGTCGATTCGACAATGGTATACGCATTCTCTTTGAGTCCGTGGCCATGTGGGAACATTGCCCGGGACCAATTTGTGGCATCTTTGGAAACATACATCAGCATCTGGTCTGCGCCATCGCTGTCTGTGCCGCCATTGTACGCCGAGGGGGGTCTGAGAGCAACGACAAGGTACTTCTTGATGCCGCCGATGCCGACTAGCCCCCGAGCTTCTTTGCCGATGCCAAGATCGATCAAGCGACGATCCTTGTCGAAGAAATCAGTCGAGGCATATAGCCTTGACTCCTTGAGGCTGCGCATGCCCCCCGAGGAAGCATTGTCTGATGGCGCCTCGAACGCGACGCAGAATATTTGCTCATCTGGCACATCAGCGGCTGCTTCGAGGGTCGAGTGCGCCCAGATACACTTTGAAGTGTGTTCGAGCATCTTCTTGGGATCGCTCGAGAAGGCGTCTCTGGTCACAAAAGACTGGAAAGCTCATCAGACATGCTGTCGCGTGGTGAAACAAGGCAGTACGCACGACATCGTAGCACACTTTGCCGAGCCAGCCGCCATCGCTCTCGCAATCTTGGCCAGTGTACAGGATCCACTCTGGCTGTCGTCTGTTTAAGGTTTGCTGCATGAGCCCAATGTGTCAACGCATTGGTAGGGCACGGACGAATGAAATGTGAGAGCAGGCACGCCGACTGCTACTGGTAATGGCGCTTCGAAATGTTGCCAAGTCAGGCCTCGATCTATGGTGCGGTAGTGCTTGCGATCTCTGGACATGATGAATGCCTGCGCAGGTATTCGATGAGCGAATGCAACCGCAAGAGCGAGGGAGCGCAGGACCATGCGGTTGTCGTAAGGATGCTCGACGATTGTCCAGCTCTCGCCTCGCGTGACATCTTTGGCTAGCTCCCACGTCTTGCCCTCGTCTGGGGAGCGCCAGGTATCCCTCGATACTGCATCATGGTATAGTATGACCTGTTGTGACAACGAAACAATCACGAGACACGCAGTGGCATGGATGAGCATGCGAGGCTTGAGCGAGATGCATGAGCTCATGACGCACAGGCGTATCGTCGAAATAGAACAGTCTGCTGGGCAGGTTCTCGATGCGTGTGAAGGAGCTCGTCGGCTTCTGCGCCGACGCTTGCAGTGGACACAGCAAGCCCAAGATTGCTAGCCAGAGCAGCTGCGCGCGCCGATTCGATGCTGAGCTGCACGATCGGCAGCTCTTGGGCGGCCGTCCAAGCCACAGCCGCATGTCAATAGCCCTCACTGGCGTGCTGAGACTTGTCGGGCTGCGTGTGTGGGAGAAGCTGCTGCCTTGAGCTTTGGGTGACTGTCGCTGCTTACGACGCGCACGAGTCGAGTCGAGTGAGCGTGCCACCGACATCATGAGCTTAGAGCAGGCTGAGGCAGCTTACGACTCGGAGCCAGACGAGGCAAGGAGGTTGGCCCAGGCAGTCTTCGATGACAAGTCGACGGCGGGCGACGCAAAGGACAAAGAGGGCGCACTCGTTCTGCTAGGTCGCTTGGCGGCAAAGAAGCAGTCAGTAGCTCACGCCTGATCCCGTCGTGCGCTCTGCTCGATGCTGAAGTACCCTTGCAGTGATGCAGCCGAGCTACAAAACGTCATTCGGTCGTCTCAAGCCTACCTGACAGTCATCGCGAAAGCCAAGACGGCAAAGCTCATCAGGCGACTCATCGATCTGTTCGGCGACATCCCCGGGAGCAGCAGGCAACAGGTGGACATCACCAAGGAGTTCATCGAGTGGGCGCGAACAGAGCGAAGAGTCTTCCTCCGTCAAAGCCTCGAGACTCGACTGATCGCATTGTGAGTCAACCGCACGCGATGGGCAAGGCTCGTGTGCTCACTGTGACGAGCGCAGCTATCTCGATTCTGGCAATCATCGTGAAGCGATCAAGCTCGTCGAAACCTTGCTCAAGGAACTCAGGCGACTAGACGACAAGATCGTCCTGACAGAGGTACACTTGCTCGAGTGTCGCGCTCATTATGCTCTTGGCAATACCCCCAAGGCAAAAGCTGCCCTCACATCTGCACGTACAGCGGCCAACGCGATCTACTGCCCGCCAAATTTACAGAACCAGCTCGATCTGCAATCGGGCATCCTGCATGCGGGAGATAAGGACTACACTACAGCGTTCGTGCCGCCCACACTCAGCTTTCCTTGCTATGTGCTCAGCCGTCGATGGACAGCTTCTCGTACCTTTTCGAAGCCATGGAAGGCTTCTCGACACAGGACGATCCTCGTGCGAGCCAGGCGCTCAAATACATGCTCTTGTGCAAAATCATGCTCAGCCTGGTCGGTGATGCACTTTGCCCTGTGCGCGCCAGCTGATCTGTTTGCATACTGACAGCCCGCCGATGTGACGAGTATCATCCAGAGTAAGCTCGCGCAACGCTACGCCGGCAAAGATGTCGATGCAATGAAGGCGGTCGCCATTGCTCACGAAAACCGAAGTCTGTCCGAATTTGAGCGTGTTCTCCAGACTTACAAAAGCGGTGCGCTCGATGAGACCATGACCAGACTTGAGCTCATACATAGACAGAGCTATCGCAAGACGCAATTATCAAAAACCATCTAGCGGCCCTCTACGACACACTGCTCGAACAAAATTTACTCAAAGTCGTCGAGCCATACAGCAAAATCGAATTGGAGTATATCGCGCAATCGGTGCAGCAGCCGACTCGCGAAATCGAATCAAAGTCAGTCAAAATTTCATGTCGCATATGCTCTACTGAAGCTTTGACGCGCTTGTAGAATCAGCCAACTTATTCTCGACAAGAAGCTCTTTGCAATCATTGATCAAGGGTCAGGCTGTCTGGAGGTATTCGACGAACCTCAGAGCGATGTGACGTACGATGTCGCACTCGATACGCTCAAGCAAGTCGGCCAGGTCGTCGATGTGAGCTCTTTCTCGTTACGCCTACGTAGGCTGAGTCTGACCGCGTCATCAGACACTTTACGCCAAAGCAATGAAGCTATAGAAATGCAAATGTGTAGATTGAATCACAACAGGACAATGGACGTTTTGAGGAGCCTACCATTACATCTAGTATAACGAGCTGCGCTGCAAGATCAGGGACTACCTACTTCGTCCATCGCGAACGGAGCCTCGTCCATCTCGCCCTGCACTCCCTCTCTAGGTGTTACGGACTGCACCAGCGGCGAGCTACTCATGAGTTGCGTCAGAGGTGAGAATGCACTCGCGCCGCCAGAGATGCGCCGCTGCGTCAGATTCGCGTTGCCCGGCAGATGTACGTTCGTCTGACCAGCAGGGGATGAAGGTGCGAAGCCCCAAGATGGACTCATCGTTCCTTGAGCAGACGGTGAGCCATTGGTACTTGGTACAGGTGTATCACCTGTGTGCATCGCTTGTGTAAAGTGCAGCCTACTCAGACCTGCCGCCAACCCTTGCGGCAAGCTCGTTCCTGGCGGGTGGAGCAATCTGCTATGAGCGCGCGTGGTCGGCGATAGGTACAGAGCAGGCTCTTGCGGAGGGCTGCGAGAAGTACTGATCATGCCTTCGGAATTTGAGGCGGCGATCCGCTTTGGCCAAGTACCGGGAGGGGATGAAGCGCCCAGCGAACTAGACTCGCCCGCGCCTGCTAACCGTTGGACGGCGCTCGTCAGCCTGAGCGGACCAGATTCACCCCAGGATTTCGAAAGTGCCGCTGACGGCGGTGGCATAGAACCCGGCCGGAACTCTGCCAGTGGTGACTCTGTACTTGCGTGAATGGCTGTGGGCATCACTGCCCTCTGTAGCATGGGTGAACCCTCTCTGCTCGCACAGCCAACGGTTTGCGCTTGTCGTCGCGGTGACCAGACCGTCGCGCTCGTGCCGGGCGGTGGTGATCTGTTGGAATCATCGCTATCGAAGGAAGCGCTCAGGAAGACCGAGCTCTGTCCCGGCGGGGCAAAAGGCGATGTGCCAAATACGGGAGGAGGCGGGCTGGCCAATCCGTCATTGTGATGTGCGCTAGTACCGTGTTGCAGCTTGAGCTGGTCAGGCTGGACACTCATGCTCCTAAGATCGTTGTGGGGTAATCTCTGATCGACTTGAGGGGCAGCTGAAGGCGTGCCTGACGGGAGCGCGTAGTCATTCGGATTGTTAGGCGCGCCTGCAAGCAGCATCGATAGTCCGCTGCCATCGCGACGATGCGCATTGCTGTAGGATGGACCGGCTGGCGATAGGATCGCGAGGGGATCTGCTAGCGCAAGCGTCGCAGGACCAGTGTTGCGCCTCGCTGCATTCGACTTGCCGTTTGCAGTCCCGTTCTGATGCTGTTGCGCCGGCGCTGTGCTGCTCGTCAATGCATTGCTCTGTCTTGCGGCTTGCTTATTCTTCTTGTCCATCGTGACCGGTTCGCCTGGCTTGATGTGTAGATTTGCGCACTGTGCTCGCTTTCTGGTCAATCACGTCCCACCAAGGCTTGGGAACAAGGCTGACTTTATGACCAAATTTGCACGTATCGCCCTTGATATAGTACTGGCATATCGGCTTGGTCCCGCTCTCCACGAGTGAATGTGAGAAGGAGCACTTGTCGCCGGCAGAGCAAGCGCCCGCGCGGTAGAAGCGGCAAGGGACGTGAGTCAGATCTGCATTCTTGCTCGCTTTCTTCGCATGAGCACCGCTCGCAGACCCAGATTTGCTTGAGGAGTGGGTACTTGACTGTTGAGCGAAGTGCCTCGACGATCCTGCCAAGCCGCTCGCTGCAGACGGATGGACAGCGTGACCACCGTTCCCATGCCGGCTGCCATCCTGACTGACGCCGGTGCCCAGTCGCGGCCACTCATCGCTCGCCATCCTAGCGTGCGTCATGCTCGTTCATCTAGTCCTCATCCGCCTGCCGCCTGCCTGTCAGAGTCTGTTGGGTCGGCGTGGATAGAGCTGACTGCGAGGAGCCAAAGCCGAAGAATCTCGATAGCGCGACGACTGCTTGCGTCCCTCGAGGGATGGCAAAGGAGGAGCTACTCATTTGCCTATTATCAGCCCCCACTCCGCTTCAGCTCGTCAGCTATCCGCACAGCTCTCATACAAATTGGTCTGATTGTCGTCTGTGGCCCAGAACCTTTCAGCATTAGAGAGCTCTGTCGTTGCGGTCGACGCTGCTTCATTGACAGCAGACGAAGTCCAAGCACTGCAGACTCATCTCACTCGATTACTCAGGGTCACCGATCTCTTCGACCAGCCCAACGACTCGTCCGGTGCGCTTCCACGCCCACTGCCGCCTGGAAACGCGCTGATGAAGCACCAGAGCACATCCGCGATTTGACCCTGACCCGACATGCTTACGACTCGCTGCTGGCCGCCTTGCAACACTTTGTATCTGCTCTCGATGCAAAGGCGGCCTTTGTGTGTGCAGCGCAGCATTGTGACTCTGCAGAAGCATGGGTCACGCCCGTCGCCTGTCAAATCGCGACGAGTGCGGATGAGCTTTTGACGTATCGACGTGGACTCACAGTGCCCGCAGAGATATGCCGACAGACGATGCTGGAGCAGCATGACACGATCCGCTTCATCGAGCGCATCTTGACAGACGACGTGCGACCCATCTTTTCGAGCTCCTTTCACGCCAGCGTCAACCCGGACTCGGGTCGCTTGCTCGAGCGACCCCGTGGAGGCGATCTGAGCCAGCTCGTCGTACAATCGCAAGACTTGCGTGACGGCTGGCGAGACTGCCCCGCCTGCTCGTCTGTCCTGCAGGCATGCGTTCGCCAACTAGGCGTACGTCCTATCTCCAGCGCGATGACCAAACGACTGACGCACGAGATAAGAGAGAGTCGCTAGAGACTGTATGGCACTTGCTCGTGCCGCCCCTGATGCTCCTTCTAGACGACCATCAGACGCTCTTCAGGTGGCGAGGCCTCCGTGCCGCTCAGGTGGTCATTGCCACCGCCGATGCTAGCTTGCTCCGTCGCACCGGACTGTCGGAGCTCATGTTCCGAGTAAGCCTGATCTATGAACAAATCAACCTGCTGAAGCCGCTGCAGTCGTTTGCTGCCTCGCTGACCTACCTCTCGGATGACAAGTATGCGAACACAGTCGAGGCGACAGGCGTGACTCAGATCCAGCTCATCAAGACTGTCATTGAACCGACCACGATCGCATATGTCGATCGATTGGCTGTGCTGCTCGAAGAAGGCGTCTTCAAGATATGGTCCTACGCTTCCGATCGACCTGCTCTCACTTGCGTTTCATTGCGCCTCTTGCTCGAGCTGATAGATCTGCTCGAGATCTTCATTGTTCGATTTCTCAAGGTTAGCACGAGTCTGAGCAAAGCTGCACAATGCTCAAAGAGGACCGTCTCAGAGCATCATTCCTCATTTGCTCGAGCTTATGCAGGGCGAAGAGACGCTCGCGAAATCTTGCGAAATACGAAGATTGGCGTCTGTCAATGTCGATCGTCTGATGCGAATTGCTCGTCCGAGGATCCACGTCTACGCGGAAGCCATCTTTGCTTCGCTCGTGAGAGGCGCACGACTCCATCCTGCCGAGCTTGATCTATACACTGGTCTCTACCGGCACCTTGAGAAGACTCACCCGAAGCTTTGCGAGGTTAGTGAACGCCAAGCTAGGCCGTACTTGTGTCTCATTGGCAATCCAGGATTTCGTTGAGCGTCTACAGAGCGACTTGCCTTTTCTGACAAGCTAGGCATGGCGAGTCAAGCAGGCTCTTCTCTCTACCTGCCTTCGCAAGCTTCGTCTATTCGGGAGGGCACACCGGAAGCTTCTCAGATCCACAGACGCTGCAAGACAGCTCGCAAGCCTGCCTTGCTCCGTCGTAGACATCGTCTCAAGCCGAAGGTCTGGCAAAACCGCCAGCGACAACCCAAAAGTCCCATCGACTGCAGCAGCTCTTCGCGCTCCGTTACGAGCGCCATCCAGCAGTTTGCGCTCTTCGTGCCCGACCTCGAGTCTGCAGACTCGCCAGCACGAGCCAAGCCTGTGCTGGACTTCGAGACTATGCAGGTCAAACCAGCCTCGCCAGCGTCGCAGCCCGTACAGCTCGCGCCACGCTGCAAGCCCAAAATCGGTGCTCTCCTCGTGCGACGCCGCCAGAACATGCCCGTCATGAAGGTAGAGGTCGATCGTAATAGATTTGAGGGTGAGCCTGCCGAATCGTCAACGAGCAGCATTGAAGCAGTCCCATCGGCAACATCGATACCTCCTTCCATCGAGCTCATACCTGCCTCATTCGAAACAACTGTCGCAAGCCAGCCCGTACAGACCACACAGACTGCGCGGACCCACAATGGGCTCAGACTGAAGCGCAAACTCTCGGAGCTCATGGGTGATGCTGCGCCTCTGTTTGCCCAACGCGCGCGCGATCAGACGAGTTGTTCAGACTGCATATGACTCGTTTTCTGTTCATGATGTCATACTGGGCGGGACTTCATTTCCAAGCATACGGCAGCCATTTGCCATTAAAGGTGATCTGCAAGCGCAAGTCAGTCCCGCTCGCGAAAGGAGGCCGGACATCTCACCTGAACGCGAGTGCCGCTCTCCTCTTCGATCTTTTCGACCTTGCATCTGAATGCGATCGCACTCATGATACCTGCCAGCGCTGGCATCAGCCACACAAGCCAGCTGAGACTCTCGACGCACCATCCCCGAACTTTTCGTAGATAATCTGCTTCAGAGGATGTCCGTAGACCGTCAAAGCTACAATTCACATCGGATCAGCGTCGCACCGAGCAAATTACAAGTAGGCGCACCTTCATAGAGACGATAGATGGTCGGATCGGTCGGAGGCATCTTGCATGTACCCCGCATAGGCACGAAGCCTTCTCCGAGCTCGGCAGCAATCGATTCAAGTGGCACATCGAGCGTCGAGCAGATCGACTTGAGCACGTCGGGCGATGCCTTCATCTGACCGAAGAAGATGGCAGCCAGCAGTACTGCTAGCGTATCAGTGAGCTGGCAGTCCTACCAGCAGACAGCTTACCCTCGTCTGCTCCCGTGATCTTTGCCAGATCGTCATACGTCTTGCCTGCCTTTGCTTTCGCAGACAGCAGCGTACGGCAGGCTGATGGAATGTCGGCATAGATGCCTACGTCAGGGACTTGACTGATGTGTGCCATTCTATCTCGTGCGTAAAGCTCCGAGTGCGGAGCAACCTTATGTCATCACTAGCGCTGAGCTGTCCTCTTGCAGACGAAGACCAGGACACGATCGTGATGATGACACAAAGAAACCTTTGGATTCACAAGCGCAAAGCATGCTGTTGCCACTATCCGTCGCTGCGGAGGTCTGTGCACACGGCCTGCAATCTCTGTGAGTCGAGATACATCGCCTGTCGGTGCTCATTGACAGTTATGTGCCAGACCCGGGACCACCTACGCCTCAGCGCAGACATCGTTCTCAAGATGCGAACAAAGGCGCAAGCGTTATATTCCAGGTCGCCACCAACATCTCCAAGTGTGTATCGAGAGCTCACAGTCACCAAATGCTGATCTCACTCGATGCAGCTTCAGACTTGGCGTTCGCTTACCGCCAGACCGACGCGCTGACACCTCGCACGCCCTCATCGGCTCGAACGGATCGTTCCTATGGCAGAAGACCGTACACCGGCTCATCGTTCGCATCACACCTTGATCAATCTCACTCTCGAAGTTCATCGGCGACTTCCTGGTCCATCGACAGTCCCCTTGCCACGCAAGCAGACAGACTGAGCTCACTCGCCTCTGCTCGGCCGAAGCCGCTTCCTCGACCCGCGACGCCACAAGATGTCTTCCACCCAGCTGGATTTTCTGCGCATCGCACTGGTCGCATCGCTCCGCCTGCGCTTGTCAACCCAGGACTCGAAGCGCCGTTGATGGTCCGCCAAGTCGGTAAGACTGATGAACGTCCGGCATCTTCACACCTCGATCTCACCAGCGAGGATCCACCGTTCGTGGTCGACCATGACCAAGGCGCCCTTCAACCGCATCTTATTCATCCGTATCGGACAGGTGTTGCTCATGCGGCTCTCGAAAGCCCACGCAGACCTGCAAAGCTCAAGAAGCGAAAGCCAGCGCGTCACGTCCGTCAGCAAACTCAATCCCTAGACGATTGCTACGAACGGCAGATGCAGGATCGAATCCACCCGACTTACTACGCATCCGATGACGACAGGACAGAGCTGCATAGAGCTTTGCCGACAGCGGCGGATGACGGAGCCTCGATAGCCTCGCCTTCCACACGACATGCTCGACGACCTAGTCGAGCCGAGCTGATCGAGGGTCTCCATCGCGTATCGTCTCTAGCGTATCTGCACGCTCGGCAAGCGACTGAGCAGACGAACCAGCCAGAAGTCGAACAGCTCGAATGTTCGGTCAAGCCTGCACTTGAGCACCGCGCAGTCGAGCGATCTTCTGCGCGATCGTCGACATTCCACGACGCTAGTCCGATGCGCTTGCATTCCCAAAACAGCCATGACAGAGCAATGTCACTTGCCGAGACTGCGCCACAGTCAGGTCACGCTCGAAAGAGGGCGCCGCCCGTAGACGAGCAAAGCTTTAGTGTTGCGAAGCCTCACTCTATGCCTCTGCCTTGCATTCCGTATATCGACGCTACGCTCGATGCTTCCCATGCTAGCACGAGCTTCCTCGACCTTGACGCGCAAACACCCGCAGATTTCGGGCCATCGTGGGGTGCATTTTCGTTTGCGTCAGTCTCACAGGAACGACAGCGATATCGAAGACCTCGCCGCGTATCGCTGTCACCCCGATCAGCGTTCTTTGCGCAAAACGACATTTCGAATTTCCTTTCGCCCAAGTCAGTCTCGTTTGCGCAAGACATTCGGGTCTACGAAGCACCTTCGCCCTCGCCGAGTTTCCTCAGCCTTGCGGTCGACCTTATTGATTTTGGGGGCACTCCGGATTTGTCGGTCTTCAAGTCGTTTGTACCTGACTCGCCATCGCCTCCCGTGCCGGCGAAACCTCTGCCGCCCTTGCCACACGAGAAGCGACGTTCATCGGACAGTCAAAGTCTGAGCAATCGCAAGAGATGTAGCGCTTTGTCTTCCGGACAGTCTGAAGCGTTTGTGGACATCGCTCGCTTCCCTGAGCCGCCCAAGCGAGACACAATGTTCATGCACACCTCACGCACGCTCGAAGCCTTGGATCTGTTGTAGAGATGCACATGACTACATAGCATTACAAACTCAGGCGGCTGGTGCGGCGGTGGTAGTAGTGGAATAGCCTGCCGATGTCTCCTGAGGCGGGGCAGGCACATAGCTGTGCTCAGGCAAGGCGCTCTCGTCGATAGCTTCTGCGTTCTCCTGAGGATGCAGCAGAGGGTCAGCGACCGACATGTTGACGGCAGAGATGCACGCACGATGGTCTCGTAGAGCGCAGATGCGACCTCTGGAGGCGGTACTTTGCCACCGAGCAGGTCGGCTACGGGGATCTTCTGACCATAGAAGGCCTCGTTGGCGTCTTTCCGTTCGACAAGCGCAGTGCCCTCGAGAGACACGCCAGCGAAGAGACCTGTGCGACGATGACTGTCCGTCAGCTTACCTACGTATGCTTATGGACGTCGCAACGCACCTTTGTTCTTTGAATACGTAAACATGGGTGCAGGGTGCATAAGACTCGCGTTAACTGCACCGCCGGTGCCTATCGGGCCCGCGCTAGCAGCGACTGAACCGCCCACAGTGAGATTGCCTTGTGTGGTGAAAGCGCGTACCGCATCTTCAGAATTGAGAACGATGACGAATTCGCTGAGGTCAGCACCGATCTGGAGACCAAAGCCGACGCCGCCTGTTGCTATGCAGGAAGGTGCAGACCAGCTGCCGTCTGGCAATCGTGCAACGACGATACCGGAGCCTGCCTTGCCTGTGGATAGCCTGAACGTCAAGCAACAACCGGCGGACGAACGTGTGCGTGGGACGTGCCTGACCAGACAAAGCCCGCCTTGAGGACCGTAAACACTGCCAAGCCTGCATTTGGTCGTGTCATCAGTGAAGCGACAAGGCAGCGGGTCTATCTGACGAACCCTTTGCACGCTGCAGGACAACTTTGGGAATTGCGTTGAGCGCCGATTCGGGATGAGCAGGATCAGCTATCAGCAGACAGACGGGTCAGCGCATTCTGGGCTGGACCGAGCGACCGGCCGGACCTAGGAAGGACTGCAGCGTTCGGGCAGCCTTCTGGCACTCTGCTTCGAGCTTGAAGCCCGTCCTGAGCTCCTGACTGCCCGCGGCAGCTGCACGTCCGACGTCTTGACCAAACGCCTGTGCCTGCTGGCCTGCCTTGCTCAGCCCGACCTTGAACTTGTCTAGCATGGACATGATGACGAGGTCGCTGCTGTCTCTGCTGCGTGGAACCTTGTGATGCAGTCGGTGCCCTGCCTGCCCTTGGCGATGTCGTGACGAGCCTGACGAGGAACGCGCTCGACGAGCTCGACACGGCCGACAGGGACGAAGAGAGGACGGCTCGACGAGCTTGACTTGGCCAACAAGATGTTCAAAAAGTGAGCAGATAGCATGCAGCACACTCAAGCACTTGCTCAGACGGAGCCCTCGCGCCTCCAGGTTCACGCCAAAGGAGGACATTGCGACCTCGACGAAAGTGAAATCATCAGTCCAGAGGAACATCAGAGCCAAGCTACTCGAGCAAATGCCACACCTCGGAGACGCCGTGGCACCCAAAGAAGGCTCAGACCAAGAGCGCATACTTCTAGAGGAGCTATGGCCGAAGAAAGACGACCTTACGCTTGTCAAATGGTGTGCAGCCAGTTGATCCACTTGCGTTTGCGTGTGCTCATGCTGCCCCGACAGTCGGGAGCACGTCTCCCTGCTCGTCAAGGACGGAGAACCGCTCTTCTTCCAACACTTTGATGGGCCGTACTATCCCACGCTCAAGCTACTGCACCGGTGTCCGTCGCGTACCGCTCTCCAGATTGACCGCTCAAGTTCTTGCTACGGACAGATCCACAGATCCTACCGAGGGTGCAAGTCGACAGAGGGGCTATCAAGTTTGTCCTTGCAGGTGCCAACATCATGTGGTACGGTCGAGCGTGAAAGCAGCCCGATTTGGTTCGCTGACCGAGCAACACAGCCCGGGACTGACCTCCAAAGGCGCTTCATTACCGGACAGCATACCAGCAGACAGAGCGGTCGGTATATTCGCTCAAGGCAAGGAGCATGCGTGCGCGATAGGTCTGATGAAGATGTCGACCGATGAGATCAGATCGATCAATAAAGGCCATGGCATAGAATCAGTACACTACTTGGCTGATGATCTCTGGTCCGTCTCGACCCTATAGTAGTGCCCGAAACAGCATGCAATGATGTTGTATCAATACGATCGCATGCCGCTCTGCGAGCTGCCGTATCGCATAGCGCCCCGTCCTTTGTAGCGTACGCCAGAAGCATCTGCGGGTCCTTTTGCCAGGTCATCGCCGAACCGGTTCTTGAGCTCTGCCAGCTCTCGCGCTCGCTGCCTGCGCTTGTCTTCCGCCTCTCGATCAGCCCGCTCTCTGGCGGCAACCTCGGCGGTGCGTGCTTGCTCGTCTCTCTCCTTGCGCTCTGCATCTTCTGCGCCGGCTGGCTTGCTCGAGCGGTGCCTAGACTTTCTATGATCGGACGAGTGATGCCTAGGCTTTCGTTTGCGCTCCTTGCGTGCCTTGTCATCATCGGACGGGGTGAGCGACCTCGAGCGCGAGTCTCTTGCACGAGAGGGAGACGTCCGCGGTACGACGACTTTCCGTAGCTCTAGCTCACCGCAGTGAGTGACCGTGACACTCTCGAGGGGTGTATTCTTGGGACCGACGGGCAGCTCAGACACTTTCTGGACGATGGCCAGGCCTGCAACGAGCCGGCCAAAGACGACATGCTTGCCATTGAGGTGCTCTGCCGCCTCGACGGTGATGAAGAACTGCGAAGCGTTCGTGTTGGGTCCTCTGTTGGCCATGACGAGCAAGCCTGCTTGGTCGATAGGCCGACTGAGATCCTCATCGTCAAAAGTACGTTCATCATAGACACTCTCGCCCCCGCTTCCGTTGCCTTTGACGGAAGTGTCACCTCCCAAGATCATGAAGCCTGCTACGATACGATGTAGGCGGGTGCCCTTGTAGTGATACGCTCGGCCGGTCGAGGCTGACACGCCCTTTTCACCGGTACATAGGCACCTGAAGTTCTCCACCGTCTTGGGCACGGAATCGATGAACAGCTCGGCCACCACTCGGCCTGCCGGCTCATCCCCTATGGACAAGTCGAGGAAGACCCTCGGATTGACCATGTTGACCGAGTGAGTGACGGCTGCTGCTGTTGGCGATGTCGGCTTTGTCGACAGCGTCGCGTCGAGCAGACGACCTATGGACGTCACGCTCGGGCTCGATAGTCTCAGACGTGAGCATCTTGTGCATTGTGTCGCCTGATCGTGACTGATGGAGACTCACAGAGCTATCAAAGTGTCTGATCTGTCTGGCAAAGTTCGGCGATGAGATCTCCCTCAACGGCAACGATGATAATCTCAAATTATCGGCCATATCTGCCTCGCTCTCCTCGTTTGCTCAGTTCGACCTCCGTCCGACATTCTTCTCCAAATATTGCATCACCGGATCATCCAATGAAGATACTGCCCAACTCGACAGAGACGGCACAAGCTCGTCAGACGCGACGAGCGGCAGATCCACATCGACTCATCCTCGTACGGGCAAGACGCTGCAGATGTCCATCGTCGCAAAGGTGTGTCACGGCTCCTTCCGTCCACGCGCTGCTGATGAGATCTATCAGGCCTTGACTTCAGTCCTGCGACCCAGCGTGATCACGCAAGACGTCATAGAGTGCTCCCTCACGACCACAAACTCCCTTAGAGCGACAAATCTGTCTGGCTCAACAGCAGACAGCAGCGACGGAGATCTCGAAGGCCATCGTCTCGTCATTCGACTCGTGCTCAAGAATGGTCAATCGCGTGCCTCTAGAGAGATTGGACTGCTGCTGACACGCCAACGCTCATAAGGCATCGTCAAGACTCATCGGGTGACCTATGGCGAGCAAGAGTGTAAAGTGGCCGTCGTCAGCTGGCAGAGCTGTACTTCGCGCTATGTCGCAGCACCGAGAACGCTCAAAGACCTCGCAAATCACTTCTGGGGCAAGAGAGGAGGCATGTCGGGCTCTTTGTCAATTGGCCCATAACTGACAAACCGCTCGCCCGAGCAGGCACCGAGGAAGTCACATTCTTCTTCACTGATGCGCTCGTCAAGATCAAGAGCTTCGAAGACGCCCAGCTCAAACCTGGCATGTGTCAGTCCACATGACTGCTTTACTGCTGCCTATCTGATCAGAATACCAGCGGCAAGTGAAATTTTCAAGCACAGGCCGATGGCCACGACCGTCATGATGGAGACCGAAGAGTACGATGCATACGAAATTCATGGCAATCCGCTCATCACTCTCGGCCTCAAAGAGTTCAAATCAATCGTCGATTTCGCAAACGGCATTGGCTTTGCTATCGAAGCAGGCTTCACCAATGGTGGCAGGCAAGCCCTCGCGCTCTGTCCGGACATGAAGCATCCTGACATAATCACCCAGTCCCTTCCTCGTTCGTGTCGTCTGCGATGAATTCGTGACCGAGTTTGTTCTGGCGACGTCTGATGACGATCCCGCCGATATAAAGGAAGAATCAGACGCACGGACGAGACAGAACGGCAAAACATCTGTCATGCCACCGCCTCCTCTGCCACGCCATCGTGTACCATCCCAAGTGCCGATGTCGACTTCCCAGCAGCCCGCACCTCATCCTCGTCCATCTGCAAGTCAACGTTCTCGCTCTGATCTACCCACTCAGAATCTACGAGACGTACTCATGGAGCAGCCTCCACTCTTCAGACCTGCCAGTCAGTCTCAGATTCCGCCCGAGATGGAAGTCTTTGGCGAAGACGATCTGGCCGATGATGACGCACTGGAGGAAGAGCTCGGCGTTCAGTCCACACAGGAGAGATCCGAGCCTCTTGCCACAAACGGCAAAGGGCCTCACATGGCCAACGCGGAAGAAGTGACGATAGCGGTGGACGAAGATCTCACTCAACCCGACTCGGGCTCTTATATTCCTCCTGCCGCAGCTGTACGTCAGCCGGTTAGGCAGACCACGCCGCTAAATGGAGGATATATACCCGACTCGGCTCCGCAGCCTTTTGTGTCAGAGCGAGAAACGCCTGGCACGGTGGGTCTGCTTACGCCGCCCCCTGCATCGACCGGCCAGAGACCGAAAGACTGGCAGCTGTTCACGCCATGATCTAATGCGAAGCAATGTTGATTGTCACTATCACTGCATCATCTACCTGTCGTGATCTGACTAGGGTACAACATGGCTGCGTAAGCTTGCATGCTCTATACGAGCTTTTTGTTCGTGAAAAAGGTCTGCACGGCCAGTAAGACATGGGATCAATGTAAACACAGCGAGAGAGACGAACTCGTAAGTGGCGAAGTTGCCAGGCGCAAGTAGCAAAGAGGACGACCATCTGGAACAGACTCCACCAGACCGCGCGAGAGTTGGCGATCTCGCTGAGACTGCGGAACTCGTGCTCCCGTTCTCGTTGGAACTGTTGCTCGTTCCTGATATCCTCGAGACGCTTGTTGAGATCTCTGACTTTGGCAGCAAGATCGTGTACGTGGTCTTTCTCATCTTGCTCATCCACTTTCGATTGCCCGATGGCTATGTCGAGCGAGAGCCTCACCCGTGGATTGGAGACGAGCCAGCTGACCGAAGCACTGTCCTCGTGGCCATCAAGATGACTGCCAGGACAGCTCAAGCAGGCATCGACTGACTTTGTACGCAAGCAGATCTGATGGTCGCCTGCATCGTGCGAGGTAAAGGTAAACTTGCCGTGAGGTATCCCGCGAGTGTTGACGACCATCTCCTTGGTCTCTAGATCCTGTGCGGGCGTGCGTCGCTGAGTAGAGCACAGGCGCCAAAGCACAAGCGAGGCCTGACCTCAACGGTCACTTGGATTCCCAGCGCCTCGTTCATGTGGAAAGCCTGTCGTTCGTCCGACCATTCTTCGGCCTTGTAATTGCCTGCCATCACTGAAGGGCTGAGCATCCACGCCTGCAGATCATAACAGGTCCGTACCGACGACGATCGTGTGATTTGGCAAATCTTCGAGGAAACACTTTTGCTCGCCTGCCTGAAGGTAGAAGTAGAGTGCCTGGACTCGTGTGCTGCATGCGAGTATGCACGCTAGCCAGACTAGCCATGGCCTTGGGATCATCTCTGCCGCTCGCAGTGCGCGCTCTCGTCGTCGTCGTCGTCGTCGTCGCCGGCCGTCGCGTCGATCTCTTCCGAGTTGCGCGTTGGCACGAGACTGGCTCTTTGCTGAGCAGTCAGTGCACCTACAGGCTGCCGACATGGCCAAAAGCACGGCCAAGGATGGCGATAGTGATGGCAAGATGAAACAAAGGCAAGTCATGCCCTGTCCCGCACCTTTGAAAGAGTCTCAGAGCAGCGCGACTGTACAGGACCTTGCTAGGCTTCTTCGGCAAGCCCAAGCCGGCAGCGAGCGCAGACAGCCCCTCGACGAGCCCCATATTACCTCTAGATGGCAAGGCACGTTCGATCGCATCATCTAGCAAGCCAGCCTCGTCGTCACCTGCTCCACAAGCAGACTCAAGCCAGAGCCTCGCGAACGAGTCAAATGGCACGAGCAGCACCCGCAAGCGCGTGTCCAAGAGCCCATCACTCGCTCGAGCCAAGAAGAGTAAGCTCGACTCCTCCACGCCACCTACATCAGATCCAGAGCCCGCGTCTGTCAACGTGTCGTCCGAGCCAACAGTCCTCAGCTCCAGTCCTGTGCCTGCGCAACGCTCGTCTGCTTCGCTCATCCCGCGAAAGACCGGCAAGCGCGCCTCGGCTGTGAGCTACGCTGAGAGTGAGGATGATGACGATGAGCCCAAGAGCTCAAAGGCGACAACGCGAAAGAAAAGCAAGGTTGTGCTCGACTCTGACGATGAATCTGATTACAAGATCGACCAAGATGACAAGGCCTCCCCTGACCTGCTCAGCGTAGCAAGCAGTGAAGACTTGCGTTCCGACGCGTCGCTTTCGCCAGCACCCCGTCCGTCGACAAAGAAGCGCCCTGCAAAATCCTCGAGCAAGAGCAAAGCAAGAGCGAAGCCGGCCGAGTCCGAACGGAGCGCTAGCGAACTCGAGCTCAGCGAAGACGACGACAAGCCGCAAAAGCTGGCACCTCTCGCAAAGCAGCGCGAAGCCGCTCGCAAAGCGATTCGTGCCGTTCAAATCGGTTCGGCCATTCGTGACGAAGGTGAAGTTGGTACGGGCCCACAATCCTTGGGCGGAGGTGCACACAAGTCTCGGGCAGAGCTAGAAAAAATCAAGCAAAAAGCCAAGGAAGACGCTTTCGAGTTTCTCGTCGATCCAAGAGACGCAAACAAAAATCGACCAGGCCATGCCGACTATGATCCTTCTACACTCTACGTTCCGACAAAAGCGATGGAGAACCTGACGCAATTCGAGCAACAGTTCTGGGAGATCAAAAAGAACCACTTTGACACTGTGCTCTTCTTCCAAAAAGGCAAATTCTATGAACTTTATGAAAACGATGCTCGGATCGGTCATAGCGAGTTTGGTCTCAAGCTCACAGATCGCGTCAAAATGTGCATGGTCGGCGTGCCGGAGGCCACCTTTGACTTTTGGGCTGCTAAGTTCCTGGCGCAAGGTTACAAAGTAGGTCGGGTCGATCAGGCAGAGACTGCGATAGGCATGGAGATGCGACATAAAGACGCAAAATCTGCTGGCGAGAAAGCTTCGTCCAAAAAGATTGTCCAGCGCGAACTGAATTGTGTTCTCACGAGTGGTACCATCGTCGACGAACGTATGCTCAGCGATGATCTGTCGCAACACTGCATTGCTATCAGAGAATACACCCCAAGTTCAAGCGCACGGCCCCAGTTTGGTCTCTGCGTACTCGATGCATCTACTGCCGAGTTCAGGATTATCGCCTTTGCCGACGATATCTGTCGAACCAAGCTCGAGACCACGCTCCGCCTGCTTCGTCCTCGCGAGCTTGTGCACGAGCGTGTCAATCTATCACAGGCAACCACACGCATACTACGCAATGTGTTACCGCTTCAATGCACGTGGAACGCCCTCAAGGCGGCAGACTTTGCAGACGGCAAGGGGGACATCCATCGCATCTTTGCAGCTGTCAATCGAGCCGTGCCTGCTCCCATCACGCAGATCTACGACAATGAGCAAGCTATGTCTGCATTAGGCGGCCTTATCGCCTATCTTCGCTCGCTCAATCTCGACAAAGATCTCGTGACGACAGGCAACTTTCAGCTCTTTGATCCCGTTCGATCTGGCGAACGGATGGTTCTTGATGGCCAAACGCTTGCGCATCTCGAAGTCTTGCAGAACAGTCAAGGTGGATCAGAAGGTACATTGATCAGCCTGCTCAGTCGATGCGTCACACCATTCGGCACGAGAATGCTGAAAGGGTGGGTCTGTCAACCCCTGCGGGCGGCATCAGCTATCAACGCTCGCTTAGAGATCGTTGCCTGCCTCATCGAGCATGCCGACTTTGCCAATACGTTCGAAAAGGCGACAAAGACGATGCCGGATCTCGAACGTCTTATCAGTCGCATTCACGCGGGCACGATCAAGACCAAGGACTTTGATAGGGTCGTCACATGCTTCGAACAGATCGACAGGCTGCTCGGCCGACTCGGAAGCATCGCAAAAACTCTTCCGGCTGCTGGTCTTGCGCAGACGATCGCGAGTGCGCCTGATCTTGTACCACTAGTAGAGAAACTACGAGGTCTGTTCCAGGTCGAAGAGCACGAGCTGGTGCCACTCTCTGGCGCTGACACACTCTATGACGACTGCGTCGATGCCGTCGTTGCTATCGAGAAGGATTTGTACGACTGTCTGTCCCAGTATCGCCGCAACCTCAAGAGCAACGACTTGACATTTAAAGATATAGGCACAAAAGAGTACGAACCTACTTTATCTCTGCACCTTGAAGCTGACCTTGTTGGCCGGTCAGAATCTATCAAGTGCAGGTTCCCGTCAAGATCAAAGTACCATCAAATTGGACGCAGATGAGCAAGACCAAGGTAGGCCATCTGTTCATACGAAGGTCATCGCTGACATCGATGCAGGACTGGCATCGATACTACAGCCCCGAAGTCGAGAAGCTTGTCAGACAGCTCAAAGAGGCGCGTGAGAGACGCAACGCGGCGATTAAGCAGTTCAAAGGCAGACTCTGTGCCGCATTCGATCAGCACTACGACATTTGGCTACAGGCGGTCAAGCTGATTGCAGAGATCGACTGCCTCCTCAGTCTCGCCAAGTCGTCGGCAGCCTTAGGAGAGCCATCCTGTCGACCTGTCATTGTTGACAGCGATCGAGCGAGTGTTGACTTTGAGAATCTGCGACATCCCTGCATTTTTGCGTCGACGCCCGATTTCATCCCAAATGACGTGCAACTTGGCGCCTCGGCCAAGAGCACAATGCTTGTTACTGGCGCTAACGCGAGCGGCAAATCGACCCTTTTACGATCTGTCGCAATTGCAACGATCATGGCTCAGATTGGCTGCTTCGTACCCGCTTCCGCTGCTAAACTCTCACCAGTAGACACCATCTTGACGCGTATGGGAGCACAAGATCAGATCTATGCTAATGCGTCAACCTTCAAGGTTGAGATGGACGATACCAAAAAGATCCTCTCGGACGCTTCGATGAGCTCGCTGGTCATTCTCGACGAGCTCGGACGTGGTACAGAATCGGGCGATGGGTACGCCATCGCCTTCGCCACATTGCACGCTCTGGCGACGCGCAATAATTGCATCGGCTTTTTTGCTACCCACTTCACCTCGCTCGTCTCTGATTTTGCCTATCATACACAGATAAGGCCGTGTTGCATGGCGACGGAGATGAACGACAACACTCGCGAGGTGACATTCCTCTACCGGCTCGTCGACGGCGCCACGACAAAGTCTTACGGTCCCAATGTCGCCAAGATGGCAGGCATTCCTTCTGATCTGGTCGAGCGTGCTATTGCCATCTCCAGCCAATTCGAGGTTCAGACGAAGCAGCGCGAAGCATCTAAGCGAAAGTCGGAAGATCTGCCATTGACTCTACAAACCGATACAAGCTATCTGGTAAAGCAATCGCGTGCTGTCGCTCAATCAACAGCCTTTACGAAGACGAATGGCCAGCTCGCCCGGACGCTCTTTACTATCCGTGAGAACATCCAAGTGATGTCGCTATAGACTGTTGTTGTTCCGTCTATAAAGAGCAGATTTCATGCATTGCTGTTGCTCTTGGCATACACCTGGGCTTCTGCGCGATCAAGAGCCTCGCCAAAGTACTCGAGCAGCATGTCTAGATCTTCCAATCCGACGCTGACCCTGACCAGACCGCTATCGGCGCCGTAAGAGAGCGCCCAGTCTAGCTCTCCGTAGTGAGCCAGCATGACATAGGGCGATGCGAGCGTGAAGTTGGTACCAAGTGAGGGACCTTTGTAGCATGGCAGCGCATCAAAGAAAACTTGAGAGGCAAGCATTGACGTGAATGTCATGCTGAACAAGCCTCCAAACCCTGGCCTCTCTGCGAGGTCACCGTTGATGTGGCCAGAAGGTATCGGACGTCGGCAAGCCAAAAAATTGTCGGGAGTGATATACTTTGGATAGTATACCTTTTTGAGCACGGGTGGGGGTAATTGCTGCTTTGACGAATCGTGCACCCGAGTCTGTAGCATGTCGCATAAGGCTTCGGCATTGTCATTGATCCGTCCGATCCGCCTTCGGAAGTCTCGCGAGTTTCTCTCCATGAACACGGCATCTTCCGCGAAGTAATTGTCCTCGAACGATTCCTCCTGAAGCTTTTTGAGCAGATCATAGTGTTTGCCGAGCGGATTCAACGTCATGCAACCGCCCATAACGTTGCTATCGCCACTGAAGACTTTCGTCATGCTACTGACGACTATGTCGGCCAATGGCAAGATCTCAACATTGACAAAATTGCCGATCGTCTCGTCGACGACGAGCATGAATCCGTATTCATCTGCGAGTCGTCTGAGCCTGACAAGATTGGGGGATCGTAGCAGGGGATTCGACGGGAACTCGCAGAAAAGGGCAAGGATACCAGGCTCCTGGGGCTTGTCGCGTCGGTTCGTAGCGAGAAGCTGCTCGAGCTCGTCAACGCATCCTTCTAGACCGTGTCCGAAGAAATGGCAGCCTGGTCCCCACTTTTCCAGTATCTTCAGCGTGTCCACGTACGGGAAGCCGAAGCTGATGCTCTTTCCGAGCGGCAGCTGACGCGAAGTACGTGTACGGCATGCAAGCTGAAAGGCGTTGTAGATGGCTGCCATGCCGCAGGGATAGAGATAGACATCATCTGGCGTCAGACCCTTGACGCCGCGATCGCTCACTTGGCCAGGCGCACAAGCTTCGTTGGTTGCTCCCAGGGAGGCAAGCAAATGCCTGTCATCCTCATTGACGGTCGCATCGCTTTGATGGAGTGAGGCAAGGTCTGTGGCGTCGTCGCGCATGCAGCCTGCAATACGCCGCCGGAGAGCAAGCTTGGCCAGAGGCGCAAATTGGGCAGAGAGATTCCTGCCATATCGCTCCTCAAGGTACGCTGTCAGATCCGTCTCATCCTGCTGACCATCCTTGGAGCCCGTCAACTGCGCCTCTCGTGAGCTGCTGCTGCCATTACTTGCGAGTGAGTCGATGGAGCTCGTCATATCGTCCGCCTTTGGACTGGCGAGTAAGTCGGCAGAAGAGGAGATCGAGCCTTTCTTGGCGTAGTGACGATTGCGCGCAAAGCCGCGACCACTCGCCGCCCTGACTGGTCGGGCGGGTGGTGGGGCATGGCCATTAGTCGCATAGGCTGCTGAGCCTGCGATGAGTGCGAGCGCTCGCTCTGCTCGCCGGGAGGAGATGCCGTTGCCCGAATGTTGCCAGTACTGCTTGCCTGCATTGGTCGGCTCCACCGCAAGAATGACGGCATGGATGACAAGCTCTTGCTCATTATCCGCATTAGGACAGCGAAATGCAGAGTAGCGAGACGGCAACCTGGGCCTTCGATTTGCGAGGAAGGTCTGACAGTCCTGTGCAATCCTGAATGAGGGGAAGAGCCAGGCTATCTCCTCTGATGATTCAGAATTGGACGACGAGTCATCTTGTCGCGATGGAGCTGCTTGCAGAAGAAGTTTTGCCAGACGCTGAATCGATTTGTGCACGAAGAAGCGAGGATAGCCAGTCTGCATAGCATCTACCACCCTTGCCTCGCCCTCCTCATAGCCTACGTTGTCTCGCCAGGTTGGCAGACTGACGGACACCGCATGATCGGTCAGCGCGGGTATGGGCTGCCCCAGCGTTGTTGGATGCCCTGTAGCTCGAGCGTCATTAGCGAATGACTCAATCTGCCTTGCCCAGTGACCCTTACCTCGAGAAGTTGCGAACATTGTCCTCACACCGAGTCTCAAAATTTGGTGCCTGCTTGGCCGGTGAGGGCGATCGTAAGTCACGTGATCATCGTCCGTCGCGAAACGCCAACAAATTGGACGGCCAGAAACGACGACGACGGCTTCCCGGCATGCGCAAGTTTGTGGCGGCTCCAGTGCCAGCCGCGTCGCTCGGTGCGCGAGCGGAGTCAGCTATATCGCCTGCGTCGATCGCGAGTGCGCCAGGACAGAGATCGTCGACTGCCGTGCTACGCGCCGTCGCCGCGCCGTCACCGTCAGGTTCAGGCACGACGGGACAGCATCTGCGGCAGTCAAGCGGAAATCTAGCGGCGCACAGATCCGTGAGTATGAGTGTCGAGAATACTGATGGGACTTCGATGGCGGTCAGCAAAGATCTGTCGATGCGCGCAAGAGAGAAGCAGAGGGACAACGGCCAGTCCTCTGACTCGCCGCTGCGTCAGTCTGGTCTAGTAGCATCAGGCATCGACAGCGTAGGCTCTACTGACGTTTGTCGACGTGTATGGCTAAAGGTGCGCGGCAGAGCTTGCAATGTCAAAAGATAGAATCGAAAAGGAAGCTCCGGCAGCAGCGATGTAATTTGCTGGCGACGATGCTCGATGAACTCAAGGGCATCCTCAAGCACACAAGCGAAGAAGACAGCGATCTCGTCGTCTTGACAAACAAACATGCGCTCGTCAGCTTGAATCTCGAGAAGCGACACGTTGCCATCAAAGCTGTGATGACACGCCTCGCTGCATCACCCGAACTCAGCGAGACGATCTTACAACAGCTCAGTAACAAACTTGCGAGAGCCATCAGAGACCTTCGCATGGACGAGAAGCGCGAGGCAGACCTAGAGACAGAGATGCTCGCGCTCGAACGGAGGATAAAGCAGGCCGAGCAGGAATACGACAGAGCAGAAGCACTTCTGCCTGATGATGCTATGGAGGATGTCGATGCCGAGTCGGAATGGTACAAGCCCCTTTTTGACAATATGTCTCGTCAAGAGACCCTCATCGATGAAGAACTCGCCCAAATGGGCTTCTACAGCGATGCTGATCCCTCCGCTCTCCGTATGAGCTCGTCCAGCGAGCGAGGCGGTCGGAGGCCTCATCCTGCTTCTTCCGAAGTCTCTGGACCATCGTCTCGCATCTCAAGGCCAGATCCTGAGCCTTCAGCCGTGCCAGACAAAGCACACACGCCTGATCATCAGCCGACTGCACGTGTATGCCAACAACCAATTTCAGCGCCGAAGCCGGTATCTGCTGACCTCACAAAGGACATGCCGCTCGATTTCTTCGAGGATGATGGCCTTTCGTCCGATGTCGAGCTCAGACCTGCGCCCCGGCGAGCGGTCGCAGCCGCGCGTGTCCCAGCCAAAAGGCCGGCGAGTCCTCATGCAGAGCCAGATATTGGCACTAAGCGTATTCCCCTGGTCTCCTTGTCAAATAAGGCTCTTCCTGTCATCAGTCTCTCCAAATCAGTCTCGTCGGCGTCTGTCAGGCCGACCAAAGTCACATCTTTGCCCCCAGCTCCGGTACAAGCAGCAATTGCGCCCGGCGTAAAGAGCACAACGGTCAGAGCAACCGTATCGAGGAATGACATGTCATTCCCTTGGTCGCGCGACGTGCTTAAAGTGCTCAACAAACACTTCCGACTGTCCTCTTTTCGCCCAAATCAGCTCAAGGCGATCAATGCAACCCTGGCAGCGGATGATGTGTTCATATTGATGCCCACGGGCGGTGGCAAATCACTTTGCTACCAATTGCCTGCCGTTGTGCAGAGCGGCAAGACGAGAGGTGTCTCTATCGTCATCAGTCCCCTGCTGAGCTTGATACACGATCAATGCCAAGCTCTGATGGACAAAGACGTGATCGCGTTGGCCTTCAATAGCGATCTCAAAAAATCAGATCGCGACTTTGTCATCAACGAGCTCCGAACGGCAGACGATGATACGCGGCCCTGCCTCATTTACGTGACGCCAGAGATGATTGCAAAAAGCACGCTGTTCAAAGATGTCTTACGTAACCTCCATCGAAGGCAAAGATTAGCTCGATTCGTCATCGACGAGGCGCATTGTATATCCAGCTGGGGCTTTGACTTCAGACCGGACTACAAAGAGCTTGGATCGATCAAGCGCGAGTATCCCGGCGTGCCCATCATGGCTCTCACTGCCACTGCTAACGAACGCGTCAAGCAGGACGTGATCACGTCGCTCGGCATCAACGACTGCCTTGTTCTGTCGCAATCTTTCAATCGACCCAATCTGCGTTATGAAGTCAGACCAAAAGGCAAGCTCATCATAAAGGACATCTCTGATCTGATCAAACGAGACTTCGCCGGACTGTGCGGCATCATATACTGTCTGTCGAAGAAGCAATGCGAGGACATTGCAGAGGCGCTCAAGACTCAGCACGGCGTCAAAGCGCATCATTACCACGCTGGTATGGCAAAAGACGACCGAATCAGGATTCAGGCAGATTGGCAAAGGGGCAAAATTCACGTCGTCTGCGCTACCATCGCATTCGGCATGGGCATTGACAAGGCTAACGTTCGATTTGTTCTGCATTTTACGATATCTGGTTCGCTTGAGGCATATTATCAAGAGACTGGGCGCGCTGGCAGAGACGGCGGCGACTCCGTCTGCATCCTCTACTTCAATTTCAACGACACGCGCCTCCTGTATAGGCTCATAGACACCGGGGAAGGCAGCCACGAGCAGAAGCAGAGACAGAGAGCCCACGTCCAGGACATGGTGAAGTATGCATTCAACACGATCGATTGCCGAAGAACACAGGTCCTGCAGTATTTCGGCGAGACCTTTGCACGCGAGCAATGTCACGCTACGTGCGACAATTGCCGAAAGTCTGGCACTGGCCAGGAGCTTGTCAACATGACATCATACGCTAAGCTCATCATCACCCTCGTCCGAGAGATTCAAGACCAAAAGGGCATCACCCTTGTCCATTGTGCCGACATCTTCAGGGGTAGCAAACTCAAGAAGGTGAGACTTTCATCGTATTGACAGAACATGCTCAGCCTTCCGACTACAGGTCGTAGAGAGCGGACACGACAGACTGGCAGGCTTTGGCGCGGGTAGTAGTCTGGCGCGTACAGACATCGAGAGGCTGCTGCAGATCATGTGCAACGAAGGCATCCTCGGCGAACGTCACGAAACGAACGGGATGGGCTTTACAAGCGCTTACTGCATATTGGGCAAACATCACCGCGAAGTTCTCAATGGGCACAGAACAGTCAACTTGATCTGTAGCAGCGCGAACGCAGCGACAAAAGGGGCAAAGGCTCCGCGCAAGTCCATCGAAGAGCAAGAGATCGAGCAAGGCTTCTGGGACAACGATAGCTCGCCTGTTGCGGCTCGTCAGCAAGCTCCTGCTAAGGTCGTGTACGATCTGGAAGATGATGACGAGGAGGATGCGGAGACGCAGCTGGCCCTGCTAGAGAGTACACAGTCTCACAATGCCCGATCAATGGCGCCCGATACGCCTTACGATCAGTTCTGTCGCCTGCGACGGGATCAAGCGATCAAAGCGAACGTCGACGCGAAGCAGATCTGCAGTGACGCCTTGCTCGCTCAGATCACAGCTCGCTTGCCTGATAGTGCCGATGCATTGAGCAAGACGCCCGGCATCACTCAGGACTTTGTAATGGAATATGGCAGGGACTATGTCGCTCTTTGCAGAGGCTTCCGTCGGAAGCCATCGTCAGCTGCGGTAATGCCGGCGCCAAAGAAAGCATCAGGGCCCAACAAAACAAAGCGAGACACCAGCAAGAAAGCTCAAAAATCGATGAGCGATGTCGCCAAAGCTTTCACTCGCACACCGGCTCAAGACGCTCAGAAAAAGCCCACAAGCAAGCCGGCGACTTCGCTCACCAAGGCAATGCCCATGCGACGTGCCTAAACCTTAGATGCATATTCTTCCCGAAGGAGATTTTGAAGCTGCCCATGAGGCTCTTGTGTGTGCTATGATTAGGCGTCGTAGGCAACTCTTCCGCCTGCGAAAACGTATGGATATGCGGTCTGGTACCAGTTACGAAATGCGGATCGGCCTGCGATTCGTGGCATCGTTGCGAACGAGCCGCCGAGCATGACAGAATGGCAGCCGTCGAAGAAGTCAGAGCTATATGCTGGATACAGCTTAGAATCGCTGAAGCCTTCGTGGCGCTCGAACAAAGTGCTGGTCCATTCGAACACGCCGCCATTGTGCGAGCCTGTCGAGCTGCCATCGCGCAGAGTGACAGGCAGAGCTGCCGGTACAGGATGCCAATTGCAAAAGCCGATATTGGCGCTGGGCTGGTCGACAAGACAGCGAGAAAGGAAAAGACGCAGCTCAGGCTCGGTAGGTAGACGACCGCCCTTTGACATTGCGAAAGCTTGAAGCTGCTTGCCGGATGCCATCACAGGCCAGTGTTGTGCCACGTGGAACGGAACGGTACCAAGTAACGTTCGCACGCCATAGTTTCCACCGGGCAGGGCGATCCATGACGAAGGTATTAATGTAGCATCAGACTGAGTTTGCACGAAGGAGGAGTATTCAAGGTTACTGATCGGCAGCAGCGAAATCGAGAAGCTGTCGACTTGTACCCTACGCACAGGTGATTCGTTGTCCCAGCCAAATTCGTGCGCAGCATCATAGTCAATGTCTGCATCGGCGCTGTCGTCATCATCATGACCATATTCGAGCTCGGTGGCTTCGAAAGACACTTCGCTGGAGCGCAGATCGCCCTCAGCAGTAACGCTATCGTCCCAACGCTTTGCAAGAGCAGACCAGTCTGGTTCTGCAAAACCGGCGGGCGCATTGATTCTGTCGCCAATCTGCGCAAGCATATAGAGGAGTGTTTCGAGATGAAGACCCTCGTGTTCGTAGACCATTGCGAGTGTGCGAACCAGGCGTCTCTCGACATGCTGAGCACCGTCGATGCCCCTGTAAACTGCTCGCAAACGCGCTCTGACACGATCTTTGAAGCTGACAATCTCTGCCAGTGAAGGCCACGCTGCTTCGTCTTTGGGCACTTCCGAGTGACTGTGAATCTTCGTAGGGTCTTCCATGTTAGGATCAATGCCGCGTTCGAAGATCTCGTGGAAGTAAGCGGGATGGGTTGCCTCCTCGTGTAGATATCGTGATAGATGAATGTCTAGGAAAGCTGGGATGTGCCCCAGGTAAAATAAGATGATATGACGTAGATCGATTGGCTTAGTGTGAAGCAGATGACGAGGGACCATACTCATAGTGACGCAGTCCCAGGCGGTCCAGAGCTGCTGCCAATCGTCCAAGGACGGCAAATTGAAAGGCGAGACATCGCCCTCTTTGCTCGTTTTGCTCGTGATGAAAGGCGAAGGAAAATGGAAAGATGGTCGCTCGAGCAAATATAGCTTGTATGTGCCTTCGGAATCTGACCAGTCCTGAATGACGCGGAGACCGGCCTCCTTGAAAAGCTGATGACACTCCACGGAATTGTGCTTGTAGCTGCATTCGATGGACAGCAGCTCGCCACGTTCAATGCGAACGGCCTGGCCGTCAATTTCGAGCAGCAGATCCTGCTTGGCGCGGACATACGCTTCATGTCGACCCTCTAGCTGGTTGTAGCGATTGGCGTAGTCGAAATTGTCGGCATGCAACTGCTCAGCGCCCTTGCCAAGCAATCTGCCGGCATTGCTCACGCCATTGAGGATGAAGTCGGCAGTTGCTCCTGCTCGATCGTTGTACGCTCGCTCGATCTTGGCGACATCATCACAGCCATCCACACCGAGCAAGAACGTATCGCCTTTACCGGCACGGAGACCGGCTTGTGCAAAGGACTTGAGCGCAGCAGATGCTTCCGCTCTGCCAAAATTGCCGATCGAAGAGCCAAGCCAGAGGATCGAGCGTTTGACGTCGGCCTTGGAAGTGTCAAACGCGCCTTTGCGAATCTCCGGCAAGGCATCATCGTAATCCGACCAGATGCCTTTGACCACAATCTTGTCATGCGATGCACTGTCCGAGGCCACAATGTGCGGATGCTCTTGGCAAAGGCTGCTGAGCGTTGAGACAAGCTCCGGTCGCTCGAGATCGAGTGCGTAGTAAGTCAGATTCTGTATCGGCTGACTCGGCTTGATCGATGCTGCCTGGCTAGCACGGGAGACAGAAGGGTCGTGTTCGGAAGGCAAAAGCCGAGCAAGCGAGCGCAAGAGGTGACTTGTCTTCTGCAGACTGCCCGCTCCCATCTCAATGATGACTCCCGCTTCCGTCTGGGGCTCGGTAGGTGGTCGAGCATGAAGGGAGCCCGTTTTCCGAACGTCCCGCGATCCCAGAGCGCCATTGACGCCTTGATTATGTACGCCAACTTCAAAATCTCCCCTGTTGCGCGCGCGTCAGATTGCGTCAACACCACGCGCAGGGGGACTCGCCATTTCTCGTCGCCGTTGCGCTTCACCTCGGCAGTCCCGTTGAGCGGTGGAGCGTCGTGTTCACCCTCTGGGGCCTCGTCCTGTTGCGAGGGGAGGTCCACGTTCAGGGCATGTCTGCGGCCGAACATGCGATTTGCCTACGCAGCGGTCAGTCAGTAGCCACAACGAGCTCGGGAAGGCCCCGTACGATCTCATCGCCATGGGTTCGCAAGATGTTGCGCTCTGCTTCAAAGAGGTAGTAATCTGCCTGCTCCGTGATCTTCGCATAGAGCTGCAGGCCTTGATCATCGTAGAGCACAACTGTATAGATTGTATTAGCTCATGCTTGGACAGCCGGATTGGCCGGGCTGACTGGTAGGGATAGACTTGGTCCAAGCATACTGCTCGTCTTCTGGCTGTTTGCCCGGAATTGTGCGCTCTGTTCGCTGCAAGCCTCTGACGATGTCGTCCCGCACGGAGCTACAGGAATCGGGTCCCGCAGCTTTGCGGAGCTCGATGATCTCTGGCTCTTCGACAGCTTGCTGATCATGGCCATTGACATGATGACCGTTTGTCCGAGCACCGTGCTCCATCGTGCGCTTCGTTACGGCTGTTGCTCTCTGCGAGGGGGCTTGCAGCATGCTGTATGCTCTTCTTTTATGCACTGGAGAGCCTCGATGCCATGCGAACCTCGCTTACTAAGCAAGCCTGGACTGTCCTCAAAGGCCTTGCGGGACCCGATGAGCGACTGCCCCGAGATATTATCGACGCGTCGACAAAGCGCTACGTCATCACCGGGTTACGATCCACGTTATCACCGAATGACCAACCATCTTGAATGCAGTGCTAAAGCATACATAGCGTGCGCGGAGACGTCCGACATCGCCACATGATCTACAGTGTGCGAACACCGCTTCCTGTGGACTTCTCTACGTCTTTGAGCGCAGGAGCGAGCCGTTGAGACTCGCCCGAGGAAGCAAGACTGAGGTAGGTGTTCCAGAGCAAGCTCACGACATTGACAGTCAACAAGCGCAGATGCGGCGGCACAAGGCTGAAGTTCGCTGCTTGTACGGGAACCCAGACCTGTTCGCGTGTGAGCAACTTTGATCGGGTCGCACAAAGAGCGCATGTACCATCCAATTCCTCTGCAACGTTGGCCACCAGGAGGAAGCGAGTTTGCTCTTAGCATCCGCGAGACTACCGCCAGCCATGAGCGTTGTTGACGAGAAAAAGATGGCAAGATTGGCCGAGGAGAAGACTGTCTGATCCAGTGCCACTCTTGCGACGACGGTGGATGCTTTACCGCCCACATTGACTGCATTGAGCCATTTGAGCCAGTTGAAGCAGATTGGCGCAAAGATGCCACCGCCATAGATCGTCAAGCGCGCTGTCCGCGGAAACTACGCCAGCGCCGTCAGCGCAGCCCAAATGATCAGCTTTGAGGAACGAGACGCACGTCATGCTGAGAGCCGACTCTATCTATGGCCTGCTGAGCGATAATGTCACCTGTGCCGAACAAGACTGCTGCAGAAGCACATGATGTCGTCAGTGGCCGGCGAGCGAGTGCACCACTGCAGACAGGAGATGGAGCATGAGCTCCCTACGCCCTTTGTAAGGAGGGCCGCACTTGTAGGCGCGGAGCAGTGATCCCATGGAATCCGAGCTGAAGCCGAGCGCGAGGCGCGTTCTCTATCGAAAGACAGCCGCACCCGAGCATTATCACGCACATCTGGCCCCTAACGAGCACAAGCACAGCACACCCTACAAGATGGGACTCGCGCCAGACTATGTGAGCAAGCTGCCAGCGGCGAGCGACGCAGAGACTGCGAGCAAGATCAACGTCTTTGACGGCGAAGGAGGGCACCAGCCGTTCGGGAAGCTCGTGGCGGACAGCAAGACGGTTGTCGTCTTCATCCGGCACTTCAGATGTGGCATGTGCCAACAGATGGTCTCTGCACTCTCTGCCAAGCACGACGTCATCCAGAAATCAGACACCAAGCTCGTCATCATCGGCCAAGGAGACTATAAGCTCATCAAGCCCTATACCAGTCAGTCAGAGCATAGCTCTTGAAGTGTGTCTGCATCATCTGATGATGACCTGCAGAATTATTAGAATGTCCGTACCCAATCTATGCGGACCCGACGAAGAAACTCTACACCGCGCTGGGCATGACAGTCAGAAATCTCGAGCAAGGCGCTGCTGGTCAGCCGCGCAAGGAGTATCTCACACATGGCCAATTCAGCGGCCTCATGCTCAGTATCACCAATGCCTTCAAGATGGGCCAGCTCACCGCATCCTCGGGTGACATCAAGCAGCAAGGTGGCGAGTTCATCTTCGAGAATGGCAGCCCGGTCTGGGCCCACCGTATGACTACAACGTCGGACCATTCTGACGTAGCCGAGCTGCTCAAAGCTGCCAACATCTCCGTCTGATCGATGATACTGTTGTCCTCACTGTACTTGACTATCTTCATGTACATCGGCAGGCGCAAGACGCGCTTTGCCATCATGCCTGCGACTCAGAGTGCATGAGCACCTTTGAGGGCTACTTTGACGAGTTTGAGGATGCCATCAAGTACGTACGAGCAGATCGCTTCACGACAGAACTCCGTCCGACTTCGCTCCACCTGCTGTCCCATGTCCACAGCGATCACACGGTAGGCCTAGCGAACACAACCGGCAATGTCTCGAGTATGTTCCAGGGCAGGATAGTCTGCTCTGCCATCACGAAGGATCTTCTGCTCCATCTCATGCCCGAGGAATGGCGCATCCTCACGGCAGAGGGCTATGCTGGCGGCGAGAAAGTACAACGATACCCCTTCTCGCATCTCAGGCGCAATATCAGAGGTCGCCCCCATGACTGTCTCGTACTTGCATCCACGTGTGTAAACCTTCACTTGGCTCACGACCCATGCAGCGTCCGATCGAGCTCGATGAGCGACACAGATTTGAGCTTCATGGCCACACAGTCGACGTGACCCTCATCGACGCGAACCATTGTCCTGGCTCGACGATGATGCTCATTGAGCAAGTCGAGCCCTCACCAGTCACTGTTCTCTATACAGGCGATATACGCGCAGAGCCAGACTATCTCGAAACGTTGAGAGAGCATCCCATCTTGCGGGAATACGCGCTACCATCTACGAGTGACGTCAAAGGAAAGCGCCGAGCTAGCCCCGACTCTCCTCGCAAGACGCTGGACAGAATCTATCTCGACACTGCGGCCTCGTGCTGTACCGCTGAGCTCTTGCCCAAGCAAGAAGCAGTCGAGCAGGTCCTGAGTCACATCGCGCGTTTCCCGGCTGAAACCATATTTTTTCTCAACGCCTGGACATGGGGCTACGAGCTTCTCGTCGAGGCAGTTGCAGAGCGATTCAACACTCGCATCCATGTGGACGCGTACAAGTTTGCGCAGTACAGCAGGATTGGTCTCGGCCACCTCGTCACGCTGACTGAGAGCGAGTCTCGATTTCATGCCTGCGAGCGGAGGTGGAAGTGCGATACCACCTGGGTCAACGGCCGAGGATGCCGTGTGTTTGCACAAGAAGTCTTGCCAGACCTATCGGGCTCAAAGCGGAAGAAGACAGTCTGCGAGGAGACTTGCCGGCTTGCTCACCATCTTCAAGGCTGTCTCAATGAGGACAGTGGTCCTCATGTAGTCTACGTCAATCCATGGGAATGCTCTCGCAAGCGATGGCAGGCCTACAAAGACAAAGTTGAGCTCGATCTGCAAAGAGCAGAGCAGGAGCAAGCAGCATGCAGCAGCGACATCTCTTGGCCTGCTAATCTGGTATGCCATGCCCATGCTTGCAATCAGCCCTTCTGACTAGCTGCAGGTCGTGCCAATCGCGCGACACTCGACTCATCCGGAGCTTCATAGCTTTGTGGCATTGTTCAGACCAAAAGCACTATATCCCAATACGATCTATCCGAGCGACAGTGGTCTCGACTATCTGGCCATGGCTACTCTCTACGGCGACGTGCTCGCACCGGGCGGCACAGCTCAACTGGAGCACGAGGCCCGCGAGCACATCAAGCGGCATCATCCTGACAATGTCTACCTTGACGGAATGTTCGGCTCTCGCGAAGTCAGTCTGATCATGGATGACGAACCTCACTTTGGTCGCGATTACTGGGCGAGCAACTTTGAAGGCTCAACAGCAGATCGATGGCTAGCTGCCCAGTTGCTTTCGTCCAAAGCATCGCGGCCAGACGATCTCTATGATCCCGCTACAGGCCTATTTGAGGACGAACAGGCCGACAGTGATATAGCTACTGACGATGAGCAATCTTCGCCTGAGCCTGCCCGTCCGCTGCCGAGACTCAAGCGGAGAGCGAGCTCAGAGATGGTGCGGGCGATCCCTCGTTCAGGCACAGCAGGCGCAAGTCGCGAGTGCGCCATCTTGATAGGCTAATGCATGCGGTCAAGTAAACCGAAGTGCGATAGCGTGCATGTGATGAACAACGACAAAATCTATATGATGTCAATAAGATGCCTTCCAAGTATCTCCTTGGCTGAGCAAAATGATGCTTGCTCAATAGCAAGATCGTAGATGTAGACCTTCCCAGCATGACTGTCTCTCTTCCATGATCTCAAAATCTCGCGGTGCAGCTTCCGCCACTGCGCGCGTTTGACAGCGATTGCGCCAATCTGCGCTTGACTGTGGGAACTGCCGAGATGTCCCTGGCATTGCCAGCCACAAGCCAGGAGGACATTCGACCAATGAAGAGTAGAGTCTTGTGTGCAGGCGAAGGGCACGGAGGGCGTATGCAACCAGCTCGCCACTCCGCGCTTAGTGTCAAGATATGTCAGAGCGGCAGGAACTACTTTGCTGTTCGCCTCCATCGAGAGCTCTGTCTTGTCGTCAGCCTGCATAAAGCGCGGCCGTCGCCTGGTCTTTGGCGAAAGCCAAGGCCGGGGCCTGATCTCGCTGCTGATTGTGCGCGCTCGCCGCCAGGGATGATTGAACGATGCCTGTTGAAGATGCGCTGAGTACGCGAGCACACTGTTTGCAGGTATCATAGCCTCCTCGTAGAGGCGCGGTCGCTTGCGAGGGGTTTCCGCTCGTTCTAGTCGCTCCATCCAATGCCTGACCTCACGCTCGAAAGGCGTCCAATTGGTCTTCTTGCCCGACCAGAGATAGCTGACATCATTGTCTACGCCAGCTTCGACGACTGCGATCGCTTTCTGTGCCGTCTCGCGGAGCTCGTGAATATCCATTGCGTCATGCCAAGTTCGATCTGAGCCTGGTCCGTAGACTCGCTTCACGCGCGGAAAGCGCAGCTCGAACAGCGTTGGTCCTTTGCGAACGAAGCCAGCACCCATGAGCTCAAACAGCATAGGCTCCTTGAGGACGTAATCTGGTCGGCCTGTGCTGACGAATTCGATTGCGAAAGGCCAGCGCTCTGCGATCATGTTCGCGAGCCGATATGGCGCCAATCCCGAAGCTTGACAGCGCTTGCATGTCGCATCAATCGTTGAGCGGTCCATGCCATACGAGACCGTGAACAAAGCCACGAAGTGAGCCTTCACAGTAGGCTACGAATCAAGGTCAGCTTCGCCAGACTGCTCGCGTCTGAGCTCACGTCAGCTAAGGTGGCGGGGCGATTGGTCTGTACGCCGATCCAGTAGGTTGTAAAGCAGGATGTGGGCACACCAAGTTGTACGGCTCTCTCCGAACTCCATGACGCGCCTATGACAGCAAAGTCGGCGGTATCGCCAAGGCCTTTGATGTAATCTTTCTTGAGTTTGATCCATTGTTCGCCCGGCGAACGGCTGTTGTAGATAGCTTTGTCGGCCTTGATGACCATACCCTCTTGGCGATCGGTGATCAAGAAGGCCATGTGCTGACGAAGCTTTGCGATGCTTTGCTCGCGACCGAGCTGTGCCAGATTGATGGATCGACGCGCCGCGAGCGACGAGTAAGTGCTAAGCGGCCGGACGACTTGCTCGAGTATTGCGCGACGTTGCGCGTATGTGTCTGTTCGCGCGCTGAGTTCATTGACTTCGAAGCTTCTATACTCACTTACGATTCAGATAGCTGCTCTTATTGAGCATGAGACAGTCAAAGAAGACTACGTGAAAATGCAAGCCGGAAAAGTCGGGCTTGCGCGACTGATCACTGTTGCGAGAGTATTCGCAGAGCTCATTCATCTTTGTAAATTCGGCAATGCGTCCCTGCCGCTCGTCGAAGGGCACTAGCTCGGCTTCGAGGATGCCAGAATGTACACTTTTGAACTTTCCGGCCGGCAAAGCTCTCAAACACTCATCCAGAGCGAGTCCGTCTTCGCTGACGCCCTCTGCGTAGGTTCCTAAGATCGCTGCGCGTAGGATGGAGTGACATCCTCTGCGCCATTCCGTGCAATCTCGTCCCTGCTTCGAAATGAGCTTGAGATAGCCAGACTTATTGAAATGGATTTGCATGCGAAACCCGTCGTATTTTGTCTCGAGCCATGCTGTTGAGTCTGCCGGCAGCGAGTCGACAATCGAAGCACACGTCGTCAGAAAACGCCCACATTTTGGAATCTCGACAGGCTGACCGAGCTCAGGCGATGTCAATTGGACGAACAGCTTCGCGTTGCGCGCTCCGACCTCAGGATCTGGCGATAGCCGCTCACAAAGGGTCGCAGCGCGTTGTAAGTCGGCTTGGACGCGGTAGACGTCTGGCATTGCCCAATGCCAGATGCGCATTGCGTCGTGCGGTTGCAGCTCGGATCTAGAACTCTGATTGTAATCGGCTAATGCTCTCGACACATCTGCAGATGGTATGGGCCAGAGCAGAGGGCGAAGATCCTTCAACATGATTTGCACGATCCAAGCGAGCTGGCGCGCCGTCATTGTCTGTATGAGCTCTTTAAAGATATCAAGGTTCTTGCGTCGCGAAGCCTCCGTGTGGCCAGGCTTACACCAATTCCATGAGAGCTCGTCGAGCAGCTCGCAAACGTGCTGGAGTGTTATCGGATTCTCCCAATCACAAGAGCCGAGTTTGTTGCGAACAAGTTCAGCTTCTTGACCGAGGCACGTGAAGGTGCGCCGCAAGGAGTCTTGTCGTAGCTCTGTGTGATTGCCTTTATTGCTTGCCCAGATATGAAGACCTTCGTCCATGCCCGCTCGCTCTAGCTCATCCCGACCTCCGAAAGCGTTGAAGAGCAACTTGCCAAGTGTCGTGGCTTGTAGACCATACACCCTGACATCGTGCTCTGGGAATAGCAGTCTGAAGATGCGTGCCCCAGACCCATCTGATCTAGCGTGAGGTGCTACTGACGTCACATGCTCTACGTACGACTCGAAGAGCAGACGGGCGTTACGTATATGACCTATGCGCCCTTTGAGAGACGGTGGCAGCTTCGCCAACTCGTCGAGGAGTCGACAGAGGTCTGCGAAAGTCAGACGCGGAGCATCCGACATGATGACAAGCGATGCAAGGCCGCAAGGCCCTGCTTCGCCTAGTCAAAGGGTCTCAATATGGGTCTGGGTCAGCTCGAGCTTTGTCAACGCGGTCGCGAAACAAAAGACGTGCAGCGGGGCAACGTGATAAGCGTGGCCGCGTTGCGGGGAATGCGCTCGAACCTAGCTTGGAAGCGGCTTGCTCGAGCCTCGCCAGCCGCTTTGCGAGCCCCGAGCACAGAGCTTCCACTTCCAAACCGCTTCCGTTATTTCTACGAGTATTGATCATGACACTCTTGCTCTCGTCTCGTCAAAGATCTAAGACATGCTGGCCAAAATCATCTCGCTCGCGGCGTTGGCCAGTTCAGCCATAGCTCTTCAGCCATTCGAGATCGAGAGGCAGCTACAGAAGTTTGGTGCCAGCTTCGTCGAACCTTATGCGAGTGCGATCCTAGCCAAGGGCAGCTCGCCTTTCTTCGTCGATGGTGTGGTCGGGCACACCTCGCTCGGTCGAAGTATGACTTCGAACACGAACAATACGCTCTTCCTCTATGGGCTCCTCGCAGCTTCGTCACCCGGTCAGCTCTCGGTGACGCCCAAGATCGTCAGCGCGATACCATCTTCCATTGCGATCCAGGGTCCAGTCGCGTCAGTCGTCTTTACGATGGGTTCGCTCGTCGATACCGTCCCCGGCGCTTTGACCGCATCGTTTTGGCTTCGTTACAACGACGAAGGACTTATCACTGAATATGACGCCGCATTCCCGAACTATGCAGATCTCGTCACCGCAGCGATGCCAGTGCTTGCGCCCTCAATGAAGTCCAACGCGCAAAACCCTTACGCGACCTATTCAGACTCGACACATCTGACGGCCGGTCAGCTGGCAGCTACCATTTGCAGGGTGCAGAAGGCCTCTTGTGATGCTTCTGTGAATGTCTCATCGTGCGCGCTTGCACTCACGCAAGAGGTTGGCCTCGGCAATGCCTATCACCTTTCGGCGGACTCGCTCTGGTGTCGGTATACCCGCCTGACTGCAGTCACTGCTGAACCAGGCCTTTACTGCAGCTCACTCTTGCCTGGTTCGTCTTATGAATGCCAGGGATCAGGCATCATGGCGGCGTTCAATTCATCCACGAACTTTTTGGCACCTTTCGCATCCGAAGGTCCCAACTCTGATCATCTCTCTCAAGCTTCACTCGAGGCGTTATCAGCGCTCTCAACAACGCAAATTTATCCCAGTACGGTATGGGCATTCTCTATAAACTCACTCATCGCTTTCGCGTCGCTCTGGCTCATGGCGAGCATCACATCCCATGCATTCAGACGTTACTGGTCAGGTTACGCCACGTTACCATATGCGATTCAGAAAGCATGCGTCACCTACGTCGTCACCATTGTCGTAACCGCCGTCGTCCTGGCGGTACAGCTCGCTGCTATTCGAGTCGTGCGAGCGGAGTATTCTCAATTCGACGGTCAAGCACTTTTCGGCTGCGGCATGGCCATCTGCGCTCTGTATCTTTTCGAGATGATATACCGACCTCACTTAAGGCAAGTCTGTTGCTTGGAGCAAAAGTAGGCATATGCTCATCGCTACTTTTACAGACTTCAACTGTTATCGCACCATATCTTTACGATCTTCATCATTATGTTCGGTGCTCTGCGCTTCCAGATCACGCGCGATCCGACTACCATGGCAACATCTAACGTATGGCTTTTCCAGGCCACGACAGAGCAGAGCGTGTTTGTCGGATTGCTCGCTTATCGTATGAAACTTCGTCCAAGCACGACTCGAAGGATTCTGCGGTTCGCTGCGATACAATCGATGGTCTGCAAGATGGGATCGGCAATCTATGTCATAACGCTCTGGGCCGTGAAGCAGAGACAGAACACCACGCCCTTTGGCATCGCATGGTCTGTGATACTCGTTATGATCGTCTCTTCACTGGTATATGTGCAAATCTGGGGCGCACACGTCTTGCTCAAGATCGCGAATACGGTCGAGCAGCGATACAACCATGCGCAGATCATGTCAGATCTCGCAGCAGAAGAGCTGATTCAACGCGACATCGGTCTACATCAGACGCCCGACGAACGATCTCAGGGATCTTGCTCAGAGGAAACCGACGAAACATTCGAAAAGACAAATAGCCTGGAAGACGTCCCTGTTCTGCCCCGCTTCTGACCAGACGTAATGCATGGCGAACGTACACGATGTGATTCGTGCACGCGGACTCATGAGCTGTTTGGACGTCTCTCGCCTACTTTGAAACTTGCGAGAGTGCATTCTTGCTTCACTGCATGATAGTTAGTCAGTACATTGAACGCTGACCACTGACTGCATACTAGGCAAGCCGAGCTTCTCAAATTTGTCTTCCTCGCAGCCTTCGAGATTGGAACTGCAGATGTAATGGGCATTGCTGCCTCTGTCGAGCCAGTAGTGCTGAGCAGTCAAAAAGACGGCATCCCAAAGAACGTAGACGTGGCAACATTGGTTGACAAGATACAAACGCCTGCCATCTATATATCAGCCAGCTATCCCATGCTAGGGAGTAGCGACACCTACGAGTCGGTAAGGTCCAGCTCGTAAGATTTGACAAACTGTACATGGCTCGTGCCGGCCTCGCTTTCGTAGAGTCCATATGGCAGCATAGCATCGATGCCGTCGTTCTTCGATGTCTGCGTACCATTCTGAGCGGCGTCTAGTGGCCTGACGTATCCGTACAAGCTCGGTCGTGGTGCGACGCTCCGCAATGTCCCAGGAGACGTACAAGTCAGCCCTCGCCGGCTCATCGGGCGTACGCGTGTAGAGTTGATAGCCCACCAGCGAGGCTGAAGAGCTTGATCGGATGGTACAGAGAGTAACATAGCTGACTGCGACATTTCGTCAGTCTAAGCAAATGTCCGTTTGCTTGACTTGCAGGTCAGCTTGTAGAGCTGATCGAGCATCTGAGGCGTCTCCGAAACCAGGGCTCGCATGGCAGCCGGAGCAGCAGAACCCGGATCTTGCGGGAGCAGAGGAATGGCAGAGATGATTGCAGACATAGAGATGGATATTAACAAAGAGGGCAGCATGTTGGCGTACTGTTAGCAGCGCAACGTGAACACGTGGACAGACAGCTCTCGTCATTTTCCGCGCGTTTCAACGTTCGATTGCAACTCCCCTGTGGCCTGATAAGACTGCTCATCCTCAGCTTCACCCTCTTTCCTCGAACGCAGGTCAATGACAGACTGTCATGATGCTGTCGCCTTCTCTCGCTGCTGTTCTGGCGAGCTCTCTCGGCCACGCTGTGCCGACAAACGTCAGCACGCTCAGCATTCGTGACGAGTCATCTAGGGTCCCATCGGCTATCAAATCTCTGTGTTCTTCGATGTTAAGCAGGCCTCATCGCCGCAAGCGCTCTGTTTCGACGAGGCTGTGAGGCCCGATTGGCTCGACCCGGGCACAATCCGATGCTCTAAGCAACAGGGCTGCTTTGATTTCTAGGTCGTGGCCGTGCGCGATGGCTAGGGTGACCACCGTGCGCTCGATTGCACAAAGCCTTGAGGACTGACGTATGTTTCAGCATAGACGATGAGATTCGATGACGATCTGGTATGCATCAGCCTGTGCAGAGGTGCACGCTCCTCATCAGCGCCGCGGCCAAGGCCAGGCAAGGAAAGTGGCGGCTACATCCCTAGTACCCTTGGAAAAGCCTCTTCGTCCTACACTGTGGAGGCGTGGCCTGCCCAAAGGCCCCGTCACATCGTCGGATCGCCGCTACAACAACTGCTGCATCGCACACATTCAAGCTACGCGAGTGGCCCCACTCTCACTTGGGCCTGGCTGAATCACTTATAGGTTCCGCTTCTCGACTACCAAATGCGAGGGCTGGCGTGCGAGGCTCTGTAGTTCTGACATGCGCTCTAGTCAAAATGACCGAAAACTTTACGGCTCTGATCAAGATGGCATGTGGCAACATCCATAAACTCACAGACGAGCTCTGTCAGTGCAACCTCCTCCCGGTCGGCAGGTGATGAGACCTCCATATGGGCGCTTGTCATTCATGCAGCAAAGCAGCGCCGATGAGCTGGTACTCCCCCGATCCGCTCAAAGTGACGACACGACTTGGTGACCCGAAACAGTCCAGTGCACACAGCCAAGCTGCACGCTGGCAAGCACCGATGTCACCGAGATACATGCAGATTCACTTTCTCGAGCCAAACAAAGTATCACCTGATCGTGTAGTCCAGCTCGAAGCCGAGGACGTGAGGCCAAAGAAGCTTGCCCCTTACCCCGCATTGTAGCGATGACGCCTTCGCTTCTTTGCTGACCTGGCTCCTCGCTTGAATTTTCATCGCTGCTGCTCGAGACCTCGCACAAAGTGGTCTTGCGAACAAATCCTCAGCCATGGCGATATTGGTCGCATGCAGTGCGCTCCTTGTAGCAGGTCTGCTGGACAGCAAAGTCCTCGTCGGCGCTGCTCCTCTCAATATCACCGCCCTCGACAGCATTTTAGGCACTGAGCCCGGATGGTATACCTACAAGTTCACCCACCAATTTGACTTCCACTACGAAAAGGACGGACATCCCGTCTACTTTGGCATGCCGGCTGTAAGTCGCACGCCTCCTGAGCAGCAAAAAGGTCATCAGATGTCGAACTCCTGCGCAGGAGACCTTCACATTCCGCGTCAAAGAGCCCAAGCGAGGTCCTCTGCAGTCCGAATGGGTTCAGTCTGATTCGAATGTTTGAGAGCAGCATCGCTGACAGACCGTGCAGATCGACAAACCAGAAGGGACATGGGTATGTAAGCAGTATTTCGGGAACGTAATGCTCAAGTCTGTGCCCAATCCAGCCCCTCATCAGTCGAGATTCATCTCACCTCGCCAAGGTCGAGATCCGGAAGGAGTTGCGAGCGCTCATGACCGAGCCAGGTCAGCTGCATGGTGACACGCCTGCCTCTGATCCGGAGTTCCGTCGATGCTGCATCGGCACGTACTATGCAACGTCTGGCCCATCGCTTGGTTCCAGACGCGCCCGTGCTGACTTCATCCTCTCTGATCTCTGATGACAGGTTCAACGTCATGACCACAGAATGTGTGCCGTCTTGCGACTCACAGGAGGCTGCACATCTGACAGCCTTTGCAGGGGACTCCTTCGACAGAGACATTGCACAACTGACAATGGACTGCAACAATGTCTACACGCAAAGCGGACCGTTGTGCGATACGACCTGGCTACCCCATCGTAAGCTCGTATCTGCTCTTGCAATGGTGACTCACTGAGGCACTTGATCACTCATAGACAAGATGTTCTTCTCGACCAATCCCTGGGATGGCACCGAAGATATCGATCTGAAGATCGTCGTCACTAATCCGCTCACGCCAAAGACATCTTGTGCGTTCTGCGTCTCGTTGCACAGCCCCGTGCTGACGATGCAGTCGCAGGAGACGCATGCAGATCATCATCTGGAATGAAGCGCTAGGAACATAGCGAGTACGGGCAGCCGTTGAATGCAAAGCATCCGAAAACCAGTTCGACGCGTGAACCTTTCGTTTCCCACATCCTCCTGGTCGTCATGCCGTTGTCGCCTCTATATCCTCTCGTGACATCGGCCGTTTTCATCCGCCCAGCAGACTTACGGACAAAGATGCTTTTGAACATTCTAATCGCCTCGTGCCTCGTCACGCTCGCCTCGTGCCTCAAGAACATCAACATCTGTCTGCCACCGGCACAATTCGTTCGTGCGTATCCTGCTTTCCAGACTGACATTTCGCTCAAGCGAGGAACTTGGTAGAGCTCGCCGTCGAAGTGCGTCGATGCACGCCATCCATGCCTCGCTCACGTGTCTGCAGCATCCCGATGAATCGGACACCCACGACAGCTTTTGCATCTTCTCGCTGTATGATTATCCTCTCGGTACGACTCCTAACAACGAACCGCAAGTCTCACTTTCAAATCGAATCCGCTCAGCTTAGTTTCCTTGCGGTACAGTTGGAACAAATGCGGACAGTATCAGTACGTTTGCCTGGACGGCACCGTGCAGAGTAAGGAACAGCCCAACAACGGCGGTCGTTACACACTCCAAGACTCGGCAGGATACTCTATGCATTGTATTCGGGTAAATGTTCTGCAGCCGATAGACCTCCAAGCTCATCTGCGTTCAGGCTGACACATGCTGAAATGTCTACCGGTGATTGCATGCACATCGTCGCAGTCGCTTGTTGTCCTGCATCATTGCCTGTCTCCAGGATCGCTACGGTTTCCATGAGATGCAACGGTTCCCATGACTTTTGGCCGTCGCCTTTCGGTCGAGGAACGACACCGGCTACACTACTATCTCTATCAATACCAGCAACCTCTATCAATACCAGCAACCTCGCAGGATCTGAGTTGATTGCTGATTCACGCACAGTAACGACAATGCTCTTCAATTTTGAATTGGTTTCGCATACACCGTCGTTTTGGTAATGTGCCTTCACATCAGCTCGTGCCCGGGCGGCGTACATGTTCGTGGGCGCTCTGCTTGTATTCATAGAGAGAAATGCAATGTGATCGTCACGACGACAATACTAGTCGTCAAGGCCTGTAGATTCAAAATTCGCTCTCTTGCTCGTCTGAACATCTTCACGGGATTCTGGTCATTCGGAAAACCGTGACTCTTTTTGCATTCAGCCGAGCGCGAGCAATGCAGGGGTTGGCCAGACCATCCGTGGCGAGCCTGTCAGCGCCCTGCTTCTGGCTTGTTCCCAGATCTGACAAGCGTACAGTGGCTGCAATGCGGACAGTACGTTAATCATTCTATTGACGGCAAAGTGATTAGTCACTTCAAAGACTTGAACGGTAAGCCGATACTGGCATACGACATGATCAATGGTACCATCACTTGAAAGCTGGCGAGCTATGCTTCTGGTTGAAAGTAACCAAGTCGAATGTGAGTCACAGAGAGCACTGTGCTGAGAAAGCATCGGTGACTGCTATGGAGCCGAGCATTGGTTGTACGCATTCGGTTGCACTGTCTGTTGCTGTGCCTACGGAATGCGATACGATCTCCTTTGCTAGCTGTCAAGGCGGCGAAGACAAGAATTCTCTGCTTGCTTGACCTCACTGAAGGAGACCAAAATGCTGTTCAAGTCGCTTGTGCTTGCTTGCGCGTTTGCTGCCGTAACATGCCTTCATATCAGCTTCTGCCCTCAAGGCCAATATGTTCGCAAGTGGAAACTTTTCGTTGCAGGATAGCGTTTTGGCTGACGATGACGAGATCTCTGGCAGAGCTTGCTGTGAAGGTACTTTCGTCTGACTCGCAGTCCGTCTCGCTTCATCGCGCTTGCAGGATCCCGGTCACGCGGATAACCATGATTCGTTCTGCATTCGCCCCGGTATTTACGGCGCTACCCTCGGCACGACGCCGCAAGGCGAGCCTGTGGGCGGTCATTTGCCTCTTGGCGCTCTCGCGGCTGATAGGCACACAGTGGAATCAATGCGGCCAATACGGCTATCATTGCATCAATGGCCAGGTGATGACGAGCATCAGAGGTGGCGACGGCGAGATTCTGCCGGCCTATGATTCGCTCGATGGCATCATCACTTGCGAGCCGGTGAGCGCCTTCTCAGATGCCAGGGGGAAGCTCACGCATTAGGGCAGAGACCCTTGTGCTAGGCAAGGACAAAGGTGTAGAAGCACCCATGCAGCTTCTTCATACTTTACCCTGGGGTTCTGACTGAGCCTTCGCACGGCGGTGAATGCGCTACCTTGTGGCTTGGTGAGCAAAGGATCGAGATACAGTCCCAGGAGACGAGCCACTTTTTAAAGATGAGATGGGCAAGGTCGCACGATCTGTTGGCGCGTCAATGGCTCTGACTCAGAAGCTTGCATCATTGGGATTGCGTTTGGACTGATAGGGCGCTGCGTCTCTACGGCAAGCACTCGCATGCTCGCAGTCGAGGTGCAAAAAGGGCTAAACGGACCACTGAAGTCCCGAATCATGATCGCGGAAGGATCCTCGCCAGCGATCTTGATGAAGTAAGCATAGGCTTGCGGACCAGTGAGCATAGAATGAAGTTCTTGCGGGTACGGTGACTGAGCGGAGCCGAGAGCATGGCAGGCAGGCATCGTCGGGCGCCACCTTCACTTTATCGTGTGTTCCTTACGCGAAACGGCAAGCCAGAATCAAAGCTGCCTCGAGCCTGGTGCGCTTGTCTGCCCAGCGAGCGATCAGCAGCGCACACCGGCAGAGAGGCAGCCTCTCGTGTGCGGACAGAGCGAACCAAGCTGTGAAGAGCAGCTCGTACGGATCCTGACAGACGAAGTAACTTGGGAGCCGCCCTCTCGTGACCGTACGAGTGTGAGCAAGATGTCGTCCATGTTCCACAGACTCGACATTGAGAATGACCGCTCGTCTTCCTCATCTGGTCAGAGCACCCCAAATGGTCCCGACTTGCCGACGAGCGTCGCTGGGCCATCTGCGCTCTCTCAAAAGATGGATATGATCTCTACTTCACCTATCAAGCCGACAGCTGCAAAGCAGCTGGACTCGACCGGCGTCTATGACAAGCGCTTCTTGCTCGCGCTCAGCAAGAGCCCGCTCATTAAACGTCCAGAAGCGCTAAGAGACCTTAAGGAGTGGTATGGGTAAGCCGAACGAACAGCTGTTAGCCGTTCCACGCTGACGGCGGGATGCCAGTGACTACGATCCGCCGCCTATTCGCATGTCCATACCAGGCTCAGGGAGAGATCACTACGGCCCTGGACAAACCGAAAAGGGCTCATACAGTCGCTCGCCAAATGTTCAGCAGCATGCAACTTCACCACCTCATCAGCGCAATGGGCCTGGACGATATGATGGCATGCGGCAAGGCGAAAGTGCACGAGCAGGCAATCGCGGCGCTGACGGCAGACTTGCCAAAGCGAATCCCTTCAATGGATTCGGTCGCTTCGGTGAGGATGAAGAGCCAGGCGCGATGCGTGCAAGACGGGTGCGTGCAACGATCAATGAAGATATGACAAGCTAAATGCATTGCGCAGACGCGAGACAAGGAGGCTGGCAAGCCATCGAGCAGTGCTCCAAGCGAGCAAGACAGGAGCAACGCTGCAGGCGCTGCTCAACCCTTTGCCGCTCGCCGAGATGGCAGAGCAGCAGAAGCAGGCTGGCGAACAGACCGTCCGGCTGCACGTACGGGCCCATCAGATCGCCATGTAGGCCTGAGCGATGAACGCAAAATGCGCCAAGAAGCTGGACGAGAACGAGACAGAGACCGCCATGCTCAGCGTGACGAGCGCTCCAGAGAACGTGGCTTCGGTCGACCGGCTTGGGCAGACGACACAACGCGTGATGACGGTCAGAGTTCGTCAGCACCTGGCTGGTCTATGGATTCTTCCGCAGCTTGGGATGCACCGTCAGACTCGCTCGATGATGGTCTGGGCGGCAAAGCAGGAGGATCGGGTCAATTGGACTCTATACAAGCATGGAAAGCAGAAATGAAAGAGCTCGAGCGCAAAAAAGCAGGCTTGCCTCCGAGCGAGCCAGAACGACCGCTTGAGCCGCCAGCGAGCTTCAAGGTCCCGACTGCAGAAGCTGCACCGCCTGCGAAGCAAAGCATGCTTTCGCCAGACTATCTAGCGAGGGCGCCTCCGACTGCGACGGAAGCCGATAGCTCTGCTCCCCCACGCTCAAGTCGATTCGCACGCTTCTTTGGGGATGAAAAGAAGGCAGCGCAAGCTAAAGCTAGCAGCGATCTTTCGCCAGGACTGAGTGAAGCGCCAACAAGCCGACCTCAGCCGCCAGCGAATTCTGCTGACCAAGAAAGCATGCAACGCCTAATGAGTATGCTCAGCATGCCTGCGCAACCACGACCGCCTCAGGAAGCAAATAGGCAGCAGCAGCAGCAGCAGCAGCAACCTGCTCTGCCGCCAGGCTTCGAATTCAGACAAGTTCACGATGCGCAGCCTCAGCAGGCGCCACGAGTTCAGCTCGGATTCGAAGGCCAGCAGCAGACCCAAGCGAATCTGCCAAATTTGCTAGCTCTGCTGGGCCAGCCACAGCATCAGCACGCGGGTCAGCAGCAGCAGTTGTCTGATCATACGCAAGCGAGACAGCGACAACAGCACTCGCATGCTTCAACGTCGCCGCTACCGCCTCATCTGGCAGGCGTCATGCCTCATCATGCGCCTTCGCCCCATCATGCCCCGTTGCCGCACCACGCTGCTTCAGCCGGACAATCACCCATGTTTGCTCGAGGCCCGCCCGGCTATAACGGGAACAGCTCGAATGTCAGTAAGGGACAGCCCTATCTCTCGCCAGAGAACGTACTTGCCAGCTTACCGCCGCAATTACGAGATGATCCGCGCATCCTCCAAAACCCTGCCTTGGCTGCGAGACTCGCTCAGCAGCATCAGAGCCAACATCAGCAACAGAATCAGCATTACGGCATACCCAACTTGCAGAACGTGCCCGTCAATACGATTTTGCAAAATGGCCCGATGGCGTCTGCCTCGCCACTGACTGGCATGCCGCCTGGCATGAATATCCCAGGGCTGAATCAGATGCCGACGCAGATGCTGGCTGCGATGCAACAGCAACAGATCTATCAGCAGCAGGAACAACAGGCCTTCAGAGAGCGACAGAAGCAGCAGATGCATCACCAGCAGAAACAGCAACAGGACTTTGATGCATTTCAGCAAACGCACCATCGGCAGCCTTCGCAGCCGCAGCCCGCAGCGAATCTGAATGGCTTCGATCTCATGGCGTTACTGAATGCGAGCAGAGGCACCCCTGGTGGACTGCCTCCGCCTGCGCAACAAGGCAAGAGCTTTATGACGCTCGAGGAGCTCGAGGCGCATTCTCGCAGATAGGATCTTTTTGATATACACCTTGGATGCAATGTCATGTGTGTAGCTAGTGCGTTGCAACGAACAGACGAGGGGCCAACCTTTGTTGGAGTAGATGTTAATGTCACGAACGGCTTCGCAGAGCAATGTGGATCTCTTTGTCCTGCGACTGAGATACATCGATGACGCCCTGCGAGGCGAAAGTGAGGATGTGATAGAACGCTTGGGCTGCGACGCGCGGCTTGGTGGAGATGACGGGCGCAACATCCGAAAGAAGCAAATCGTCTTCTTTGGTCGAGAGCAGAGTCAGGTAAGTGAGAAAGTTGGCAGAATCCTGCTTCGACGATATGTCTGAGCTAATGTCAGGCTGGAAACCCTGTTTGAAGCCTTCGAATGACTCGTCGAGCGGAGGTGCATAGCCGGCGTCGAGAGGAGGCGAAGGCGGATGCGAGTGAGAGGTTACTGTAGCATCGCTGCGGCGTCTCGGCAGAGACATACGGCCGGCTGGCTCGAGTGAGAAACGACGCGAGAGGGCAGACGATGGGCGTGCAGGATAGTCCTCCTCAATGATAGATGCGTCTAGACGATTCCATGGCATGGTCGATTGCACGCGGCTCGGAGGACGTTCGACTTGTGCTTGACGACCGGTTTCAACTTCTGGCCATTCATCTTGGAGCTCATAGTCAGCTTGCTGATCGTGCGCGCCTCCTTGATCGCCAAAAGGGTCAAGCCATGACGGGTCATCGTAGTCGATTTGACCATCTTCGCGGACGGCCCCGGCGCCGACGTGTGTATGACGATGTGAGTGTTTGATAGCAGGGACATGAGCAATGTAATGACCACGGGCTTCGAGCAGCCGGGCACGAATAGCTGAGTCGCACGGAGCAACGAGGAAATTCTGAAGTGCAACTGCTTTCATGCCCGCCATCGGCATCATCACGAGCGCTTCTGCACAATCCTTGGCGTCACGCTCCGACTTCTTTGCAGCCGAATACGTGCGTTGAGCCTGCATGTCCGTAAGGTATCTCGAACGAGTGCTGTTCAGCACAGCATCGCCGAGAGAGATCTCGCTATCGAGCAAGTCGACTGGACGACGCGCACGAGCTCTTTTGATCTTGGGTGCATGGTCTGAAGCCATGAGGTCATCTTCACTGCGGTGACGTTTGCCATTCATCACATTGCTCGAGCTTGGCGAGCCAGATCTACGGTCTGGCGTGAGAGGCTGCGTTCTCGAAGCGCGCTCCCAGATACGAGGTGATTCGTAGGCACCGTCCTCAAAGGGAATAGCAGGACCGAGGTCCTCGTCTGGTTCGTAGCCTCGTACGCTACCACTAGGAGTCTGCTTTGTGGCGTCAACCCGGCGGAAATGAGGTTTAGCGAACTCACTCCGAGTCTGAAGACACCCGTCTCGTCTCCCACGCCCTCGACGATCGATACATCGCGTTCTGCAGCTATAAGCTTTGTTTGGTGATATAGGGACGAGTAGTACTACCTTGCGGCGGACGCCCGAGATTGTCGCCCGCAGCGCGAAGAGCGGCATCCAGTCTGGGACTGAAGCCGCCCAGGATACCTTGTTCGGGATCGAACTCGAACTCAAAGTCGAACGATGCAGCCTGAGTGCGAGTGTTGCTTCCGAGGATTGAAGATGATCGGGCTTTGGTATGACCGCGCGGGAACGACAACGAGAGTGAGCCTTCGCGGCCTCTGCCGAGCTCGATAGAGGAAGGAGTCTGCTGGATATCAATTCGTGCAGAGGTGCGCGACATCGGCGCAGTTCGATTGGTCTGAAGAAGGCTTCGCTCAGGTTCATACCAGACTTGACCATCTTCTCCATCTTCTCCAAGATCGAAGCTTGCCTGTGCGCTCGCCGTTGCGGAGTAGCGAGAGAATGAGCTTGAGAAGGCAACAGACGCTTCGTACAATACGGATGCGGCCGGCGCGAGCTTATCGTGATGATGCTGGACGAGCTCGTCCGATGGCAAATCAAACAGGCTAGTATGATTCGACTCATCAACCTCTTGCAGCGCTGCATCGTAAGCACGATCGTTGTAGCTTGTGATCACATCGATGGCAAAGGGACCTGCACCGAGGCCACGCTCCAGTGCGTACTCGATGAGCGGCTGTTCGTAGCGTTTGGGCAAAGTCGTCGCTGGCGTCTTGTTCGCGTTGAGAGCGATCAGCCGATCTCGATTGAGGCCTTTGTACTTTGTTATATCGAGGTGATCAGATCCTTTGATAGCCTTGGGATGACGAGGATGTGCAGTAGGGTTATTGAGGATCAAGTTCGCTTGGAGATCTTCAAACATTGTCCTCTTGAGAGCTAGATTGAGTTGGGTGACTTGCAGTGTCAGGGACTCGATCTGGTGTGCGTAGATGCGCGTGAGTCCGAGCAAGAGTGACGCCATGAGGCGCAAGGCCATTGGCTCTTGTGGCGTGATGAGCGACTGGCATGCCTGTGGCAAGGCGCAGGTGAGGATCTCTTTCTTCCTGAGCAAGCGTGACTTTGTGCCTCCCGTCGCTGTTGCAGCGATCCAGAGCAGCGCGAGATCACCTCCTCGTTGCTTGACGAGAATATCCTCGCTGAAGAACATGGTTTGTACGTGGATCAGACGCTGAGTCTATCGCGATGCTGACGCAGAATGAGGAGCACGAAAGAAGCCCGATGAGATCAAATAGTCTTGCAGCACGCTGAGTAGACACTGGAGTGAGCACCACCCGAACTTATCTTGATGCGTCAGGCCGGCCACATTGAGGCTCGTCGTCGAGCAAGACGTCAAGTGACGACGCGCGTCTCTGCTGGTTTCGCTCGTCGTCGCCGCCGCCGCCGCCGCCGCCCATCCCAAGTCAATGACGCAGCATGACTCTGCCCGAGTCGACGTTGCTCGCAATGGCGAGCCTCGAGCGCTCTTCTTTTACGGCACACTCATGCACCCAGGCGTGCTCGAACGAGTCATCGGCCATGCTGTCGATAAGCTAACCTTTACCGACGCCGTTCTCTACGAGCACACTCGTCATCACGTCAGACATGCCGACTACCCTGCGGTTATACCCATCCAGAGCGCACAGAAGCTCATAGGCCGTGCGCTGGACCGCGAAGAAGCGAGTGTAAGGGGCACGATCGTACAGGGACTATCACCTAGCGACGTCGACTTGCTCGATGTTTTTGAAGGCGACGTAGGCTCGAGACCCTTTGCAAATGAGCTCCTCACTGACGACATCCCGTAGGAGTACGTCAGGCGTACAGTGCAAGCACATATACTGTCCGCAGCTCGTACAGGCGCGATCAAAGGCGCAGAAGCGCTCGTTCCGCTCCTCAGTCCGATCGACCTGTCTCAGGCCACACAAGACCAGACTCAGAGCGTTGACGTCTACTTGTGGTCGGCCTCCGTAGATCGTCTCGAGTCAGGTCTCTGGGACTTTGCCGCCTTTCTCAAAGATAAATCCCATCGATGGGTCGGCACCTCACAAGATGAGGAAGAATTCGCAGAAGTAGACCGTCGACGCGCCATGAACGGCAAGATAACACCCGATCGTACAGGAGGATCGGCAGGAGGACCGGCAGAAAACACACTGCCTGTCTTCGGAAAGGCTCTCGGTCGTCAATATTGGACTTTCGGCAATTACATTAATCTAAACGCTGGCTCGTATGGCGCGTGTCCTCAACCGGTCGTAAAGCAGACACACTACTGGCGAGAACGCACGGAAGCAGCACCTGACAAGGTCATGAAACGAGACTATGCGCCCGTCTACACGAGAACGCGCGCTCGATTGGCCAAGCTGTTCAACTGCGACGTGGAGGATCTCGCGGTCGTGGGCAATACGACGATCTCCACCAATGCTATCCTGCGCAGCTTCCCTTGGCAAAAGGGCGATAAGATATTGCATGTTGGCTCAACGATCTACGACCCAGCGAGGAACACGCTACAATACATCATAGATAGTCGGCCAGACTTGGAGCTCAGCATGCTCGATGTTCAGGTCAACTATCCCTTGTCAGACAAGGCCCTCCTCGATGCGTTCGAACGCATGATCGTGCGCGAGAATGGCGCGGTTAGATTCGCTTTCTTCGATGGCATATCCTCTCAGCCTGGCGTCGCTCTTCCTTGGCAGTCTCTCGTTAGCTTATGCAAACGGCACAATGTCGTTTCCTTTGTCGATGGTGCACATGAACCGGGTCAGCGGCCCATCGACCTCAAAAGCGCCCAACCAGATTTTTTTGCGGTCGGTCGAGGCCGTCTACCAGCATGCTCTGATGCTCACAGCACGTTTTGGCAGGGTAACTTGCACAAGTGGCTCTATGCACATCGACCTGCTGGTATGCTCTACGCCGACAAGCGATGGCATACTCTTGTCCAACCGTTCCCGATGTGAGTCTGTCAGCTCGCCCGTGCAGACCGAGCTGATGAGAGAGGCAGTGCATTCGCGTACATACCCATTGCGCAAGGTCGGGCTACCTTTGCTGCCGGCTGGGACTGGCCTGCGACGGAGGACATTTCGCGCTATCTTTCCATCGAGACAGCACTAGACTTCCGCGAAATGCTCGGCGGAGAACAACGTATACAGACGTACACCCATGGCCTCGCTATGCGAGGAGGACGGAGAATGGCAGAGATACTCGGCACAGAAGTCTTAGAAAATGAAGAGGGCACCTTGACAGCGAGCATGGTCAACGTCAGACTGCCGGTCGATTTCGCATCCGTCGACGACTTCAACAAGCAAAAGAATGCCATCAGAGACATCCTCTTTGACGAATACGACTGCTTTGCTCCTTGCTTCTTCCATAACGGCAAGACCTACGTGCGAGCTTCAGCGCAAGTCTTCAATGACTTGACCGACTTTGAATACGTTGCGATAGCATACTTGGAAATATGTCGCAACATCAAGTAGAATGCACAGCCTGCAATCATGTTGTCCATTTGTATGTACGAAAATGTCCAGCAGAGCGCTCAAGATGATGAGCACTTCCTATCCTCCCTCTGCATAATGAAAGGTCGCCCCACTGAAGTCTTTCTCGATGTCCGGGCGTGGAGCATGCTTCTACATGCTCGTGAGACTGCGCGTGAACGAGCGCGGCGGTCGAGTAAAATCTCTTCTCATCGAGCCCGGAGGCGGCGAACGGACCATGGGCAGCACGTCCGATTCTCTGCGCTGCGAGCGAGCACGTGGACGAAGGAGATGGATGCCGTTCTGCTGATCGCGATGGAAGAGCTGATGACGGTAACCTTTCCATTGGCCACGCTCGCTGTCTGGGATCTCGTCCGGTATTTCATCAGCAGACAGATGCTTGAACCCGTATGCGTTCAGCTGACGTCTGGTCGGGGGATCCCGGAGTTAGTACAGATGATGACGGATTTCGAGTCTGACGAACGCAAAGCTCGAAAGATTCTTATGACTGAAGTTGGCTTCGAGCACTTCCGGTACGAAAGAGGGATGCGCTGAGGATCGATCAGTCTGGCTGGGCAAGCTCGTATGCGTGCTCACTGGGATCACAGATCCAGGCATCACCGTCTGGTGTCCAACGAATGTAGTCTTGACGGTCAGGATCGTTGAGGAGTTCGATCATTGTGGCCACAAAGCGCTGCACAATAGTCAGCGGCGGGAGGACGGCAACGCACAAGGAGCGCACTGTTGCTTTGCCATTCGAGCTACGGCGGCCGCTTGTAAAGGTCGACTTGATGGGAGGAGGGCCATCGCTCGGGAAGGGAAGGATGGCCGTTGCGCTATGAGGGATACCGCCTGCAAAGCTGGGACCATAGCCTGACATGAGATGCAGGTTCTGTTGTGGCGAGTTGGGCAGGCCAGGATGAGCAAGAGAGGTGGACGGAGGACTGTAGATCTCCGGTGGGAGAGCGAGACTACCTTTTCGGGTACGTTCGGCACCTGAGGTCTTGTACGAACGGGAGCCGTTACTCTGCGCGGTGGGAGGGTAGGGCTGATGACGCGTCAGGCCTGGCGTGGTCGAACGAGCAGACCCTCCATAGCTCGAGCCGGCCGATGACCAGGAGGAAGGACCAGGCGTTCCAGGATAGGCCATGGTCGGTGAAATCAGATGAGATGCTTGTCCGTTGAGTCGCGCGCCATAATTGGACGCGCTCGATGAAGCATAAGGCGCATAGCCGGTCGTGTAGCCCGTCGAGAAGCTATAGGCGCGCTGATGAGGTACAGATCCTGCATGATCGTTCTGTGCATTGACTGCATGCGGCCGTTGGTATCCATAGTGGGCCGGATCGGGCGATGCTACCGGCTGATAGTACTTTGAGGTCATCGATGGAAGGTATGATGAGGGAGACTGAGAGTAGCCGTGCGGTGAGGTCAGCTGGGAGGCTGCTTTGGGCAGACTCTGCATCGAGACGATGTGATGATCGGGCAAGGGCGGCGATCCGACCGGGAAGTACAGAGGTTGGTGGTGGTGATGATGATGATGATCGACGACGTGGGCCAGCGCGCGAGGCTCAGTCAATGACCTGGCGCGCGTGTCTCCGTTGACGGAGATGTCTGGCACATGCTTGACATCGATAGCGTGTTTGTCAAAGCTCTCCGTCAAGCCGAGGCCGAGTTCTGCCGGTGTCTCCACGCGAGAGGGCAAGCTGGGTGATCCGCAAGGGATCGGGATGCCGCCATAGAGCTGCTGGGAAGCATTGGTGCGATGGCCTCTGTAGCTCTGTCGCTCGTTTGGTCCTGAGGTGGCAGCACTCTCGCCATGTCGTGCTTGCAAGGTCGCGCTGGTCACGAGGTCAAAGCTGTCGCTCGCTCTGCCAGGCTCGTGCAGTCCAGCTGAGAGCCCACTGAGGGGTTGACCGTGGGAGTCCGTGTCTGCAACAGCCAAACAGACTCAGCACGATGCCTTCTTGCTCCGGAACGAGAGTTTGAGAGCAGGTAAGGACCCCGGCAAAGCGTGCTCAGAGCGTGAACCGGAGAGAAGCAGAGCCGGTCAAGTTGGCTTACTCTGAGGATCGTCCTCGGAGCCCGGTGGCCGGGGAACACTCATCGCTTGGTTCTCGTCGATTGAGACTTTCTTCGGGTTTCGGACGGGCAACAGCGCACGATCGGCCCGACGTCACAAACAGTCGTCCGTCGTCGCTCCCACAGACGCGCAAGACCACGAGGCACAGCCGATGGAGTCGCTTCTGTCTTGCTTACAAAGCAGTCTGGGCTAGCGGCTCTTTGGAGAAGCGTGCAGAGAGGGGCTGTTTCAGGGTCATGTCGCATGTTGTCCGTCTCGTATTTTCTTGGCTATCGGTCACTCACTTGCGCACTGGCGCCACGACATGCGACGTGGTCACGATTAGCGTTGCGTACGACGGCGGTTGCTTCCCGGGGTCCCCGCTAGGATGTCCAGACGTTGGCTGCTCGACCTGAGAGGGAAGAGGTGAGGATCTGTCTGCAGCATGGCCGTCGCCGCCACGAGGATCTCGTCGTCGTCTCGGGGCACCTGCTCCTCCTCCTTGACAGGCTTGACGTGACAATCGACTCCGCGATCGCACAGACGTTGTCAATCTGGCCAGTCGAGCGCTGCTCTGCCTGCTCACCCTCGATCTCACTGGCCCTCGACTGCCAAGCCTACGAAGCATGTCGACCGAACGCAAGCTCGAGAGTGTCTGGGAGCCTCCCTACACTCGACCACCTACCCTTGAGCCCTCACCTCGCCGGCTGAGGGTCATCTACGTCGATCCCTCGACGAAAGAGCGCATCACGCTCGCCGACACCACCAAAGGCTACAGGGTCCTCGAGACATCGCATCCCGTCCGTCGCTGCCGTGCAGTCCAGAATGCTGACTGATGTCGTCAGCAGCCTACCTACTATATCCCACCAAGCGATGTCAAACTCGATCTCCTCAAGCCCAACGCACGATCCAGCTTCTGCGAATGGAAGGGCAGAGCGAGCTATCACGACTGCGGCAACATCAGGGCGCGCATCTGGAGCTACCCCGATCCTTCGCCTCGCTTCCGACCCATCAAGGACTACATGGCCTTCTACGCGACGTCCTACGAGTGCTCGGTCGACGACGAGAAGGTCATTCCACAAGGTTCGCCATCTTTGCCTAGACTTGATTGCAGCTGATTGAACAGAGCAGAGGGCGACTTCTATGGCTCTTGGCTCACTTCGTCGGTCGCTCCCCTATGTGGCCTGCCCAGATGCTGACGAAGAGCTTCAGAGAGATCACAGGCGGCAAGAAAGGTTTCAAGGGTACGGCCACGTCCCCGCGCGATTCTCAATGCTTACGCAGAAGTAACAGGTGGAGCAGGCACTTGGGGCTGGTGAAATGGCTCTGCATCTCGATTATCTCCAATATGGCTGCTGCTGTTGCTGCTGTTGTGCTTGACCGAACATCTGTTGCTGCTGTGGCGCGTAGCCGGTCATCTGGGGCGTCAGCTGAGGCTGAAAGCCAGTCATCTGGGGCTGCTGGAAGCCGGTCTGCTGCGGCATCATGCCTCCGTTGTAGCCTGTTTGCCTCGTGAGCACAGGCATGCAGTCCCAAGAGCAAAACACACCTGTAGGCTGGGCGCGCAAAACATCGTACTTTTGCTCCGACTGGGGACCGAGCTGCGATGATTTGTTGCCAAACGTGCCGGCCTTCATCGATGCAAACACATTCGAAGGCTGATACTGCGTAGAGCCTGTTGACTGGCCTGCAGACGATGCGCCGTTCTGCGGCCCAAACGTCGAGAGCGAAGGGATAGGCGCTTGTTGTCCAAAGCCAGTCTGCTGCGGAGGTTGTTGCAGAGCGGGCGCGGGCGATTGATAGCCAGTCTGCTGAGGCTGCATCATTCCCATCTGCTGAAGTTGTCCTTGCTGGGGATAGAGACCGGTCTGCATCGGCTGCTGATAGCCTGTTTGCTGCGGATAGAGCTGCTGTGGTTGCTGGAAACTTTGCTGAGGCTGCTGAAAGCCGGTCTGTTGAGGGTACAGTTGAGCGTTCATGCCTGTCGGCTGCGCGTACAGCTGAGGACCAGGCTGAGCGAAGCCTGTCTGTTGTGGCGCGAGACCTGGCTGCGCACCAGGACGCGTGGGCACAAAGCGATTGATGCCCGTGTTTGTAGGTACGAGAGGTGCCAAGAGCGGACCGTTAGCGGCGACAGGCGCCAGAGGCCCTCGCGGTCCATTGATGACTGGAGGAGGCTGGTGTGCCGGTCGCTGATTCTGCTGACTGCCAATACCGAGCTGAGCAAGCAACCTTTCGTTGTAGTCTTGCGTCGAGCTTGGCGCTCTTTCGACTTCCGGTCGTGTCGCGGGTGTCGGCGCCGGCGCCGGCGAGGCAGGCTTGACGACAGCTTGTGCGGGTGCAGTTGGTGCGGGCGGTGGTGGTGGTGCAGGCGTACTTGGCTTTGACGAGGGCTTGACAGTCCATGCATCATCATCGAAGCCGCTCGATGTCGCATTGGATGCCGACCGTGACGGGCGGGTCTCAATTTCGTTTGCGGAAGTAGGCCGTGCAGGTACCGCTGCGCTGAGCTGCGAGCTAGCCGAGGCAATACTGTCACTGATCGAAGCGATGGACGGTGCAGATCGGCCAACAGGAGGACGTCCACGCCGTGTTGTCTTGAGGCCGCCAGATGCAGACGTAAAGAGCGAGCCACCCGCAGTGCTGCCGGCATTCTCTTGTTCTTGCAACTTGCGAGCCATTGCTTCGTCCTCCGCTAGCTGGTCAGTGTCTGTATCCGGCTTGTTGGGTACGTTTGGTGCTGCAAAGCGTTGCTTGATGAGTCGGCTGACACGGATAACGTCGCCTTCGCGTAGACCAAGACTGCGCATCGTCGCCGGCTCGAGATCAGGCAGGACATTCTCGTCCATGCGGTCTCGTTCGAAGTTGTTGGCATAGCGAGTGCAGTCATCCACACTGCAGCCCGCTTCCAGAAAGAAGCCGAACCAGTCCATCGTCGCCTTTCGCGCTGGTTTGGAGCGCGACGGCGTGGCAGGATCAGATCGACGCGAGGAGGTCGACGGACGCTGCGAGCCTGAGCTCGGCCGAGCTGATCTGAGCTTTGCCAGCGCAATATCATCTTCGCCATCCTTCGAAGACCGTTTCGTGATTGACTGCAGAAATTGTATATCATCGGGCGACATCTTGGCGACCGGTACCTCAATGATTACGCCATTGAGCTTGTGGAGCCGTATCTTGCCATTGTTAAGACCAAGAAATTGAGCTTCGACCTTGAATTGTCCAGTTCTGTCTTTCCATATTCGCGTCTGATCTGCCGCAGGCTCTGTGATTCACTGTGAGTGCGGCACGGCAGAAAGCAAAATGAACTTACTACGCTCGCTCGTTCCAGAGGATGAGCTAGGTCGAGGAGCAGCATTCGGTGGCGCAGCGCCTGACCGGCTATTGTCCATTTCTCTCCTCCGACGGGCTTCAGACTTCTGCTTCCGCCTCTGATCTTCAGCAGCTGCTTCTTCTTCTGCAAGCTGTCTGGCTCGTCTTGCATCGCTCCTCTCTTGCTCGCGTCGAGCAGCAGAGGGATCAGACCGAGATTGCGCAACGAGCGGTGCAGCCGTATCCTCTTCGTCCTGTTCCTGTGCCTGTTGCTGCTGATGCTCGTCTTCGGTGCCGACATAGCTGGCAGGGACGACGCCTTCCGAGCCGTCTTCGGCTTTTCGCACTTTCCACCATTCTTCGTTGGAGCTATCATCAAGAATTACAAGTTGGTCTCCCTCTTGGATAGAGAGCTCGTCATCGCCCTCGCCCGAGAAGTCATACAGAGCCACGCCGGTCTTCTCAGAAAGCGATCTGACTGCTTGTGGCCGTGGAGGTGGGACTGGAGCGCTGTAATGTTCTTCTGGCGGTGGCGAAGGCGCTTTGGGCGGTGGGGGAGCGGGACCGAGCGCAGCTATCGGAGGCGGAGCAGGCACGGGCGTATTGGTAGTATTCTGTCGAGGCGTAGCACCGGTGTGCGCTTCGAGTTCGGCTTCGAGCTTTTGCACAATCTCTTCTAATGCATCCTTCGAGGTCGAAAAGATGAGCTCGATATCGTCCGCAAACTGGATCTTGATCTGCTTCGACTTTTCGGTATCCCATGTCTGAAGATCTACTATACTGCGCTGTTGTACTGGCGCCTTATCACTCTCACTGGCGAAGAAAAGCGCTCCATTGCCTATGCCTAGGCTGCCTTTCTTTTTCTTCTTCTTGCCGTCAAGCTCCTGCTCTTGCTGTCAGCTCGATCGCCAGAGAGACAACGGCAACCGCACAGAGACACTCCAGATCTTGACAGGCGTCTTTGTTGCGCCATTGCGGGCGAGAGCGGGTACGCTCGGCGCTGATGCAATCGCAATTGGCGCGTTCTCCTCTGCTTCCTCGTAGACTTCGTCTTCCTCATGTGCAGCGACAGGCGACACGGTCTCATCCGTGATCTGTGCTGCAATGTCAGCAGTTGACTTACTGCCGGGGAGCCTGACTTGCCGTGAGATAGCTTGTTGGCATGTAGCCCACGCCTCTCTGACCGGACTCATCTACGCGCCCCACCAGCGTCCACTCTCCGTCGTCCTCGTAGACATTGAGAGGCTCATCGTCGACGACTGTGAGCTCTTCCTCGTTGGTCGCTTGGTAGGCATAAGTCGCTATTGCGCGTGAGATGGGCTGCATGGGCTCGAGGTAGCTCGCAGGAACAAGGCCGGTCGCTCCCTCGGGCTCGTCGGACGAAGGCGACACCTTTGCCCGGATCTTCCACCATCTGGACATGCCATGATCAGCGGCTGTAGGGGCTGACAGGGTGCTCCAACTGACTCGGCATCGTCATCTTCGATAATGTAGAGCACATCGCCCTCCTTGATGGAGACTTCCTCCGCTTCTCTGGCCTCATAGTCGAACTCTGCTCTCGCCAGACCGAGCAAGCTGATCGCTGACATGCCGCTCCCAGGTCGGGTCGGGTCGGTCGGCTCGAGCGCCGGGATTGTCCTGACGTCGAGCTCGGGCTGCGCGTCAGCAGGACGAGTGAAGTCGAGGAGTCGGGCACAGCGATGAGCTCAGGCTATCAGGTCCCTCCGCAGGCTCACCACGCAGTCGAGATAGAGGCCGACGAGGATGAAGATGACCTGGTAGCTTACGGCTCGTCTGGCAACGCACAGAGCAAAGGCAAGGCCAAAGATTCCTCGAGCGCCAATGCGCCGCTGCTCTCGACACAGAGCTCAGGCGCGGCTGATCAGCTATCGGGTTCAATCGGCAAGCCTCAAGCGGGTGCCAGCGCCAGCAGTCGGTCGAGTCCAGCAGGCCACAGACAGACCATTGGCGGCATCCAAGTCGAATCGCGCTTTGGCGGCGTGAGCACGCTCGACGAGCCCGTCTCCGAGACTATCGTGCGTCGCTCCGACTCAGGCATGACCTCATCAGGCTGAGCTGCGTCGGATTGATCCACAGTTGCGTGATGCCAAAGCAATAAGTGACAAGATGGTACAAGTCCTCAGACCGACGCGAACGACGGCCGTCTTGCGCGAATGGGATCTCTGGGGTCCCTTGATCTTCTGCCTCGCCCTCGCTGTGATGCTCTCCGTCAACGGTAACTCGTCCTCGCCGCCGGTTGCCTCGTCACTGGGCTCACAGCTTGCGCGCAGCTCCCGAAAGTCAAAGCTTATCTGTCTTTACCGGCGTCTTCGTCATCGTCTGGCTCGGCTCAGTCGTCGTCACACTCAACGCGAAGCTATTGGGTGGCAAAGTGTACGCCGTTCACCTGCATCAGCATTTTCCTGCTGAGCACCGTGCGAGGACAGATCATTCTTCCAGTCGCTGTGCGTGCTCGGCTACTGTATCTTCCCGCTCGTCATCTCCGCATTCGTCACACTCTTCGTCCGCTTGCTCTGGGTCAGAATACCGGTCTGCCTTGCAGGCTTTGCATGGGCAGTCTTTGGTAAGTCAGTCTGATTCGACAGCCGATCGAGCTCATATGCAAGCAGCCGCCGTCAATTTTCTCGGTGGCACGCGACTGGAAGACTCGAGAGCAGTGTTAGCAGTCTACCCCTGCTTCCTGCTCTTCTCTGTGCTTGCATGGATCATCATGCTGTCATAAAGAGCGAACTCGACGTAGATGTAGATCATCGGTGTAATTGCGTCATTGCATGCTATCACAGGCTTGTCTCTATCAACGGCTCTAGGCCGGACAGATAGTAGTCGTACTGGCTCATCATCCAGTACATCGACGAAGCTGCCGCGTCGCTCAGCTCACTGGAAATTCCCCGACGAAGGACTTACTCGAGATGATGACCGTACTGAGAGCAGGACTGAACAGTGTCGTCGTCTTAAAGACGACAATCTCCGAGCCGAAATGCAAGAACGCAATCACCTGCCGCCGATGTGAGCAACTTGCTGCCGGACGCGATAGGTCAACCTACAAAGCTCGCCAGCGTGAGATGATAGAGCCTGCTGGCCATGTGAGCTGGCGCGTTAGCATTCGCTGCGTGCGTACGCTGGATTGTCGATGCTCATCGCTGTGTACAAGCGGACACCAGCGCTCGTGAGGGTCCAGACTGCGAATGTGCGCGACTGCAGACTGGTGACTGCCTGGAAGGTCAGCCTGCAACGCAAATCAAGTGCAAGCTCATACCATGCGTCTTGTGATAGACCCTACGTGTGAGCGAGTTGGTCACGAAGTTCTGGACCGTATTGAAGAGCGCGAGGACGGAAACGAAAAGGAGCCATTGTGGCAGCAAACCACCGTGCTCGCTCAGGGAAGGTAATTCTGCGCAACCTCAGCTCCGATCAGGCTGCCATTGCAGCCATACTTCCGGCATAGTCCGTCAATAAGACTCTCGAGGCTTCGAGCTGATCCATGACCAGACTGTGACACGATTGTCTGGCTCAGCGCCCTGCTCAGCCAAGCGCAAGACCGCGATCGAGCTGACTACGTGCAGCTGACAGCCCGCCGGGAAGACGGTCGAGCGGAAAAGAAGGATAGACTCAGATCGAGATTGATAAACCGACTAGCGACCAGGCTAAGCGTAGGGCCTGGCTAGCTTCGCTTCCACAACGGCATCTAAGAAGGCCAGACTCGCGGCTATTCAGGTTGGTTGCAGTGTGTGAGAGGCGATGCACGCCAGCAGCCGCGGGCACGGCGTTTCCCTGGACCCTTGCAGTGATCGGCACCCACCAAGCATTCGCGCGCACGAAGAAAGGCTCCACGCCACCTTGGCAATGTCTTGCCGTCTTTGATGCCTTTCACGAGTGGGACGACGTGGGCGAGGCCCTGTCTGCAGCGAACTACGTAATCGATGCATTTTCTGCAGGAGCTGCTCTTCTTTCTTCCTTGCCTCTACTGCGCCCGCCGCGACTCTCTCGGCCAAGCTCACCGAAGCTCTGTAAGAGAGCAGGAGACCGAGGTACCCCAGTAACGCTTTATCGGAGAGTTTGAGCTCCTTTACGTCAGCACCGATCACGCGCCGCCCGTGCTTACGTCGTGGCTCGACAATCTGCAAGTGCGCATTGTAACCTGTCGCCACTCCCGCGCACATGTTTGACGGCACGCTCAGCTGGCCTTGACGATTGGCTCCAGCTTATCGGTCTGGCTTGCGCTGGCCTACGTGTAATGCCATTGTCTTCAGACAAAGCGGGATTGTTGATTCCGAGCAATCATCAAAGCCTGCCCGAGCCTCCGTCCACGATTAACAGCGACAATGTGAGAATTTCGCGGCGTGGCTGAGCATAAACCGGAAGGGTTGACTGGTTCTCGAGACAGCTGACGGGCGCGAGCGAGCATGTCTCGATGGAGGCCGGGGATCATGATCCCGGCCGCGGCGAGTCTCACAAGGATCTGCCTCGCGTCCCCAATGTCGAGTCGAGCGCCGACATCGGCATGCCTCACGCAGCGGGGAGAGCGCCTTCGAACACCAAGGAAGTGACAAGCGCGTCCAACAGTGGCGCTTCATCATCCGCAAGGCCTGCAGCGCTCGAGCAGTCCAAATCATCGTCAGCGCAGAGCAGCGAAGAGCCCAATTCAGCGAAAGAGTTTGGTCGGCATGAGCGCACGCCCTCGACCGCTCAGCAGACCTCGGAGACAGGTTCACCCTCTGAGACGGGCTCACTGCTCGCACGTGGCTTCTCAGATCTACAGGCCGTCGCTGGGCCTTCTACTGAGGGAAGTAGCGAGAGCCTGCCTCCGCAGCCATCTCTGGATCAGGAAGCATACGCAGCGCATCAGCGGACGCTGCAGAATCGCAAGGCTCAGAAAGAATTCAGGCAGCGTAGAGCTCAGTACCTGCGTACGTTGGAGGAGAAAGTCAGGCGGTACGAAGATGGCGAGTCGGACGTGAGCTCGAGGCTGCTGAGGACGCACTGCGTGAGCTCATGATCAAGCACAGGCAATCGCACGGCTCCGGCATGGCATGCGAATGCTGCAAGACGAGAACGTCTATCTCCGCGGCGTAGTTCATCGTATGCAAGCGCCGAGTGAACCTCAGCATATGTCGATACCGCTGCAAGGCCCAGCATCGGCGCCACCACCCGGCGTTCCTGCGATGACACACAGCCAATATCAAGCGCATTCCTCTCTTTTAGCTTATGCACGACCGGGCGGCCAGATGGCATCATATATACCATCTACACAGTCGCTCAACATCCCTTCCACGCAGCCTCCGTCACAACCGTACGAAGGCGGACCAGATCGGAGGCATGCGCACAGTCGGCACGCGCCCGCCGCGCAGCGCACATCGAGGACGCCTTCGCCAGCTGCTGCGATGCCTGCGCAGCTGTTGCCGCGCTGGGCAGCCACATCAGCTGCCTACGGACCACGACAAGCTTCTCGTTCAGACGTCCCTCTAGATCCCCAGCATGCAGCACCGATGGCGCAGCATCCTCGCTCCGCCACACAACACCCAGACGCATCTTGGCAGGCTGTCAATCCGAGCGGCTTTGCCGCATACCCCTTAAATATGCCCTCGCAGCAGCAATACATCCAGCAACAGCAATCTATGATACACCGCCAGCAGATGATACCCGAGCATTTCGTGCAACCTCACACGTCAACAAATAGCTATAGTCAGCCTGCAGGTCAGATGCCCGCACCGGTGCAAATCGCGAATCCGCCTGTAACGCAGCAGACACTCCATCGCGCCCAGCAAGAAATGAACAGACTCCAAGAACCTCAGCAAGAGGTACGTTCGCTTCATGATGCAGCACAACATACCCAATTCACTCACGATACCATACCCTCACCCATGCACCCTGCATTGCCTCCTGGCAAAGCGTCAGCTCCTTAGACACTCTAGACGCCTCCGCATTCTCGCGTCTGTACATCCGCATTCGTCTGTCACATGTGTGTACGAGAGCAATTGTCACATTGCAATCTAGCCTGCGTAATGAAACGCGCGTCTAATCCATCTTCTTTGCCTCGTCGAATGCGCCTTGATGGCATCTGATGCGTTCTCCGTTGGGCGAAAGTCTGTAGAATAGTGCCAGCCATCTGTTTGATGAGTGTCAGCACTGCGCCGCAAGTCCATGGTCAACCTACCGTCGTCCAAGTCCGATGCAATAGCCCAATTCGAGTACTTGTCGATGCGCCACTGCTCACCTTCCACCCAGCGATAGCCCTTGGGTGGACTGTAGCTGCTCTCCGCATCAGAAGATATGATGATGTGCAGCAAGGACGCACCTGAGTTCTGCGTCAGACGGCGCAGTAGCAGCCTGTGTGTCGTGTGATAGACCAGCAGCGATGCTGGCTTGCGTGGCCCATGGCTTCGGATCTCGGAGGGTAAGTGCATGCGGGCTCCACTGGCCAGTCTCATCGAGCCTTTCATTCTCGAAGAGCTCGATATCGCGGATGTCGAGCGCTTCGAGATGCTCATCATTGAGAGCATCATCTTCCATGATCTGTTGTAATTTTGCTAGGATGTGCTTGCTTCGGGTCTGCATGAGCGGTGCCGATCGACCAAGGAGCGAGATCGAGAGCGGATGTGATAGAGCGAGAGCAGCTATGCCGCCGACAAGAGCGACGTACTTCCACGGTACGTAGTACATGATAGATGCCATGCCGATGCCGGACAGTATGGCTACTTGCAATATCACCATTGTAAGACGCTCATTGGACCAGTCGAGATAGGGTACCGCTTGTCTGCCGGCATCTGTCAGATCACTTATCCTCCCCATCATGCCTTGTATGTTTTGCTAGGGAAATATCAGATCTGGGAGCGGGCTACTTTGTGAGGTACTCACGAGATTCTGTAGATAGCTGATAAAGCCGCTCGTGAGCATGACAGATTAAGTATATAGCTCTGGGGACGAACTCTATAGATCCTTGCGAGGGCGGCCCATCATTCATAGGCTTGTCGGACACCTTTGTCGGTCGCTCGTTCAGGCTGGCTGCGATAGGCTGGGGCGGGTACCGCTTCTGATGCGTGACGAGCAAGATCGTGATGATGATGACGTTAGGTAGCAGTAGCAAGAGCATGGGATGAAGACCTGCCAAGCCGCATGAGCTTCCAGCCAGATGATGACACGCGTCGGCGCTCACAGAGGACGACCCAGCAGCAGCCACAGAAGACAGTCTTGATCGGGTCCTCCCATCTGATGATACTCTCTACACCATCCTGTACGTAGAAAATCGGCCCGGACTTTTGCACAAAGCTGCGCAGCTTGTCAGCGAGGCTTCACGAACTTTAGTCAGAGCTCGGGCGCACTTGCGAAAGTTGACTGTGGTCGTCTGCAGACTGAGAGGCGCTTTGGCAGATGCCGTTGTCGGGCCCGCAGTGGCATTGACGACCGAGCTGACGAGCAGCTCATTGAGCATCGCATTGGGTGACTTGAAATGAGACGTCAATCCGCCGCTTTTCGGTGAACCGGGGGCTTTGGCTGGCGAGCCCGGTGGTGTTGCATCGCCTGTATGAGTCGAAGGGAGATGCTCTGGTAGTCGTACATTGCCTTCGAGACGGGCAGCACCAGCTGGTGGCCTGAGAAACTCGCTCATCCGTCGCCAGAGCGGGGTACTCGTCTCGCGTCCCAGTCCTTTCGACAGTCGACCCGGTCAATCCAACCCGACGATGGGCCTTCTCGATGACTTCTCAGCCGTGTCGGCATATTCACTCGCGGGCGTGATGTCTGCTCTCCTACTCGGCTGGTATGGCGCCCGGCGTCTTCTGGCATCCACAGCTACCAAAGCGGACCGCTTCACGTTCATATGGGTATGAGCGCCTCTCGCGCTGCCTGCCATCGCACTGAGACCGTCACAGTGCGCTTTCGATGCGCTCATACATACTTTCTACGAAGGAAGCTTTCTATACAACTCGACCTTTGGCCGCACGGCCGACTCGGGCACCTCTCTATTCTGTAAAATGTGGCAAGAGTATGCCAAGGCAGATACACGGTGGGGCACAGCAGATCCCACCGTCGTCTCGCTAGAGATCTTGACTGTGCTAATCATGGGTCCAATCTGCCTCCTCATCTGCTACCAGATCGCCAGGACGAACCCTATGCGACACTTCTGGCTGAGTATGTCTCGCTACGCGATGGTTGTCGCGTGTTGAGCCTGCCTGCCTACAGTCGTTCTGTCGACATCGGAGCTGTACGGCGGCTTCATGACCTTTGCACCAGAATGGCTGCAAGGTTCGCCGAGCCTATACGGCGACACCTTTCTCAAGCTATGGGTTTACCTGGCCCTCATGAATTTGATGCAAGCTCTCCCCCGATCGCGGAAAGCTGCGCTCATGTCCCATTCTGCACTCAGCTGGGTGTTCATACCCCTTTGGCTTCTCTATGAGTCGTATTTGCAACTCAGCCAATCGTTGGGTGCCTCGACCCAGTCAACGCGAGTACAGACTCGCTCCGTCTCGAGAGCTCAGAAGCGCAAGTAGGAAGCCACGATAAGTACACGGTCGTTATACACTGGAGTGAGCGTGAGCTGTCTGCACAACGTCACCTCCGGATGACCGTCGAGATTCCGATTCGGCATGCTCTCGAGGGGACGCAATGCCGAAGCTGGACCGAGCCCCGACGCGCGATGGCTTGTATGATCACTCCACTGTTGCATTTATCGCACTCAATTCGATGTGTGGCCAGTCAGCTCCCACGCATGATCTTCGTTGCTCCGGAGACGTTTGGCTCGCAACATACAAGCGGAGACGGCATTATGTGTCCATGCAATCAGACCAAGGGGAAAGGATAACAAGCCGGCCCATCATGAGCAGGGATCGGGTGAGCTGACGACCACGAACTGCTGAGCAGCATAACCCACGGCCGGCTGGCCATTCCCGTCCTTGTAGGCGATGTGTGCGCCCACGGCTGCTCGATAAGTCAGCCATAGCCAACTTGCATGTGAGACTGATCTACCCCATTGACCGGTCTTGGTCTGGTCAGTGATCCAGTTGAAGACGCCAGAGAAGATGCCGTTGGTGACAGGGCCTCCGCCAATCTGTGTACACCATGGTCAGTGTGGCAAGTTGATTGCTTGTGCAATTTACATCATAGGCAGTGCCGATGGCCATACCGTTGGAGTGCGTCAATGACAAAGCCACTGATGTTGCGTTGAGCGGCAAGTCAATGATCTTGATGGCCATCTTGGGGCAATCTGGATCGACTGAATGAGTACGACGATTTGCTGTGGCATTGCAAGATTCGCATACAGAGGTTGAAAAGCTGATAGGGAGTCGGCGCGACATAGTTGCCTACAAAGGTTCCGAGAGCTGTTGAAGCGAGTCCGCAGAGAACGACGAGCGTGGTCTTCATCTCGTAGACGAAGGATTTCGCAGGTTTTAGCGAGGCTGCAAGGCGAGGCGCGACGCGATGAGACCTCAAGCTGCACCGCCTGCTGCGAGTCACAGCCGCCAGTCGAAGTGCGGACCGCAGTACACCGGATGCGTTACAGCGCGACCAAAGCAGCGAAGAGGCCCAGACCATGTTGGCGTCTGGCTTGTGAAATAGTGATGGTAAAGGAAATGCAATCAAACACGCCGTGCGCTCGGCTTCGCTCGTGTTCATTCGCACGGATCGGTGGTATCGACGACGACGATATCAATGTCAGTAGAATTGAGCGAACCGTCCTTGTGACTGATCTCAGAGACCAAAGCTGCCGATGCATGTGAGCATTTGGCTGTGATCAGCTTGACTGGACTTACTCCACTGGCCGGGCGTTGTCGACTCGTCGACCCACTCGAAAACGGCCGAAAAGACGCCGCTGATGATGGCAGCTTGGCCAACCTGCAGGGTTGAGATCAGTCCAGCCAGCTGTCAGGCCAATACGACCCACGTCGTAATGCGTAGCAACGCCCATTTTGTTGGAATGCGTCATGGACACATCGACATAGAGTGCGTCCGCTGGCAAGCCGACGAGCCTGATCGTCATGGTTGGACAGTCTAGCTCAAGTAATCAGCATCGCCAAATTATTTGGTTTTGTGTTCAGCATACTGAGATTGAAGACTTGGCCGGCAGTTGGCGCTTCATAATGACCAACGCTGGTAGCAAGGGCCGACGAGAAGAGCGCAGAGAAGACGGCGAGAGTCCCCTTCATTTTGCGAGCGATAGAGACTTGGGAGCATTCGAGTAGGACAGCAAGACATGGCAAGGCCAGTTGAGACGCGACGGCAACGCAGTTTGCATCGCATCTTCTCATAGCAACAGCGTATGAGTGCGGCATGGCAGGCCGTTTCGGCGTCTTGTTGCAGCAGCAGCAGCAGCAGCAGCAGCAAGTGCGACGGATCAAGTCACTCGAGCGGGCCCTTTGCGTGGTTTCTCGCTAGCCGCAGATGCAGCTTGTTGCGCGGATTTCTTCATGATCGTGAGTTTGCCCGCCGATGCTCGCTGCGCCATCGCTCCTTCGAGTCTGGTATTGATAGATGTCGACACATTCTATCATATGAAGATGAGCTCGACCCTCTGGGTTTGTCTGTGTACTGACTTTTCGTCGGACTGCCTCCTCGACGGCTACCTTGCGTTGCGGCGGTATGACGCGGTTGCCCTTCTTGAGCGGTGCATTGGCCTTATTCCGCTGACCGGCTGAGGATTTGACCGGCTTGGCGAGCGGCTTGGTCTTGAAACCTTGTGCCATGTCACTGCACTGACTGCAATACTCGCAATTCGCGGCCAAGTCAATTCATAATTATCGGGCGCACCCCTCCTTGATCGCCCCGGCAACTGCTCATCGTCTCATTCTCACTCTGACGTCTGGACCCCTCCTGAGCTCATCGGCAACTGTGTCTCCGAGCCTTGCCGTCAGGCGTTCAGTCTGGGTCTTGTGTCGGCACGACAGCCTCAAGTCGCTCGCAACTATGCACGCGGCTTGGTGGGCTTGCCTATGCCTAGCATGGCAGGCAACGGCGAAGCAGCAGGCGAGTGAGACGACAACGACGGAAGAATTTGTTGCGCTTGCCGATTCCAGTTCAGGATCTCGCACATTTTCCATGAAGCATGATGGCCTGGTCATCGAAACAACGGTCCACATGGAGGAAAGCCTGCTCGAAGCATCTACCAGCTATGACGCATCCGATACTGCTCCCAACAGACTCCGAGAACGTTTCCCCATTCCCGTGCGGCGCCGGCAGTACAATATGACCCACAGCGTCAGAGGCAGCTGCTACAAAAGTGATCATACCATCTATTCGACCGTGGCTGCGCACGGTCAGGTCGTTCTCAAGACCAACAAACAAGGCGACAAGTACTATCCCGATGTCGAAACGAATCCTGGCCCAGGTATGTTCGGCATGAGGGTCGTCGAAGAGGAACCAGGCGGAAACGCAGTCAGAGTCGCCTTCATTATGCAGCTGAAGTCTTCGACGCCCGGTTGGAGCAGCTGCTGCACGGTCCGTCACGCTGCGTATCCACGAACTGACACTCACTGATGTGCAGACTTACTATACTTGGATTGGCTGGTTCAGCTGGCGCATAAGTAGGCCAGAATTGACTCGTCTTTGGTCAATTTGACGCTGATTGTATGCCCCGTTTACAGTGGCCGTCAGCTTCAACGAGATTGCGATGTACCAGTATTGCTTCCCGCATCATCTCGCCGATGCCAATAGGGATAAATGCGACGCTGTCGTGATCGTGACTCTCGGCAATCCCCCAGGCAAGTCCTCTTTGCCGCGTCTCAGCGAATCGGCCGATAATCAGCATGCAGGTGTCACGAAGTGCAATATTGCGCTATCTGAAGAGACTTGCGATCAGTGCGATGAGAATACAGCATGGTGACAACAACAATGCTATGCAACTGTCTAGTCTTTCTTTGTCTTCTTATCTCTGCCAGCGCGTCCTTGTCGCCAAGACTTGAACTCTTTGATGATGCCTAGCACGAGCGGAACGGCTATAGGTCCAAATAAAGGAGTGTACACCGCGTACTTGTGCTCGTCGGGGAAGTAGAGCAGGCCGAGCATTGATGGATGATAGAATGCGCGCGAGGAGAGCTCGTTGACCTTGGCAGACCACTTCATCGCTCCAGTGAGATCGTCAGGCCAGCTCTGCTGCACCATCTCAACCGCGTGCAGGGCCTCGGTGACGTCGGTCTGTACGTCCGATCCGATAGGCATATTCTCAATCGTGTTTGTCAGATTGACGATCGCTTTCAGCGTATTGATGCCATTGCGCGTGTTGGCTAGCGTACGCGTGAGTAACATGGCATCAACTTGCCAATCCTCGAGACGATGTCCGCTCCGCACTCGACCAGGCACGCCGAGCAGTAACGCCAATTGCGCATCGAAGGTCTGACTGATCGTGTTGAGTTGCTCAGGAAATTTTAGGGTGTCGAGGGAGTCGGCAAGCACGACACCACCCCACTGGGGACTGACGAATGCGTTTGTGGATGAGTATGAACCTGAGCGGAGTTCAGCAAGGTTCTGTCCAAAGATGAGTGACCGACCATCGCTCAAGCGGATCTTCAGAGGTGAATATCTCTCAGACGGCACAAACAGGATGAAGTGCAACACTGGATCGAGGGATGCGGCGGTTGCTGCGCTCTCATGGTCAACGATAGTCCAGACGCAAACAGCACTCTGACACACCGAGGTTCCATTCGGCAGTGTTGACAAAAGCTTTGAGCTGATACTCCTCAATGATGTGATGCGCTTCACCATCTGCCGCGGTGCCATCCAGCGGCTCGAACGTCAACGGGGCAAAGGATTGCACTTGCGTCTCCAGTGTAAAGTTGTGCAGAACATTGAGACTTTCGAGCAGTGGCAAGGTGTTCCTGAGCATACTCTGAATGGGCCAGTCGCTGGGAGCATCCGTTTCTTGCAGCAGCAGACTATACACGAGCTTGTAACGAGGAGCATAGTCCACAACGCGGGCATCTTGAGCCGTCGCGTGCTCGCGGGACTGCGTAAGTATTTTGCTCAACCAGGTCGGGGCTTCAGCTGACGCCGTCGTATCTATGCAATGCCATTGGGGATGCGCGCGGATGATCGAAGCTTCGGCAGGTGTCGCGCTCGCGTGCAGCTGTACCGGACAAGAACCAGAGCTGTACCGCGCGATGCGGGCTGCTGGCAGGCCAAGCCTTTCGATTTCCGTGGTCCATATCCATGCAGGAATGCCAAGGATGATTATAACTAGCCAGACTGAGGCCAAGATCGTTCTTCGCTCAACAACGATCGATCTCGCGTCGTCCGAGACTTCCTTGGCAGCCAGTATAATCCCGCGGCCGGTCATTGTTCATCAAAAGGCCAGCTTGGTTATCGGATCATGGGAAGGGAGCGAATGCCCGAACGCAGACGGGAAGACAGCTGCTGCTCTGGGCGACGCCTTTTCTTGATCTTGTCTGAAGTCAAAAATGCGCAAACGTTATTTTTTGAGCGACGGGAGCATTATGGAGCCATCGGTAATACGCAACTTACCGTCTTCCGCGCTGTTTTCTGCGAGCCGCTGATGCAAGCCTCTGTGCCGATGAGTGCGAGCCGCAAATAGTCTGTCGCGCAGGCACAGGCTCGGCTTCTTCAATAGCTCGCGAGGGATACGCAAGCATGCGATTCGACATCGCTGCCAAGCAATAGGCTCCAAATATAGCGTAGCTTACGCTCGCCAACTTCCACGGCCGCGCACACAAGACGTCAGCATCGGCGAGAAAATGGCGGGCAAGATCGACTGGCTCGCTTCGCATGGCCTGCGGGCGTCCCTGGAGCAGCAGCTAAGACAGCAGACTGCTCTTGCTGCCAGACTATTTTCAGATGAGAGCGAGAGCGTACGTCGGACAGCATGCGAGCGCCTGTCAGACGCTTGTTCGGGCGCGCGTCAAGTCTTCTACGACCAGACGGGCCATCGTAGGCGTGTAGGTCTCGATAAGGACGACATGAGCTTCAAGGACTTTGCAACGCTCATCTTCCACCATCTGCAAAGGCGAGCATTGGCCTGCAGAAAAGTCTCCGAGCATGTGCTCAGATGGTCTCCTCTTCAGGACATACGACGACGCCAAGGATTTCATGGAGACGGCTAAGATTCCACCGCAAGTGCTGCTTAGATTGCTGAAGAGTCCACCCCACCGCGATAACGATGGGCGTCTGTCCCGAGATGGTGAGCTCAGCGCGTCACGATGCGCACAGCAGAACTGATGAAAATGGCTCCCTAGCTGAGGCGTACTATGCACGTGCGGAACGGAACGCCTTACTGCCAATCATTCTGCCACACATTCTCGCCAGGTTATTATCAGATAACGAAAGTGGCGTCACACGCGGTTTGGCGGGATCCGCCTCCGCAGATGAAATCGACGGCACAGAAGTTGAGCTGCCGCGTGCGAGAGCAGGCTTACCGCAGCACACTTCGCCCAAATCCCAAGAGCTTTCTGCATCAAATCGCTCAGATGCCAGGCACAGATCACATCTGTCCGGCCACCGTGCATCAGTAGAAATTGGCTCGACGCAATTGAGTCCGATCGCGTATGGCTATAGTGGAGCTGCCCGCGACAATGCGAGCTCGCAAGCAAAGGGAGGATCTGCCCAGCTCAGCAGCAAGCCTCTGGCATCCCTAGAGGAAGCCGAAGACTATGCACGGATGACGCCTGCGAGAGGATCGACTCACAAGCGTATGCGCCTGGACGACCTCGTCATCAATGACGGGCCACGCAGATCTTCTTCTACTTTCGTGCGTAAGCCAGGCAGTAGCGTCTCGCCGCCACTGAACGGTGGTGTCGGCGAAGATCGCCTGACCGGTCTAGGCGTCTCGGCAAGCGCGAGCTCGCCCTCACAATCTTCAGAGGAGCGGCGGCTGAGTGTCGTCGATCCTTCAACGTCTAATATCTTAGATAATCTCCAGAGACCAGACTTTGACGCTTCTGAGCTGCCTCGCATCCTTGCCCTCGTGGACCAAAACGAGCGGGCGCGCTGGCGGGCACAAGGCGAGTTCATGCTCAAGAAGGAGCGACTGCGACTTGAGGCACAGCAAAGAACAGAGATGCTAAAGATGCAAGACGCCGATCGAAAGGCGAGACAGGACTACCTCAACCGCAAGCTAGACTGGGAGACCCTAAAGGCCAACCAAGCTCATGAGATCGAGCAAGCGAAGCTGGCCGTCGAGGCTCGCAAGGTAGAACTCGAGCTCGCAAGGGTCAAAAATGTCACTCAATCAGCCTCAATGAGTCACTCACCGAAATCTGCTACGAAATCGGATGGCGAACCTATCGAGGCGACGACGCCACCGCCTGCAGACGCATGATCGCACATACACTCTTTGTAGCAAAGGGACTGTTGTTGTCCATCGGTTCTGACTACATGCGCTCACACGCTGATACATTTACATGACATGAATATGGCACAGACATGCTCTGCTGTCGCACTCCCGTCACACTCAACTGGAGAGCAATGCGTCGAGCTGAGCCTGCATACGCTGGCCTTCCGCTTGCTCCTCTTCTGAGACGCCGACCTCCTGGAACAAGATAGACCGATGAGCCTGGCTTAGGCGAATCCGATACAAACTCACGGGCAATGGCGCTGTCGCGCGTCCCGCCTCGCCGAGCTTGCCGTTGGTGATCTCAAAGAGGACCTTGTCCACCTCTGCGTCCGCTTCGCCTTCCAGCTCGTCGTCCTCGTCATCAATCATATCCATCGTATCATCGACCATCTCAGACATGATGCCAGCTTTCGTCATCTCCATGCTCATGTTACGCATTGTCGCGGAAAGCTCGGGCAGTCGTATGAGCGAGTTCGATAGCTTCATGATCTCTGTTGATCTCTGCAGGTTACCAGTGATCTTGAGTGTCGCTGCGTTGATGACCTGTCAGCTCATCTTGATCGACGATAGAGGGCGCGTCTGACCGACCCAGCTGATGTTGTAGTTGCATATGGATCGAATTGAGCCTGGCTTTGGACGTATTGAGTCGATCGGTCTGCTTCCGACTCCTCACGAACTCCCTATGCGATGGTGTCAGACTGACTGGCGAGACAAACGAGACAGTTGCGCATAGCATCAGGCTGACCTCGCGAGTAAGCGCGCATTCTTGACCTCTCCCTTCTTTGCGAGCTGCTTGAGCTGACCCTGCGTCTGTGACTGTGCGTGCTGTAGTTGCCGAATCTCCCGGTCTAGCAAGCGCTGCTCCTTTCTCAATTCTTGCTGCCAGCCGCGCACCCTTTCCTCGGGTGAGGGTCCATACAGGAACTTGTTGACCCGCTGCATTCCTGCGAAGGATCTGTACGGACGTTGGCGTTGGCTTGAGTCTGTTGAGTGTTGTCTGCTGAGCTTGGGATGGCCCTCGCTAAGAAGCGCCCGTCCGTGTTGGCTGAGCACCCTCGCGCGCGTCACGACGTCACCGGTCTGACCGACCCGACAACATGGCGAAGCCTCTCATCGTCAATGCTCGAGGCAAGCACACCGCCAGTGTCATCTTCAGTCACGGTCTCGGCGACTCTGCAGAGGGTTGGTCGTTTCTCGCGCAAGAGCTGGGCAGCAAACTGCCTCACATCCGATGGATCTTCACCAATGCGCCCATCCAGCCCGTGACACTCAACTTTGGTCAGAGCATGCCCAGCTGGTATGATATCAAGTCACTCTCGCCGGATGTGAGAGAATCGACGGGCACGCAAAAGCCTAGCGACGAGGACGAGAGAGGCATGCTTCAGTCTGTCTCCCACATCAACTCGCTCGTCACTCAAGAAGTCGACGCTGGGGTTCCTTCGAATAGAATTGTCTGCGGCGGTTTCTCGCAAGGTAGGTTCGTGGCCTCAGCGACACGATGCAGCTTGACGAGGATGCGCAGGCGGCGTCATCTCTGTGCTGACTATGCTCACATCTGAGCGCAAGCTCGCCGGCTTATGCGCCCTCTCTTGCTATTTGCCGGTCAGTCGCTACTCGCGACCTTGATGCACTCATAGCTTATTCCGATGCTGCAGCTCCGATATAAAGTCAAATCGGTAGGCTCTGCCCGCCAGGGTCTCTCGTCGGTCTGACGCATGAGGCATGCTCAGATGATGACAGATCATGCGCGGAGCACGCCTGTGTTTTGGGGGCATGGAACTGCTGATCCAGTCGTCCGGTACTCTTGGGGTTCAGCTAGCGTAGACTACCTCAGAGATCAGCTCAAGCTCAAGCACATCCAATTTGAGAGCTATCCAGGCAGGTCACGCCTACAGAATTAGCGCGCTCCTGACCTCAGATAGCAGGCATGGCGCATTCTGCTAACCCCAAAGAGCTGAAGGATGTCTACGAGTGGCTGCAAAGAGTCGTGCCAGCAGAAGGAGATGCCAAATTCTGAGATGCAGAGGTGGATACAGACAGATTGTACAACAGCGAACATGTTGTACTCATCCAAAGCGGTCTGGCATGACTACAGGCGCGAGTAAGCTCCAGGCGTAGATCGAAAGACATAGCCATCCAGAGACGATTCTCATCCACATTGCTACCCCTGATCTTCCGATCTTGACTGGGCTGCCAAGGTCCTCTGTGCCGTCGCTTATTTGAGCGTCGCCTGTTGTACCCACAATGTTCCTGTGAAGACCAAGCGCGATCAGGGCTGGTTCGATTGATTCAAAGACTGAACTTACCAGTTCGTCAGTAACATGGCGACATACATGCTCGCGAGTACAAAGATGACGTGGAACCTACGCTGGCATCAGCTCCATGCATACATATGCTTTCGACCGAGACGGACCACGAGTAGTTGTAACGGGTTCCAGTCCGCTCGTCGTCGCAGTCGAGTGCACCAGGCGCACCCTCGTCGATCTCGTCATCTGAGTCCTCGTTGAGAGCAGAAGCTGGTATCGAGCCAGCCTCGACGGCAGCCAGCATCGCTTGATACTTCAACGAGTCTTTCTTGGTCGGTTGCGAGCGGACAGGTCCCATCTCGCCAATGGAAGCTCCGCCCGAGATCAGATCGTCGCCATCGAGGCCTATTTCACCTCGCCTCGATCCTTTGCCTACAAGGGCTTTTGACTGTGTCGCTGCTCGTGAGGTGGAATAGGCGATCGCGAGGAAAGTGAAGAGAGCGCCAACGACGACCATGCTCGTTCGAGCGCCCTCTGCGCGCTTCTGAAGTGGATTACATTGGCCAGAGCCAGAGTCGTGGTTGGCTACTGCCGAAGTGACGAGATAGGTGCAGTAGATGACGACCATGCCGCTTTGTGCGAGACCAGATCGTGGGTTGGCCTCCTGGACAGCCGGGAGCACGCATAGAACGCTGACAAAGATACACAGAATCATGTTGAACGAGATGAGGAATTGGTTGAGGGAGCAGCCCGAGCCGGCGAAGAAGACATAGTCGACGACGGTGAGTGCGATGGTCGCGGCGTATGTGGCGAGCGTCGAACCGATGAGAATGTATTTCCAGAAGGCCGATTCTGGCTCTGATCGCTCCCAGTTGTCCAGACAAGTCTCTGACCACGTATGAGCAAAGTCGACGAGGAGCACGAGGCCGATCAAGATGAAGATTGTTGAGCCGATGAGTGAGATGTACTTGGACCAGAACATAAAGAAGCCGTTCGGTATGAAGAATGTCGCCACGACGAGGATGAGCCATGCTCCTACTTTGGGGCCCCACCAGCTATCAACGAACGCGTTTCAGACCGGCAAGTAGACCATATGCAAACTACTGACCCATTCTGTATGGCCGCTCGCTTGACGCGAGTGTCCTTGACGCCGACGAGGAGTGCGCCGAGGACCATGTGAAAGACGGAGAGCGCAAAGCAGATCCTGTGAACCTGTCCGAACTGGGATCAATCTTAGGCTTCAGGACTGGATTTCCGAGACGAACAGCGAGGACGCCGTAGCACTTGTCTTCCTTGCAGTCCATCTTGATGTAGTCGTATGACATCTTTTCGATCTGCTTGATCATCCAAGGCGAGAGCATGGCCCACGCGAGCATCGAGTTGAGGAGGAAGATGATCGAGAAGCCGACACGAGTGGCGACGGAAGAGTTGCAATTGCATGACTTGCAGAATGCTGCCGCCTGTTCCCCAGCAATATGATGAGCACACGCGCCCAGCTTGAGCGGCACTGTCGACTTGCCGCTTGCGATGTGCAGAAGAAAGCCAAACCCGCGACGACCGAGGTCATCAACGTTGCTGCTAGCCCGCCCAGGCTGCCTAGCAGCGGGATCGACAGCAATGCGCCCATCTTGCTCAGCACCGAATCCTTCGACCGTCTGGCGTCGTCACCGCAGACGAAGGTGGCGCGCGGACATTGCGCGCGCGCGAGACACACGCGGCTGAGCCGATCTGCTGGCTATCCAAGTTGGCGGCGTTGGCGTTAATTCGGCTCGCGGGATTTGCGTCTGGGCCAGCTCGAATGAAGGAGCTTGTACCCACGCGACACCCACTCGGACTCACGCATTGAACACGCCTGTTCTCCCTGGACATCGTACGTCGACAGGGCATCCGGTCGGCCAAACTGACATGATCAGCCGACTGCGCAGATGAGCTTGCACGAGGCTTCGACGATGCCGAACGGCTTGACCAGCGGCCGCAACGGCCAGCCACCCGTCTTGCGGTCGAGCTCCTCCTCGTCGAGCGGCACACTCTCCGTCTTAGGCGCCAGCAATTCTGGATCGCGCTCGCCGGGCTCACGCTCGTCAAGTCCATCACATGATGCCGCACTCAATGCCTTTCGTTACCCTTTGCGAGCGCAAAAGTCCAACTTGGCGAGCGCACCGTTGAGCAGAGACAGCAGCGGCGACAGCCACTATTCCTCCATGTCGGCAGGCATGTCACCCAGCACAAGCACAAACTCAATACACCACGCGCAGCAACAGAGCTCATCGGGCGCATACTCCAACTCTGTATCGACAGGCAGCGTGCGAAATGCCACGTACGACATGGCACCCAACGGTGGATCTGCACAATTCTTTCACAACCGCAAGACCTCGCTGAGGTTGGCCAATTCTGGCATGGGCGGCGCAAGTCCAGAGTTAGCGACAGCAGCAGCCTATTCGCCGACTGCAGGCCATTCAGATCATTCACAGAATTATAAGGGCGCTTCGAGCGATGATATAGGCTCTACTTCGCCCGCCATCGGCGTATCAACGGCGACTTCCTCTGTCATCTCACCTCCGCGTACTCGAAGGATGCCTTCGATTCACGAGGATGACACGGCGTTCTTCTCGACTCCCTCGTCAAGAGCGAGCAGTCGGGCAGGCAGTGTTGCACCCAGTCGCTCATCGAGCCCGCAGCCCAGTCATCGTCGGATGCGTTCTTCTCCCACCTCGCCAGTCCTGTCTGCGCCCGGCTCGCCGAGCCTGCTTGCCAAAGTGGGCAGATTGAGCTCTTTTGGCAAGTCAGACGCGCCAATGCTGCCAAAGCACACCCATCGTACTTCGCCATCGCTTTCTTATCCTGCCTACGCTGGTTCCTCTGTGCCAGGGACATGGTCTGGCCCGACAGGATTCCTGCGCATGCTCTGGTACAACTCTAGACGGTCCAAATTCGTCGACCATAGCATGAACCTGGTTTTTGCACTGTGTCTGCTCATCTTCGTGCTCGCTCTGAGCGGCATCGGCTTCGATTCGAACCCAAAGCCGCGACCAAACAAAACGCACGCGGAGGAGCTGCTTGCGCGCAAAGCAAGTGGCGCCATCGCTTACCCACGTCAACCGCTTGCCGACGTGCAATTACCGCCTGGTGTACAAGAGCAGCTAGAGCAAGGTGCCCAGGTCAATGCGGCAGCTCTAGCGCGAGCGGAGCGTCAGGAGCGCGAAAGACAGCATCAGATCCGTATGGAGCAGCGGCGGGCAGAACGGCTAGCGCGTCTCCAGGGCAAATTGCCGCCTCTTGGCGAGAGCGATCACTCAGAGGACCGTCGTGAACAAGACAAGGTCACTCCTCGCCTGCCGCCTAACCTTGCTGCTGCCCCCGAAGAGCCCCACGACCTCGTGATGGACACCGGCGAGGAAGAAGAATTCGATCTAGACGGACAGCAATGGGACGAGTATGATGAGGAGTCGACGAAGCAGGCTGAGCCCGTGATCAACGCTCCGCTCGCTGCTGGCGGCAAAGGCAAAATTCTGCGAGCCGTACAAAAGCCAGAAGAGGAGGACATCAGCGAGAGCGCGCACGCCTTACACGAAGCTGACGAGATCGATACCTTTGGCGAGAGCGACGACGAGGACGACGGGGAAGAGGAAGCAGCTGCTCTGAACCGCGCTCATCAGGAAGCTGTCGCTGCTGGAGTCATAGCGAGGGCCACAGACGATAGCAGCATTGAGCCGGAGCTCCTGCGAGATTCACCGAAAGATGCGATCCTCGACGACAAACATGCTGATCACGAGCACCATCCGGATCAGAGCAATATCTTCAAAGATGCTGCCGAGCGAGCTGCTGAAGAGCAGTCTGCCTTCGAAGGCGATACAGAGCTTCCCCATCTTCACAATGACGCCAATGTCGCCCTCTCAGACGATGAGGCGGATGAGACGGACGAACTCGATACTCTAGACGAGCTTGATCATGCCGGAGAGGCAGATGGCAAGCGTGAGGTCGTTTACAACGACTTTGAAGGCGAGCTCGGCGGCGAACACGTCTCGACCGAAAATCTCGCCATAGACGAAGACGACGGCGAATTGCCTGCGTGGGCAGTCGACGCTCTCGCCGAGCATGCAGCACTGAAGGCAGACGCGCCCGCGTACGATCACGATGAAATGACGCGATACGAAGCTGCCATGCGTCTCCGTCAACGACAACGAGAAGAGAAGCTGTTCGGTTCGGCCAAGCAGCTAAGCTGAGGTTACGGACCTTTGGTTGATCTCACCGCAGAGCTGAGCACGCGCATCAAGCAAATGTATTCTTGTATTCATAAAGAAGTAGTTGGCAAATCTATGCAGCACATTCGTCAAACCCTTACAACAGCCGATTTGCCATACAGCGAATTACTGAAAAGCCAAGCATGCCTTTGCATCGAGCCACATGCCCAAGCAGGCCATACACAAGCGCTAAGGCGAGCGCTGTTGCTCGTGCTGACCAGTAGACCGCAGACTCGAAGTAGTGTAGACGGCCGAAGCTGACTTCAGTGGCTCCAGGAAGGTGCGCTCAAGTCTAGTCAATCTCTCGCCCAGCGTTGCTGTTCGCTCTGTGCGTCCGATATCACCGTCCGAGATGCTCCGCTCGAGCTTATCGATACGATTCTCGAGGAGCTGCAGATCGGCTGTGACAGTCTTGCAGAGGTCTGACATACGACGCTCGAGCATTCCCTCGAAAGCAGCGGATGAGCCCTGGAGGTCACTGAGCAGTGTTGTCGACTTGCGGATTTGATCGTCCAATGTAGCTTGTAGCACGCGAGAATTGTTGATGGTATCGTAAAAACCTTCGAAATGCGACATGAAGGCTCTCCTCGATGAGACCTCCGATGATTCTGACGTTCTTGCCGATGAATGCGAATGATTCTGCGGATGAGGCTGCGAAATGGATGGCAGATAGCTGGCCGTCGATTGCGACAATGATGAGCGGGGAGACAGCATCCTTTCATCAGCATGGTGTCGAAAGTGTGCGATGCTAGGCAGGTCGCGCTCGTCGATTTGACTTTGCGCAAGAGAGGCAAGATGATTGCGACGCTCAAAGAAGTCGCGACTCGATGCCAAGGCAGCAGTGAGTGGGCCAGCGGCTTGACTGCCGACCGCTGTGCGCGCAATGGGCACATACGTCTCTTCGTTGCCATAGCCGCGTGGCACTTGCAGAGGCGCCGATTTGATCTGAGGCAGATGGGCATCCCTTGCGTTCGTCCTGATCGTCAAGTTGCGTGCCTTCTCACGAGCGATCGTGCCTCGCCGTGATGCCAATGGTCCATAGCTGACAGAAGTGTCATTGGAGACTGAAGCTGTTCTACGAAGTGAAGCAGTCGAGGGTGGACCTGCTCGGGAGGAATTGCCTAGAGAGTCTCTCTGTCTGCTCTCGATGAGGGCTTGCTGCTCTTTGCGAAGTGCGAGTGACTTTTGCATCTGTTCGACAGCCTGTGCATCGCCTGCGACCGAAGTTGGATCGAAGCTGAGTACAATGGGCGACACGGGCTCGCTTTGGTTGTTGCCGCCGAGCGATAGCTTGCGGGCCGCCTGTGAGTGAGCGCTAGTCGGGAAGGAGGGACTCGCAACCAGGGTGATGGTAGGCGAAACCTGTGAGCCGAGACCTTGTCCGCTCCCTTGCGTGCTCTCGTCATCCAAACTCGTGCTGACATTGTCGAGACGAGCGACACTGACGCGACGACGTTTGCCAGGTGTGACGACTGCAGCCGATGCCTGCCTGCTTACTTTGTCTGTGGACTGCGCGGAAGCCGTCTGACTGGATGTTGGCGTGCGGAAAGGTACGGGCAGCTCGACGTTGCCCTTGCGTTTGCTCGCACGCAGATTTTGGACATCTTCAGATGGTGCGGACGTCGGCGACAGAGTGTCGAGCATGACCGTGCCAGTTCGCATGGGATGTTCTGTTGCCTCGAGCTTGATGAACCTGTCTCGTTGAGATGTGCGGCTGCTGTCACAAGACGCACAATCAGTCTGTCGTCAAGGCAGGGCTGCAGCCTGGAGCGCTTACTGCTGGGAGGAGGATGACGAGGAACGCTGGCTGGGTGATGAAGTGTGATGACGGTGCGACCATGTGGGTGCGAGCTCGAGCGCTTGCGGGACCGGTGTCACCGTGGCGGAGGAGACGAGCATCATCATGGCGAAGCAAGAGGCGATACCGGCACTCTCGCAGGTGATGAGACTCCTGCTGGTTGCGAAGCAGCCTGACTGCACAGCCGGTCTCGCAAGTCTACCTGGCCGGTCGTCCGACCGACATGGATGCTCAGTCTCTCTCGAGGCGTCAGTGCGCAGTACGGGCGTGTGAAATGACTGATTGTGCGATCTGGCAGAGAGCTCGGTCGCTCTGACACTGTGCGATGGTCAGACGCAGCTGTGCCCGGTGTTGCTGTCGGAACCGGGTGATGGGCCAACGATGCTGCAGCTGCCTATCAATGAGTTCAAGGTCCGGTCGCACGAATTCTCTCCGCTTTGTGGACGGGTGCCTTTCGAATTCTGCTCAATTAAAATCGAATCGAAACGAAACGCCGATCATGCGGATCATGCAGCCCAGAAGTTTATAGAGAGTCAACTTGTCGAGCGAGGAACAGCCGAGACTGGATTGTCAGCTGTGTCAAATCATGCAGGTAAGGCAAACCCCGAGTCGAGTGCGACCAGGAAGCAAGCAAGCGAGATGGTACGACAGCGCAAATCTAGTCTGAAGCTTCCGACCACGGCTGCCTCACTCGGCCAAACACACACCCTGCAGTCTGTGACCATTGTCGGAGCTATGTCTGCTGTGCATGCCCTGCCTCACCCAACGAGTTGCGTGCTTCAGCTTGCCTGCATGAGCAGATCTTGTTCTCGTGACCCACTATCTGCGCCAGTCAGCCTCCACAGGACTGTGCTGCTCGGTCGCACATGCATTCGCGAGGGCTGCACGTTGTCGATCTGTCCCTGCAACGATGGCTCGCAGGATGAGTGAATCCGACTCGCCCCAAGCTGTCGTGAGTGACTTCGGATCCTTCGGAGCGAATCGACCGACGCGATTGTCGATGTGAAATTGCAGCATCCCTCGTGCTGCTCGCTGGCCAGCAAGCAGACATGCCGGTCGTGCGCGTAGCGGTCATCGGCTCTGGACTGGCGGGCCTGACCGCGGCACATCTGCTGCAGAAGGCGACCGCGCGAGGGCCGACGGGCGAAGATGTCCGGTTCGAAGTCCATCTGTACGAGAAGAGCCAGCGTCTTGGCTTGTCGAGCGCCTCTGTGGTCTTCAAAGACGCACAAGGACGCCAGCGACTCATCGATACGCCCATGCGATCGATACAGGGCGGCTACTATAAGCGCACATTCGCGCTCTATCGCTATCTCGGCGTCGAGCTGATACGACACAACTACACTTATTCCTTCTCGTCTCTTTCCCGCTCGGCTTCCAACATAGCTTGGAGGACTCGCTTCATCTATTCGGGTTCAAATGGCCTATCACTGCGACCCGTCGGCATTCCACGTGCATGTAACACGATCACCAGCCTGGCGCGATATCTCGCACTTGTCATATCTGTCGCATTATGCTACATCTTACTCGCATGCTTCAGTATATACCACCTCCTTAGGGGTCATCTTTCAGATCCTCGGCATCCCATCTCACATCAATCGCTCGAGGACTGGCAAAGGAGCTCTTATGTATCTACACACTTTGTCAATCTCATCGTGCTGCCTATGTTCGCTTGCGTCTGCACTTGTACGAGGGATCAATTGCTGCATCATCCTATCGCAGAGATACTAGGTCAGTCCATCCCGGCCCGCTTTCTTCTGGCTGACGGGCAAAGCAGAGTACATCGCGCTGACCTTCGGCGCGTCGCATTATCTCGTCAAGAACGGGGTCAAACAGGTAGCGATACGTCTATGCGCGCCTCTCACCCCGGATCAGATCCACCTCAATGCGGATGTCATCAACTTGATTTCCACAGAGGATGACCAAGTCGTTCTGACCCTCGCCGACGGCTCGAGTCACACTTTCGATCATCTGATTCTGGCCACACAAGCAAATCAAGCGGCAAGCCTCTTGAGCCTGCTTGCAAAGTCGCTCGATGCCTCTGGCGCATCTGCAGAAAGCTTGCACGCTGAACACGAGCGTGTTGATGCGCTCAGATTGTTCAAATACACGCCGACAGTAGTGATCAATCACCAAGACGCATCTGTGATGCCTTGCGATCACGATCAGAGAGACCTCAATATTGCACTATCGGAGCACTTGCTAGACAGTCATCTCTCTCGATCCGACGACAAAGGCACCCTCGGCTGCATGTCGTTTGAACACGTCATGGCTACGCATGCTCTAGATCCATCGCTCACTGGCGATGACGCGGTTTACCAGACGACCAACCCCATTCTGCCCATCTCCCGCGTGATCAGCACAGCGCCCTTCGAGCGCGTGGTCCTCACCAAGCAGAGCAAGGCTGTCTTGTCATGCTTCGTGCCAGGCAGAGAAGCGTCAAGACACTTTCAGGGTCAAAGACACGTCTGGTTCTGCGGCTCGTGGGCAGCGGAAGGCATCCCCCTCCTCGAAGGATGCGTTGTCTCTGCCGAGCGCACCGTTCTCGCCATTCTGCAATCGCAAGATCCGTCAATCTGTCCAAGCAAAGCGCATCTCTTCTAGCTGTTGTTTGTAACCCGCATCGTCATTACGTCGTGCGTGTTGACGCGCTTCGACGGAAGCCAGAGGTGAAGCGTTTCAAGCTCTCACGGGGTCACAGAGCGCTAGAAGGGTGTGGCTAGGACATGAGCAGCTATGATCGTGAGGATCTAACACCCACACCTCAGCTTCGCTCCCTCCATCCCTTGATCCGAAGCCAAGACAAGCTCTCCGTCTTGACCGAGAAAGAGCCTCTCGCGCCGTCTCGTCCGCTCTCGCCCGCCGGGTCTGCCCAGTCTGCCCAGCTCTACGACTCTCCGGCATCCTTGCTGACATCTCTCACCAATTGGACTCAGCCCAGACTTGCTCAGACCAACGGATTCGCGCAGTCTGTCCTGAAGCGGTCCAAGAGCCGGACTGAAGCGATGCCGCAGCCCTCGCAGAAGGAGCCGCCGGTGCTCAACGCAGTCAACAGTATGACGGCTCCCGAGTCCCCCACAGGCCTGAGCAGACCGCTGCGTTCGCCCAGGCGGCCTGCTTCTGTCTCAACCCTGTCATCGAACGCGAGCCCTCGTGGCGCTACCGCACACTTGCCGCACCTCTCTGCGCCGGACGCGAAAGATGCGCTCGATAGCACTGTGGTGCAATCTCGAGCGGACAATACTGCAGGTAACGACGTCTTTGCACGCGAGAGCCAGGAAGCGAGGTCGCGCTCGCCCCGTCTGATCTTGCCAGATTCTCCAGGGCGCTCTCAGTCGTCTGCCTCGTCAATCACATCGGCCGCTGAGATGACCATGCCGCTGCCTCCTTCGCGCAGCTATGACTTGCATAGCACGAGCGCCGACGCGACCAGGCCAAGGCGAAGTACAGCTTCCAGCACCTCGTCTGCTTACAATGCGGGCCTGTCTAGTCGCAATAGCCCCAGACAGAGTCGAGAGTCATCCGAAATTCTGCCCGCACTCCAGATCGCCAATATGAGCCTGAGCGGGCGTCAGTCGGACTACCTAGTTGACGCACCTCGACGGCAATCGACTGGCCGTACAGCAGACTATGCCGGCTCAGCCGCGAACCGCGTCAGAGCTGGTTCGAGCACGTCCTCGCCCCGTCCGTCTACCGAGACTATCTTGAACGCACCTTCCCCTTACAAGAGGCGGTCTGCCCTGCCTGACGCCTTCATCTCAGGGACCTCGAGCCCAAGGCGGTCTCGAGATTATTCGCTACCGCCCCACATGACACCCGTGCAGTCTTCCAATGGCGCACGATTTGACTCGACCCGTAGTCGAACGGATTCGCTTGATGCGACGCCTTACGTCCCTCTGACCGGGGCAGCCCTTGCCAGACGAGACGCCGATGCAATCGCAAATGCACCGGATCAGCAAGTCACTGTATCCGCGAACCTGCTCAACCAACTCGTCGCCCGTGTAGACACGATCGAGAGGCAGAGCGTGGCAGGTAGCATTGCCGGCGGTGACACGCGCGCTCGCTTTTCACCGCGCAGCACTCTTGCACGGCGGCCGGAGAACGGCAGACTGCGCGAAGATGACACGATGTCGAGCTTCACGTCCATATCGAGGAGGCAGCCATACGAGTCGCCTCGCTCCGAGAATCGCAGCCGGCAGACACCACTTAGCAGAGCAAGATCATCGCTCGGCCGTCAATCGCCCGCAACGCTGCGAGCACGTCAGCTGCTAGATCAGACTCTCAGACAGTTCAAGGCACACTTTACAGACCAGCGGCTTTCCGAGGCGCCCGAAACGGTAGCGCTTCTTGCCAAGGTCGAAGATCTGCTTGGGGGCTTTGAGCGTCTCCAACAAGCCATCACATATAATGCAGATCTAGCGCGCGAAGTCATTTTAGACGACAGCGATGGCGCTGGACTCGATCGAGCGATACAGCAATCACTGCGACAGAGCGAAGAGCAGCTTCGTTCGTTTTCGGAGCTGCTGCTCATCCTCATACGGGCAGACGCGGAGCGTGGTTCCCACTACTCCAGCCTGAATGCTGGCGGCCCCTTACCGCAAGCCAATTCGCCTATCAATACGCGTACGCGCTCGCGCGTTGGCGATCTTGCCACTTCGCCATCAGCTTCGTATGCTACACCATCGAGAGCTGACTTGCGTGCGCCACATGGTGGCATGTCGAGCCTGCAACGCCAGACAGACAACGCTGTGCCTTCTTCTCAAGCTCCAGAGAGTCTCGCAGAGGTATGCTCATCCCTATGCATTGCTTCCTGCAGCTCAATCTTTCACAGGCAATTGCAGCGAGATATACCGGGAGAAAGCTGGGGAGCGTGCACAGCCTCGCGTTACCGACCGTGTCGGGACGACAGCGCACATACGGAGCAGACACATTTAGCGACAGTGGCGAAGAGTTCTTTGCCAGCTTATCTGGCACGCCACTCGATGCGCGGTCATCTTCCTCGATCATGACTCGCCAATCCAGTCAAGGCTCCTACAGGAGTGCTGGAAGTTTAGGCGAGCGAAGGTGAAGCACTGTCGCTACACTGCAAACCTTCCGTTGTGCGGAACAATTTGCCTGGACGACCGAAGTTTGGCAAAGCTTGCAAAAGATCGATCGAAGCGTGTGTCGCAGTATGGTACTACGCCTGTTCTGTGTCGGCCACATCTTGTCGTCTGTCTGGGCCTTGCCCGCACGTGCTGCGAACGACAATCAGCTCGGGGATGTTGCCTTGCATCGCGGCAAAATCTGGCCCCCTCTAGGCTACGAGGCAGCGTCCACTTGTGAGTCGGTGCATACGATCAATACAACAAGCTGACACATCTGAACAGACATGTTCACAGCATACTGTGACACCGGCCGAGCTAGCTTCTCAGTCAATGCGATGCAGCTGCAGCGTATGCCGCCCATCTAGCGTGATGAGCCACAGCAGTGACACTCCGAGACAGCTGTTCAGCTCTTTGCCACCGTCCGGTACAACGAGGCACGGCGCGAGACAGAGGTTCCCCAAGTCAATCGAACCTCGTGCGACGACAAGGCGAGCATTGACTCCCATTGCATCGCAGTGGGACCTGAGCTACTTTGACAAGCTTGTGGTTGAAGAGTGCGGTCGATCAAGCCGACCAGTCGTGATCTGACGCACAGTCAGCAGAGCTACGGATCGACTAATGAAGAAATTGCTTGTCACGGCAACAAAGGTGCCGCTGTCAAGCTCAGATATCGATCTCGACTGCTGCAGATTTGTACTCTCGGCGACGCAAGTCAAGCTTGTTGAAGCATGAGTGCGACTGACTTGATAAGCAGCGTCAATTATGGCTTCACCAGTCCTACTGGCGATCGTGAGCTCATTGGATCTTGCGTTCCACATTGATTGACACGTTTTGGCAGCTGTCACACTGCCGGGACCAGTCATTGCGACTGTTTACTGGTGCATAGGGTTGGCACAGCCGAACGAGCACGAGTCTGATCATGCCCAACAGCTATCCTTTCTGGCCAATCGCCGACGCGAAGCTTGCTGCAGATTGCGCCAACAATCTCAAGCCTCAACCGTGTGCGCTCACTCGCCGTCGGCCCACGTAGCCGCTGACACAACTGCCGCAGTGGTGACCAAGTGCCGACTGTTTCGAAATGAGCGCACCGAGCGCATCATCCCAATTACATCTTGGATCGCGTAGGAACAAACGATGCTGCGTCTTTTGGTGGATGTGATGCATGATACAAGCATATATATACCAAATCGTCCGTGAGAGTGTCATGCCAGAAATAGCAGGCCGCCCATCAACGCAAGGCTCGCGGCTATACCTAGTGAAACAAGCGGCGAGGACCGCGTCAAGTCGCTTGCTGAGCCTTTCAGGGCTGAGCTGGTTGCTGTCTTGACGACGGCACTCGCCCGAGACGCGAGCGAAGATGAGAACTGCGAGGCAGCCAGGATCGTGCCAGAGGGTACGTCAGCAGGATCGGATGCAGCTGCAAATGTCGCTGTGAATGTCATGAGCTGACTGACGAGTACGCCGTCTACGGTTTGGTATTCGATATACGCAGCTGGAGCAAGCATCAGCACGATCGTTCGTGACTGTCAATGTGCTCACTCGGGACGGCAGCTTGAGAGACTGTACCGCCATTGACAACGGCTGGCGTCGTGGCGACGGCGGCATCGGCCACGGCTGCTGCCGCGGCAGCGACTGTCTGGACGACGTTGGTCGCTACTGTGTTGCCTTGCCTGTTGGTCTGATAAGATACAATGACGGTCTGGCCACTGTTATTCGAGAGCGATGTAAGCTCCCTTCAGGCACGCTGACGCGACGGTACTGACTCGGCTTGCACTGCTGTTGCTATCCGCCGTTGGGCGTGAGCGAGAGTGGCCAGCCACGCCAAGCCAATGCACAGATGGGATCTCATGGCTCGTGCCGCTCTTGTTTTTTTGTTCTGGTCCGAAGAAGCGAGGGCTAGGCGCGAGCGCGTCGGCGAAGTGACGTGTCACTTCCTCAGCGTGGTGGAGACGGAACCGAGCGAGCCTCTCAACTAGAGGACAAAGGCGACTGTGCAAGCTGACCGATAAGCTAGATCAGCGTCGCTTGTCGATCGCCTCTGCCATGTCCGCCTCAGCAGAGACCCCACGCGCGATCCTGCTCGTTGACGCTCCCAACGCACTCGGGTCTTTCCGTCTGTGTCTTTGACGTTCGGTCACCTGCTGTACGCTCTGTTCGAGCATCACATCGCCTCCTTCGATCGTGTCAGACCTCGCACGCGTAGGACGGTGCCATGGCAGCCGCTTATAGGATGATGCCGAATATCGAAGCAACTGGCGAGCGTCCCACCGCAAGTCATGCGCGGAAGCCAAGCTACATTCTGGCCGCACCCGTGCCTGGAAGCACACTGACTCAGCTCCCGTCCGTGCGGTCGAAACCCACTGATCACCAGCCATCGAACGCTTCATCGAACGCGACCGTGTTGAGCAATGCGCAAAGACCGACCCATCGATCGCAGCAAAGCAAGACACAGCTCAATCATGCTTACCAAGAGCTCGGGAATCAGCTGTGCTCCACTGGCTTCAAGACAGTTGGGAATTACTCGCTCGGCCGTGTCATTGGCGAAGGTGCTTCATCGGTTCTTGGCATCCGCACATTAGCGCATACTGACAAGACAGCTGCAGGGACGTATGGCAAAGTACGGCTGGCCATACATCGACTGACGTCTGTCAAATGCGCCATCAAGCAGATTCCACGCTCGTTCGCGCCGCCTATGCTTACAAGAGAAATCCACCATCATCGCCGGTTGCACCATCCTCACGTACTGAAATTATACGAAATCGTAGCCACAGAATCTTCTATCTGGCTCGTCACTGAGCTATGCGAAGGCGGAGAGCTGTTTGACTATCTCGTCGAACGCGGTAGATTGTCAAATTCGGAGACACGCCGGCTATTCGGTCAGCTGGCGCTCGGCGTCGGATACCTGCACATGCAGAACGTTGTTCATCGTGACCTCAAGCTCGAGAACATCCTGCTCGATGGAAAGTGCAACATCAAAATTGCCGATTTTGGTTTCGGCAGAGAGTTCGAGCAACGCAAGCTCATGGATACTTACTGCGGCACGACGGGCTACGCAGCTCCAGAGATGATTGCCGGCAAGAAGTATACAGGGCCAGGTCTGTGTCATCAATTTGGCAGTAAGAATAGAGCTCATGTAAGCCTACAGAGGTGGACGTCTGGTCCATGGGTGTAATCCTCTACAGTCTGCTCTGCGGCAGCTTGCCTTTCGACGACGACGAGGAGGCAGTCGTCAAGCTACTTATCTCGAAAGGGCAGTATGATTTGCCAGATTGGCTCAATGATGGTACAACTCCATGCACAATCCGCGAGCAGAGCTGACGTGAGCGCAGATGCGAGGGGTCTCATACAAGGCATACTCAAGGTCGAGCCGAGAGATCGTCTCACAATCACGCAAATACTCTCGCATCCTTGGTTCACGTCGAACTATCCGGACTATCCGCCAATTTCTCGCTCGCCAAGCAGTCCGACAACGGCGAAGGCAGAATACCCATTCCCTTCGCCGACTATGGCGAGTGTCCACCCTGTTGAGCCTTCGCCGCTCTCTCGCGAACTTGATCGAGCAAGCACGCATTCGGAGTCCAATTCAGACAGCGCGGGCAGCGACGAAAGGCTGCGCCAGCCAAGCTTGGACGCCACTACACCCAGCACGTCTGAAGATGGCGGTGCGGATGAGCTCAGGCCGTTGACGTCGATCGCAGAGCAAGACAAGATACCTCAGCGGCCTGGGCCGAAGTCACTGCAGTCTGCCGAATCGCAGATTACGCTCAAAGAAGCAGCAATGCCCTTCTTAGAGACGCCAGATAGACCCCATTGGCCGTCTCCACTGCTAGGTCAATCACTGGACGAGGGAGAGCCAGCAGAGCGGCTCTCATTCGAGCTACCGCCCATGAACTCACCCTCGCTGTCTATACCCAACGACAGGCGAACGCCCTCCAGAACAAAGCGGAGATCGGTTGGCAGCATCGTCTCTGAGCATCGCGTACCACTCGTGCTCGACCCAGAGCCCGCCGTACCAGATTATCTTGCTATGCTGAGCATGCCTCCGCCGCCTTTGCTGTCGTCTGCAAGCGACAGGCAGCTGCTTGACATGCTGGAGACGCTCGGCTTAGACTCTGGCCAGATTGTCCACTCGGTCACGACGTTTGCGTGCGATGCTAGTGGCGCGGTCTGGTGGATGCTCCGCAAGAAGGCCGACGCGCGCGAGGCTATGACGGCTGCAAGGAGACGGCAGGCCAGAAAGCAGCTGTCAGCAGAGGCCACATCTCGCTCGCCAGGGTCACGAGCAGCACCACTTCATGAGGACCCCATCTTCAGCACACCCGCTCGGCAAATTTGGCATAGTGCCCGTGACTCGGATGAGAGCTCATCGCGCATGAGCATGCCTACGCTCACGCTGACTTCATCGCCTCCCGTGTCCGGTGGACCGGCTACTACACTTCTTGCAACGCCGGGCGACAGCGCGCTGTCAAAAAGTGTCGGGTCTGTGTCAGCGACACATCCATCGCTCGTGAAGTCGACTGCAGTCAGGCCTAGTCCGTCTCGCTCGGATACGAGCGAAGATCGAATGGCCTTGCGTAAAGCTGGCAAAACACGCTCCACGTCGATCAGCATGCTTTCGAGAGCTACTTCGGCTCTCGGTGTGAAGAAGGCAGATGAGGTGAAGGGCGACGATTCAGGAGAGTTACGCGAGGCCGCGAGACCGTCATCGGGCATGATCTTGGCGAACCTATTTACGCGCAAGATCTCGTCAAGCGGCGAGAAGGCTCTCAATGACTCACGTGAGACGATAGAGTTGGCTAAGAACTTAGAAAGCAGTCAAGGGCTGTCGGTTGCCGAGCCGGAGCAGCTCCGACAGGTACGCTCAATCTCGCCCCGCTCATTCCCGGCAGGCGAATCGCGCAGCGTTTCGACGTCGCCTACACGCCATACTGTAGACCAAGAGCCGCCCACGAACGATGCTCGTTCCCTTGCGGAATCCAGCAAATCCATGGATGCTGCTAGTCAGAGCTTCGTGACTATTGCTACGACGTCCTCAAGATCAGGCAGGAGCCCAAAGATCGAATCAAAGTCGCGTCAGCGAACGACTGCTTTCTTCACAAATGTTCGTACGTGGTTCCAAGAAGACAGAAGAAAGCGGGGGCGAAGTTCACTGCTTTCGAATGGACCGGTGGTCAACTCACGAGGTCCCGGTCGACGCAATAGCGGCTCGAGTTCATACGCTGGAACGCCTGCTAGGCGACCCTCGATTGGCAGTCGTACTGCAAGTCAAACGACGGTTTTGCGTTCCCGCCGAGGCTCTAATGCGTCGATGAGGCAAGGCTATGGAGGTGCGGGGCTGACGCCACTAGCTGCTCGTCGACGCAGTGAAGATAGCCGGGCATCATTCGACGGTCGCTGGGAAGCTTATCTGACACCTACGAGCGAGGATCCTCACGGTCTCGGAGATAGGCAAAGAGGCAGTCTTGCTGGTTATGCAATGACTCGCAGCACCTCGCAAGGCTCTGCCAGCTCGCGCACTGGTCTTTATGTCAGCTCGCCAGTCTATCGTCGACCGCCGTCGACAACCCAAGTGAGACGTATTCATCTATCACCGACGCTCGCCGACGCAAGATTGACATCAAGCGCATCGTCTGCTCGATCAAGCTCGTCTAGACGATCGTCCATCTCGGGCGAGCCAGACTACGACAAGGCCGGTCATGGCTCCGACACGATTTACGAGGAAGACAATGAGCCTTCCTTGCTCATCGAGCGACAAAGATCAGCAGCGCTCGATAAGCTATCCGGTCAGGAGCGTGTCGGACGATCGCATTCGCCTCGTCTCGACAAGAATCGGCCGGCCTCAGCCCAAAGCACCCGGCGGCGCTCAAGCGCAAGTACAATCTTTGCCGCCCACAAGACTCACAATGTCTTCGGAGCACCTTCGACAGCCTACAACCACCCGCCCAGTCGATCGTCCAGCTCGTCTACGTTCAGAGCTCCACAAGCCGATCGAGATGTCTTTGCTCGCAAGGACGATGACGAATGGGTCGACGAGGACGATCTGGACCGGTACGGCGACGGCTTTGGCCAATGCGCCTCTCACTCGTCCGTCGGGAGTTCGTCTAGCAGCTTAGTCGACGAAGATGGTATGCCCACATCTGGCGATGATCGACGCGGTCTAGGTCTTGATGCCGAAATACACCCTCAGTCGGGTAATATACTAGGCAGAGGTCGCTACGCGGGCATCGGCATACGAGCTGAGGACATGACTATCAATACGCGCAAGACGGGCGGGCGATCAGCTCCTGCTGCGATAGTAGAGGAAGAGGAAGAATGATATATCTTTGCCCTTTTTGTTCATATGTATGATTGTTGTCATCAGGCTTGCAATAACATTCACAGCTTACGCGAGGCTACTACAGAGGTACTGCTGAGCCAGCAATACACACTTTGTTCTTGAGCAGGATCTGAAAAGCGAGCTCGCCAGTTTGGTCAGCTTTACGCGAGATTTTGCTGTCGAGGGTGCAGGGCACTGGCATCATGGATGTGAAGCGGACTGTAGTAGTCATGGGTCTGTCGACCCGCCACAGAGACTTGAGCGCTGCATCTGCTGGGTCGGCTGACTTGCTGATCTGGTGAACGAAGGCGAGTACTGACAGGTTGCCATGAGCGATCTGCTTTCCCGTGAGGAAGTACGCCGTCAGAGGATGCAAGTGGATGGGATTGTAATCCAACGACGATGCGCTGTACACACGGGGCGAGGCAGAGGTAAGTTTTAGCTTTTGCGGCGAGTCTTGCAGCTCTGCAGGATCCAGCTCGCCCGGTTTCTTGTCGTTGTCAGGATTGTAGGCCGGCTTCGCGGACCTCGATAGGAACTTGAGCACCTCAAATTTGGCATTGAAGATCTCGACTTCTTTGCCGCCATCACGTTCAAAGAGCGTAATACTCATCGCCCATTGTATGCCTCGCTTGGCTCTGACACCTGGCAGATCATCACCCCCCATCTGTGCTCGCACGAAGAAGTCGCCCTGCTGTATTTGCTCGAGTGTGCGCACCCGCTCTGGTCTGATGAAATTGAAGGTATTCGACGTATTGACAGCGCCGAGTGCACTGATGGGCCATTGCTCGTTCGTGAGCAACAAGAGGAAGAAAGGCGTTGTGAGTGAGACAAAGATGAAAGGCGACAGCTCATCAGTCTGGCTCTTCTGAGAGCCGTCGCTCAAGCTGACAGCTGCTTGGAACCGCTTGAGGTCGCGAGGATGAATCTTGAACGGAGCCTCGATTGTGACCTCGGGCAGGTCATAGCCTGTCCGAGCAGCGTTGGGTTTGAGCTCGGCCGCATTGCTGAATGGCCAAGGCAGGCTCTTCTTAGCGATGCGGCTCATGACAGTCACGAGATCGATCGTATTCAGATGGTTCGCCGACACTGAGAGCTGCAGCTTGCGTCCCTTGAAAGCGGGGATACTGATCATGTCTCGTATGGCTAGCCATGTTATGATGCCGAGGCCGACGGCCAGGGTGCCGACATATCCATAGACCGTCACCATCTCGAGCAAAGGAGGCACTTGTCAATGCGCAAACACGACAACACGGCGCGTATTACATCATCGTGCGGAGAGCAGCTCAAGGTCAGGCTCGCGGACACCGGGGGGGATGACATGCTCTGCATTGTGCTCGTGATAGTCCTGATCTCGTGCGCTGTAGTAGAAGACGCGCATTCCGTGCACTACACTCCTGTGAGTGTTCCTTGTGCTCTCTGGTACCACCTGTATTTCGGGGAGGGTCGCTGAAGAGCATGGATGGACAGCACGAAGGGGAGCAGGTCGTTGCTGAAGGAGGATAAGCCAATCAGACACGCTTCTTTTTCGTCACCGCGAGCTCATAAGACTCGTCCGCCCCTTGTAGTACCTCCTTGAGAAAGTCCGCAAAGTTGACAGAGCGATCGTAGGGTCGAGAGCCGAGAAGGTCGAGCGTCCTTGCTAGCATCGTCCTCTTGGCCTTGCTGACCTGGTCCATGACACCATACTGTTCCTGCAGATACCGAGTAAGGAGGGTGCCTGTTGAGCATGCGCGATTTTAAGTGTTAGCCTTTACGAGCGCAAGCCAGGACGCACTGTCCAGATCGAAGTTGCGAGTGTGGTTATGCTTGCAGCCGGTATCGTTGCATACTCCACCGGAACTCTCGTAGCTGCAGAACGACTCGCTTGGATCGAAGCCTCGCTCGATGGCCGACCAGGCACGATACAGTCGCAGGTTGTTGGGGCCATTGAAGGGCGGTAGTGGTGTCGTGTTCTTGACGACGGACCGTAGACCGAAGTAAGCTTGGAAAGGTGACTCGTTCACGAAGCTTGCAGGGCTCGAGGTCCGTTGAACCTGCCATAGCGTGTCAAGACTGCCCATGACAAAAGGATCAAAGCAGCTGTGAAGGGTGACGCACGGACTGATTGGCAGCTGTAGAGGCCGTCAAGAGGAGGAGACCAGCCTCTGGCCGAGCCATCTGTTAGCGAGTATGTAGCTGAGGATGCGAGTACGCTTGCCTGCTGCAGACGCGTCGGCAGCTTCTGCTGCACCTGCACGCGTGAAAAATTGGAATTCCTTTGTGCTCGCTTCCGGCGAACGGCTTGTCCTGTCTCGCGCTAATGTACCTTTGCTCGTGTCAGGTGACAAATGTTTGCGCTTGTTGCTCTTGGGCCTTTGTTTCTTCTCAATCGCTTCGGATAGCGTCTGGACATCAGACTTGGCGTTGGCTAACGACTCGGCCAGGGAGGCTTGTCGTTGGTGAATGACTGTATCTGGACGATGCCCCTCTGCGGCTTCGTTGCCAGCAGATCTTCTTGGCGCTGTCGAAGCGACAGCCTGTACTTCGTCTAGCTTCTTCTGTGCAGCTTCCATTTCTGCAATTCTTGCTCGGAGGGCATTCATATTGGCCTCGATCCTCTCTTGGGCTGACATGCGGGTGTCAGGCAGGTCCTCTTGCCCATCGGACTCTTCGTCGCTGACATCGATGACAAGTGAATGCGCGCAGACGCCAAAGCAGCTGCATCGCTTGTAGTCACGCAGGTTCTGGGCTGGTGCAGTGTATAGGTCAGCAGCAACAGGCCGCCTTCGCCAGCTGTTATTCGGAGCAGCGGCGTATGCTTGTTGATACGGCGCGGCAGCAGAAGGCACTTTATGCCTCATTGTCTGAGCGCGGGCTGGCTCATGGCTTAGTTCCCGGCTGCGTGGCATAGAAATCTCCTCGAAGCCTGGCGAGCCTGGGAGATCCTCATTGGCAGCCAGTGCCGCAGCTTCTCGTAGGCTTGATGGCGCAATATCTTCTTCGACGACCATTCCATCGCCCGATGATATCGCAGATCCGCTGCGACTTTCGGCGGCGAACATCTCCATGCTGAGACTTTGCTCGAAATTTTGCTCAAACTGAAGCGCCATCTGTCTAGCTCGCTCAGCGTGTTCGGCCTGATCGGTGCTGACGACCCTGGCTCTGCGCTCTGCTCGACGCGCTTGTAATCGGAGGCGAACCTCTTCTTTCTTTCGAGCTTCATTTTCGAGTGCCCCTTCGTCAATGTACGCCGGCAGACCAATTTTAGGCGCAGGAGGAGGCGAGAAGCTCGCAAAGTCGTCATACGCTATGCCGTCAAGATCATCCACCTCACCCTCGTAAAACGCCTGTCGATCGCCGCCGACAGGATAGGTAGCCTGGATGACGCTTGCTGGCGTGCGTGGCTGCGGAGCGAAGAGCTGGTTATGCTCTGCTTCACGGAGGTGATGTTGTGATGTCGTCGAGGACGCCGTGAGCGGTGTGCGTAGCTCTGAGTAGACTGGTCGCATGGGCAGTCCATGCACAGCGGGTGCTGGCCGATCAAGTGAGACGGGCGAGCTAATCTCCTGCTCGTGGCTGACCGTTGAGGCGCTCAAAGTGAGATCGATGACCATAGGCGCTGTGATCTTGTTGGTCCTTGGTGTACGTGGATCGCGAGTCAGTGCTTTGCCGTTGATCATTGAAGTGTCTTGCGATGTAGGAGGGCGAGCGCGATGTCTTCCGGCGGGCTGAAGCAATTGTGCGGGCATGGGCTCTCCGACGACATCGTGCATGTTCCTGACGAGGTCGAGGCTGATGCCTTCGCTCTGTAGGGCAGTGGCTGAGAGGCCAAAGGGCAGCAAGCGCCGGATGATCGCGATGAATTGCTGAATGCGATCCTGTTCTCGTAGACTGAGCGAGGCAAGCACAGCTGCCGCATTGGCTGGTGATACGTATAAGCGAGGGCCACTCGCTCATCTGCAGGGCGAGGACTCACCTGGAGCCATAGGCTTGGGCTGACCAGCGACGTTGGATCCGTCTGCCCAGACCGGTGCAGGTAACCCGATCGGCGGAGGTGGAGGAGTCGGCAAAGGCGAAGTATCCGTACGGCTCATCTGGCTGAGAGGAAGGGCCGATGATACAGCTTCTGGGGGCGGAGGTACAACGAGCGGTCTGGGAGGGAGAGCGACTCTGGGAGGCGGAAGCCACTTGGTCTGCTCGCTTGCTTGCGCAAACTGGCTCGCTCGATGGGGAGGAGGGGGCAAGCGCTGAGGAAGGGGAGCAGGAGGAAGTGAGCGCATCGGGGCAAGCGGCCTTGAAGGCATCTCGCCCTCGTCAACCTCTCCGTCATCGATTTCGCCCTCTTCGGGTTCTTCGCCCTCGTCTCGCGGTTTCGCTACACGGACAGGCTCTGGAGGAGTCTCCCAAAAAGGCTGGGGCCGTGCAGGTAAGCCCAATGCTGCAAGCATTGTCCCTGAGGACCGGGCTCAAGAACTGGGCTGAGGCTGCGCGGCTGGACTGGCTTTTTGCGAAATCACACGTGTCATCACATACAAACAAGGGACATGTCATTGAGGCTATAGGGCGAGATATGAAGTCGGCACTGCGCCAGTCTGGCCGCGCAAGGTTACCTCAGTCCACCCCTCATCGATCGCCTTGCCAGTGAGCTCGAGTGTATCGCCTTCGCGTATCGTGACTTCAGCAGGCGAAGCTGCAGTGTAATCATACATCGCTTTTGCTTGCTTCGTGGCGCTTCGGGTCGAGGAGCTAGATGGACGCGGTGGCGCAATGCTCGAGGCTCGCTTGCTTACGCCATTGGACGTCGCGTCTTGCTTGAGGTATGAAGTAGGCACGGCGCCTTCTGCTCCTTGCGCATTGGCGACTCTCGCCCATCCTTCTGCTTCATCTCTGATGTATCGTACGCGTTCGCCCGCTGCAAACATCTCAGACGACATCTCTTGCAGAGACAGGACCGTACCTTGTACAGATAGTTCCATGGCCGAACGTCCCGAATAGTCAAACTGCGCTGTAGCATTACCGAACTGGGCTGTAGACTGTTCGGACACGCCAGACAGTGGCCTCCCTGACGCTGTACTTGTAGAGCTGAAGCCTGCATAACGTATCAGGGAGCGGACATGTGTCGTGAGATACACATACGCTTGAGACTAGGCGCTTTGCCTTCTTGTGAGATGACCGAGGAGGTCCTCGACAGATCCGCCCGGGATGAGGTGGCGGTAGTGTCTCCGCAGGCCGCAGGCATCTTGATCTCACAAGCCTTGTGACAAGCGAGACCGCATTCTCTGCATGTCAGTCCGTGCTTCTGTAGACCGACGACGGAGTGTCCGCAGACGGAGCAAGAGGAGCGGCTGGTCAGGGCCGAAGGCTTCCAGGCATGTTGCTTGCCTTTGCCGTGATCACCGCCAAGTGCCTTGCCGATGGTATCGACCTCAGCCTGTAGGGCGGCCACCTCGGCTTCGAGCGTGATGACCTGTCGAGATATATCGAGATAGCTTTCCATCGCATCTGACAGGTTGCCGAGTGATGGCTTCGCAAGATAAGTGTCTTTTGTTTTGACTGCGCCTGTCACTTCTCGCTTCTTGCTTGAAGCTTTTGGCTTCAGATCCTCGAGCGTGGCCCGGCTTCTCATGAATTTGTTCTGCAGTACAGTGCGCGGCTCGTCCTGGACGACGAGGAAATCGGTATCGTGCCATATCGGACAGGCTTCGAATGTGATGTTGGCCGGTATGGTGAACGGTCGGGTATTGTAGGAGGCGTACGTGCCCTGATCTGCCGTGACGTCGATTGACTCGACTGCCTGCGAGATTTGGATCTGGTGTCGCGTGCTGTCCGACAAGTATTTCTGATCCAGCGCGGACACACGCTCGAGTGCCTGGATCAGGAGGGCAATGTTCGTGTTCCATAACGCTTGTAGATGGTTGTGCATTGATGGCAAGTCAGTCGTGAAGAATTGGTCCTTGGCAGCGTTGGCGACGGCAATGGCGACGATGTACGCATTTTTGGTATTGGCCATGTCCAGCGTAGCTAGCTCGTACTGTCTCGCAGCTTTGTCTGAACGCCGTTCGTCTTTTGCAAGCTCGGCTTTCTGCCTGAAGCCTTCGACAACAGCGCAAGCATCATCATATGTTGCCTTTGCTTTCGTCCGCGCTGCGTATACCTTATCCCTCTGGGCTAGCGCTTTCGCATGAAATGCTTCGTGACGCTTGCGAGAGTCCTCTGATCGTTTCTCTGCTGTCGAGAGTGCGCTGACGACATCCCTGTCGAGCGAATCGCCCAGCTTTGAGCGATCGAGCGCTAGTTCCTCCGTCTCGCTCAGTATCCTCGCCCAAGCTTGGTCCGTCGAGCTGATTGCGCCCCCGTCATCTCGCCGAGAGGGTTGCTCTCCGACGATGAGCGCGCTCGCCTTGCGGGCCCGTCTCTTCTGAGCGTCTCTGACGAGCGCCGTCAGTTTGCCGGCAAACTCGCGTTCCAGCACAGCTCGAGCTTGGTAGAAGCCAGCGACGTCGCCCAAAAAAGCGTTGTGCTGGCCGAGGTAGGATGAGAGGGGCACAAACTGATCAGGGATGGCTGTTGCAAACTCCATGCGACCGCGGAACTCCCTCAACGAAGCGGCGCTTGTTCGGCGACAGACGTGACAGGCGAGACGGACAAGTCGCGCCTTGCAGCTTGTCGCCGATGTCTGTCTCCGTCGCTCAGGACTCGGCGCATGCTCGGCCGAAGCGCACTCCGAGCCAGTCTGATCGGCAGCGTCTTCAGTGCTCGACCCATGTCAACAGGATCAGACTGGCGCACACGGGTCAGACAGCCCGATTGCCCGTCTCGATGGCCGTACTCCGATGCTGATTTCCAGCGGATAGACGAGTCATCCGATCTGGAATTCTACGCTCCACCTCGGCTCGTGCACCATATTGATGACGGCTGTCGGGCTGCTCTAGCTGCATACTACGACGATGTTCTGCCCAGCAAGAGCGCAACACCTCTCAGCGCTATCAAAGTGCTCGACCTCTGTTCCTCCTGGGTCTCCCACCTACCTGCGCGGCTAGACGACAAGAAGCAGTACCATGTACTCGGGCTGGGTATGAACGCGCGAGAGCTAGCTGCCAATGAGCAGCTCAGCCGGTGGCTTGTCAAGGATCTCAATCAAGATGCATCCCTGCCCGTCGAGACAGCAGAGAACGAGAGCTTTGACGCTGCGATCTGCTCAGTATCGATCGACTACCTCGTACGACCGCGGGAGATCCTGAGAGAGATCGGCCGACTGCTCAAGAAAGGCTCATCTGTGCATCTCGCATTCTCGAATCGCATGTTTGCCACCAAAGTGCGTCTCATCTCCATCTTGCTTCAGATGCAAGCCAGCTGGTGCTGACCCACAGCAGGTTGTCGGGCGATGGCTGCGCATCTCAGAGGATGAACGATGCCAGATGGTAGCAGACTACCTGCACTTTGCCACCAATTCGCAAGGTGACCCGATATTTGCCAACGTCGAGATCGTCACTGTGATACCAAAGGAAGGCTGGGGTTCAAGCGATCCACTCTGGGTCATACGAGCCACTAAGCGGACATGAAACGCATACACAAACTGTACAACAACATGGTGTTTCTCATCAACTGCTACGGAAGAATTTGAGCTTGCGGCTAAGTGCGGATGTGAATGAGGGCGTCAGTGAAGGCGTTTCTGACGTTCTGCGCATGTCTTTGGGCGAGACAGATGCACAAGAGAGCGCAGAGTCGGGCGTTGCAGGTGATGATGTGAGGTCTGATGACGTGCTCGAGTTTGACAGAGGTGGACTGGCAGCATGATCGTCAGGCGCTAACAGATGGGTCGCGTTGGTCGTCTGATGAGCTTGTAAACTGAATCCGCTGAAATCGACCGTGCTTGGACAGCTCACTGTGTCGGAGCAGCAAGAATCTCTCGCTGTCGCACAGGGTCGTCGGCGTTTGACGGGCGACTGTCGCAACACCGGCACAGTCTCGGCCGACGGACCTGCCAAAAGAGGAGGGGCGACACTCGCCGCGGGTGAGACGACGAAAATCTCGCGGGGTGGTAGCTTGATGGTAGCTGTCTGTCTACTCCGAAAGTGCAGCGAGATATTGACGAAGAAGCGCACGCTGGCGAGCGCCGTTGCCGTGGTCTCGCCGATCGAGTAATGACCCGGTCGGGACGTTGGCATCTTGGCTACTATCTGACCGGTCCAGGCACCATTCGTGTCAAATTCCATCTCTTCGGCAGCCATGTGGATTGTCAGCACCGTCGAGACATCGCGTGAGATCTTCGAATCGGGCGAGACGAGATGGATTATCGGCAGAGACTGAGACCGGGTCTCTGTTTCGAGGCGAGCGGTCTCGCTAGGTATGCTGCGCTTTCGGGGCTGCCGCTCCAAGGAGCGAGACACAAGCAGCTCACGCGTGATTTCGATTGTGACACGCTTGAAATCGGAGCGATGATCAGACATCGATCGCTGCAGTGAACATCGGAACGCAATGGGATCGCCTTGGCCCAAGTAGGGCGCGGCCGTGACGAAACTGTAGTCAATGGGCTCCTTCGGTCGTGAGCGTATCGATCTAGATGACCATGTGAGAGTATTGCGCGTAACCGGTGGCGCGTAGTTGACCAGGCCGAGCGGATGCGACTTGATCAGCGCTGAGCCATAGATTGCATGCGGACGATGCGTGATGACTGTCACGCCACGTCAGGCTGGTTGGACTAACGCACACGCACGCTAGCGGGCTCACCTCCTTCGATAGCCCACCAGACACGCCACGATTTGAAGACGACAGTGCTGCACGGTCGTCCGTCGCGCGTCTCGTGCAAAGCGCCAACAGGCATGGTGAGCTTGAAAGCCTTTTCGAAGACGCCCACGTGGCCCTCCGCACTGTTCATGGGAGGACGCCAGAGCGTCGTGGCAGTCTCGTGCAGTACCCTCGTCTGGGCCGTCCTGAGCGATCCCACACCTTGCCCGTCTGACTCGTAGCACCGTATTCTGACAATGATTGCCGTTGCCTGCTTGAGCGGCTTGTGATCCTGCAAAGGCGGATTTAGCTCGATCGACACTCGCTCAGCGCATGTCACACCTCTTCGAGTGAGATCTTGAGAACACCGTGAACGGTGACATCAGTCTTGCCTAGCTTGCCAGTAGATGGGTATGTCTTGCTCGGGCTCACAATATTGCGCGAGCTCGAGCCGGCCTGAGCTGGCAAGAAATTGTCGCCAAACACAAGCTCGGTCGCAGGTTCGGGCTGAGGCACGATGCCATCTCGTGGCAACAATGTGATCACGACCATCAACGGCAGCTCTCAGGCAGTGGTGAGCAGCGGTGACGGCGAACGACCGGGTCTATGGCCGGCAGACTAGACCGCCTGACGTCGGACAAGGTCCGTGAGAGCGTCGGTGCACCGCGACCCGGCGGCTATGCTAGTTGGTGCGCCCTGCCGGTCTCTGACAGAGTCCGCCACGCCGGCTGCCGAAGAGACTGAGCCTGCGCCAGGATGGTAGACGCAGTCCGTCGGAGTACGGGCGTCTGGAGGCTTTCGTTCGTTGTGCTGGGAGCGAGGTGCAGCAGGAGGAGATGGTCGCCGACCAGCGCCCGAAAGGTCGGCGCAGTGACCCCATCAGAGACCATTCTGCTAGTCTTGAGCATGTCGTCGCTAGTGCCGATCGCAAACGAGTCTCGCAAATCTCACGCGCTCATTTGACGTTTCCCGCGATGTCAAACTCTGAAAACTCAAAACTCTGATATTCTTAATTTGGATGCGACTGATTGCATAGGGCTATCTAGGGCCCGGAGGACCGACCTCTCGAGAGGCACAAGGGGTATATATGCGAATGAATATCCTGCTGCGCGCGCAAGAAGTAAACTCTCTTCGACTGCTGAGATCGACACATGTCGAAGATCGGCCCTGTCAGAAAGGCCGAAGGGGTATCATACTGCTTGGTAAAGGGTATCATTGCTTCGAAAACGAAAGCTGCGGTGATTAGGTCGTAAAACGAATGGTGACGTCTATTGTGATGAAGGCGTCGCTGGCTCGATGAGTTCCTTGACCCATTGCGCGGCGAACAAGCTGGCCTTCATGAACTTGCGTGACGAGTACTTTTGGTAGACGAATCGGGACTCCATGGTGGTATCGCGGAGATTCTCGATGAGCCAGTCTGTTGGCACCTTGAGCTGAGACTCGGTATAGCCAGCATAGAAGATGAATGCCTCATTCTGCATTGGAATTATCAGCCAACGCATGGCTCAAACTTAGATGGTACGCACCCAGTCGCCGCCGAGCATGCGTCGAGCGAGGTACATGCTGACTGCAGCGATTTGTGAAGCCTTTGCCTTGAGGAAGCGATGATCGAGCATGGTGACTTCCATGAGGTACTTCGACATCGTCCTTGTCTCGATCTCGTAATCATCTGCTTTGCTGATCTTGCGCACCCAGCTGTAGGGCGTGCAATAGCAGGAGATGTTGAATTCGAGCGTGCTGAGAATGATGCGCTCGCCCTTCAGGATCTCATCGCGAGAGAAAGAGTTCTGGGTCATGTGGACGAATTCGTCGACACTGCAGTAGATATGAGCTTCCGCCGACTTAGCTGTCATGCGCAGACTTACCCTGGCGCCATAATTTCTTCGTACTTTGCAGCGACGAACATGGCAGTGACGCCGAGGAGTTGTAGCTTGTCGAGCGACACGCAGCGCTTGGTGAGGAAGCGGTCGATCATGTTGAGCGCGATGAAGAGCGTCTCGGGAAGCATGTGGTAGCGCATGTGGACTTGCGAGAGCCAGTCGATAAGCGTGGCGCGCATCGTCCAGTCCAAGTCGTTCTGATTGTTCATGTAGTCGTGCGCTGGCATGGCGGAGATCTGCATGTGTCGCGATCAGCTTTTCATGTTATAGAAGCGGTCGATGCCTTACCTCGAGCTCTGCCATGTACTCGAAGATCGAATCAGAGTACTCGCCCACCATCATGATATCGTTGGGATCGTTCTCGTCGTGAAAGTCTGCGCGGATGGCTTCAATTTCGGCTTCGGCATCGATTTGCTCGTCAAGAGTGAGCATGAGCCAGTCCTGTTGACTTCGTTCAGACAGTCGGGTAGAGCTTTTTGCGGTCGGCTGTGACGAGAGGCCTTCATCTACGTCCGAAAGCGACGTGGCGAGCTGTGGTCTGATCTTGTCGCTCTGTGCACTGAGCTCGATGGCGTCCACGCTGATGTCGCTGATAGGCGGTAGAGTCTGTCGGTGTGGTCCGTCTTGCTCCTGGCCGTCTGCGTTGAGGTAATGAACGTGTCCCTCGTCATCGACGAGTCGCTCGAGACCGGACATGGCCACTGTCTCTTGCTCTGGTGAGCCGGCGAGTCCGAGTCCGCGCAAAGGCGCTTGTAGTCCATGGGTAGACGAAGGCAAGACGCTGTTCTCGTCCACACTCGCGTTTTCGTCGATCCACTGAGAAGTCGCAGGACCGGCAGAAGCTTGCCTCGATCGTTGAGACTTGAGTGAGGCGGAAGAAGCTTTGTTGGTCAGCGCAGGACGGTTGACGGCTCTCGCGGTGACGATGCCAGATTGACTGTTTGTTTTGACATGACCAGGTTGCGCGACGGAGATAGCAGAGGAGGCTGAAGCTGTTCGAGACCGGCTGGTACCCTTGAGACTCTCTTTGTCCTTTGAGGCTCGGTCTGCAGTTCTCTGTGGGTTCGAACGGGCATGTATCAGCAAATGTATGCGGCAGGGATGACGCGACCGCCAGGGGAAGGGAGACTGACCTTGTTGACGACATTGCTCACATCGCCCAGTATACGACGTTGTTTCGCAGGGGGTGCGCCGTTGTCTGCTTTGGTGCTGTTGTCCTTTGCGACTCGATGTAGGCCGCCATTGGACAATGCGGCCATGTTGTTGAGCGAAAGTGATTTCGTCGATTTGAGTTCTAGGCCTGCATGTTGCTTGCTGATCAGATGCTGAGCATTCTCATCGACAGAGGCGATCCTCTGTGAGCGACTCTGCGTGCGTAGAGCCGTTCAGCCCGGTTGGTTGCACGAAAGGACAGATGCAGCTCACTTTCGACATGTTGACAGCAATGTCAAGCTTTACCGTCTACACAATTGACGTCTGATGCAGTGCGTAGGCGAGTCCGTCTTACCGAGAGCAGCAGAGGCCTATCGCTCGACCGTGATCGTCCCTGGCGGCGGTCTCTGTAGAAAACGCAACATCAGCAAAACAGTCACAATGCGTGAGCTAGCCGAGTAGCCCACTGGTGTAACCTCAGCGAAGTATATACTGACCTCTATGCGAGCGACGAGCCTGCGTTTGGATGTTGTGCCGTCGGATCAGTTGCGAGCTGAGTGCGCACGACGCACTGAGAACAGATGTCAACTCATCACGTGATACAGTATATGTCACAACAATGTCAATCGGTCTGGGCACCGTACAGATCAGTTCCATTGACGGGCGGTAGGATCGCCTGCGGGGATTTCGACCACTGTTCTGCTATCCACTGTCGTTCCAGCAGTGAGCCGCTCGGCTACTTTCTCATCTTGCTGTAATAAGAGCTCGGCGTCATTGCTATTGACGGCTTCAAAGGACTCGATGCCGAGCTCGTAATCGCCCTCTGCCGGGCCGAGTACGGAGATGCCTACTGTTCTGATCTTCTCTCGCATCATACTGATCTGGGTCTCGGACAGATCGCCGGAATTGATGAGCGTGAAGTGATCGAATGCGACCTAAGTCGCGCGCGTTAGCCTTGACCGCCTGTAGACCTGTCAACGCACCAGCACATCCTCCCATTTGCCCACTTCGCCTAGTATCAGTCTGTGTTGGAACAGATCGCTTTGTACTGTTTGCTCTGTTAGCATAGGGTTCTCGTCACATGTCAGATCAGCGCTTGCCAGGCCCGTCGGTCTGCAGGTTGACAAAGTACCGCATCGAATCGCCAGAGTTGCGCAGCCGTAGCTTGAGAAATTGGTGCAATGAGGTGTCCCATGTCTGTATGCCAAAGATAGACGGCCGTGACTGCTGCTCAGTCAGCAATACTCACATGTCCGGAGCGATGATGGCGAACCTTTGTCCTGAAACCGGCATACCCTGTCCTGTTGATCTCACTGCCGCCCAGCTTGAGTCCTTGCGGGACTTTTGAGCTCAACGATCCGCTGAACCGTCCTTTGTAGACGTGTCACTGTCCGGCGCCAGAGCTCACGCCGATGTGCGCACCTTTGCCGTCCGCATCGAGGTCGAGGTGGGCCGTGGAGTGCCCCCCTATGTCTGAATCTGCGCCGAGTGCAAAGCTCCGTAGATCGTCCGGACTACGCAGCGTGGCCATCGTCATCTGAACCTTCTGGCTTGTCCCGAGCGGATCCATTCGCGTCACTGCTCAGACCGTCAGCGATTCGTTCAGAGACGAGCTGTGACGTGGACAGACGTGCGACCGAGCGACTCTTGAAGACATCGAAGGATCTGTTGAGGTATTCGCGCCATGCCATGCTCGTGAGATGTGACAGGGATGCTCTGCCTGCCTTCAGCTAAGCTAGCTGAGTCGCGCCGAGTTTTGTGCCTTTGCTCGCCGACTAGCGCCGACCGGGCTCGACATGTATGGCGGCAGAGCATCGTGTACTGTCAATACAGTCACATGTGACGCATGGCTACGTCGGCAATCGCTCGGCTGTCCTGCCGCTGCAGCTGGCCGGCCTTGAAGTGGATGCCATCAATGTGGTCAATTTTTCAAATCACACAGGTCAGTAAGGCGCTTGTTGCATGGGCTGCCCTGCTCATCCGACGGTCTTCTGCAGGCTATAGTCGCTGGGGAGGCGAGAAGATCAGTGTCGATGCCTTTGAAGACATATGGACTTCTCTCAAGCAGAACAATCTATGCGACTACACCCACCTCCTCACGGGCTACATCCCCGGTGCAGCCGTCCTGCAAGCAGTGAGCGACTCGATCGACCAGCTCAGAGCATCCAACCCAGACTTCATCTGTACGACTGCCTGCCTCTCTATGGAAGCGCGTATCCTGTGGCTGAAGTGAACCCCTATGACAGATCTGCTCGACCCCGTCATGGGCGACGATGGCAAGCTGTACGTGAGCGACGAAGTCATCCCCATCTATAAGGCTATCCTGCCCAAAGCTACATGCGCGACACCCAACCACTTCGAAGCGGAAGTCCTTACCGGCATCAAGATAGTCGACTTGCACACGCTCCGGCAAGCCTTGGATGCCTTTCACGACCAATATCACTTGCCTCACATCGTCATCTCATCCGTCCCTCTGCCTGTCAGCGCTCTGCCTGATGTGGCATCGAACGGCAACACAGAGTGGCTGGTCTGTGCAGGCTCGACGTGCTGCGCGGACCAGGACACCAAGCGATTCATGATTCCTTTTGAGAAGCTAGACGAGCACTACGAAGGCGTGGGCGATCTCTTCTCGGCACTCATGCTTTCCAGACTGGCCAATGTGGTCCAAGCCAAGCCTGTCGACTGTGAAGTATCACCGCTAGCTTTCGCTGCCAGACGATCCATCGAGCAATTGCAAGGCATCATCAGAGCGACCCAACGCTATGCACTACAACGCGTCGGCGGGGACGCTTCGCGCTTGCTCGCTTCCTCCAATGAAACGATCGAGCACCGCATCCGACGTTTACGGGCCGTCGAATTACGCCTCGTTCAGAATCAAGACATCCTCAAGGGAACCTCGGGAACGGCCGCTCTGACAGCGTATCTACTATGGTGAGTCGCAAACCCTGTCCGACTCTCCTTCCGAATGATTAGAAACTGTGTCGCCCCAGTCCGATCTTTCGTGACGGAAAAGACCAATCGCATAAGCCAAACATTTGCACATATGACCTCTCCCCGCTCCGTGCCTGCTCGAAGCAGTTGCTGATTCTGGTTGATATGACAGATCGTAAGCAGGCATTGACAGAGTGAGTCGGCCACTCCCATCCCTTTTTCCTTCCCATACGGTGATGACATTCAGTACACTTCTATGCTAAATCTCGAGCTCTCGAGCGATGCGGATCCTATGTATTCCACTAAGAACGGCTAGCTGATCCTGCTCCTTCCTGCATTCCCATTGGCTCGTCTGCATGTCGCTAATACAGCGTTCGATTGCACAGGTCTACAATGCAACACGTTGTTGTACAAGCTCTTGCTTGCAAGTCTATAAAGTGCTTCCTACTGCTCATAGGGTGGCAGACCCCATTCTGCCGGGTCGAAATCTTCCAGACTCTTCAACAGCTGATCGTGCTCCATCTTGTCGTTGTCGCTCAGCTTGAGCACCTCCGGCTCAGGTACCCAGACGACGCTCATCTTTGCTGCTTTTGCTGCAATGACGCCAGGTATCCCGTCTTCGAAAACGAGACACCGCTCGATATCTCTCGGTTCGGTGACGCCCAGCGTGCTGGCAGCGTAGAGGAAGATATCAGGGTGCGGCTTTCCCCGCCTCACTTGCGGCGTATCTGCCGTGACGATGGAGTCCTCTGGAAAGCAGCCGAATAGCTCAGGCAGGTGGGACGATTTCGCAACGACTGCAAGGCGAGATCTTGTTAGCCTGTTCGCGTCGGCCCAACGAAGGGGACACACAGTTGAACTGTTTGCTTCCGGTGGCAATAGCAATGGGTATCTTGTGCTTGTGCAGGTGTTGTACAAGTTTGACTGCACCAGGCAAGGGCACAGTCTTTTTGAAAAGTTCGGCTTGAATCTGACCCATCTGTGTGACGAGCTCGTCGGGCGTGACGCCCTCGATGCCGAGTTCTTCGAGGAAGATGCGTGCCGATTCGGGTGCAGGTCTGCCCATGAGCTTGACCTTGGTCTCCCACGTCATCGTCTTGCCGTAGGGTCTGAGCCATTCGTTCGATGCGATGGTATAGATTCTCTCGCTGTCCAGTAGCAAGCCATCGACATCGAAGATGACTGTTCGGATCTGTGGCCGACTCATTCGAGCAGAGAGACGGCTCTCAAAGCGGTGATGAAGGCTGCCCGCTGATCGCGTGCGTCGTCGACTTGTCGTGACAAGAATTTCGCGACGGCCCCGGCCACCCAGTCACTCGTCTGAGCTCGACTTTGGCAGGCTGACGAGAGCGAGCTGAGCGTCGCCAGGATGGGCAAGAAGAGCAAGACGGCACTCAGATCGAGCTCGGCGCCGGAGAGCTCCTCCGGTCCTGCAGTGACCACGTCGTCAAGCAGCAAGCCAAAGCTCGACACCGATCTGCCCAAAGCGTCCGAAGTATCTCCCGACATTGCGTCTCCTGAGGAGCAACCCGTCGTCAAAGTCAACACATCCTCGTTGAACGAGCTCAAGTTCGCTCTCGATGATGCCGTACGAGAGGTGCGTCGACCTGCGACCCTGAGCGACACATCCGCTCAGTAAGCGTGGATGCGTCAGTATTTTGGCAGGCCGGAGCTCTTCAAGCCCTCGCACGTGCACCAAGATGTCAAGCTCGTTCTGGGCTACGTCGCTACGGCCGTCATCGGTCTCGTGAGCGCGTACGCCTACAAGACTTCCTTTCAAGAATCTCGTTTGTTCGTCTTGACAGGCACCGTCATGTCAGTCTGCTCTGCTCTGCGAGCTCAATGATCTCATGACGAAGCACCTTTTGACAGCTATGCCATCTTGTCAGGAGCCTCGACGCTGTACTCGATGTACATCCAAAAGGACACCATCTTTACAGGCAAACGAAAGACGTTTGCTGGACGTGTATGTGTCTACATCCTCGAGTACATCACAGCTCTGACGAGAGCGTCAGATCGAGACCGAAGACATCAAGTTGGCGTCCAGCGTGCCTACGCACACGCCGACCTATACGCTCTCGCTGACTTACGTTCACTCGTCCAACAAGGGCAAAGCGGTCATCAGACAACAGTCGGCCACCTGGACAAAGTCTTTCGGCGCCTTCTTCCGCGAAGACGGCACACTGGCCAAGGACGTCTTCTCTGAGGATCTGAGAAAGCTCTACAGTCAGGTTGTTGGCGAGTGACGAGGTCCCCACTGCAGCGGTGTAACTCTCGCATGCTACTGTTGTTTGCTACAATACAACCACCTCAACGGCAGCTCCAAGGATTGGCCTAGATCGTACTGCAATGAGTCTCGAGCGAGTCAAAAGTACAAAAGGTCCCCAGGTAGATCCAAGGGCGGCTTAGGTGACGAGCGTCGAAGCGGTAGCAGAGTCGTACTTCCATGTGGGCGCAAGTTGCTGCTTCGTCTTGTAGTATCTCGCCAGTCGGTGGATACGGGACTCGACGAGGACATGACGGAACTTGGAGTCCATGTCCTTGCGGTTGCGGTCGAGGTGCTTGCGGATCGACACTGCCTTTTTGATCAAGTGATGCAGATCTTCAGGAATCGTAGGTCCGAGTCCTGCAGCGTAGTGTCCATTGTTAGCCTCTGTCAGCTCAAGCCGCGGGACAGCCTTGCCTTGAGATTTGAGGATACGGAGGATCTTGTTGCCTGTGACGCTCTTGACTTGGGCGACACCGTGGCTGTCACGGAGGACGACACCGATCTGAGAGGGCGTCATGCCCTTTCTTGCCATCTTGACGATCTGATCGACGACCTCATCAGGCGTCACTCGCAGCCACTTGGGCGGACTGCGCTTGTATGGCAATGCAGAGCCAGCTGTGGATCATGCTCACTGTCAGCGTCCGTCCGTGATACCTCGAACAGCAGAGAGTGTGTGTTGATGGCACGGGAGAGGCCGAAGAGACGGTCTGCCGACTGTATGACACCGACAAAGCATGACCGTAGTCGCTCGTCCTGTCCATCTCGTGTGCCTCCTCCCAGCCTCTCTTGTCGTGCAGATCGTATGGCGGGCGAGTCAAAGAGCATGCCAGCACTTACAGATACCCTTGTGCGGGTTATGTAAACGACCCATATTGTGCTACAAGTCGACGCAAAAGCTGAGCCGCAAGACTTTGCGCGCAAGTGGGGAAATTTTGTCCGTAATCGGGCGCACCCCCACTCTGCCAGCCATATTCCGCGTAGCTTTCTTTCGCTTCTTCGCTCACCTCATCTTTACGCAAAGAGTATGCTCGTGCTTGTGACTCTCAGTGCATGCTGCTGACACACAGGCCATCATCCAGTGAAGATCAACTTTGCGAATCCGGCGACAGGCCAGCAAAAGTTGATCGACATTGACGATGAGCGTCGAGTTCGTGTGTTCTACGAAAAGCGCATGGCCCAAGAGGTCGCCATCGATGCTCTCGGTGACGAATTCAAGGGCTACGTCGTCAGGGTCACTGGCGGTAACGACAAGCAAGGTTTCCCGATGAAGCAGGGTGTTCTGCAGCCTCACCGAGTCCGCCTCTTGCTCTCTGCCGGTCACTCTTGCTACCGTCCCCGCAGAAAGGGCGAACGTACTCGCAAGTCCGTCCGTGGATGTATCGTCGGATCAGATATCGCTGCTCTCGCTGTCGTCATCGTCAAACAAGGCGAACAAGACATCCCAGGCCTGACCGATACTGTCCTGCCCAAGCGTCTCGGTCCCAAGCGTGCCAACAAAATCAGAAAGATGTTCAACCTCACCAAGGAGGATGATGTCCGCAAGTTCGTCGTCCGTCGCGAGGTCCAGCCCAAGAATGCCGAGAAGAAGCCCTACACCAAGGCGTCAGTCGGAAAGGCTTTTCAATCTTGCCTCGTGCTGAAATAGCCTCGCCGATTCGCAGGCCTAAGATCCAGCGCCTTGTCACCCCCGAGCGCTTGCAGAGACGCCGCCACCTTCGCTCGTGCGTCACAGTCCTCGGTGTAGTGACCTATGCTGACTTGCACCACTCACAGATTGCGTCGCCGCAAGACTGAGGCTCAGAAGGAGCAGATCTCCGAGTACAAGGAGGTCCTTGCCAAGCACGTCGCAGAGCGAAAGGCAGCCAACAAGGTGCAGAAGAAGAAGAGCAAAAAGGCGGCACCCGCTGCCGCCCCTGCTGCCGCCGCGACGACTGCATGAGTCAGCTCGTGATAGGCAGACGCGATTGTACTCCTTGCTGCATGCATCTCGTTCATGCGGATTATGACAACAAGCTCATAAGTGGAATGAGATGTAGTAGCCCAGTAGCGCCGTCGCGCCCGACGCGACAAAGTTGACCTGCGATGGGGAGCGTGAGCGTCAATGGCCTGGATGACTCGAACACGTACTGCATTGTTGGAAAGGAGAGGCGTGCCGGCTATGCGCACAACCTCGTCTTTGCTGGATCGTGAATGGACTATCTTGCTGCGCCTTTTGGAGTATAACGTCTCTTGCATTGTTGCTCCTAGGAGTGAGTCGAGCTGTGCTGCGTTGAGTCCCATGCGGATGGTCAGGACCGAGCGCTCACCAGAGAGCCGAAGAGACCGGCAAGGCTTGCTAAGATGACAATCTCTGCCGCAAAAGCAAACCCGCCCTTGGCTTGCGTCCACAGTGTGTAGCAAGTGTGACTCTCGACCGAAAGCGCGACAATGGTCACGATACCTATCCATGTGCCGCCGAGCAGCGAAACGAGCAGGCCGAACGGAGTGATCCCGCCGTTCGTGCCCGGCGGTACCGGTTGAAACGTCGTGACAAGCCGCGGTTTCGTCCGCGCGAGCATACCAAGCTGTGCCCATCTCAGCATCTGTATGAATCAGTCAGCAATCTGGCAAACCTCGCTCGCGAGTGTGTCGCCCATGCAGGCGCTGAAGAACGCAATCGCCGTCCAAAGGTAAGCGCGGCTGTGCGCCGAGCCGCCATATCGATAGCTCTGCGAGGGACATATGCCAGCTGGTAAGCTGTTCGTCGTGATGGAAGATAGGTCGGAAAGCCACGACGCAAAGGGCATGGCCTCCGAGGGCTGCACGAATGCAATTTGCCACGAAAGAGATGCTAGGGCGCCGACGAGACCATTGCATAGCACTTGGACGGCGTCTCGATTGCCAGCTAAGCTTGTTGTAGCTTTAGCTGTAGATGCAGGGCCGTGTTGGTCCTCTAGCTTGGCCTTGACAGCCGCTTTAGTCTGCAGCATCACGTGAGATTGGGTAGTATTTAGGCCTTGCTCAGCTGGCCTTTGTCGCTCTCGAACCGCTCAGATAGAACACGATGAGGAGTACGCCGAACGTGCGCAGCTGGTTCGCGAGAGTGATGTAGCCTGCGCGCAGTCCTCAGCGCCGTGGGCGTATGCTGCTGTTACGCGGACCCAGAAGAGCTGCTGCGATGGCGCCAGATGTGGAGAGCGACCCTTTGCGGTAGCCGTGTGCCCCGAGAAAGCTGGCCAAGGCAGCCGTGCCAGGATAGAGGAGCATCACGCCCGAGTCGGTCGGGAGCCAGGCTAGAGACCGTAACATCATTGCGTCGATCTAATCTAATCTATCTATCTACACTCACTCCTCATCGATCGTCCGTGAAGCTCGACCATTCTGCAGGGTCATACATCCACAAAGAAGCTTGCAATCCTATCGACACCGAGCAGCAGATCGCTGAACAGTAGACGATGGCTTGCGTGCCCCTTCCTTTGAACGCATTACACGGGCGAGAGACTGTCAATAACGACAGTCATACCTGAGTTGCTTTCGCATCGAAAGTTCATTGGATGAGGATAAGGCGCGTGGCAGTTCTCTGTGTACTGGGCCTGACCATCAGGATAGCAGAATCTTTCGGTCGTTTCTCCCACGATTTCGTGGGTGCGCTCGCCCAGATCGATCTGAATTGATGCAGACCTGGCTCAAGGGCGAACAGGCCCGGCGTGAGCGTTGATCATGACGGCAATGCACTGACTGACCAGTCAACCGAGCAACAATCTTCGAATCTCTTCGGCCACTCGGCCTGATGATATTGCTCGACGTTCTTCTGCGCTCAAGGGTCAGCTTTACCGATGGTCGCGAGTGTAAGGTTCGGCAGATGACTTGCGATGTACATTGTCATCTCAATCCAGGTGTATGCTGGCTTCCATCTAGATCCGGGACTGTATCGGTAGTCGGTGCATCTGACGTCGTCAAAGATTTTCTTTCCTTGCACATACACTTGAGGCTCGGAGCTGCCAAAGTGGTTTGTAACGACGAGTGCATCAAAGGAGGCTGGCGGCATATAGAAGCCGTTCGGAGACTGACAAGTAGCGGTGCCATGTATAGTCACATTGACGGTGTAGAGGAAGTTGCCAAGCTGCCGCGACTCAAGCAAAGCCGCTTCGACCGGTACGGCCGTTGTCGCGAGGTCGCTTGTATGTTGTAAGGCTATCGGGTCGGCCAATGCCCTGGTGGCCAGCAGAATTGTACACAACCAGGTCCACATCGATGCAGGCGATTGAAAGGGGAAGGGAGGAGGCTTGTAAAGCAAGACAGGAGCTCCTGCGACGAACGAGAGGGGCGATCACGTGTTGCGTGTCGCGCGCGTCTCTTGCGCAATTGCAAGCTCGAAATCTAGCCGAGCGGGCGACTCCGCAAGAGCGAGTCATGGCGTTCTTCGGGAGCGAAGAGACCGAGGCAGACAAGCTGAGGAAGAAGCTCAAACAGAATGAAGGTTTGGTCACCTCTGAGCGCGATGCACATCGACAGACGCAAGCCAAGCTGGACGAGCTCAAGCTTGACCTGAAGGATGCGCAACAAAGGGCAGGACAAGAGGCAGACAAAGTCGTGAAACTCGAGAAAGCGCAAGAAGATGCACGCAAGGTCGCTCAGAACGAGAAGCTCAATCGCATCAATCTCGAGACAACAGTAGAACAGCTTAATGTCAAAATCAAAGCTCTCGAGAAGGACAGCAAGGGCTTGCAATCCGAGCTCGACTTCAGATCATCGCGTCCTGATCTCGTCCTGGCCGGCAAGGACAAGGAGATCGCCGACCTCAAGAAGCAACTCGACGGCAAGGGAACCGCAAACGAAAGTGCGACTGACGATGCGGCCCGCGTGCAAGAGCTACACGCCGAGATCGCTCGACTCAAGCTCTCTTCTGCCGCTATCACTAGTGACAACGTTGTCGCATCGACACAATCGATTTTGCCGGACGAGCGGGCGAAAGAGCTTCAACAAGATCTCAACGAAGCGCGACAGGATATCGTGCGATGCCAGACAGAGCTGAAAGACTGCAAGGACAAGCTCGCCACGACTGCTGCGACCCTGATGAAGAAAGAGAACGAGATCATGGCCCTGTCGAGTACGAGCAGCGAAGCGATCAAGGCCGCCAAAAGTGATACTGAAGATGCACAAGACGAGCTGCGGCAGATGCGAGAAAGCTTGGAGGATCAGCGGAGAGGCCTCGAAGCTCAGTCAAGGAAGGATACAGATGATGCTCGCGCGGCGGCTCAGGCAGAGGTCGAACGGGCACAAGGAGAGACTCAGGCGACGACTGCTCAGCTCAAGGAGTCGCGAGCTGCGCTCGACAAGATCACAGCTGAACTCGCTGCAGTCGATACAGATCGGACGAACAGTATCGCAATACTCGAAGTTGCCCTCGCGGATGCCCGTCAACAAAATGCAGCGCAGAAAGCCGAGCTAGATCAGAAGCTCCTCGAGATTGAGCTTGCCAATTCAACAGCGTCCGCTGCGCTCGAGTCGGATCTGGCGACGGCTCGGCATGAGTGCGAGGCAGCACAAGCTGATCTAGCTGCAACAAAATCCGAGATTGCCGACTTGCAGCTGACGAGCGCCAGTGACAAGTCAACGCTAGAATGTGCTCTGGCTTCTGCTCGTTCAGATATAAACGTGAAGCAGGCCCAGATCACCAAGCAACAATCAGATCTTGCTGCGCTTAACGAGTCTCGTTCGAATACGCTGGTAGCGATAAAGAAGACGGCTACTACACTCGCAGAGCAACAACAGACGATCGCAACCGTCACTGAAGAGCTGGAAGAGACCCGAGCTGCGGTCGCTACACTCACTGACAATCTTGCGACTGCGGCGCAGAGCGCCAGACACCTTCAGGACATCAAGAGCGAGCTAAACGCCCTCCAGATCGAGCATGATACAACGAAGACGACGTGTCAACAGCGCGAAGATAGTTTCATAGAACTCGAGGCCAAATTGACTTCTCGTGAGACAGCTCTTAAAGATGTCAAAGCCGCGTTCGACGAGCTCAGAGGCACGGAGACAATCCTGCGCGATCAGCTTGCCGATGCTCACGCCAACTCAAATGCCCAAAGCGAGCAGCTCGAGAGGCTCGTTGACGAATTGGCCTCTGCTCGGGCTGCAATCACGCAGTACGAATCTCGCATGAAAACGACGATTGCGGAGCATGCCTCCTCGGGGGCAACATTCGAGACGAAATTACTGCAAGCCGAGCACGAGCGGGAAGCGTCGCAGATTCTTATGCATCGTCTGCGCGAAGAGCGAGACAGAGCTACTGCATCGTATCATTTCCTTCAAAGAGAGCATGAGAAGGAGAGCGAAGCCAAAGTGGCGATGCAAAACCAAGTAGCAAAGCAGCGCGAGACTATGCAAGCATCCGTCACAGTGCTCGAGGACAGAATCCTTGCGGCCTCGCAGAAGATTGTCGACCTGACCGCACAGCTAGCAGCAGCTGAATCGGCCCGCAAAGTCGCATCGAATGAGCTCGCTTCCGTGCGGGAAGATTTGGCGGAACGCCTGACCATCATCTGTGAACTCGAGGTACGCCCAGCGTTTTCTTTGATGATTGAGTTTCGTTTGATGTATAGACGCAGACAAAGTCTCTACGCGACGATCAAGCCCTTCATACGTTCCACGACACAAGAGCGGCGCAAGAACAAGACCTGATCGCCCTGCGTCAGACGGAGGCCCAACACAGAGAAGAGATAGCAATCTTGTCGGGACGCATCAACCGTCGGGAAGATCAGATTGACAGGCATCAAGTCGAAATTCGCGCACTGCAAGGCCAGCTCAAGCAAACTGAATTCAACATGTCAAACTTGCATCAGGATCTTCAGGACGAGCGTGAAGCCTGGCGACTCGAGCGTGCAAACCTTCTGGCCCAATCGACGCATGAACAACCGCGACGCTCCTCGCAGGATGCTTCCCAGCTTGCCGACTTGCAAGCCAGTCTGGCGACCGCACAGGACGAGCAAGCGAACTCTCGCGCTGAGCTGTCGACGGCTACTGCTCAACTAGCTACTACACGGAAGCAGCTGCAACGAGTGACTGAAGAGCTCGAAGCTGCCAAGGTAGAAATGACGAAAGCTCGCGAGTTCGAGCGCGCTCTGCAGACGCGTGAAGAGGAAGCGGTAGCAATGCAAGAAGAACTCAAGCAAGCGAGCGCCTCGGACGAGACGATCCGCTTCAAAACAGATGCAGCATTACGAGAACGTGATCAGCTTATCGACGCACTCAGAGCCGAGATCAGCACGCTGACCGAAGCTGGTGCGACGCAAGCTGGCCTGCTGGAGCGACTGACAAAGGCAGAAGATGCACTGGCTTCATCGCGAAACGAGCGTGCAGCTTTGGTTCAGGAGATGGAAGAGCTTTCGTCAAGCCTGTTGAACGAACGCTCCGAGCTTACGAAGCTGCGGGCCGATGCCACAAGACTAAACAATCTGAACAAGCAGGCGTGCGTATCACTCGGTGAAAAGCTGCACTTGCTTATGCTCGGGTTGCACAGGAGAACTCGCATAGCGGACATGCAGCAGAACCTGGAACAAGAGCGAGCCGAAGTTAGAGAAGCCTTCGAGAAGTCGCAAGAGATGGCGAGTCAGGCGAACGAACAGTTAGAGCTGCTCAAGCACCAGGTCGAATGTCTCGAGATCGAAAAGGGTAACGCCGAGCATCTCGTCAAAGTGAGAGATGAAGAGCTCCAAGTGGCAAGTCTTGTGTGCTCGGAGCTTGTAAAGGCTGACATGCTCTGCAGACGGAGGACGAGCTGCTTGACAAGGGCAAACTGGTCGGCAAACTGAACAATAAAATCGAGAAGCTGAAAGTGCGCGTCGAGACCATGCAACGCGCCGCCAGACTGGCAGCTCAGGCAGCTCGACCTACTCAGCCTGATCCCGTTGCGCGGCTACCTAGTCCGTTGCCACCGGCCGTCGCGCAGAAGCGGTCCCGCAGTGACGAGACAGAGAACGAAGCCCCGGCAGCCCCGCGAGCGATGGTTGCTGTCATCAGTCCAATCAAGGCCAGAGTGCGCACGCAGTCGGCCACTTCGCCGAACGGAGCCAGCAGACCTCTTTCTTCGCTAGACTCGAATTTGCCCAAAGCAGCGGACAAGACGAGGGCAACACCGGCGGAAATGATGCAACGTATTGCACAAATGCGTTCGTGAGGGTCGTGTACGAACGGATGTAAAGCTGCATGATGTTTGTTGACAACAGTTACTTAACTGACTGCGACGGATGAGAGTGCCTTGCGGGAAAGATGGTTCCAGTAAGAACGCCTGATTGGATCGTGCTGCTCTGCCAGTGCTGCATAGACCTATAGAAATATGTGAGGCGTCTCAGACATGCTGCATTGCAAAATGCAGTATAGCGCACCTCTGCAGCTTGCTTGACTTGCGCTTGGTCCTTGGATTCAGCAAGCGAATCCGCTTGCCATTCGAGCGCATATCGGCATGATGGGGATTCGAGTCGAGTCAAGGGTTCGACAAAAGCATTAAGTGCTATCAACGCTGTCTTCGAGTGTCGCAACACACTGCAGTCGATGAGATCTCAGCAAGAGACGTTTCGTCTCCGTGAAAGTTTACCCTCTGAGATAGTTCCATGCGCTGGGGTTGTTAGGCGCTATACTGATCTTGTCCTTGCAATACTCGAGCTCCCGTTCCTGTAGTGATTCCGCATTTTTGTGGGATGCACGGTTCGAGTGGTCGCTGCCATAGACGACGAACCAGCGATGGTTCCAAGCGGAATTATTCCTCAGATCCTCGTTCAGCAGACTTTCGGCATAGTCGAGCTCTCCTTGCCAGACACTATCTTTGAACTTGACATCCTTTTCCATACGAAGGGCATCGTCTCGCTCGTCTGCTTGAGCAATGACGCAGGCTGAGTCTGGCCCGAAGAAATGGGAGAGAACCCAGTGTCGATAGACCCAAGTATGGTAATTCTTGCTGTCAATGGCGAGCGTCCGGGTGCAAAAGGGCAGTTCGCGTCGATGACCGATCGCTGCAGGTAGAGCGAGGACCATATTGCGTCGATGTTGCCAGACTTGGTACGATTTCAGGTGGGCTTTGACGTGATGATCCATCATGTCGAGCTCGGATTCGATCGACGCGCCCGTTGCCAACAGTGTCTGACCGCGATATGTCCTGAAATCGAGCATCAGGGCCCGCTACAGGATAGCTGAACGGGCTATGATGGGCGCTCACCAGACGGTATAATGAGCCGTGTTCATCTTGACAAGTGCCTGTGTGACGTCCAAGACGCGCTGACTCTTCTCGCCTGTCGAGACAAAGTAGCGAAAGGTGTCCATAGCGCTGCTGTACTCTTTCGGGTAGGCGATAGGTACCATTGGGTTCGGTCCATCGTCCTGGGGCACCGGCACGACGTCCTCGAAACCTTCCTGCGTGGTGTGACACTAAGCTCTGCGAACGAAGGCCTCAGAGGACATGAAGACTGACTCGCTGATGCCAAGGAGTGAACGCATCCATGTCGGCGAGCAGACAGTGCCGACAGGAAGCTACTTAGCCTCGTCTTCCGACGCAACGGATTTCAAGTCAAGCGCGCGCGCATGAATCAAGATATCTGGGAACGTCTTGCAGAACCTTCGCCAGGCGCAATTGCAACCTCGCCAGCACACTATGGACCGACCTCGTACGTCCATACGCCGCACGAGATGCTTATGCTGACAGTCAGTGGATCCATCAGGCTCAGACGACCGTCGGGACGATCGCTACGAGTCTGACTACGTAAGTTTGGCTGGTCGCAACGGCGTTTGGGCGCAAGAGAGGCTGACCGACATACTCTGCAGAGACCCAGCCGACGCTCGCCTTCACCGAGACGAGAACGATCGCCGCCTCGCCGGTCACGATCGCCCTACTCTCGCAGCTACAGAGACGATGATAGGGATCGAGACCGTCCCCCTCGCGACTCGCACAGAGACAGAGACTATGACTCCAGACGTCCTGCTCGAGGCGCCAACAAGGAGCACCGTGTCTACGTCGGCAATCTTTCTTACCAGGTCAGACATGCAGATCTGAAAGACTTTGCAAGGGATGGTTAGTCAAGTTTTCCATCGTTTCCACCTTTTCCTCTGTCTTTGGCGGCGGAGTGTCACACGCGAGGAGGCTTTGGACTCAGGGTGCCATCACATCTCTTGGAGCGATCTTTTGGATCCCGTTGGAGGCCGCAAGAGAGCGCTTGGGACCTGTCGAGCGAAAGCATGCAAAGTACGGGAGGCTGATTGGGGTTGGCGGTGTTTATTCAGTGGGCAAGGTTGTCAATGCCGAGGTACTCATGACGCCCAATGGCATGTCAAAAGGATGCGGGTCAGTTGATTCTCGTATGCTATCTGTGCAGTGCTGACGCTACATCAGCCTCATCGAGTTTGAAACCGAGGGTGACGCCCGGCGCGCGATCAAAGAGCTTAACGAGTCAAGCCTGCTTGGCCGCCCTGTCTTTGTCCGCGAAGTGGGCACTTGCGAACCGTAGCCGAATCCTTGCTGACACAGTTGCAGGATCGTGTTGATGATCCTCATCCGGGCGGTGGCGCGCGCAGCGTAAGAGGGCTCGTCTTCCCTCGTTCGGGCGCTTTTGCACCCAGCGGAGGTGCGCCACCCAGCAAGCAGCTCATCGTCAGCGGCGTAAGCCTCCTTTGCGAGTTCATGCTGTCTGGCTTGCTAACTCAGAGCGTCTAGCTGAGTGACGCTGTCGGGTGGCAAGATCTGAAGGATCTCTTCAGAGAGTGCGGCGACGTCATCCGCGCCGATGTCCATCTCGACGAAGACGGTCGTCCGCGCGGATCCGGCATGGTCCTCTTCTCCTCTGCTGGCGATGCACGAGCGGCCATTGGTCGGTCGCGGCTCGGTTCGCACGCGTGCGTTCTGATACGATGAGATTGACAGAGCAATTTGATGGAATGGAGATCAATGGCATGAAGCTCACTGTCAAGGAAGACAGAGTCAGGGGTAGCGGTCCACCCACTCGTGGCGCATACCCTGTCCGGGGTGGTAGAGGCGGCGGCGGCTCCTTCGGCTCGGGCGAACCTCGTCCGGATCGCTTCGCCAACATCGACCCGTCTCCCCAAATCTTCGTCAAGAATGTTCGTGTGACTTGATGTATCATCGCCAATGGCTGATAGATGAGCAGCTACCCTGGTCTACTGCCAATGAGGATCTCGTCGAGCTCTTCCAAACGGTCGGAACTGTCCTCCATGCCGAAGCCACTCAGGAGAATGGTCGCGCCAAGGGCACAGGCGTCGTTGAATTTGCTACAGCTGACGATGCTCAAACTGCCATTACGAAGTTCCAGGGCTATTCCTATGGCGGTCGTCCCCTCGTGCTGGCTTTCAATGCTCGCACGGTCGACTTCACCAAGCTAGAAAGAGCTGCATGAGCTTGGAAACGAGCGATCATGCGAAAAGACGAAGATGCAATTCATCGTTACTAGCGTTGGTCGTGTGAGCCTATAGTTCTTCCTTGAGCTTTTGGAGCAGATCGTCTGCCTTTTGTTTGGCGGCATCTGTGCCTTCGTCTACTGCATCCTGAACGGCTTTGAAAGCCTTGAGGATGTTCTGACGGATCTGAAGCTCGTCGAGTTTCCTGCCCGCCAGCTGACCTTTCTTTTCTGCCAGCTTGCTCAACCGCTTGCTCTCCGTTTCGAGGTAGTCAGACGAGACGGCAAGCTTGTTCATGACTTTGACGTAGTAAGATGCGCTCGAGTTGGTCAGCGATTCTGCAAACGTCTTGGCCTCGTTGACGAGTTCTATCCGGGCGGCATTGGTCGAGCCGAGGAACTTGCCTGCTAGCGTATCGAGTGTGGGGATCCTACCAGCCTGTACACACAGTCGCACATCAGCCTTGTGCGCAGCGAAACCGGAAGGAACACGGGAACTTACCGAGTCGGAGAGCGCGCCGCCTGGCATGCGCGAGGTGCCACACTTCTTGTTGAGGAACTCGAGCAGACTGTCCTCTGTTCGTCCGGAGGAATAGTCCTGGGGTGCACTGCCATCTCCAGGGAACCACTGCTGATCGTGAGTACTCGGGCGAGGACGATGAGAGAGGGTGAGGCCTCACTTTGATGGTAGGGTACGAGCGTACGCCGTACTTGCTCGCAGTCGGCTTGTTCTCCGCTGCGTCTGCGTCGAGATGCGCTACCTGACACTGTGCCGAGACCTGGGCGATGAGCTCGAAGGATGACATCTGCAGGACCGCCACGCACGCCCTCTTCTGCTGCGAAATCGAGGGCGACCTTGTCCCAAGTGGGCGCCAGCGTCTTACAGTGTCCGCCTGTCCCACGCCAGAGAGAGCCTGTGAGCCTTCTGAGCGATGGAAGATCGTCGTGACCGACACCAGGGAGCGAAGAAAGCGGCGAGGGTGCCCTTTGAGCCTGCACCGATGACAGAGTCAAAGTTCTTGGCGTCTAGCTTCTTGCTGATCTTGCAGGCTTCGAGACCTGCCAGTGCGGGTGTGCAAGCAGCCAAGAGGGCTGCAAGGATGCAAGCTGTTCTCATCCTGTCTGGCGTCCCTGAGGCTCGACCGGTGCTGACCAAACTGGCTGGTGAGCGAGACACGCGACACTGTCGAGGGCAGCGCCAGCGGTGACAAGCTTTGCTCGACGGTCTGCACAGGATGGTCATCATCAGCGAAGTCAGGGACCCGCAGCAGGGCGGGAGACCGCTCACAGAAGAACAGAGCGACGACGAGGGCTCTTGTGCGTCTCGCTGGACAGCTCGAGCCATCAGGCAGACACTCATCTGGACTTTTCTGGCTTGACAGTCGTGACAGAGGAGGACGACCTGTCTGATCGTTCGGATGCAGACTTTACGTTCCAGCAGGCCAACGGGAGGAGCCTGGAGAAGAAGCAGGCACGATTTGCACAGGATGACTTGCTCGACGACGGAGACGAGGACGATGTGGACAGTATCGTCCCGTGGTCAAAAGAGGACGAGACGCTGGGCGATAGGATCTATGCGCTCAAGGGGATCGTACCGCCCGAGACGAGAAAGAGCATCATGTCGACCTGGACAAAGACGACCGGTATCGCTTTCACCGGTGGCAGATGGGCAGGCAATGCTCTCTGGATCATCACGACGAGCGCCGTACTCGTCGGACTGCCACTCGCCTTGTCGATCGAGGCAGAGAGCATGTACGTCCAGCAAGAGAAGGAGTACCAACTCATGCAGCAAGGTGGATCTCAGGCGAGTCTGCTCTTTTCATCTGCTTGTCCTCCTCCAAGCTGACTGGTATCGCATCCGCCCAGTTGCTTGCGCCGGGCACCACATACGGTGCCCCTGCCGCCGGTCAGCCTGCCGCAGCCAAGGGCCTCGTTCCACCTGGATTCTGAGCCCTCACGCCGACGGATACAAGTGTACTCCCTGTGCTCGCGATCGAATACGCGAACATGTACCTCTCATGCATCCTCTCCGCCTCTCCGTTGCACGAGCGCAAGTCTGCCTACACTCGCTTGCACAAGTGATGACCTGTCTGGAGCCTGACACCTGACTGAGCCATGATTCAATCTGCACACACGTAAAAATGAATTGCAGGAGACACGTCATCGCGTCATGTCGTTGATCACACGAGGGGGCGTCTGGACCAGCCTCGTTTCACAAAGAGCTTCTTCGTCAAAAGGGCAGCTCTGAAGCTGCTCGGTCCACAGATCGACAGGCCTCTCGAAGCGCTTGCGCATACTCGGGACATTCTCTGCTGCCAGGGGTGCCACTTCCGGCAACGGGCACACCAGAGGCATCAAAAGCACATCGGCCCAGGTATGCTGCCGCCTGGCTATCCTGAGAGCACATGCCTGATAAAGAGATGGCCTGCGCAGAAGTGTGATCCACCAGGAAAGAGGCATCCTAACGGCCAGATCCGACTTCGAGGGTGCATATATCGACCCCTGAGCGATCAGGACAGAAGGGCAACGTCATTGCGATGATGGCGACGATGAAGATGGGCATGCATGCCATGCACACCCCGCCCCGGTCACCCAAACGACGCCGTCTGACGAGCCACGACTCGCTCGCATCCGGTTCTTCCTCGCCCGTCACCCTCGCTGCGCCGTCGCTCAACGCAACGCCCGAAGAACCCGCGATTCGACTGAGCTCTGAAGATCTGGTACGGCCTGGACAGTTCAGATACGCTACACCGCCGCCGAAGCCAGCTTCCAAGGAGGGCATAGTCCCGCCGGGTGCTCCGAGACGATCCAGGCGGGTCGCCCATGCTCAGAGACGGTACTACCAAATCAGGGAGACAGACAACGTGTCGAGTGATGAAGAAGACCAAGCGGCCGATATCGACAGTATGCCCCCGTCACCCTTGACACCGACGTTTGCCTATTCTTCTCATCACGGGCAATTGCTCACCCAGCTCGACAAGGTCGACTTGGATCTATCGCCTGCTCGAGCCAGGACACATTCCGGTCGGTTGGTCCGATCGTCGTACAAGCAAAGCCCAGCCGTCGAAAGCATCTCCCAGTTCACTTCTGCTGCCATGCGGGAAGAGCCGACGATCATCCCTACGCCTGTCAGCCTGCCGGAAGTGACGCGTACGCCGAGAAGAAAGACGAGATCGATGGCAGCTTATCCTGCCACACCTCAGACGGGCTCCCGTACAGCAACGAAAGGCTTGGGGATCGATCCTGGCGAGTCCATCGGCTTGCCTTGGCAGACACCGGGCAGATCGAGCAAGCCCAACAGTCGCAATGAAGGCTTACTGCCCTCGCCCGTGCTCACCTCCCAGGGCGTCTTCTCCGGCGAATCGATGCTGCCGACACCCGCCGCGACCTTTGACACAAAACACTCACGCCATCACGACTGCATCGATCATCTCAAAGACGACGAAAGCGAGCCGTCCAGTCCGTCGACCCGTTCGAGCAGGAGGAGGACGCTCTTCGTCAGATAAACGCTCCCTTCACGTCTTGCAAGCTTATTGACGATTGCACCCTTTGCCGCACATCTGACTGCGATCCATATACCCTCCTGTGACACCGTACGACTTGATTTGCATGTTTGTATTCGCATTGTATGCTTATTGCCATCCGATGATGAGCATCCACCATTATCCCACTCGCCGTTCGTCGCGTCTTTCTGAGGATGAGCTACCTCTTTGACCTGCCAACCACGTCGGCCGTCTCCTTTGCCGATGTCCTCATCGACGCATCAGGATCTTCTGCTCGCGCGCCTCAGCTGGCAGCTTGTACAGCCGCAAGAGGCCGAGTACGGTCCCAGCTCAAGCTAGCCAAGCGCGCCGCCAAGCGGTCTGCCAAAGGCGACAAGACTGGCTCAAGCCTTCACGGTCCTGACTGGGAAGCGATCATCAAGGCATGCCCATCGCGATGTGACATCGTCTCCACCTGATCGAGGTGGAGTCCAGGTCACGCAAGAGTACATACCTCTTGTGGTCAGCTTGCAAGATTGCATCGATAGAGACAGCTTACTTTGCAAGACTGAACCCGGTTAGCTTGATCCAGACTTTGCAATGACTGATGAGGGACTGACTGCGCGCTGGCGACAGTCTTTGCATGGCGCCCAGTACTCTCCTCGCGTCTTACCCGTCGACCAGCTCGTTTGGTCCTGCCGTCTTTGTATGCCCAATCTCTTCCTGCTGCATGCGGGAGCTCATGGACAGATAGACGGTACGAACTCGCGGCAGTGCTTCTCACGCATGCGCTCGCATTGGCCAACGCTGCATCTGCTCGCGTCCTGTCGCTTGGCCCATACGAACATGACAAGATGCTCGCAGAGAGCCAACGTAAAGCGAATGACGAAGCTATCAATTCTGATGCCAATATGCTCACTCGTGCTAGCGCAATCATGACCTACCTCTCTGCCGAGCTATTGCCTGTCTGCGAGACGAAAGCACCCTCTGTCAAAGAATTGCCTGCCGACTTGACGAAGGAACTCACCTTTGCCCTTTCAAAGTGAGTACCTCTGTTGAACTGTCAGTCGAAGCTGATATGCGTAGGGTCTTGATGGCTGATGCTGAGCGCTTGGCGATACGGCGGCTGCTCTCTCGCTCCAGCGCAGATACAGCTCTCCGGCCCGGCCCGCCATTACCCAGGACGCACCCCTCGCCCGGTCTACTCGCAAAGCTGTATCTGAACGTCTATGAGCATTACGACGCAGCAAGGAGTACAGCCAAACTCGTAGGCGGTCAACGCAAGACCGAGGATGCTCATCTGTCCAACGACGCCAAGTCGATCGTCCTGCAAAGCTTTCGAACGTACTTATCTGATGGTCGCGCCGCCTCACTGGCTATCGGTTACAAGTGGCTGGGAGTAGAAGCGGGCGAGAGAATGAGCAAGTACGGTGAAGCGATAGGTTGGCTGAAGCTGGCGAGAGAAGCTCTGCAAGATCTTGTGTCCAGTGGCAAACCTTTGGCCAGTCTGCTCGGCAGGAACAAGGCAAGAGCAGGGCGAAAGAGCCATCTCGAAGCCGAGCTGGCCAGTGTTGAGATGTTCCTGACGAGCTATACTCAGCTAAACGAGACAGTGCGTTACTCGAACATACTCACGACATTTGAGCTGATGCATCGTGTTAGATCACCTTCGAGCCTGTGACGACTGCTGCAACGCTACTCACACGGGTGCCAGCCGGTCGCTCTGCAATGACGGTCCCAAAGTATGAGCTGCCTAAGCCAATCTTCTCCACGACAAAATCATCAATCGACATGTCGAGCATGCAGCTCGCATTGGAGGGTCTGGATGGAGGAGGAGATGGCGCCGGCAGTGAAGATTCGGACGACGATAGTGATGAGCAGACCGGCCCTTCGATAGGCCGTTACGCAGGGGCGGGATCGTACTTCTGACGTGTCCTCGTCTTGTTGTCAGAGGAACGCGTCGCGCCAATGAGACAGACCATCGCGAACGGACGAGCAGCGTCGAGCTGGGCCATGATACCAAGATGAGCAACATCGCCGAAGACGAAGCGGTGGCCCCACTCCTTCCGTCCGATAAGGCTTGGCAGTCCGCTGTAAAGGCGTCTCATTTGACTCGTCGAGGCAGAGTCATCGCCTGCATCGCCGTTGCATTCCTACTAGGACTAGTATACTACGTCTGGCAGCCGAGCACTCCGCACAGCGCCACAGTGAAGCAGGTGCGCTCCACCGATCTGACCGTCATTGCGCCCTGGACCGGTGCCATTTTGCCCGATTATGTCAAGAGAGCACTCGACAGCTGGGCTCTCAACCCAGGCACAGAAGTCCTGCTGCTCGACATTGACGACGGAGAAGGTTGCGCGGATATCACAGAATGGACCGATGTACATACCCACATCAGACAGCTGTGCATCACACGAGAGCAAAAGATTCAGCGAGTCGTGGAATTCTTGTGCCGACATTGGTCTTGCCAGCCGAGCGTGAGAGAGCAGGTACTCGCACAAGTACAGGAGAAAGACAAGAGAGATGATAGGCATATCATCTACAAGCCCTGGCTCGGCTTGATCTTCAGGGAGCACGTCAAGACTGCTTGGTGGGCATGGGCAGACCTAGACGTGCGGATCGGCCATTTTGACGAGCTCTGGCCGGACATACCTGATGATGTCGACATTGTCACCGTCAGCAAGAGCGACAAGGCTGGTCTTTGGATGGCGGGTCAATTCACCGCTTTCAGATTATCGGACAAAGCAGACACGCTCGCCTTTGATTATCCACCCTTGAGTTCGCCTGACACTCTACAAAGCCTGCCTACAGACTTTGTCGACGAGACCAGTCACAGCGTCTGGTACCTCAAGGAGGATTCTCGTTGGAACTGGCTCGTCTTGCGCAACTCGTTCTCGCTCGATCCCAAAGTCGATACCCACAGACTCACTTATGCACGCGGTGAGACACTCGCCGTACCTCAGTCTGTCTCGCGGGCGCAGCTCGTGGATTGGCTCGATAGCAAGTCGACCTGGCCGCGAGCGTATCGTCTCTATAGCAAGGAGAGCTACACCTTGCCACTGAACATTACAATCACTGGCTTCGGCCCGCCTTGCTATGACGATCCATATAGTCCTGTCGGTCTGTGCCCGCACATTATCGACAATCCCATCAGCGACGCGGAAAGCTTCCCTATGCGTATCGGTGGGGAGTACCTCCAGCTCGTTGTCCCGCACATGCGAGGCGAAGATCATACCAGCCGTCGACTTTTGTTTCTGCACCACTATCGCTCAAAAACGTTGGACTGGTTGTGAGCCTTCTTCGCGTCTATCGCTCTACCGGAGCTAACAATGTGACAGTCCCTTTCCAAGCACATCAGAATATCCTCACTCTGTCTTTGAATACACAAACCACTTCTTTGGCATCTGGCCAGAGCATCGCACTGCACCACAATCTGGCTGGTCACTCTTACATACCGAACACGACCATGTCATACAAGACAGCAAGTATGACTATCTCCGCACCTACGTTTCTCCATAGGAGCACAATCGCTTGCGACCGTTGCGATCCGACTCCAGGAGTCACTTGCTCTCGCTGTCGATCTCCTCAGACCAGCCAAATGCGCATCGCCGGCCGCCTGTGTCTCGTCTATGCTGCTTGCGCTGTTGCCGCGAGTCTATCGAGCGTTGTCACGGCAGGCGACCATAGCTTCGACAAACGGTTCGAGCAGCTGTCCCGCGTCTGGACTATCAAAGGCTCGTTACCATGCACCGGGACAGGCTTCCGACTGATACGTAGCCAGGACAGCTACGGGCTCGGTATCCTTCACAGATGGCAACGATTCCTTCATGGGCTTCATCAAGGACGCCTATGTGAGGCTTGTCATCTTCTCGCCACGTCGCGGTGCCCCGCCGACCGTCGAGGCGCTTGGCAACAAACGGGTCTTCACGCAGGTGCGCGAACGCTGGCTGCAGCAGGGATCAGTAGGCATGGTCGCCGTCGTTGTGAGTGTCGTGCGTCTCGGTTCTGGCTTATTTTGAATCGCATGGAGCAGGACGATATTCAGCGTCTCGAGCCTGCCCCGGCCTTCATGACTCGAAAGTTCTCAGTCTGCTGTCGGGCTGGCTGGTAAGTCTTCTGATATTCCAAAATCGTCCAGGCATGATACCGTTGAACAGGTCGGTTCATTTCGACCTGCCGTTCCTCGACGAGGGCCCCGATATCATGGCGCAAGTAGAGAGCACCATGCAATGGCGGATTTGCAAGCCGCATCATCTTGCGCCACAACTACAGGCATGCCACGCTAGTCTACAACCAGGCAGGTCTCGCACGCATATGTTTGCCAGCGGAGCTGATAGACCCTGCACAGCATATGTGTCTCAGGTAGACAGTTCGCGCGTTAAGCTAGAGTTCATAGACGACGGGCTTGTCGATGCAAGCAAGCCACCGCCGTCGCCGCAACCGGAAGCACAGTCTGGCATAAGCAATGCATCTTAATCACTTGGGCTGTCCTAAGCAAATCCAAATTCCAAGGGTAACCCTTGATTGTCACACGGCATCACTAGCGATGACGATGAATGCTGAGCAGAGTCACTGCAGACTGCAGACTGCAGACTGTAATCTGCGGGCCATGATTGCGAGCAGATGACATTCCGCTCTGACTGACAGATGAGCTTGACTCGCTTGCTCATGATCTCCGCAAAGTCTGCGTGCAATCAGACGCGTTGAGTAAGGCAGGTTGGCGCTCACGTCTGGGATACTTGAGACCTACGTCGACAAAAAGGAATGCGTCACAGCAGCCTTTGATGATCGTAGTCTCTATTGATGATCGCTGCTGGACATGCCTGACCGGCTATCGGAGGCGCGCGACAATGTGCCCAGACTCTGGGTACAATGAGTCGATGGAGCTTTGTACCGAAAGATGGCATTGGATCTGTGACCAGCTCAGTATGCGATAAGAGCCTGCATTGCTGCCCTGGCCAGTATTGTGAGATCTATCCTCACACGGCGAGGCGGGACTTGCTTTGTACGGCGGGCCAGTATGGCCTGCACCGATCTTTGTCGAGTTTGTTGCATGCCTTTTCAAGGCGCATCGAGCCCGGCCGAACTTGCCTGTCAACTGTGAGCAGGTACGAGACGCTGAGATAGCCTGTCAATTTTGTGGCGGACAATTCGGGTATCCGAATTGCAAGTGGAACCGGAGACGCGTAGCACAGCACTATTTGACTAGAGCTGCGCGTTCACGGTCATCAGGGTGTGCCTTGATCACAAGTCCAAGAGGAGTGACAGCTTGACGTCGAGATAGGCACGATCGGGATCAGCAACATAATCTGACCAAGCGAAGACTTGGCGTTCATCGTACGAGACCAATGCTGAAGAATATGCCAAAAAGCACTCTCCACTCGAGTTGAACGAACGGATTGGTCTCGTAGAAGCTCGGAGGCACCTTGTCCACATCGCCGCGTTTGCCGATTTGGCAATCTCCATCGGCGCTGAGCTGCAGTAGATAACCCTGTAGCGGGTTTGGTGGTAGTGCCTGTACCGGACTGAGGTAGTACAGGAGCACGGGTAGCAGAAAGAGGATCATGCGAGGTGGTTGCCTGCAGCAGGCAGAGACTTCTATTTGAATCACATCCTCCGATAGCGCGTTAGTTTCACTTGAATCATACTGCGCGCATCCACGCCAGCGCACGTCGACATCGGTGAGGCGAGCTTCGGGTCTCAGCGAATATGCGAGCCGCTCGGCCATCCTGAAGCTCGCTTTCGATCCCAGCACAGGCTCACGTCATGAGTGGAGGCGCGAACAGCTTGACCAATCTCAACTCCTTCAAGGCATCAGCAGCCTCACTTGGCTTCGGATCAGGCTCTATACCCCAGTCAGGCAGAGAAGCGGCTCAGCAGGGTCAGGCAGGAGATCCAAATGGCCAAGGCAACTCGGATCCATGGTCGACGCCTGCCATCGCGGTCTCAGCAGGGCAAACGGGTGGCATAAGAGCTAATTTACCTGCTGGTCTGCTGCAAGCTGCACCCACGCCTGGACCTGCTGGTTCGCCGGCATATGGACTCGGCCAACAATCGGCAGACTTGAGTCAGACGGGTGGAAAACTCTTGCTCAGCAATGGAGGAATCACTCAATTACCTACCAATGCCTCGTCCCCTGCCCCCAGAACAGAGTGCGCAGCTTCCTCAATCCATCATTCCCGCGCTGATGAGCTGGCGGCATGGCGCGCAGGAATGAGGCAGTCTACTATCTCATCGTTGACCTCATGGCACGCGACACGCGAGAGCTCGCCTTGCTCGAGCTAAGCAAAAAGCGAGAGCAATGGGACGATCTTGCGCTCGTACTATGGCACTCCTTCGGCAAGTCTGTCCCTGCAGGTCTGGTGCACTAGCTCATGACGATGTGTCAGGTGTGATGTCATCGCTGTTGCAAGAGATAGTCTCAGTCTACCCGTTGCTGTCGCCACCATCGCTTACGGCGCACGCGAGTAACCGCGTTTGCAATGCGCTTGCTTTACTTCAATGCGTTGCCTCGCATAATGACACGCGATCTGTCTTCCTGCAAGCTCATATACCGCTCTTCCTGTACCCGTTCCTCAACACGACATCAAAGACCAGACCGTTCGAGTACCTCCGTCTGACTTCACTCGGCGTCATCGGCGCACTCGTCAAGCAGAACGACAATAGCGACGTCATCAACTTTCTCCTCTCCACGGAAATCATACCGCTGTGCCTCCGCATCATGGAGACCGGCTCTGAGCTCAGCAAAACAGTCGCAATCTTCATCGTTCAGAAGATCTTGCTCGATGAGACCGGTCTCGACTACATCTGTCAGACCTATGAGCGCTTCTACGCTGTAGGAACTGTGCTCAGTAACATGGTTAACCAATTGGTGGAGACCCAGGCTGTCCGACTGCTCAAACATGTCGTTCGATGCTATCTGCGTCTTTCTGACTCGCCAAGGTTGGTGCGCTTGCATTCAGCGAGGCCTTTCGCTAAAGCGCCATTTCGATCCAGAGCTCGAGAGGCCTTGCGCGCTTGTCTGCCCGAACCATTGCGAGATGCTACTTTCAGCCAGCTCCTCAAGGGCGATCTGGGTGCGTCCCCGCGCTCTTTGTACTCTTCAGAGGCTGAAGGCGTGCTCACTCAGTGACGAAGCGCTGCCTAGCGAGCCTCTTGCTCAATTTGAGCGACGAATGTTCAATACGCTAGAGCAGAGATTGTATATCCGACCGATGGCAAGAGTCTATGTTGACACTACTGCGCTCGCAACAGAATACAACATGTACACGATGACGTTTGCACACGTTTTTTGTTGTACCTCACTCGACTTTGGCTTTGCCTCTGTCCTCTTTTGCAGACTTGTCAGGCACTGTTGATATCATGAGTTCGCCACGTTACGGCAAGCATGACTTTACTTACTCGAGGCTGCCTTTTCATCGATTTGACGAAATTGGAATGGGAAGCGGGAAGGGTAGAGGAACGGCCGCAGATCGAATCGGTTGTCATCTGGACTGTACGCCTCCTGTGAAGATCACGAGCGCCGTCAGCGAAGCCAACGCGTTTGCGGGTCACCGACAGCATGGTATGAAGGCGTCAAGGTAGTCATCTTGTGTCGGTTGCGCGCATATTCGATGAAAAATAGCTTCACTTTCTCTGCGATTTCCGTAGGACTGAGAATACCAGACCATTGGGAGGCGAGTTTCGTAAACATCGAGTAGGGACCACACTTGTCGATCTTGCGAAGTCGTCCGAAGATGCTCAGCTCGTCATATGTCATGCCCATGTCGGCTTCGTCCGCTTGCACATACGTGTCCGTTATTGGCTCGAGCTCTGCAGTCGGTGTTGCATTGAGGAAGCTGCTGCCATGTAAGCTTCGTTACGATATACGATAAATGGACGTACTCGTTGAGGACGGGCAAGTCGAATTCGGTAGCGGCATATGCAATGAAGCGCTTCAGGTCGGTCTTGCTGATCGCTCCGATGGGGTTAATATCTGCGCTTGAACAGTCGTACTTCGTCAAGTAGCCTCGCAGACTGTCTGATGATCAGCTGTCATCCGAATAAACCAAGGCGGGATCACCTCTCGTCGACGTTAGCGCTGCCCAGCACGAGCAAGGCGCCTGTCAGACCGCGCGTCCATGGCAATAGCTGTGCGAAGAGATAGGCGAGTAGCATGCGTAGCCGAGCTTGAATGTTCTGCAACGCCAAATTTTCGGCACTGCTGCCTCCGTGTACTTTGAATTTCGGTCGTGTATTCGTGACGAGTGCGAAGAGATCGCGGACGGCTGTGATGACGATGTCCATGTCCAGATCGACGTGATAGCTCCCGATAGCACTTGCCAACTCTCTTGCACGTTGCCGCGTCTCTCTGCTGGAGTTCTCGGTGCCCATGTAGCAAGTGTGGAAGATCCGGCCGCAGAACTCATTGGCGTCGATAGGTACGTACATCGATTCCGGGCTTTCACCTGCTATTCGACGTGCATCTGCTATCACTTGCATATCTGCTCGGCGGCCATCAGAACAGATTTCCGACAAGAGGCCAGGACATACTGCCTGACCGCGCTTCTGCCGCGACTAGTCGACACATCGAGTAGGTGATGACTGACGTCGCGCAGCTATCTATACCGCCAGAAAGAGGCACGAAGTAGCCATTCGTTCTTGAGCGTCGTAGATAGTCCCACATCCAGCAAGCTGGCCCCATTCTGTAGCGAGAAGAGATGAGCTTAGCTTAGCTCAGACAGCACGAGCAAGACTGACGCAATCTCTTCTTCTGGCGGATGATAGCGCACTTCGATGGGTTTCGAGACTTCGAGATCGATGAGGGCGTCGCTGTCTGTCGTACTGAGAGCAGTGGCCACCTGGATTCGCTGGTATCGCTCGGCTTGTGCGGCTTGCTGAGATCGACTGCTGCTGTTGCGATGGGATCGCACGTCTTCCAAGTCTAGTGTGGCAGTGACGACCTCTACGTCTGCGAGTGAGAACTGCGATCCTTGCGCAACGATCTGACCATTGATAGCGATGAGTGCGCAGCCATCATAGTAGACCCGATCCCCATCGCAGCCTTGCTGATTGGCATATAGATATATTCCTCCCACCTGCATGAATGTCAGGGAGCCGATGCGCAGTCGGGGATAGACTTGCCTTGAGAGTGGCTTCTTTCATGACATCGATGCGCCGGTAAAGTTTCCTGAGCTCGTGATGGCTGCCACTGGAGTTGGTGAAGATCTCGACGCCGTCTAAGCCCATTGCTATATGGGGACTATATTGCCACAGATGTGAGCTCAGACAGACACGCGACGGCAGTACGCTTACCTATTGGGCGTGAAGAGTTCTTCGCACAGCTCGACGCCGAGAGCAGTATCCTCGGTCGCAATGACGGCATCTCCGAACGGCACGGTAGTCTATGTTGTCAGCATCAGCGCTGTTCATGACTGTACAATAAAGACGAACGGACTTGCTCGGTGATCGCCTTGATCATTCGTGGCAAGTAGTGTTCCTCCGTTTGGCGATGTCTGGTCCAGGGCGTAAAATAGCGTAGCTCGCGGTAATTGCCATCGTTTGCTAGCCACAACTTGGGTCGTATGAGCAGTATCTTGGCGTTGTAGAACAAGATGCGGCAGTTGTAGAGCACATTCTTGTGAACCACTGGCCTGCCCAAAGTCGCGTCAATGTGCATGACGGCCAGCAGTAGTGAGGAGCCGCTGACATGCCAACGTCGCAGAGTATGTCCCGGGTTGCGGGATCCGAGAGCAGCTTAGCGAGGACTTGCCAAGAGTGCAGCACGGTGTCGCCCTCGAGAAAATGGTCAAAGCAGCCATAGCCTCTGTGCTCTTTCTGAGCTTGATCTTGACCCGCACTGGCTGTCTGCAACTTACGTGATCTCTAGCTCTGGTCCCACTCTGAGCTTGGCGCCTCGCTCCTTTGCTAGCCTGATGCTCTCAAGGATCCGCTCGAGATTGCCATCAAAGTCGAGTGCCCATTGATTGAGGCTGCATGTTGCGACCGTGATGAGATGGCCTGCTCCAGGTCTTGACCATCAGTAGCGATAGAGCTCCAAGTGATGGCTGAACTGACCCATAGCGGCCAAAGCTTGCTTGCCCTCGCCCCGTTCGCCAAATCGTGGAGCCCAGAGGTATCGCGTTAACCAAGCGCCAAAGTCTCCGCCGCAGCGCTGCCGTTTGAGCGCTGATGAAGGCCGAGCTAGCCAGCGCAGCCTGCCAGGAGCTCGTCAAGCTCACAAGAGCATGCTGGGCACGCAACGTCGAAAGCTCGGCCTGGCACCGGCTTGTCCTCGAGCTACTCGGTCAGATACAACCTCGGCCAAATGCAAAGCTTCAGCCATGCATCATCTCACGTTGTCTGCTCAGCTGGGTGACCTCATCCAGCCTGTTACCGAGCGCCATCTTGAGCTATGCGGCGTTTTGGCTTGCGCAGAGCAAAGCCAATTTTGATGTGCTCGTCAAAGAGCTATGTGGTGTTGTCTCTTCTTGCGACCTCGAAAGCGAACATTTGTACAACGTCTCGAGCCTCTGTCGACTCCTGCACGCTCAGAAGCTCTCAAAAGTGTCTGCAGACGCGAATGCACTCAGTCAGCTCGTGATCGCGACGCGGAACGACGAACAAGCAGTCTACCTTGCCACGCGCCTCATTCCCTTCTCAGCTAGCCCGGACGCAGAAAGGGGTGCCATGCGCGCCCTCCTCGCTCTCGATGATCGCAAGCTCGAAGGTCTGCAGACCGTCATACGCGAGGTACCCGGCATGACAGACACGGCCCCTCTGAAAGAAGATGCGCCAAGCATGCCTGTTGCTTTCGATCCGACGGCTGGCCTCGAGACAAAGAGTGTCGAGCTTCTACTTGAGCTCGGCTCATCGCCAGATGCGCAGCTGACCATTCATGACATGATTGACAGCGCCGTCCAAGGCGCCACAAGCCAGCAAATTGTGAGGTACTTGCGAATTCGGACAGCCGTGGACGGCACAAGTTGTAGCGCAGCACTGGCTGATATCCTACTGGCCATGGTGGAAGCTGTCAATTTCTCTGTCACCGCATCGTCCACCGATCGGACAGTAGGATCTACCCCGACGGTCGTACAACAATCCTTTGCGCTATATGTCGTAAGCTCGGTCGCCTGTGCAGCTTGCGTCCATTGACGGGACCGAAAAGTTTGCGCCCCATTACGCCCAAGCTGCGCATCTTATTGCAGGGGAAGAGAGCTCGTCAGCGATAGCAGAAGCCCTGCAGATCGTCCAGAGACGGTATGACGGTGCTCGACCATTGTCAGTAGCTACTTGAGCAACACTGTTAAAACACTGAGACTCGCACAGAGATCCGTTCATTGGAGACTTGCTATCACGTATACATTTGCACAGCAATGAAGACAGCTCGACAGAGGCCAATGCGTTCAGGGAAGCTCTGGCCGGGGCCAGCTACAGCAGCGAAGGTCTAGCAGAGCAATTCGATCGCCTTGTGCCTGGCGAGAGCTTGAGAGATCAGAGAGCCTGCTGCCAGATCTTGCTCGATCAGGTCGCACATGCAGAGGAAGATGCAGGCTCAATGTGTATTTTGCTAGAAGCCCTACTCCTACACCCCCATTGCCTCGCCATCCTGTCGCTCCACATGACGCCAGATCGGTTGATTCAGCCTGTCCTGACGCTCCTACGATCGTTTCAGGCACCGGCAGAAGGCTATCCGAACGAGCCAGAGATCTTTGCCGCACTCGTGTCGCTATTGCAATGTCTGATCGCTCGACTTCCAGCCCCGGCCACCGCTCTCGCAGGCGACTATGCCATTTCGAGCGAGGTGGTATCGCCCAGCTCCTTAGACGCGGTCGATCAAGAAGCGCTCAACGCCTGGATTGCTGCCCTCTTCGGTAGTGAGGGTATCTCTGACGATCTGACGAATACGACAAAGCCCACACGTCTGCTCGGTCTGGGCACCGTGATCGTACAGCAGGCTCTGCTAGCATACGAAAGGGGCAAGCTCTCTCTCGAGTCTGCTAAGAGCGGTCTATCGTATTTCTCACAACACCCACTCGTGCACCTTCTGCCCTCAGTCACACGATTCCTGGTCGAAGAAAAGCAAAGACTGCTGCCGGGTTCGACTGTTCTCATCGACACGGTGCTCGAGGATATCGTGGCGGCCAATTTGCCTGTTCACGTGCGCAAGCTGGTCGATGCAGAGCTCGTCGGGTTATCTTCGACGTCGTTGACGGACCCGATTGAGCTTCCGATTCTCAAGGAGCTACTGCTTTCTGCGATGACATCTGCGAATCCGATAGCATTTCCGGATATTTTGGCTTCCCTCGACAAGATGCCGGTAGAGCATGCCAATCGCATCATTCTGCATGCTTTCTACGACGGGCTCAGGCATGACGAGAGCACTTCCTTCATGCGTTTACAGACTGTCAATCTTGCTCAAGCCTTACTCACCCGACGCACTGGTGAAAGTGCTCTGGCAGACTTGCTCGACGAGTGCTTTACGCCTACTCTCGTCTCGCTTCTGACCTGCACTGTCATCAACAAGCGACGTCTGCACTTGGTCGTCACCCTCCTCGATCATCTGGTGAGAACGATGGAGATCGTTGAGCAGCTTCGGAGCGCAAGGACGAGCGACGCAGCAGTGCGGCTTCTTAGTCGATTAGATAAGCTATCAGCGGAAGCTGTAGCGCCAGAGATTATGCCTGTCTTGAGGGAGATCAAGTCACGACTGCAGTAAGAGTGTCAGGTAATTGTTGCATGTTGTACAAGACATGACAAGAAAAGCATTGCAGAAGCATCACACTTTCCACTTGTTGGCATTGCTCCTCGAGCCGCTCATCGAATCCTTGTGACTCTCAAACTCTACATCTGTTCCCACTGTCGCTCCTGCTGCGGCAAGCTTGACTCCGACAGGTACTCCCAGGATGCCATACTTGATGTGCTTCCCGATGACTTCTAGCCTCGGTTTGTCGGAATCGGTCGCAGTCTTTGTCCAGACGTTGATTCGCCAGAACACTTTGCGAGAGGAGATGATGACACCTGTGACTTCTTCTCTCACTTCTGCACTGGTGCCCGCTGTCGATCCATCGAAAGGTGTCTCAAAGGTCTCTCCTATCGCTGCTAGCATCTGTGCACATTTGAGACGGTAAGCTTGACCGATGAGCTCAGAGCGAGATAGCGTACGGTATACAGCCAAAAGTTATCGACATTGCCGGCCGTCTTGTCCCTCGGTAGCTGTACGGCCCACTTGCCCCCCTTTGCGTTTGCTCTGTCGCGTCGTGAGATGAGGACAGCGTGGGAGAAGCACAAGCTCACGGATCCTCCCAAGCTGGCTTGATACCTTTCCTGAAGAGGTAGTAGTTCGAGCTAATGGCGATGTGCGATGGCGGCACGATGTTGTTGTACAGCCTGCGCATCGAGCGGGTGGTCAGTCTGCAGCAGATTGGGAAGCGAGTTGACGAACCCCCAGAATTCTTCTACGGTGTTGATCTCCATGACCTGTTGCAGTGAATCCTCCCAAGACCTGGACTTGTCCTGCTTGGAAGCATTGTCGAACCACAGCGTCCTGTCATGCGACCTCTCAGTGTGAGCTATGACGAGCTAGCTCATCCAGGGCGGGCTGACCAAGTCGAGTTGAGAGGATGAACAACATTGAAGTGTAGCTTGTCGTCAAAGACTGTCTTGACAGCCTTGTCCGCTTTGGCATCAGCAGCGGTATCACTCTGCTTGTCTGCTGCCTTGTCGGCCTGGACGACGGCAGACTCGATCGAAGCAGAGACTGCCGCCTTTGCAGGTTCCGGCAGTGTTGCAGCGCTCATTCCTGTCTGATTCTCTGAGTGGTCTTGCTTCTCGACGCTTCCAGCCAGGGACGTCAAGCGGCCTCAGAGACTCGAAGCTATGGGCAGGCCAGCAGAGTCAGAACTGTCTCGGACCCGACTCGACTCGACTCGACTCGACTTGGCCGATGGATCTTTTATTGTCCGCCACGCGCGCCGCCGCTTGACTTTTTCGTGTCGCCGCTCGAAGGCTCGGAAGCGCAATGGCAGCGCAGACCAATGGTGCGCTCAGTCACATCGAACTGGATCTCCTTTGCTCAATCCAACTTGCGCGCACAGGTGATTCGCACGGCCCAACAGTGCTCGGCATCAATTTCGGTGGCAGCTTCAGCTCGATAGCTCTCATCAACAAGGCAAGCCGTCGAGTGCCCCGGTCGAGTCACCTGGGGCTCATCCGGTGTTGCGCTCGTAGGAAGGTCTAGCAGACTGCATTGCCAACGAAGATGGCGAACGTCAGATCGCCAATGCCATCTCTTTCAGCGGCGAAGAGGAGGTGAGCACAATTTTTGCTGGATGCAAGCCTAGCAACTCATCCTGGCGGCTACAGTACTATGGCAATCCGGCGAGAACGTATCTCGTCAGAAACGCAGCAAACACAGTCCTTGGCTTTCGCAACATCGTCGGCAGACCGTCAGTGGTGCGACACTCTGTACCGCGCTGCTGCTCACGACGAACCTTTGCAGATATGCCGATGTAAAGTCACTCAAGCCGATCTCTGATTCTGCAGCATTGACTGACGTGTCTGGCTCGCCTGCATGGAATGTGCTTGCGTCGGAGAAGGAGATCACCCTGACTGCACACGAAGCCACTGTCAAATTCCTGCGCGTTCTCATCGGCTCGGCGCAAGATTTCTTGGGCCGCAAAATAGATTATGTCGTCTTTGCCGATTCGCCCGCCCTGAACGAAGGCCAACGGACAGCGATCAGAGCGGCCGCAAGCGAAGCAGGCGTAGAGACGCTGCAATTCATCACCGAAGCCGCTGCCGCAGCGGTGGCGTACAATTACACCGTACCCGTCGCGGCCGGTGCCGCCGCGACGCCCAATTCTGCCGAGGTCTCGTCGAGCTTGCAGGATCGCAATGTCGTCGTTCTCGACGTAGGTGCGACGACGACGACGGCGACAGTCTTGGCTGCTCGAGATGGTGTCTATACCACCCTCGCTACCGTCACGGATAACAAGCTCGGCGGCGATCAGTTTGACGCAAAGCTCATAGACTATTTCTCCAAAGAGTTCACAAAGAAGACAAAGATTGCCATCAAAGCGAGCAACCACCGCGCTCTGACGAAGCTCAGACTGGCTTGCGAGATCACAAAGCGCACGCTTTCGGCTAGCAACACTGCCAATTGTAGCGTAGAGTCATTGGCAGAAGGCGAAGATTTCCACGGCTCGATCAACAGACTGCGATTCGACACGCTGGCTTCGGCGACGTATTCCGGCATCGTCGATCGGGTTGCACAAGCGATCAAGCAGGCAGACCTCGACCCATCTCAAATACAAGATGTTTTGCTCGTTGGCGGTACGGCACGATTGCCCAGTCTGGCTACCAGGCTAGGCGCGATCTTCAGCGAAGATGTCGGAATCAATGCGCAGATTGACACGGATGAAGTCATTGCGAAGGGTTGCGCGCTGCAAGCTCAAGCTATCGTCGATGCTTTCGTCCCATCCGAGTCTACAAAGGCATTCGAAGAGACGCTTTCGGTCAAGGTGATCGAGACGCCCCAGCTTGCGCATCCTATCGGATTCCAAATACCCGCCAGTTCGGATGACGAGACGGCTGTAGATGGGAAGCGATTTGTCACCTTGCTAGATGCTCACACGCCATTGCCTGCTCGACGGATCGTCGACTTACCCCTAGCGACAGGATCTGGGCCGGCTCATGTTGACATTGCACTCTGGGAGGGCCGCCACGAGCTCAAGAAGGAACAAGTTTCTGTGGAGGCAGACGAAGATGATGAAGAAGAGGAAGAGCCAGAGGAGCTCACCACTGCTTTCGTTCGAGCGAAAACCCAACTGGCTCACCTGTCCGTGCCCGTCGATGCTACACCTGTCAAGTCGGGCAAGAAGACGTCTGCGAAGAGCAAGAATGTGGCGAGACTTAGGTTGACGGTCATCATCGATGCAAGCGGCAAGGGTACATTACAAGCCAAGCAAAATCTAGACGACGCGCAAGCTGTCGAGACTCACTTTGGCGCATGATTGCTTGCGCTTTGTCTTGCTGCCATAGAGCTGTGCGTCTGTCTGCACAGCGTAGAGCGGCCTGTAGAACAGAGTTCATCGATGCATCGGATGCGCTCGCTTTTGCCCCGTTCTTGCGATCTCTCTCCTGTGAGTATCGACGCTGGCATGACCCCCGCTTAGATCGTCGTGAAGAGCGAATGCTGCTCAGTAGCGTCCTGCCATACGGTCCTCTCTTCGCTGCTTCAGCCAGGCTTTCTTGCAATCCCGATAAGCCGTAAAGAACTGCCGTCCTCGTCGTCAAGATGAGCATCGATCTCGTTACTGAAGCGCGGCATACCTCTGAACAAGCAGAGCGATTGTAAGATTGTTCATCGAGGCATCTCATCGAGTCTGCTCGGGCCTGATCGCATGGATCGACGACTGCTCGACACAACTTTGAGCTCGATCAGTCGAGCCACGAGGGAGACTGCACACATTTTGATGCTTCTTTGTTTTTAAAGAGCTCCCTGTATGGCCTGGGTACCTCTGATTGCGAATTGGCAGGCCGAGGGATGGGGTCCCGAATGGTGCTATCGACGGGTGGCTGGACCGACATGCTACGGCGGGTCGAGGGCGTGTCCGCCTGAAACGCGTAAACTTGGCGTGGCTACGTCAGCGCCTTGAACCCGGGCTTAAGCTCTGTTCCTCTCTTGCTGCCTCGACCACTCGCAATTGGCATCACACATAGATGGCTGGCCTTCTCTCTACCATCGTCAGCGGCGCAACGGGCGCTTTCGGCACCGTCACCTCAGGTAACGCAGCTTCATATGTGGTACAATGTCAATGGTCTCATGAGAGCAAGCGCCACAGGAGCTGCTAGTGTTGGCACAGTCGTCGCATCCGGAGCACAGTCTGTTGCCACAGGTGTTGCCAGTACGGTGACTTCAGGCGCTGGCAGCGTTGGCACAGTTGTGGCGACGGGCGCCCAATCCGTCGCTACGGGTGTGGCTAGCACCGTCACTTCGGGCGCAGGCAGTGTGGGAACAGTGATTGCCACTGGAGCCACATCCGCAGGTGGTACTGTGACATCAGCAGGTCGGTCGTTTCACTCTCGCAAGAGGTAGCTAGACAGAAGCTAATGTCCGCGTGCAGTCACTACTTCGGGAGCAGTCGACCTCATCGGCCACAATGCTCTCGTGGGCATCTCTGTGGCCGTACTGGCAGCCATCGCCGGCGCAGGACTCGCATTGGCATAGAACTCCCAGCACACAACCTGATACCCTCGAATAACACTCATACTCACAGTCATAACTCATATGTATAGCGTTGCACGCATGTCACAAGATGAAGGCTTCAGATTAGCAAAGGCTACAACATCAGATTAGGGTTCGATTGGACTAGGTATCCTCATAGTTCGGCATGTGAGTCGCCGGAGTGGGAACGAGCGTATTCTTGAGCGACAGAGAGCAAGTCGTCCACGTCCATCCCTCCCGCACGTTCGTAGAGCTCCTCCAGCTTTGTCTTGCCGGCGTCGATGATCTGACCGGCAGCGTCTAAGACGTTCTGGCTCTCCCTTGTCATCTCTTGCTGGAGCGGCACGCCAACGTTCTGCTGTGCCATTGTGCCAAACTTGGCGCTGACGAACTGCTTGCCGGCCTCCTTCTGATCGTTGAACGCCTTGATCCATGCGCCGCCCGTCTTTGCAATCTCGCTACGGACGCCAGCGGGCAAGTACTCTGGTGCAGAGTCGTAGATCCATCTCGTCGCCTTGTCTTGCCGCGTGGTGATGTACGCGTCCAAGCCGGGACTGTACTTGATCAGATTGATCAGGATGACATAGCCCAGGAAGATGGCGATAGCCGTCCAGGCAAATTTGCCAGAAGAGCCGGATCCTGACTGAGTCGACGGTTTGGGGGACTCCAAGCTGACGAGGTCTGGCTTCGACGAACGCGTTGCTGCAGCAGGGCCTGCCGGTGTAGCCTTCTTGCTGCCTGACTTTGAGCCAGACGAGCTTGGCTTCGAGCCTGCCTTGCGTGGAGACGCCTTTGCCATCTTGTCGAGCTGTGCTGACGTGTTCGGTGGAGGAGGCGCCCCGGTGTCCGATTCGACGAGTGTACTGATGGATGCTGTGCCCCAACGCGCTCTACTGACTGTCTGATTACTTCTCTAGACTCTGTGCAGAGATTGATACGAGCTCGATGCCTGGGGAGCGAGCCAACAGGTGGCAAAATTACTGGCGAGAAAGAGATGTTCATTTCGCGATGACGCCACCCTTCAATTTGGGTCGCGCCCGAGCCAGCACGTCCTCCCGCTGACCGCCGACAGAGGATGAGCAGCACAGTGCTCGTACAGCGTCTCCATACGGCGCTTAGACGGATTCACGAGACCGAAGCCAAGCTCATCGCTTCGTCAGAGTCTGCTCAGACTGCTAGCCATGGCACTCCCAGAACGAGCAGAAGCGCCTCACAGAGCGAATTGGGACCCATTCCGGGTTCGAGTACGGGCATCGATACCCCTGCGAGAGATTTGCCAGTACCCATCCAATCAAGTACAAGATCACGCCAAGCGAGCGTGGCGATTGTGCTGCGCATACGACCAGCCAATGATATTTTGAGTCAAGGTCTTTCTTCGACCCCATCCGCAAGCTCGAGCGCTTCGGACGCTGCTACTTCGCCACAAGATGACCGAGCGGGTATCTCAAGATCCGGTAACAGTTCATCGTCGCTCATCAGAATAGAAGACCACACCCGACCCCTCACGTCGGCAACATTGGAGAGCGAAGCGTCCACGCGGCAAGCCAGTGCGAATGACGAGATGCTACAACGACTGGACGCCTTCTTTGCGCAAGAGTGGGTCAAGACGGGTACACCCGAGATACTCTACATCAAGCGAGCAAGTCGAGCGTCTGACAAATGGTCCGGCCACGTCGCCTTTCCGGGTGGGCGCAGAGAGCCAGACGACGAGGGCGCACTTTACACAGGCAAGCTTGATCACAGTGCGAGTGGGCCAAAGCTTATACAATGGCGAGACCTGTAGCTCTGCGAGAAAGCTGGGAGGAGGTAGGCATCGATCTAGCCGAACGCGAGGTCTTGTCAGTCGGTCAGCTGGATGATAGGGAGATTACGACAAGTCTGGGCAAACGACTTCTCATGATTCTATCACCATTTGTGTTTCTACACACGAGTCCTGACAGGCCTGTGCCTGATCTACAACCGTCTGAGGTCGCGTCAGCTCACTGGATACCTTTGTCCTTGCTTCATCTGCCCCAGGTACGCTGGTCAGATGTCAAGATCGACGTCAGCAAGCGAATGGCTCCGAGAAGTACGTTGATACGATGGGCGCTGAAGGGTCTCGTTGGCAACATGTACTTTCGCTGTATCCTGCTTCCCAATGACCCTGTCGCAATCGGTCAGATCAGCCCCGACGATGAGCTAGGTGCGAGACGACCCGAATTGCGTCTCTGGGGTCTCAGTGAGTTCGTTCATCCCGGTGATGATCACCACTGACCTGGCAAGCATGTAGCTCTGGGCATGACGCTAGATGTCATCTCGCACATGACCGACAGACCGATAGAGGCACTAGAGACTTCACCTGCGACTTACCCACTCAATCCTGCTTTGCCTAGCGTTTCCCAGTCAAACGCAGGACGCAAATCTTCGCAGATCGCGCCGCCCGTCTCGAGCATCTTCCCCAGATTTACCTTTTGGGATATCAATTTCTGGATCTACGTCCTCGGTTGGCGATACCGTCGTCTGGTCGATCAATGGCATGCTCGAGAAGCGCTGTCTGGCGCGGCGGACAGACGTACCAATTGGGCAGGCCTGGCGCTAGGGTCATACTACAGCGCGCTCAGAAAGGCACTCATCGTCGCCATTCTGATTCGGGCGACTGTGGTCACATCTCTCACCAGTGCAGGAGCATATTGGCTCGTCAAGCGATGGCGAGCACGGCAAAAGATGATTGCATTGTAAATGTCGCGCATCCCGACAAGACCATTGCGAGTATGTTTGAGCATACACTGCGTGCGGTGCGAGATACACAAAGATGATCTGGCTTCATATGTAGAAAAGAAGGAACCAACAAGCGTGAGCACTGGCTGTGATTCGGCAAAGCGAAGCGTTGCAAACTTTTCATCTGAGAGATTTACTGGCTACGATGGCCACCAAAAGGTACAGCAAAGGCATGCATACATACCGCTCTTGGCTTGCAAGTCAGACTCATCTAGATACCGGCTTCGGCTTAGGCTGAACAAGGAACTGGCTTGTGTTCGAGATTTCCTTCAAAACAAGTCTGCCGAGTCCGCCACGCTTCCGGTTTCCGCGCCCGATTCCAAAAGTGGGGGAAGCATCGTCATCGCACGCCTACTGCTAGCTAGCTTCGACAAGAAATGCGAGGCAGCGCTCTGCTATTCGGCGCTGTGCTGCTGCCACTGGTTGCATCGGCACCAGCGCAACTACCGATAGGATCCTTGGTTGATTACGCTGCCGACTCTTTGTCGCATCTAGGGTCACAAGGCGATGTTCGCACCAACACAATCTGGTCATTCATCGACTGCGGTCAGCTCAGAGCTAGACCTGGAGAGATCTCGGACTGACTCATCAGCATGGTGCAGGTACTGAGAAAGATGCCGTCGAGCTAGAATCACTGGCTGTGTCGCCTGATCCGCCACAGGCTGGCAAGAACCTGACTGTCACAGCGACAGGCACGGTCAAGACTATGATCGATGTCAGTCTGCCCTGCCATGTCGCAGTCCTACGCTGACCCTTCTGTGTTTGCAGGAGGGAGCCTATGCAGACGTGCTCGTCAAGCTCGGCTACATCAAGCTGCTCACAAAGCGATTCGATGTCTGTGAAGAACTCGATAAAGCCAACGCAACGCTACAGTGCCCAGTAGAAGAGGGCAGATATACCATCGTGCAGACTGTCGAGCTTCCCAGGGAGATCCCCAAGGGTATGTCCGCCACAATGCAGAGGCGTATTCGAGCTGATCTCGTGCTATTGCAGCCAAATTCATCGTGCAGGTTCGTGCGTTCACGCAAGATGATGCCCCGATGGCATGCGCAGACATCATGATCGACTTCTTGCGATCCTAGACCTGTCGGCTCCTCATCTACATCGTTGCACTGCGCACTCGCACGGGCATGTTATTGTGATTGTACGAACGCTTCTCGTCTGCAGACTTTTACATTTGGCGCGATTTTCATACAACATAGCTCTGCTGAGTGCTTTTCATGAGAAAATCTAGCCGTTCCCCTTGGGTAACGCGCTTCTAAAGCGACTGCGAACGCTGGTCTTGCTTTCTTGTTGTCAGTGGTCATTATTGCCGATCGTGCTACAAATGAGATTGCCGTCTTTCGCACTGCCAGCAGTCGTCGTGTCGGCATACACGATCGTCAGCTGGCGAGTGTGTCACGGATGGGATAAGCGGAACTGCAAAGGGCGAGTGGCCAGGATGCGAGACTGAGCTCAACGGTCTTTCCGAATGCGCGCGTGCACAAGAATGGCTATTCTTCGTGCAGGGTATATAGCGTGTCATCGATCAGGACTCTGAGATGGCTCGGCCTGGCTCACGGGCGACAGAGGTAGGTCAGACGGTCGGAGGTCCCGCCCTGGCGAGGCTGTCCTCGTTTGGCGGAACTCGGATGTTTTGCCGGTCGAGATATCTTGTTCCTCGTCAGATTCGGCACCTAGGACAAAGTCCTCTTCGTCCGATCTGCCTCTTCTGCCCATTCTTTGCAGTTCCGCGAGTTCCTAACCTTGTACCTGCTCGTAGTCCGCCCGACTTCTCCCGCTCGGCGGCTTTCGATTGAGGACAAAGTCTAACGCCCGCTGATGTAAAGGCGCAGCTTTGCCGTCACTGGGGGCAGGCGATTGTTCTCTCGATCGCGCAGTCTTGCTCTGGCCTGCTTCTATTCTTGGCGGCTGGATAGCAGATTCTGGCACGCCGTTTGAGCCGCTGCGCATGAGTGACTGTCTCTCCTGAGACCTAGAAGTGCCGGCGTCATTGAAGAGCTCGTCCATCTCTTCGAGTGACACATTAGCTGTCTCGGGATAGGTAAAGAAGACGAGGATAAAGCTGCATGCGCAGAAAAAGCCGTGCATCGGATAGAGTCGCCATCTTATCGCGTCTTGCAGGATTGGGGTAGCTTCGCCAACGACAAAATTGAATACCCAGTTTGTTGCAGTCGAGATCGAGACGCCTTTGACACGAAAGGCGAGCGGCATGATCTCTGCCGGATACAGCCAGGGGATTGGACCCCAGCTGGCACCGAAACAGGCATTGTAAATGATGACACAGACGACGACAGCTGTCGGCGTGTAGGACGTGTCGAGATACATGAAATAGCCAATGAGGATGAGGAAGACCATCATCGTCAATGCACCTGCCATGAGGATAAACCGACGCCCCCAGCGGTCGACGAGGTACCATCTGTGTCTCTGTGAGCATGTAGGATCGGTTTGTCACGAGCGCTTACGGAGGGATTGTGCTGGCGATGTAAACCATACCGTTGACGCCGGTCATGAGGATGGCGTCCCTTCCAACCCAACCGGCTTGCTCGAAAACAAGTGGGGCGTAGTATGAGATGACATTGATACCATTGAGCTGAGCAAACGCCTGAGCAGACATGGCAAGTAGGACGCGCTGCTTGTAGCGCTTCCACATGGTCACGTAAGATCGACTGCCTTGTGATCTCTGTTCAGAGTTATGCCCTCATCAGTCAAGCAGGCGTGTGATGATGGCAAGCTGTCGGACCTCTGTAATGACCGCTTCTTTAATTTCCTTGAACTCTGCCTTTGCTTTGGGATGCGAGGCGTCGCCACCGCCATGGAGGTCTGCGAGGACGACCATGCCATCTTCGTCCTGATCTGTGTCGAGGAGCCACCTAGGCGATTCAGGAATGATCAGAGAGCCCAGAGCGAGGATAGTGCCGATGACACATTGAATCAGAAGCGGCAGTCGCCAGGACATGTCGCCTTCGATATAAGAGCAAAAATAGTCAATCCACTGAGATTGTGTGTGTCATCAGAAGTTGTTAGAGCCGATCGGATCCATGGGCTTACCACTGATGAAGCATAACCGGCAATATTGCCTGTGAATTCTATGCAGCCAAGTTGACCACGCTGTCGGGACAAGAAGTAAGGCCACAGTCAGGCATCAGTGACGCGATGACTGACATGTTCAGCTGGCGAGATTTCGCTTTGATAGACGGGTACGATCATGCTGTCCGCGTCACATGTTCAGCGCCAATGAGGAGAATACGCGCAACCACGAACGAGAGAAAGCCGACGCCAAAGCCACTGAGGACGCGTCCAAAGACCATGAGAGGAAAGCCATTGGTAAAGCTTTGCACAGCTCCGCCGGCAGTAAAGATGACTGCGCCCCAGAAGAGTGTCTTCTTGCGCCCAAAGATGTCGCCTACTTGACCGGCGAGCAAACTCGTGACTGTCGCGATGTGCCATCAGTCGCGCAGTTTGGCTAGGAGAAAGTAGTCAAGACCTACTGAAGGCTCCTACTTCGAGTATCGCTACCATTGTGCCGAGCTCGTACCTCGTCGGTTGGTGAAAGAAGCTCTTGAAGTACGGTCCTATGGGCACAGGAACAGGTCAGCCTCGTTCCTGATTGACCACACGCCGCACGCACCTGTGATGATGCCCGACATGACGCCTTGATCATAGCCAAACTATGCAGAGCAATGAGGTGACAATGAGCCTCGTATATGCTGGATGGGAGCCAAAGGCACGCACGAGGAACACGCCAAGTGAGGCAAAGCAGCTGGTCGTGTAGAGCAGTGTCTGGCCCACCAGTCGCACCATGGTGCTTGTATGTGCTTATTGCACGCTCCAAGAGGCTCGCCAGGCTCCGTCGAGCTCGTGTTGACGACTGCCCTTTGCGCTGCGAGAACGCCGCGAGACGCAGGCGGTTGCTACCGTGGCGGCTCCTCGGCCCGCGAAATCCGCGAAGCGCGAAGCCCCAGAGCGGGTGTCGTGTCAACTTGCAGCTGCTTGTAGCATGCGGCTGACCGCCGCTGTCAGCCTTGTCCCAGCCTTGCTCGCATGGCATGGCTCTGCTACACGCAGTCCGCCCATCAAGATAGATTTGCAAGCTTCTTGGGCAGCAGCGCCGCTTGTCGTCCAGATCCTGTCAGTCGAGTCAATCAGCTTGCCCATGGCAGTATCTGATGCTCGCAGTGCCCGCCAGAGAAAGCATAAGTCTTCAGAGTAATGATGCGTTCTTCGATCTGCTTTCCGACTTCACCACGTCTGCTCAGGCATTGATTGAGTCGCCTTTGGCCGCCCATTTGAGCGCAAAAGATGTCTACGATAGATCTCTTGCGCTCATCGCTGCTTCGCCGCATTTCAAGCAAGATGGTCAGATACAGCTCTTGAAGCTCAGTCTGGCCATGCGCGAAGCCAGTCCGGCAATAGAAGCGCTCTACAACGTCTCTGCTGGAGTGGTTGCCAACGCGCGTTGCGCATCATGGGTGCAGTACAACGATCAGACGGCATGCACGAGTAAAGAGCTGCTCACTTTGATGGCCTCTGAGGCTGCGCATGGCGCCAGTCCAAAGCTGCATCCTTTCGATCATGTCAAAGCGCAGAGCTCGACGGTGCCGACTGCGATTCTGTATACCTCGCTGGATTCAGACGCGGTCTACGACCTGCATAGAGAGCTACTCTCGCGCGCACAATCAGGGAAATTGCAGTATGTCGTAAGATGGATCAGACGCAGAGATGAGAACGCACGCAAGCTTCGATTGTCAGGCTGGGGCGCGAGTCTGGATATCAAGAAATCTGACTACCTTGCAATTGACGACCGACTGCAAGCTGACAATGTAGAAAGCAATCAGACCAATGATGGCAGCGCCTCATCCGATACAAAAGACTATGATAAATTCGGTAATCCAGACGAGAGCACGGACGAGCTAGCGCCACTGAAAGCACGTCAGGTCGCCCATCTCGGCTTGCGAGCGCTTCAGATGATCAAAAAGTCACAACACCCTCTTGATACCTCGGTCAGACTTTCGCAAGACTTTCCGAAGCTTGCCTATCAGCTTGCTACCGAATGGGAGGATGAGCTCGACGACAAGCTTGCGAGAGAACTGTCCAATGCCCAGGCGCGCCAGATAGAAGGCGGGCGCAATGCCGTCTGGATCAATGGTTTGCTGCTTGAAGAGACAGAGATGGATCCGTTCCGGTACGCTGTTTGCCCAGGCGGCCGAAGTCCGCTGAAGAGTAGCGCAGTCTGCTGAAAATATTGAGGCGCGAGAGAGATACCAACAGTCGCTTCGCTGCAAGGGGTCTCACGCCGCTTCAGACAATGTCACTACTAGCACATCCGGCTCTAGCGAGTGCAAGTGCGGCAGGATCCGGTCCAGCAGCGAGTGGTCTAGTCGAGGCTTCTGCATTGGGCGCTATCTTTGACGCAAGCGACAGGCAAGAGGATGCGAGTGTGATCTTATGGTGGAACGATCTCGAGAAAGATAGACGATATCGCACGTGGGGTAAATCGCTCCGAGAGCTGCTCCGGCCGACTTACCCGGGCCAGATGAATCAGGTTGCTCGCAACCTTATCAACGTTATCTTTTCGCTAGATCTCAGTCTACCCGCCAGTCATGCGCTTCTCAGTCAGCAGATTGCCGTCTACATCAATAGAGGCTTGCCTGTGCGTTTCGGTCTCGTGCCTTTCATTCCCGATGAGAGTTCTTCTCGGCGCGGAGTTGCCTTGGCAGCCAGCCAAGCTTTCTGGCATCTCGTCGAGCGTGCAGGCCGTGCGCGGGCTCTCGCTTTCCATCAAGAGCTTGCCAAGAGCAGCAAGTTGACACTCGAGGTCAAAGATTTGCGCGAGGCGTACAGAGCAGCTATCGCAGGCTTGCAAGCAAGCGCAGATCGTCCAGCGCCTGTGACCTTCGATCAGCTTGATTCTGCAGGTGATGTGCCGGATCGGCTGCAAGAGCAACTCTCAGTGACGGAGAAGTGGCAGACCCGGCTGGGGCTGTCAGATTTCCTGCCTACTGGCTCACAGTATGGCCAGGTCTTCATCAACGGAGGATATCATCTTGTTGACGAAGATTGGCGCACTCGCTTCCAGACAGCAATGAACATACAGATGCAATACCTACAGCAGCAGGTCTACATGCGCGTCCTTGACGACAGCGCCGATGTCTCTGTCTTCTTCTACGACCTCGACACCTCCTACGGCCGTCGGAACAAGTACATTTTCCCATCTGAGGAGCGACCATTGCGATTACTCGAACCCAGTCAGATCGATGCGCTGTTTGAACGAGCCTACACGCGCGATGCATTCCTCACGCGTAGTCAGAATGCCAGTGCAGCTTCTGTCTGGGTGTTCGGTGATCTAGCGAGCAAGCAAGGGGAAGCACAAGCGCGAGAGGCAATCAAGCTTATATGGGCTCGCCGCCACGCTCGTATCTGCCTCGTCCATACAGGACAGTCCACACCCGCCGATGCCGAGCTGGTTCATCGCCTCAAGTTGCAGTGGAATCTGCGTGTACACGGCAAAGGCTACGATGAGATGCTCATTGTCGAGCTGCACAACGAGCCAGACAAAGACGAAGTAGATCCAAACTTCTTGCCCTCTACGTCTCCAGATTCGCGAGCCTTCGATGCTGCTTCACCTTTTGCGCCTGGCGAGCTAGGCGTCGTCATCAATGGACGTGTTGTGGGTCCTTTCGAGGATGTAGGACTGCTTTCGGAGGACCTTGCAAGCCTGATCGAATTCGAGCACAAGACACGCATACAGCCGGTTGTCAAAGCGATCGATGCTATCGCTCCAGGACTGCTTACAGGCGACTCCAAGACCATTGCGCAAACGGTTGCAGCGCTATCTGCATACGCTGCGCACGCCTTGCAGCCGGACTCCGAGCAGAGCATGTTCGGCCCATCGAGCAAGCTCCGCAGTACCGACTACATGGTACTCAATGGCTCGCTTACCTCGACCTCAAGTGGCAATCCTTCAACAGCCTGGCTGCATTTGGGAGCTGCCATTGATCCGCTCAGCGAGGTCGGTCAGCGCTGGTCAGCCATCGTGCGCGAGCTAGCTTTGATGCCCGGCGTCTCGACTCACGTCTTCTTCAATCCCTCGCGAACACTTGCTGAACTACCTCTCAAGCGTTTCTACCGCTTCTGCATGTCTCGAGAGCTAGCCTTCGACTCGAACGGAGCAGAACTGGAACCGCGCGCAGAGTTCCGTGGCGTACCCTCATCTGTGTTGCTCACTTTCGGGGCGGATGTCAACCCAGCTTGGCTTGCGTTCCCAAAGAAGACTGTCTACGATCTCGATAACATACGCTTGTCCGATCTGCCGGCAAGTGCCAAGCAGTCTGGTCTGGAAGCGACACTCGAGCTCGAAAGCATTCTCGTTCAAGGTCACGCCCGCGAGAGTCCCGGAAATTCTGCACCGAGAGGTCTACAGCTTGTACTCGGCACCCAGGGACAGCAAGCAACTGTTGACACCATTGTCATGGCCAATCTAGGCTATTTCCAGCTGAAAGCAAATCCAGGTGCATGGCAGCTTGCCATCCGACCAGGAAGCCTGGGGGAACAAGTCTATACGATGGAAACTGCTGGTAACCTCGGTTGGAAGAGCCCGGCAAACCGTGACAGCACCATCAGTGTCTACACCTTTGAAGGTAATACAGTGTTCCCGCGATTCGTTTACAAGACTGGCAAAGAAGGCACAGATCTGCTGAGCGACGTATCCGCGCCTCCACCGAAAGCAAAGGGCGACGGTATGCTGGGTCGACTGAAACAAGCCGTGATGGGCGGTCACGACGCCAAGCAGTCAGTCTTGGCCGTCACGGAGACTGATCCTACAATCAACATCTTTACGGTCGCATCAGGCTTGCTGTACGAGCGGATGGCGATGCTGATGGTCATCAGCGTTCTGCGACACACAAAAAGCAAGTGCAAGTTCTGGTTCATCCAAAATTTCCTGTCGCCATCCTTCAAGGCCTTTATTCCCCATCTCGCGCGGGAATACGGCTTTGACTACGAGCTCGTGACGTACAAGTGGCCTCATTGGCTGCGTGCCCAGAAGGAGAAGCAACGGACCATCTGGGGGTACAAGATTCTGTTCCTGGACGTTCTGTTCCCGCTGGATTTGCACCGCGTCATCTTTGTCGATTCGGATCAGATTGTCAGGCACGATCTTCAGGATCTGATCGATATGGATCTGAAGGGAGCTCCCTATGCCTATGCACCTATGGGCGATGACCGCAAAGAGATGGAGGGCTTCCGCTTCTGGAAATCTGGCTATTGGCAAAACCATCTGGCTGGTCGACCATACCACATCAGCGCACTCTACGTCGTAGATCTTGACCGCTTCCGTCAGGTTGCAGCTGGCGATAGACTTCGACAGCAATATCAAGGATTGTCTGCCGATCCTGGTTCTCTGGCCAACCTCGACCAGGACCTCCCCAACAATATGATTCATGTCATACCTATCGTACGCACTCTGCAGTGTTACGAGGCAGTGAGCTGATCCTGATGAGCGCAGCATACACTCGACCAATCATGGCTTTGGTGTGAGACGTGGTGCAGCGACGAGTCTCTCAAGGATGCGAAAACGATCGATTTGTGCAATAATCCTAGTATGCGCATGCTTCCCAGTCTTTCGCTTAACTGATGTGGCTACAGTGACGCATGAACCTAAATTAGCGCGCGCGCGCCGGCTGATACCCGAATGGAATGTCTACGACGCAGAAGTGGCTGCGCTGGCGAAGCGCGTGGCTGCAACAGCCGATCCTGCCGAAGCTCAAGCTTTTGCAGTCGACGCGGGTGGCCTCGAGCAAGCCAAGCTGCAACAAAAAGAGTATGTCGACGAAGGCACTGCTGGCGATGCCCCAGTTGATGGTGCGACGACGCCCGATGAACATCGCAAAGACGAATTGTAAAGCGTGTACGTATGTTGTGCAAGTGCAATAGATCAAAGATGTGCAGAATGATACAAGTGATGCATACAAAGGGCGATGAGACAACAGCAACAAGTGATCAATTCCAACTCTGGGCAGGAGCATTGCTAAAGTCGAGTCGCGCAGGCAGCTGAAGACCGTTGAGACCGATTCCGACGGCGAGATCGTTACCTTGCGGGGTACTTGCGCCGAAAGAGATATCGTTGCCGACAGAAATGTCGGCAACAGAGGCTTCCCGACTGGTGGTCACCGAGCCGGACCTCTTGACTGGTTTACCAGAGGATTGAGAACCTGAGCGCGCCGGTTCGACAGGCTTGCCAGGTTTCTTGCCTGTCGCCTTGATATTGATTGACGATGTGGGCTTCGCTTCGACTTTCGGTTGGGCTTTCTTGATGATCTTCTTGGATGGGGCGTTCTTCGAGGACATCGTGATCGATGCAGCTGGACTACTGCCTGATGTTGAGCCTTGTAAAGACATATGGGGTCGACCGGGGTAAGCCATGCCGGCTGCTGCATGTGCGGCGGCTTGTATGCCTTTGGCGGCGGCTTCTGCAGGCGTCAGATTTGGCTTTTGCTTCGTCCGCTCGGCCTCTTTCTGCCTCTCATGCCAGCTCTGTACGAAAGCAATGCGATCGAACCTGATACCGATCGCAATGATAAGCTACGGGGAGGACAAGAGCCAAGAGGACGTACGAAGGAGCGAAATCCTTGCCGAAGCGATCGTCCATGATGCGCATGATACGTTCGCGCTGTAGTCTTCGCTCTTCCTCGGCTTCGGTCTCTGTGGGACCCGTCTTTGTCTGACTGGGCAAGAGTGAGGAGGCAGAGGACGCGAGGGCATCGTGCGCTAGGCGTGTGACTTCGATCGTTGGCGCGAGACACAAGGGTGGACATGTCAATGCCTGAATGTCCGTGTCAGCTCCATCCAGAGAGTGCGCACTGTGCAGACGTACGAGTATGACGGCTTCATTTTGCAACGCGTCCTGTTCGGTCCACTGACTATTCTTGGCCTGATTGAGCGCGAGCAGGTCGAGCCAGAGCGTGCTCGAGTCTGGCGTAAGGACCAGCCTGGACACCTCTGCTTTGTTCGCAGTGGCAGAAGTGCTGACTTCCGCCTCTTTACTGGCAGCGCCAGCCTGGCTCGACGCGCTTGTGAGAGGCCCGTTTGGGTCGAACCCCGCTGGACCTGTTCGCTTGGCGGCTGATGTGCTGGCAGATGCGTTCGGTGTGACCGACCGATGATCGTGTACTTGGACGATCAGACACCCATCGTAGAACGGCACGGCTGAAGCATCGAGAATATCCAGCATCTCATGGGGTAGCCGCTGCTCCCTCATGGCATCCAGAAAGATCTGTTTGTGTCTGTCAGCTCGGGGGTCGAGCCAGCATAGCTCATGATGAGCTACCTTGAGGGGACTGTCAAAGGTGAATGTGCCGGCCTGGATGGGTCCAGATGAGCCAAAAGCAGCCTACAAAGCGTGAGATAGACTGACGAGATGCTCAAAGCGAAAGTGATTCTGGTGCAGGTGAACGGTCAGCGACGGCGGCTCCTTCCGATGTCGCTTGAGTATGCCCCGCGAGAGCTTCGATAAGTTGTAAGCCGACATGGCGTAAGCTCCTGCAGCCAGCCAGGCTATTATCGAGCACGAGTCGAGTCGAGTCGAGTCGAAGCGCGACTTTCCAGATTTCGAGTCGATCACTGACACCTTGCCACCTCTTGCAGACGGATATGGAGCCTCTGGCCGGCTCAAGCAAAGACATCCAGCCTCAAGAGGCAGAATATGACTATGATGATGATGTCCTGGCAGAATGGGAGGCATTCGCGGCGCAGGACGAGCAAGATCACCAAGCAAGAGGAGCACAAGATCGCAATGACGATGATGACGACGAGCTCGAGTGGGATCAAGTCCAGGTTCCCGAAGCTACTCCTGCCATGGGAGATGCCAAATCTGCTGCAAAGGGCAAGGGAAAGGCCGCGCCCAACGAGAAAGAGCCAAAGACGGCGGATGGGCAATCACTCAATATTGTGCTCGAATCTGCGCCACAAGCGACCATACCGGCCGATAGAAAGAAAGGGTACGACTGGCGTCTACTTTTGCTTGGATCTCAGTGCTGACGGAAGCTTGACAGTGCCCGAAAGCTGCCAGAGGTCGACAGAGCGTTGCTCGCGTCCACCCACCGTGCTCACACTCTTGCGCTCCTCGCGGCCGGCGCATACCGCAACAGGATGCTCAACAACACACTCCTACAGGTGTGTGCTGCGCATTCTCGTCTGTGAGACCTGACCGGCTTATCTGCGCTCGCTGACAGGCGCGACTTCTCTCACTCGTGCCCCTCCAGATTCAACAGAACTTCACGAACTACTCCAAAGCGACGCATCCTCAGCCAAACGATCGCGCACGCGCTTTCGAGCGAGCAATGAAGCGGCTCATGTCGTGGTGGTTTAACAACTTCACAGTCGAGCCAGACGTCCCGCGCGTCCACACTCAGCACTATTTTGCAGTAGAAGAATTGCTACGTCAGCTTGGCAAGCTCGACGTTGAAGCCATACAGTCATGGCGGCCACCGCGATCCTCTTCCAAGAAGAAAAAGTCGCGAAAGACTGAAGAAAGAGCACCTCCACCTTGGGCAGACAAGGGCGAACTCATCAAAGACTCAGTCTCGCTCATGAAGCGTGCCGTCATCTTGCGTGGCTCGTTAGATGTCTCTGCCCAGCTTTTCACTGCCTTGTGCAGAGCACTCGATATACCCGCCCGCTTGGTCTTCAGCCTACAGCCCGTCGACTGGCATACTGCCGCACCCAAGCCCAAGACAAATGGCATTCTTACACCTCGCAAGGCGAAAGCGAGGAAGGTCGGCAGCGTGAAACAGCACACTGGTCCAACTCAGATCACGATGGATGTCGAAGCAAGCAGCGATGAAGAGATCATGGAGCGCGTGCCTATTCCTCGAGCTAGTGCCAGACCTCGTGTGTCTTCTACTTCGGCCAAAGGATCCAGGCAAACCTCGCCCGAGTCTCAGAAATCGGGCATTTCCAGAAGACCGATCAGTGTCGGCGTGGGCTCAGATAGCGACGGAGCAGGCTACGGATCTGGTCCGCCACCCGTCATGGTCACGAGACGCGGCGACGGGCCAGTCACGTTACGTTCCTCGCGACCCAAGACCAACATCTTTCGATCGCCCAGTCCACCACCGGAAATCATGACACGCTACCCTGTCTTTTGGACGGAAGTCTACTCGCGATCAGATAAGACCTGGTACGGCATCGATGCCACCCGGAAGAGGTGGAAACTCAATGACACCAAGCATCTGGTCGACCCGCCGCGGTCAGTGCAAGATGTCCAACTATCTTATGTCATCGCATATGAAGAAGATCTGACTGCCAAGGACGTCACGACGCGTTATGCTCGCAATTTCATCACAAACACGCTCAAGCGTCGTTTGCCCGCCCGCAAGAAGAATGAAGCCGACTGGTTTGCGGAGGCAATGCAACGGTACCAGCGTCGCTTTGAGCTTGCTCGCGACGCTGCAGAAGACCAGCTGCTGCGCAGATCAGCAATAGATGAGAAGATGCCAACCTCTGTTGGCGGCTTCAAGAAACATCCCCTTTATGCCCTCGAACGACATTGCAATTCGACAGAGATCATCTGGCCTCGCAAGTCTGTCGGCATCTTCCGAGGCGAGACCGTCTTCCCTCGCTCATCCGTCATTGCGCTTAAGAGTGCAGAATCCTGGATGCGGATCGGCCGGGTCATCAAAGATGGTGATCAGCCGATGAAGTTCATCAAACAGCGTGCCGTGACGATACAGAAGCGACGAGCGCAAGAGATGGCGAATCTGGAAGGCGAAGAGGAACTTACGCAGGGTCTGTACGCCGAGCTTCAGACGGAGCTCTACGTTCCTCCGCCCGTTATCGATGGTAAAGTCCCTCGCAATTCGTTTGGCAACCTCGACCTCTTTGTACCGACCATGCTGCCAGCCGGTGGCTTCCATATGCCTTACAAAGGCATCGCAAAAGTCGCAAAGCGTCTAGGGATAGACTACGCCGAAGCAATTACCGGCTTTGACTTCAAGCAGCGTCGCGCTTTGCCGGTCATCGAAGGCATCGTCATTCCTGTCGAAGACAAAGTTGCACTGTGGGATGCCTATGTCGAATCTGAAGAGATTGCGCTCGAGAGGGAGATGGCAAGAAAGACGAAGCGTGTGCTCGAAAAGTGGAAATTGCTCATTCGGGGTCTCGCCCTGCGTCAACGACTCAATCTCGAATACGCTAAGCCAGCAAAGACTGCGCACGAGGGAGCCCCTCAGGTGGGCTAGCCACGGCTTTGTGTTATCCTCATGCTGACTGCGTTGCAGTTACTGAGTACAGAGTCAGCCTTGCCTTCTGGGGACACCACGCCTGCCGCTCCTTCAACAGAGACAGAGCAAAACAAGCCAATGATCAAGATCAAGGCCCGCAAGCGCGCTTCGCACGTCCTGGACGCCGATAGAGAGTCTGAACAAGACACACCCGAGAGACCCGGCCGTCGCACTCGATCAGTCCGTCAGAAAGTTGAGGCTGTCGTTCCGAAGGGCAGACAGCGAGCAGCTAAGACTCGTGCACGTCAAAGTCTGGCCGAAGATGTATCGAGCTCGAGCGATTAGCTCAATTGCAGCAGCACAGTTCTATAGCAGCAAGGGAGCTTGATTGAGTACTTGTGTTTGCATACGTCCTGTGCGGATAGGAAGGGCTTCGGGCTCCTGGACGATGGCCTCGTCCGATGCGTGAAGTTGAGGCTGCTGTCCGGTCTGAAGATCTCGTGCGCTTGATATGGTCGATGGACTGGGCACTTCAGGAGCAACATCAGCGTATCGAAGGGGCTGTCGCCTGTGGAACCCACTTGATTGAATTCGACCTCGCAGATGACTCACGGTAGCCGTACTGAGATCAAGATAAACTTGACAGCATCGTTCTCGTTTCGCCACCGCGTCGTCGTATGCGTTGCTTGCGTTGCGCACTCTGTCACCTAGCTCGGTCAAGCGCTGCTGTTGTTCGTCGAATTGTCGTTTCAGTCCTTGGTAGCGTATGCCGAAGGCTTCACACTCAGCATTGGCAGCAGTGGCTGCTTGAAACGCGCGCCACTGAGCTGTCGGCATGCGAGCCGAGCCATCCTGAGTCGCTTTTACGGGGGACAGCATAGGCTGGTCTGGGTTGTGGAGATCCATCGCACTGGTAGTGCTGTGTCACTGGTGATGCAGGCATGTCGTGCTGACACCGATTCGATGGTAGAACTCGATTTAACTCGCCGTCGGTACGACGACGCGGCGCGGGACGTGCTTTCCCTCGGGCTCAGCGCTCCTTGCTTACATTACTCAGTGACACCAATGCATGTAGACCCTCGAGCCAGAGTTGTCCGCGTTCTAGTAAGACTGCCGCGGGGCTCAGATGTACAGACCGCAGCTTGAGGTCACGCAAGATAGTCCAAGATACAGAGGCGGTGTCGACGTATGTGAGCGCGAAGATTGATAACCTATCGCGTGTGCTGTCAATCCGCCACAGAGTGATATGAGTCGTCGTCCCAGGCGGCCTTAGGTGCTTAGTAACATCTTGTCACCCGCGTAGCCAGCACGGGTGACGCCTTGCCCTCGAAACAGCCGCAGACCATCGAGGAGCTACCCGACGATGGCCCCAGCTGCCCAATATCATGCGACCAACCTGGAGACGTGCCGGTCCGGGTCGCCAAAAGTTCGTCGTCCCAGGCGGCCTTAGGTGCTTAGTAACATCTTGTCACCCGCGTAGCCAGCACGGGTGACGCCTTGCCCTCGAAACAGCCGCAGACCATCGAGGAGCCACCCGACGATGGCCCCAGCTGCCCAATATCATGCGACCAACCTGGAGACGTGCTGATCTTGCTTTGTCGAAGTCGAGAACGTCGGTGCGGAAGTGTCAATAAGGCGCGCCAAACATGATACACCGACCCACTCGGCCCCCACTTTCATGTTGACGAAAAGATCATCATTCCAAATGTTCATGACGAACTCGACTCAGTCAATCAGAGCACTGAAATGAGCTCATGAGAATACAACAAGTCAAGTCAGGAGCTCTGGACGGACAGAGATATCATTTCATGACGTTGTCATATCGCGCAGATGCAAGGTCGGCGTGATCGCGTAAATGTGCACATTGCGCTACTGGGCTTCTCTGACGCCTTGTTTGCGGTGGATGCATCCGGCCGTCTTGCAACCCCACTGAAGATCATGTATCAGAAGTCCGCTGCGTGCCCTCTGTGCCTGCGACAATTGAGCCGGTCGAAGGTAGAATAGTCTGCGCCTCTTTGTCGCTTGAAAGGCAAGCAGTCGAGGCCCGGAGGGGTTCGTATACGTCGTCTGACCGTCTGAGGCTTTGAAAATAGCGCCTAGATGCATGTGCTCGTGCCTCGTACGCGCATGCTTGCGCGGATCTGCAAGTTGGGTGAATGTAGGAGGAAGATCGACACTCTGAGTATGCGCCAGGAGCTTTGCTATCTATCCTGTGAGCTGAGGGGATGAGGTTATACCATCACCGTCGCTTGAAAGGCTGAGCTGGTGGTGGAATTGGCTTTCGCTTGGCTGCCACGTCGCCCGAGTGCGAATGGGAGATATAGACGACAATGACGATCATGAGACCGAGACTGATGATGATCTGGCCGGTGGATGAATTCCAGCATGGATCGAGCACGCTTCTGAACTGTCTAATGACGGGTCGTTCGATGATCTTGACCGGAACTGCGTCCTTTCTTGGTCTGAGCTGCAACCAGTCGTTGAACGCGTTGAACAGAGCTGGGAACCACCAAAACGAGAGAGTGAGCATGATGGTGATGACGACCACTGAAATTCTCTCAGTATGATGCTGTGCTCTGTCTGTCGCTCTGTTCCTGTTGGTAACGACAGGTGCGGGACCAGAGACGTAGGCGGAGATTCTTTCGAATAGCATGACACTGCCCGTAACGAAGCCGATGAAGAGCACCGTAGCTAGGATAAGCAGTACGAACGAGAGGGCGTTGCCTGCAAAGTCCAGCAGAGAATCCATGATGCCGCCTTCTGATGACGAGCTGTGCAGAGTGGTCAGTGCCCTGTGGACGACGGGCGAATTGGACTGACGTGCGACGTGGTCGCCAGCAGATGAGAGCAGGCACACTCAGGAGTAGTACAGAGTCAAGCAAAGCGCTCTGCATGGCATCCTTTCAGGCTCGATGTCGTCGTCACCGCCGTTGCCATCGTCGTCGCGCTTTCGAAGGCGCGTCATTGGCAGCGCGGGCCAGCGCCACGAGCCGCTCAGTGTTCGATGGACAGCCTGGAAAGCTACAAGGCGCTTTACTATGCTTCGGGCTTCCCGGTCTCGCCGGCCATGCAGACTTCTCAGGGCAATGCGCGTACGGTAGCCAGCCAAAACGCGCAAGAAACACGACAGCTTGCCCAACATGGACATCACGCCTCAGACGGACTTCTGCCCTTGCGCAGCTCTTCCTTCGATGATGAGCGCCCTGGTCTATCACAGCGTCGATCGGCAAGCGATGATCGCCTGACGCAGAGCGCGAGATCGCCTCGTACTGTCTCGCCTGCCCTTTCAGCTGACAGAGACGAAGCAAAGAGGCAGCTGCTGTCGCCTGCCATGCTCGAAACGAGGCCAAAACGTCTATCGAGTATGCAGTCATCTGCACAGTCGCCCACTGTGGCCGGGAAAGCTCCTGCTCAGACGACGGCGCGTACAAAGGCAACATTGGGTCTGGGTATCACTTTGCACAGCGACTCGCCCGCACGAAAGACGCAGACAAGCGCGACGCGAGCGCGAGCGCAAGTAGCTATACAGGTACAAGCTTCGACGCCGCCAACTGGCCCGTCTCTATCGCGCAGTGTCGCGACGCCCGGCACGCCTAGTCCGCTGCAAACATCCACCTCGCGACTCAAATCACCGTTGCAACGGAGCAGCAACTTACCTCGACCCGTCTCGCCCGTCAAGCCACGTCCACTGTCGGCTTCTCTGGGTTCGGGCAAGCGTACATCGGGCGCACAGACCTCTGCTCGGGATGCGCCCTTTTCGCCGCGATTCGGTTCGCCACGCTCGCCCCTCGTCTCGTCTGTCAATAGCCCTCGCTCGGTCCAGCGCGCTGCAGAATCACGTATACCCATTGCAGCAGTCAGTATGCAGCGTGCGCTCTCTGGCGTCTCCCACGACTACAGCAAATCGCCCAAACAGTTTGTCCATCCTCTGTCTAGCTTTGCAGGCGACGAGCGAGAGGCAACGTCGCTTTACGATCAGGCAGAGGATAGTGATGCCGTGTCCGCAGGGGCCAGTCCTCCCTCGTTGGGGAGCACAGCAACAAGTTCCTCTGCTACTTCGCTCGAGAACGGCACGCGCGACCTTGAGGAGACACCGAAGCGGCAGGCAAAGAGGAGGAATAGCTATAGAGATCGGATGTCGCCGAGTAGCAGAGCGGCAGGCTTGACCGTAGATGCTCGCGAGCGACCGGAGTCGAGCGCTTCCCATCGTCCAGGTTCAGCCACGTCGCGAGGGAGCACGGACAAGGTGGCTTTCTTCGGCAGTACAGGTCTCTCTGCACAGGACAGGCATGTTGCTCGTATCCAGTCTGCCTCGTCTGCTTCTGGCAAGGTCATCTCTACTCTGCAGACCGAGCTCTTGTCGACAAAGACGAGCTTGGAAGCAGTGCGAGCTCAATTGCGACTGTCGCATCGGACGACGGAATACTTGGGCAGAGAGGCTGATGATCTCAAGGGACAGAAAGAGCGACTCGAATTGGAGATTGAGAATCTGAGCAAGATGCTGCAACGACGGGAGAGACAGCTAGATGAGACGCTCATCCGTGCAAGGACAGCAGAGTCACATCTGTCTGATCTTGATCAGCGACAGAAAGTGGCAGATCAAGATGCGATGGCGCGTGTCAAGGAGCTCGAGCTGGCTCTCGCAGAATCGACAGCAAGGACACATAAAGCAGAAAGCGAGTACAACGCCTTGCGCAAGGGCGTATCGAGCATGCGAAGCGAGCTGCAGCGCGAACAAGCATCATCACGCAAGCTACTGGACGAAGCGCTCGTCAAGCATACATCACAACTACAGCTCGCGCAGGAACGCTTCACATTATGTGAGATGGTCTTACTCATCTCCTTGCAGAACGCGGCTGACACAGGAAGAGCAGTGGAACGAGCATTGCAAAATCGTACAGCATTGCAGTCCAGCCTGATAGTAACGCAAAGTAGATTGTCGAAAGAAACAGCCGAATTCTCTGCCGAGGTCAGCAAAGAACTCGCAGAGCTCAAGCAGCGTTCGGCAGACGATGGCAGTAGAGTGACCACCGCGTTGACCGAAGTCGATACCGTGGCCGAGCAGACGAAACGGCTCGTTCGACTGGCCAGAGCATCATCGAGCGGGTCGCCATCGACTTAGCATCATCATCACTGGGACGAGCAGCAGTTTTGTTGTAGCAGCATTGTAGAAGCCTCGGCTCACTTTGAGCTCATCTTGTACCTGCCCACAAACGGTCAGCATGCCCTTGCTCGAGCAGTCATGAAAGGGCGAACCCTCTGGTGTCCATCATTGCCGCGCCACAGAGAGCGCACTTGCCAGCCTTTTGGGCGCATTGCTGGCAGTACTTTGCACCCGGGCGTGAAGTCTGACTGCGACAGGTGGTACACCGGCTGACCATGGCCGCTCCTGAGCCTTTACTGCTGCCTGCGACGGGCGCATAGGGCGAGTATCGCTTGGATGACAAGAGCTTGTTCTCTCCAATCTTTCGACCTGCCGAGTTCTCTGCCTTGCTCTTGAATGGATCTGGCGCTGCTAGCTGAGGGCCCTTGCGTAGCTTTGCGTCGCACTTGGCGCACACCATGTCGAGTGGACCGGTCAGAGTCGAGAGGGATGGTCAGCAGTCGACAACTTGCCGCTTGCCGCGCGGTCGACCAGAGACGAGACCCATCTGGGATCAAGATGGCCCACGAGCTGCCACTGGTCGTCGACAATGGTGCGGGTCTGCTCGAGATGCACAATCGACCGATCTGACGAGCAGCGACAGGCACGGGCTTCGTCAAGACGGGCTATGCTGGCTCGAGTATGTCACACCCTCCTGCGGTAGCTCGTCCGGCACACCGCTGACACTCACCTCGCAGACTTCCCGGAGTTCTCATTCCCTAGCATCATCGGACGGCCCATCTTGCGAGCAGAAGAGCGTGGAGCGGCTCCTTCCACGACAAACATACGGGACATCATGATTGGCGACGAGGCATCCGAGTTCCGGAGCTACTTACAGCTCACCCAGCCCATGGAGCACGGCATCGTGAGGGACTGGAACGATATGAAGCTCCTCTGGGATTACACCTTTCACGAGAAACTCAAAGTCGACACGAGGGATCGGAAAGTGTTGCTCACCGAACCTCCCATGAATCCCGTCAAGAACAGGGAGAGGATGGCAGAAGTCATGTTCGAAGAGTATCAGTTCGGCGGCATCTATGTTGCCATCCAGGCCGTTCTCACCCTCTACGCTCAAGGCAGGTCGACGTGCCTTTGAGGTGCAGTGACGCGTCTCATGTGTTTCCTTTCGGTTGCAGGTCTCCAGAGCGGCGTCGTCGTCGATTCGGGCGACGGTGTGACCCACATCGTTCCGGTCTACGATGGCTTCGCGCTGCCCCATCTCACAAAGAGACTCGACGTAGCCGGACGAGATGTGACGCGCTACCTGATCAAACTGTTGCTCATGAAAGGTTACGCCTTTAACCGTACTGCCGACTTCGAGACCGTGCGACAGATCAAGGAGAGATTCTGCTATGTCAGGTCAGTTTCAGCGTTGCTATCTCATCTCGTGAGCAATCATGACGCTTCAGGTGATGCAGCTACGATCTCGCGCTCGACAAACGGCTGGCAGAAGAGACCACTGTTCTCGTAGAGACTTACACCGTCCGTAGCTCGATCCGTTGCTTCATGGCGCTTTCGCTGAGCCATCCGTGATCGCAGCTGCCGGATGGGCGGACCATCAAGATATCCTCGGAGCGCTACGAAGCGCCCGAATGCATGTTCCAGCCCCATCTCGTCGACGTCGAACAGCCAGGTGTCGCGGGTAGGCGTCGCTGACTGTACCTCGGACAGAGGCTGAACTGACAACTCCGTAGAACTTGTTTTTGACACTGTTCAAGCTGCGCCTGTCGATGTTCGCACTGAGCTCTACAAGCACATCGTACTCTCGGGCGGTTCGAGCATGTACCCGGGTCTGCCGAGCAGACTGGAGAAAGAGATCAAGCAGCTCTACCTGACCAAGGTACTCGGAAACAGCCCCGAGCGACTCAATGTAAGTCTCAGATGCCTTCCCGCCTTGGCATGTGCCGATGACGCGGGATGATTCAGAAATTCAAGCTGCGGATAGAGGATCCACCTCGAAGGAAACATATGGTCTTCCTGGGCGGTGCCGTACTGGCAGATATCATGAAAGACAAGGAAGCCTTCTGGTCAGTCTCTCGCTGCTCCGAGCCGAAGAGGATCGCTGACGTGAGCGCAGGGTGACGCGAGACGAGTGGCAAGAGCTAGGGCCACAGAGAGCGCTGGCCAAGCTGGGTAAGAACTCGGGCTAGATATGCTGTAGAGAACGACAAAAGTGCATGACTGTACCAAGCGGTGACAACATCGAAAGGAGAAAGAGCTCGAGATCACAAGGGCTCATTGTGCGCGCCGCGTATCCGGCGAGCCAGTCTGCACGGCGTCGGGGAATAAGCTAAGCAGCGCATACCGATTGACGACGTACTGTATGTCCTTTTGCATGATCGTCACACGCTTGGCATGGATTGCGCAGAGGTTTGCATCTTCGAAGAGGTGGATGAGATAGCTGCAGACAATCGTGAGCAAGTCATATGACTATACTCTGAGCTGGCGTCTACGTACGCCTCTGTTGCTTCCTGGAGTGCCATGACGGCTGAAGACTGCCAGCGCAATCCAACACGTTGTTCGGTGAGAGGCGCATAGTCCATCGCGATCTCTCGAACCTGTCAAAAATGCGATATCAGCTCGCTGGGACAGCAACAAGGGGAGTGCAACGCACGAGACGAGCAAAGGGCAGTTTGCGAATGAGCAAATCTGTCCCTTTCTGTGCTCGTCTGATCTCTCTGAGTGCCTTTTGACCGGGCACATAGCGCTTGGAAGTCGGCTTCCTCCGCACTGGAGGTGCAGCAATAGGATCGCCCGCTGGAACACGGGCTCTATCAGCTGGCTCAGGCTACTGGACAGGCTGCCTCACGTCTTATTCTCGCGCCTGTGCTCGGCCGAGCAGTCTTTTGCGTTCTAGGCGGTGCGTTCGCCTGTTCCCTCATCCTCCTCGCTTCTTCCGCTGCTCTCTGCTTGATCCTCTGCTCCTCCCTCGTGCCAGTAAATTGACTCAGAGGAGGCCGATCGACTTTCTCTCGCGTCTGACCAGCGCCAGGCTGTCTCGGTCTCTCTGGTCTGTTGCTCGTCTGGGTGTCGAAGAGCTGACTGGGTCCAGCATCGGGTCGAAAGGTGGGCTGAGAGCGCTGAGAAGGCTGGGAGGCTTGTTGTTGTGCCGCCTGTTGCTTTGCGCGCCTTGCTTCGAACTGCGCGCGAACGGCGGCCGGTGCGACGTTGATGATCACGCTGATCGGTTTCCGTGTCTTGACAAAGGATGATGCGCCTAGCGAGAGGCTCCCGTCGCCGTCCATAGAAGCCAGAAGAGCGTGCTCCTTGCACTCTCTCGGCCTGTCGCGCGCGATTTCTGACGCGAAGTCGTCACGCTAGCCTGGCTGGCTGGCCTGGGCAACTCATCCCGATCGACGCACCAGCTGCTGGCCTCGCACTACCGTCAGATGTCTTCCTCGACGCTCACAGACGAGGAGAGCAAGGTCCTCATCGCAGGGGCACTCAAAGGTGCCTCTCACACCTCGCATGCCAGCTCGCGGATCGCTCACATCCGGCCCTGTGATCAGCTCGTGATGCGGCCTATTGCCCGTATTCGGACTTCAGAGTCGGCGCATGTCTCTTAGCAGACACGGGCGTCTTCTTCATGGGCTGCAACGTCGAAAATGCAAGCTACGGTCGGCTCATTCCCCTTTCGAGCACTTGCAGAGCTCAAGAATCGAGGGCATGACAGGAGGCACCATATGCGCCGAGAGAACGGCTGTCGTCAAAGCTGTGGTGAGGTCACTGCCTTGGTTCTTGATGCACGTCTGACAGTTGCTCGCTCGTCGGCAGTCAGAGGGCGCGCGGCGTTTCAGAGCTATCGCCGTCGCAACGTACGTACAAAGAAGCACGCGTCTGACGACAGGCTGAGCTCGCAGATGGGTCACCGCAGCGATCTCAACGAAGCTTGCTCGCCTTGCGGACTATGTCGACAAGTCTTGCGCGAATTCATGCCTCAGGAGGTTCGTAGTCGCCAGTCTGTTCAATGCTGATGATGACCCAGCACATCGATGTTCGGTGCAGGCGCCGATACTGCTGGTCATACCCGCACATGCAGACGCGCAAGGCCAAGCTGTCGAAGTACAGACGATCTCCTCTTCCATGGCCGCACTCCTGCCCATGAGCTTCGGGCCCGAGCATCTCGACAAGCCTCGCAATGCGCCAAGTGTGACGACTGGCTGACGAGCAGCAGCCATCGTGCATCTGTACATGTTGTAGAGTCCACAGAGCTAGTCTCCAACATGCTTGACAATGGCGTCACTGCGCGCGCGCGTTTCGGAAATGCTGCCTGCCCTGCCGGTGCTGATCGATCTGGGCTCGAGTGCAGAGTACTACGCTCAGGCAAAGGCTGCACTCGAGCGTGCCGCCATGGACGGAGATGACAACACGATGGGCGAGAGCTCCGGCTCACCGCACGACCTCTCCGGGCCGACTCTAGATCTTTGCTTCGTGCTCGACGTCACGGGCTCAATGGGGAGCTACATCAAGGCCGCATGTCAGAACATCGAGTCCATCTGTGACGAGATTGCCAGATCAGGGCGACTGGCGACACCCGAACATCTCCGCATTGCCATCATCGCCTACAGGGTAAGGTCATTCCCTCTGCAGAGCTACTCGCATCTGCTCATGCCATCCATCTCATCTGCGCCAGGATCATCCGCCCCAGGACAACTCCTTTGTGACCAAGATCTTCCCATTCAGTGCAGAGGTGGCTGCTGCAAAAGACTTCTTGAGCAATCAGTATGCGTCAGGCGGAGGCGATGGACCTGAAGCCTCGACTGCCGCGCTCAAAGCTGCCTATGAGCTTGACTGGAGGGAGAACGCAAGCAAGGTCACTGTCCTCATCACAGATGCACCTCCACATGGTCTCGGCGAATACGGCGATGCCTTTGCGGCAGGTTCGCCAGACGGTGTCGATCCCCTGCAACTCGCGCGATCCATGGCACTCAGAGGGATACCCATCTTTGTCGTCGCTTGCGAACCTGCGCTCAGTGGCTACAGCTACGCAACAGACTTCTACCGCGGTCTCGTCAAGCTCGCTTCCGGTGTACTCGTTCCGCTCACGACCGCGAACTTGCTCGCACACGTCATCGTCGGTAGCGCGCTCGAACAACTCGACCTGGACAGACTGATCAACGAAGTCGGCACCGTTGTCGCCGAACGCGTGCACAGTGGTCAAGAGAGCGTAGATGACGTCGCGAGGGAACTGCACGAGAAGCTCATGCTCAGGAATGAGACGACCAAACAGATGCTCGTCGAGGACATCTATCGCGATTCGGACGAGGCGAGGCACAACATCGAGATATGGGCAAATGCTACCGATCTCGCTTCTGCGAGACCTCATCTGCAGCGCATCAAAGGCTCCAGATTCACGGACAAGTACCTCGCATCGCGCTACCAGAGTGCCTCATCCTATAGCTACCCCGCTTTGCCAGCGCGAACCAAGACGCCTCCGCCGGCGCCCAAGCCTACGCCTGCTTCACCTCCGAGAGGCATCGTGAGTGACTTTGCAGCCTTCTCTGCGCCGACGACGATGAGCATGGCGGCTGCAAGAGGCGAACCCGCCCAGACAGGTTTTGGCACGACGAGACCCCTGAGCACATTCGACGGCTCAGCTTCTGCTTTCGGACTGGTCGACCGATCTGCACGTACACCCGTGAGTCCTCAAGCCAATGCTGCATCTTCAGAAGACGACATTCAGGGCGTAGAGCTCAAGCTGCAAAGTATTTCGTTCGATCAGGTGAGCTCGGCGATCCTTCCTCATCGACCCTGCTGACTCACAGGACGATAGGCGAGGAGAATCACGATGCAAAGCGCCTTCAGGGCAATGCGATAGAGACGAGCAGGGTCCCTTTGCACTGTACAAGCATGGGTTGTGAGCGAGCGAGAGGCTGTACAACACCGCATCGTCCTGTAGCTAGATGCGTCTCTTTTGTGTCTACGGGCCAAGTACGAGCAACACGATTCTTTGCCAATCAGGTCGCTTCTCTCTTCGGCCTCTTCCTCCGATCTTGCCCCTCTGCAGTAGCACCCTCGGTGCTCTCGGCTGCAACGGGCTTGGCGTCGCTGGGCCAGCGAAACTCTGTTGATGGCCCTTGGCCTTCTTCGTGCTGCTCTGCCGCTGCTTGACGTGCGCTATTAGCCAACACACTCTGTAGATCTTCGTCGGTCGAGAAGTTCGGGAAGAGCGCGGAAATAGCTTCTCGATACCGCGCGTCACCATCGGGCGTCTTCTCTGTCGCTAGCATGATGGCAGCAGCCGCTGTAGATGCCGATACGGGCTGCAGAGCACCAAGTATGATGAGCTGACAGAAACCTGCTCGCGCGCTTCTGAGACTTACTGTAATGACAGCAGCTCCGTCGCTGAGCATCTCGTCTGTGGCGGCCTGATGTCGAATACCGTTGAGCGCAGGCGAAGGCGAAGCGTTCTCGGCGGGTATGTCTAGGCTCAGTCGGGGTTTGGGTGACTCGCGTTGGCTACCAGAGCCATGCGCTGTCGTTGCCGCATCGGATCTGCCGCTGTTCGTGCGATACAGTGGCCGCCGTTGAGGATCTTGCCGCGCTGCTTCGGGGTCTGACATCGGTTGGGGCGAATCGAAGCGCTGCTGCTGTGATACCGGTTGTTGACCTTCAGGCTGCCTCAAACTTGATAGCCTAGGCGACTCTGACCGCACGCCAAATCCTGCTGGGCCAGCCAGTGGCGCACTGCCAGACCCAAAGGCGCTCGGAAGACCGCTATAAGGCATTCTGTTGTATATCGTAGGTGCATGCGCATAGCTTTCGGAGAGGGAATGCGGTGGGGGCGGCGGTCGTGATAGATATGAAGAATACTGCTGCTGTTGCGCTTGTGAATGCTGATTAGGTTGCGCGTAGACCGGGTGCACTTGCTGCTGCGTATACGGCTGTTGACCGCCTCGACTTTGTGCAAAGTTGTTCCATTGAGGCCCACCGACAGCAGGCATGGCATAGATTGCGTCGTTTGCAAAGGGCGAACCTTGAGCATATGACGGTCCTCCTGCAAGACCTGACATGGCCATAGCCTGCTGGTGTGCAGGAAGGGACACATTCTCTATAGGCTCATCCGAAAGCTCGTCGTCCTCGCCGTCGCTGCCATCCGACGCCTCTGCTAGCCTTGCCCGCGTATTCCGCCTAGTGCTTGATCCGCTGGCTGCCGGAGCACTCGATGTCAGCAATGTCGATTGTGCGCCTGCTGCATAGTCCTCCGGGCCCCTGCTCTCAAAGGCTTCCTTTGACTGTTCCAACCGACGCTCAGCGCACATACTCGACGGGCGCAGCACATGCGAGCTTACGTCGGCGTAGTGAAGCATGATGTCATCTATATGGCCATTCGAGGCGAATTGGTAGAGCTTGCCGTTCTGATTGAAGACAATGACGGCAACATCGCAGCTGCACAGTACGGACAATTCATACGCCTTCTTCATGAGGCCGTTCTTCCGCTTCTGGAATGTGACAGCCCGATTGCGGTCATCCTGCAGAGGAAGAATCTGGATCTTGCGGCGTCCCATGATGCCTTGACAGCTCTACTGGCCTTGCTGGTGCCGAGTGACAGACCGGTCTCAGCTGACGGCGAGACGAGGACGGGCAGCGTCGGCCGAGCGCACAGACCGGAGACTTTCGCTCGACACAGTCAAGTCGGACCGCCTGCTCGACTGAGCCAAGACAACGCTCACTCCTCCGCCGTTCGCCTCCAAAGCGTTACGTGCAGCGTTCGTTGCCAATTATTGAACAAGCTAAATTTAGTCGGAAGCAGCGTGGCCGATTCGGATCGACGACACGACACGAGACACGGGCAATGAAGCGAATAACAAATATCTAGACGGTACATCGCCTCTTATGCAAATGTGGGCGAAGCGCTGCCCGTCCCTGGCGCGAAGCGGCTGAATGCAGAATGCGAGGCAGACGCGAGTTCCTGGGCTGCCTTGGACGCGCTTGGTAATCTAACAAACAGCAAGGCGATGAAGGATAGCACAAACATGAACAGACCGAATGCGAAAATGAGTTCCGGCCAGGTCTCTACCGAGAGGGAGAAGAGGACGCCAAAGACGAGCGGGCCGATGACTTGCGACATGATCGACTGGATGACGGAGAAGGCTGCCAGCAGTTTGCCGGCTTCTTGCGCGGGACTGAGTGCGAGAGCGAGAGATTGCATGGCAGGACCAAACCCGCTCGCGAATGACTGGGCACAGACTGCGAAGATAAATTGAGCTGATGTCGTCGTCGCAAGCAGCAGGACGTAGGCGGCCGCGTCTAGGAAGACCGACCAGCGCGCCAGACTGAGGTCAAAGTGCGAATCGTGAAGAAGCTTGACGTGTGTCGCATGGTCTTCATAATCTGCAACGAGCTGGTCTTCGCTCGCCAGCGGCATCGTCATGCCCTCTGTGTAGTCCGGCATCCTTGCTGTTACATATTTCTTGCGCAGCCAGCGAATCGCGAGCGGCAGGAGAAGAGTGAGCGCAATCACACGAGAGACGCCAATGGCTGTCAAAAGGTAGCCAGTCTCTACAGGACCCCACGCGAAGCGATACTGCGCATACTGGATCTTGACGGCGTAGATGCTGATCATCATGACCCAAAGAGCGTAGGCGAGCGCGACAAAGGTCAAGCTCCAATCCCTCCGCCTCTGATCCGTCTTGCGCAAGATCTTTGGCACATCGCTCTCGGAATAATCTTCCATCTTCTTTGGTAGTATGACGGCGAGCGCGCGCGTGAAGGCTGTGGCAGTAGAGGCCCCTTTGCCAATCCTCCGACGAGATCGAGCGACGAAAGCACGAAGAGGACTCAATCGAGCTTGCTCAGCGTGGTGACGTTCTTCACTTTCGCGATCTTGCTTATCCTGCTCTGTCCGCCGTTGCTGTCTCTTGGCACGAGCTTCGCGCTGACGTTTGCGTGTGAGCGATTCGGGCAAGATGAACAAGACGCCTAGGACTTCCAAGCTATGGACCGCCGTCGTGAGGTAGAATGGCAAGAGAACGTTGCCCGATGCTCTGACGACGACCGAACCAATGATCTGATGTGTGCTCAGGCCGGTTCCGATGCAAGGTCATAGACACTTACAGGTCCAAGAGCAATGCCGCCGAAGAGCAACCCCGAAAAGACTGAGAATATGCGCGCTCTGAGCACGACGTGAGCGGGCGACGGATAGTGGAAGAGCCAAGGATTTACCTTGAACCGGCTTCGGTGCAATCAGCTATATAAGCATTCGTACACGCTGTGGCAGTCGCATAGCCTCCCAACAAGCCATCAATGAGCGGTCTGCCCGGCATAGTCAGCATATGTGCCCACGGAAGGGGATGCGGCTGACCCCAGGACTAGCATGCGATAATCGACGACGTGCGAGAATTTGACTGTGAGCAGAAAGACAAGGTCGGCAGAAAGCAGACCGATGAGTGAGACCGTCATGATTGATAAGCGACCGCGTCGATCGCTCATGGAACCCCAGTACCCTGCTGTAAAAGCGGACAGAATGCCCATTGCAAGTGTGATCATAATATTCTGGGCACAGTCTCAGGATCGGTCTGAGCAAGCACGTGAGGGACTGACAAGTTGCGCTACTTTGCGCTGTACACGAGGAGATTGCCGGCATTGCTCGGGCGTCATGGCTTCGATTTGATCTGCTACACTCGAAGAAACGAAAGTGAGATCAATACTTGAGGATTGAGTGCTCGAGCCGTCATATGAAGGTGCGTTGTATTGTATGATAGATGTCGAGTTGTCGCTCATGGGATACAGTCGTTGACAGACGAGTGCGTTGTAGATCTCAACCTTGGGACCTATGGTCATGCCCATACAGGTCGCCATGGCCAAGCTGGTCGGTATGAGCCATAAAGGGCTCGGTCGCTTGTACCACGGTCGCTCATCAAACGGTATTTCGTGATCTTCCTCGTCATCGTCGACCGAGCGGGAACGACCAGCAAGCAAGGGTGTGCGCTCGTCGATTTTTTGTGTGGGAGCAGTTTGGCTCGATGCATCACTGTCGACGAATGTAGGGCTCCCGACGGGGGGTTGCTCGATCGCCAATGCACCTTCGATGAGCGTGCCTCCGTCGCTCGGTGCTGGCGGTGCCGTGCCATCTGACGGAGACCGAGATGCCATGATCCTACTATGCTGGTCGAGGCAGAGCGGGGCAAGCTGCTACGATGCTCATGAGGCCGCTGTCGCTATCGTTGGAGATGCTGACGAAGCGAGCTGTCGCAGATGATCCGGTGATCGACATTGATCAGCTCGCGCGCTTCTTCTCCGGGCGCAAAGACCGAGCCATGTCATGATCCCACTATGAGGTGCATCAACTGCTCACACGAGGTCGCCGCACACCCTCCTTCTCGCTGCATCCCTGACGCCCGCCCGCCGATGCAGGTCAGCCAGCTATACGAATCGTTCGGCAAGGGTCATGTCGTCCTCTCGCCTTGCGTGCGTCTACAAAGCCCACCTCCTCCTTTGCCAGACTCATACGTGCTCCGCAGCCAATATGCAGCATGTTTGCCGACGTGTATACCGAAGTCGGCGAGGGCTGCTTGCTCATGCTCGACCTGCTCCTCATGAAGAAAACGGCAATGCGTCATCTGCTCTTCAATCACACTGAGCTGCGCGCGCTTCAGCCTCAAGCCCCTCGACTGTCTCTGACTGCTCGGCTTGCGATCGCCCTCATCTCGCTCAATGGATGTGCGTCGAGCCAATCCGCGCAAGGTCGGATGACATGCTGACTCGCCCGACCAGATGTCAGATGGGCTCGACAAGGTTCGCCAGCGTACCTCAAGCGCGCTGCCATGGCTTGATAACTTGCCGTAGTCGACAGTCTTGCGCTATCTCAGGGCGAGGGAGCCCTGTACACGCCAATATTGCTTCGAGAGCTCGCTGTGGCAATACTAGTAGAGGCCCGAGGTCGGCCCCCTTGACTCCATCGCTCTGTATGCTTACGACGTCGGTTCCCAGACACTGCACTCCTGCATGCCACCATGACGACATTCGTACGAGCTTTCCTCCAGATCCGGGGGCGCAAAGTCTCGTATTTCGAGTGAGTCCGGTCCATACAGCTTTCTCGGTCCCACTGAAGCGTGTGGCAGCTACCGACTCGTCCCGCTGACTCTCTTGCTGTCTTCTCTGACATCTCTGTTCGGCTTGATGGCCATGGCGCTCTTCCGTGGCGCTTACAGCAAGTTATCTGACCGCGCTGTGGCGACGACAGCAGCACACGCGCCCGAATTCATGCAGATCTGGCACGCGGTCCAATCTGGCTCGCTGCTGGCACTGAAGGACGAAGTACTCCGATGGATGCAAGCTGGTCTGCCCGTCACTTCTGTGCAGGATGGGCTAGCGTTACTCTCCGCGATCGTCGGTCTATCGAGTAAGCGCGCTCACACTCTCAAAGGCTGCGATGGCTGAGACTAAAGCCTCGGATCTAGTGTTGACGAACGCTTCAATGCTCACGAGTGGGACGTTGTACTGCTCTGGGTGGGCATTCACCACACTGCTCCTCACGCAACTCGACACGAGCAGATTGTCAACATGGATAGGATTGTGACAGGACAAAGCGAGCTAGATCCGCAGCGACAGAGAAATCTTGTTGTTGTCTTGCCATTTCGCGTGTGCGGATCAAAAGGGTCGGAAGGGTTGTGTTAGCGACAGAATCTCGAGATAGATGCAAGACCGGAGACCAGAAGGCGGCACTAGATATTCCGGGCCGATTGATCGGCCAGACGAGGCATCACAGCGACAGGGATGATCGTCAGACCACCGGATCTAAGCACGTTCGCCACGGAGACGGCGAGCGAGCGAGATGTCCTTGGGTTGGATGGTGACTCGCTTGGCGTGGATGGCAGCCAGATTGGTGTCTTCGAAGAGCGAGACAAGGTAAGCCTCTGACGCTTCCTGGAGGGCCAGGACGGCGGAAGACTGGAAGCGGAGATCGGTCTGTCAGAACGATAGGCCTTCATCAGTCACTGCTCATGTGATGGTGTGCTCTCGGCTGACCTTGAAATCTTGAGCGATCTCACGCACGAGGCGCTGAAAGGGCAGCTTGCGGATGAGGAGCTCGGTCGACTTTTGGTAGCGACGGATCTCACGAAGGGCGACTGTGCCTGGACGGTAGCGGTGAGGCTATGTGGTCAAAACAGAAGTCGCAGAACAGACAGGACAGAGTCAGCTCTGCGCTCATCAGACACTCCTGAGGCAGTGACAGACCTTCTTGACACCTCCAGTCGAAGGTGCAGACTTGCGAGCGGCCTTGGCGGCGAGTTGCTTGCGAGGTGCCTTACCACCCGTCGACTTGCGAGCAGTTTGCTAGAGGGCGACAAACCAGGTCAGCACAGTTCTCGGACCCAAGCCTGACTTCATCTACCTTTGTGCGTGCCATCTTCTGTTCTTACCGGATGTTGACGAGCAAGGCGAGTTGTTCGTCGAGATCGTCAGCGGTCGATGGGAATATGGCCGTGTGACAATTACTGATGACACTCGCAATGAAATGCAATGTCACAACGCCGGAAAGTCTTTGCTTCTATCCTTAGCCTCTATGATCACTCGCTCGACAATCTCATTGTACCGCACTGGATCTTGAGCAAGTATCGCGTGCCCTCCACCTTCGAAGAGAATGTATTCTGATCCGGGAAGATGCTGATGCAACCAGACGCTCTGGCTCGGATTGATCAGATTGTCATCGTCTCCCGTCAACACGATGACTTTCGGTATCGTGTTCGAGATTGTCAACAACTGCTTCTTGTCGACGCGATGACCCATGGCAGCGCCGAGCTGAGAGACTCTGCCGTGAAACGGCTGAAGTCGGGTCATATAGTAGCGCTTCAGATACTCTTCCTCCTTGACTGTTCTACGTGTGCGTCCCTGCGCATCCGCCGGATCGGGTTGATCTAGCCAAGCGGCAGGAAAAAGTGTCCTGACGATAAATTGTACGCCGGCCTTTGGCGAGCGAATCTGGCCCGTGAACAGCTTCGTGAACAATGATACTGCGCCGAGCTATGAAGGTTCGCGTCAGAGTATGTCTTACGTTGTACTGTGAAGCATACCGGGGGAAGGTCACCTCCACCCGCTTTGGTGGAAGTCAGATTGAGCGACAGGATGCGTTCGGGAATGATCAGAGCGACGTGCTCGACGATCATACCGCCCAACGAGACACCGACAACGTGAAGGCTTCTTTTCTCTGTCCAGCCGACGTAGTCAAGCAAGTCGACAATGTCATGAGCCATCTCGGTCGTCTTGTACCGTCCCTGTGGACAATCGCTATTGCCCACACCGCGATTGTCGAGCACTAGGACTTGCGTATTCTTCTTCTTGCCAAAGTGAGCTACCTGATACGACCACGCATTGCTACTGTTGTTCAGCTGTGTCGGTAAAGTCCTTCAGCCTTGCTGCCATTGCGGGAGCCATTGCACTGACGCCCATCACAAACACGATCTGCCAATACATCAGCCCATGCTGTACAAGGACTTTCCGAGCGCACCTTGTCTTGCGCGCTCTTTGGGTCGCCATGCTGCGGGATGATCAGCATCATAGATCGGCAGCATCAAGTTGCACACAATCTCAAAGTAGACATTATGCGTCTTTGGGGTCCGGTTCTTCGAGACCGGTGCGAGACCTTTGCGCACGCAGGTTGCAGGGTCAAAGATGCTGCAGCGCGAGGAGTCAGTAGAGCGTTGTGAAGCCGCTGGTAGCGAACGCACGTCTCGTTGAGCTTTGCTTCCGTCGCCGTCGCCATAAAGCTTGAAGAGGTCTGCTGGCCTGAGTGATATCGACGAAATTCCGGGGCAACAGAAAGAAAGTCGCCGGGCGATCTTTGCCACCTCACGTGAGCACGCACGACAATGCAAAGACAGGTAGGTACAAGCGATATTGGCATTCTCATGCATGCGAAGCGAGTGGCAACTCAGCTGCACGTCAAGTAGGTGAGCTCCTATGCTCTTCAGGTTGTAGTGGAAACTGACCCTCATGAGTGTGCCACGCTTTGTGAGTGAACGCCTGGCTGCCTTGCGCCATGGAGACGCTCGATCGTGAGATTGCGTCAGTACGGTAGAAGTCCGCAATGGGCTTCTGGAAAGCGCCCGTCTTTCCCTTTGGCAGCGTAGCCTTGCCTGCATTCGCCACTAGCGCCTGAAGACCGACATCGATCGCGCTCGTCTTTTCTGCCGTACCGTAGCGTACGAGCGAGGGACAGACGTCCCACATCCTGTTGCGTAGCTCGACGAGCTCATCGTAGGGCAGCGTCTCGCCGACTGCCTCGCTGACCGCACGGACGATCTTCCAATCTTCTCTCGAGGCTCCGGGAGGCGACACCGCTGCGCGTCCGAGCTGTGTTCTGCCTTCGGTATTGACCCAAGTGACGCCCTTCTCCGTGTATGCTGCACCTGGCAAGCAGACATCGGCGTATTGAGCTCCAAGGTCGCCGTGGTGTCCCTGGTAGACCACGAAAGCGTTCTTGGGGATCGAGCTAGGATCAAAGTCATCGGCATTCAGCAAATAGATGAATTTTGGAGTCGCCTTAGCGGCCTCCTTGGACGGCACGAAGCCGATATCATAGGCCGCAGCGCGAGACGCTGCCTGTCACGACCAGCTCTATAAGCCAAGTCCAAAGTATATGGTAATGCTAACGAACCCTTTGCAGAGTACTGAAGCCGTTCCATTCCGGCGTGATGAATCTATTCTTGTTCGCATGCACGTACTTCGCGAGGGTCTCGTAGACCGCGCCTCCTTCCGCATGCTCCGAGATGGCGCTACCAATGATGATGAGCGGCTTTTTAGCTTGCGCAAACTTCTTTGCGAAATCGCCCTTGCCCGCCACGAAGTCTTTGACGGCTTTGAGATCCGTACCGATGTGCTCCAGCTCGACTGTGCTATCGAAGCTCTCCCCGATCAAGCCTACATCTAGATCACCTCTGACCCATGACTTTCGGAGCCTCGTGTTGATGATGGCAGCTTCATGTCGAGGGTTAGTGCCGACGAGCAGTACCTGATCAGCCTGCTCCACTTGAGGAATGGTCGAATTAAAGAGGTAGTTAGATCTGAAATCGATGCCGTGCGCGGGAGCTGAGGAGCCTCCTGTTTGATCTGTTGTCAGATTGTCGGAGCCTAGTCTGTTCAGCAAGTCTTTGAGTGCGACCATGCTTTCAGAGTCTGCCAGCGCGCCGGCAATGCCCTGAATTTGATTGCCCGTTGCGCCAGACTTTGCAAGTCCTTCACCGACAATGTCGAGAGCTTCGGACCACGAGGCCGGTACGAAGCGCTCGCCCTGTCGAATGAGGGGCGTTGTCAATCGTTGTGTCTTGAGTCCATCTAATGCAAATCGAGTCTTATCGTTGATCCATTCCTCGTTGATCTCATCGTTCGGCCGTGGCTGTATCCGCATGACTTGCACACCTCGAGACTGAACGACGATGTTGGAGCCTACAGCATCGAGGACATCGACAGACTCGGTGTGCTTGAGCTCCCACGGGCGTGCTTGGAAAGCGTATGGCTTGCTCGTCAGCGCGCCGACGGGACAGAGATCGATGATGTTGGCAGACATCTCCGAGTCGACGGTCTTTTGTACGTACGAGCCAATTTGCATGTCATTACCTCGTCCCGTTGTGCCGAGATCTGTCACGCCAGCGACATCGTTGGCAAAGCGTACGCATCGGGTGCAGTGGATGCAACGCGTCATGACGGTCTTGACAAAGGGTCCCATATCCTTGTCTTCGACTGCGCGCTTGCCGGTGATCTCATGAAAGCGAGATCGATCAGAGCCATAACGCATTGATTGATCTTGCAAGTCGCATTGGCCACCCTGATCACAAACTGCCGGGCTTCTTCAGCCAGAGCCAGGGAGGAACGGCAGACGAAGCTTACTGGGACAGTCGAGCGGGTGATTTGCGAGCAAGAATTCCATGATGCCTTCACGAGCTTTCTTGACCATGTCGGTGTTGGTGAAGACTTTCTGACCCGGCAGAGCAGGCATCGCGCAAGACGCCTGTGGCTTCGGTGGCCCTGGCTTGACTTCTACCAAGCACATCCTACATCCCCACGAATGATCAGCATGTGGCGTTGCGACAACATCGGTGAATGTACCTGCAATTGCCAGCCTAGATCGCGAGCCTGAGCATCAGCCGAGGCACCTTGATGACAAGTGGAGTGAACGCACGATGGCTAGTCCGGTGTGGTAGCAGAAGCGAGGGATAGAGACGCCCGCTAGCTCGCATGCTTGAATGAGTGAGCTGCCTTTGGGCACAGAGATGCTCTTTCCATCGATCTCGAGCGTGATCATGTCGGATGAAGTGGCAAGACTACGTCCAGCTTGAGGCATGGCTCGTCTGGCCATAGTTGGCCGTAGCGCTGCTCTTGCGAGCATGCCGGATCGGAGCATTGGTGGCACAGGCGTGGTCGTTCACCCCCAGGCCAGGTTATACGTGCGAGTGGATTGGCCACGATTAATATGACAAATCTGAATCGACTTGAACGTCAAAAGATCAAGCTGGGGCTACACCGAGTCGATCATGGCTTCAGGCAGCGGCGTAAGCACCCTTGCAGATCTACTATGCAGCTCAATGACTCTATGTTCGTACAGGCCATCGATCTGGCTGATCTCGAGGAAGCATCTGCTTCTACTTCGGCTGCGCTCCACCCAGAAACGAACAGATTGCTCGCAGAACTCGAGCGCAAGACACAAGCACGCAAGCTAGCTATCCCCACCAATGATGTCGACGTTCGCGCAAGGCTACGAGAGCTCGGAGAGCCCATCACGCTCTTTGGCGAGAAGCGAGAGGACCGTCGCGACCGTCTGCGAACGGTCGTCTCTGAAGCTGCCGCGAAAAGAGGCGAGACCTTTGATGCTAGCGAGAGCGATAGCTCCGACTCGGACGACTCCGACAAGCAAGAGGAGTTCTATACCGAGGGCTCCCAGGCATTGCTAAGGGCGCGTTCTGCCATGGCGCAACATTCCTTGCAACGCGCGCGAAAACGCTTAGCCCGTCAGAGGCTGGAAGCGAGCATACCTCTCGGGCGCATACTCGACAGGCGGAAGCAGATCTATGCTGAGCTCAAGTCTTATACCATCCTGGGATCTCAGCTCGCGGACGAGCGACCCATCAGCGCGACTCGATTTAGTCCTAATTCTGCCTATCTCGCAAGTGGCAGCTGGTCGGGAGCAGCGAAGATCTGGTCAGTTCCAGGATGTCGATGTCTGGGTCACTACCGAGGCAAGCTCGTGGGTCCTCGTTGGATGTGGAAAGGTTAACAGATTTTGACCTCGCAGGACACGCCGAGGAGCGGGTCGGAGACGTGCAATGGCATCCCCAAGCCACGCTCTCCCAGTCTGAAGGCGCCCTGAATTTTGCGACATCAGGAGGAGATGGCAACATCTGCCTCTGGTCGCTTGATGGGTCAGTGCAGCCTTTCCGACTCATTCTTTGCTGAACCTCAGACTTTGCTTACAGGTTAGACTCGAAAGGCAAAGGTGCTGCGCCGATAGTTAACATCAATCCACTCTCGACTTTGACAGGTCATTCAGCACGAATATGTAGAATGTCTTTCCATCCAACAGGCAGCTATCTCGCGTCTGCCTCGTTCGACGAGACATGGCGATTATGGGACGTCGAGAAAGGCACCTGTTTGCTCGAGCAGGAAGGTCATTCGAAAGCAGTCTATGCCATAGACTTCCAAGGAGATGGAGCGCTTATCTGTACAGGGTTAGTACGCCGTACACTTGTTTGGTGAATTGTCTGACGCTCGGCTGTAGCGGTCTCGATGCGATCGGGCGAGTCTGGGACACACGGTCAGGCAAGACTGCCATGGTACTCGATGGACATGTGCGAGACATCCTGGCCATCAATTGGGCACCCAACGGGCACGTCCTGAGCTTCTTATCATGCCTATCAGAGCTGATATGGCAGCTACGATAGGCATCAGATTGCGACGGGCTCAAATGACGATACCGTCAGGATATGGGACATTCGATCTTTGCGATCCATCTATACGATACCGGCGCATAAGTCGGCTATCTCCGACGTCAAATTCTTCCATTCGACAGTTCCTTCATTCCCAATGACGATCAAGACTGACGAACCTGCTAAACCGAATGGACATGCAAACGGCAATGGCAAGGAGATGGACGCAATCAAGAAGGAAGAAGACGACGGTGAGAGGGATCGCAAGATGCTCATCGAGCAAGATGAAGTCAGAGAGATCGTCGAGCCGCCTCTCTCGGGCGTCTTTCTCGCGAGCGGTGCTTATGACGGCTTTGTGCGGATCTGGAGCGCAGACGACTGGCAACTCATCAAAGCGGTCTCCAGCGAATCAGGTGGTAAGGTCATGTCCATCGACTTGTCCGGTGGTCAGTCACGCTGCATTGTAGGGTGCGATCGCGCTGAACGGAGGGAGCAGATGGCAAGTATCTTGCCTCGGGCGAGTACAATCGTACATTCAAGCTTTATGCTGCAGAAAACATTGCATTGTGAAAGGCTGGGACCATGCTCTCCCTTGACACTAGGTGTTGTGACGCTCGTTATGGAGCTGTAGGTAGTAGGCGTCCCTCGTCGTCACTGTATGCCAGGGTCAATCAACACGGTGGCCTGCATTCGCACAGGAGAAACGGACCCTTTGGAACGTGCCAGCCGTACCTTTCAGAACCATTGGCCGATCAGCATGGATTGATGAAAAGGATACAAGGACTGACCACCACCCGTAGCCCAGTGCTACGCCTGCACCCATTGAAAAGGACAGATCGAGTATGAGCCTCCTACGGAGCTTTCCAGCGATAGGTGCGATCGCCATCTTGTTCACTGCAGATAGTTGGACCCCGTGTGAGCGCTGTCGGCCAATGCAGGCGCTCCTAAGTGACCTTCTTGCTTGCGAAGATGACCACTAGGCGAGGGCTGGAGCGCTCGCTGGACAAAACTCGGCGCGAGAATTGTCTGGCCCTACTAACTTTGAATTAGCTCGCTCGACGACTCGGCAAAACTGCTATGGCAGCCTATGGCGATGCTACGAGCTCCTCAGAGCTGGTGTCGAGCCCAGTCAGTCTACAAGTGCGCATACCGTTGGTCAGCAGCTCAATGAATGATGGCAGGACCCAAATCACCCTGCAAATCTGATCTGCGAGCTATGTCGTTGCTTCTATCAGCTCGGCTGGGTCACGGGCAAGCCAGTCACTTCAGCGCAACAGCGCTAGCTCACATGCGTGTGTATAGGCACCGGAGGGGGCATCAGTATACGTGATGAGTGAGCTTTGGACTCAACAAAGCACAAGAAGAGCTGCTGAACGTGCCTGCAGCCAACACGTCTACATTGCACCCTCAGGTACCTCAAGCGGCATTTGCGATATTGTCAAGCTCACGACTGCTTGACAGGCGTGCAAAAAGAACGTATCGCCCCGGAAGACATCTTCGTCATGAAGCCCGACCGTACATTTTTTCGGAAACCTGCGCGACCGCTCAAGCATAGTGCCTGCACGCCGCTCTTCTTCAATGCCTACGATCTGCGACAAGCAGGTGCATGTATACAGTCAGCCTGCTGACTAACTTTGACCCGCATGTGCTCAAAAGCTCCAATTAAACAGTACTCACTCGCAACATGCGGTGATGGCAACCCTTCTCTGGCGCGGCAAAGAATTCAGAGTACGACCCTTGCGAGCCCAGCCGGATTTAAGATGCTCACAAGTCGGCAGATATCGCATCAAGAGATGATCAAAGGCATGCGAGTAGCAGGGACAGGAAAGGCGTTGAGCTATCTCGATACGCTCGTGATACCTATTATCGAAAATACGCCAGATGAGGAGGATCTGCGCGAAGGCATGGAGCAAGCCATGAAGGACTACCCCGATGCGTGCGTGCCTTTTTGCGCGTTCTGACGAGATCGAATCTGAAATCCGGCGCAGTCCTGCCGTCCTTGTACGAAGGCATGGCTTGTACATCTGGGGCAAGGACTGGACGAGCGCAAAGGGTCAAGCCGAGTGCTTGGACTATCTGCTCGAAGTAGCCGTCAAAATGAGAATGATTGGCCTCGAGACCGAGGGGTTGCCTGTTTAAAATGTTCAAGAATTTGTTGGAAACTGTTGAGCTACGATGCATCGCGCGGGATCGTTTCCGTGAAAAATCGTTGGGTTCGAACGAATCAACAAGACGGCCAACACTGCTGGAGATCGTCACGCGACATGTCGTCAGGGTACGCTCGCTTCCATTGTTTCATCAGTATGTAGCCGGCTGATACTCGAGCTTTGCAGCGAGCGCATTTGCGATGTTTGCTCGTCCAGCAATGTCGTCAATGATCCAGGCAATGGATCTCTTGTCTGCATCGACTGTGGAAGTGTCAGTGTTGGGCTCTCTTGCTCTTCTGATTGTTGCTGACAAGGTGACTTGCAGGTCATCGAAGAGGACGCCATTGTCAGCGAGGTCACCTTTGCAGAGACCTCGACCGGAGCCGCAGTCGTCACTGGAACGTATCTTTCTGGAGACGCTGGTCAGTGCTAGCCGCTCTGCCTAACATCATGTGCTCACTGGATCGACTGTGACAGTAAGAGCAAGGGGCACGGGACCCTATCGCAATGGTGCACCTGGTCCAGAGTCAAGAGAGCAGACGCTCGCAAATGGTAAGCTCATCAGATGTCATCATGACATAGCTCACGCCTGCATGCAGGTCGACGCAGAATGCGAGAGCTCGCCAACTCGCTCTCCATCGAGGAGAGGGTCACAGACGCTGCTTCTCGCTGGTTCACCCTAGCAATTCACTCGACGTTCAACAGAGGTCGCAAGACAGACCATGTCGTCGCCGCCTGCCTCTATCTTGCCTGTCGACACAATAAAATGACACTCATGCTCATCGACTTTAGCGACTTGCTCCAAGTCAATGTCTTTGTGCTCGGCCAGACCTATCTCAAACTCGTCAAGAATCTGAATATGAGCGAACGAGTGCCTCTGGTCGATCCCTCAATTTATATTCAACGTTTTGCTGCCCTGCTCGAGTTTGGCAAAGACACTACGCAGGTCAGCCTGGATGCCTCGCGTCTGATACAGCGCATGGACCGCGACTGGATGTTGACTGGCCGTCGTCCTGCCGGTGTCTGCGGCGCTGCACTCGTCATCGCTGCTCGTATGAATGATTATCGGCGAACGCTCTTGGAAGTCACTCAAGTCGTCAAGATCGCCGATATAACCCTTCGCAAACGTTTGGACGAATTCAGACAGACCCAGAGCAGTGATTTGACTGTCGAAGAATTCCGCGCAGTCTGGCTCAGCGAGTCTCGAGACCCGCCCGCCTTCATCCAAGGCCAACTTCGCAGCACCAACGAGATCTCAGATGCGGAGCTCAACAAGCTGATCGGCAGCGATGGCGAGGAGCCCGAGACTGACGGTGAAGCCATCGCATCAGCAAGGGAAAGATTGCGATCCCGCTCTTGCTCCGTGCAACCTGACGATCATCGCGCTCGCTCGGTCTCGGTCGAACGAGTACTGGAGAAGCACCCGGATGTCATCGAAGACGCAGAAGGCTTCAAGGTTCCGGCTGTGCCGAAGCGACCCAGATCGCCGTCGCCAATTGAGAAACAGAACGAGAGAGTTGCAGAGGTGGTGATCAGTGACGATATCTACGCTCATCTCAGCGAGCCAACATTGCAAGAGAAGCTGAACGAGCTCGATCGACAAGAAACAGAGAAAGAGCATCGAATGGCTGCCGAACGCGAACGAGAGCGCCAGCGCAAGGAAAAGGGCGAGTCTGCAGAGACAGATGAACAGCAAGCGTTGCTCGATGCTGCCGGCAGCCTATCGGATCTTGACGAAGACGAGCTGGACGAGTACATCCTCAGTGCTGCCGATCGTGAAGCAAAGACGCGGCTCTGGATAACCTTCAATCGGGACTATCTCGAAAATGCGGCGGCAAAACAGCGCAACGCAGATGAAGAGGGCAAACCTCGACCTAAGCCTCGTGCTGTAGGTCAGATACCTTCCTGCCTGAGCAAACGCTGATGACTCGTTTGCAGCGCAAGCGCAAGAAGGAAGAAGACTCGCCTGGCTTGCCGGCCGCTACAGCCGGAGAGGCTGCTACGATCATGCTCCAGAGCAAGAAGCGTGTTTCCAAGAAGCTTAACTATGACGTTGTCTCGCGGCTCCTCCAAGAGACAGAGGACTCCGCCCGCGCTGCCGCTAGCGGAGATTCAAGTCTTGCCTCTTCGCTCAATGGCAGCCGCAACCCGACGCCCTTTCATGGCTCTGACGATGACGAAGACGAGGACGGGTTCGAAGAGCATACGGGTATCGATGACGAAGATAGGGAATGGCAAGCGCTGCAGGCAAGCAACGCGCCGGAAGAGTTCGAGATCGAGGGAGAGTTGTAGACGGCTCGGAGATGTTGCGTGTACTCTATTCATACTTGTTGTTTGTTGTCTCTTTGCAATTCGCTGTACATCTGCCATGCTTTGCTTGGTAATCTATTGCGACTGAGTGATCGGCTGCCCATACGCCCAATCGTACATCTTTTTGATTCTCGGAAGAGTCACATTAAACACAGGATGCGAAGGTAACACCTCGTTCGATTCAGGACCGAAGCAATAGTCTTCAAACGTACTCTGTATCCAAGCAAGACCCACTGCATAGTTGTGCTTAGCCCTTGCCAATGCCTCTTGCTCCGTTTCGTTTGCGCCGCGGATGATGTCGGCCGGTTCTGGCGCGAGAAAGTCATTCTTGAGCGAATGCAGCGCGTCGAGGGAGTACGCCATCGGATGCTGCGCAGCTGACAAGCCGGAAAGGTTGTAGCAGGTATGATATGCATCTGCTGGTCTGGCAGTAAAGCTGTCAATGACAGCTCTGCAACAACGGAGACAGCACCCACTTTCCAGGCTTGTCGCGAAGGCCACCACCCTCTGCTTGAGCCAGTAATATGACGTATTGCTGCAATCCAACTGTCTGAGAAATCAGTATACGCACTGAGACATTTTTGGGCACTGACCCCGGTCAAACAGCAGGTCGTCAGCTTCGTCCACCCAAGACTGCGTTTCGCCGGGCGCATCTTGTGCTTGCGCAGGCGAATCGAGCGCATTGAGCAAAGAGAAGAGACCTCCACACCACCAGCTGTAGCAGCCATCGACGAGCTTGTTCGACCGACCACGAAATCCGGCACCTTCAACGTGATCGGCCTGCTGCCAAGCCGCCCAACGAAGCAGTGCGTCGATCTGCAGCGGCTTCGTCTCTGTATGCTTGTAGACAAACCCATCGTCGGCGGTCAGAGCCGGCGCGATCTCTGGCGAGACCATGAAGTAAGATGCCAGAGCGCAGAAGGTGTAGCCACCGTGCGCCTCGCCGAACTGCGGCGTGCTCGACGAAGTCTCGAAAGAGTAAGATGCAGAGGCCAAGCCACCTTCGTAAGTCTGACAACTGAGTCGCTCGCAGTTTCAGCCAATCCGAATACATGATGCTGGTGCTGCTTCGTACCTCGCGACAAACCGAGCTGTGCCTTGTGCAAGGTCGGGCGTCAGAATGTTGAGGCAAGAGGCGACGGCGAGAGCGCAATAGCTCCCTCTCACGTCTACTTCACCACCGATGTGCATGACGAAGCTACCATCTGGCTGCTTGAGCGACAAGAGCCACCCATACATCGCCTTACGCTCAATCTTATCCCACTCGCTCTCGACACCAACAATGGCCAAAGCCATCGTCGCGGCGTATGTGGTGGCCAGATGGGCCATCTGACCTGGACCGCCGCCGAAACCACCGTGGGGTGATTGCATCTTGAGCAAAGTGGCTGCGGCTCGGCTCGCCGAGGCAGGATCGAGAGAGACGTTCATGAGTTCGAGAGCATGGAGCGTCCAGTAGAGTAGCCATGGACGCGACGCATCGAGCGCGATGAAGGCGCCCGGCAGTCCGGGCAAGGTGGCAGTGAGAAACCGAGTATGCTTGGCTCGATCAAGCTCGCACCTGTTTGACCGTGCTCAGCTAGCGATGACATCGAAGCTGGAAAGAGCTGACTTTGCCGGGTCACTGACCGCAGTCTGTCCACTGACGGGCAGATACTGCGCTAGCTGAGCCTGTATAGCATCTTCTGTCTCTCTCTGTGCGACAGTCGTCTGGGAACAAGCAGGCGAGTCTGTTGGGCACGACGAACCTGTGCATCTGACGTCTCCGTCGTGATCCCATCATCGGGCACTTTTTGCTTGATAGCAGCGGGACTGTCGAAGGGCAAGCCTCGGCCGAGCGCTGATGCGACGACGGTCATCTTTGTGGAAGTGGGCGCAACATTGCGAGCAAGTCAAACCTGACCCAGCCTTGTGGCCGACGCTGCTCATCTTTCTTCGACGCGACGGAAGCGCGGCAGCTCGCCACACTGACATGAGCGTCTCCACCAGATGCTATGGCGAACGAGCCAAGGCCCATCCTCACAAGCTGGCAAAGCGGCTTCTGACGTTGATGGAGTCGAAGCAGACCAATCTCTGCGTGTCTGTTGACGTCACGACCAAAACGAGCTTTTTGCGCATCGTCGACGCCGTTGGCCCCTATGTCTGCATGATCAAGGCAGGCCGATCTCTCTCACGATGCACCAGTATCTCATTATAGAGCTGCGGGCAGACCCACATCGACATTCTCAGCGACTTTGACGCCGATTTGGTGCAACAACTGCAGAGACTCAGCAAGAAGCACGACTTTCTCATCTTTGAAGACCGAAAGTTTGCAGACATTGGCAATACCGTCAAGCTCCAGTACGAGTCTGGCATTTACAAGATCGCAACATGGGCGCACATCACGAACGCGCATTCAGTGCCAGGCGACGGCATAGTGACTGGACTCAAAGCTGTCGGCTTGCCACTAGAGCGAGGTTTGCTGTTGCTGGCAGAGATGAGCAGTCAAGGCAGCTTCGCAACGGGTAGTTACACTTCCAAAACAGTCGACATGGCCAGGCGACACAAGGAATTTGTCATGGGTTTCGTTGCAGGCAGACGCGTCGATGCAGATGCTGCCAACCCAGATCCTTCAAGCTTACCGGACGATTTCCTCTGCTTCTCACCTGGCGTAAGTTCATGACAAAATGCTCTTGTCCTACGCTGACACATATGACCAATGACAGGTCGGGTTAGCGACCAAGGGCGATGCCATGGGTCAGCAATACCGTACGCCCAAAGAAGTCATCGGCCAGTGTGGCAGCGACATCATCATTGTTGGGCGGGGAATCTACGGCGCTGGTGAGGGATCAGAGACGTCAGTCATTGTAGAAGAAGCGAAACGATACAAGGAGGCCGGCTGGACTGCCTACCTCGCTCGAATTGCTTGATTTTTCATTTGCTATGTTGCAACATTGTCAAAAAATTGCATTCGTGTAGTCATAACGGTCTGCTCTATGCAACACAACACAAATGTCCATCGTTCGATCTTGCGGGCGTGCGCGCTCATAGGTAGCCCGGCTCGCGGGGAGAGCCGCTGTACACGAACGGCGATTGACCACGTGACGGAGGCGGTGAGAATGTCGACGTAGAGCCTTGCGGACGCATGGCAGATGTGCCGTGTCCGTTCGTGTGGGGTTGCTCGGACAAGCTGCCATACGGGTTTCGCTCGACAGAACGAGGTGAGGCGAGTGGTGCGCCATTGTGGCCATCTTGAGATGCGTAAGAAGGCGACTGGAAGACAGATGGTGAGCTAGCCTGTACCTCGCCGCGCGATCGAATGGGCTGGCGAGGCTGGGCGACTTGCTGCTGTTCGCGCGCCTTCTCTTGCGCTCGGATGAAGTATTCGCAGCGGCGTAGAATATCCTTCGAGGTTAGCTCGCTTGGGTTCGAGAAGAGCTCTTGATCCTCGAGTATCGCCACAAATTCTTCAGGCGTCTGCCAGAACTCGTTCTGATGCTGCAAGAGGTCATGCACGGCTTGAATCGCAAGGAAGCTCTCGTCGCGCGATGGGTCTTTGCCTCTGGCATAGAGAATGTTCGGGCAGATGACAGTTGCAAGATTGTGCAGATCCATCTTGCTGCCAGTCTCTTCATCGACGTGCGAGAAGGAGGCAACCCATTCGAGGAAGACAAAGATGACCTCCAGTGTATCGCGATGCGCTTTTGGCAAGAGGCAGCAAATGAGATGGATGATCCGCTTCCTGTCCGCTTCATTCCGGACCTCTGCACGTGGCAGCGATCAGCGCTCACTCATGCGCACGATGGTTGCACGTACTTTGACTTGAAAGCCACAGATTCTGCAACTTGAACGTCATCAGTGGATCGGGCAGCTCTCTTAGGAACTTCTTCAGCAAGGCAGCTAGTTGTACCGGATTGTCGTCTTGGAAGTTGACGCTTGTAGGATCTCTATCGAGCGCATCCGTCAATTCCTTGAGCCGCCGAATGTTTCCGTTCTTCCGAAACACGCCTTCGATCGACATATCTGGGGCCAGTATCAGCGGAGCCCGCAGCTTGGGAGCCATGGGACTTACCCATCTGCTTCATGGCCGAAATGAGATCATCTACAAAGCTGGGCACTCTGACAGGCACCGGACTGCAGCCGTGCAAAGAATCAACGCCGTGACGTTCGATCAGCACTTCCAACGGCACGCCGAAGACGCCTTTCTTCTTAACAGCCTTTTTCTCATTGCCACCCTTGAAGAGTTTGCCCCAGAAGTTGCCCTTGCGCGCTTCTATAATATCGAGCAAGTCTTCCAGGTCGCCGATCTCCTGGAAAGTCGGTAGCTCTGCCAACGTCAAAGCAGCGACATGCTTGACAATAAAGCATTCGAGAGCGGACAGCTCGGACAGCAAGATGCCACTGTTTTGGTGTTGTGCCGCAGAGGGATGCCTTTCCTTCTCCTGCTCAGCCTGCATTACTTGATGCAAATCGGCCAGAGTGATGCCGTTCGAGTCTCGGATCGCATTCGTCATCGTATCGCCATCTCGCGCGCTTGCCGAGACAGGAGACGGCTCGTCCACTATCTTGACAGCCGTCGTTGTCCGAGATAGTGTCGGCCGCGTGGGAGACGTCACAGGTTCCGGCGTCGGACTAAGCATAGGCGGCTGCTCTCTCGGCGGACGCGCATATATCGGTGCGCTTGCCACGCCAGGAGCTGTCGTTGACACCGCATCTCGCGCTTCGCTCGTCCGGCCGGACGAGCTCGAGCTTTCGGTAGGCGCAGACCGCGGCGAGGGACTCGCAATGACGGTCGACCTCTTCGGCTTGCGAGCTGTTGCCGAGTTCTTTCTATTCAGATTGACCGCCTTCATCCGCTTTATGTCATTTGAGTCCTTATAGACCTCGTGAATTGATCCGCTGTCGCTCTGAGCGGACGACTTGCTCGCAAGACCGCGTTGACGTAACAGAGGGTACAGCTTATTGAGCGCGACGCAAAGCAGATAGGCGTATTGCTCCAGCCTGGTCACGTGCTCGAATGCTTCTGCCCGCCGTGCTGAGCTGCATTCGACGCAGTATATGCGCCCATGCCGTGCTCGAGGCGTCCGCTGATCAGACGATGCCGGCTGGGGCTCTATTCGGAAATCTTTCATAGGCAAAGTTGTGTCCGATGGCGCGGATCGCTCTTTGCCTGCTGTACGCTTACACACGGCGCATTTGATACATGTCAAATGCCACCTCGAGGTCGTGCCTTGCCTCGCGCACTCTTCCTCGATGGTGAGGCTACAGCTTTCGCATGTGTCGGATGCAGCTTCGCCTTGACCATTACTCGTGCTGACTGCGGAGATCAGACTACGGTACCCGTATGACCGTTGCCGCTCGAGGTTAACGTCTTTGTCAGACGACTTGATCGCATCACTGTCTCGCGCAAGTCGATCTAATTTGCCCAAAAACGAAGAGATTGCGGTCTTATTCGCGTAGTCGCGTTCGAGCCGAAGCGAAGCAGTGAGCGCTATCCGGATTAAAATCTTCAGATAGTGCGCAAGACCGGTGACAAGCGACAGCAAATCTTGCGTGATGCTCATCTTCTTTTCGCCCGACTCTTGCGTTTGCGAGAGAAGGGAGAAGAAGCTGACGATTTTTTTGCAAAGCATGCGCGCCTCTCTAACATGCGATATCTCTGCGCTGCGGGTCAGTAGCCACTCGCATAACTCATCAAGATCAGCATTACCTCGTGAGCAAGCCAACCGAAACTGCGCGCTGAGATCATCAAGGGCGCAAAAAAGCGCTTCGACATGCAAAACGAAGCGTTCTGCCATGTGCACACCATCCAGATATGCGCCATTGCTGACATGCCGCAACATCTCCGAAATACACGCCGCACTGGATTCTTCGAAGGTGCTCAATATCGTCCAGATCTTGAAGACTTGAGCTTCGATTGCCTTTTGATTCTCCTTGAGTGTTGTTGGCGTCTCTCGAGCTTCGATCGCCCGGTAATCGTCGTCTGGGAGAGGTGAGTCATTGATGGTGCTCCGACTTTGTATGAGCTTTTCAGCCTCATCGGTCGCTTCGCTGTTCTCTGGAGAGGTCGATCCTTTCCGCGTCTGCGTTGTTTGCGCTAAGCGCACATTCCAGAACTGCGGCACATGCATAAGTTTGGGACCATTGCAGTACTGAGCTGGGATAAACACACCTTTGAGATCATGTAGCATTCGGGATGCCAATGTTCATCATTATTGTTTCTGTTGATTTCGACAAATTGCTTCAAGATGGCTGATTTACACCCGGAGCATTTTGTTGCGAACCGCGTCGAGTAATGAAAGTGACAGTAGACTTGTCCACTGTGTTCGTAATACGAATCCGATGGCCCAAAGACGGTCGGACAGACTGAGCAAGTGAAATGCTCGACGTGAAACTTCATATCGAGGGCTGTGATGTAGCTGCCTCGCAGGGCATTGCCGCATTTTGCACAAATGAGATTCAGTCTCTTGAAGTAGTCTTTCTCGCAGAGCGGGTATTGCTTGCCATTGGCGCCATCGACAGGGAAAAATTTCTGCGCTACGACCGTCTGACAGTCTTGACATCTGAAACAATCGAGATGGTAGACAGCACCGAGAGCGCGAACGAATTGTCCATGTATAGCTTCGCCACATGATCCGCAAGGCGATTTGTCTCTGGATCCTGATCCTGTCGATGTCAGGTTGCGTGAGACAGGGCCTCCTGAGGGCTGGAGATCCGGATGCGCAGATACTGCCGCCGATGGTCTCGCTTTTGAGCTGACAGTCGGCGATCGAGCCTGCGTTATTGGCGATGTCAGAGGCGCGTCACCTCGCCCTTTGCCCTTCTCATTCATCTCGCTGACTCCGGTCTTGATGTTCAACAGGACGGGTGAACGGGTGCTTGCGCTGGGCGTCATGACGCGAGAAATTGGGGAAGTCAAGTTTTGACTGATGACAGAGGTTGCAGGAGCCGCTTTTGAGGGCTTGGAACCACTCAGAGATGATGCCGAATGCCTCTTCGATGCGTTCGATTGACTGTTGCTGGCGATCTTGGTCCGGGAGGACGAGCTCTTGTCGCGCCGCGAGGGTGAAGTTTGCTCTGAATCTGCCAAGGCAGAATCGACGCTATGTCGCTTCGCAGCACGCTTTGGCGACGTACTGAGTTTGTCGGACCGCAGCTCTTTGCTGGATGCAGGCGCAGGACGAGCAGGCTTCGAGCTGAGGCTCTTCTTGAGCTTTGCGGGCTCAATTTTGTCTTGAGTCGATTGCGCACGCTGACGAGGCTCTTTGCTCAGAACGATCACGTCGTCAGAACGCCGCTTGCTAGATGCTTTTGGCGAGCGTGACGCGTCGGCGTCCTTCCTTGTCGTAGCTGTTGGCCAGATGATGCCTGCACTGGTGCTGTTTCGACGCGTATCGGTCCCTGCTTCAGACGTGTCGGCAAGGCTCTGTGTCGAGCCTCTCTTTGACGCTTTGCCGCCTTTCCTGGACTCCTTTGAGTGCTCGAGCGGGATAGCTGATACGCCTCCCTGGCCACCAATGCCTCCCAAACAGCTGTCGTAGGCAGGCGTGCGGTCTGCCTGTGCAGAGAGTGGATGCTTGAACTCTTCCTCGACACAAATCTGACCTCTGGGCAGATTCGTCTCGGAGCGATCGTATGAGCTCGTTCTTGCGCGCTCGATGTATTGTCCCTCGCTATTTGTGCTGCGATCAGAGGAGGATGAAGCGCTGAGAGCACCCGGCAAGATGCGAGAGGACGAAGCGTCGCGACGTAACAGGATATCTCGACCACTGGCTTGTGTCGCCACGGGCATCACCGATACGCGTGGATCGGTCTGGCAAGGCCGTCGATGTCGTTCAGTGCGTATGTGCTGGCGTCACTGTGGGGCAACAAAGCACCGCTCAGCTCGATGCCTCCAAAGAGAGCAAGCTGCCTGATGACGTTGCGCGGTGACAGGATTGCTTTGGCAGTTTCGGGCATGCACAGGGATACTTACTATAGCTTCGGGCAGGTGCGCGCAAAGACCATAGACCTGCGCTGGATTGCTTTGGCGCCGTCGGGACAGACACAATGTGCGCGATGATCGGGGCAACAAGCAGTGCTGAGGTTTGTTGTCGGCAGACCGCAAGCTCAAGCTAGATCATAGGAATGCGATTTCACCTGAGCGCTAGACGCCTGTGATGAGCCGAGCTGTCTGTGTACGCCGTCGCAGGGTCGACACGCGTGTTTACGATGCCCGATGCGCCAGAATGATCGAGTCTCGACAAAGCACTGCTCTCGGCCTAGCGAGCAGTCCTGCTCAGCTTGACATGAGCTTAGCAGCACCTCTGGGTTTGTGGGCGTTCTCCTGTGCCGCCGCGTGTCGTGCGTCAGCTGATTTCTTTAGAATCAAAAACCAAGTCTGTCTTTGTCATAAAAGTTGAGCAAAGCCACCAACTTCCGCAAGAAGGCTCCTTACAACCACTGACTCAACATGCCGGCCAAGACGTTAGTGACTTCTCCTTTGCTCTCGACGCATCGCTAGGGAGCTACCACAAAGCACGCTGCGGCTGCTCTGCACTGCTCCCCTGTCGTCCTGCGAGAGTCTGCAGCGTCTGTCAGGCTGGCAAAATTGCAAGTCAGGCAGACGTTGCTGCTCTCTGCAGTTGAAAGCCTAATCAGAGTCCAAGAGAACATGCGTTGACGCTTGTTGCTTCTTCCTCTTGATAGCACCGTACCATCCGCCCAAGACATCCTCGTCCCCGAGACGCTCCTCAAGGCAAGTGCTTTGGCCTCACTCGGCTTGGGTCAAGCTGACACCCTCGTCATCTTGGCAGAAGCGCAAGACCAATGAGAAGGCTCGTGAAGAGCGTGCAGCACAAGCATCTGCCGTCAAAAAGGTACGATCGGGTTCTCCTTAAGATCTCCTCTGCCCGTCAATCTTTCGTCGCTTTGCTTTGATGAAGGACAACATATACCCAAATTTCCGAGCCGCAAGCCGGCAATGAAGTCACAACGACCAATCATACCATCTTTCGGGACTGAGCACACCAGCTCTCGCGCTCTCTGCTCACTCGGAAAATCTGAGTTCGGCGGCTGACGCGAATCTGCTTGACAGGAGAGGAAGAGCAAGCGCACCGTCATCTTCAAACGTGCAGAGCAGTATGTCAACGAATATCAAGCGGCCGAACGCGAGGAGATCCGCCTCCGACGTCTCGCAAAGTCAAAGGGCGAGTTCTACGTGCCAGCCCAGCCAAAGGTCTACTTTGTCATCCGCATGCGAGGTATCAACGAGATCGCACCCAAGCCTCGCAAGATCTTGCAACTCCTCCGTCTGCTCCAGATCAACAATGGCGTCTTCATCAAGGTCAACAAGGCGACCTCTGAGATGCTCCAACTCGTTGAGCCATACGTCACCTATGGCGAGCCCAACCTCAAGTCGATCCGCGAACTGATCTACAAGCGAGGCTATGGCAAGATCAACAAGCAGCGTATCCCTCTCAGCGACAATGCCGTCATCGAGAAGACCCTCGGCGACAAGGGCATCATCTCCATCGAAGATCTCATCCACGAGATCGCGACCTGCGGGCCAAACTTCAAGCAAGCCTCCAACTTCCTCTGGCCGTTCAAGCTCAACTCGCCCACCGGCGGCTTCCGCGCACGCAAGTTCAGAGCATTCATCGAGGGCGGTGACGTCGGCAAGCGAGATGATAAGATCAACGCGCTCATTCGCCAAATGAACTAGGCTCATCGAGCTCAGTGTTGTATCTGCTGGTTGCAAGTTTGGCGATGCTACAACATGCTACAGACCTTGACTGTCCAGGCGTGAAAGCCATAATTTGACCGCCTTGCTTTCCATGTGACCTGCAGCCCTGTCGCCGACTTTTTCCCAATCTGGCACACGTATCAGCCAGATCTTGGCAGGACGGCCAAACTGCGAACCTTTGGAATAGGCGTCAATCAGAGCCTGGCTAGCGAGTCCATCTATTCTTTTGAGCTCCTTTGGCGCTGTGGCACTCTCACTGTTGCTACCGAGACGGCCAGCGCACTGCCATGGCCAATGTGAGAAAGGCTACCGTATGAGCAGGACAAGACTTGCCAATTTCAGACCTATCGCTGCCCGTCTGCCTGCGCCGCCTTTCTGTGCTGGACCGGCCAACTCGAGAGCGATGCAGAAATAGCGATAGGCGAGCTCGAATTGGCCCATCGTATACGCTGTTTCGGCGTACTGTAGCGCGTAGAGCGGACTCTGTGGAACGAGTAAAAGTAGATCGGCCAGACAACTCAGAGCTTCCTTCAGCCTGGCCGCTCGTCATGTAAGCATGTCTTGCGAACGGGAGAAAGGGATGTACATATTGCGTGAGATGTAGATCTCTGCGAGCTGTGACCAGCCCTCGATGTCATTGTAGACCGTGTCCAGATGCTCGATGAGGAGCTCGACGCCGCGCTGCTCGCTGAGTCGCGGCGGACGGGCTTGTGAAAGATGGAGCGCTATCAACCGCTTACGCACAGCCTGAGGGTCATCTTTAGCACTGGCGCATGCGGCCAAGGCAAGCCGACTTGCCGTATTCGTCTCGGTCTTTGCGAGTTGCGCCTCGTAGTATTCGAGTGCTGGCATGACCTCGCCTTTTGCTTCGAGTAGCATACCATGTAGTGGCGCCACTCTTGGCGAGTCAGGGAACTTCTTCTCCAGTCGGGCAATACAGCTCTGTTCCACCAACGTCAACGCGCTCCTGCGCCAATGCCTATTGCTCACGCTCGCTAAACCGAGCTGTCCAATGTCGAGAGCGGACAGAGCGACTTGCTCCAGCATAGGCCATACTGGGCCAACAAGCATGAGCATCGAGCTACGTGCGCAGCCATTTGAATGCGCTGACGATCATCCGAGTCTGGCAGCCTGAGCAATCGCTTGGCGATGATGCAGACTTCCTGAGAGCGTCGTTGGGGATGATTCCGGAGCTCTTTGAGCGCTCGCTCGTCTTCGACAAGCGTCATCCTGCGCGCAGTGCAAGCTATAGCCCACCAAGCCGGTGGATGTCGTGCGTCAACGACGTCCTCGTCGCGCGCGATTTTGTCGTCTTTGCCGGCGACTGACTGTTGTCACATCCCTCGGGGCATCGAAGTCCACCCACAGGAGACTCCCGTGCAGCTGCATGCATGCTCGAAGTGCGGTCTCGCACGCTTGGGGCATATCATCAATATATGCATCATCGAGCAAAATTGCATTCCGTCATGCGACTCACTTCCGTCTTAGCAGCCTCAGCACACCTAGCAGACGGCTCCTATGCGCTGTACCACCCGGCCTGACTCATTTGAACACAGCGGAAGACCATGAGCTCGCCACGCAGTGGTGCGATGCGTTCAGACGCGCCGATCCAATGTCGGCGCTGCCTCAAGGTCAGATAGTGCACGATCAGTTGAGATATTGCTGACGGTAGGGGCGACATAGGCTTAATCAAAGTGACATTCAATCGTAGCAGCGGGCCGGGCGGTCAGGTAAGCTCCGTTTGCACAGCTAGCTGCTATCTGCTGACGCGCCTCTACTTGACAGAATGTGAACAAAGGCAGGTACTGTAGCTGTGCATCTCGAGATCGTCTGACAGGTAAAAATCAGTCAACTCGAAGGCGACGCTGCGGCTTGACCTACAGCAGCAGACCGGCCAGTCTTGGGCGCCCGATTATGTCGTTCGCGCTCTCGCACATAGCGTACGTATCGCCTCAGAACGTGCGAGACTGTCTTGACATTCGCAGATAGCCGCTATCGAGCAGCAATGGCACGGCGGTGGTGCTAGCGTGTGATTCCGAGCGCACACAGCGCGATAATCTGCGGGTTGCGCACGAGCGCTTGCACAAACTCGTACTCGATGCCGCTCAGCGCGACGTCAAACGCCCTACTTCAGCGGCCACCCAAGAGCGAGTCGAAAAGCTCGTCAAAGTCGGTGTAGCAAAGCGTAAGGAGGCTAAACAACGTCAAAGCGCCAAGCGGTCTGCGCGCAAGCTTGTCTACGATTAACGCATCCCTGTCTGTGCGCCTGATGGCTGCGCTTCTCAGGCCAGATGTGTCGTATGGTGCTCAAGACATACAGCCATCAATAATGGCCGGTCCGCTCTCTCTGACTCGCTTCCCTCATGCGTTTCTTCGGTCCAGCGCTAGTCGTGATCGCTCTATGCGTATCTGCGCTCGCCGCCCGAATGGGCCCAGCTGGGGGTTCAGATGTCTCGACGACAGGCTCGTCAAGCAGACTCATCCGGCGATCTCGTCTGGGCTACGCAATGTCGCCCTCTATCAAGACGCAATCTAATGCTACTTCCCGCGTCCTCGCAGACAAATCGGCATTTGGCGGCTGGACCGATCTCTCTGACCCGGCAAGCAAAGGTGCCAAACTACTATTCAAGCGTGTTGCCCAGACCAAGAATATGCCACACGCACAATTGTATCTGACGCAGCATATCAATGCTGCGCTGATGCGGCAAGCGCGCTTTGCCGGATCTGGCGTCAATATAGATGAACATGCTCAGCGACTTACGAAGCGATGGGAGTCTCTTGGCAAGCCAGCAGAACATCTCCTCCTGCGCAAACGGGATGGCTTCCCCGCAGCAGCAGCAAAGGCAGCGGCGAATAATACTATCACGCTCAGCAGACCTCCCCTTGCGGTCAACACACTTGCTCTGGATATCCAAGCGAACGACATTGGCTACTTTGCTACCTTCCTGGTAGGTACCCCGCCGCGACCATACAAAGTACTCGCAGACTCCGGCTCCTCCGACTTTTGGCTGGCTTCGACACAATGCACCGATTGTGGACCTCACCAAAAGCTCGGGCAGGACAATTCTAAGACATTTCTGGCCAATCAGACCACCTTTAGCGTCAAATACGGTACGGGCGAGGTCAGTGGCGATCTGGCGACGGACACGCTGATGCTCGGCAATCTACTTCTGCCCGCCCATCGCTTCGGCGTGGCAACGAAGGAGTCCGTCGATTTTTCGGCAAGCGATGTGCCCTTCGACGGCTTGATGGGTCTTGCCAAGAGCAAACTCTCAAACCAGAAAGTTCTGACGCCTATTGAAGACTTGGCTGCACGAGGGCTGGTCAAAAGCGCTCAGATGTCATATGTGATTCCTAGATTTCAAGACAATGCAGCGGACGGGCTCAACAGCGGCCAGATCACATTCGGCGGCGTGGATCTGTCTCGTGTCAAGGCAGGTAGCAAGATCCAAACGCTTCAGAACGTCAACAAGAAGGGATTCTTTGCAGCTGCAATGTCGCTTTCGGTGAATGGCGAATCACTGAACATGACCAATCTGGAAGCTCTGCTCGACACTGGAACAACATTGATCGTCGCCCCTGATCCCATCGCAAAAGCGATTCATGCTCAAATACCAGGCGCGCAAAGCGACGGCCAAGGCGGCTTCACAATCCCCTGCACGACGTCCAATACTGTTACCCTCACATTCGATGGCGTGCCTTATGACATCGACCCACGAGATCTCAAGTTTCAGCCAGTGACGGACGATCTCAATGGCATGTGTACGAGCGGCATCACTAGCGGCTCCATTGGCGGCCCGAACGAGCTGCTTGTCGGAGATGTCTTCCTCAAGAACGTCGTCTTCTCCACTGATGCTACTGCAGACGTGATCGGACTGGCGCCAAGGGCATAGGAGAGTCGGTCATCGGGTCAACGTCGTCTGCTGTTATTCGCATCGTGATGTATAGTCATACCGAATTGCCGAGCGTGGATCAAAGGCCTTGCCAAAGCGGCGCTCTTGTGCAAGCCAAGTATTTCGTTCAGGATGAGGTCCAGTGAAAAGCGTACTGCATCCGCTAAATACACGGTAAGCACGTTGGCTTGACCTCGGGAGTGTCCATCTGTGGTCTACGGCTCTGGTCGCCGTTCCGGATGACGCTGAACAAGAAGCCCATGAAGCGTTGACCGTACTCTTGAGGGTTGACGGGCGAGATGCGATGCTTGTCGTGGCTGAATGATTTCCAGACATGCTCGGCACGCTTGATGAATGTGTATGGTGTCAAGATGTCAATAACGCCGAGATAATAGAGATCGTTGAGCGGGTCGTTGTTGATGTCAGACGCTCTGAAGCCGCCTTCGTCGGCATAAAAGATAAAGTTACGACGCTCCGACGAGTCTTTGTCTGGTAGCGCGTTCGTCTCTGAGATACCTTTGGGATCGCTGCGCTGGACGGCTTTACGAAGCGCAGACGCATTGGCCTCGTCTCGTTGTCGCATCGCCGTATCGCGTCGTTTGACTGACGTTGCAGGTTGTTCAGGCTGTCCGAGGTAAGTCAGTAAATTGAGCGCTAGAGCCTCATGCAACGTACTTGGAAAGTACTGAGAAGCCCGCTCCTAAGCTGGTCCTTGTTGCCTCTATTCAGATCGTGCAGACCGACGAGCAAGCTGTAGTCCATGATGCCAAGTCGCTGTAGCAGCTCTGTATCGCGTCTGAGTTGCTCTTCGAACAAAGCTCGCTTCTCGGGCCCAAGTTCGAGGTGTCGGTCACGTCGGACCCAATTCAGATCCTTGAGCACTGCGCCGGGATTGCGGGCGGCTTTCTCTTCTGGGTATTCGCGGCCGATTGATGACCCCTTTGAGGCAACGAGAAGGCCATCAGCATGCACTTATTCACGAACAGTCTACCACCTGCCTTGAGGTCGTACGTCTCGTGAACATCGCGATGCGGCGGAAAGAGGTTATTGAAAATGACAAAGTGAATCTTGCGTCCCCGGGGCAGTTTGACACGATGCAAACCATAGAAACGACTGAGAAGGGTATGCGGGTTGGCTTTGACATGCTCGTGATAGTCTTTGAGAATACTGCGCAGAAACTTGTGCTCCGCATGACGGATCGTCTTGATAATGAAACGATAGTCGCGGGAGAAGTAGAAGAAAGAGCCTGACTTGCCGGGCGAGCCGAGCTCGGAGAGAATGTACTTTGCCGTCAATGAAAGCAGGTAGTCCGCAGGATCGAGATGAAAGTACTCCCGCAGGGCCCGAAAGACCCATGGAGCATAGTCTTTGAACTTGAAATCGTATTTTGCTGAAGGGGTCAGTTCGTTGCCGATGCTGCGCGTCAATGGTGTTAGTGACCTACTTGGCAGATAGTAGAGAGCACTGACATATCGAAAGAGAATTTGTGTCGAGCAGTATAATCTGCATCGGTCAGCGGCCGCGCTAGCTTGGCTTGACATCGCGATACCTGCAGACCGTTCCGTCAGTGAAGGCCAGTCGGCACGGTTCATGACTGACGCCAATACGGATTCCAGTGAGCATGTTGTACATGAGAACATAGTTGACATGGTCTTCGCCGATCAAATTGCCAACAAGCACGCGATCGTCGACCAATTTTGAGCTCGTCCGACTAGCAGACCTGCCCCGAGGTTTCTTCTGCACTGGCTCTTGTTCAGCCAACGCCTGTTCCTCTTCCGCTCGTTTTTCCTGTCTAGCTCGTCGAATCGCTTCCGCTTCTTTCGCTCTGCTCCCTTCGAAGTCTTCTTCGGGCTGCTGCTGAGGTTTGCCTGCCATCGTCTGCAAGGGTATATCTTGGCCAGCAATTTGTTCGCGCTTTGACCTGCCCGTTCGCTGACGCAACGCAGAGCTGGGTCCCGCAAGAGCGGAGGAGGCAGCTTGAGCATTGAGCGAAGAGTCGGTGTAGTTGGAGATGTTGGTGGCATTGCTTCTGCTCGTCGTGAGAGTAGAGAAGCCGTTGACGTCTGTTTCCGTTGAAGCACTGCTGCGCTGCCTCGCTCGACCGGGCTCGCCAATCTGCCGCTCTTTCCCCTTGGCGCTGCCTATGCTGCTGTCGAGATAAGGCGTGATAGCATCGACGGCGACAATCTTGCGGCCCTCGTAAGAATCTGAAGGTGCCAAACGAGAGTTGACGACACCGTATCCAGGCTGATTGAGTCGGGGTGACCTATCGGCCGTAGTGGAAGGAAGGCTTGCTGGCTGGTTTGCAGTAGGCGTCAGATCGTCAGGCTGGTCTGTATCGACCTTTGCCCCACGCGCATCTTCTGCCGCGCTCAGTGGGTTCTTCGGCTCATCTTGCAACGATGCGGCAACGTCATCTTGGGCCACCTTGGCATCCGGTAAATTGGCCGGCGTTCGCGCTTCGCGCAGATGAGCGGGCGAACGTGGTCTGACATCGAGCAGCGCATTCTCTGCTTCCCTGCCCTGGATGACATTGAGAGACTGGACCTGGCTCGTATCATGGGTGCCCAGTTTCTCCTGGACCTTCATCCTCACTGCGTCCCGCTTGCTGTCGTAAAGATCTGCATCCTGATCGAGCTTGCCATTGAGCAGCGGTACGGGTGCAGGCTCGTCCTCGGCGTCTTTCGGATAGCGTATGCCGTTGATGAGATGACCGACATGCTTCGGCTGGCTGTCGCCTCGGGATTGCAGTACACTCAGATCTGCGTCTGCAGCAGATTGGTCGTGTGATATATCGTTTGTGGCACGCGTCTGCTCGGCGAGCTGGGACGTAGATGCAACTTCTTCTTTCGAAGATCGCAGAAAAGGCAAGAAGCTGCGTTTCCTGGCAGGCGAAGCGTCGCCGCTGGCCGTCGTCAGAGGTATCGATTTTGATCTACCGTTGAGGGCTGTGCCGTTGCTCTTGGCAGCCGAACTGCCAAAGAGATCAAAGATGGAGCTCGGATGACCGTCTGACACGACGACTTTGCCGTTGTCTGCCCGGACGATGTGATACTGGTGTCCCCGTTCGCTTTGAGACATTGCAAACAAAGGGTTGATTGCAGCTGCGCGTCCGCTACCCTCGCCGCTCTGGAAGCCACTCTGGCCAACTTGATCGTGAGAGGATTGTGAGCTCGATTGTGATGCCATGCCGGGAAGCACCATAGAGGTAGAAGATGATCTCGAACCGCGAGACTCGCCAGCAGACACAAAGCTAGCGCTCGACGAAGCCTGTGCTTCACCGTTGGCCATCTTGGCCGAGCTTGCAACGGGATATGACGAGCCGGCGGGCGACGAAGAGACGCCTGCTGGAAACTCGGTCGGTCGGATGCTGGCTTTGTCTGTTCCCAAAGTTCCCGCGTGCGTTGCGGGCTGTACCAGCGTCGTCATTCGGCGGGCTTGCTGCTTCAGGGGCGTCTAGACAGTCGCGCCTCTGGCTGGTTCACTCTGAGGTACGCATGTGAGGGATAGCTCGGTCGTGTGCGACTGTCAACTTGGCCGGCAATCCTGGCTTGGCCGACAGTCGACAATCGCGCGAGTTGCTTTTTTTAAAGTTTGCGCGTTTTGGCTTTCCATCAGATCCGACATGCCGACTGAACCTGCTCGAGCGAGCGACGTCGAGGTCGAGGACATCATCTTGGCAGCGCGCTATGGCGATCTGGACGATCTGAAGGCTTTCGTAGAAGCATACGGCCCAGAAGCGCTCATTTCTGCCCAAGATGACAATGGCAACCTTGCTCTGCACATGGCCAGCGCCAATGGCCACGTAGGTACGCAGGAATTGCTCTGAGCTTATGACATAAGTCATCCTGTTTTGGCGAGCAGAAATAGTGCGATATCTGGTCAGCTTGTCGCCCGATGAAAGGTTGGCGCAACAGAATCAATCTGGCAATACGCCGCTGCATTGGGCTTCGCTCAAGTGAGCAGATCCTGCGAAGCCCAGTGCTGAGCTGACATGACTGATAGTGGTCATTTGGAAGTACTGAAGCTCCTCTGCCCGCGCATGTCGGTCGCATCGATCAGCTTGCACAACAAAGCGAATAAGACGGCATTGCAAGAAGCAGAAGAGCAAGCCAACGAGCGTACTTGGATGTGTGCAGGACATCTGCTCTCCTACTTGAACGTCGAAGACAAGTACAAGGAGGAGCCAACGGCAGACGGTCTCGAGGAGAACGCAGAGATCACACTGAGATCAGATGAGCCGCCAGCAAAGGAGGAGCTCGCGTCGGACAGCAGTATAGCTTCGGAGACCGACAAGCTGTCTATGACATGACATGCATTCTCGATCGAAGCTTTTGCTAGATAGTCATCTTGCTCAGACCGGACGAAAGACTGGGCGTATTCCAGATCACCAGTCTTCCATCGACGCCCGTCGTGCTAACCCTCGTCACATCATGCCCCTCTTGCTTCAAGTAGGGTCGCAAACTCGTGATCGTATTCTGATGAACGGTCGTCCGTTCTGTCGAGCCTGTCGCCGTTCTCGACATACCGCTGGCAGGCGTGGCGGGTGGCGAATCGGCATTGGGATAGACGACACTGACGCCTCTCGAGTCTGCCGCACTGAACCGGGAGAAGGCTTCGTTGCCCTTCAGTCTGCCCACGCCGCCGGTACGGGGAGCGCCGGTCGAGGCTGACAAGCCGGACGAACGAGCAGAGGGATCATCGATTGTTCGCGAGAAATGCCAGCCCGAGTGCTGGTCGCTCTCGAACAAGACAGGCTCGCAATCGTGACCTGCCGCTGCGATACGAGACTCGTCGAGGAAAGTGAGTGTCAAATATGGCAGGCTGGGCACGCGAACGGTGAACTTCGCGGTAGGCGGCAAACCCTCGCCTGCAGGATACACAATGGTGATAGTCGAATCATGACCTGTGATCACTCGTCAGAACACATCAATTGGTGTGCGCCAAAGAGCGACTGACTGGCAAACGCAAGAGCATCGCCGCTCGGCGAAAAGGCAACACCGTGAACCCAGCCACCTGCAGGGCTACTAAACTCGCCACAGAGCGTGTTGAACGGCAGCTTTGTGCCCCAGACCGAGGGCGCGGGCTTCTCGTCTGTCTCTCTGAGGTAGGCGGAGAAAACACGAGCTTTTGCATCTGCCGAGCCCGTTGCGAGCAGGACCGAATTGGGATGCCAGTCGAGCGACAGCACAGTACTGCGCAAGGGCTTCTTGAGTTGTTTGGAGATCCACCAATCGCTCTCATCGCCGTACGAGCAGATGGCGACTGCTCTAGCACCCGAAGCGACGGCAAACTTTTGCTCGTTCGGCGACCAGCGCACGCAAGTTGCTGATCGATTGATGTTGAGCAACACGAGCGTAGGCTTCCAGACGCCTTCCGGGCTGAGGTTCCAGACGTAGGCGTTTCTGTCTTGTGAGCAGGTGACTATCCTGTTCGTCTTGGGCGCCCAGTCTATCGACGTAACGAGCTTGTCGTGCTGTCCGGGCCAAAGTCGAGGTCAGTGAGTGCGCAAGGTGTGATGGGCAGTCTAGGCAGACCTCATTGAGCGTATGTGCTTGTGACCATGTCGTGCCCGTCTTGGTATGTACCTCGACAATATTGCTGTTCGGACAGATAGCTACCTCTGAACCCGCCAAGTCTCAGCACGGGCCCGGCCAGCTTGCCGACACTCACGGGATCCGTCAGCATTGAATGCATGATCTGTCAGGGCAGTCGTCGCAAATTGATGAGACTCTGGCGCCATTGCAGAGGACTAGCAGTCGACTCTGCTTGATCTATCGCTGTCTAGCCTGAGGCCTGTCAATGATTGTTCAATCGATTGATGACGGAATCGCTCACACCACGCGACAAGTGCTGCGGGCGGCGGTAGCACGGTGATATGAATGGCCCCTACTTCACTGCTTCCCTTCTCCTGACCTGCTCGCAGGCGACATGACAGAAGTAGCCAAGCACCTCAAGAGCTTCGGCCGGGTAGACACACCCAGCTACTTTGGCAAAGAGCTCGACCCACAGATCTACGAGACTCTTTCGAAAGAAGAACATGCATTCCTCGTCGAGGCGACTGGTCTGCAAGCAGACGAGCTCAGGACGTTCGTGCTCGAGCGACAAGCTCAGGCTTACGCGCTCTACCACTATCCGTGCATCCGCTCTCTAGCCTTTGCAAGTCCATCGCTTGGGTCTGTACTGATCTGACGCTGACAGCATGGATGTAGGCGAGACTGAAAGCATTCCGACATCCGGCATACGCGCACCTGCTCGAGCAGTTCAAGCAGGACGACAAAGCGGTCTTGCTCGATGTCGGCTGCTTCTTCGGCAGCGAGTTACGCAAGGCCGCCATCGATGGGATCCCCGCGAGTCGTATGATCGGGACAGATCTCGAGCAAGGCTTCCTCGACATCGGCAAAGAGATGTATAAGCATACTGACAAGCAGCGCGGCTCGCCAAGATTCCTCGCTGGCGACTTCTTTGATGATCGCTTCTTCGACACGTCCACAAGCTCGAGCATGAATGAAGATCTGAATATGGACGGCCTGTACTCGCTGGCGCCTTTGACCGGCTTGGTCACGACGATTTTCTCGTCGTCTTTCTTCCACTTATTCGCCAGAGACAAGCAGCGCCTGATCGCGCAACGGATGATACGCTTGCTCAAAGCTGCCAGCGGAAGTCTGGTCTTTGGGTCGCACGTTGGCGGGTTCGGTGGGCCGGGCCTTTTCGAGCGCACAGATCCAAACCTTCGCGAGGAGGAAATCCACAGAGACCGCATCTGGCCCAAGGGCGGATTCGAGAGTATGTGGCACGAGGAGTTGAGAGCCGCGCATGGCGACGACGTCAGAGCTGATGTACAAGTTCAATACTTTTCGCTCAAGGGCAGCGTCATATGGCAGACGCATGATGATGCCTGGCTGATGGCCTATACCGTTCGTTTGTTGTGAGCAGTTTATGCGATCTTTCTTGTGGCAATACCGCAGCTGTAGCACAATGGCGAGGCAATCTCAGATGGCGTCAAATCGTCGTGCTCGGTGAAGCTGGACAAAGCCGTCGCGTGTCGCCAAGTGCTTGCGTTAGCATCAGCAGGTCTGCAAGATGATAAGCTCGGCTCTTGATGAGCGAGCATGTGACGCACAAGCCGCACACACTACAAAGTGTCGAAGTTGCCCCGCAAAGACTGAGCTTGGCTGCCGTTCTGCCCACGACAGATGACGTGGCGGGAAACTGCTGCTCCAAGCCTAGCACGAATTCTGTTCGCGCTGTCACAGTCAGCTCGTCCCTGAGACTTGGCAGGTCATGCATACCCTCTACGGTGCCATCGATTCCCATTTCTTTCTTGCCTTTGGCTTTAGCCATTGTGAGATCATTAGGAACGAAAATTGTCCGTAGACCGAGCTGTTTGACCAGAAAGGCGACTTCACGTGAGGAGACATGCGCCAAAGGGCGGACGAGCTGCAGCTCTGTTTGTATAAGCTGAGGATGAGCACATGTCGCAATTGGCAATATAAATGACTTGCTATCGTTGAAAAGTGGAACATGAGTGGCAACTTGCTCGCCGAGATTGAAGCCTGCCCCGACTGACATGCCTGCGATCGTCCTGATGGCTACGCCAGTGCTCGTCTCGCCCATCATGAGATGGGTCACGCCTTGCTCGTGAGCAGTGCGCGTGATCAGCGATCTCGATAGGTTCTTCTGCAAAGTCATCTTTGCGGACGGATCGAGCGCATTGGCAGCCAACTCGACTGCCTCGACGGGCAAGGTGACAGTGCAGAAGGGGTAGTCAAAGTCGTTTGCCACAGTCTTGACTTGGTCATCGATTACAGCGCTGCCCGAGCTGACATAGATGATCTGTGCTCTGGCGAATAAAGCATGACTTGGGGGTCCTCGATAGTGCAACGGTCGCTCCTCGACGGTGTATACGTGCGGTCTGATTAGCTCAAGAAGAAGCCTGATCACATAACATCAGCGTGTATCACAGAAAAGCCCGAAATCGCTTGACCTGGACGCCGGGCCGCCTGAGAATGCGATGGCGAGACTAAAGGGACTCTTGTCGGCGCGACCGAGCCGTCGTGGCGCCTCGAGTCGATGCAACGACGTGCGAAGTTTGGTGGTCACTGACGCTTTCAGGCATGCACTGTGCATACAAGATCATCAGCGTTGTCAAAGAAGAACTAGATCGACGACTGACGAGCAAAGCGATCCTGCAAGAGTCACAATCTGAGCGGGCTCGATGCTGCATTTCGTGCATGTCTTGGCGAGCGTTGTACTGATTGACGCGAGTGCGATCTCGTCTGACTCATCAACCGGCCGTCCGCATGACATGTGGCTCGCTGGAAGGCGTTGACAGGAAGGTCAGAACAGATGTCAAAATCGATGTCAAAGTCGCCCAAGAATTTTATCGCGTGAGCGTGTTCGCTGTCAAGCTCAAGCGCTCCAAGCAGCTCGCGATGGGCGTGCTACGTTCGGCATTGAGGAGCTACGAATCGTCATTCGCTCGTCGTCCTCTTTTGACGATCGCAGTCACCAATGCTGTCCTCGCCGGGGTGGGCGATGCTGTCGCGCAAGAGCTGCCGGTCCTCTTGGGATCAGCCGCCGTGCTCGGCCAAATGCCACCTTATGACCTGGAACGGACAGCGCGCTTCATCTTCTATGGCGCTTCCATCGGCCCTCTGCTAGGTAAGTAGCAGGCTGTTCGGCCGGCCCAGGCTGACATGGCATAGGCAAATGGAACCATTTCCTTGAAGTGACTTTCCCTCTGCGTCCTCTTGTCGACACTCAGAGCTATCCAATGAACAACATCAAACGAGGAGGAGTGCTTCATGCCAAGGATCTAGAAGATGCCAAAGCCCACCTTGACGACGTTCTCGGACCGCGCGCCATCAAGGAGGAGCTGCCAATCTCGCGACGCAATCTGGTCAAGCGGTTACTGGCAGATCAACTCATCGCTGCACCTATCGGCTTATGCCTCTTCTTGAGCGGCATGAGTATCATGGAAGGACTCGAAGGCCACGAGATAGTCGCCCGTTTCGCTGCGCTGTACTGGCCAATCATCAAAGCCAATTGGACTGTACGACCTTTGTGTTCACTGAGAATTTCGTAAACTCATCAATCGTACAGGTGTGGCCTATACTGCAATACATCAACTTTCGCTATCTGCCATTGAGGTGCGTATGATGCATCAGATTCTCCTCTGAGTGCTGATCGTCGCCATAGTCTGCGAGTGCCATACGGCTCAGTATGCGGCATCGCCTGGACATGCTTCCTCAGTCTCACATCGTCCAAATGACCTCATAGACCTTTTCAGTGTTGTTGTACACTCTCATGCAAACAGCCTCATAGACACTTGCATCTAGTGACCACTCCTGCCTATTGCCTTGATGGCCTCGGTGTTCGTCAGACGAGGCAATGGCGTGCCTTGCTTAGTAGGCACAGGCAAGAAGTCTGCAGCAACGAGCCAAGCGAGGTAGACGCCCATGAGATTGTCGTCCACTGTCATCGATGAGCACTCGCCTGCTCGCTCGAGCAAAGCGGCAGTGTTGCTATCGTCGAGCGCCGGCGCTTTCGTGCTCGTTGGCAAGTCGTCCAACACGAAGTGCAGCAAGGGGAAGAGAGCGTTGTCTTGCGTGACTGCGACATGCTGCTCGAGCTGAGTGCGCCAATGCAGATATTCCGTCTTAGTGGTATCGTAGCCATACGTCTTGAGAGCTCCCAAGAAAGCGCTGAACCGAACATTCGGCCGCGATGTCACTTGATACACCGGCAGGGTGTCTTGTGCATGCTCAAGCGCAGATAGAGCCACCACGCGAGCGACATGATCGACCGGCATCATGTTGATCGAGTTCTGGATGTCCGGGATCAGCTTCAATTGGATGCACCCTTTGACAAGACGCCAGAGGAAGTCGTCTGTATTGGTGACGGCGGAGACGGAATCGCCAACGATGTAGGCTGGTCGAATGACGCTACCGCGTAAACCGCGACGGCCGGCTTCCATAATCAGCTTCTCAGATACCCATTTGCTCTGGCCGTAGCCGCTCTTGATTTCGACGCGTGATCCCTCCAAGTCATCGGACTCAGGCACACCTAGTCCACCTTTGCTTGTAATCTGATCGGAGAGATCGTTATAGTGACGGTCCGTCTCGAAAACGGCAGTGGAAGAGACAAAGCTGTATGCCTTCGGCTGCCCTGTTGATGCCAAGTCGAGCGTCGTAAGCGTTGCAAGCACGTTTGCCGATCTGAGTTTCGTATACGGATAGACCCAGTGAACCTGCATAGATGTTCAGCTCCCGCTGAGGCCACAGTCATGGTACCCACAAGAGCAGCATTGTGGATGATCGTCGTTGCTTCGCGAGCGATGCGGGACCAGGTCGGCTCGTCTAGACCAAGCCTGGGCTTCTCGAGCTCTCCGACAACGACTTCTAATCGGCTGTCGCTGACCCATCGCTCGTCCCAAGCAGCTCGACCAATGCAGGAATCGCGCAGTCTGTCTAGACCGGCAGCTGCAGAAGACGCTCGGACGTGGCAGATGACTTTCGATACCGAAGCGCGCAGAAGTAAGTCGCGCAGGATGAAGGCGCCCAAAAATCCAGTCGCGCCAGTCAGGAACACAGTCGTAGACCCAGAATACTTGGGAGACTGATAGGACGGCTGCAACCTGCTCATCAAGGTATTTGAATCCGATCCATACGCTTCGCCAGACTCGGAGCTCCCGTTGGTGAGCGAAGCTTTCGATTTTGAGCCTGTAGCGAGGTTGTAGTTTGATCCTTGTAACCGTTCGATTTCATTCGCCAGGGCCTCAATCGTCGGATGATCAAAAAGCGCGCCCAACGGTAAGTTGACAACGAAAGCTTTACGAATGTCGAAGACGAGACGAGTGGCGAGGATCGAATGACCACCGAGATCGAAAAAGCTCGCATCCTTTGGCAAATTGGCCGGCGCAGAGGGTAGTAGTTCTCGCCAGATGTCGTGCAAGGTTCGCTCGGTCGATGAGAGGTCTGTTGATTTCGTAGAAGACACAGACGAAGCAGCGGCGGCAAGCGCAGTATCGGGAAACGGCAAGGCGGGCTTGTCGATCTTGCCGTTAGGATTGAGTGGCATTCGCGAGAGCGGCACAAAGAGGGTCGGCACGCTGTATGCAGGTAGTTTCGTCTTGAGATAGTCTCGTATCTGCTTGATCAGCCTCTTATGTCGACGCATGCCTTGTACAATCGCTCCTCCATCATCATTCTCATCTGAGCTGAGCAGGTCCGCCACCTCTGGGCCGTCCATCGGCACGAAGTAGCTGACCAGCACTTTTTCTTCGTCCTTGTCTCGTCTGACAAGGGTGACGTTCTCACGCACGAGCGCATGATGTGAGAGATGCGTGTCGATCTCTCCAAGCTCAATGCGAAAGCCTCGTATCTTGATCTGGTCGTCTGCTCTGCCCGTGCATTCGACTGACCCATCTGGCGCGTATCGGCCTAGATCACCAGTTCTGTACATGCGATCTCTGACCCCTTTCCAGTATGGTCTCCAGGGAGCCGACTGGTCGACCGCGTCGGGCCAGACATGGCCTGCAGAGAACCAATTTGTGACGAACTTTTCGGCATTGGCCTCGGGCAAGCTGAGATAGCCTTCCGAGAGGCCGCCTGATCGTACATAGATCTCGCCAATCTCACCAACAGCACACAGGGCTGTTCGTTCGTTGCGGTTGACCACGACGAGCTGGACATCGATCATTCCTCGACCGGCGGGAATGACATCTTTCCTATTGCCCAGAAAGGTAGGATCTTCGCTGATGCTCGGTACGGCAAAGTAAGATACCGCGCGTTGAGTCTCTGTGGTACCAAACATGTTGATGATTCGCACATTGTGAGCGAGCTGCTGCAAGCGAGTACAATCGCGCTTGGTAAGGATATCCCCCACGAAGAAAGCGTTTCGAAGGGAAGGGATCTTGCGGACTGCCTGAGCTGACAAGAGCTGACCCATCGCTATCGAGGCTCAGGATCAGCAGCTATCAATGTGTGCAACGACGAATGGCACACCTGGGGTCAAATGTGTCACGGTAACCTTGCTGTCGTCCATCCATTCTGCAAGGCGACCAGGCGTCCCGATATCTTCCGCTGTGGGTATATGCAGCTGCGCTCCCAAGAACAACGGTGTGAAGACTGCAAACGCATCAGCGGTGTCTGCTCGAAAGGAGCAGACGACCTACTGTCGCGCTGTATTGGATCATGAGCAATGCCGCTGAGCATGGTAAATCTCGCGGAAGCGTCTATGCCGAAGGTTTGACTCATCCAAGGGAAAAAGTGCGTCAGAGAGTAATGCCGCCCTCTGACGCCCTTTGGTATCCCAGTACTGCCCGAAGTGAACGAAAGGGTAGCAATGGAATCTGGGCCAAGTGCGATGCCTGCGGACAATGAGGCTTTCGGAAGCGAATCTTCGAGTACATCTCTTGTAGAGCTTTGCAGTCTTCCACCGGTGAGCGAGCCATCGTCTGCGATTTGTAGCGCAGGAATTTCGCAGCGAATCTGTAATTCTTGTTCGACATATGCGCGTACGGAAGGTATGAGTTCGCCTGCTCTCGCTAGGATGACGAGGGCTCTGGGTTGTGCGACTTGCAAGTAGATATTCTGTCTGGCTGCTGGGTATGCAGGATCTGTGTCTCCAGTCAGAGGAGTTGTGAGTGATGGGCGATGAAGTCACCTATGACTGAGAAAGTGGCGCCTGCTTTGAGTACGCCCATGACGGCGACGACAAGATCGACACCTCTTGTGCTGTAGACGGTAACGACTTCTTCGCGCTGCACGCCAGATCGTATGAGATGATGCGCCAGGATATTAGAAGCCTCGTCAATCTGCTTGTAAGTAAAATGTCGGGTCTCATTCTTCGGCACTTCGGTTGCAGAGGCTGCCAGACCAGGTACTGATTCGACGATACATGTCCTGTCTGGGAACTGTGCGGCATTGGCAGAGAAGACGTCCGTGATGGCACCTTTGAAACCGCAAAAGTCCAAATCGGCGCGAGGGTCGGGCAAGATTGCCAACTGACTCGGCGTGAGTAGCGAGACGGTGCCGAGAGGACTGAGGGGCTGCTGCGCGAACGATAAAACGAGCTGGCTCAATTGATCAAGCACAAGCTTGATGCGAGCGTCCGAGAAGACGAGCGAATTATAGTGCAATCTGACCAAGGGCGTCGCGTCTGACGAACCTACGTAGACCGAGAAATCTGCGGCAGATGCGCTCTGAGTAGACCCACTCGGGCTGGCATGGGTCTCGTCGATGAAGCGTACGCGGTACAGCGGTCCGCTGGTTGGCTCACGGGCCAAGGCAGCTTGCAGCTGATCAAATGAGACAGCATCTCTTTCGGCCTCCTCTGCGACGAATTGGATCCGTCTAACAAGCGACCAGAATGAATCTTGTGGATCTAGCTTGATGCGTAGCAGGAGAGTCTCGCCAGTGGAGCGAGACAGGGTGGCGATGACGAGATCTGTGTCTGAGGTGTACCGATGCAAGAGCACGACAAAGCAAGACAGCAAAAGTTGGTAATCCGTCGGGCGTGAGCTCAGACTTGCTTGCGAACTCGCAAGAGCGGCACTGTCATCTTCGATATGTGCCTCTTCATCAGATGAAGCTAACTTAGCGAGTGCTTTGCAGGCATCTGGCGCTAGGGAGCTTGTCTGATGGGTCTCAACTGCTTTTGCGCCTGTTGGCCGAGGGTAGTCGGTAGGCAGCGCCATGGCGGGCAGATCCGAGAGTCGCTTGCACCATCGCGCGAGCCGAGTCTGCAGCTCTTGCTCCTGTGCACTCATGCCTCGCTGTCAGGCTGAGCGAGGGTTCTCTGTCTGAGCAAGAGCAAGGGCAAGAGCAAGAGCGCGAGTCAAAAGTCAAAAGTCACGCTCCTCCTCGGCTGCCAGCAGGCCAGCCTAAGAAGCCCTCAGATGTCGAGACAAGCCATCTGTGGCAGCATGTCGCTGCGCAGGATCGCCATCGAAGCTCTGCGCACCGACTCGGCCGTTGCAGCGACTCGCCAGCCTCTGCAGAAACGATTTCGTAGCAGCAGAGCGCCAACGATCGGATCCCCTGCCGGCAAGTCTAGCGTGCCGGCAGCGCAGCAGATCCAAGACTCCTTCAATGCCTACCAGAGCAGGATGGCCGAGCAGCTAGAAGAAGGAAGGATCAATGCTACTCTGCGCAAGATAGCAGAGCCTGTCTTTTGCTTCGTCTGTCCTTTGTATCGCTTCCAGCTACGACCAAGGCTGACGTGTACGCTTGCCGCAGCCTTCAGAGCCTGGCAAACCCTACGTTCCTCCGGCCAGGATGAGTTTCCGCAAGCCAGAAGGACTCAGCATGACGGACTACGCGAAAACCCTCTTCACCGACATTGCTGCCAAAGCCATGTCATTTCAAGCGTTCGTGCACAAGCTCGTAGGGCGCGCTGCATGTACTGACGGAACTACTGATGACAGGAAGAGGACAGCAAAGTCAATACTCGGCAAAGCTTGGAAGACGGAGCTCGAGACGGCCGCATCGGAGCTCTATATCCTCATGAGTCAAGCACTAGCGAGGCGAGTCGGCGAGGTTTCATTCCCGAATGAGTATGCTGATGTTCGCATGTGGCAGCGGCCAGCTCGAGTCCCTGACTGGTCGCGTCACGCGAGACTTTCACGATCGTCTCACTCGACAGATTACCCAGCTGAACACGCGCACCCATCCGTACCGATGGGAACAGATTGGCAGTCCCACCGTCAAGATCATCGCAGTCGAGAACACAACGAATCCCGACTTTTCAGATCCGAACAATTATCTCAGCGAGACTGCCATCCGAGTCGCGCTCAGGATCACCTGCGAGCAAGTACGCTCACACACGCAGTCCTGAGCGGCACATGCTTATGCTCTCTCGATCTACAGAGATTGGTGCCCCTGGCTGGATCGCCTGCTCTGCCATCCTCTGTGCAGACGTTCACCAAGGCGGAAACCAACCTGCTTGCTCTGAGAAGTATTGCCATACCGGGCACAAGGTGGAAGCTGTCGGGATATGCCGTCGAGCGTCCGGCGCTCAGAGATGACGAGCTGGCGGATAATCTGGCCAAGATGAGTGCACTGACGACGAGATAGCTAGATCTCAATTGGGTTGCTAGCCGACGCGTGACATGCCTAGACGCCCCTGTACCGAATGTCGCGTCATCATGAGCATTGTCAGACTTGGCCGAGATGCAGGGCAGGACATGCGATCGATAGCCTGATAAGACAGCGAGATCCATCATGTCCCCGGCTATGTCCATCCCTGCCACGCCCAACGTGTTGGCAGGAACGAGATCGACGAGCCAGGACAACCTGGGCACCTCCGCACACACCTTACGGACCTTGCGTGCGGCGAGCTCGTTCGAGACCGCACCCACGTCACCTTCGCCTTATGCAACATCGACGGAAGCAAGTCCGCTGATGTGGCGGTCCAACATGACTGCTCCGCATTCACATCATCGCTCATCACAATCCAATGACGGCCTTGCCCCCGGTCTCCAGCTCTCATTCGACGCTACTCGCAGCAGAACAACGACTGCACAGTCCTGGGAGGAGTACGATGAGGATGAGGTAGACGCAGATCTGACGACGCCCAATCGACGTTCCAGAACGGTCATCGAGATTGAACACTCGCCCGAATCGACGAGCGCGCCCGCCTTGCCTAACATCAGACAGAGACACAGATCAGAGTACCCACTCGGCTTCTGGGGATCATGCCAGTATCAACGAGATAGCCGACCGCTGATCTGGGCAGCCATCAAAGCCGCCCTCATCTTTGGCCTGGCGCTAGGCGGCTTGGTGGCATTGCTCAGAGCGTCACTTCCTCCGCTCGATCCCGAGGACGCGCCGAGAGTGAAGATCCCGAAGAGCTTTGATGATCTCAAAGATCTCAACGAAGTCCTCCAGATCTACAAAGTCAGGAATCACACAAGAGTGCTCATCAGCTTCATCTTTGTCTACTTGTTCCTCCAGACCTTCTCGCTGCCGGGCTCGATGTACCTGTCCATCCTGTCAGGGGCAATGTACGGACTATGGGCTTTGCCGCTCGTGTGTCTCGTCAGTCGCCACCTGTTTGATTGTAGACACCATGCTGATCGGGGAGCAGTGCATTTCGACTGGCGCCAGTCTCTGCTACCTCTTCTCAGCCGCCCTCGGCCCAGCGCTCTTGCTCACTTCGAAGAAGTGGCAAGACCGTGTCATCCAGTGGCGCGACATCATCAAGAACCAGGGCAGCAACCTGATCAGCTACCTCATCGTCTTGCGCATTGCACCTCTCCCGCCTCATTCGGTCATCAACGTCGTTCTGCCGCATGTCGGCGTCGGTCTGCCGATGTTTTGGATCTCTACCTTTCTCGGCGTCATGGGTGTTTCGTTCATTCACGTCCAAATCGGCACAACACTAGGTCCGTTGAACAAGCTGACCATCTGACCGTGAGCTGATTCTGGTCCAAGCAGAGACCATGACTTCACCCGCAGATTTTCATCTCATTTCGTGGACCAACTTCTTCGGACTGGCAGGCATCGTTGCCGCAGTGCTCGTCCCTGTCGTTCTCCGAAGACTGTGGCGCACCGAGCTAGAGGACGCAGCACAAGACCCATCAGACCGTATCGCATTGCCCGACTCGCCAGAGAGCGCAATCAGCAGTCTCCGACCGCGAGCAGCTCTGGAAGCGACTACTCGTGACAAATCAAAGGATGGCAACAATCGACCCGTCCTCTTTGACGAGCCCGACAAATCGCATGACTCGTCAAAAGAGGAAAGCTCGGAGGACGAAGCGGAGGAAGAGAGCGATGCCTTGCTGCCGCGCACGAGATCGAGACCTTCATAAAACCATCACTGTAGACCACCATAGAGAATCTGTCATCCGAGCCCGCGGTGCTTGTAGACCATCAGACCTCGTCGAGTCTGACGCCTGGCCAATGTACGATGTACACACAAGAATGCAAAGCATTGCCTCGAGCTTGCCCTGCTTCGCTCGGCGTGTACAACAATCTACACAATAGATGAGTCTGGCATCGACCTGCAGCAGTCTCTACAATAGATGAATTTGGCATCAGCCCACAGCAGGTCTGACACGTGTACGAGGTGCAGGCAAGTCCTGGGCACTCGGTGAGTTGTGGAACTGGGGACCGGCATAGTGGAGCGAAGGCGAGCTCGACAAGCTTGCCTCTTTGCTCTTCGCCTTTGTCAACTTTGACTTTGCAGGCGAAGGCGTGTGCATGCCCCCGTTTTGATGGGTATAGTCTGCTGGCGAAGTCAAGCTCAAGTTGGACAGACTGGTCGTAATGGACGACGCCGCTTGCGTTTTGCGTCCCTTTGGCTTGGCAGAAGGCGAAGCAGGAGGCTGGGACTTGAGCAATTGCTGCTGCCAAGTGAGCTCGTTGCCGATCAGTTCTCTTCTGTTAGGCACGGCGTCCCATATCTCATCAGGCGTGAAGCTCGTCTGAGCTTGCGTTGCCTTGGGCGAACTCTGAGCAGGTCGCTGGTGGACAGGCTTCGTCTGACGAGCAGATCGTCTGAGCTTGCTCGCATCTTCCTGCTGTTGCCAGGTCATCGCCTCTGGCTGACCGAGGTGGTTTGGATCGACGGGATCCCATTGCGAGTCGCTCTGCTTCACGCGGCGACTGCTTCCCTTGGCCTTGGCTTTCTGTGCAGAAGCGTCGCTTGTATAGTCCATGATGTCACAGTTCGGTCTCGTCTTAAGCTCATTGGTCGATATGCCGCTGTCAGTTCGGCTGCCAGGTGGCCAGCGCGAATGACCAGACGCCACCTTACAACAAGCACAGGAAGCTGATCATGAGATGCGCGTGCTCAACCCGAAGAGCTATCTGCCATACGCAAAAGGACTTTGCATTTGTCTAGATCTGCCTTTTGTGTAGGCTTACTGCAAGATGATGAGGGTGGCTTCCACACCAAGCATTGAAGAAAGCGAGCATGCGTTGAAGCTTGCTCTAGGATGATGACGACGGCCTCGAGCCATTGCGCTCTCGGGCAGCATCGTTATCGGCCAGAGTGGTTGAGCACTCCGATGGGAACACAAGTGAGAGCGACCGGCGAGGTCCTCTCTGTTGCTGCCTGAGTTAACGCAGCGGATGCCGCTTCGAATCGATACGGCTTGCCTGAGTTGCTGGCGATAGATGATGATCTTGTCTTTGGGAGCCTCTTTGATAGTAGTAGCGCTCTCTTCGAGCGAGTGACAGGACGAATGCGATAGCTAGACAAAGCAGAAGCTTCGCATTCGAGTGAGAGCGCCATCGGAAACAGTGGTATCATTGTTGGGGTCTTGGACCTCGTGCAGCACTGCTGCGACTGACTCCATCCGGTTGCTGACCCCTTCCTGCGCCTGCTCGCTGACGTCCGTTTGGCGGTGCACCGTTGGCATAGTGTGTTGGCTTGGCATGACTGATCTCGTTGATAGGATTCTGCGCCTGAACCATCGATTGCTGGGGTGGGATGATAGGTCGATTGGTCGAGTTGGGCGCATGATTGGATGCATAGGATGGCTGCGACGACCCTTGCACTCGCTGTGCGGTTTGCTGCGGCTGTTGCTGGCTGGCATTGCGCGGTTGCTGTGGCTTACGTTCGGCAGGATGGTCACCAGAGCCTGGCGCGACGTATAGCGACCTGTCGATTGTCTGTTGGTACGGATACCACGGCATCAGCATGGCTTCGGCTAAAAGCAGAAGTCACGCACAGGTGGGATAGGAAGAATCTCGGTGCCGAGCTCTTGCTCGATACGGTAGAGATTGAATCGGTCCTCGTAGGTAATGAGGTTGATTGCCAGACCAAGATGACCAAATCGACCAGATCTACCTATCCTATGGAGGTAGGATTCGCTTTGTTTCGGGAAATCAAAGTTGATGACGACGTTGACTGAAGGCACGTCGATACCACGAGTGAGTAGATCCGAGCATACAAGGTTACGGCATTTGCCACTGCGAAAGTCGTGAAAGACGCGATTGCGATCTGCCTGCAGCATTTTTGCATGCGAATAGAAGCAAGAGTAACCGAGCTCGGTAATCTTCTTCGCCAGCAGCTCGACTCGGCTCGTCGAGTTGGTGAAGATGATGGACTGATTGATCTGAAGCTGTTATTATGAAAGGGATGAGTAGTCTTCTCCATCACTCTAGCTGACGTTACCTTTGAGAATAGCGTGTTCAGACAATGCACCTTCTGGCGCTCTTCGAGAAAGGCATAGTATTGCGTCACACCGCGCAGCGTGAGTTCGTCCATGAGATTGATCTCGTAAGGTTTGGTCATGTGCTTGTCCTTGAAGTCCTTGACCAGCAGTGGGAAAGTAGCAGAGAAGAGCATGACTTGACGATCCTTTGGCAATAGACTGAGGATCTGTTCGATGACTAGTGTAAATTCGGGCGAGAGTAGTTTGTCGGCTTCGTCCATGACAAAGGTAGGGCAAGCAGAAACATCGGCAATCCCTTTGCTGGCGAGGTCGAGCACTCTGCCTGGTGTGCCGACGACGATGTGCACAGTCTCTTGTAGTCGCAAGATATCATCTTTGAGTGAGGTACCGCCGGTGGTGACCATAATTTGAACGCCCAGATGCTTGCCGAGCGTCTTGCAGACTTGAGACGTCTGTAGCGCCAGTTCTCGCGTGGGCACCAATATCAACGCTTGTATCTTGTTCACTTTCGGGTTCACTTTCTCCAGCGCCGGGATCACAAACGATCCCGTCTTGCCTGTTCCATTCTTTGCCCTCGCCAGGATGTCGCGTCCGGCGAGTGCGATAGGGATTGCCTCTTCTTGAATCGGCGAAGGCTTCTCAAATCCAGCCTCGAAGATGCCCATGAGTAGTTCTCGCTTGAGGAAGTACTGCGAGGCAATCTCGAGCTCGAATGGCTGATCAAGTCAGAGTTGCGGCTTAGCTTACGTCTTCAAATTCGTTGCCCTTTGTGCGTAGCACATCCTGCACAGACAGCTTCAGCTCGCTCCTCGTAGCGAGCAGCCTGTGAAGCTACCTCTGTCTGCGGTCGATTGTCTTTTGCTGGCAAGTTGAGCTTCTCCTTCCATTGTCCCTCGGGGCTGCAAGGTACCAAAGCCAGCATCAGCTCGGGCAGCTGTCTGCGCTATCTTGCTTACTTTGCAGCCGCTCGGGAAGTGCTTGCTGAAGCCATGATGACCGCAGCTGGACGTCCCTGGCAATCGCTCGGAGTGGAGGTGTCGTCAGGCGTAGCGCGAACTCTGTGCTTCGTTGGCGAGGTGTGTCGCTCGCGCTGCAGCTGATGAAGACGATCAGTCTTTCGCCGTCTCTACACTAGCTGCTGTACGACTGCAGCTGCACTGGTGACTTGCTCTTCGTTCGCTGGGGCGGCCTCGCTCTCGTCAGGCAAGAGCCGGGTTCTGTCCCCGCTTCTCCGCTTTAACCGAGTTCGCCTCGCAAGTGGTAACTTGATATGACAAGCTGCAGTATGCGATACAACAAGGATTGCTGGGTATATCTGGTTCTGTGATAGCTGCGATAGCTATGCCTCTCGCTTGTCAAGCCAAGCTGGCAAATGTCGTGACCTCATCGTACAGGAGCTGCTTGAGCGCGTCCTTTGTGATCTCGTCCTGTGTGATCGAATAATGTAAGCTGGAGCGAAGCACATCGAGCAACGTGCGTACCTTCACGTGGTCAAAGTGGAAGAAATGCGGCGGAAGCGGCGGCGCGGAAGGCTCATCTTCTGGGTCGTGGTAGGCCGACATGAAAGGGTGTGCAAGAGCTTCTTCGACGGTCATGCGCTTCGTCGGGCTAAAAGTTAACGAGCGCGAAAGGAAATCGATGGCTTCAGGCGGCGCGTTGGGGAACAGCGACTCGAATGAACGCTTCTTGCGGAACGGCAGTGCGCGAAGGTAATCGCGAGAGCGTCTCGAATTGATCGCGTAGAATTCGTCAAGAGGCGGCGTGCCAAGCACATCCAAGATCAAGGTCAGCTGATGATGATAGTCCCGACCAGGGAACAGCGGGCGCCTAAAGTTCTACTTATTAGCAAGGCTTGGGACGCGAAGACGTATCACTGACCCCGAAAGCATCTCTGCGACGATGCAGCCGACTGACCAGATGTCGATAGCTTTGGTGTATTGCTTGAATGTGAGCATGATCTCCGGGGCGCGATACCATCTCGTGGCGACGTATTCAGTCATGAAACCGGTGGACGAGTTGGCAGCTGGCTGAGCGGTCTGAATTGAGCGCGCAAGCCCAAAATCGCATACTTTGAGGTCGCAATTGCTGTTCAGCAACAGATTAGACGGCTTGAGGTCGCGATGGATGATATCGGCTGAATGGCAAGCTTTGAGTGCGCGAAGGCATTGGTAGGTCAGATACTCGATATGCGACATTGAGAGATCTTGGGTACGGATCACACGATGAAGATCTGTTGTCCCACGATCAGCCGCCACACGGTGCGCATACGCCGCGACGAACCTGTCTCCATGAGCTCTTGAATGATGTACACCTCTTTGAAGCTGTCAATCGTCGAGGGTTTGATGATGTCGATGATGGAGATAATGTTCTCCGAGACGTTTTGTTCTTGGAAGTATTTGAGTAGCTTGAGCTCGCGAAGCGTACGCCTGCCATCCTCGATCAGCGAGGGCGCTTCGCGCACTGTTGGAAAGCGTACAGCGCAAACACTGGACAAATTTGGCTATCAGCACGCAGCCTGCGCGGTAAAAGGGCCAGTCCTCACTCGTGTGATCGAAGGGCTGGATTTTCTTGATCGCCACGCGAGTGCCTGACACGAATGATGAGTCTAGCGTCGCTGAGGGCAGGCGAGACATACCTGTGGGCTTGTGGTACGCACTACAGACGACACCATATGCGCCTTCGCCGATGATCTCCCGCACTTGGTACTTGCTGCCGACATTGAAGCGAACGCGACGAGGTTCCGCCGCGGCCGGAGGCGCACTTTCTTTGACAGCTGCAGGCGCGGGTGCAGGCTGCATCGTTTCCATTGCTACGTCGGCCATGACGCTTGACGGAATGTGCGGCTACTGGTGTGGGTTTGACCTGCAAGTGCTGAAGGTCAATCGAGCTCAAGAAGTGCGCAGGACGAGAGATTTGCTCGGGAAAATGGCGAGGGCAGATTTGGACACGATGGAGCGCAGTGCGCTTACGAAGAAGCGGTACGTGCACGATCAACCAGCCGCGCACTAGCGCTAGCACTTATAGAGCACACAAGCTCTGTGCTGGCCAGCATCGGTGACGCGGACTGCTGATGAGCTTGTGATACACTGCGGTGTCGTCGATGGGGGAGCGCGACATGAGGTCTGAGCTCACCTCAGCTATGACTAGAGGTTAATGAAGCCCTTGCGAGTAGAGAAGAGCAGGCGAGCTCAAAAGATATATATGCTGATGAACAAGTGAAAGGCGGCAAGAGTGAGGTTGAAGCCTTTGATAGATTGTCGGGCGCCCCAGTGAGATTGTACGCGCCGCGTGCTGCGTGATCAATGCTGTATTCTCGTATAATCGGACAATGTAGGAAGACGTCTCTCGCGGAGTGTCTCTTGAAGTGAAGGAGGGAGCATTGTTCATCGATGCGCGATCATGAAAGGCAGCACAAAGGCGGGCGGGCAAAATGGGTCCGTCATGGCGGCGATCACTTTGTCTGATGATCATGGGATTCAGAAAGCACTGTTGCCGAGACAAAGGGTGACGGCTGGCCCAGAGATCTGCCTTCTTTGATCGAAACGCCGCGAGTCTTTGTGCAAGCGCGAGACGCGATCTGACAGTAATCGCCACAAGTCGCACGTGAGGAGCAACACCGCCTGGCCGATAGCCGTCAGATCTAGAGCAGGCTTCAGGCTCAAGGGGCTCACAGCGAGTGTCTACAGGATTCTGCAGTGCCGAAAGCGAGGTCTGGAGGAACTCTGACGGCGTAATTCGACGGAAGCTCCGGCTTGTCGAGGTTTTCCGAGGCGACGCCCTTGCCCGCCAAGCAGACTCGTCAGGCAAGACGCTCGCAGCATACGCATCAGGATCACGTACACGGCCATCATTTCACAGGATCGGATGGCCTACGCATCCACCAGTCGGCTGCCGATAGACAGCAAGACCGCTCAGCCTCTGACGCGGACAACTTTGGGCCGGATCCCAGCCATGTCGAGCCTGTTGATGGCCCTGCTCGTTCTGATAGCAGCGAGTCAACCTGCTCGAGCACAGCATAATGCCGCGGACAACATCACATCACTCGCCGGCACCTGGTCGTCTGGATCTGGAAATGTTATCACTGGGCCCGTTCGTCGATCTTACTGATTCTTGCTCCCAAAGTCATGCTGAGCCCGGACGATCCATCAGGGCTTCGCAAACCCGGTCAACTTCTCATTCGCCTACCCGGCGACGACGGGCATCGCGTACTCGTTCACCGATGATGGTCACTTTGAAGAGGCGCAGTATCGTTTTGACGCGAACGGTCAGCCGGACTTTGCTTCTGATCTGCGATGACTGACGCTGAGCACATCGACCGACAGGCACCGAGCCGCACTGTGTAAAGGCGTTCTTCATCTTCCAGCATGGCACATACGAATTTCAACCGAACGGTGTAGGTCGACAGGCTTCACCTTTCTTGTCCCAGGCTCACATTCTGAACGCCCAACAGTCCATCACGACACTACCTATCGCAGCAGATGGCAGGATACAAGTACAAGATCCCTGTGCAGCCGAGTCCTCGGTCATCACGTACTACTATGAGCCTGCGTAGGTTTTTCGTTCTATCGGCTCTGAAGTTGCTTATGGCGAGCAAAACTGCGCAGGATCTTCCAATCATGGTTGATCTACAACGATCAGAACCACAATGCATACGGCTTGCAGCTATCCGCCTTCGATGGCTCGCTGCTGCCGAGGCTGTTCCTTAAATACACACCGCCAGCCATGTGGCCGAGTGCGTTCCTCTTCTTAACTTCGTATACGCTACTGACAGCCGTCACCATTGCAGCTACGCAGCTCACGACAAACAGATCGACCGTGCAAACAAACGAAGCCAACGCGAAACGCGATCTCGTGCAGCAATCGCTTCTGCAAGCCGAGCTCGTCAAACGCGGGTCAGCGACATCTTCTAGCCCGAGTACGGTTGGCATCCAAGCTGCAGGTCTACTCGGTCTCCTCAGTCTCGGCTTCGTCCTTGTCCGATGAGCAAGCGCGAATTATGCAGACCCACGCTTTCGCACGACACACTTTTCACACGCGTCATGCTTGATAGGCCCTCATCATCACGGACACTGAGCATCTGCTGCTAGTCTACTATTGTAACACTCCTTGTATACCTTGTGCGCATGGTCCACGATGGGCTCTCCGCTCGACCTGAAAGTGGGTCGCGTCGTGTTTTGGGCGCGCCATGTCCAGTCAGCTTGCAAAACCAATTGCGCGCCCGTTTGACACGGACAGCAGCGCCTGCATCGTCGGCCGTCTGAGACGCTCGATCGACGTGTTGTAAAGACTCTGACTTGTCTTGGTCGCTCGGGCAGCGCCAATCTTACCTCGCAAAAAGCAACCTGACGACGAACGACACGACAAGACCCGGCTCACTGGGATCGGGCGAACAGCGGCTTCTGCATTGGCCTCGTCGCTGTCTGTATTCTTCGGCGTGAATCGTACCCGCACTGTCTGTCTGTCAGCTGCCGGACGGTGCCTATTTGGTCATCCACGTCTTGCTTGGCACTGAGTGCAGTGTAAAAGCCTTCAAGGTCAGCGCTCAGACAAGATGAGCGTGGACTCACCTGCCAAATCATCTGCCTCCTCGCCGACGAAGATGTCCGTCTCTGCCTCCATGGGACCTCTGCCTAGCGCGAGCGTGTCGAGTGCTAGATCGCCTACCATGTCGAGCAGCGCTGCCTCGCTCCAGGGCGGTCCTACACATGGCTTGTCTCAGCCTATCAATGAGCGTCAAGGCTCGAGAGATAGCCTTTCAGCATCTCAATACATGTCCGCTTCTTCTACGCGGCCTTTGTCGCCCAGATCGCTCTACGCTTCGTCATCGGGTACATGGTCTGCGCCCCAAGCCAGCTCCGGCAGCCCTGTCCGGAGCGAATCGCTCTCGATGTCTTATTCGGGCTCTCACACTCATGCTCATTCGCATTCCGGTGCCTCGCCTCTGATTGCCCTCGACAATGGCGAGACGGCTTCCAACGGTGCCAAAAGCGCGCGTCCAGACCCGCCCACGACAAGTACGACGACCAGCAACAACAGACGCGGCGGAGTACAGAGTTACATTGCCCCTGGTAGCGCCAGACTCAATCGACCGACGAGCGAATTCATGCCGATGAATTCGATCGGTCTTAGTCAGGGGCCGACTGCAGAGAGTAAACATGATCTGCTGTAGCCGTAGCTCTGCTAACGACCTTTCTGATAGATGAAGCGATTGAGAAGTTCTTCCAAGATCTGCAACATCATGAGCGTGTCCTCGAAGAGATGGCTGCTGCTTCCCTCGACCAGAACTTCAAAGAAGAGCTTGGCGCAATCGAGCAATGGTTTCGTGTGCTGTCTGAAGGTAGGCTATGTCTTTGCTTGTGCACTGAGCGAGCTGACACAGGCGGAACGCCGTAGCCGAGAAGACTGCTGCGCTGTACAGTCTCTTGCAAAGCTCGACACAGGTGCAGATACGTTTCTTCATCACTGTCTTGCAACAAATGGCACGCTCAGATCCGATGGCCGCTCTGCTCAGTCCAGCCAATCCTATGCAAGGTACGCCTTCGCGACAGGTCCGCTACTTGGCTGATCTAACGCTTTTGCTTGTAGCATCCATGGATACGCAGCTGGAAGCCAAGTTGGCCGCGATGGGCATGAAAGCTCCCGGGTCGCCTGGCTCACGTGCGCAGTCCAACTTGCGTCAAGGCTCCTTCTCGACTGCTGCAGATTCACATGGCTTTCTATCTCCTCATGCGGCCATGTTCAGCGGTCAGAACTCGACAAGCGGACATGATCGTAACGCATCGGGCGAGGCTGCCAACACGCTTGCCCAGCAACGCGCTCGCCTGAAAGCCAATGCTAGCCATCGGATCAGCGCGCCCACTGCGCTGCTATCTGCCTCTCAAGCACCTCAGGAGCCACCCAAGTCGCCCGTCTGGGTCCAGCAGTCGCTCTCCAATGGACCTCGCCGCAGTCCCTCGCCGAATTATCTACAGGCAAGCGAGGCGCCACGGTCACCCCGTTCGACGCACGATAGCTTCGCAGATCAGCTAAGCCCCCTGGTTGGCGGTAATTGGGCTTCGATGGTCAATACGCCCCTTGCGCCTATGTTCAATGGAAGCAGAAGCACCGGCAACATTGATGCCAGTATTCGCGATGCATCCAACAAGCTCAACGCGTGGTCTGGCCATCAGAGTGTCTCTGGCTCTACTTCAGCCAATGGCATCGTGCTCGATGATGCCCGCAAGTTCAGACGCAATGCTCGAGGAGGCAGTCAACAGGATGATCAGCGGGAGGAGCGCGCCTCGCTGAGTCGGTCTGCTGCTCCAATCTTGTCGGGAGGCTCCGCTGCCGCTAGTCCGACCACTTACGGCGGACTCGATCGGCAGCAAGTGGCAGCGCTGACCGCTCAACAGAATTGGCGCAACGGTATGGGCAAAGGGCCCAATGCCTCTATGCTCGATGCGTCAATGTCGCTCGGACAATCTGTCACGCCTCAGATGGCACATTTGCTCAATCAACAGCAACTCTTGCAGCAGCAGATCCAGCTACAGCAGAGTATGGGCTTGACGAACATGATGAGCATGATGGGCAACGGTCTGCTCTCGCCTGCTGCGATCGGAGGGAATCCGCTCTACAATTCGATGGGTGCTACGCCCTCTCCTTCCAGCAATGCGTCATTCCTGCAGCAAAGTCAGCGAAGAAGCCCAAGGCCGGACAAGTCGCCCAAGCTGGGGACTTTGCCTCCGGCTGGCTCAGGCGCAAACCCGGATGAAGATATCGACATGCTTCTGCTCAGCGATGTCTCGGCTTGGTTGCGCTCGCTTCGCCTGCACAAATATACAGAAACAGTGCGTATCGGTTCCCGCAGCAGGGTACACTGCGCTGAAGACGATTGTTACAGTTCCAATTCAGCAACTGGCGGGATATGGTCATGATGGACGACAAAGCGCTTCAAGATATCGGTGTATCTGCGCTTGGCGCACGTCGCAAACTGCTCAAGTGAGTTGACTTGCGACACAACGACTTCGTGACTGACGTATTCTATGTAGGATCTTCCAGACCGTTAGGGCCAAGACGGGCATGTCCTTGCCTTCTGACGGACAATTGCTAGCAGTCTCTGAAGCCAGCACCTCGAGGAGCGCATCACCCAATCCAGTGCAATGAGCATTGACATACGCAAACTGTTATACCCTGCAATGGACGTGTGACGCATGTGACGATGATGATTGACAATTCGGCCTGCTCGGCCATCTGAATGGACGCGAACTCCGCACTTTGTTCTTGCCTCTTTCTCAGCAAGTCACAGCCGCGATAGCAGCTTCACTGCAGTCAGCAGAGCCGACTCCTATCGGTGGGGCGCATTGGCCAGGCTGGCGGCCATCAGCACATTCCTGACGGATCCGTCCCTGTATTCACTCAGTATGGCATCTGCCAGCTCTTCCGCCTCCAAAAGTCAAGACACTGCGGCCGGCACGAACGGCAAAGCGCCAGCAGGCAGTAGCCGGTCTCGTGACCGTCAAGGACGATCTCTGGGACCTACTGAAGTCCTCTTGAACACGCCGCCTCAGGTCATCCATTTGCTCACCTACGGCCAGCCATTCCTGCACGCACTCACCACGCTGGCTCAAGTCCTCACGTGGTCGCACCCAAATTTCTTCGTGCCCTTCCTCGGTCTGTTCGTTTGGTGGCTCATCTGCCTCTACGGTGAGCTGGCAGTGCGGTATGGCTTCAATGCCGGATTGCTCGCGCTCATGGCTTGGGGCTGGGTACACCGTGCGAGTCATCGCCCCGGTGGTCTGGCCAAACGTATGGAGAAAGGTATCGAAGGAGGCGCCGAGGACGATGATGAAGAGTCAGATGCGAGGGTACATCCTTCATCAGGCGTCTATCAGATGTCACCGAGTCAATTCGCGACGAGTCTTTATGAGGTACAGATCCTCTCAGACAGCATTGGCGACTTTCTGCTGTCTGTTCAGCCGGTCATTTATCCATTCAGCTGGCGATCAGTCAGAGCGTCTTACAGACTAATGTCGTTCTTATTCACATCTTATCCGTTCTACATCATCTTGACGCACTTTTGCCCGCTGCGATATATCTATCTCGCTCTGGGCACGACTGTCCTGCTTTGGAATGCGCCATGGTTTGCTGTTATCCGAAGAGCGGTCTGGGCGAGCGCCGCATTCCGCTTTCTCATCCGCTTCGCCTACGGCATCCTCTCGGGCGGCCGAGGCTTGCGGCGCGAATGGAGTCGCGGTCATCGCGGCATTGGCCTCATCGGCAGGCTTTTCAAAGCATCTGTACAACCTCAAGTCGGCTGGCGATACCATCCGACTGAGGCTGAGAAGCTAGCTGATTCAACAGGCGCAAGCTCGGCAGATAAGACAAAGAGTGACGTGCACTTTCTCTTCACGATTTATGAGAATCAACGATGGTGGGTCGGCCTCGATTGGACGCACGCCCTTCTGCCGAACGAACGTCCTAGCTGGTCGGTGATATGCTGAGCTTATCGTATCGCGCTAAGTAGGCCCCAACAGGTCCGACGCACATGACGCAGCTGTATCACCTCCTGCATCCTTCATGCTGCCGGCGCCGACAGTCAGTTACGTTGCCTCGCCGACCCGTCAGGACCCCGAATCGCATCTCAAGCATACTGTAGAATGGAAGTGGCTCGATCCGGAGTGGACCATCAAGGCAGCTTCGAAGCACGCAGCTTCCTCAAGTGTAGAAAGTGCGCCGAGCTCTGGATGGCGCAGCGTGCTCAGGCGGGGCAGCGACGCAAAGGCTGGTCAGCAAGACTCTGCAGCAAGCACCCTGAAGGCAGCCATACCTGGCAAAGCGAGTGATCCCGACTCTATCAAGAAGAACGATGAGGCAGACAAGGATGCAGAGGAGGCTGCGCACCAGCATCCCATCGGCGCACACGTGGAAGATCACCAGGCGCATTGGGACGTAGATCATCAGGGCTGGCAATATGGCGATAACGCTTGGGCGAAGCTGTCCTCAGATGCAGGTATGGGCCGATATACAAGGAGACGAGCTTGGGTCCGGCGTGCTATTGCTGTACATTCTGTCGAGCGGGTGTCTCGGCCCAAAGCGGCAAGTAGCGCATCTAAACGAGCGATCAAGGACGAAAGCTCAGCGCCAGGCGACGATCTCGCACAGAACGAGGGCGATACACGAGCGAGGAGGCGGAGCTCGGGCGCAAGCGGCCTCAAGCGAAGATCAGTCATAGCAAAAGTGACCGATGGCCAGCCAAGCTCTATAGCCGAAGAGGGCTCTGCTATACAATGATGCAAGCATAGAAGTATCCAGACAATGCATGGTTCCGATGACACAACAAGCATTTTCCTATTCCTCGAAGCTCACTGAATATTCACTTAGACTGTCTTTCTATCCTTCCTTCTATGCTTGACCATTTTGGGTATTGTGCGATGCCTTAAGACAGTCTTTTTTGGCGTGCAATCGATGTGCGTCGTGCGATTATGCTCACGAGCCAACGTCTCGAATCCATACTTGCACCAGGGCGCTCTGACCTGCTCGAGAAGCCATGCGCGGGTCTCATCTTCGAAATGATCCCAGGAATAGAATGGCTCGTGCTTTGCAGAATGATAGGCTTCTTTGCTTGGGTCTCGCTCGATGGCGCATGCGATTCGCTCGATAGAGGGCATGCGCTCTGGCGGCAACAAGAAAGACAGCATACCGAGCAAAGTGGGCAGCGGCTGCGATCGCAGATCTTCATACCGTACGAGATGTTCGCGAATAGGCGCTTCGGCCCAGTATCGTGCGTGTGCATTGTAGCCGTGGATATATCGTTGCAAACCGACTTGATCGGCTTGACCGAACGGTGCCAAATTCTCGATCCTTCCGGTATGGCTCTTTGTCTGCTGAAAATTATAGAACGAATAGATGACATCGAGCGGATTGCGAATGATGCGCATGTTGCGGTCGAAAGCTTGCCAATGCTCGCTCACGTTCGCAGATTCTGGCAGATCACGACCCCACGGATAATGACTTTTGACAAAATAGGTATTGTCTGCCAAGGAATCGCATTCGCCATGAAAGGTTTTCGCGAGTGGGCGATCGCAGTAGATAGATGATGTCTGATAGCCACTCGCACGTTCGACAAGGCTGCGTACATAGGTATTTCCTGAGCGTGGGAAGCTAGAGAAAATGGTGCGTTGTGCATCGGAGGACTCGGGATACTTGACAGCTGCGCCTGACAGCATCGAGCAATTGGGATCGATCTTGTCATGAAATTGCTGCCCGAACCGACTGCCTTCGACCGCAGCAGTGTTGTGCACAATGGGGTCTTTTGTTTCCCCTGTCTCGGCAGAAAGTGCGACAGTCGATGACGCGAGCGACGTGTTCAGATTAGGCTGAGATGGTCGTGTCGCGGGGCTCATCCGCGGCATGGGTACGCCGTAAAGGGCGATACCGATCAAAAGCGGCAGAAACAAAGGCGCGGCATACTGCTTGACCAATCGCATTGAGCTGTCGCGACTAGCATCCCAGCTAGCAGCTCTCCTGTCTGGTTGTGCGCGATCGTCGAGGGACTGCGTTTCGAGCTTGCGATACTGGGCTGTGCCTTGGGAAAAGCGCCTCTCGTTGAGGTCATCGAAGCGGTTGTCTCGATCAATGAAGACACCCGAAGCAACGAAAGCGATGCCCATCCACCCCAAAGGTCCGATAGTGCTAACATTGTCGAACAGCGCAGCATTGAGCACTATGGACAGGAAGTGTCGCAAAGTCATGATGAGTGCAGTAGTCAGTGCGCCATAATTTGCTAGCGTGTTGAAAAGGATGAGCAAGCCGAAAGTTGCCGTGAAAGCCAGCGCGACCATGTCTGCTATCAGCGCAGGTGTCCGTGCAATCAAATTGATGTCTACCATCAGACCTGATGGTAGCTGAAGGACAGTGATAGCAGCAGCTATGATGGTGCTGATAGCGTTGACGTAGACCATCTGATCAAGCACTGCGCTGCCGCGAGCAAATGGGCCATCTAATGACCTTGCTCTGGTGCCAAGCGTGCGCTCTTGCGTCGTCGACGTGAGCGAGTCGAATAGCAAATACGCAAAGATGCAAAGTGTTCCGCGAATGTTTTTGTCCAGCGAGCTTCTGTCGCCAGACAGCCTGTCGTAACCTGCTGCCTTGCCAAGTTGCGGCCTTGACAGAAGGTAGACAGCGCAGCCAAGCAGAACAGTGGCGCCGGCTACCCATTTGCGCGCAATGTGTTGCCTTTTGTAGACGAGGGAGCCGACAAGCAAGACGAAGACCATCTTGGCGCACTTGGCGATACTTTGTGTCGTAAAGCTGAGGTATTTGAGCGCCTCGTATTGCGAATAAGTGCTCGCAAAGTTGCATGCGGCCACGAGAGCATACGCAGTGATAGCGTGTTGCGGCTGGAGCCGCTGCCAGTATGTCCGCTCTGGCTGCGAAGAGCGAGATGACGGCGAGATCAATGTCAGAAGAAGTCCGACGAGCAGACTAAAGCTCCGATTGCAGGCAATCAACAGCGAGGGCGCCGTGAATCGCTGCTGCTCTGGCCCTATACAATCCCGTGTCAGGGCATGCTATAGCCAATGACACGGGACCTACCGTATTCACTCTTCATGATGCGCTCTTGCAAGACGCTGTAGAGCGCGTACATGGACATCAAACCGCCGGCATGCAGCAGTAGCCAGGCTCGGTCACGCCATGCAGGCGACGCTCGGGCCTCTTCGCTGACAGCAGTCGCCTCCTCTTCGAATAATGAGCTCATATCACGAGGGTCGTGTGACATCGCAGGGCTACGCGGCTCGTAAAAGTGAGATGGCCTAGCATGCGGATCCTTGATCAGACTGGCAGTGCGCGAATGTGCGTGGGACAGAGGCACTGATTCGAACAAGATGCTTGAACTACTGCCGGTAGGATGATGGCTTCTGACATTCCCCTTTGGCGTCTTTTCGTCCATCGCGCTTGGCCGTCTGGATCCCACTAGCGTAGACTGAGAGCTTGTGCTTGCCGCACTGTTTCTTCGGTCGGTACCGAAAGGACTTGCCAAGGCCGAGTCACCGGGCATGCGCCTGCTTGGCGATGAGAGCGGCGAGACAGTATCTCTCTCGTCGTATGCTGTGCGGTCCTGAATGACCATAGCAGAGAGCGCAGGCCTAATGGAGTACTGCTGCTGTTGCTCATTGAAAGCTTGTTCGTCTTCGCTCCTGCGCGCGCGAGATCTTGGCGTGTGATGCGCAGTCGGCCACGCTTGCGGACTCGCCATGAGAGCTGCCTGCCGAGAGCTGGAGACCGCTTCACATTGTCTTGGCAAGCCTCAAGCGGAGATCACCCTCGTTTTGAACCGCGTTAATGATCGAAGTTAGTCGCGTCGAGACGCGTCCCTTATCTCCTCCGTCGTTCCCTTGCCGATCGCAGGGACAGAGTGTGCATTCACATTGTCGAGACAATCTCGTAAGCTCCAATCATGACGCCGCAGGCAGGCACGACCTTGGCGAGGCGCGGAGTCAGGCCTTTGGACAGGCCTTGCCAGCCTTCCTTGCGAGCGATCTCGACCAAGAGCGTGACTGTGCCCTTTGTTGCAGCTGCAGACGACGCTTGCTGTCGTGTCTTGATCACGTCGAACGGATTTGTCAGCGTTGCAGCAACCTACGCTTGCTCGTTAGCCGAAGAAGTCGAATGCGGGGCTTGGACTTACCATTCCGCTTGTGGCACCGCTGACAAAGGCAACAGTGAAAGTTTTGCTGCCCTTTGCTTTGACACCCGGCTGAGCATGGTCGAGCGCTTCACCCATTCCTTTACCAGAGATGATGCGTTTGACGCCTTCATATGAAGCCCAGTAGATGCCACTGAAAGGCACGTCTCGCCACAACGTTGAGGGAAGACCTCGCCAGAGCGAGGAGAGCCCTTGTGTGCGGGTATTGCGCCATGCCGTCCGTATGACCTGGAGCGTTGAGGAGTCGGGCGATGAAGGCACACTCTGTAATCGCGTCCGGACGAGCTCCATCGGCGAAAACATTGTGGCTACTGCTGCTCGACTGCTCATGCCAGCTGCCAAAGGCGCAAGCGCGAGATAAATGGCAGCTGGTTGATCGTTTGACGTCGACCGAGGAGCCGATCGCAAGAGGGACGCGCGCAGCTTATCATAGCCGACCATGTAGACTATCTGCGTCGGCACACTCATGGCGAGCGTCGTGCCTACGCCTCTCCACAGAGTCGATATCCCTTCATATCGTGATATCTTGCGTATGGCGTCGAAGAATCCAGAGAAATGAGAGGACCCTCTGTTTTGTTCTAGTGTGAGCGTGGCCGAGGCGGGCGAGTCGAACGTGCAAGCTGCTGCGCCTGCGAGCTGTACGACATGAGTTGGTTGAGCTGATCCTACTAACGGCGAAAAGGATTTTGATAGAGCTGCAAAGGACAGTGCCGCCCTCTGTGCCGGGCCCGTCATGCTGGACGACGTCGCACCTGTTTGAAGTGACCGAGCAGCAGCTATGACAGGCGCGGTCGATCTATGGGAGTGCTGGCCCGATGCAGGCAGCTCTGCCGTCGATATTCTAGGATCAAACTTGCAGAGGAGCGAGTCTTCGGCGGCATTGGTGATGAAGAAGGTCTTCTGGCAGCATGTGGACCCTCTCGGCTGGGTTGCACTCGATCGAGCCGGTACTTGTGATGTAGATGCATCCGATCTGAACGTCGGCGGCTCGGATTGGGGTAGGCGAGCAGAAGGACGGAACAGCGGCTCTGGATCGGCCTGAGTCTGTAGCCTTGTCTTGACCACATCGAAGGGCGTCACTACGAGTCGATTATCAGTCAGAACTGCCCGCAATTGACACCGGAGCATGACCTACTGATGAGACTTGTCGTCATCGCGCCGACACAGGCTGCAATGACTTTCTTGGCGTCATCGCTCAGCTTGGGCTGCAGACTATCAGACGGCAAGCCTGCGGCCGAGCTGGGGAGCTCGGTCACGCCGGCCATCTCCTCGACAGACTCCATCTGTCGTCTATACGAATGTCCTCGACGTCGACGCTGATCTAATTAACGTCGAATGTTCGGGCGATCGCGGCCATTTTTGCCACGCACGCAAATGCAACACGGTACAACCTCGATAGCTATTGCGCCCTCAGCCTAGAGCTCGACCTTGTCAAAGGCTTGTCACTCGAGTCAAACGAGAAGGAAGAGTCGGGCGAATCATCGACATCGGGTTGCTTGCTCTTCTTGCTCTTGCTCTTCTCTGCTTGTGTCTGCGTCGTCGGCGAGCTGGCTTCATCCTCGTCAGATGCGTTGATAGGCGGTCGAGCGAGGCTGCTCGTCGGTAGCGCGTTCGAGCCTCTCGGTCGTACAGTCGTGCTGTCTTTCGTGCTCTTTCGGCGGCTGTTGAAATGCCCGCATCGAGGACAGGTATACTCTGCTGATCTCATCAGCTCTGTCCGAGATGGGGAGCTGGCTACACGTACGAATCTCATCGAGCTCCTCCTTGAGTGCGAGTCCGTTGTGCGAGAAGCATTTCTGGCAGATCAGCGCATACTTTGACGTCGGTAGCTGCTCGTTCTCGCCCAGCAGCGCATCTGCAATTTTGTCAACCCAGCCTCGTGTCGGCGTTGGGGCTGCACGAACGCATCTCCTCAGCTCATAGTACTGAGAGATTGAATGGCCTCACTTACGGTAAGCCCCAGCAAATTCTCGCGACAGTGCCCCGGGTATGGCAGAACCCCGAACGGGCGTGCTCAGAGGAGACACCGTCGACGTGTCTCTTCCGTTAATCGATACAGCCGGCGAACCTTTGAAGGCCGTATTCGCGAACGGCGGAGGGGGAGGAAACACGGGTGCTCGCTTGCTCGTGTCGGCTTGTAGTGTCGGTGAGCCTTGGGGTGTACCCGAGTGCGATCGCAGACTCGTCGTCGAAGCGGACTTCTTCAGCCCTTTGTTGCCAATCTGCGGGCGGTCGTGCATCAGAGACGGACCAGGTCCGACGAAAAGAAGCACGCCTACCGCTGGCCTGTTCTTACTGTCGTACTTGTCAATGAGTGCTCGTGTCTCCTCGTAGCGCAATCGTTTCTTGAGCTTGTCAACTTGCTCTTGTTGCCTTGCGCGCAATTGCTCCAGTATTCTGACTGTTGTCAAGGTCAGCCCAGTCTGGGGACATGCCGATCTGATCGCACTCTCGGCATTGCCTTTGCGTGTATACCACCACCTGAAGAAGCGTCGCTGGAAAGTGATTCTGACGCGTTCGTGAGCAAAGGAGTCCGCGACGCTCCGACGTAGAGGACGTACACAAATGGCCCGACGAGCACAGGCAATGTCCTGATGATTCTCTCCCATGTATCTGCCCTGACGCCGAGCAGCTTCTGCTGCTCAGACTGTAGACCGAGCAAGTGTTTGCCCCAGTCGCCAGGCGCGATCAATCTGACGGCGTTGTAGTACCACAGCGCAAAGTAGGCAAGCCAGATGACGGCCGAATAGAGCGTAAAGAAGACAAGCGCCCGTCGTTCTCGTGACCTGATCTGGGCTAGCTTCTCTTCGTTCTGCTGTACTTTTTCGTCCAACAACTGCAGCTGTCGTTCGACTTCATCATTGCTGTCACAACCCTGTGTGTCGTTGCGCACGCCATCAGTCACTGGCCTACTCAATGTTCGACCACAGGCCTGACCTTGCTGAAGCCGAGCCAGGACAGGATGCCCATGGCAAGGGCGCGCGGACGTGGACAACAGCGAGCCAAGGCGCGTTCGTGGTTTGTCGCGGTACATCGACGTCATGCTGGCTCATCAAGCGCTCGGCAGGCTGGCCAGACGAGCAAGCCTGCAAGTAGCAGCCGGCGCTCCTCACAGAGCTGCACAAGTGAATCCGACGGCACCCTTTGCGTTGTCGCTCGATCTGAGCCATAGATTGTCAAGGAGGCCGTCTTCACGATCAAAGCGGTCTTACGCAGTGGAAGCAAAGCAACATAGCAGGATAGAATGTCCCGTCTGTCATGCTACTCGGCCGATCAAAGCAGGCGAGATCGTCGCGCTCTGTCCGGACTGCAAAGCCGTTCAACCCCTACAACTCTCCCAATCCACGAGCCACTTTGATATCTTTGAGCTGCCCCGTCACTTCTCAATAGATCAGACGGCACTCAAGAGAGCCTTCCTGAAGTGGCAGCAGCTCGTCCATCCTGATCGCGCAGGATCAAATGACAAGCAAAAGTCGTGGGCGTTCCAGTGGAGTACGTTGATCAACGAAGCCTACCAGACGCTCCTGTCTGATCGCCGGAGAGCTGAGTACATGGTACGTAGGCTGCATCTGTTCCTTACGAAGTAGCACATAAAGTGCAAGCAGCTTTCGCTCGAGGGTGTCACTGTCGAGGAAGCGGACAAGATCACAGATCCGGATCTGCTCATGTCAATTCTCGAATCGCGAGAGACACTGGAAGAAGCAGAGACGGAGGAGGATGTCCACGTTCTACGGGAGGATAACAAAGGTGGGGCGCCATTGTGTGTATGCTCTCGCTTCGCTGATATGACGCCAAAGGGAAAATACGCACTACTGTACAAGAGTTGGAAGCAGTCTTAGATGCACACGATAAGGATCTGCAGCTGGCAAGAACGCTCACAATCAAGCTGAGATACTACGAGAACGTCGATCAAGCCTGTAAAGACTGGGCACCAGGCAGGCCAATAGAAATCCAACATTGATGCATATCACGCATCATCATCATCGTCAGCAGCTGCGTTCCTACAAGAGACGCACAGAGCCCTGTCTGCTGCTTACTCACGCATTGCTGTATTCAGAGTCTTCGTCGTCAGAATGCATCCTGACCTTGCGCTTGCTGCTGACTTTGGTGCGACGGTATGGCTTATTGGCCTTTCCTCGCGCTCCTCCTCTACCGCTCTTGACCTTTGGTTTGATCGAGCACAGCTGTTCCTTGGCGTCCAACGTGAAGGATTGATGCTCGAAGCCACACCATGTGCTCGCGACCTCGTCACTGATGTCCGAGCCACCCTCGCTGCCAGCAAGCGCGCGGAGCAGAGCAAAGGGTGATAGTCGCTTGAACGAGTATACGTTCAGCTGTCGACAGAAACTCGCCGCGTTCGTATGACCGAAATGCTATGGGCCAGTCAGCTCCGGCGCCAGCGAGAGAATCGCTGAAGGTACCTTGAAGAGTACCGCTTCTACAAAACGCGCATCTTGCATGTTGACGAGGAAGCTCTTGCCGGCTGCATCCCATCGCAGGTACTTCGAATGCTCTCCTCCGCTCAACAGATTCCACATGATCGAGATGAATCGCGTGGCTCGCTTGTCGTCCAGCTCGCTATCAAGGAAAGCCATATCACGTGTACTGAATGTATCGCGGGTCGAGACGGAGCTGATTGATCTTGATGCGATGGAAGGCCCTGGCGAGACTGGAATGCTCTCAGCGTGTTCGTCGTAGCTCGAACCCGCATGGCTTGAAGCGCGCGACTCGGGCTCGATCATTTGATGCGGCTCGTAGATCGTCGGCTCTTCATAGGAGATCGGCGATACTGGCCAATGGCTCGGTCGTGCATGGCTAGTCGCAAGGGTGGCTTCGAAATGCTCATAATCAGACCGCAGCTGACATTGCGATGGAGCTTGCCACGTCAATTTGCTGGGCTCGATGACTTGCTGCGGATCAATGCCACCGGCCTGCCAAGGCGTGTATGCAGGTTCCCACATCGTCGGATCTGTGTATGGCGCGAAAAGCGGCTCGTACGTGCCAGTCTCGATGGTGCTGAAGGAAGGAAGCGTGAGCTCACGATGGACATCATCAGCGCTGCCAACATCGTACGTGAGACACATCTACGATTTGAGGAGCGTATGGGCTCACCTGCTCGAGCTGTGTGCACCCAGCATGGGCGAGTTTCGGTCGTCGATGTAGCCGTACAACATGGCATGTCTGTACTGATCAAGCTCGCGTGACATGGGATGTGACAGATGGACTTCTGCTGAGATCAAGTTGACTGCTGCGGTCGGTTTGTATAGTCGCGCGATGACCTCAGAGCGTCTTATAGGTCGTGGCAGCTCGCACGAAGAGAGGAAATGAACGGACAGACGGGCATATTGAATTTGGAAGCGGCGGAGGTCCAAGCTCGCGAAGCCACGTCGCGGCGGTGAAGGCGTTGTCTGCATTGGCTATACACCGGCAATGCTGAACGCAGCGGCGACTTAATCGTCGGAATCGTCCGAGCTTTCGCTTGCCGTTTGTTGGGCAGACGTGTCATTATTCTGCGCGCTTCTTCTCGACCGACTGGCCGCTTTGCTCTGACTTTGCGTGACCGCAAGAGGCGGCAATGTCCCTTCGTTGAGTCTTTTCTCAATATTCGACATTGAGGGTCTCGCCTTTTGAGGTCTTTTGAGGCCGTTCATTCTAGTTGAGATTGGCTTTGCTGCTTCTGGTTTAGCCTTGGCTGATCTCTTTCCTGCCCCCGCCTTCTTGCCTGCTGCCTGGCTCGCTGACACCTCCACACCTTCCGCGCGAATCGCGGCCTTGTCCTTGCTACGCAGATGACCGGGCGAGGCCGTCCTGCTGCGAAGACGCGACGTGATAGTGTCCGCGTCGTTGTTGCCTAAAGCTGTACCCGAAGGCGCGCCATCTGATGATTCTGGGCGCTCATCGGTTTCAGTGTGATCTTGCAATGGCACTGCAGGATCTGCGGCTGTCAGTGGACTAGCTGGCTGCGCTGACGTGTCTCTTGTGTGTTCTGCCGCAGTAATTTTACGAGGTATGGCTGTCATGCTCGAATCATCATCCGAAGACACCGTTACCGACCGACGAGCAACTTGTGGAATCGACAAAGGCGCCTCTGGTGACAAGATCGGCGGCGATTCAAGCTCGCTCATGCCAAACTGCGAATCGGGTTCCAGGCTTTGACTAGCAGCATCGTTGACTGAAGAGAATGATCTACGCGCTTCCTCGGCCGCGTCGGACTTTGCTTTGAGCTTTGATGGATGCGACTGCTGTTCGTCATCTTCGCTCTCGTCGGATTGAGCATCGTCCGAACTCGCAGCCACTGACGTGCCTGCAGTCGTTTGGTGGAGGTCCTTGGTTGAGACGATCGCATCGTCAACACGCGAGCCGGTGATAGATGGCGCCTTAATATTTGGCGGTGTAGTAAGCTCTACGGCAGGGCTTTGCTGAGCTAAGCGCGTCGCGGCAACTGTCAGAACAGATGGTATCTGGTTTGCGGCGCCGAAAGCTCTGGAATGGTGGTCCACTTGCCATTGTTCTTCGTCACTTGACGCTTCATCTGCAAAAGGAGACGGCGTTCGTCTTCGGTTGATGCGGTTTGGAGGTCGGCTGCCTTCATCGGGGCTTCCCTCGTCGCTCGAGACTGCCTCAGTCTCGCTGGTATCGGCATTTGTGCTTGGCTCTCGAGTCGGTAGCGATGACATAGCTATGCTAGCAGCTGAAGTTCCGGGCGCGATAGGCATGTCTGCTTCTCGGTTCGCGCCCTTCGCAGATGAGGCTTGAGCGAGCGGTCTAGAGCTCCGCACAGGCTGCGCAGTGTCGTCAGAGCTCGTCTCAGCCTCAGAAGACAGACGTGCTTCAGCCAAAGCTGCCGGCGAAGTCGCAGCACTCTCAGTCATGTCATTGTCGATGCTGCTTTCAGTCAAAGTATTGGTATTCTCTTCGGCCAGGAGTTGTTCGCGTAGTCTCGATCTCGCACGCTGACGCTGAGCACTTGGTCTCGCATGTAAGCTGGCTGCAGCGCGAGGAAGACCGGGCGGTCGAGTTCGAGTGGGTGTTGCTTCTGCACTTGCCGGTGCAGGCTGTTGAGAGAAGGATGCAGCAGGCGCGAGTGGCATGCCGGTGAAAGCATCAAACCTCGCTTGAGGTGGGGCAGGATGGTACAAAGGTTGACCGGTATAAGCATCATAGCGGGGCGCAGGCACAGGTGGTATAAGAATTGGCACAGGCGAGTATTGTGCCGACGGCATGGGTATAGAAGGCGTTGGAGACCATTGTACATCGTAACGACCATCAGGATTGCGGAGGAGAAGGCCCACTTCTGCAGGCTGAGGGGCCACAGGCTGAGGGGCCACAGGCTGAGGGGCCACAGAAGGTTGAAAGCGAGAGTAAGGCAAATAAGATGGCGGAGCAAATGAGAATGGATTCATTGCGTGCGAGAGGCTATGACTGAGCTAAGCAACGCACAGTCAGCGAAAGAGTCGCCGAGAGGAGATTGATCACTGACCAAGGCACCTCCCTCTGCAGCAGGTGTGCTGCGAGTGATGAGAGAAGAAGGTACAGGAACCGTCAGAAGCACGGCATTGGGCTGCCTGTTGTCCACGAGATTCCATTGCAGAAATTGTCGTTCTTCGACAGGGAAGTAGGCTTCGATCAAAGCACGACCCGGCACAGGCGGGACTGAGCTCGACTGCCGATCCATGGCTGGACTGGTCACCTTGGTGCGCTTCGCTGCAGGCTCCTGTTTGAACGTTGTCAGCGCGGCCAGAGCCAGCGGCGAACAAGTCACTCACATCCGCCTTTCCAGATGCGCCGTTTTTCCCTCGCTTCACGCTTACGCTGACATTGACGCCATCGGTATGCGCCTCGCCATCAGGCCCAGCAGTCTTTGCCTTGCGTTTGCGAGCGGGCGCAGGAGCTGGCTCGCCTTCAGGTCTCACTTTTGGCGGACGGCCACGGGGCCTCTTAGGAGCAGTTTCGTCACCTGCGCTAGTTATAGCGATCGGCGCAGGCTCAACCGCTAGTGCAGTCTCTGCGTCAGTATCAGCCTCGTCTGAGCTGTCTGCCGGCGCAGGTTTGCGGAGGGTTGTATCTGATGTGTAGCGCTCGTAATATGCAGCGCGCTCAGCAGAGAGCTCGCGAGCATTGCGTGCTTTGGACAAGGCAAGTGCGCCTTCACTGGCATCCTTGTTAGATGAGCTCGAGATGGGTTTCTCGGTAGACTTTGGTTTGGCGGGTGCTTTCTTGGCGGGAGCTGGAACGGCAACGGGCGCGGGCGCGGGTGCTGGCACATCAGTGTCGTCGTCATCGCTGTCGCTATCGCTATCATCGTCGCTGCTGTCTGTCTCGACAGTGGCAGCAGACTTGGGCTTGGCCGCAGGAGGAGCTGCAGGGGCCGCTTTCGTGACTGGGGGCTCTACGGATGATGCGCGCCTCTTCTTGGCTGCAGCTGCATTCTTGGCCGCCTGAGCTACGTTGCGCGAGAATTCGACATAGTCTTTGGAGATCGTCTCTGGCGTGAGGTTGTGATCGCTCTCGAGATGAACTTGTACTCCTGTCGTGATGTACTTCCTTGAGCCTGACACGCCGCGTGCTGCGCGGCTCCAACTCACTGGAATAGCTCGAAAGGGCATCACTGCACCCATGGAACGGGCAAGGGACCATCCTCGCCCTCTTTTTAGCAGTACCATTGGCGGTCTCCGTCGCGTCAGTTGTCTTAGCAGCAGCAGCAGGAGTAGCCGTCTCTTGAGTGGACTTGGACACTTTTGGCGTCTTCTTCGTTGGCGACTGGGACTCCCTGCCTCTGACAGGCGTGGCAGAAGTAGGTGGAGCTGCCATTCTTGGAGTCGCCTTTGAGCCAGGACCTCGCGTCAGTGCGTGCGACGATTGACCTGAGCTCGAATCTGAGCCTGAACTGCTGTCTGAGTCGGAGCCCGAGTCCGAGGTCATGCTATGGCTTGACGCGGCCAATCTGTCGCTCTTTGCTGATGAGCGCGTAAGAGAGGGGGCGCGTGCCGGTCAACAAACTTTTTCTCACGAAGTGGAGCCGATGACGCAGCGATAGCACAAACTGCTGCGACGATCGACCGTCAGGTTTGCACTCATTCGACGTTGTAACGAGCGCATCGCCATTGCGACATGACGACGACTCAAGTGCTGCCGCCGCAAGCGCCCGGCAAGAGGAGATGGTATGAGAAATTCGTGGAAGAGCCGCTTGTACCATTGGGCAAGTCTACCTATCGAGCTCGCCCTCGTAGCCGAGCTGAACTGGTACCACAGGCATGGGATTGACCTGCGTCGCGTTGCTCGCTGCGAGCGTACAGATGCGCAAAGGCGATCGGAAGAAAATGAACAAGTTCTTGCGGTATCGTGTGTACGCTCAAGGCCTGACTGTCCTGGCTGCCCTCGGAGGAACGGTCTATTACGGCACAGAACGGAGCAAGCGAGCAGCCGAACAGAGAGATGCTGCTCGGTTCGCACGGGAACAACAGCAAGCTGCGAGGGAAGCAGCTGGTCTGCCGCCTGTCGTCCGGACAGCTCGGCCAGTGACTGTCAAACCCATTACATCAGAAGAGGATAGACCGCTACGAGCGAAGCAGAGCAGGAACCAAGCTCAGATGTTGAAATCAGACGAGTCTCAATAGCGGGCAGACAGACGCAGTCGCAAGCAAGTATTCGCATAGTCTGATACATGTTGTATAGCAGGGATACAACCTCGAGACTCATTTCATGATGATGCAGACATGATTCTGCCAAATTGAGATACACCGCCCTCGTCTTCCTCCTTCGGGAAGAGGACCAGTGAGTCAGGCACGTGCTCCGTTCGCTTGACTTCCTTTCGGACATATAGCACCAGCCTCTCTAGCGCCTCTGCAAAGTCGGCCTCAGTCGCGCTCGTGCTCGGCTGAGACGATTGGGCAGAAGCCATGTTCGCTTCTGGCTCTGTCGAAGGTGGTGCAGGAGCAGGCGGTTCCATGCGATCGGGCGTCACGCCAGAAGTGGCCGTTAGGACGGTGCGTTGTCTTGCTTTGCCTTTCACGCCTGCGACATTGGCCCAGCCCGCGCCAAACATATTGCGCCAGATCGCAGCTGCTAGTGTGGCATCATCGCCGACGAGGCCCTCGTCGAGCGCAGTCTGGAATCCATGGTATTGCGCAAGCAGATCCTTCATGGATCCCTTGATGACAGATGAACCTTTGATCTTGTAGTCTCCCTTGATCTTATCTTCGGCATCGAAGAAGATTCTGTTGACCATCTGCTGGTTGAACTTCTGCCCCAGCGGCGCTGGCAATGCTCTCAGTCTGACGGTCAAGATCCATCCGTATAGGTTCGTAATGCCGAACCAAGTCTGGAACGAGTCCGGCATGCCACATTCTGTGCTAGCCGTCAGTATGCCTCATGAACACTAGTCGTAGAGAGACTGACGGTTGTAGAAGAAGTCCCGCTCGATCTGGTAGCGAGGCTCGCAATTCTTGTAAAACTTGAATGTACTCGCCATCGCTCGCGCTACTTGTGGATCACCGCGACCGATCAAAGCTTTGAAGATGTTGGGCTTCGATCGCAGCAAGTCTTTCTCTTCCTCTGTCATCTTATGGATGGGCGCAAACTGGGACGCATTGTCATATGGCGATGATCGGTTCGATCCATCCAAAGCAGCGCTCGACTGCGATCGGCGGCTTGCCAAGCTCGTGAGATATGTCCCTGATATCGGTTTACATGTCAGCCTGTGTTCTAGCCCCACTGTAGTCGCCCGTAGGCTCCGAGAAGCTATCATCTTCGAATATTACGTCGTCGTCTTTCGAGCAAAATGTCCGCGATCAGAATATCAAAGGCGCGTCACATGTTGTGGCAGGCAACTTAACATCGCGCTCAGCACACTGGGGCGCGCTCATTGTTCGATGCGCGCTCGTAGTTCCTTACACATTTCATGCAAATGAGCGCTGTCATGTTTGCAAAGACAGATACAAGACATTGTACACTTTGCCGGATCAATCATTAGCGGCTGCATCTTCCTCTGTGCTGGAATGTGCATCGCCATCCGATTTGCGTTGGATCGACTTGGACAGCAGCTTGAGACTGCCAGATGAGTCTGCCGCAGGTCGCAGATTGAAGAAGTCGAGCACTTTGCCAGCGACACCAATATCTTCATCGCCAGACTCTGCTTCGTCCTCTTGCTTGACTTTTGCGCTGATATGATACGGCAATGGTATATCTGCATGCACTTGCTTCAGCTTGCAAAGGATTGCTGGACTGCAGACTGACCTCTGGAAACTCTATAGCCGTCTGAATTACCGACAGCTTCGGCTTCCACGCGCAGGAAATTCCACTGCCACCTGCGCAGCATCTCGAGCAGGGCGACAAGCCAGCTTTGAAGGATGACCGAGGGGCGAACAGGCGTCGCAAAGTATAACACCCAGCTGAAGCGCAGGATGATGTTGCTGATCATCGCCCAATAGTAGAACCATTTTGCAGTCTTGTAGCCCAGCTCCGGTCGCAGAAGCCAATGTTTCGAATGACGTTTGAGAAGGGACCAGTCGACCGCTATATCCCAGTACGAGGAGTATGCACTGTTGATGATCGAAATGATGACCCATAATATGAAGGCAGCACTTGTGCGCCTTTCATTTGCGTAGACTCTGTAAACAAAGTATGACGCAAAGTATGCCGAGTTGAGCAGATACTTGACGATGTTGGCGATATGCATCTTCTCCCGGGAATCGACGTATCGTCTTGTGCACTGGCCGATACGCATGAGCGGAGGTATAGCAGCAAGGACGAAGGAAAGCATCGTGTCGTTGGTGTTACATTTGGGTGGCACACGAGTGAAGTGATGCTGATATGTACAGACGATGTAGCCAAAGTTATAAAATCTGTCCCGAACGTCAGAGATACTTGCTTTCAAATCAGGTTCCGCTTACACATAGTACAGGGACACAAGTTCATCTGCGATCCAGAAATCTCTAAATTGCACGGGGTATATACCAAAGGTGAAAGCTCTGCCTACACTACGTGCGAGCCAGGCGCGAGCAGTGCGATGCAAGAGCGGCAATGGATTGCAAAAAGCGATGATGATCGCTATCAGCCAAGCCAAAGGGTATGAATGCGGCGAGATGTGATTTGGCCAGAAATTGCTGAAGGAGAGCCAGAATGCGTAGCAGAGAAGCAGAAACGCGAACGCGGGTATCTCGAGATATTGACGATAGTCAATCATTGTGCGCACATCGAGCTCGAAGACGAGCACGTAATTGATGCGGTATCGCTGCCAGACTGCGAGATTGACGGCGAACAGCAATGCCAGTAAGATCGGAAGCAGTTCGGCGCCGAACAGCTGCATCAGAGCGACCCATTCCGGTATAGCGGCACGCGTGTCCGGATGAAAAGATTTGATCAAGCCAGCCACAAGCGCAGGCACTGCTAGACCCAGGAACGCGCCCGCCCTGAAGGTGCTGATGTGATGCGGTGTCACATTGCCTTCATCTCGCAACCGTTCGAGCGCTAGCTTGCGGCTGCCATGCTCGAAGTGTCGCGCGAATAAATCTTCTGTAGACTGTATAAGCCGCTCAAGCCTTGTCGATTGTCTAAGCGGGGTAGCATCGACCTTGGCCATGTATGGCTGTGCGCAAGGTATGGCTAGCACCTTTTCGGCCTTCTTCACGATCTTCGAAAAGCCAGTCAAGTTGAGCAGCTTGTAGCTTTTGATCAGATTGAGAAGCCGATATAGCTCGTACGCGGCCGACCTGAGTGTGGCCCGAGCAGAGCGATAAGCAGCCGAGCTGGTAGCAACTTTGTTGGAACCCTTGATAGTCTTGCGATCCTGGAGACTCTTGGACGAGTGCATGGTGGCATAGGTGACATCCCGTTTATCGTGCTTGTGGTGTGAGAGTTCTTCTAGCTGCATCCTCAAGACACGCAGTCGTTCCTCGGCTTCATGCAATCGATCAGCGAAAAAGTCGTTCACCATCAGCAGATCGCGATCTAGGACACTGAACAGGTTGCGCTCTGCAGATGTGAAAGCGCCGTATAGACTGTCTAGTGAAGAATTGCGTGGGTATCGCCAGATCTGAGGTTGTTGTTCGCCGAATATGGAGCGACGTTCACTACGGTCCCTGTGCTGGTAGTGCATCGGCGGGGACTCTGTGACAAGGGTCGCTTGTTCCGACTGTCTTGGCCTCAGTTCGGTCCTTGAGTTGCCCATCGAGGTCTCGCTGGCATCTTGGCTTTCAGATGGTCTTCCGTCATCGGTCACACCGCTCACGGCAGTGCTTGATCTCTGCATATTCGATCCAAGGGTTGAAGGCGGTCTGCGCGATGCATACTCGGATGAGTGTTCACCCGTTGACCAGGCATAGGACCGGCTGGACGTATACTCGTGGTCATCCGATTCGCTATCATTCGCTCCTTCTCTGCATGCCTCGGGATCACCTGAGGTGCGATCGAAGTATCTTTCGCTGTGTCTATCGGCAAGCAAGGGTGTATCCGAAGCTCGTCGTGCAAGCTTGATCAGCTTCTTCAGCTTCCTGTAGTTGATATACTCGCGCCGCCATTCCTCGGTGACATTTTCGGAGAGATAGTGGCTGAACTTCATCACACAGAAGTCTGCCAGGCGCAAGCCTGTGCAGACGACCGCACAGCAAGTCACACGAGCTCATCGCAGCAACTGCAAATGACATCGTTGGAATTTCACCGTCGCGTCGATCATTAACATTATTCGGACCCCTGGTGACGCGGTGACGACAGGCAACAATATCAAATACCGAAATGTCCTACACAGCTGCTCGCGCTTTATCCGTGCGCGGACATGATGCATTGCTCGGACGGGCATCACTGCGAGGTATCGCTATCGTTCTCGCCATCCTCATCGGTAGTCGTGTGCGCGTTGCCTTCGGATTTGCGCGTGATGCTTTCTGCGAGTAGCTTTAGGCGACGCGACGAGTCCTCGGCTTGCTTGATGTTGAAGAAGCCCAGGACACGAGTAGCAACACTCGCTGCATCATCTCCACTTTCATCCGCCTCTTCCTCTTGCTTCGGCTTGGTGCTGATATGGTACGGTAGCGGGATATCTGCACGGTTCGATCAGCGCGTGGTCCACGAAAGCGCAGATGCTTTACCTCTCGAAACGCGGTAACCGTCTGCATTGCCTACCGCTTCTGCTTCGACACGCAGGAAGTTCCATTGCCACCGTCGACTGACTTCCAGTACTGCGACGATCCAGCCTCGAAGAGCGACCGAAGGTATCTCGGCTTTTGCAAGATACCAAACCCAGCTAAATCGCAGCAGAGTGTTGCTGACGACAGCCCAGTAGTAAAAGGGTTTAGCACCCTTGTAGCCCAATTCGTGACGTAAGAGCCAGTGCTTGTTATTGCGCCGACCCAGTGACCAGTCGATGAAGAGATCCCATGTCGCCGAGTAGATGCTGTTGATGACTGCAACGATGATCCAGAGGATGAATGCGCCGCTGGAATGATCTTCGTCTGCGTAGACGCGATAGCCGAAATAGCATGCAAAGTAAGTGCAGTTCAATAGATATTTGATAGTATTTGCCATGTGAATCAATTCTCCATCAGAATCGACGTAGCGACGGACGGATTGTCCTGCACGCGCGAGGGCTGGGATAGCCGCAAGCGCGAACGATAGCATTGTGTCGTTCGTGCCGCAGCGTGGTGGAACGTCTGTGAAATGTCGACTGTAAGCACAGACGAGATAGCCAAAGTTGTAAAACCTGCACGAATACGTTCAGCAGATGAACGAACACGACGCGGCGGACGTACACATAGTACAAGGACACGAGCTGATCGCCCAAGAAGAAGTCTCTGAACTGAACAGGGTACAGTCCGAAAGTGAAAACTCTGCCGAGGCTTCTTGCCATCCACGCTCGAGCGGTTCGATGTAGGATTGGCAAAGGATTGCACAGCGCGAGGATGACCGCAACGAGCCATGCTAGTGGATATGCATGGGCTGAGATGTGATTCGGCCAGAAATTGCTGAACGAGAGCCAGAAGGCATACGAAAGTAGCAGGAATGCAAAGGCGGGAATCTCTAGATACTGCCGATAGTCAATCATCGTACGCAGATCAAAGTCGAGTACAAGAACGTAATTGATCCTGTTTCGCCGCCAGGCCGCTAGGTTGAGCGAAAAAAGCAGAGCGAGAAAGACCGGCAGAAAGGATGCACCAAAGAGCTGCATCAGAGCAGGCCATTCCGGTATCGCCGCACGCGTTCCCTTGTCAAAAGATTTGATCACGCCAGAGACGAGAGCGGGAATCGACAAGCCGAGAAAGATGCCAGCTCTGAAAGCCGAAAAGTGATGACTGGTATCAGCATTGCCTTGGAAGCGTAAGCGCTCAAGCGCCTTCTTACGGCTGCCTTGCTCAAAGTAGCGGTCAAAGAGATCCTCGGTGGACTGCATCAGCTCATCAAGTCTCGTCGATTGCTTGAGCGGTGTGGCATCAACTTTGGCCATGTATTGCTTCGAGCATGGTGTCGATGTTGTCTTCTCGTACTTTTTCAGCGCTTTCGAAAAGCCTGTCAAGTTGAGAATGCGGTAACTCTTGATATATGTCAATAGCCTGTAGAGCTCGTAGGCTGCGGCTTTAAGCGTTGTCTTGGCCGACCGATAAGCCTCGGAACGATTGGCATGCTGGCGCGCTGCATGCTCCGCAGGGCTCGGCAGTGAACCTTTAGCTGTCTTCCGCCGCGTCAAGCCAGAAGGCAGCACGCGCATTGCACCAGTCACAGCAGCTTGGTGATCTTGCTTATGATGCGCAAGCTCCTGAAGCTGAGCCGTCAACATCTCGAGCCTTTCGTCCGCTTCATGCAAGCGATCAGCATAAAAGTCGTTCACTTTCGTTAGCTCGCGATCGAGAGCATTGAAGAAGTTGCGTTCGGCCGGTCCGCTAGCCTCGTAGATCTCTTCTAACGTTGAGTTGCGTGGGTACCGCCATGCCTTTTGAGGACGCTGACCGAGTATAGCGCGATCTGCGCCCAAGGTCTCTTTGCGAGACTTTGACTGAGTACGAGCGCGACCCATGAAACTATTCTCATTGTATGATACTGTTTTGGGAGGTTGGGTTGGTCTGAGCGCAGCCTCCGAATCGCTGCCGGCGATCTTGCTAGATGCCTCGCTCGCTACTGGACTTTCGGACAGCTTGAGCTCGCCTAGATCGCCATCGGGCCCTCTTTCCTGCTCGAATATTGGCGGTGCACTCTTGACAGCCTGTTCAGACTTTGCATTGACTGGTTGAGGTGTCGAGCTGGGACTGGTCACGACTTCCTGACCGCCGGCATTTCTTGAGCCTTTCGAGGAACTCGCGACAGCTGGGCTGCGCCCATCCTCGAGATCTGCTTCCGCGCCGTCTGTGTGCTCGTCCGCATATCTACTTGTCACACGTGCAGCTTCGTGATTGATTGCTCGCTCGGCGTCTTTGATCAGCTTCTTCAGTTTGGCATAGCTGATGTATTGCCGCTTCCACTCTTCGATCGCATTATCCTTCAGATAGCGATTGAACTTCATCGCAATTCAATCGCTGTCAGAGCCTGGTCATGACCGCAAGACTTGAGCAAGGAGCTGACGGGTCTGTTTGCAGGGCGTCGGCTAAACGGACAGTCGCGTCATCGATAAGTCAGGTCGTTACATTGATTTCTTCAGCTCGACGGATCGGCAAGCCGGCTCATATTCGGTGTTGCAGATGTGACCCTCTCGCACGGTCGCTGCACCAAGAATGCATTTTGCATATTACGTTCTGATCTTCTCATTTGGCTTTGAGCTTCTTTGCGGATCTCTTTGGTTTCGGACAACAAATGCGCGAGCAGGCATTTCGCCAGAGCTGCACGCTCGGGGGAGGGAAAGGTCGATGGGACAGTTGGAAGAAAGCGATGTACGGACTGATTTTGTCTACGAGTGAGTGAGATGATCGACGACGACGATACCGGATGCCAGCCGATAAGCGTAGTGACAGCCATCGAGGTATTCGAGCACGCCGTCTGCGAGTCGGCTTCGAGAGGTGCCCCGGGCAAGGTCGGCAGTGCCTGTGTGCTTTTCCTGTCCGACGACGACGAAGGCGAGGCCAAGGTAATGCTCTTGCTCTAGAGCGCGCAAAAAGATGGACAAGACTGTTTTCTGCGTCAGTAATGAAGGCTGCTAGCTAGCTCGGGAACTGACATTCTACTGCTTCTTCAGAATGCAGTCCGTGCAGGTCGATAGCACATTCCGTGCGCTCTTCGGCGGACAAAGCGCCACCCTGTGCAGTGACAAAGTCGGCAGAAGCTACGCCTAGGCAGATACCCAGACCGCTGCCCATCTCTCTGCCTTTCAGTGATCGATCTTGCGGGTCCGCACGACCTTCGCGAGCTTGCACAGCTTCAGCAATAATCCGTTTGCGCTCAGTCACGATCTTCCGGGCCGCTTCTCGACCTGCAGTAGCGACTTGGGCGTTGTAGTCTTGCGCTTCACGTGACCATCGTCTTGCAGCTGCTCCATCGCCTTTCTTCCAGGCTTCAGCTGCCCTTTGCAGACATTTATTACGGTCTGCGCCGAACTCGAGGAATTGCGTCCGGTAGGCTGTGTACAGATGTGAGAGTGTCTCTCCCGTGGAGAGAGTCGGCAATAGAGACGGCGGCCGGAGCACGAGGCGAGGGCTTGGACGAGAAAGCGGCGGGATGGGTCGGCTAGCAATGACTGACGGTCCAGATTTACGTGATGCCTGAGCAAACGATGCGTTTGGAGACCAAGAAGGCGTCGATTTGACCGCACCTGCCCAGCGAGTACTCTTGGGCTGGCGAATGCCTTCACTACCTAAGCTCGGGAATTCTTCTTCGTACTCGTGGTCAACAATCTGTGAGCGATCGCGCATCCTCTCTCGTTCTTTCTCCTGGATCTGTGCTCGCATGTCTGCCGCATCTTGTATCAAATGCGGAGGTACACTGTCTCGCACGGTCAGCTTCTAGATTTCGGCAGCGCGAACTAGTTTACCTGTGCATAAAGTCGCAATTCTGCTTGAGGCAATGGCCACGCAACCAAAAGCGACAGACGGCTTTTGAGAAGTCATGGCTGAATCGACAATCTGCCCTGAGGCAGCTACCTTGGAGATAAAACCGGCAGACGCGATTCGACGCTCCACCGGTGCTGCCGGATGGCGTGAGCGGTCTTGAACCGAAAGCAGGACTACCAGGAGCAGAATGAGCAGGCGAGAGACCGCCCTGGATGGACCCGGGATGCAAGCCTTGCTGTCGGCTGAAAGAGTCTCGGGATACGACGAGAGGTCTGTTACCTGTAGGCGTAGATGCAAGATTCAATCGGCCGGGCAACCTGGGTGGTTCCGGGAATGGCGAGCGAGTCTGATCGTCCAGTGTGAGGCCACCCATGTCGAGGCTCGCGGTATCGCCGCGTCCTCCGGGATGCGAGACAAGGTAATCCAAGGCTTTGTCGACTTCGTAGCCCGTTTGAGAGAGTGCCACTTCGAGTTCCTCAGGCGAGACGTCAGAATCCGCGCCTGCGAACATCGAGTAGAGCACATCGAAGGGAGTCATCGAATAGGGACCCAGACCGCCGAGACCACCGCCTGCATGATCGATCGGCGCTCCAGGTTGAGCAATCGCGGCAGCGGCAGCGGCAGACGCAGGTATTTCCGTACTGGAAATCTGCGCAGTCTCTTCCGGTGGATCAAAGGGCGACCCAAAGTCATCGAATGGGTCCCAGTGACTACCGCCAATGCCAGGGGTCGTGGACCGATGGGTGCCGTTGGAGGAGAGTTCGGAAGCAGCAAACATGGCGTATTGCTCCTGAGGTTCGTCGAGGCTACTTGCGCTCGAATCTGATGTCGAAATACTGGGGATTGTACTGGACGACAATGTAGATACGCCAGAGTTGTTCGAGACTGAGTCTTGTCGTGTCCATGGATCGCGAGGTATGGGCGACGCTCTGCCTGTGGGCAAGAGAGGTTTTGCAAGCAAGGGTGATGAGCTCTGCGAGCCAAAAGTGGTACCCATAACGGGAGCAGCTGCAAAGTACGAGTTTGCCAGGTTGGAAGAGCTTATTCTGGGTGTGCCGAGGGGCGAAGCAGCATGTGCAGGTTGCCTGAACTGTAGCGCAGGGGATGACAGCGGGGAAGGTGATCCGGGGGCGCCCATGCTGGAACGAGGTTTGAACTCGAAAGCAGTGGGCGAAGGCCGGAATTCGCTCGCGCTGGCGCTGAGGTTGACGTTCCTTGGCGATCCGAACGGCGATGTTGGCTCTGTATCGGCGGAGATTGAATGAGACGATCTCGAAGGGGTGAGTAGGCCCGAAGAGGGCGAATAAGGACCCAGTGGTGAAGGTGAGATAGGTCGGGACGGTACCGAGCCACTGGACAAGCGAGGCATAGTCGAATGAGATGCGATCCTGATGCCTGAAGCCGATCGAGAGAGCGAAGGAGCCTTGACGGGCGTGCGAGGAGGGGAGAAGGATGCGCCTGTAGGCGCCAGATCCTCTCTATGGCGGTGCATGAGCGAGAGGACTATCTGATTTAAGTCTTGCTCCGCAGTCTGTGCCAAGTCTGTCAGCAATGTCAGTGACCCAGTTGCGGCGACTCACCTGAGTATCTAGCAAAGAGCGTAGAGTAACATTGAGCGCGTCTGGCTTGTCATCTTCATCGAGCGAGCGGTCTTGGAGGACGTCGAGCACCTTTTGTACTTTCTGTTCGCCCGACATGGCTCCTCCTACACCGAGCAAGTCGCCATTGCTCGCACTCGTACTGAGCGAGGGCGACTCTGATCGCTTTGTTGACGAGGACAGTAGATCGTCTGTTCTGAGTGACTGGGCGCTGTTTGACCTCGTCACCGATGGTCGACCAATCGCTCCATACAACGATGCACCGGGCGAGGAGGATGCATTGGGGGCAAGGAGACTGGCGAGAAAGCGTCGTGAGTGGACGAGCGAGGGCTGTCCGTCTAAGGTCGCCGAGGACATGATGACTAGCTGCCGGACTGGACCAGCTCACTGGAGAGCGACAGTCCTGACTCCCGATTCAGTCTAGGGGGCCGTGACAGGCTGGTATGCAGGCAAGCGTGGGTAGACGAGCTGAAGTCGCAAGGAGCGAGCCATCGAGTGTGCTAGCTGACTGCCAGTCTGACCAACACACTAGCTGCGCGCAACAGCTGAACCGGTCTTGCCTGCCAAATCCGAGGCCTGCTCCGGTGATCGGAGGTTGACGTGTGTCCGAGAGTCGAGGGACAGTGCTCTGACACGATGGGACTGCACGCTCCGTTCGGCTGACTTGCTGCTTGGCCAGGCAGCTGTCGCGGCGGCTTGTCGTCGGCTGACAGATTCAAGGCACGCTCGCGCTTTGTCGTCGGCCACGTACATCGCGAGGCAAGCAAGCCTGACGACGGCGACGACCTCCTCAGGGCCAGGATGCCGCTTACGCCGCAGCAAGAGACATGTCCAGGTCAGCTTCGAGCGCTTGTCATCTGCGGCTCGAGCTGAGTGGTAGCTTTTGTTTGGCAGGCGAATTGCGCAATGTCGTTACTTTTCTGCGCAACAAGGCCGGCATGAAGCTCAAAGTCGGCGTACTCAACGGCAAACGGGTCGATTACTTCAAAGGTCTATCTTGTCGGCGTGTCACTCACCATTTGCTCATCAAATGCCCGCTTGACAGGCAAGAACGCGGTCAAGGCATTGACGTCGCCAGCGTACATCAAGCTTAGAAACGTACCTGCACTCGCTTCAGAAGACGAAGCGATCGCCCTGCTCGGCTCACTGATACCGTACACGTTCTACCTTCGCGTCGATGTAGGGCAAAAACTGCCTGTTCAGTCACCAGGTGCATCAGCAGGAGGATCAAGCGGTCCGACACCGAGAGCTTTGCAACTGAATCAGCAGCAGCTCTTCCAGAAGGACCTCTGCTATGCTTGGTTCTACGAGGGCAGTCAGCTCAAGCTCGTTCTGGGCGGCATCGGAATGGTGGCCGTCATCCTGGCGGGCGTCATGTTCCCGCTCTGGCCTACCAAATTGAGAGTCGCGGTCTGGTACCTCTCCATCGGTGTCCTGGGCCTCATCGGACTCTTCTTCGCCATCGCCATCTTCCGGCTCATCTTCTACGTCATCACCTGGCTCACCGCCAAACCTGGCATCTGGATTTTCCCCAAGCTGTTCGACGACGTTGGATTTGTCAGTTCCTGCCTTTTTGTGCGCTTGCAGATCAGGCTCATAGCCTCGGCGTGACAGGTGGAGAGCTTCATTCCACTGTGGGAGTGGGATCTGCCCAAGCAAAAGAAGAAGAGAAAGACCAAGGAGGAGGGCGGCGGACAGGATGGCGAGGCGCGGCGGGCGAGAAAAGAAGCAAAGCGGCAAGCTCGCATGACAGCTTCGCATGGTCATTCACACGGTAACGGCGGGGCGAATGAGCCAGGTAGCTTGCAAGCTTCGATCGAGGAAATCGTCGATAGCGAATAGATCGCCTTCTGCGCAGTCGCTGTTGTACGCCAAGAGACGCGCGCGCCTTGCTTGCCTGCCTGGCTGGCTGTCTCGTCTCGCTCGTCTCGTCAGCATGGCAGAGGCAGGAGATCCCCTGAAGCTGCTCACAGAGGCCATCACCAAGGGCTTGACGATTGCGCTCCTCGATGAAGCAGGCACAGAGGTCTACGGGCTGGGGGAAGCCAAAACGCTGTCATTCAGACGACCAAGTGGTCAGTCTGTCAATCTGCCCAAGGACACGGCCACACGAGTCAGAGCAGCCCTGCCATCGTCAGAAGAAGAGTCAGCAGACCAGATCGCCAGTGCTGCCAAGCTTGATCTGCAAACGCTGCTGTTCTGCTGGCTCAAAAGAGAGCTACCGACGGGCGAGTACATCAATGCTGCCATCAGTCAGGGCACCGCTTTCGTCTCTGTCCAACTCAAAGGGGCCGTCATCGATCTGCTGCAAGGCAAGGGAGATCAGTCTGGTCTCGTCATCCCTCAACGCAAGTACTCCGAGCTACATCACGCTTTCGAGGCTGAAACCGTCTCGACGTTCTTGCAGCAAGCGAGGGTACAGACGCTCAGGAGGATGCAGCAAGGGATGCAAAGCCGAAAGCAAGCGTCTATGTGCCCAACAGAGCAGACTTTGAGCTCGTCAAGCAACTCTATGCATTCACAGAGCCAATCCAGCTCATGGACAAGGATAAAGCCCTCCGGGGTGCAAAACCGCACGTAGGCCGTCTCCAGACGAGCGCGCATAGGGATGCTGATACCATGTGCGTGCTACAGGACTTTAGCAATGTTCGCGATATGGTCAAGGACAGAATACAGGCAGTCAAGAACGATTTGAGAAACGGCGGCAAGGGCCTGTCGGTCACGTCTCACGCGCGTCCAGCGCCAGAGGGTACGTCTCTTCCGTATCCTTACACTGTCTCTGACCAAGAAGAGCAGCACAAGCGCAGAAGCGGAAACGAGGTCATGACGTGCCAATCATCATCGTCTCGCCCTCACCGAGCTCGCTGGTCACCATGGCCAACGTTAAGCGGTTCTTAGAGACTTCCCAGTATGTCGACGAGGGCTGCCATGCTCGGAGATGGCCTGAGCAGCGATCATGGACAGGTACGAAGTAGGCAGTGAATCGGACCGTGCGGAAGTACAACAAATCACACACAAGCGGCAGTTGGGCGCTTTGTCGAAGCAGGTATGCGTTGACCTCTTCAGTATCCAAGCTCTCTGCAAGTAACAGCATTTCGGTAGGCTATGCTTGCGAAAGGCTCCGGCTCAGAAAAGGAGGTCAAATATACTATCCTCGACAGTGTAGAAACGCTCGAACGGTTCGGTGATTGGTGCGTGGCGCGCGCTCTCATTGTCATCATCAGTAGGCTCACTCGTCTCATGCAGGGATCGAGTCGTGTGTGTCATGACCACAGGCCACGAATGGCAATTCAAAAATTATCGATGGGAAGACCCAAAAGCGCTTTTTCAGAATGGTGCGTTTGTTTGCCTCAAAAAGACTTAGCTTGATGCGAAGCGATCTGATAGTGAAAGGCGTGCACTTTCGCTGGGCGAACCAGATCGATGCCTCTATGCACGCCAAGCTGAAATCATGGAACGTAACCGAATACCAAGCCAGTCTCTCACTCCATCGTCAGTCTAAAGTCTAACCTCTACCGCGATACAGTTGCAGCCAAATCAACGGCACACCGACAAGTCCATCATCGCAGAATTCTGGCAATCCCTCGAGCAATGGATCGCCGCTCACAAACCGCAGCTCAACTATTAAATAGACGACCGCGTCCTCTCTCTCTCTCTCCGCCTGTTGTACGAACTCGCGCGCATGCGCATGTTGCATGAACCTAGCAGATAGCATTGCCCAATGCGTTCTCACTCGATATGACCGCCTGCCGCGGAGCTGCAAGCCGCTCAGACGAGCCAACGGCAAAGAGGAATGGACAGTCTTAGCGGGCATCGTGCTCCGAAAGGACGAACAGCTGCTTTGCATCAGTCTCGGCACAGGCGTACGATGTTTGCCCCACGAACAGCTGCCCAAGCACGGCGATATCTTGCACGATTGTCATGCCGAAGTCCTGGCCAAGCGTGGCTTCCGACGCTGGCTTTACACGCAACTCGAATCCATCCAACACTCTCCTGAGCATGCTTGGTTCAGTGCATGCGGCTCAGGCCGATGGCGTATGCACTCAAACGTCAAAGTGCACCTCTACATCTCTACGCTACCTTGCGGTGATGCGTCGATGACGGCTTCTGCGCTTTTGCAAGACCCTCAGACCGCACTCATCATGGCTACAACGGGCAGACCAGGCATAGCCAAGGACTGGTCGAGTCTGCACAGCGCAGAAGAGCCCAACGGCTTGCTACGAGGTCGCACCCAATTCAACGCCAGAGGTCTCCGGACGAAGCCAGGCAGGCTTGATGCGCCGTCGACCTCTTGCATGTCTTGTTCGGACAAGATTGCTTCTTGGATCTGCACAGGCCTACAAGGAGCTCTCCTCTCGCGCTTCTTCGAGCCGATCTACCTCTCGTCGATCGTCATCGGTGAGACTGCGCAGATAGCCGCTCTAGGCAACCCGGACAGCCTCGAAGCCATGATGGCCGACTGTCAGAGTGCTTTCAATGCACGAACAGCGATTCACAGGCAATTGGCTGACTTGTACGATGCTACGGTCGCTTTCTGCTCAATCACATACGATCGCTCGCGTCTGCAGCTCAAGAGCAGCATGTCTGCAGAAGATATCGTGCCCGCCACAGAGGCTACAAGCTGGATTGAAGGCTCTGAACCCGAAGCACTTTATGCAGGCTGTCGGCGAGGTGCTCGACCGGACCGAGAGCACGCGCTAGCTCACAAGAAAAGGTGGCTTCCTTCGTAACCTGCTTTTTGCCTCGACTCATCGCGCACAGATCACGCCTTTGCAAAGTGTCCTTTCTCGAGGCTTACTGTAAGCTCACGGAGGAAAGCTCAGTCGAATATCATCAAGCCAAGCAAAGCTCGCATGCTGGCACAATGGCCTACAGACACGCAAAGGAGTGTCTGCGAACAGGACCGTTCAGCGCATGGCTCGTCACGTCAGAGGCAACAGGGCGTTTTCGTCTTCCGCCCGGCGGAAACAATGACACATGATCTAGCTTTGACATCATGCATTGATCTATTGCGCATCATCAAATTCGTATTCAAATGGCTCTGGCATGGGCGCGATGGGCGCATTGAGTTGAGCCGCTTCTGCACCATTCGTCGGAGCTGCGGGCACGGCTGCAGGCTCTGTCACCGCTGTCGTCGGCGCGCCTGCAGTCATATCGATGAACTCGCAAGGCTCATTCGGCCTTTTATCGCTGACAACGATGATACCGCCCCCTAAAGCACCGCCGAGCAGAGCAACCTCGGCGAGTACGGCAGCGGCAGCTGATGCAGCAGGTAGTGCGCTCTTCTTGTGGGCTGACTTGGCCGAAACATGGGTTGACTTGCTTATCGATCCGCTTGGTACGAGCGACCGTACAGGCTCGAAGCGCGAGTCGTCCGCAAAGGCGATGTACGGCAATTGCGCTGGAAGCACGCGAGACATATTCTGTATCCTCTCGCTGCTAGGCTCGACTTCTTTCTTCTTCTTCTCCTTTGTAGTCTCTTCTGCCTTTTTGCTGTCTACTGCTGCGGCCTCATCTGTGGCCATAGCTTCGTCTTCTTTCGTGGTTCCGGCTTTCTTTGCTTCGTCTGCGTTCTATGATCTCGCCAAATTAGCTTTACAACCCTATCAGAGAGGCTGTTGTCACTTGCCGTATCCATCGTGTCGTCTGCTGCAGCCTTCTCAATCTCCTTTGTCTTTGCACGAGCAGTCGCTTTGGCAGTCGTCGATAGCACTGCTGTTGCAACACGCTCGACCTCACTCTTCTCCGGCGGCTTCGTTGCTGGCTGATACGCAAACAAAGACGGTCTGGCATTCGAGACCAGCTCGAACTGCGGTACTTTCAGATCCGCGTTGACAGCGATGATCGCCGTCGGCGTGAAGGATAGTGAGGCGAAATGTGCCATTGGGAACCAATACCAGAACTGGGTAAAGAGCACCATGCCGACAATTGCAGACATATTTGAGCTACCCGACCGACTTTGCATCGAAATCGTCATGTTGCGTCCGCCTGCATCGATGAGACCTTGGGCGAGTGCAGCGCCAAATTTGGCCATCGGATCTTCATGCTTGTCTGAGATCATTTTGGCGTAGATCTTGCGCACTGCCGCTACGCGTGGGTTAAGCGTCTCATTCTGTTGAATCAAGACCATCGCAAGCGCGATACAGGCGCCTTGTCTGACGAAATCGACGGGATCTTTGGTCATCGGCTCGAGCAGATCGACCGCTTCCTGCAATTGCAAATGCGCAATAAGCGCCTTCCTAGATACCCAATCGAAATGCCCCACCTCAAGCCCTGTACCTGCACAGGATATACCGAGTGCAAGTGTTGCGCCGTATCGGACGTTCGGATTGTAGCTTTCGCTGAGAAGTTGTACCACTTTGGGTACTAGCGATGGGTTGTGGAAGAGGATGAAGCCGAGAGCAGTGACGGCCGATCGGCGGACATCGTCATTTACGTCAGACACGGCGTAATGCAGGAGCTTGCGAATCGCTTTGTTGTTGCCAGTGCCTGCATATGCGAGTGCGATTGTATGAACGCCTCCGTAACGAAGGATAGGATCCTGCAAACGGGAGGCACGACGGTCAGCATGAGTCAACATTCTGCGCATCGAACTCGCCTTGTCGGCCATGAGCCTCTCAATGAGCGCATCTGCGAGGTCTTGTTTGCCATACATGAGGAAGCTGACACCGACAGCCAGACCTCTGACAATCTTCTCGTGCTGAGTTTCGTGAGCGTACTGAAGCATCTCATCGAGGGCCTTGTCGGAAGCTGTGTCGAGCATGACCAATCCCATCGCATAACCAGCTGCCTCGCCCGCGACTGCATCATCGTGGTAGAGGACATCCTTTAGTGCGTCGTATACATCTTCGTTGCCCGTCGCCATGCATGCCGCACCCAGACCGAGCGCAGCACCATGCTGGATCGTCTGGTTTGCGTTCTTCAGATGATCTTTCAGGAAATTGGTCACTTCGCTTCCGTGATTTGCATGCACAAGGCCGAGCGCAAAGAGCGAGCCGCCCTCAGAATATTCGCTGGTTGATGTGCCGTCAAGCGAAGGCAGATATGGTTGGACGATGGCCATACCCTGAGAGAGATTGCCTTGGTGTATGACGCCAAGAGCAGCTGTGGCACTGAATTTCGACCAGTGAGATGCTTTGGCAAGCCACGGCAGACTGTCGCGCAGGAATTGGTCGGAAGTTGTGCCTGCGTGGGCAAAGGCGTTCGAGAATGTTACGGCAGAATGGTATAAAGAGTTGCGGGCTTCCAGAGCATCCTAGTACGTAAGGATTCAGCAATGGTCCCACGATCCTGGGCAGCGCTGACCTTTGTATTCCGGAGAATCAGTAGGTCGGCCTTATTGTTACGGGTGACAAATTCGACATACAGACTGATCGACTCTTCGCCGGTCAGAATGGCTTCAATGCGAGTCATCAGAGAATCGCTCTTTGCGGCTGCTCCGGCCAGTGCGACTGTAGCCGAAGCCGAAGCAGCGGCTGCTGCCTCGCTGTCTACTGCCATTGCATCACCGGCAGGCGCAGCTGCAGTGCCCGCTAGATCTTGCGTCGACGTCAAGCCAGTGGATAGACCGAGTGCCGATCGGACCTTGCCCAGGAAGTCTTGCGTTGCGGTCTCCGCTAGATCAAAAGCGACCTGATAGGCAATCAATGCCTTCTCGCCCGGCTGCTTCTTCTCCTTTGCGGCCGCACTGAGCAATTTCTTGATGAGCTCGGCAGCCAGCTGTGGATCGTTGAGGTGGACAAAGCAATGTGTCAGCGCAAAATAGTCGGGATGCTCCATTTGGCCGAAGATCTTCAATAAAAGGCGCAGGACGGTGTAGCGAGTGGCAAGCGAGGGCGAGACTGTCATGATGGTCTGGAGCACATACGAGAGCAGCTGAGGCTGTCCGGAATGGGTCAAGAGTCGTTCGAGAATGTCAAAGCGGTATGTCTCTATCGAGAGTCCGATAGCCTGCGAAGCACGCTTCTCAGCGGTTGCGATTGGGCCAGCCGGAGCCTACACACCTGCTTATAGTCCTTGTGATCGATACAGTTTTGGAGCATGCCCTCGACGATCCTCTCCATCTGTTGAAAACGCTGACCGGTCTTTGCAGCTCCGTTGAGGCCATTGGCACCAAATGCACCGTTGAGACTCGTCGCGCCATTCGTCTTGCCTTTGACGGCTTCAGGTGGAGCGACGATGGCGGGATCAGCGGAGAGTACCTGACGCTCTTCGATGTAGGCGTCGATGCATCGCGCTAGGAGGGTCTCCACGTATTCGCCAGTCTGTACGAGGGGATCGAATCGAGGATGAGCAGCGAGTGCAAAGTCGAGCGCGTCATCGTATGAGCCGAGATGGTAGTAGACCTTGCTGAGCACCGAAGCCACCAGCGCTCGCGAGTCTGCAGGGAAACTTGCGTTCTCATAGATGACCTCGCTGTGAGCCGTGCGTCAGCCTGTGGGAGCATGCGAGCGAGTACAAGGATGGGCGTACAGCGTCGAGAGATGGTCGACGAGCTCGGGCCAGACCTGATCGAGCACGCGGACTGAATCGAGCTCTTGCATGGCGTAGATCTGCAGCTCGGGCTCCTCTGTCTCTTGCAGGAGGGCGATCAAGCCTGCTGCAGAATCGATCGTTGACTGAGACGATTGCCCTGCACTGGCCACAAAGGGCGGCGCTGGCGACATCTTGCGTCGGTGCAGACCCTACTATTCTGTCTGCAGATCCTTCAACGGTCTACCGACGTGCTCTCGACTGCCCTTGTGAGCCTACGACAGGATCGTCGGTCGACTTGCGCGGCGTACTTCGCGGAATTCGCGTGACAGGCAAAAGGCAGACAGACAGGCTCGAGCAGCAATCCTCAGGATCAGGACATGCTCGTCTTGGGTTCACTGTTGCTGCTGTGCCGCCTGACACTGGCTACGCCGGCCTATCAAGTCAAGGATGGCAAGCTAGCTCTTGTCGACTCGGCCGGCATCACCACCAAGTCACTGAGGTACGTGCCTACGCCGACTGCCTGCATCTCTCAGCTGACAACGCCTGGATAGCTTCGATAGCTCAAGCGACTCGGAGCTGGCAACAAGCTCTCCTTTTCCGGTAGACAGCCTCTCGACGCTCAAGATCTCCTTCAGTGTCTCGAGTGACTCTGGCGCGAGCTTACCACCAGATCAAGCCTCGCTCGTCTTTAGCGTACCCCGTGAAGTCGTTCCTTCTGGCCAACTGGTGAAAGATGCAGCAGGTTCGGCAACTCTAGACGACTCCTCCGCTGCTCGACGCTCGTCAGGCTCCATCTCACCTGTAGGCGCGTCGAGCAACGAGGTTTACGACGGACCTTTTAGCTGGACGACGCCTGTCAAAGTCAAGAAGACGGGCAAGGCACGCTATGAGATCGACATGGCACAAGCGCCTCTGGAGCTACTGCTGCTACCCTTGGCTTCACTGCCCAGTCAGCCCGGCGGGGGCAAGAAAGGATGGTCCAGCGACAATGCTGCCTTCCTCGCCTCGACGGCGACCATCCGCGTGAAGCTCTACATCAGCTCAAAAGATGTACAAGCGACCGTCTTGGACTTGGGTACGCTGAGACTAGCGACGGACCTCGTCGAGTCTGCACGTACAGAGAGTATCAGAGAGATCTCAGGCTCTGCATCGAAACATTGGGCGAGCGAAAAGTACGGCGTGCAGCCTGAGCTCGGGTGGACGTTCAGATCGAAAGAGAAGAAAGTCAACGCTATGCTAGCACTCGTGGCAACGCTGGCCGTCGTCGGCTTACCCTGGTCCTTCCTGCTTTTTGCTGTATGTCTCGTGTCTAGCCATCGATCCGGCTGACACGTACCGTGTTTCAGATCTACAAGCTTTCCTCACAGCTCAAGCTAAGCAGACCGACGCCTTCTATTCTCGCCTTCCTTGCAAGTATCGCAGGATTCCAAGTTCTGACGCATCTCTACTGGCTCAGAATGACAGTCGTCACCGTGTTGCCCTTTGTCGGTGGTCTCGGCCTCATGACGATCATCACCGGTAGAGAAGCGCTCAGAGACGTTCGACGATTACGTTCAGACGATAAGAAAAAGCTCAAGAAGAGTTTGTAAGATGCCCTCGCATTGCATTACGCATCATGTTTTACGCCCTCGACAGTCTTGCCATTCCTTTCGCTGACAAAGCACAAAAGACTGACACGAGCTAGCGCTCGCTGTGCTTGTGCGCTGATCCGGTTGCACAGGCCTTCTCTCGAAACATGTGGCGCTTCGCACGAACCCCTCGTAACTTCTCGCTCGGTCTCATCTCTTCTTGCGCATCCAATGGAAGTAAATGCGTTTGTCACCTCCGATGGCATCCGTCATCGCAAGCTGGGCATCAGTCCGGTGACGCAATTGGCCGAGCGTCTGTTCGATCGGCTATCGCAATCCAAAGTACCTCAATCGTTGCGGTTGCGAAGTGTCATCCTCTTTGCGACATCTGGCAACGTCATTCCTGCAAGTCTACCCATTGACGAGCTTGATGGAAGACTTGTGGGTGCGCTCAGGGCGCCACCCTCGCTCGTCTTCGTCAAGAGCGCCCTGAACACGAGAAAGCTGACAGAGGACATCAACCCTGACGATGCATACAAGATTGATAGACTCAACCCGCACGATGTCATCTACCTCCCCTGGCATCTTCACAAACTCGCACAGGCCGCCCAAGAACGTCGTGATGCGGCGGGACTGAGTCGAATTCTCATCTTCACCCTCGGCGCGATCATTTACGAATTGACGCATTGGTACTTTGTCAAAGTCTGTCCTCATAAGTGTGTCGCTGCCAGACACTAATCGTCTTCAATAGATCCATGGTCTAGGCGACAAACCCGTGCAGGGCACAGTGGTAGGGAATGCACAATAATCGATGCACAGCTGATACGCAGGACAGGCATCCCTTGCCGGCAAAATGTCACGCTTTCTCAAAGGTGTCGGATCGTCAGATCAGCCGTTGGAATACAAGCGCAACGATGCTGGGGCAGTGGCAGTCGAAGCCTTGATCGGACATCAATACGGTTTCGTCGGATGGATTCGTGCGTCCCGGTCTGCACGCAGGCAGAGGGCTTGTGTGGCTTACAGTGCTCGCAGAGTCCGATGCATGGCCGAGTGACGACGAAGAGCTCGTACGTCAGAAGAGCGAGCAGCCCGTCTGGACACGCTCGACCGTCATGACGCGAGAAACGTTACGATACTTGCTCGGTGGCACACTGCCGCATAACGTCACCGATCTCAATAAGAGTGCGCCCTATTGCTCGCATACTCTAGCATTCGAGACTGAAACCTAGTCACAGTGAAGCGAAGACCAAAGTGGGTCACCAGAACGCTCTATGGAGCCCACTGTCAGCACACGATCTGCGATTGTCCCAATGTCGCCTCGACCTCATCTGATCCCGTCAGCAAGCCTCAGTCTCTTAGGAGCAACAATAGTGGTAGCGCGACTCGTAAGGATACTATCAAGGGGCGCGCCTGAGCTGTGTTGTCCATGCATTACATGTGCCCATTCACGCAGATCCTGCAACCTAGCCTGTCTTTTGGCGCGTGCGCGCCAGCGTGTCGAGTCTCATGGTGCATGGCGCCTCATGCGCTCTACCATTGTCGCTGTGGGCAGCAAGACACCAAAGGCAAAGCACCGGCAGCTTCATATGAGGCAAGCGCGGCATAGATCCGTCCTTTGAAGCTGATGAGCCGAGCAGTACCATCTACTGTCCAAGCTCTACTTTTGCGAGGAATGCGACGTCGTGAGCTGCAACAACTGCTGCACCTTCGAGCCTTCATGCTACTACTGTCCAAATTGCCTTTTCGAGGTGCCAGCAGCAAGCGTGCGAGGGGAAAAGAACAGGCAAGCTCAAGATTAAGCTCAATGGGCGTCAAGGTACTCATGAGGTCGCCTGTCAGGTGTGCACGACATTGCTTTGAGTGCCCCCAGTGCATTACAACACTCTCTGTCGTGGCACACGACTTGGGCAGATCGAGCGCAGAGCCGACATATATCCTCGTTTGCTCCTTTTGCAAGTGGGACTCAACAGAGATCGATCTCATCTTTGACAAGCCGACCGGTCTAGCAGGTAGGTCCATCGGCATAATCCAGCAGAGACATGCTCAAGCGTACAGTCGTGGTCAAGGCCAGATGCAGCAGGCAGAGCTAGATTCACCTGCCTCCCAGGCTTTTGAGCATATTCGCGCGCATCTCGAGCCCTATGTGCGCCAGGGTCTTTCTGCGCAAGCGAGCGCGTCAGGTACACAAGCTACATCAGCAGCGCATCTATCAGCTCTGACGTCGCTACCTGCGCGATATGCGACCCTGCTCGCTGGGCATGTTCGAGCGCGCCCTTCTAGCAAGGCTACTGGACGCGATGAATTGGCTGACTACTCAGCCTTGCAATCCCACCGCTCGCTATGTGAGACCACGGCGCCATCGCAAGATCGATTGAACATAGAATTGCTACGCAACGCTACAAATCTAGACAATATTGCTCCCGTCGATCGAGCAAACACGCAAAATTGGCAGACGTCCAGAGCGAGCTCGTCGCTCATGCCAGCGCGCGTGCCACTGCGCGCCAAGATGTCCAAGCGGTGTCGTGCTTGTCGACATATCCTCATTAGGCCAGAGCAGAAAGCACAGTCGCTCCGCTACAAGATCAAGCTCATGGCTGCCAATTATTTGCCTGCTATCGAACTGCGCAAACGTCCTTCCGTCACCGATGAAGCGAAGAAAACATCCGCGCTAGGAGACCCTTCCATTGACAAGAGCGATCGTCTGCTTCCAGGGCAGCGTTACACGTTCGAAGTCAGTTTCGCCAACCCACTGTACGAGCCGATTTCCGTCTCCCTTGCGCAAGCAGACGTTACAGACGACTCTGCTGGGCCAGAACCAATCCGTTTGACCACAGCAGAACCGGGCTTTGACTACGCAGGACCGGGTTCCAAGAAGCCAAGGAATGACAGAACCAGGACACAGCTCTCCGCATCGTCATTCGACATTGCGGCATTTGCAGAGCTCTGGGAATATGACACCGAAGATATCGCGAAAGGCGCTGCGCCAAGCTCGCGCTCAGATGGTGTTCAGCAGCGCGGCAATAGATCGATCGTCCTGCTCGAATGTGCTATCGATGAGCACGCATCAGGCGAGATCAGAGTAAGCTGCATCGCCGCCTGCTTGTATTATACTCATCAAGTGATCAGATCCCGTTACGTGTGACGTACACATATACGATGGAGGAGGACGCAAACGCAATGGCACTCGACAAAGCTGCGCAAGGCGGCAAACATGCGCTTAGCTTCTGGACTACCCTTGTCTTAGGCCGAGCCGCGTAAGCCGGGTGGCCAGTGTCTCGAATGCATTGCTACGTGCGTGCTCTACATATAACTGATGTGACCGTCTAATCAGGACGATGGATGTGACTTCAGAAACTCGCCAGGCCCGAAGCCACGAAACCCAAGCGCGACATCGACCGCTTTCATGATCTCGATGACCTTTTCTTCCTCCCATTGAGCGCCGACAATCTGTATGATGCTTCAGCCTTTTGCTTAACCCGCTCGTGGTGTGAAGTACCTGGATGCCTACTGGCTGGCCTGCCATGGCTTTTGCATCGTATAAGCCCGACAGACGTTTGCCTGCTTTCTCGACGCCGTAAATCTGCGATTCGAGGAAGCTCGAGCCTTGGCATTGAGCGGACCAATCTTTGGGTAGAGCATCTTTCTCGGGATCAACAAAGGTGACCGGCATGCAACCGACAGAACTGTCAACGATATTCCATGCTATCGTCGCAGCGGCGATTGCACTAACAGTGCCTGCAGAGCCGATGGTCGGAGCAGGTATAGGCATAGTGGGACAGATGATCGCATCGAGATCGAGACCTCCCGACGCCTCGTTGGCAAAGTACCTCGAGCGGGTAGCGTTGGCATAGCGCTGTCGCCGCGCTTGCACCTGCTGTAGCTCTGATATCGTCTTTGGACGAGACTCTGCAGCGATTGACAGAAACTTTGAGTCGCCTAGGAAGAGTGAGGCGAGACTCAGTCCGAGCCAGCGCAGCGGGCCTGGCACGCTAGGACCCAAAGTGGTGAGATAAAGGGCAGATTCTTTTGGATCGGTGCCGATGCTCGCGAGCAGAGTCGCGTAGCCGTCTGCCGAAGTGATGCTCGCGAACAGCTTGATATTCTGCACTGCATCTGGCGCATCGACAAGAACACACTCGTGACCACGCTTCTCCATCGCCCGTACGGCTTCGAGTACGGCTCGTTGGCATGCGGGAGAAGTTGTGCACAGGTTGTCGGTGAGATAGTAGCCCAGCTTCAGCTTCTCGGGCAGGGTGACATCGCGGTAAGGCAAGGGCATGACACCGGTGAGTACTCGGGAGGTCCTTCGCTCGACACAGGCATCGAACACGACTCGACAGACTAGCTCGAGATCAGAAGGAGATCTGCCCATCGGCCCAGGAGTGGTTTTGATTGATTCGAAGCCTTCGTTGGGCGAAACGAGACCGAGTGAGGGCATGCGTCCGCTGACCGGCTTCAGACCGTAGCAGCCACTGAAGGCTGCGGGGATTCTGCAAGATCCGCCGATGTCCGTGCCCACGCCAAGAGGCGATCCGTCGGAGGCGAGCAAAGCAGCCTCACCGCTAGATGAGCCTCCTGGCGTTGCCATAGGGTTGTAAGGGTTTCGAGTCGCTCCAAAGACGGGATTGCTGCCTTCGAAACTCAGCATGGTTTGTGGGACATTCGTCTTGCAGAAGGGTATGCCGCCTTCGCCGCGAAAGATAGAGACGATCAGCGCATCGTGCTCCGACAGATGATCGGCAGCACTGCCTGCGTCTGCGGTCGGCAATGTGACCGCTGCAGAGCGGCCTATAGAGGCATCTAGACCTTTGACGTGGATGAGATCTTTCAGAGAGATTGGGACGCCGTGAAGCCTGCCGACGACTGTGCCATCTTGCTGGAAGTCTTCATCGAGCTTCTTGGCCGTCTCGAGTGCGTCAATGAACATGACTTCGGTCAAGCAATTTGTGTGCTCCTGAGATCTGATCGCTGCTCGAATGAACGCAGACATGACTCTCTGCGCAGTCCATTTTGACTTGCTCGCGTCGACAATGTTGTCTCTTATCTCTACAGCAGTGCAGCTGAGATACTCAGCATCTTCCTTGCTGGGCACTTCGATGCCGTCTATGAGCAGGCCAGACTTGCTTGCGATATTTCGCAGATTGGCCGGGGCTAGCTGAGCCGCCTTGTAGTGTTTCGCTGCCGATAGAGCTGCTGACACCATAGCGCAGCGAGTACAGCAGATCCACGCTCAGGGCAGGACAGCCGCTTGTGATCAGTGTGCTCGCTTCGAGTGATGCGGGGTAGCGGAGGGGAGCCTGACGTGGCGCGTAAAATCAATTGACGCGCCCCAAATGGCGGGCGCCTTGCCGCCTTGCCTTTTGCGATCAGCAAAGCACACGGCAAGGGCGCGTGCGTCAATCAGATGGGCCCGGCAACTGATTTGACCACTTCCGGAAGCTTGGTATGCAACATTGACAAGGTTTTGATGCGACAGTGCTATCTTTGCCTGCCATGCAGCTCCGTCATAGGCTCATCAGCATGGCGCTTACCTCATACCTCGGCAGCCCTCGCTCCTCGTCGTGTGCGCCTCGTGCAATTGAGTTTCGACCCAGTGCTTGGCCTGACAAAGTCGCACGCTCCGCTCGGCACCTATAAGTCTAGTGACAGTCATCAACATGCTGCCTGAACTAGCGCTCTACGAGTCGCCTGTCGCAAGCTACGGCTTTCAGGTGAGCCGCCTTCATCAAGCACGCATCTTTAGACAGACTGAGTCGCACGAGCAGACATCTGAACCGCTCGCAATGACAAAGTCGACTGCCTCACGCATGTCGACGATCTCTCTGTCTTACTATCTAGGCGACTACCACGAGCCGGCGCTCCTTGAAGAGGACAGCCCTCCGCTGGACGAACATACAAGTCTCACCGGACGGCCGGCTCAGTATTCGACTCCGTACACACCGCGAGAGCGCTCCGACAGCTCAGATGATGACTCGCCCGTGCTCGATCACAAATCGTCTCGTTTGAGCGACTCGCTCGCGAGCGTCCGGAGTTCTCGCAGTCTGATGGAGCATGCCGCCATCAAGTCGAGATCAGTTGCAGAGACGCATCTTGCAGCTGGCAGCAGTAGCCGCAGGATTGATGTCAATGGTCGCATCTCTTCCGCATGGTCAGTCTCAACGACTTCTACTGCCAATCCGTATCTCCTGCGATCGCCTACTTCGGCCGAGTCTAGGATGCCGAGATTGGTCAGCAGCGCGAGCTCGACGTCTGTAAGCAGCTCAGACGGCCCTGTCACGCCTGAACGCACCCAGCCCCCAATGCTATCCCAAGACTGCCTGACTCCCGTACTAGAAAAGGAATCTGCCGACTTTCTACCGTCTCGGCGCGCGCCCTTGCCTCCCTCGCGCAACCGTACGCCTGTGCCAGCAGATGGCAGCCCGCAAAGCCTGTCCCTGTTTGGTACGCGATCTGTAGAAGCATCGATGATGAGCAAGACCGCTTCTCGGTCAAAGACTTCAATTGGGGCATCGATGATGCGATCGTTCAGCAAGGATAAAAAGACTGCCATGGTCATCTCGAAGCCGATACAACCTGTCGGTCGCGTGCCTGCTCCGCCCTTGCCTACTGATGCAGCAACCAAGATCCGCAAAGCGTCCAATAGCGAGTCTGAAAGGCTGATGCCCCTCGATCCCGCACTCAAAGCAAGATGGTATTCTAGGCGCGGCTCAGACCGTCGTTCAAGCATCGGTTCTAGTCGGAGACCGAGCACTGATGACGTGCGACGTGGTAGCGAGAGTTCACGGCGACCGAGCGGCTCTCTCGAGCTGGCATTACGCAGACTCAGCGGATCTCTCGAGTCTTCACGTCGTCCCAGCGGGCAAGCCGACGGCTCAAGCCGGCGGCCTAGTGCTACACACAGTGACAGTCGACGTCCCAGTCAAAGCTCGCCCATACCAGGACCTATGTCTCGAAGGCGCAGCGATACCGAAAGGTCGCCCTTCAACCCACTTCGCACGATGGCAAAAGCACTCGCCGCGAATGGGTCACCGAAGGTCTCATCGCCCGCTTTTGCACCGCCAGTACAATCCGTCTCGGTCGGTGTGCAACCAGTCAGACCTTTAGCAGTCAAGACGAGGTCGAATCAGTCGTTGCGTAAGCCGCCCCCTCAGGCTTCGCCTCCGCTGCTTTCGTCAACGAAAAAGCAGTCGAGTCCATCACTACCAGCAAAAAGCTCGCCTGAGGCTAAGTCTGGCAAGAAGCCTAGCAGATCTAAGGACGAGCAGCGCTCTGGCGAAGACTCGCCGAGAGCAAAGCCTCGCGCGGTCCCAACTTCGACGCCGTCGAGAACGTCGGCGGTATCTGCATCTAAGACACCTAAGCATGCTCCATCACAACACAAGACGACACTTGCACCAACACGTCCAAAGGGTCCGGCAGCGTCCAGCGATCGGCCACTAGTCAGCGGGGCGCCCGCTTTTGTGTCTCCCAAACCGAATGTCAGCAAGTCAAACAACAGCAGGCCAATCATCAGCGAATGGTCCGCGCCCGCTCCACTAAAGCCTTCTGTTGCGTATACCGACAGCCCTCAATTGGTTTTGGAAGATTACGACAGCGGTAGAATCGATGTTGAGCTTTCGAACTGGCGAGAGCGGAAAGCGCGCAAGCATCTATCAGCTAGTGAACGCGTGGAGACCATCGGTCATCAAGCGCGCTCGAAGGTGCCAGACTATGCTCCGGCCATGCCGTCGCCTCCAGCCAAAGCCCAGCCAGCTTCGCCCGCCACCCGCATACAGCCGGCTACGCAGCCAGACTGGTTTTCTCTGCCATCAGGCACCTTCAGAAATCCTTTCAGTCCTGCTAGCGACGAACCAGCTCGCAAGAAGGACAACCGCGTCTCGATTGCGCCTTCTATGAGCATCGCAGATGACGACGACGACGACGACGAGGCCGATCTCGGCCCCTTCAGTCAAGATGACCGTCGAAGCTCGCTCGGACTGCATTCACGATGTGGCAGCAGTATTTACCAGTCTTCGGAAGTCGGCCAGATCTACATCGCTAACACAGTCGAAGATCGTCGACCATCTTGCGGCGCGTTTCTGCTTGCATCACCAAGCCTGTCGCCGGCTCTGAACAGCAAGCATGTCCAAAGTGTATTGCGCAAATCTCCCATGCTGTCACCGCCTGTGGCAGCGACTGCACGTCGCGGCACGCTGGGTGGCGATCTGATATGGCAAGGCGAAGCGATGCCCATTCCAACGCCAACGTCCACTGCGGCTCGCAAAGAGTTCATAACGTTTGCCGATCCCTTCGCGAGCTCGGCATACAACAGCGACCGGCGTCCCACTGCAGTGAAGCTGTTTCCGCAAACGCCAAAGGGTAGCTTCGATGCCAATCAACATGGTCTCATGCGTGACTGGTCCGCTATGCGCGTTTCGCTTGACGTCAATATGGCTTGATGCATGCCTTTTTTCGGCGGCCGATCGGTGCTCGATCCAGCTTGCGCCGCGCTAGAGACTCTTGAGAGGACATGAAGGTAAGAGAAAGCATGCATTGAAGGTCTAAGTGTCCATCGGTCGTCTATGCAGTGGCGGGCGTGACAGCGACCGGTGAGGCGGTCGCTGATGAAGCGGGCTGAACAGCGCCAAGGACTGGAAGACCGGAAGGCAGCGAGATCGAAGGGAAGCTGATAGCAGGCAAGGCTGAGGGGAACGCGAGCGTGGGTAGCGCGAACGGTGCCGCGACAGTCTGCGAGGCTGATGAGACGGGCATCGCACCGCTAGCAGACGCAGGCTGCATAGAGGCAGCAGCAGAGGGCGTGGGGATGACGAGACCGAATGCAGCTGCAGTCGAAGTAGGTGCAAGATTGGCGAACAAGCTAGGCAAGACCATTGTCTGTGCGACTTGAGTGCCAACCACCTGAGGTGCACCAGCGGTCGTGGCGACAGCTGGGCTGACAGCTGCGGGCATCGAAGCGACCGCAGGCACAGTAGCGGCCTGCGTGGCCACTGCAGGTGCCACTGCCTCGGTACCTACGGCAGGCGAAACAGCCTGAGTGGCAACGGAGGGCACGATTTGAGACGCGACCGGTGCGGCGACTGAATTAGCAGCGGCAGCTGGGAACAGATTCTACGTGACCTTCGAGTGTCAGACTAAGCGCCGCATTGGTCATGCACAGAGACCTACCGAGAGCTGCGGCGCTGCGGCTACATAGACAACGAAGGCAAAGAGGATGAATGAGCGCATCTTTACTGGTATGGATCGATGTTTTGACTATCTTTTTTCTGAGCGAGCGGCGAGGATACTATTGAGGTCAAGATGGCGAGAAGATATGCATTTGCCAGTGCAACAACGGATCGCGTTGACGGCTCGCTTCTCGGAGGTGGATCTTGCGCACAGACCGACTATTGACGTTTGCCTGATTTCTTGCGTTTCTTCTCGGTACCGTTGGTCTGTGGTGTCTGCTTGTCTGCCGACTTTCGCTTCGTCGAGGCAGGGTTGCGGATGCTGAAGACGCTCTGAGCACCTGATGCGTTCTTGAGCTGTGCCGCTCTCGCTTCCGCCTGCTGCCAGTCACTCTCTTCGCCTGCGATTGCATACCTGCGCGCACGGACTCAGTCTCCATGCTTTTGCACCAGTCGCGCAGACGTACTCACTTTGAAAGGTCGAGCGAGTTGATTACCTCTCGTTGCTCGTCGCGCAGCTGTCGCACGACTTCATTCCCCTCATCGTTGAGCTCTTCCGCAAGATCTTGCTTCACGGGCTCAAAAGCTAGCCTGCCATTGGCCTGAGACGCAGACGGAAGTTCTTCGTTGAGTGTTGCTTCTATCTGGTGCTTCTGTATGTCATCGAGCGCTTTCGAGAGTTTACGCATGCACTTGACGAAGAGAGCCAGACATTGCGTGACAGGTAGATCAAGATCTCTCTCCACATCCTCGATCGACTTACGCTGCAGACCAAGCGAGAGCAAGATCGATCGTTGCACGCCAGAGAGTGTGATGTCAGGACCGAAACGTCCGGCGAAGAAGAGGGTAGCCAGACTTGGCAGCAGATCGAGAATGACATGGTAGTCGAGCATGTTGTTCGCATAGGACGTCAAGCGCTTCTGATCATGCGGCGTGAAGAGCTCTCGCACATCAGCGGCAGTAAGATGACTAGCTTGCTGAATAGCGCCAGCATTTGCACCTTCGATGATACTCAGCGAAAGCACCGAAGAGAATTCGCGGAACTTGAATGAAAGCAGCGAAAGGAACCGCCTGCGAAAGTCGAGAGCGAATGCGGAGAGCCAGCCTGCTGACTCTGATCTGCTGCTCGAAAGACCCCGTAGCATGATACAAGTATGCTCGCCCGTCAAGTCGTTCTCGGTCTGACGAAGATACATGGGAATGTAGCCATTACGCTTCCAGTATTTGAAGAGCGAGGGCGTCAGGCCGTATGAGACGCCAAGATAGTCTAATTTCTCGGGCTGACGCTCAGGCAAGCGTTGCAGCAGTGGCGGCATGCGAGCAGCATTTCGCACAGCAATGACTTCAGTATGCAGCGTGTCCTGCTTGCTCGGCTTGGCTGCGCTCTCGAAAGTCTCGATCTGCATATCCTCGAGCGCTTCGGAAAGATTGAGCAATTGGCCGCTGTAGAACGCATCGAGAGCCTGCAGGGCGCGAGTGCCGTAACCCATCTTCGCATAATCAGGATGCGTCGCTATTCTGACGATTCGCGCGCCCGACATGGTACCAAAATCGTCATCTTGGAACTGCTGAGAGATCGTCCAGGGTATCAAGTCTCCCGACGGCCTGATACCACGTTGCAAGCCATCGAGTATGCTTCGCTTGCCTATACTGCCTTCGAGCGCTACTTGGATAACGACGAGAGGCTCGGGCAGCGTGTTATCATCCTCTTTGAGCGGCGGCAGTAACACAAACAGGTGGTGCTGGGGCGCATCACTCATGAGCTGCAAGTCATTTGGCGAATTCTTGTAGTGCGAAGCGACGTAGAGAGCCATCATGCGCTGCAAGAAGAGCTCGCTGGCGGGATGATAGCTGAACAACGTGTCGCGATTGACGTAGAGCAAGTCGCACTGAGCGGGCAGCGGACATCCCTGCATACCTTTCGAGGGTGCAATGGTGGCGTCGAGGCACAGCAGCGTGTTGAGCCATCGCTCGACCAGATCTCCCTGACCGTATCGGATGGGGTCTTCCAACTTGACCTCTTTGAGCACTCGACTGATCGTGACAGCCGGCGTGGCAGTAGCAGTGACTCCCTTTTTCGTGTTTTCCCGCTCGGCGGCCTTCAGGAGCGAGGAAGCAGTAGCAGATGAAGCCTCTCGCAGTTGCTGAATCAACTTTAGGGAGAGGGATCGACCTGTTCCTTCGTAGCCGTTTATCGTTGAGGATAGGAATACGAGATAGGGTCCAATGAGCTTGCGAACGAGCGGCAGAGGGATAGCGGCGGCTTCGTCGATGACGACGAGTTCGGCTTGTCCGAGCGCATGTGCATCTTGCGGTCTGATATACTGCCGAACGCGGGCGTCAAAGAAAGTGACATGTCTTATGGCGCTCGAGCCTACCTGGATAGTCTGCCGGTGGTCTCTGAAGACATTGACTCTGACAATGGCGCTCTTGAAGTCTGGATTGGTACTTTGGACGACATCATAGTCGAGATGCTCTTGGTAGCCCAGCTTGTCAAAGCCTATGAAGATGAACTCGAAGAGCGTCTTGAGATTCTCCGGCGAAGGTGAAGTGACGAAGATGTTCGAATACGAGTGCGCGACCGCTAGTGCGATGGACAGACCCAGCGCGGCTGACTTTCCTCGCCCTCTGGCGGCGGTCAGCGAGACAGTGGACGAGAGGGTCTTTGAAGCGATTGCCTCTGTAAAAGTCAGGATGGCTCGGGCCTGATCGATCGTGCGCGCTTCGGCGATGACAGAGCCAGCTGGCTGAGTCTCTTTGAGCGAGTCCTTCAGTTCGTCTAGCTCCGTCTTTGCCGGGCTCTTCCCCTTTGCGCTTGCTTTTTCCAAAGGTACAATATCTTTGGCATCGCTGATGGGCAAGACATTCAGTTCGTCGTCGAGAATCAGGCAAGTAGAACAGGATCCCAACGACAAGATGAAACGTTCGTTGAAGCGCGCTATGGGCGCATCTGACGTCTCCGTCCTGTAGCGTGAATGAACATCCTGCAGAATGCGTCAGGTTGCAGGACTGAGGATGATGAGAGAGGGTCACACGCCATCGTCATTGCGTAGAGCTGCTTGAGGCTCTTCATGCCTTGCAGGATGAGCACGACCAGTCCTCCCCCTTCGACAGTCTCGATCGTTCTCGCGAGCAGATTGGGCGTGATGGCCTCAAAGTCTTGCAAGACGAGCATGCCATAAGTCTGACCGAGGATCTTCTCGGTATCCTTGTAGTAGCAGTACCGGATATCTGTGGCGCCGACAAAGAGCTCGAAAGGATCCATGTCGTCCTGATCCCTGACGTTCCTCGCGATATCTCGTTTGATCTTTTCGGCTCTTTTCTTGCGGTTGCTCGAGAATCCAAGCTCTTTGGAGTAGCACCACAATACGTTGGGCCGACTGGCTGCTTTGCCCTTTGCGTGTCTTCCAGCACTCGTTGTGGGAGCTGTAGAAGACATGCGAGACTCGGACAGGAGCCAATGCAAATTGACGATCTGCTGGTGAGCCTGTTTCTGTGAGCCGACCATGACGAAGAAGGAGCGGTGCTGGGTCTGGACGCCATTGGAGATGAGGTACGGTATCCGGTTGTCGAGTGGCTTGCGTTGCTGCTGCTGCTTTGATCCACTCGCCGTCGCCATCTTGCAGCGACAAGGTTGACGGCCAACTTTTTCGCGTTGGTGTCGAACGACGGGGGTCGACTGCAGCGTGGACGCTGACGTCGTTGTCCGGCCAGTCTGTCGATTGCTCGGCCAGGAATGCCTGCGAAGGGGAAGCAAAAGGCTACCGGCCCGCCGAGTCAGCGTCAGCTGTATGACTCTGATGATGCCAGCCTGGCTAGCGAGTCGCCTGACGAGTTTGCAAGCACGTCGAACGGCCAAGCGAATCACAGCAGATACCTCGGCGAGAGCGAGCTAGAAGACGAGGTGGAAGGGTCGGACGAGTCTATGGAAGACGGAAGCCTTGCAGATGAGGTCAACACGGCCTTGTCAGACTTCGAGCGCAACTGACACGCAAAGCACAGGAAGATCTCCAGCAGAGTCAGCTTGTCGCTTCACCCGTGAGCTGTCACTCATGTACGAGACAGGTCTGGCTAGCCTGCCGATGTCTGCACTCTTGAGAGCAAGAAAGGCGTTAGGCGCCGCACCTAGCAAGCCTCGACAAGACGACGATAGCTCTGCTTCTGACGCGCCAGAGGATGGCGACGCAGACGAAAGCACCTTGCCGCGGGGCAAGAGGAAGGGCCGACTTGAGATGCGGCACGAAGACGCTCAGAAAGCACTCGCAGTCCTCGACAGACTGAAGGCCAGAGACGAACGCAACCAGACCAAAGCACGCGAACGCAAGCAAGTTGCTCATCGTAACAACAAGCATGCGTCAGTCATTGCAAGCGATAGCGAGTCAAGCTTACGTTCATGCAGACCTATGGAAATGACTTCCAAGAGGGCCGTCACTCGCGCTCGTGAGGTGGTCGAGGTACCCAGACTTGTCCGTACCGTTCTGCAAGAACAAGGTCGCTAGCTGAAGCCTCTGCAGGTCCGGCGTGATCCGCGTTTCGATTCCTTGTCAGGCGCATTAGACGAGGATCTCTACTCGCGATCATACAGCTTTATCTCGGAGCAGCAAAAAGCAGAGCTGGCGCAACTCAAGACGACAGTCTACAAAGCGCGCAAGGTGCCCAATTTCCCTGTGGACGAGCTGGAAGAACTAGAGAGAGCACTCAAGAAGATGGAGAGTCTCGTCGATCGAGCAGCACGCGATGAGCGAGAACGGACTGCAGTCAAGAAGTGGCGGGAGCAAGAAACAGGCAAGCAGAACTCTGGCAAGGCAGCTTGGCATCTCAAACAAGGTCCGTCAGGAGCTCCCTCCTTCCTTGATGTCAGCTGATGCCCCTCCTCCTATAGCCGATCGAAGACAGCTCATCGAGCGCGAGAAGCTGTCCGAGCTCGCAAAGGACAAACGCAAGCAACGCAAGTACACAGAGCGCAAGACGCTCAAGGAATCTCAAAAAGCCAAGAAGAGGTTGCCGCCCTTGCGGTCTGCGCGTACATAGGACCGACGTTGCATTTGCTAGCTCTCGAAATCGATCACGCGAGTCCCTTTGACCTGCAAGATCGTCGCCATGAGCTCATGCTTTGGCTGTTGTAGCCCGTGACGCACCCTATGAGTCCGGAGCATGTCTAAGTACCGTTGAGTGAGCTCGTGGCATTGTGCATAGTGGTTGACGCCCTCTGTCCGCCAGCACTTGCCGAGCTCTTCTCTCACCAGGCGGGCTTCCATCGTGCGAACCCATCCCTCGCGAATGGCGGCATCCCGGGCTTCCAATAGCTCTGCTCTCAGTCTTTAGCGCTCCTCAACGGCTATGCGTGACCATCTACCCTTGTACTCGGCCACTGAATGGCCGCTCGAAGATGTTGACATGGTGAGCAGGCCGGCTGATCGATGAGGTTTGATAGCTTTGAGCCGCCGCGCAGAGTTCGCCCAAGGTGGCGCGTAGGGCTGCCGTAGACGTACGTACCCACTTGGCTCTCCCTCTCACGGTCTCGTCGATGTCGCTTGGGCGCTCAGAGTGGCGGGGCCTCTTCGGCAGTCTTCTCCGCCTGCCCGAGAGCTCGGTCTACGCCAGGATTGACGATGATCCGCCAAGCAACGCGAGCGCGCAAGCTCTGAGCTCGCTCGGGCGGACAGCACCCTATAGGGATGACCAAACGGGTGCCCCGGCATCGTCGAACCACGCCCACCTTCATACTGAATCTGCGTATGAAGATCCATTTCAAGCCGGCGAGCCTGTCGAACGACTAGACACGTCTACCGTCAGTGAGCGACGACAGCGAGTCTCGACGGAGGACGGCCTCGGGGATGATCATGCCCCGCCCATCTCCATGTAAGAATTGCGTCGTATGGCTGCACTGCAAGCTCATGTGGCTACCGCAGGATGTTCGAGAGAGATTCGCCAGCGCGAGGACGGCCGGTCACACGAGGCGACATCACGCCCTCTGCTGCTGCATCCTCACCATCAATTGACCGCGCAGCGGACAGCACGACCCTGCCGGGCGCTATCGATCTCGCTTCCTCACCGCGCTCGTCCTCTGCCGGTTCACGAGCAGCCGATGCATCACGCTCGCCGGCGCGTACTGCCGCGAATGATACCATGAAGGCCTCCTCTAGCAGTGGAACCATCTCACCTACGTCTTCGCCTCCGCCGGAGTTCACGCGGGTAGCCGAACCTCCGCGACAGCTCGGCAATTCCCCCCTGTTGCGTTCGCCAGGCTTACGCCAAGTTATCGGCTTGGCGTCGCCCGGCAAGAGGCCCACGCCCGTCCAACGCACGAGCAGTACGAAGAATAGCGAAGGCCGACATTCTGACATGCCCATTCACGGTACGGAGAGCATCATACCACAAAATGCAAAGCATAGCTATCCTATCGTCATCCAATCGATACTCAACCCGGCCGCAGACATCAGACAGACAGGAGGGAACAGGATACGATTGCTGGACGAAGACATGCATCAGAAGCCTTCTGGCCGCGATAAGGGCAAAGGAAGATCGGGCGATGCGTCGCATCTGCCATTGCATCGATTAGATGCATACCATGATGAAGAGGAAGATGCGGCAGGGACAGGTCATCCCACTTTTCTCGGTGCTCCCTTGTCAAGAGCCTTCACATCGCGACCTTGGTCAGATTCTGGCAATGACAGTGCTCAACGGCGCGCCAAAAGTGCGCTGTCGGCAAAAGAGAAGGCGCTGTGGCAATGGGTGAATGTCATCGATATAGACGCCAATTTACAAGAGGTTCGTCGGTCATCAAGTCGTGTCATCTCCTTCTGACCGAACACAGATATATGCGTACTACAACGGCAAAGGACTACGGGCGATAGCGCTCTCGCATTTGCTGAACCTTTTGCAAGTCTTTTCTCTTCGCTCGAGTGATTGCGCGCTAAAGTACGCAAGCAGAACGATCGGCTTTGTCATCACCTTCACATCTTTCCTGCTTGGCTGTATCGACCACACACGCCTGCGAACAAGTCACTCGCTGCAGGAGGTGATGGTCTCGCAGTGCCTTTCAAAGTCAGCCTCTGTTCGGTTCTGTCCTCTTGCGCTAACTGGCGTGCAGAACTCACGGTTCTAGTTTACTGATTGTTCTTGGCCTGGCAAGCTTCTACGCAACTCGTATCTATCGGTTCACCGCGGCAATGAAACGGCTCTTAGCTATGCGCAACTTTTACGAGCATCTGCTCTGCATTCCCGAAGCCGACATCCCCACTGTACCCTGGCCGACCATCGTCACACGTATCGCTGCGCTTCGCGCTGACCACCCGGTCGCACTCTCAAGTCGCACGCAAGCCGAAAATGACAATGATGAGCGTGCCGACCGGCTCGACGCGCACGATGTCGCAAACCGAATCATGCGCCTGGAAAACTACCTCGTTGCGCTGTTCAACAGCGACATATTGGATCTCTCGATCTCACTACCGGCCAGCCTCGGTCAGAGAAAGCTGGGCGGGCAGCTGACAAAATCGCTGGAATGGAATCTGCGCTTCTGTCTGCTAGGCTTCCTCGTTGGTGACGACGGCCTAGTAAGACGCGCATTCGTCAACGAGCGAAATCGTCAAGATCTCTCAGAGGCGTTGGTGCTTTCAGGTCATGCCGTTACCTCAGGCTGATGGCGCACACAGGCTCAAGCGACGGTTCATTCTCGTTGCCGTCATCAATAGCATGCTCTGGCCATTCATCGTGCTGTATCTGCTGTTCTATTCGTTCTTCCGATACTTCGAGGTGAGCTCGCTGTCGTATCTTTCGGAGCTTCGCCTGACTTGGCTACTAGGAATATCACAAAAATCCTTCCTCGATCGGCTCAAGGTCGTACACCCAGCTAGCCCGCTGGAAATTCAGAGAATATAACGAGCTGCCTCACAACTTTCAGCAGCGTCTTCATCGGAGCTATCCGGCTGCTGAGATGTATGTCGAGCAATTTCCAAAGGAACTTACGAGCCAGATCGCTCGCTTTGTCGCCTTCGTCTCTGGCTCGTTTGCGTCAGTGCTCGTCCTCTTCTCACTACTCGATCCAGACGCTTTCCTGCATTTCGAAGTCACACCGGGCCGTACCGTGCTATTCTACATCGGCGTCTTTGGCGGGATTCTCGCAGTTGCGCGCGGCATGGTTCCTGACGACCATCAGATCGTTGATCCGGAGGAACTGATGCTGGCCATCATCGAGTGTACGCATTACTGTCCGCCAGAATGGAAGGACCAGCTCCACTCGGCGGAGGTGAGTGCTGCTTCTCCGCTTTGCCTCCCACACGCGCTGATTGTACCTGCAGGTCCATCGCGAGTTCAGTCAGCTGTTCCAAATGCGCGTGACAACCTTTGTACTCGAAATGATCTCTGTCGTCACTACACCGTATGTGCTGTGGCGTAATCTGCCAAAGACTGCGCCTGCTATCGTCGACTTCTTCCGAGAAACTACGATACACGTCGATGGCTTGGGATACGTATGCGCCTCTGCTGTATTTGATAGCAAAGGGAAGAGCGCGCCTACGCTGCAACTGCCTAACGGAGGTGAAGAGCACCACCGATGGCCATCTGATCATGGCAAGATGGAGAAGTCGCTGATCTCCTTCAAATCAACGCATCCGGACTGGATGCCACACGATCAAGCGACTTCGCTATTCCTTTCGCGAATGACGGAGGGCTCGACTGCGCCAATCAGCAGCAATCTTTATTCGTCCGGATTAGCCAGTGCGCCGACCCGCCGTCAGTTCGCAGCGGGACGATCCATACTAAGGGGGTCACGCTATGTCAACGCGCCAGTGTCTGCCAGGAGTGCCGAGTCTGCTCCATCACACCACTCTTTCAGCGGACCGATCTCCACAAAGGAGAAAGTACGGGAGGCAAAAGCGCGCTTGTACGACCGCGCTTATCAGAACAGCGTGCTGAAAGCAGCTAAGAGCAGCAGCCTCCCTTCTAACAAGCTCGGAAGCACGCAGCGTATTGCACCGCCGGGCGTGTCTTTCGCAATTGGAGAATCAATCGCCGAAGAGCCTAGCAGTCTGGATGGATCCTACCTGTCTACAGATCTGCAAGACGACACGAACTCGCAGTCGCCATCTGCGGACCCGAAACCGCCTCAATCGATGATTACGCTGCTCAATCAGATGTATGACGAGGGCGCACGTAAAATCTGAGACTCATCAAGCACACTGTGTCACTTGTTGTCGTATGCATACAGAAAGAATGTTCTCAGGTCAACCTGCGCCCGCAATCAATCAGCGTCCCCACGTATGAAGAGTGTAATGCTCACAGCATGAGACGCGGATCCTCGATGAACTGCTTGACGCGGACGAGGAAGGTCACTGCTTCTCGTCCATCCAGCAAGCGATGATCGTAGGCTGCGCCCGAGCATCAGCGAATGTATCCAGCATGCAACGTGAGGCCTACTGAGCGCGACAACCATGATTGGTCTGACCACAATCTGTCCGTTGACGACGACAGGCTTTTCCTTGATGGCGTGCATGCCTAGCACGGCAGCTTGAGGTAGATTGATGATGGGCGTGCCATAGAGCGAGCCAAAGACACCGCCATTGGAGATTGTGAACGTTCCGCCCGCCATATCTTCGATTGTGAGCTTATTGTCTCTCGCCTTTTTGCCCAGCTCGGCAATAGCAGACTCGATGCCGATAAAGTTGAGCTCTTCGGCATTTCTGACGACAGGCGTGACGAGACCCTTGGGCGTCGAAACAGCGACGCTCAGGTCGACATAATCTCGATAGACAATCTGTTCTCCTGCGCCTGGACCTTCTATCGATGCGTTTGCAGCGGGTATCTCTTTGAGCGCCAGGCAGCATGCCTTAGCGAAAGCAGACATGAAGCCAAGCTTGACGCCGTGATCCTTCAGGACTTGGTCTTTGTAAAGCTTGCGGAACTCCATGAGCGAGGACATGTCAATCTCGTTGAACGTCGTCAGCGAGGCTGCCGAGTTCTGGGATTGTTTTAGACGCTCGGCGATACGTTGGCGCATCCTATTCATTTTGACCTGTGATCACACCCATTCAGTTCTGCACGGCAAACGATAAGTTGCTGCTCCACTAACGCGCTGTTCTGTTCTGTTGCCCGAGCCTGATTGGGTCTTCTTAGGCTCGCTTGGCTTTTCGGGAGGCGGTGCTGGCTTGTCCTTCTTGGCTGCCGCCTGAGGCTGTCGAGGCTCTTCAGACTTTTTGGGCTCCGGCGCAGGTTTCGAGCTCTCTTTGTTTTCATATTTAGAGGACACGTCTTCTTGTTTCCGGCCAGAATGAGTGTCCGAGCCTTGTTCCTTGCTGTCACTACTCTCCGGCTTCTCTGCTTCCGCGCTCGGCTTGTCTTCGCCACTGTCGCGCTCTCTGACCTCCTGACCGCTCTCCTTTTTGTCCTCGCTCTCCTTTGGCTTTTCTTCACTCTTTTCAGACGACTCGCTCGATGCTTTGTCGCCGCCTGCTTCTGGTTTCAGTATGAGTGAAAGTCGATCGCGCTGCACGTACCACTGCTGCTTGGCTCACCGCCTAGCTCCATCTTGAAGAGATCCTTGCCAACTTCGACAGTGTCTTCTTCTTCCGCGTAAGTCTCCGTGATTGTACCTGCCTCTGGCGCATTGACGCTGACGTCGATCTACGAATCCATGTAAGCATGTGCGCCAGCATAAGCCACCTTCGAGGAGCGGCTCGCCTTGTCTGTCTCAATGGTAGCCACTTCTTCGTCCGCTTCGACATAGTCGCCCTTCTTCTTGAGCCATTGCTTCAAAGTGCCCTCAGAGATACTCTCTGCCATTTGTGGTACTTGGACGACCTTGTCCTCTGACAAGAGCTGCCGTGTCAGCTCATGAGGTGCATGCGCCGGCTCTGCGGACCTCGCAAGATTGCAGACACATGGAAGCTGCGCCTCAGTCTGAGCGGATCCGAGTAGCCAGAGGATCGATATAGGTTGGCCGAGCCATGCAAGGCACGACTGAGCCTGTCAAAGTGCCTGCCCGCGTCAATACAGGGACTATGACGCAAAGCTGTGACGAACGGTGCAGGCACATTGCAGCTGAGTCGCAAGCTCGTCGTCTGCTGTCTGACAGTCGTCAAACGTCCAGGAGAGGCTGTCACTCTGCTCGAACGAGCTAAAGAAGCCCGCATGCGAGACCAAATGTGAGCTGGATCTGACAACGGTGCGGATGTAGACGTGATGACGTGGCACGCAGTACAGTCGTGGCCCGCATGGCCGAGGCTCGGCAATTGCGATCGCCTGTCCAAATCACGACTCACACACCGATAGGTAGACATCATGTCAAAGGAAGTAGACTACGACGCAGTCCGCAAGGACATTGCTGCATGCATGGAGCAGCCGGGCTATGACGATGGCTCGGCGGGACCTGTGTTCGTGCGATTAGCGTGGCATAGCGCCGGCACGTATTGCAAAGACACCAAGTCAGTGATAGCCCACCAGCTCGTCAGAACATGACTCATAGGACACATTCTCAGGACCGGCGGTAGCAACGGTGCAGGCATGAGGGTCAGCCGGTCGGCGACACGCTGTCATTTAGCTGCTAACATGCAATTGACAGTATGAGAAAGAGGGCGGCGATCCTGCCAACGCCGGCTTGCAACATGCCCGTGTCTTCCTCGAGCCCGTCAAGGCGAAGCACGAGAACCTCTCGTATGGTGAGCTGCCCTCTCGCTGTTTCGAGAACGAGCTAATTCCTGGCCGATAGCTGATCTCTGGACACTCGCCGGTGTGGTGGCAATAGAAGAGATGGGCGGCCCCAAGATCGAGTGGAAGGCCGGTAGAACAGACTTCACAGACGACAGCAAAGTACCTCCTCGAGGTCGTCTGCCCGATGGCGCACAAGCCGAAGACCACCTGCGAGCCGTCTTTGGCCGAATGTAAGTACAGCCTTGCCAGCGCGTCCGTGGCGCGCTAAAACGGTCTTGTAGGGGCTTTACTGACGACGAGATCATCACGCTCTCTGGCGCACACAATCTCGGTCGCTGTCACGCTGATCGCTCCGGCTTCGAAGGCCCTTGGGTCATGCGACCGACCGTGTTCTCGAACCAATATTACAAGATGCTCAAGAATATGGAATGGAAGCCAAAGGAGTGGTCCGGACCCAAGCAATATGCCAACGATGACCTCGGCCAGGAGCTCATGATGCTCGAGACCGATCTTGCGTTGCTCAAGATGAACAAGGATCTCGTGCACAAGTATGCAGACGACAAGGACGCTTTCTTCGACGACTTTGCCAAGGTCTTTGCTAAGCTTATTGGTCAGCACTCTTCTGCAGCGTTCACAAATGCCCGAAGCTCATCGTATTGCAGAACTCGGCGTTGATCGCAAGGATGCTGGCTATGAAGCGGCCCCCAAGAAGTCAAACGATGCTGGCGCACCTGGTCAAGAAGGCAACGATGGACAAGCCTCGATTGTCAAACACGATGATGTCAAGAAGACGAGATCGTCCAAGCTATAGAGCACCTCCACTTTACAAAACTGTTTATAGACTTTCACTGTAGTTCTTCCCTTTCCGCAACCTACACCTTGCTCATCTTAGATGTGCATCACTCATTGCATCTACAAGTATCAGCAACAACAGATCTAAATGCTCTAAGACATGTCAAATCCTGCCTTTGACTGGATCGCTGTGAGCAGTTTCTGCCGAAGTGTGTCAGGGCTCGTGTAAGCTGGCAGCTTAAGCAAGTTGACACAAGTCGACGCTGTCGGTAAGCGCCCGGGGTCATTTTCGCCAGCCTGAATGCAGAAGGATGGTCGTAGCTCTTTGAAGCCTAGCAGAGGAGGCCGCGGGCAGCTCGTGACGAAAGAGAGCAGGGCTTCCTTCTCGGCTTGGCTGAATGCTTTGACGGTCGACCAGAACCATCGCACAAGATCGCCACCCTCGTCTAGACGGCCGTAGACAGTGTTACGTCTGAGGTCTTCCAGATCGATCTCTGAATTCGTACCGGAACAGATTAGTCGTAGCTCGGACTGATTGAACAAGCGCAGCCATCTTGGCTCGATGATGTCAAATAATCCGGCCGTAAACGCTTCCGACTGCTCGCGAATTTGATAGTTGAGACGATAGTGCGAGACAAGGGTAATGTAGCGAATACGGTTGCTTGCTGTCACTGCTACATTGCTGCCGTCGGGTATCAAATCGATCGTGCGCGATTCGCCGAATTCTTCATCCGTCACGCTAAACGTGAGAGCGAGATCTTTTTCCACGTTGCCAGCGTAATTCTTGAGGAACACCAGGCCCTGGTATAGCTCTGGATCGAGCGAAGCCAAGTCGTCAAGAAAGTTAGATCGGCCCAGCCATTTTGCGAGGAAGAAGTCTGCAAAAGGTGTGTTGACGAGGATGCCGTCATATAGTGCTTTGCCAGTGATCTGACCGAGGAATCGGAACCACGCTAGCTGATCCGAGCCCCGCGCGTACAGGCTCGGTGATGGATAGAGCTCCTGCTTTGCATTTGCGCGCCATAAGCCTCGATCTGTGTCAAAGACTTCCTTGCCTAGACTGCGTCGCATACGACGTGAGCTCGTGTCATGACACAAGGCATTTGACTGACCTTGTGAGGAATTCTTTTGTCAGTCCACCGCCATCAATACCAGCTTCCTCTTCGCCAAAGACATCGACGAATGTGATCTGCATGCGATGCTTGAGTTCTTTGCCGAGCTTAGCGAGGTGAGCGAAACCATCGTCTGCAACATGATCGCGACGAATGATCGCTCGTCGAGCGCCTCGGAACCAGTGTCCGTCGCCGAGCTTCTCGCGATCGTTCTCCACAAAGTGCCGAAAGATCTCGGCTCGAGTATTGAACGGGATGACAAAGGGGATATTATTGAGCACACCGAGGCGCGGACTAACGTAAGATGCCTGCTTGTTGAAGCTACTGCGATGTCGAGCAGCAGGAGAGGGATGAGCAGGACCGTATGCTCGTCGGGGGTATCGCATGGGCGAAGGTACAGAGATCGCCTCTTCGTCGTCTAGCTTGCGCTCTTCTGTCAATGCCGACGATACGAACGAATCGAGATCGAATTGATCCGTCATGAGCCAATGATCCTCGGGCACAAATGGCCGCCGAGAATCGCGAGCGTGGATGTTTTGCAAGAAGAAAGTTGCAGTCCGTCTGATACTGTCGTACGAAACGCTCGTGCCAGCCACTTTCATTGTGCGCACATCCGTCTGCCCCTCGGTCCAATACAGGGCGAAGGCGATATTCCTTGCAAGTGCAGAGAGCATAACGATGTCTTCGATTTGAAGCGGATTGCGCGGACCAGCCTCGAAAAAGTCGTCATCGCCTATCGTCAGTAGTAAGCGATTGTACATGTCGAGAAGAAGTATCAGCGCCGGCCAAGTCCTAGCAAAGCTAGGCTCCTTGAGAGCACTGAGTACTGAGCTGAGGCCTTCGCGCTGTACCGACAGCGCTCGGGCAAGGGCACTCGGTCGAACCGAGGATCGCCAGGTCTCGCGCACAAGACCTGCACCGCGCGAGCTTGTGTGCAATAGCGCCGTAAGTATCTCGTCTTTACGGCTTGGCCAAGCGACGATAAGAGACACCATCAGAGAAACAAATTCATCTTGTGTAGTGTTGACATAGCGCGCTGCTGCTGCTTGCAAGCTCGCTATATGCTGGACTGACGCGAGCCTGGCGATAGAGGTCTTGTCGGCAGTATTTAGGCTGCTGTCACCCGGCATGTCCAATTCCATCTTTTGGTCTTGCAATTCATCGTCGTCCTCGCTTCCATCGCCATGACCGGCTAGTTGCCTGGCCAGGCCTGCCTGGATTCCATCCGTGACTACAGCTTGCTTTGCATCGAGGCTGGCCGCTGAAAAGGCCGATAGCGTCGTGATGAGCAGGTCTAGGTAAGCCTTGAACTGACTTTTGTCGAATCGCGTGACTTGATCATGTAGCAAGCTGACGATGTTGCTCGCCAGATGAGCCCTTGTTGCTGTATCCACAGTTTGGAGCGCATTGGCGACGATCGGCAGACTGTCTGCCTCTAGCAAAGGTATCTCGCGAACGACTGCCTCTTGTTGGCTCTTTAGCGCGGTCTGAGGCAATTCTTGCGCCAGATTGGGTATTGACAGCCAGTTTGATAGCAGAGATCGAAGCGCAGACTGCTGTATCTGCTTTGCTGCATCGACACTACCAAAGACGTTGATGACAATCACTGATGTGCTACTACGGAGAGCGGCAGTGCCTTGCTGGCCGCCCTGCGCCCGAAGAAACGTCGACAGCAGCTCGAAGAAACTGCAGCGCATCAGAAGAGCTCGTGTCAGTGCAGCGCAAGCGGAAGCGCCTCTTGATGGCAGCTGCATTTCCCACTTGGTACTATCGGTGGCGTACTTGAGCACTTCGAGAAACAGCAAATTGGAGGGCGCTCTGCCCCGAAGATCAGCATGGTCGCGCACCAAAGAACATGGACATACCGTGGCCTGTGAGCCAGTTGCCTGAGGAGATTGATGCAAGCTAACCAGAGATTTGTAAGCCAACTTGAGGCAAGCTCGGTGACGCGGATCGGCTCTGCTAAGATGGAGGGCGTTATGGCCTTGCCTTTGGTCTGTTTTGATGATGCTACATCTGACATGATGTACCGTGCCCATGCTGCCAGACGTCTGGCGTCTTGAGCCTCGCCGCTCGCGAAAGCGTGAACAAGATGCCGCGTCAGCTCCACCGTACGCCGAGGTCTGGCCTGAGAAGCAGGGTCGGTTGCAGGTGACGGTGGCTCAGTGTCATTCACTTGTGCAAGCAAGAGGTCGAAGCGAGCTCGATAGGTCCGCCTCAGATTGGCAGCAGCTCGGCGTCCGGTCCAAAAGCTCTCGATCCTCGCCACTGCGAGTTTCTGCAAGCGCTGTCGTTCCCTAGCCTCACGCTCCAGTCGCAAGCGACCAATGGTGCTTCCTGCTGCCGGTGTACTCGATGCATGACCCGACGTGCTTGCCAAGGGACCATCGAGTTGCATGCCATCACTGCGTAAGGTACTGGAAGTGCTCGAACCGCCCAGATTGATCTCTCTCTTTGGTCTCGCTTGGCCAGTGAAGTTGGCCTGCAGTCGAGACATCGAGTGGCAACACTTGTGCAACGATATCAGCGCACGCCTGCGTAGAGCGTCACGGCAGTCTGGGCGAGGACACGTCACCCGTCAGCTAACAAAAGTCAAGGCGATCGCGTAGTGACATCAACTTAAAACTCCGCACTTCCACCGCAGTTCCGTCGACGATGCCGAAGCGTGGGCATGTCTATCATTCGCCGGCAAGTTCACACGCCTGCACACGTAGCAGAGCTATCTACTGACACGCGAGTTGGGCAGTGGGAGGACCATCCTACACTTGACGACAATAAGCGGCAATCCGTATGGAGCCTGGTCTGGTCAAACCCGAATAACGTGCCGGACGACAAGCCGGCTGTCGTGGACGGCTCTACCAGGGAGACAGTGACCCGCAAGCAGCTTCGCGAGCAGTCGCAGCGCTTGGCTGCAGGTCTCACTGAGGACTTTGGCGTCAAGCAGGGCGATGTCGTCTGCCTCTTTTCTCCCAATTCGATACATTACCATGCCATCATATTTGCATGTCAAGTGTGCTCCTCTTCTCGTTGCATCCACATGCTAGACTGATTGACCTTGACGTTCAGTGCGCTGGCATTGTCTTCTCGGGAGCCAATACTGCCTATACGCCAACAGAACTTACGCATCAGCTGTCAAAGTCAAAAGCGAAACTCTTGCTCGCTCATCCTTCAAACTTTGAAGTAGCGCTCAAAGCAACCAAGGCGCTTGGCTGGACTGCAGACGAGCAGAAGCAACGCATCGCCCTCTCAGTCAGACGGAGCGAGGTTGACGGCATTCTCAAGCACGCCAGCGCGTTCCGACCAGATCATCCCCCAGCGGACGGACCAGCTGGCGACGAGAAGCCAATCAAGATTGATGCAGAGCTGCTCCAAGCCTTCAAGACGATAGACCAGATGCAGAGCTCTAAGCTCATGCAAGCGGCTGAGATTCCGCAAGACAAGCTCGCCACAACCCTCGCCTATCTCATGTTCAGCAGCGGCACGACAAGCGCTGCAAAGGGCGTCATGACTTCTCAACTCAACATGACTTCAGTCCTGTCCGGGCTCCATCCCTTCAAGTGCACATCCGACGATGTCCATCTAGCGTTCTTGCCGTTCTCACATGTACGTCGCCTATCTTCTACTGGCGACGTATCTTGCTCATGTCCACATCATAGATCTATGCGCTCACAAAGGTCGTTCACTGGCCCATCCTCGAAGGCTGCACAGTAGTGATCATGCCCAAGTTCAATCTCAAGCATTTCTGCGAGCTTGTCCAACGATACAAGGCTACCATCGTTATGCTCGTGCCGCCCGTTGCGCTTCAGCTTGCAAAAGATCCCATTGTCGACGATTACGATTTCGGCAGCCTTCGATTAGTCGTATCAGGCGTATGTACACCATTGAGGTCTCCAACGAAGCTGACATCTGCCCAGGCTGCGCCTATGGGTGCTGAGCTCGAAAAGACAGTCGCCGAGCGGTTAGGATGCCATGTTGCCCAGGCGTATGGTCTAGTCGGTCGCGAAGCTCACTTCTGATATATACCTGCTGATGATGACATGCGCAGACCGAATCAAGCCCCACGACGCACTTTTGCTCGCCAGAAGCGCCAAGGACAGGATCAATCGGATTCCTCTTGCCCGGCGTACGCGGTCGACTCGTCGATCCGGAGACGATGAAAGACATTACCGAGGAGGGCAGAGAGGGCGAGCTCTGGATGCAGGGTGACAAGTAGGAGTTTCCATTCCTCTCACTTCCGTATCGCGCTTATGTTTGGTGCAGCATCATGATGGGCTACTTTGAAAACGAAGAGGCCACTAAGGAGACGCTTGTCGAGGATCACTGGCTCAGGACAGGAGGTAAGCGCCATGCTTGTCATGTTGATAGCTTCCTGACTTTGAGCAGACATTGCGACTTGCATCGAGGACTACTGGACCATAACAGACAGAATGAAAGAGCTGCTCAAAGTCTTAGGCTACCAAGTACCGCCTGCGAGTCTTGAAGCGACTTGTCTCACTCATCCTCACGTCAAAGATGTCGGAGTCGTCGGCGTCTATAGCGAAGGCCGCGCTTCAGAAGTGCGCTCTTTGTTGCTCGCTGCGCATCCGCTGACAGCAGCATGTAGTTCCCTCGAGCGTACATCGTTCCCTCTGACCCGACCGCGGCCGCGAAGAACGAAGCGGCATACAAAAAGGCAATACAGGATCACGTCACATCGCGTGTTCCGAAGCACTTCAGACTCGGCGGAGGCATCATCTTCATCGAAGAGATCCCCAAGTCGGCCTCTGGCAAGATCCTCAGACGCGTCTTACGCGAGCGAGTGAAGAAGGAGCCATACCAGGAGGAGGCAAGGCAGTCGAAACTATGAGCTACCCGTAATGTGGACAGACCTTCCAAAGGTACGAGACATAGGCAAGAGCGCAACGGTTCGGTATCATGCAGACACTGTGTATAGCAGCATCAGATGCAAGCGATTGGATCTTCATTTCCGCGGTCACAACGATAGCTTCACTCCTTCATCTGCCGAGTATCAGCCGTTCGACTGTTTGCGGGCTGTGAACGAAAGCCTACGGCGGCGCGATGTACGGCAGTGTCGTGCTGTCTACAGAGACCTGTGGAGCAGCTTGTGCGAGTGGTACACTCCAATTTTGTGCAGCGGAGACGACCATCTGCAGAGTCGATCATCGCTCGCGTTGTCCAGATAGCGATGTCCTTGAGCTGAAGTTCGATATTGTCTGGCATGGCGTCACGGCCGTCGATGATGTTGCACAGTGCACGATCCGTCAGACGATAGCCCTGAGCGGCTTCTAGGGTACAGCGAGACTTGCGCACGATGCGGCGAATGAGAGCTTTGGTGACCCAGGGCGATAGAGTGAAATGCAAGAGGCTCAATGGTACGCAGTCCTGTAGATCCGCAATCTTGATGGAAGGCCATAGCAGCTGTACATCTTCATCGTTCGAGTAGATCGTCCAAGGATGGTTTGCTGACCATCTAACGAGCTGATGGTACCTGTAGCGTATCACTGCAGACGTTTCATCAGTATGAAAGCAAGTGCAGAGGATTGTGCGCACGATGGGCGGCAGTCAAGACTTCGGCCAGGGTTGGAACGTGGCCAAGATCACGGCAAGCATCCTTTGTGACGAAGGCGTCGACCATCGTGGTCAGCTCGTCAGTGGCCCATGGTAGCCTGGCTGCGCCAGAGACCATAGAGCTGAGCCAGGCCGCGTAGGTAGTCAGTGCATCAATACGGTGAGGGGGATAGATCAGTCCGTCATGCTGAGCCGTTTCGCGTAGCATAGCAGCAGGAAGATCCTCCTCGCGTTTGTCCAAGTAGCTGATCTGTGGCGAGCGTTCCTCCGGCCAGTACACGGTAGGGTTGGTCGGTACCTGGGCGGGAGTATCTGCCAGGGGGTATGTCAAGTGAAGTAGGCCTTGTGTAGAGATTTCAGCGAGTATGTGTTCCTCGCGACGTCGTTGAGCAGTCCGTGCAGCGTCTTTGGCTGCTCGCATTGACTTGTGAACCGACTCGGCTCGCATACTGCTATTCAATTGATGAGATGAAAAGAAGGATGATGCTATGCATGACGAAAAGCAGAGCGTCGAAGCTCGTAAGCGCGTCGAAGGCGACACAATCTTTAGCTGCCGTGCGATCAAACATTGTCATGGCTTCGACGCGGCCGACGGTAGTAGGCGCGAATCACTCGGCGCGGCGCATCTATGAGCTGCGCAGAAGACACTGCAGCCCCCATGTGAAGTTGACGGCGACGAGCTTCCGCTAACAACGGCTGCACGAACAGCTGAAAAAGGCGTTTGTAGATGCTATGACTGGTCCAGTGACATGCAGCCATCTCACGACAGGGAGCAGAGATGTGGCGCAATGACGAGGAAAGGTCTTTGAAGTGGATGGAATAAGCTCATAGGCTGCTGACCGAGACAGGCATGTCGTCTTCGACGGAGGCAACCCGCTAAGCGCAAGCGCGTCATTGAAAATCCGCGTCATCCTCAAGCTCCCGGACCCCGTTCAGCAGTGCCACAAAGCTTATAAGAGTCATGCGTTGGGTGCCCCTCGAGTGCGCATCAGCTCACTGTACTCGCACGACTCTAATCTGGTCGCAGAGCGAATCCAGATGTCATGAATGCCGTCAGCAGTCGTGCGATGTCCTCAAACAGAGCTGATGGATCCATCTCAAGTGGTGCGCCAAGCTCGGCCTCGACACCAGCAGAGCCAGCTTCTGTGACATCTATGGCCTCGATCCAGATCTTCTGTGCGCCCTGTCTTGCTGCTGAAGATTGCCTGCTGAGGAACAATCCGCTTAGAGCTATGGTGCCCCAGCCTGTCTATGCTGTCCTCTTGCTCTTCCCGGTGACAGATGCCTACGAGAAGCACAGAGAGGAAGAGCGTGTTGCCACCAAACATCAAGATGAGGCAGTCAGCCATGCGATATACTTTAAGCAGACTGTCCGTCTCCCAGCTGACGCGCTGCCCTTGCGCCGTCTAAGATCATGAGCAGATTGGCAACGCTTGCGGCACCATGGGCTTGCTACACGGGCTAGCCAATTCCGATGCTCCTATAGGATCAGACACGCCACTGCGACGTCTGTTCGAACGATGCACAGACGCTACGCCCCTAGAGCGCGCAAAGCTACTAGAGCACGATAGCGAGCTCGAAGCTGCGCACAGGCAAGCAGCACAGGGTTCATGCAGACGGTGACTGCTGACATCGGAGTGCCCGTAGCGAGACTGCACAGACAGGCCAGACGGCCGCGCCCGATGCGGATGCAAAGGTAGATCTTCATTTCGTCGCGTTTGTCGCCGTCAGAGGCCGGCTGCTCGAGCTGGATGGCCGCAAAGATTCACCGATCGATCACGGCCCGGTCAGCTCGCTACTGACCGATACAGCCAAAGTCATCACAGACAAATTCTTGCGATTCGCGGGCGATTCGTTGCAGTTCAGTTTGATGGCACTTGCAGGCACAAACGACGAGTGAATTTGATGTTGTACAAATGTCACCTTGCTCAAGCTGCTACAGTAATGCGGTTATGCTGCTTTGGGTTTCGGCTCAAGGCTGTCTAATTGCGGTTGCTCTCGTGTGGGTAGCGGCCAGCGTCCCAGGCTGTAGTTGGCCCGAATGACGAGCAGATCGAGCGCCATGGCTATGCTATCCCTCGCCAGTTGCATCTTGCTCCCGTCTACCTCTTTCCACCTTATCGCGACTTCCGATGTTGGCGCATCGATAAAGGTAGCAATGAGTATCAATTCTATATCGAAGATCCAGCCCTCCTGTCGTAGACACCGCGGTCAAGTCAGGCCGGACGAGTTCTAGCTAGCTGGTACGCACGACATGCATGTTCGTAAAGACGATGGACGCGGTCGGACGCGTGAGCAGCTTGAAGCCGCACTGGGTGTCCTTGACGGTCGAGATGCCCATGATATGCAAGTAGGCATGGAAGCAGCGCATGAGAATGTTGCGCAATGCCGATCTCTGCTTGCAGTCACTCAGCTCGAGTCACTCAGCTGTCCGATTGACTCGCCTGAACGACTGCCGGAGTCTTGACCATGTGAGCGCGACTGCCCAGTACGAGTCCATAACCTTCTTTCTCTATCCTGTCCATCTCTTTGTCCAGCAAGTCTAGATCCTCAAATTGGCTTGCACCATCCGCATCCACAAAGAGCAACCTCTTTCCCCTCGCAAACTTCATCCCATGCGTCACTGCTCCCCCTTTGCCTCTGTTCCTGTCTAGCTGCACGACCCTGATCGTCTTGCCGCCCGAGTCCTGTCGCTTTGCTGCATACTCGAGCACGACGGCGCAAGTGGAATCCGTCGAGCCATCATCGACGACGATGACTTCATAACCACGCGAATGTCGCCGCCTTTGGGGAGGTGACTCGAGATAATCCAGTGCCTCCTGCAACATCTGTTGTATCCGCTTGGCCTCGTTGTATGCAGGCACGATGACGCTGAGCGATAGTGTGGCTGGATCCGCGAGGCTGGATTCAAAGGGTTGCCTTTCTTCTCTCGTTTCCGTGAAACTCGTTGATTTGACCAGTCGTGAGCCAGAAGGACTGCGCTTGCGGGTAGTGTGAATTGAGCAGAAAGTTCTTTCTCGAGCTGTCATGGCACGAGGTCGTGGTGTGAACCATTGCAGGACCATAGCCGCTACGCCAGCCTACATACCCCAGAGTTGGTCAGCGCTGCTCTGTGCTGCATTGCAGCCATCACAGCCTTGCTCGACTGACCAGGAGGATTCCGAAAGCACTCGGCAGCCATACAAGGAGGGGCTGCATCTACACCGAGCCGATCAGGAGATGATGCAGGTGGGAGCCACTGTGGCCGACCTGTCGTCGTTATGTGACGCGATCGGCTGATCTGATCGAGCTTGAAAGCCTTTCTGCATGCTCATGATCACGATGACACGAGACAGACGGAAGACAAGAGAAAAGGGTCATGCAATGACAAGCAGTCTACGCCGTCTACTTGGCAGACTTGGGCTTGCAATCGTCTTGCCCCAGAGTCTTGACGAAGAGCGCGTTCTTGGCTTCGGCGCCGTAGGTGACGCCCTCTTCTTCTATCTTGCTGCAGGCTATTGCCAGTTTCGATCCATCCACGTTGAACGCAAGCGCAGAGATCGAAGCTGGATACCGTTGAAACTGCCGCAACCGTTTCTTGGCTGCCAGATCCCAGATATTGACGAGTGAGTCCCCGCCGCCAGTCGCAAAGGTGCCATGTCTGCCAACCAGTCATGAGTGAGGACCAAAAAAGAGGAGACGTCTGCGAGTCTCACATCGGGTGGAATGTCAGCGCATTGACAGGGAAGACGGTATCGATGTCGTCAATGACAGCTCGGTGCGCTTTGAAAGCATACGGCTTGTTGTCAGCACCCTCCAAGAAATCGACAGCTATCCTTCCTTCGATTGAAGTCGTTGCATAGCCTAGTGTCAACCCTCAGCGCCAGCTTCGATAGCAACAGACGGTCAGATTACCTGTTCCCGCGGGACTGAGTCTGACGGCACGGGTCATATACTTCAGGCTGGATTCGCGCGTTTGCAGAGGCTCCACAACGCCCTTGGCGAGCGATGCGAGGTCGTAAATGATCACGTGTCGATGAGCAGTCGCTACGATCGCGTGACGGCTGTCGAGATCGAGCGAGAAAGCTTTGGAGGGTAGATTGCAGATGAGCGTGGCTGATCCTGTTGCTTGACGTGGGTCCCAGACACGCAGAGTGCTGTCCCAAGAAGCTGTCACGAGTGCATCTGCAAGGATGTACGGCGTCAAGCGTTTGGTAGCTCACAAGCGGGAGACCTCACTGAGTTTGTCTGACCAGCGGACGCATTTGACGCCAGCACTGTGATTGCCTAGGATGGTTTGACTCGACGTCGATGGGTCGATCCTTCAGCGACGTCAGCATCGGACAGCACATATCGCCTTCTACATACTGTCTGACCGCCTTGTCCAACCCGCCAGAGTAGATCTTGCCCGTACCGTCAAAGGAGACATCGAGGACAGGCGCGCGGTGGGCAAACGTAGACTGCAGCGACTCGCTACTTGCTAGGCTGGTGTTGTACAGCTTGACCGTCTGGAGAGCCTCGAAGAGATCAGTCCTGGGCTTCACCGAGGCTCGTGGGGACTGACAGAGTCCCATTCTGCGGTCGCGAGGAGGTCTTTGTCTGTCGGATGGAAAGCGAGTGCTGCTATCGCATCGGCTGGCATTGTAAGCTCTGCTCGGGAGAGGCCTTCATGGATCAGCGCACTGTGCAGGCAGCAGAGCTCGCTGCTTGCCTATGTCTTGTGACATTTCTCCTGCACCAACAGCAAGAGACGCGCGCTGTTCGACGTTCGACGTGCGACCGCTCTGATCCCACGACCACCTGGCCTCGTCTCAGGATGGGTCAGACCTCATCTGGCGTCAAGATCACGCCGCAAGACCGAGCGATACTCGAGTGCGCAACCGCCCGTCCGACCTCTCTGACCCTATCTCATATGCCGCGCACAGTCTCAAGCTACAACGAGACAAGCTCAAACGATACCAAGTCAAGGCAGGCTGCCTGTCTCATCTGACCTGCGTCATCTCAATTCCGGTGAGTGTAGATCGAGAGCATCCTCCAGCGAGAGAAGGAGATCGCAAGGGAGGCGTTGCAGAATGGCAACAAGTCTCGCGCTTTGCTCGCTTTGCGCAGACGAAAGTACCAAGAGGGTCTGCTGGGCAAGACAGACGAACAGCTCTCCACCCTGCAGCAGCTCGTTCGTCACTCTCGCTCGCGTCTTGATCGCTCTGAGACCGTCACTCTGACGAGCAGGTCTCGAGCATCGAATACAGCCTGATCGAGAAATCCGTCCTGTTCGGCTTGGAGCAAGGCAATGCCGTGCTCAAGGAGATCCACAAAGAGATGAACATCGAGAGCGTCGAGAAGCTCATGGGCGAGACAGCAGACGCGATTGCCTACCAAAACGTGAGCAAATCACTCGCGAGTATACACATCGTTTCGTTAACTCCCTCCTGCGACAGGAGATTGACGAGATGCTCAGCTCGACTATGTCGGCTGCAGATGAAGAGGCGGTCCAGGCTGAGCTGGCCGCTCTCCAGGCAGAGCAGGCGGGTCTCCTGATGCTATCGTGTGCCGATCTCAGCGAGACTGACGAGCGGATGCAGATCGGTCAAGCAGCGCCTGCCTTGCCAAGCGCGCCGCAGGGAGAACTCAGACGCCCAATCGAGCTGCCCGGAGTGCCCACTGCCGTTCCTGCCGAGGTGCAAGGCGCGTTGGATTCTGCACTCAGCATCGAGCTTGCTAATGCGACATCAGACCTTGCAGAGCAGCCTGCAAATGAGCGGAGACAAGCGCTTGCCGCATGATGTCCATTGTACACTGTCTAGACCATCTCATTGTTGTCACAACACTGCAAGTCTGCTGCACATTTTTGCTTGTCAGTCTGCGTTCAGTCTGGCACTTCTTTCGGCTTGACGATGCCGTTTCCCAGCTTGTAGTATACCGTCGTGGAGTCTGAATCGGCGATAGAGACTAAAATCGATTCTTCTCTCGACGGCAATGCAGCAAAGACGCCCTGCAATCTGTTCACATCGCGTGAGTGCTGCGGCCAATCTCCCGAGCTTTGCCATTCTTACGTTTGCATATGCGTTGGCGTCGTCAAGACCATGGGTAGCACGATCTTCTCTTCTATTGCTCCGTTCTGTTTCATGCTCGTGTTCAGCGTGAGATCGCACGAGTTCGGCCGACTGACTTGAGCTTTCGCTTTCCCTTTGAGCACGCACAGATCAGTTCCAGCGAGCTCGAGCACGCGTAGGTCTCTCCACCCTTGCGCTGTCAATGTCACCGCCGAGCGTCAGCATGTCGAGAGACAGGCAGAACGCCGGCTGACAATGTGTCAAGTCTGCGAAAGTCTGGAAGAGCGCGGCTGCCTGTGCTGGATGTCGTCGGCAGGCGGCTGCGACGGCCTCAAACTGTGCTCTTGTCGTTCAGTGTAGCTCGGCGAACAGAGGTTTGGGACAGACAGAGGGATGCTGGCGTGCCGTCGTTGCCGTCATGACAGCAGACGAGGCCGACGAGCAGTCCATCGCGTCATCGCATGCATCGCAACGTGACATGCGCCCGGCGGCCCACGACATGGACGGCTCAGCACGCTATGCCATACTGAAACGACTCAAACGCATCGCTTCCACGCCCGAGGCAGTACTCGAGCAATGTGGCTATCCCGCTTTCATCGCACACTTGCCCCGAGAGCCCTCGAGCAGTCGACCACGAAAGCGAGCTAGAATGAGTCCAGAGCGAGAGCCGATAGCCTCTACCGATGATCTACTGACCCCATCTGAGCTCGAGACTGCATCGGAAGATCCTGTCGGCCGTCGTACAAGGCCAAAGACGGCTTCCTCTGACGAAGCGCGTCAGGCGGATTCAGTACTGGCCGACGAAAAGGCAAGCGAAGCGGAGCACCTCGCTCGGATAGAGTCTCAAGACCCGTGGAACGATGACAAGCCTGACAATCCTTGGGGGTTTCCAGAGAGGATCGTGCAAGAGCATCCTGCGCTCCGTCTGAGAAACTTCTTTGTACTTCAGCAGCATCACGCAACAGCAAAGCATTTCGATCTGCGACTGCAGAGCCAGTACATACGCGACGGTGTGGGGCCTTGTACACTATCGTTCGCCCTACCAAAGGGATTCGAGGGGTTCAGGCCGGATAAGCCCGCACCTGTTCGCATGGCAGTCGAAACGCATCTCCATCCAATCGATTACACGACTTATGAAGGCGCGTCTCGCAAGCACCAAGATATTTCTCCTATCTGAATGCAGCTCGATCGTATAGGCGTCTCCGTCGGAACCACCATCGTCTGCGATATCGGCAGCTATACCATGAGATCTTCATATGCGGCGCTCAGACGAGGAGAAGATCAGGATGCCGATACGCAAGACGAAATCGGTCGGCCCGGCTCGGCAGATGAGGAGGCTCTCGCGCAACAGTACCGCAATAGTAAGACGGCGAACTTCGCTCGCGTCCTTGTGCTGACCGTCAGGCAGGATCCATCACCGTTGAACTGAAAGGACGTCATCATCATTTCATTGTCAATCTCAAGCTGTCAGACAACAATACAAAATACACCAAGCCCAAGGGATCCAAGCCTGGCGTGACAGAAGTCAAGCGAAGCTGGCTCTTGCAAGTTCGACATCCTCGAAAACACAGAAACGTTCCGTTCAGATCGCCATACGCTGTGTGGCCGTCCAACTCGGATGACTTTACTTCACTCTTTACCGGAAAGACGATCGCTCAAGTCAAGGCGGAATATGAGGCATCGCTCCTCAGATCAACACTGAAGGAGAAAGAGGATCGCGCACGGAAAGTCGAGCGCGACAGAGCCTTGAAGCCTCTGACGAGGCAGCTGTTGCATTGAACATGACGATCAAGACTTCACGAGGGAAAGCCATAAGTAGGCGTTTGAGGCAGCACACGAGGTTCCTTGGGCTTGTTCATCTCGGCCTTTGCACGTCGTTTCGCTCTGGCTTCTGCAGCCGCCTCAAGCGCGAATTGGTTGACCGAATCAGGAATCGGAGCCCCAGCAGATGCGAAAGTGCCTGGGGCGATTGGATCAGGCTGTGAGACTCTGATGTCTTCCTGTTGCCCCAAGCCGGCCAATGCACCTTCTGTAAGGCGAACGAAATGTGCAGCCATGGGTCCTGAGAGATGCTTCAGGATCTCTTGGTTGAGTCGTTGAGGGTCCTCATCCCAGCTAGATTGACTAGGGACGTCGACATTGGCAGGCTCAAGTACGGCCTGCTGCACCTCGTCGATCGGTTCTGCCGGAATGGCAGAAGTGGAAGCGATTGGCTCTGCACCAATATCGGTCGTCGTCGTGGACAAGGCCTGCTGCATTGCTTGGACCGTTCGCTCAGCCTCGGCGTCATCGTCAGAATTGATGATGTCCCCCGCACTCTCTTGCTTCTCATCATCGCTGTCGACCAGAACGGTACTGTTGGCTTGTCGAAAGGCTTTCTCGGCTTTGCGCTTGTTGAGTCTTAGCCAGAGATCGAAATCCCATGCTTTGATCTGTTCGTCCGAGGCGATGGGAAAGTGACCATGAGTAAGATGATAGCGCAGGCCAGCGATCTGCTTGTAGGCTTTGCCTTTCATGCAATACGGATGAGGGCAATAGTACCTCGCCCGCCGTAGATCTTTGACAAACTCGTCCTCTCGTGTCGCGCCGATCGAGTCTCCGTCGACGTGGCCCTCTTCGGTGACTGTAGTGGTGCAGTGCGTCTGCAGACCGCCAACTTGTTTCCATGCTTTGCCGCAATTGGGCAAGGTACACCTGAACGGTCGCGATGGTACGCCCGGGTCTCGATTGCAGTTGTGAGCTAGTCGCATGTGCTTTGTCAGCTCTGCACTGGTCGAATAGGCGATCTCTTCGCAGCCCAGATGGGCGCAGCCATAAGGCTTGACTTTGTCGCCGCCTGGGCGCAGCTAGCGCCTCAGCCATGCGCAAAGGATGGCGGGCTGTACTCACCTGGCGCATACCTGTTGATCCGTACACCGCGAGGGTTGGCGAGACTCCTCGGTTTGAGACCGCTGCTGACGAGCTCAGGCTTTGGCGGATCAATGTCAAAGGGAACGCTAAGGAGGCCCTGATCGTGATGCTGGTCATACTGTTGCTGCTGCTGTCTCGTCACAGCCGTTGCTGCTCTGATGATCTGGGAGGTCAGGTTGCGTCCCTCCTGATCGTCCGCTGTCTGGAAGAGTGACTGGACATCCTCGAGTGACGGGTCGAGGACGATAGATTGTCTCGCATCGATCTCTTCCTGGGACAGCTGTTTGGGATAGCTCGTTCGGCCACTGAGAAAGTTGGGGTTGTTCGCGAGAGATTCGTCGAACGCTCTGCCGAGGTCGAACGCTGTCGGTATCGTTCCTGACATCTTTTGATCGACTTTGCCTTCGATGCCAGCGTTTGCAGAGTTTTTAACTGAAACAGCTTTCCGCCCGTGCCGACACGCGCGTCGATCATCCCAGTCCGACCGGCCGACGTCGTGAGTGCTCGGCCAATGGCTCAGCTCAGCCTCAATGATCCCGCCCTCGGACCTCCATATCAGTCAGTCATCGACGGTTCGTCAAGCTGGGTCGTGTACGGCTACGAGAAAGGCACAAACGACCTCAAAGTCCAAGCTGTCAGCGATGACGACACTGCCGAGCTGTCAGACTTTGTGGAGGAGTTCACCAACGGCCGAATGCTCTATGGTCTCATCAGAGTCACAGATCCTACGACCAAGCTCGTCAAGTTTGTGCTTGTCTGCTGGGTGACTCAGATCACCCCCCCCAAATGCGATACAGAGCTTAATCGGTTTGGCAGTGCGGCAACGGCGTGCCAGAGAGCAAGAAGGGTCTCTTTTCCACGCACAGCTCGACTGTCGCCAAGTTTCTGAGAGGCTACCATGTCCAGATCCAGGCTCGCTCCGAGGAAGACATCGAGCCAGATGTCATCATGAAGCGCGTCGCTCAGTCTGGAGGCAGCAAGTATGCAACCGCTACCAGCGAACCAGCGCCTGCGGCCCGTGCAGCTTTAGGCAGACCTACAGTATGTCTTTCGTTCGCACCACGAACATATCGCGAAATGAGACTCGAACGCAGACATCAGCCTATGTACCTATCGGTCGACCGGATATCGCCTCACTCAAAAGCCAGACACCTGTTCCGCCAGCACCCACGACGCCGAATCCACCAGCATCTAATTTCGCAAGCGTACCACCTCCAATGCCATCGTCTGCTTCAAGGCCGACCCCGAATATGGCTGCGCGGCCAAATCCTGCGCCTGCCGTTACTGGACGATTCAGCAGTCAGGCAGATGATACGGACTTTGTGCCAAAGGCTGCACCAGGATCGTCACCAGCACCGAGCATACCCGTCGCGCCGCGGCCTGCAGTCAGTGAGGACGCGTACATCATCACTGCCGCCTGACACTTGCATTTCAGGCACCTGCAAGCACATCCGCATCTGCACCGCGTGAAGATCGTCCGGGGGCTGTGGTACGTTATAGTGCCGTGTCTTTGTAACGGATCACGCTGACATAAGACTACTTGGAGGGCACGTCTTACACGCCAGTGACTCTTGGCAAACCAGGCAAGCTTGGGAACAGATATCCCTTCGGCGGTGGCGATCAACATCCAGATGCTTCTCGCTACAGCTCTGCTACGATCGCAGCACCAGCTGAGAAGAAGCTTACGTGGTCAGAAAGGCAAGCGCTCGCAAAGCAGCAAGACAATGATCAAGCTGCAACGGATGCCGAGGTCGCTTCTGCCGCCCACGCATTGCCCGCACCACCTGCGCCTGCCGCGCCGCCGGCACCGCCTGCTCCACCCTTGCCTGCGTCACGACCGACGTATAGGCAGGACGAGAATGACGACTTCGAGACGCCTTCCGCGCCTGCTGTCGTGCCTGCCTCCCAGACGATGAACCTCATAGAGGATGGCAGTCCGTCTGCTGCTATGCTACCCCCACCACCGCCTCCACCGCCGCCAGCTCCTCCTGCGCCACCCATGGCAGGTGCGATGCTAGGCGCATCCCTAGCAGATCAAATCGCAGATCGCGAGAAAGACGAAGCTGTGGACGAGCACGAAATGAACAAAGCCAAACTTTCTCAGCTTGCGCTTGATACCGACCAGATCGATGTCGCTGCTGCACAGAGCGTCAAAAGCCCCCTCGCACCTTCTGCACCGACGGCGACCGCGTTATACGATTACGACGCAGCAGAGGATAACGAGTTGACGTTCCGAGAAGGCGACCACATCACAGGTATCGAGGACCTTGGCGAAGGCTGGTTCACTGGCCATCTCGGCGGCGTTTCTGGCATGTTCCCGAGCAATTACGTCGAGCTGACGGAGGCTGCTACTGAGCCAGCAGCGCTAGAGCCTGTTGCAGAAAGCGTGAGCCTGGCAGACGAAGCTGGACCGCCTTTTGCGGTAGCTCAGTATGCTTACGACGCAGCGGAAGACAATGAGCTCACTTTCGACGAAGGCGATCGAGTGACGAACATCGAATTTACCGACGATTCTTGGTGGACTGGACGAGCGCACGGCAAGACCGGCCTGTTCCCTTGTATGTGTAGTGATCAATTCACGCAAGTCTCGAGACTGACATATGATTGATAGCTAATTACGTCCAGCTTGAAGAATAGGCCATTGTCGTACATTGCAAATGTACATCACAAAAGTAGTGTTACCACGCAAAAGCAGCATTCGTTGCGTTACATTGAGCCAATCCGTTGCATACCGCGAGATCTGCAGGTTCAGTGATCGAACGCCGTTCCAGTAAGGCCGTCCTCGTTGATAAACTGCTGAAAATCGAAAGTGCCATCGTCAAGATTGGCCGCACCCATGTTCGTCGACGGGTCTTGCCCTCCTTGAGTTTGAGGAAGATCGACACCTTCGAAGCCGGAATACTGTCCATCCCATGCTGACCGTTGCTGTTGTTGCTGTTGGGTATTATGTTGGCCGGTCGACATGCTCTGGAAGCGATCGTACTCTGCCGGAAGCCTTGGAATTGCTGGACCATTCGCATCGCCAACTTGACTCGCATGATCGTTCGGGAAGCCTCTCGAGATCTGGGCTGCATGTTGTTGAGCCGCCCCACTCTGCTGTTGTACATCTTCCATCTGTCGCTGCAGCTGCATTTGTTGTTGCTGGTAGATTGCCAGCTGAGGGTCGCTCGATAATTGATCGTCTTGACCTTGCCGCATATCGTCCGTCGCTGGCGAGGGATTGCCATAGCTGTCGATTTGATCGCGTATCAGTTGTTGAGCGTGGCTTATGGCTTCTTTGCGAGCTGCAACAGCATGACTATCTCCCATGTTGATACCCTGGCCCCTTTCTTCGATCATGCGCGAGCTCGCATTGACGCCGACTGATAGCGTATCAAGCGCTTTACGGTGGTCAGGCATACTCATACGTCCATGCTGCTATGCTAAATGAGCGACTCATGCTGCTTGCTGCGCTCGAGCGCTTACAGGTAAGGTAGCTTGTAAGCTAGCAGGACTCGTCTGATGTGGACTGGCTTGAATATGCGACGATCCAGGCGTCATCGCGATGTCAGACGAGGCACCGGGCGTAGCCGCACTGCCGTCGGGCCTTTCTATGCCCTTCTCGGAACGACCGGACTCAGACGATGGTTTTGCTCGTTTGCGGCCTTTCGGACTCTGGTTTGGCTTGACTTCCATGGTCGATCCACGCTTAGCAGGTGCCTTCTTGCCCGCTCCTGCGCCGGGTGTGACTGCTCGTGGACCGTTAGGAGGCATCATCGCGCCTGCATAGGGTGAGCCTGCTTGCGGACTTGGTGCGCCGGGTAGAGGGTTGCTGCGGTTCATCTGCATCTGAGGCGCAAATGGCTGGCCTGACATATTCCTGTAGCTGGCTCATCAGCGCATGCCGCCGCTCGTAAGGCGTTGGCGTACTGTGGCAAGAGATTAGGCTGCTGATATATAGGCGTTTGACCAAGCCGCTGAGCATTCATAGCCGCTTGCTGTTGATTCATGTACGTTTGCTGGTGCTGAGCATGCGCCGTCAACCGATGCGCATGATTTGTGACCATCATCTGTAAGCTCCGTGAGCTCCATCGCCGTTAAGTGACGCGAGTGAGAGCACTGACGCGATCATACGGAGCTAGGCGGTCGAAGCTCTGACCACCGAAGCCACACTCGACCATGCTTTGCTCCAGTGTAGGATGTATACCCTGTCTTGCGCCTTGTGCTTGCTGGCCAGCAGCGAGATTGAGCTGAGAGACCGGACCTGACGGCGGCGGCATCAAGCCTGGCCTCTGTTGCGATACCGACTGAGGAGTAGGCATCTGAGCAGCCGCCGGGCCGTTCCTGGTAGGCTGCTGGGGCTGTTGCATCCTCTGCTGATCCCTCTGCTGAGCTTCTTGCGCTTGTCTTTGGGCCATTGCCATGTGCTGCGCTCGCATCCTTGCCATCGTTACAGCCTGTGCTTGTTGGTACTGCTGCTGCTGTTGCTGTTGGGCCGCAGCGGCTTGCATCTGCTGGCGTTGCGCGGGCGTGTACATGCCGGGCGGTAGCGCCATTCCGTTTTGTTGAGGCGGTAGGCTGGGCTGTACCGCTTGTCCCTGGGCCGGCATAGGTTGCTGGCCTGCAAAAGGTGTCGAGGCAGGCGAGGCATTCGCAAACGGCATGTTGGGCGCGGCTTGAGCCTGTTGTTGCCGGGCCATCTGTTGCTGTTGCTGCCTGGCTTGTTGCGCTTGAACATACATATTGGCTGCGGGACTGCCTGCCAGGCCTGTTCGAGCCATGAAAATGTCCCAGAACACTGTCCACCATCTGCAGTGCCCGTCAGACTCACAGAACATCCCGATATGCTGGGGACATACTCGAAGAGCAAGCCTTGAGGGCTGTCGATGGGCACAGCTTGATTTGGGTCCACTCTGGCGTCTTGTGCGAATGCTTGGGCAGCATTGGCGAAATTGCGACGCCTGAGGTAATCGTAGATGTAGGCATTCAGCGTCCCTTCGCCATGCCATTCAAATTGTTGCCTCCCTGCGAGATCTTCCTCCTCATCCGTCTTGAGATCGTGTACAGCGTTCATCGGGACACGTGCTGGATCTCGTTGAGAACTGGCAGACCAGCTGTCATTGGCATTCTGCCCAGATAGAGAGGCAGTAGCCTTCATCATCCTTGGCGTAGCAAGCACTTCGCCCAGGTCTGCAGTGACAGTCGCAATCTGGGGTGATCGCAGGGAGGATGCATTGGAGTGCCGCCTGTCTGACGGCAAGTGGTCTTTTCGGTCGATAGGGGAGGTGACAAGATCGATCGTCTCTGATTTGGCGTGCGCATTCGCAAACGTGCTCGTTGTGGGAGAGAGGGAGGCCGTACGATTGGTGTGTAAGCCGCCTTGCGCATCCCGGTTTGACGGGCCAGGCTGACCGGAATGATTCGGTAGAGGACCTTGGGCGTGATTGCTGCCAGAGGACGCCTGAGCACCGGCTGACTGGCCGTTCATGGCGCTGACGCCGGACGAGCTGGCCTGCTTGGCCATGTTGTCACCCTGAGTGGAGCCACTGCGCTCGTCAGTGAGCGTGTCGGGGGACTGCACGATGTGAGCTGCCGTGTAGGCGTTGCCGTTCACGAGTGTGCTCGTCATTTCCCGCCCAATTGATCCTCCCTCCGCCTTTCCGGGTGCCCAAGGAAGACTCTCTTTCGAGCTGGAGCAAGAGACGAGTGGAAAGATGACGGCAGGCGTGCGAGGGACCGTGTGAATCTGACGCTAACGAGATCGAGAGCAAGTGCCAGCGCTTGGCGCTTTGCTAGCCCCGGACTGGCAAAGCCTGGCTTCTCTTGTGCAGCCAATTCGGTGAGCAGGCGTCGTCGCTGCGATGCTAGCAGGCCATGGCCCTCAGGAGCCTGGTGCCTCTGCCCGAGAGTCTGTCGTCGCCTTGCGCGCTAAGTAGCGTGAAGACGCCACCTCCCGCTCAGGTTTCCCCGTCGGTGTGCGGAGATCGACCACTGCGGCCGCCAGGCGATGTCGACTCGCCAGTCGGACAAGTTCATCGTCAGCAGTCGAGCGACGATCTGTACAGATGTCGACCTGCGAGGCGAGATCACCATCGGTCCCGGCACGGTCCTCCATCCTCGCGCGAGTATCCTAGGTTCGCCCGACACGAGCTTCTACAGCTATGCTCACCTCAATCGACGTGGTATCGCAGCGCTAGGTGGAGGAGCTATAGTGATAGGCAAAGGGAACATCATCGAAGAGAACGCAACCATTCTCAATCGGTGCGACACCCCTCTTCGCGAGCATTGGCGCGCCTGACAGAGACCCGATAGACGCAAGGAACCCATGATCATAGGCGACTACAACCACTTCGAAGTCGGCTGCCGTCAGTCTGTACGCGCGAATAGCGCAGTCGTGAGCTCATCCAGGTGGCCAGGCGTCGAGTGTCCCGTCGTTGGCAGCTCCAACACATTCGGAGGCAGGTGTCGTCTGACTGCTCAGACGAGCGTCACGGACCGCTGCACGATTGGCGCAGGCTGTCAGGTCGCTCCACAACCCTTCTTCGATAACATCGACGAGGCAGCAGACAGCAACAGCATCTATACAGAGACTCTGCCAAGTCAGACCGTCATCTATGGAAAGGACGCCATGCGACGCAAATGGACCGGCGTGGGCGCTGACCAGGCCCGCGCTCTGCACCTCAAACATCTCGAAGTCCTTCGTGAGATCTTGCCCCAGTATGGGCGAGTCAAGCAGGCAGCCGCAGCGGAATCCCGACCAGCATAGAGGCTACACTAAAAATGTCTGCATCTACTCGTACGCACAAGCTCACGTAAATACATCTCTGAATTAGCTGAAAAGTCTCTGTCTACCTGGTCGACAGCATCTAGATTGCCGTCTCAATGTTGTTGTCTACAGTGTGTAATCCATCACGTCCGACGTCTCTGAAACGCTTCTTCGTGATCGCGAGCCTCGACGTACAGGCGTCACACTTGCTGTCTGCACTTCGATCTCTTCCTCTGCAAAGAAGTCTGGCTCTCTCCATGCTTGTCGCTCTCTCCGATCTTCCTCTGCTTCTGAATCGTTTGAAAAGTCGATGCCGTCCAACCCTTCGTCTTCCGGCTCGCCGAGACGTCGTTTGAATTCCTTCACACGTTCGCGCAGCAGACCGATCGTATCGTCCCGCTTGGCCATGCGTCGGTGGAGCTTGATGATATACTCATTGGATTTGCGAAGCAAGGCGACCTTACTGATGCCTTTATTGGGATTGAGCGGATCGACGACGATGCCGCGCTGGCCGCCGACGTTGCCTTCGCCTGGCCTACGCAGTCCTTCAGCTGCATCCTCTTCGAGATCAGGCGCGATAGGCGGGAGCAGATATCGGAGCTCGTCAAAGCACGACTTGAGACTGTCTCTGCGTTTCTGTTCTGCAGCTTTGTGACTCGTCTTGCGGTTGTCCGGCAAAGGTGTCTTGCCGTTGTAATCGCTATCTTGCACTGCGAACCCTTTGAGCGTATAGATTGAGGAACAGAAGAGGCACTCACTGGATGCTTTCGAGCGGCTAGAACGCTTGGCTTTGGTCAGAGTCGTGACAGCAGACTTGGCGGGCTGCACTACCCGCCCGCTTGACGTCATGACAGGACCACTGTCGCTCGTAGCATTGACGCCTTTACGCCTGGGTTCGACGTCGAGCTGAGGGTTCAGACTTGGGCTTGCAGAAGCGGATTTCCGTCCAGTTCGGGTTCTCTTGGCAGGCACTGCCGATGTCTCAAACGGTATCAGGTTGTCGTCGTGGGTCGTAGATGCCGAGAAGACAGGCGAGTGCATGTGAGTCATCTGATTCGCAGAGAAGTTCATAATACTCGCAGGCGTAACGGGCGCCATGGCTGAACTGGACAGCGGCAGAGGCGGCGGCAGCATCGAGTCTGAGATCGTCACCTCTTTGGTGTGCTCGAGGTCAACAGGCGACGGCGTGTTGCTCCCGTCTGCGTGAGGCGGCGAGCTTGATGTGTCCGGTGTCGAGCGACCGTTGATGCTTGCATTGGATTGAGCGAGCAAGCTTGGCGACGAGGTGGAGCTACCGCCGCTCCTAGGCAGTAATGCGGGCGAGGCATTAGCAGAGAGCGTATTGCGAGCGCCTTTCTTCTTCGTCGAGACCCGCTTGACGGGATTCATCATAGGCGAAGGTCTTTCGCGAGGTTGCGAGCGAGAGGAACCGCGATTGTGTCCGTTGCCGGTCGATGTCGCGTTCGTTTGAGCGCCCGATGCAGAGCCAAAGTTCCCAAAAGCGCCCGGGTTCTGCAGAATGAAAGCATGGGCCTTGATGGCGGTCGAGATATCATTGGGTCCGAGACCCATTGCATTGGCCTGTTGGACGAGTTCACTCAAGCTGCTCAGGTTCGATGGGATCTGTCCGCCATCGTTAGGCTGCAGCGCCGGCGATGTGAGAGGCGAGAAGAACTCTGCCGGGCTGACGTGACTCGGCATCGGACCACTTGAGCCGACTTGCGAGAAGCTCGACATTGGCGTCATTGCGGGCGAGAGAAGCGGTGTGAAAAGAAGCTGCATCTATTATCAGGCGTCTGTGAGCAGATATGACGCTAATGCGTACCGATTCCTCGTCCCAGGGGTCCGATTCAGTTCTAAAGCCACTCGAGCTACCGTTACTCGCGCCTGGACCGATAGATGCCAGCATGTCGTGGTTGCTGAGACGTCCAGACCCAGTGCCGGTCTGCTGGTGTTGCTGCAAGAATTGTTGAAGGTCATCCATGTTGACAGGTACGTCGAGATCAAAGTTGAGCGCGGGTAAGCTGCCAGCAGAGCCATCAGAGGTCATGCGGACGTGGCCGGCAGTCGGCTGAAGGTATTTCGAATCCGGTCCAGCATGACTGTAAGACTGAGGCTGCGTCGTCATGTGAGCATAGTTGCTTGACGTTGTTGCATGCTGCGATGCGGCTTTCAGGCTTGCCGCAAGTGCAAGCGAAGCAGCAATGCTTGCAGAAGCCTGAGATTGAGTCTGCGGCTGCGAGCGACCGGATGGCGACTGTGTATGGTGCGAATAGCCACTCGGCAGTGCATGCTGGAGTGTGGCAGCGGCACCACTCGATTCAAAACGCCGGTGGCTGCCGCTCGAGAACGTCATCGAAGAGGCGGTGGCCGAGCCTTGAGATGCAGGACTCGGCGGACCAGATCTCATCTGATGCTCCTTTATGAGCTGATCCAAGATCGTCTGCGGCAAAGCTGGCTGCATCGATGGCGTCTTACTGTGCCCGCTTGCTGTTGGCTGTGCAGACCCATGAGAGGCGACCGTACCGAACGAGGGCGGTAGACGAGGTGAAGCGGTCTGACTCCTGCCAGTAGCTCTGTCTGAGCCGGAAAGCTGAGCAGACCCCGCAGGACCGGGTGAGGCGGCCATCGGCCAATGGAATCGCGCTGACTCATGCGAAGGTCCTGCAAGAGGGGTCGATGGCCCAACATCGACGGAGATCTGCCTGTGCATCGAGCCAGATGGATGCGATCGCGCAGAACTGACAGAGCCAGCAGGCGACGCGCCATCCTGGTACATGGCAGCGGGCGACTGGGCATCTAGACTGCTGGTGACGCTGCTGGACATATTGTTGAACGCGTTACTGAACGCTCTGCTCGAGCTGGGCGAAGGCGGCCTAGGATGATGCGGATTCGCGATGCCCGTCGGATAGGCTGACATGGATGGCTGAGTAGATTGTGATTGTTTGAGCATCGTACCAGCAGCTAAGGTGCTCGAGGCGACGACAGGAGCGCCTGGTGAAGTCACACTGCCCGCTTGAGCGCCCGCGAGACTCGCGCTCGACGTTGGTGAGGCAAAGTCGAGCGTCGACAGGAGATCCATCTCGCTCGTGAACATTGTGGGATCGCCCGGTGATGCCTCCATGCTCTCGCACCGCGCAGTACTCGACGATAGCTGACCGGATACTACCGCCTCGCGCAGATCATCTCCTTCCGACAGTCAGCTCGACCTCCTCGCTACCCGCTCGACCCAGTTGGCGTCCCTCGGCACGAACTTTTTCAGCCGGCTTGCCAAACAATTGACGCGTCCACTTGTCGATCCCGCTGAGCGGCCGAGCGACTGATGATGATGACACACGGCCATCCATAAGTGTGCTCGGTCCAGCTGCTTCGGATACAATGACGGCAGGACTGTGACGACAGTGATCTTGGGAGCAAACGCGGGCAGGACTGGCCCCGGACATTTGGCCGTCACCCTCACGACGGCGACCACGGGCTTAAGCTTTGTCGGGATTGACACTCAGCAGACCGGACTGGTAGCGCTCACGCAACCTCTGACAACCGTCATTCCGTCTGACAGCCCGTGTATCGAGCTCGTACCGGCAAGGGTGCAGACTCGGCGGGATGGACGCGCTGACGAGGGCGTTGCATCTGCCCAACTCCAAGCATGCCATCTTTGACTGCATCCTCACCATCCACGACCTCTCCAATGTCCCGCTCGTCGTGGGTGATTACCGTATCAAGTGGAAGTTTGAGCACTCTTATCTCTCGAGCTCGAGCGCCATACCGGCTCACTTGCAACATCACCTCCACCAATCAGCTCCGGGCAAAGAGCTCACGAAGCGACAGCACAAGCCCGAAGATCACAGTCAGGCTCAGACGGATGATCCACCTGCTTCAGAAGAGAAGCGAGATGGACCTCAAAGCGCGTTTCTGCATCCACTGTCGGCTTTGCGCTCCTCTCAGAACAGTCAGCACTCGCCTTTGGCGAACGGCAAAGTCATCACGATCGACAAAGCCTACGAGGAGCGGCCTCGGGGCAGGCAGAGATCAGATTCCGATCCTTCTGCATCTGCAGGCAGCAACGCGAGTCACTCTCGAGCCAGAACAGTCAGGATGGATCATTCGCTCGCACGAGAGGACAGTAACACGACCGTGCAGAGTCCATCGGAAGGGCATCCCACAGCTGCAAAGAGCGAAAGCAAGCCCAAGCCGCCAATGCTGATGGTCAGCACAACGACGACCCGTACGTCCGATAAGACCCAAGTCGAGCAGAGCAATGTCGACACATCACCCTCGACGAGCGCGCTCATAGGTTTACGAGATGCGACTGGCAAGGAGCTGCACGATAAACCAGATAGCCCTCCGCGATGGAAGGTCGATCCCGACACCATAAAGCTGTCGAGTGCCGTCGCCGAGCCAAAAGGCACTACTTCCCTGCGACCGCTCAAAAATCATTCCGTCTCCTTCGACAAGAAGATCAGGTGCCCCGTCTCGATGCCAGTCTCTTCAAAGACGTCTGAGCTCCAACCTTGCTTGCTGAAGCTGTCGATCAAGCAGAAGATGCACACCGATTCGAGCAGACTCGAGGAGAACAAGGTTGGCGAGCTTCGCATCGACCTCGCCAATTTCGTGGAGACGACACTGGCTGGACTCAGCGGAGGCATGAAGCGTTCTGCTTCAAACATAGGCCGAATGGCGTCCCACGCTTCTTTGCGAAGCTTGCGCGATCAGCAGCGCGCAGTGTCAAATGGCCATACCGGACAGCGCATGGAAGTCGGCAAGACGACCTCGAAGCGATTCCTGCTCAGGAAGAGCAAGACCAATGCGCTGCTCAAAGTCAGCTTGGAATTGGTCTTTATCGCTGGAGAGCGGAGCTTTCAGCCGTGGGTCTACCTCATCCTTCGTCTATAGAGCCAAGCTGAACATGACACCAGGCCTGGATCTGTACAACATAGAGAGACTGCGGAAGCACGATCTCGAGCCGCGAGCTTTACGCCATCTGCTCGCAATAGAAGCTCGGCATCGATCCGATCTGGTCATTCTGGGCACCACTCGCCCAACAAGGCGAGGAGCTTCACGACACCCAAGAAAGCAGGATCGAAGTCAAGCAGTAGCGGCAAGAGGACCTCGCCAGCCTCTTCTGGCGTCTCTACGCCAGCCACTTCGCCTGTCAAGTCGAATCACAGCGACGGACATGGCAATAGACTCCGCTTACCCGGACAGCATACTCAGCCGTCACCGACAGCAAGAGACTTGCGACTCGGTCTCACGCCTCATAGCACCCGCCGACGTAATGCTCTCAACGTTATTGACAATCTACTTAATCACAAACTCGATAAGCTAGACACATCATCCCGGAGCAGCATGGATTCGCCCGTATCCGTAGATCTCGTACCTACAGGCGTCAACCGACCTCAGGCACCGATGCCACAAAGGACGCCATCACAGCAGAGCAACATGAGCCATATGGACAAGGCTCGAATGGCCATTGGGTTGAAGCCCAAAGCCTCTTCCTCTCAACTCAGTGTATCGAATATCAGCGTCAAGTCAAGCGCCTCGAAGACGTCGCACAAGGTGTCGAAGGACAGCTCGCGTGCTACCAACGCCAGCAAGACAGACCGTGGGCAGTCACTGGGCGTCAAATGGCAGCCCCAAGTCACGCCTGCATGACGCGCTTTTTGTTGTAATTGATGATACCATTTGCTTGCTGTCCACGCTCCTAGCGGGGCTCCCTCATGAAGCGTGCAGTCTCCGATATGGCAGCATCATCGACCAGCAGGTGTTCGACAAGGCGAGTGGGTTGCAAGTCTGATTCGCTTGCCTGACATACCTTTAGGCCATTGACGACAGAGACAGTCACAAAGACGCCGAAATGGCAACAGCTTCGCATACCGTCTCGTCCGGAGCCAATCGCAGGCTCAAGTGCCGACCTCCTGCGCGCAGATGAGCTCTCCTCTCGTCTGTCCCAGCTCTCTGTACAGCCTGCGCCGACAAAGCCGCCCGTTCGTCAGTTTCGTCCTCGACCGAAACCAACTCAAGCCTACTTGGACAAGGCATCGAAAAGTAGCGCACATATAGCTGACAGAGCCTTTCCACCCTTACTTGTCGTCGATCTGAACGAGACGCTTTGCTGCCGAGCGGGCCGGAGACCAGGTGACGCTACTCGACCCGCCCTACGGCCATATCTCTCCTCACTCCTGCCGTATCTCTTCGGAAAGGGGGAGGACGGTCTCCCTCGGTGGTCCGTAATTGTCTGGTCATCGGCCACCCAGAAGAACGTCGACAGGCTCGTCGTCGCTTTGGACCTGAACACGGATGATACCAGGCTGGAAGCAGTCTGGGCTCGGGACAAGATGGGTCTGACCGACAAAGAATACGCCAACAAATGCCAAACTTACAAGAATCTTGATCTACTATGGTCTCAAGTGGCACCTACAAGGCCGTCCGATCCAGATGCTCGATGGGACCAGACGAACACTGTTCTCATAGATGATGACCTGATCAAGGCATCCTGCCAACCGCACAATCTGATCCAAATACCTCCATTCAACCCATTCGAGCCTCTGTCAGATTTGACAGGACCGCCTTCGAGGCACACGCGCCACAAGACGTCTGCGCGCGTGATCGACGCAGATACAGCTCTGCTGCAGCTCATTGGCGTCTTGGAAGACCTGCGTCTAGAGTCCAACTTTTCCGCATACATCAGAACGGGCAGATTCGAATCTTACGGCACGCCTGCAGGAGAGACAGTCTGGCTCGCTCGCGGCAAAGAAGTTTGTGCCAAGTATGCAATACCGCTGATCAAATAAGAAAAGCCTCAGATCGCGCGCCTGTATAGATTGCATTCGCGCGTCTTGATCATGCGTCGGTCAGCGCTGTTGCTTTCGTCCGCCTTCTCTTGATAGGTGTCGAAGGAGCAGAGACGACCTGGATGCTACTCAGACTCTTCTCGAGATCCGACAGATAGGCAGGACTGTCCGGCATGCGGAAAACGCCAGGCGTGCTCTCCAGTATTTCGAGCGAAATTTCGTCGCCTAGTGCGCGCTCATCGCTGTCTGACGAAAGCGGCGAAGGCAGAGCAGCCTTTGCTTTGGCCGTTCTCGGCGTTCCTGGCTTCGTCTTTACAGCCTGATCGGCGTCGCTGTCTGATAAGATAGGCAAAGGCAGTGTCGCTTTCATCTTCGTTCTTGCAGGCGATCTCGATCTGCTCTTTGTGGTTGGCTCGGCTTCTGCATCTGATGCTGCCGGCGAAGCGAGTATTTGTCTCGCTCTGGCCTTATTGGGACTGGCTGTACTGCTGCGCTGGCGTGATTTCCGACCCGCAGTGCTTGCAGTCGGCTCCTTGGCCTTGCGCTTCCTCTTTCTCGGACTTTCAGTCTCTTCGTCTTCTGCGACTTCTTTGGCTTTTGATTTAGCTCGTGTGCGTTTCTCTTTAGGTGGTCCATCTCTTCGCCGGTAGCAGCCACGGATCAGGTCGATCCAACGAAGCGAATTCTTGCACGTCGGACACACGCCATTCATCGGTAAGAGCGGCTGAGCCAAGGAAGTGTCTGGCGGACTCTCGGCTAGCAGACGTTCTGCGAGACAGGTGAGGTGATATAGCGCGGTGCATCCTTCGCTCGTGCATATTACAGTGTCCAGATGTTGCTGTGTTCATGTTCAGCTCTGATTAGCAGCCAGCGGCAAAGCAAAGCTTACTTCTTTGTCCAATTGCTTACTGCAAAGCTGACAGACAGCGATGGGCTGCGCTTCGATGAGACTCGCCCATTTGCGCCAATGCAGTTCGGCAAAATCTTTGTCAGAGGCATCAATGGGGCCTATGCCGGGCTCCTGTAAGACTGCCTCGATGGGGGTCACGGAACGCGATCGTGCTGGAGAGCGCGCTATCGTTTTCCTCGGTGGAGCAGATTCACGCTCTATGCGTCGTCCATCAACACCTTCGAAGCGTTCGACAACATTGACGTGATCGACTGAAATCGGTATCGAGGTATCTGGTAGGAGCGTTTCATCAACAGCTTCTTTGGCCTTGCCTTTTCGCTTGGAAGGCGAGGTAAGTGCGGTGGTGGTAGACAGACCGCGCCAAAGCTGACTAGCAAATGGGCTGAAGACGGTCACGGCAAGCCCCATGACTTTCCAAGGCTTCGAAGTCAACATGGCCTTGAGTACGCTAACCTTTCTGTCTGGCTTGTTGCGACTACGATCGTCCGGGAAACGAGCTTGTGGTCTGCCAGAGGTGGGACTCAGGTACCGCAGATGGCGTGACTGACCTGGTTTTTGCCATGCCCATTCAAATTGTAGCGCAGACAACTTCGAAGGGAAGCCGTGTACAATCATCTCCATCTCCCATGGACGGCCAAAGCGAGTCTTCCATGCGCCTGCAGTCAGATCGCCATTATGCTGCCTTATCCGACGCGGAGGGTCGGGCGTCGAGCCGATATAAGTTCTGTTCGAATACTTATCGTTTCGCTTTGAGCGCAAGAGGTAGCATGCATAGAAGCGGGGAATTGTGTGAGCTCCCTCGAGCAGGGTCGAGCGAGAGATGACGGGGATCATGCCAGAAGGCATGGCAGCCTCCTCTTCCGCTTCGTCCAGTCCATCATCGAACACAAGCGGACTTGACGAAGGCGGCGCACGTTGCGTCAGGAAAGGCAGCTCCGGCAGCGACGAGTCTGACGATATGTCGAGCAATTCGGCCATTAGGGCCAATGACCGCACAGATCAGCAACGTCACGCTTCCATGAGCGCGATCGAATATCGACGCGTCCCGACGATGAAAGGCGCGCCGCGAACTGCGCATCCCTCTCGCACTGACCACACTACTTTTTGGGCTATACTTGGCGTCTTTTTGGAACGCACAGACAACGCAGAAGGACGGCAAACGTCTGCAGGCAGGCGGACCCGCTCGCACTACTTGACACACACATCGTTCGCACGGAAAGCATCACATCACACACACGCACAAGTCAGGCACAATGGCACACAGCATACACTCATTCGGACTCACGGCGCTTCTCCTGAGCGCGCATTGCATCTCGTCTACTTCCGCCTTGATCGCCTCGCCTGTCTCGAGCGATCAGCTTTCGCTCGCTCAGGCACACGCCGCCCCTCCTGCAAGCAGACTCAGTAGGAAAGCTCGTCATGCCCACATCGGCCAGTCGATCGGGACTGGGCAGAGCGACTCCGAACAATACTATATGGCAAAGCTGAGGGCACGCCATCCTCTTGTTTCTGCTGCAGTTCTGCAGCCAATGCCAGCGCTGCACAAGCGTCAGCATGCAACGACAACAAAAAGGAAAAAATCTGCAAAGACAAGCGCGGCAAGCAGTGCTGCTGCAGTGCCTAGCGCGACAAGTGGCACGGCTAGCGGTAGCACGACGGTGCTCGTAGCTGCGACGGGCACAACAGTCGCACTACAAGGCACGCTGCCAACAGCAGGCGCGACACCGACAGGGCTCGGCTCAAATGCACCTGCGCTTCCTGCAGGTCCGTGTGATGCGTCATCTCCAGACACGAACCGATGCTGATGAAGGGCGCAGTGACGATCGTACCCTCGCAATGGCCAGCGCTCGACGTCTTGCCAAGCCTCAATTCGACCCAAGTCCAGGGTTGGCTTGCGGAAATTGATTTCACAAAAGTACCCAACATTGCTCCGAACGGTATCGGCGGCTGTGCCAACACGAGCTACAATGCGCAAGCCATCGCGAATGCCGGCAGTTCGGGAAATTGCTGGTGGACCTGCGGCGGATGTACTCGAGCCGAAGTCAGTTCTGCGCTCATAGTCGCGGGCCCTTGCTAACGCGTCCGATGCAGGATGAAACTGCATGTGATAACAAGGGCGATTGGGGACTTTCGTATGACGATGGTCCAAGCCCTTATACCCCCAAGCTGCTCAATTTTCTCGATGCCAACAAGATCAAATCGACTTTCTTTGTCGTTGGCAGTCGTGCGATCAGTCGACCCGAATTGCTGCAATACGAGCATATGGACTCGCATCAGCTCAGTGTACACACCTGGTCCCATCCGCCTCTCACTACGCTGTCCAACGAAGGCATCGTCGCCGAGCTGGGCTGGTCAAGGCAAGCGATCAAAGAGATTACAGGCGTCAGTCCCAACACGATGCGACCACCCTACGGCGACATTGATGACCGCGTACGAGCTATAGCGTCACAGATGGGCATGACGCCCATCATCTGGACCACAGCGGACGGTCATGACTTTGATACTGAAGACTGGCAGATCGGCGTCAACGGGATCACTGAGCAGACTGTCGCAAACAACTTTCGCAATATCATCTCTGCGGCAGGCTCCTTGACAGACGGTTTCATCGTGCTCGAACACGATCTATACCCCACAGCGGTTGATCTGGCCGTCAATATCGTTTTGCCTGAAGCAATGAACGCGTCCCTCAGCATGCAGCCAATCGTGCAATGTCTCGGCGGTACATTAGCAGATGCATACATCGAGACTGCGTCGAACACGACGACGAGCAGCTCGACGAGCTCTGGCACGACTTCCGGCGCTGCAGCAAGTGCGTCGTCCGCTTCCGACAACTTCAAGGGCGTCACCAAATCGGGAGATGCCTCTTCGCACACGCAACCGACAAAGCTGATGCTGGCATCAGTCGCACTATTTCTTGCCGCATTCGCATGAAAGCACACTCTGCATCGTAAACGCACTGTAATGCATAATTCACGAAGTCGTTAGGTACCGCCAGTAGCGTGAAGCCATTGCCTGAGTGCCTCTGTGAGCTTTCTCGCGTCCACGCGGCCGGCAGTGCGCTTCATGCCCTCGCCAATCATACGTTGCATCACCTTGTTGTTACCTCTGCGGACTTTGTCCGCTTCGTCAGGCAATGCGATGACAATGTCTTGGGCCAGCGCGGCCAGTCGCTCTGTTGTGTTGACGTCATCCTGCTGAACATGCTTGCTGACCAGCTCATGCAACGGAATCGAGTGCGTCTGCAGAGCATCATTCAAGAGCTCGCGTGCCTTGGCTCGAGCAAGACCGCCAGACTGGACAGCATCGACCAGGGTGCCCAAGTCGGCAGGTGTGATGACACATTGACCCAGGGGCAGCTCGAGGTCTGCAAGAGCAGCAAAGAGGTCGTTAATGAGCCTGGATGTGCATTCACATGTGAGCACCTGATACACCGCAAAGTGGCACACGGACCAATTGACCACCATTTGCGGGTCTCGTCCCTGTGCTGCGTCCTCGAAGAATCGCACAGCAATTGCTGCAGACTCTTCCTTATCGCGTGACTCGCCGTACGCGACAAGTATTCGAGCGTCCCGTTCGCGCAGGCCATATTGCAAGATGAGTCGAGCAAAAGCATCCAACGGCAGCTCTGGCATCGCTTGCCTGACTTCTTGTACGAAAGACTGTCAAGATTGCTGGTCGTCAGCCTGGCAAGATCTCAATGACCTCAACACTGACCTGTGACAGAACAAGCGGCGGTAGATCGGGATCGGGCATGTAACGATAGTCTGGCGTGGCTGCTTTGGAGCGCATTGCGTAAGTTTCTCCCGCTTGGGCATCAAAACCTCGAGTCTCGCTTTCGACGGCCTGGCCATCGTCTAGCAGCTTGCTCTGGCGCTCGACCTCATAGGCTGCATACTTGTAAGCCAAGGCCTAAGCAGCTCAACGAGGGCGCACTGATTGCTTGCTGAAGCTGTCGAATACTGTTCAGATTCTTGATTTCGCATCGTTGTCCGAGGGATGCGTCAGGCTCGGCTTTTCTGACCGAGACATTGGCATCAATGCGCAATGAGCCCTGTTTGGTCCGTGAGCGTCCGTGACTGTGAGCGCCTACGAGGGCTTACCTGATCCATATTGCCATCGCATGCTCCGACGTGCTGCAACAGACTTCTGAGACGTCGAACGTAGGCCATAGCTTCCTCCGCCGTTCTGCAGCGGATTCAGCGACAGCTTGGCCTTGTACGCATGACTTGCCTCATATCGGGACCGCTGATGATCTCGATCAATGCAGACCCAGCGCGGCTCATGTCGACTTGCGACAGGCCTGAATAGGGAAGATGTACAGTCTTTGCGGTGTCCTGCTCTCAGTGTCAGCGTCAGAGCTTTCGGCTGCTTGTAGTGACGGGCCTGCTCGAGTTGCACTTGCTCAATCCGTACATCTCGTGAGACGGCAACGCCTTCGTCTTGCTCTGGCGTTAGTTTGATACTGCCACTATGTGCCAGAGGCTCTGTATACGAGTATGAGAGGGCAAAACGGGCAATGCTGCGAATGGGCGCACGGTATTTCTGCGTGATCTGCCATCCAGAGGGTAAATCGGGGTAGAAGTAATGTTTGCGGTCGAAACGACTGATGTGATTGATGGTGCAATCGAGCGCAAGGGCAGCTCTGAGGGCCAACAAGACAGGAGCAGCCTGCAGGACAGGCAAAGTGCCGGGTATGGCGACATCAAAAAGCTCTATGTTGGTATTCGGCTCGTCTGAGGAGCGATGAGGAGCTTCTGCACACCCCAGGCAATCTCAGTGATGGTCGGCATCCCACATTGCTGCAGCGCACTCGAAAACAGCTTCACCGGACTGAGTAGCTGTGCATGGATCTCGAGACCAATGACGGGCTGCCAGCTCGATGATGTGCGCACATAGCGGGCCGACGCTGGCTGGTAGAGCTTGCTGATTGGGTGAAAAGCTCTTGCAGTGCGCGGGGGCATCGGCAATCCAGATAGGCCTGCCGTAAGTGTCAACAAGCCGGCAGTCGATGTCTGTCGTCGATTGACTTCGCGCTCGCGACGTGCTCGCTTGTCCAGCACGTCCGGCGTGGACGGCTCTTCGCTGCCTTTCCATGGCAATGACGGGCAGCTCGATACCGGCAGCCGAAGCTTCACGTGCTGCTGCCTTCGCAGCTTGCGATTTGGACACGTTTGATGTGGATGAAGACGAGTTCAGCGACAATGTCGCAGAGCTCGACTCGGGATTGGCAGCCCTGGCCAGCGATGAAGAGTCAGAGGACGAAGGTGGAGATCCTTGGCTGGCAGCAGCCGCAGCAGAATGGGATCAGGTTCAGATAGACGAGCTTCATGCACAGCTACGAGAGATTGGCATGATCAATTTCCTGCGAAAGTATCTCAGGCTCGAACGAGACAGTCCAGGCTACTCTGCACGACAGCTTCTGCTTGCCTTTGGCGTGCTCGTGCCTGTCTCAGCAGAGGATGACAGCAACTTGCGCTACGTTCAGATGCTCAAAGTCACCATTTTGCGCATCTTGCGACGACGCGAACGCCGCACCGATGTCTCTACCCTCGAAGATGCGCTTCGACAGATCAAGACTGCCCGCAACATTATCATCCTATCAGGCGCGGGAGTGTCGACCAGTTGCGGCATCCCTGACTTTCGCTCGAGCGATGGCATCTATGCCAAATTACGCGATGAGGGCGCATACGAACTCGATGAGCCTCAACAGGTGAGCCGAGCCTGTTGAACCTATATGTTCGTACTGAGCGTAACGATCTATGCAGATGTTCGATCTGCAGTTCTTCCGACACAATCCGCAAGTCTTCTACTCTTTCGCCCATTCCCTTTATCCTTCCAATTTCTTGCCATCTCGTACGCATAGCTTCATAAGACTACTAGAAAAGCACGGCAAGCTCCTTCGCAACTACACGCAAAACATAGACACCCTAGAACAACGTGCCGGCATCAAGCGTGTCCTGAATTGTCATGGCTCTTTCGCAACGGCCTCTTGCATGCGCTGCAGGAGAGCCTTTCCCGGCGAGGCTATCAAGGAAGACGTATTTGCAAAACGGGTGCCCCTTTGTCCTTACTGCACAGCAGACGATGAGGCACACACTGAAGAGCCCTCGCCACCTGCGAAAAAGCGCAAGACCGACGGACAAGCTCTCAATTGGCGCGCGGACGCCCACGAGGAAGATGACGAGGAGGAGGAACATAACCCTTGGCTGTCTAAGCCTATCTTGCGATTCGACATTTGCCTCTTCGGCGAGCCTCTACCGGACGAGTTCGACCTTTGCCTGGCGAAAGATCGCGAAAAGATCGATCTGCTGATTGTGATCGGCAGCAGCTTATCTGTTGCGCCCGTCAGCGAGCTGACAGCACATATACCCCATTCAGTTCCTCAGATTCTGATCAACCGTGATCCGACTCCGCATGTCAATTTTGATGTCTGCTTGCTCGGTGACTGCGACGTCGTCGTGTCTTGGCTTTGCGATCAGCTAGCAAAGGCAGGCTCGGAGGACATCTGGCGATTGCCATCTGCCGAAGAGCCGCGAGCTGTCGACACAGATGTCGAGGTGCCGAACAAGCCAGAAGAACACGTCTCGTCAGTCGAAGCGCTTGCTTCCGCAAGCTCGCTCGCGAGCGTCGAAGATGTCGTGGCAGCGCCGCTCGCACCTTCCTCTGAGCCTCAGCGAATCGCTGACACGCACTTTTATGCGTTCTCCGGTGCAAATCTTGATCATCCGTTCATCAAAAGGCTGCGACGAGGTTCGAAATCGTCATCTCCGTCTCCTACCAGCGAAACCCCTACGCCTCAGCCCGAAGTCGCGACCGAGCAAGAGACGGAGTGACCGGATATGCATACATTGTCAAACTTTGCCTACACCCTAGTTCGTGCACAGCAAACAAATACAAGCGGCTCATTCCGTCGATGTCGGCTGATTGGCAGGCCATATAGACTTGAACATCTTTTTGGTTCGGCTCGCTGTTGGCGATCGCCCTTCTGGCAATGCTGAACTGCCAATACTTCCGCGCCGCTCGACCTCTACTCTCGGCGATTCGGCGCCATTGTTCCGCCGTGGCAAGGACGGCAGACCAAAGAAGGAGCGCTTGGTTGCCGAATTGACCACTTCGCCGTCATTCGCTGCTATGGCAGGCGGCGTGATAGGCTCGTCCTGAGCAATTACAAGATTCCCAAGATCTTGACTCAGATCATCGCTGGCATCCTTTGCGTGTAAAGACTGTGATGCGCTTCTAGTAGTCGCTGCCGCCGGGACCAGGGTTTCTTCCTTGCGCCTTGCCGATTGAGAGGACGCTCGACGGGAAAGTAGATTACTCATGGGTGCTGTAGGAAAGTAACTCGCTTCGGGATCGCTACTTGGCAGTTGTAGTCTCGACCCACTGCCGTGGCCATCATTACTGCCAATCTCGCGCGAGTCTTCCTGTAGAACGGGCACGCTCTGCTGATATTGTTGCGAGGGCGGAAGTCCATCGGGTCTGCTGTGATGCAAAGGCGCGCCTGGCGTCAGTGCAACGTAGCCATCGGCGCCAGGGTGCTGAAAGTAAGTCATGGCTGGAGAGTAAGGACCTATGCCAGGCGAGAGATACTGAGGCATGAGCGGCGGTGTTGGCGAGAAAGGATGGAAGCTGAAGCTGGGCATGGAGGGCGTCATGAAATGGGGCGACATGGGACCGAAGCCCATCGGCATTGCTATCCCTTGGGGAGGCAGTTCGAGCGGGCGCAGCGATGGCGGAGGTTTTCTGTGATGTGGCTCTTGACTGGCGCTGCCTGGACTTGGCACAGCCGAAGTGGCCGAGTCATTAGATCCTGCTGCCAGAGCGGGCGATTGCACTGCTTCGCTCTGAGTGTCGGCAGGCGACGCACTGTCGCCTTGCGTCGTCTCGTCATTCGCAGCATGCGACTGCGTCTCGTCGTTGCGACGGGATGTCTGGGGATGTGCTGCGACACCTTGCGGTTGTGGCGAAGCGTCTGGGAAATAGCCAGCACTCATCGACATCATGCCGTTCTGTGGACCCATCTCGGGATCGGGCGAGAGCAAATGCAAGGGAATGAGATTATGCGAAGCTTCTTCCATGTCGCCAGGCGTGTAGATCATGTCGTCTTCATTGTTGAGATAATTCTGCATCGGCTGAGAGTAGTGCTGGGGCCTCTGCATTGGATAGCCTGCAAGCGGATGCTGCATATAGTTTGGCACTGCGCCATATCCTGGCGCTGGACTGTTGGCGTTGTGCACGAATCGATCGAAGTGGACCTTGAGCTGTCGCCCGTTAAATTCGTAGCCATTGAACATGTGCATCGCATTTTGCGCTTCTTCCGGATATGCAAAGAGCACCGATCCGAAGCCTCTGGAACGGCCATCAGGACCTAGCTGGACATCGGCGCGGAGGATGTTGCCTGCAGCACGGAAGAGATCCTTGAGGTCTTGCCATTGACAGTTGAAGGGGAGCTGCATTCTTGGGTCAGTACTATGCAGCGACCCGGCAATGGACGCTCACATTGCCGACGAAGAGATGCCTCTGTCCATAGTTGGCAGGCGATGCTGATCTATCAGGCAAATAAGGTGAAGAATGGGCTTGCAGATTGTAAGGATGATGAGGATGATGCATCATAGCTAATGGCATGTGCGTTCCATCATGCTGCAACATCATCGGTTGGCCATAGCCATTATTGACTGGCATCGCCATGCCCATCTGATTTGGCATGACGCCGTTCGGCCGTAGGAAAGATTGGCTGGGCTGACGAGAGACGCTGCCTGGCTGACCAGATGGCCAGACGAGAGGCGTCGGCTGCGGCCCAAGCGCTTGCCCGGTATGCGGCTGCGCGGCTGCTGCAGCGAGCATCAAGGCGCCCGTAGGATCCTGTCATATTCATCAATGTGTGTACGGAGGAGGAGCCTTTAGACCTGCCTGTGTGTCGACTCGCACATCCAGAACGCGCATCTGCCAGTTGAAGCCATTGAAGACGTCGATCGCCATCAACGCATCCGCTTCATTGGCGAAGAGGACACTTCCGAACCCTTTGGATCGGCTTTTGACACAACGCCCATCAGACTGGCATGGTCCTAAAGAGGCAGCCACTTACTTGTCTACAGTCAGCGCGACATCCGCTCTCAAGACAGTGCCACATTTTCTGAAGAGATCTTTGAGATCCTGCCATCGGACTCGGAAAGGCAAGTTGCCGACAAAAAGCTGCGTCCGAGTGTCCTCACTGTGCGTGCGATGCGCGGGCATGGGCGATTGGGATTCCTGGCTGCGATGTAATATGGCCTGTGCAAGCAAAGGGGAAGCAGTCTTGCCCATCATGCCCCCAACATTGTGCAGCGAGGGATGTGAGCCAGTGTAGGAATTATGGGGCGATAGACCTGACGGCAGGGGCAATTGGCCGACGCTGTGACTATAGCGAGGCGAGTCATGTGGACTGCCGTAGACGTCCGCCAGGCGCGAGGAAGCACCCGGCAGTTCAGGAGGATGATGAGGCAGGTGCAAGCTCGAATCTGAGGCTGACGCAGACTGCGAGGGCATAGCTGCAGATGCGACAGTGGGCGAGGAACGCCCGGGCGGCTGATCGATCTGAGTTGCCATCGTTGGTGAGAGAGGAGAGGGACTTGTGACTGCTGCAGTAGGCGCAGCAGCACTGCCAAGCGTCGTAAAGGATGCACGAGTGGGTGACACGAGCGGTGAACGAGAGTGTAGCGAGGCAGGACTGCTCTGGCCCGAGCTAGGGCTGCCGAGGATGGTGAGCTCTTTGCGACTGTGCATTGCGCTATCTGCTTGAGTGCAAGCCCGTCTGAAGCAGGCATATTGGACGGACCTCAGCCTGCGAGCGGGAGCCTGATCTGCTGCTCCAGACATGAAGTCGAGGTCGTCAAGAGGTTGTTGTGCGAGTTCGGGAACTCGTGCTTGCTCATGCGATGGGAGCCTCTGTACCTCCCATTGTCTCCCAAGATCGCAAGCTAGCCTTTCCCTGAGTACCCTCCTGCCAGTCCACTGCCACCCAAAGCGCCCAATCACCAGCCAAGACCAATCCCCGGAGCACGGACACTTGCTGGCGTCAGCGCGCGCGCTGCTTTTCTGTTGGTCTTGACACTTCCTGGCCCTCTCATGGACTTCTATGTCCGGTCCGCAAGCATCATCGACAAACTCAATGCCGGCCAGGGATCGCTCAAAGGCCTCGCAACGCTCCACGACAAGCAAGGCGACGGCAGACGACTCATCGCTCTCGTCATTGAGACTCTGAAATGTCAGCTTGCGTCGTCCTTCACGTCCCCTCTTGAGCTCACATACGCTCTCTAGACTGGCCGTCACTTCAAGCTGTCCTCGCAGCCACGGATCTCCTCGACCGACAGGCTCGACAGCTCGCGCACTACAAGCTTTCTGAGCGATCTGCCAAAGATGACAAGGTCAAGTCAGACAGACTGCCAAAGCCCGCAACCCTTGCCGCCGTGCTCGCGCACGACTTGCTCTTCTCAAAGAAAGGCGTGCTCGCTCTGCCGAAATCGCATCGCATCGCTCAGATCATGCAAGGACACGCGGCTCAGCTCAGAGCCGAGAAAGAGCGCTTGAAGATTCGTACGGGCGCTGGTAGCGATGCTGCGCTGCAAGTCAGTCAGCCTAGCGTTGCCCATGGAAAGGGCAAGAGCCGTGAGATTGACGATGAGAGGGATCCCGTGCTGGGCAAGACACGATGGATGCGTATCAACTTGCTCAGATGGACTGTAGCGGAAGCGCTCGATTGGCTCGCGCAGAACGGCTGGCAACTTGTCGAAAAATCACAAAACAGTTTGCAGCCGCTACAAATTCATCTGGATGGCGAGATACCCTCACTGCTCGCGTTTTCCCGCGCGCTCGATCTCGTTTCCTTCGCGCCATACCAAGGTGCCCTGCAATTCATCCGTATGCAAAGGGCACGGACTGAGCTGTAAGTACCGATACAGATGGCCGACTGATAGCTCAAGACAAGGCAAGCTGCATGCCTGCTCACCTCCTCTTGACTGCATCACAGAGACCTGGACTGGTCATCGATGCTACTGCTGCACCAGGCAACAAGACGACGATGCTCGCTGCCGGCCTGCCGCCGGGCGTACCCATCATGGCCTTCGAACGCGACAGAGGTCGTGTAGAGACTCTGAAGAAGATGTGTAACATCGCCGGCTGCGGCAAAGGCTCGACGCAGGCCGTACGGGTCATCAATCATGATTTCATGAAGGTCAGAGCCAAAGATCTGCCTTTGTTCGAGGGCAATCTCTTCGTTCTTGTCGATCCTTCATGCTGTAGGTCACATCTAGCCAAACTGACCTCAAGCTGAACTGTATGACAGCCGGCTCTGGGATCAGAGCGCGTCTGGATCACCTCAGCCAGTCAGGGCAGGACGACACGCCAGACCGACTGAAAGCGCTCTCTGGCTTCCAGACGGCTATACTCTCGCATGCCATGCGTTTGCCTCGGGCCAGCCGGATTGTCTACAGCACCTGTTCGATCCATCGGGAGGAGAATGAAGATGTCGTCATGCGCGTACTGGCCAAGCCCGAATTTGTGAATCAAGGCTGGGAGCTCTTACCTCGGTCTCAAGTCTTACCCAGCTGGACTCGGCGCGGCTTGGTCGAAGCATGCAAGGGCTCTCAGGGTAGGCTCACAAAGGTGTCGTATACTGCGTATAGCTGAAGCGAAGCGATAGACCTCGCGGACGGCATGATCCGCTGCGATCCCGCTCAGGGCGATGATAGCAACGGCTTTTTTGTCGCCGTCCTCACGCGAACGACTGAAGACGTGGACGCTGGGATGCTGCCCTCGACAGAGCAAGAGACGCTCTCTCCTGCAGCTCTCCCGGCGAGCTCGAAGAGTGCTCTCCGAGACGACACTGATCCCTTGGGCGATCTCGACGTGCTCACATACTTTGTATTCGGCAATCAGCTAGCGCAAGAACGCCTCAAGCGTCGCCGTCTGAGATAGCAACCACACTCTCATTGCATTATGGCGTTGAGATCTCGCTCTCGCTCCGGCAGCCAGAATGTCTGCGAGGCAGCATGAGCTCTGGTCAGGTGAGACAGCAGAAGACCGACGAGAGCATCGTTAGCCGAAGCTAACATAGCCTTGCGTGGGTTGAACGCAACGCAGCGCGTAGCAGATAGGCTTGAGCCGTTCGTCGGGTAGCCTTGCAACACAGCGCAAGGCTGCAGAGTCCTCTCTGTGCCTTTCCTCGCGATGTTGCCCCCAAAATCGACATTGGGGTCGTCTTGCGATTCTTGTAGATTTGCAGCTTGGATGTCCCAGACGTAGATATTACCATTCGCCGAGCCTGTCGTGGATATATAAGCCTTCGTTGTCTCCGCAGTCACGTTTGCGCATACCGGAGACGACGAATTTGGCATCTGGTGACCAGCCCACCTCACAACCACTGATGCCAACCCGCGGCGGTGAGTCTGGATGAGTTGCTCCGAAGCCCTCGAGGCCGGTGTGACCTGAAGACCCAAGATCAGTGAGGCTCAAGGCTCCATCGACAGTTTGGCTCGCCTTCGAGTCGTGCGAGCATCTGGCCAGAGAAGCTGTTGTGGATATAGTGCGTAGTGCCGCTGGTACCGACGAGGATGTACTCGCCATCGTTGGAAAAGTGGGCAGAGGTCAGTATAGGCTTGACAGGCACTGGGGACGATCGGTGCAAGATTGGATCGTTGATCTCTATCGTCAGGAAGGGATCCTACGTTCGCGTGCATCAGCGAACGCGATATCCGTCCAGGGCAGTCCGTACTGCATCGAATTTCTTGCGATCGTAGAGCAGTATGCTGGCGCGCATATTGAGTGCAACGGCAAAGACTTCGCCCTTGGGATCCCAAGCGACGTTGGGCTTGCCGGCGATCGTCAACGCGCCCTGGCAATGATTCGTGCGCAAGTCCCATAATCGTACGGTATCGTCGTCGCTACCCGACAGAAAGATATCTTCCTTGGGCGACATCTCGAGCGAGGTCACCCTGTGAGCATGACGTGAAGATCTCAGAGTCCGGCGCAGCGTGTAAGACGCTCAGCTTGACGTGCCTCTTTTTGTGGCCGCGAAAGTAACGCAAGTAGGTGTTGTCGTGCAACGAGAGATATCTAATGGTGTCTGTCCGACAACATCTTGCATCAGAGGCGCGTTGGACTCCGGGAATAGCAGACTGACCGTCCTGCTTCGTCGAAGCATGGATGACCGTCGTGCTCTTGTGCGTGAACCTGGCAAGATGAACGCCATACTTTTGCGACAAGAACGGTTTGGTATGTCTGTCCCAAAGGCCACAATCTGAGTCGATACATCTCCTATCAAGGGCACTGCACGGACGTTCCCGTACGGCAGTCGTACAGCTGCATCGTCTCATCGTCCGAGCTCGTAATGAGATGGTCTCCATGATCGTCGAAGCACAGAGACGTGAAGGATTTGCCGGAGACGATGTTCCTGTGCAGCTTGGAAGGCCTGAACTTGTTCCAGACTGCAGCATCGAGGGTCAGGCTCGACGTCGAGGCTGTCTTGCTGGCCATCCTCGCACCAACGGCAGAGAGGTGTCTCGCGTCTGGCTCGCGACCTCTGCGCCTCAGCCGACAGCGCACTCTCTGCGCCCGCTTCCCCGGCCAGAGCAGCCTTTCTTGAGTCTCAGATGCCAGCGACGAGTTCGCTGACGTCTTGCGAGTCATCGCTGACCATCTCAGACTGGCAACACACTCGCACCTCCCCAGCCAGGGTCCGCTTTGTTGACACGCCCACCAGCACGCCTGCGGACTCCCCTCGTGCATATGACGTGAGCACGAGCCAGTCGATCTTCTACGAAGAGACCGAGGACTACGATAGGTCCAGCAGCGAGGATGAGACACCCAGCTCGCAGAGCCCTATCGAGTCATCAAACACGACAAACAAGCATGACCTCATTCGGCAAGCCAGCCCACCCCTGTCGACCGGGCCCGTCCAAACCAGCCACAGCTCTCTAGGGAGGAGCTCTAGCTCGCGAATGGCCTTGCCCTCGAGCAGCTCGTCTGAGAGCAAGTCTGACTCAGCCACCGACTGCATCGGGCTAAGACACGATCTGTCAGACTGTCCCTTCGAGCAGACCAGCCTCAGTTTTGCCGTGCGCAGAGGATCACTAGGATCGAACGAGAGCAGAAGCAGTGGCTCCATCAGGCTCGAGCATTTCAGGCTCGTACAGGAAGACCAGGCTGCCGAATTTGAGCGCATCTACAGTGGTCTTGTTGCACTAGGACACGAGATAGGTGAGACGGTCATTGCTGCAGCTTACAAATAGGCTCAAGCAGAGAGACACGCTGTCACAGACGAGCTGCCGCCTCTTGGAGCAGACATCGAGACGCCAGAGCGTCCGTTCGCCGAGATCGTCAAAGAGCGCACGCACGAGGCTGCGACAGACGCCGAGGATCGAGAGCGGACAGATGATCGCACAGCGTTCAGGTCAATACGAACGTCACGAGAGCAGATCGAGAAAGAGGCATTGTACGCTACCCACGAGTTCGAGTTTGATGTCGTCATGGTCAAAGAGCGTCTGTCGACCATCCTCGAGGGCAACAGCACAGACAGTCTCGCATTCGTCGAACAAGAGTGTCAGCCTCCGACAGATGAGCACGCAATGATGACCACCTCGACGCGGTCTGGCCAGGAAGAGCCATGGATCGCTATCTCACTCGAGCCCGTGTCTGATGGGGATGCAGTTGCGCGTCAATTGGAGCCAAAGTCTCGGGTGTCAGCGCTGTTCCACGTCAATCCGGAGCTCAGGGCCGTAGAGTCATCGGTACCCAACGTCCTCATCTGCGAGCCCATCGTGCTCGAGTGCGAGCCAGACGCGCCTCGTGCCTTGCCGCTCGGTCTCGCCTTGTCGACGACAGAATGGGATATCGTCAAGTGGTCAGAGGGTCTACAAGCTTACTCCGAGTCCCCCTATGGTCCCCTCACTTCGAAAGAAGAATCGCAGACCGAGCGATCCAGCTTCTGGCGAAGGAAAGCTAGATCGGCATCTCAGTCTCAATCGGCCGGCCCCTCTTCGCCCGCCATGTCATCGGTCGCATCACTCGGCGGCTCATACGTCAGCACTGCAACATCACGTTCGAGTCAGAGCAGGATCAAGCCACAGGTCAAGCTGCGTCAGAGTGCCCAAAAGATCACCGGCATCGCCAGACGAGCCGCTCAGCATCTCACATTTGCAGAATGGACCGATCGTCTCAAGCCGCGTGCTGCATCGTGACTCCTCACTCAGTCTCTCGTTAGTCATACAGTCGCGACGTTGGGTGTGGTAGCAGAAGTGCAAGCAGTCGTAAGCATCAATGGATCAACAGGTTCCCGTCTCAGTATTCCCCGTAGGCCGTGTCGCGGTAAGCGAGCAGTATTGCATACGCAGATAGAGACAACGAAGGAGGATGCAAAATCAGAGTCCATGCAGTGACATCATCAGTAATGCGCGTCGCTATCGCCATTGCGGACGCTCAGCGTCCGAGTCGCCTTTGAGTTGCTGCGACTGGACTGAGATCCGCTGCTGCCGTATACCTCGGAGTATCGATCTGAGGGACTGAGCGACTCGGGTGACGCCATCTGATGAAAGTCAAGACTGCTCTCTTCTTTCGAATATCGATTTGAATCGTTGCCATCGCCGCCGTGAACATAGTGTACGTACTGAGGATTGGGATTGGTGGGCGTGCCGCTACGCGAAGTTGCCAGAGCGCCCTCTCGATCGTCTTCCGCGCCACGATAGTCCTCCTGTAGCACAGATAGTCTCCGGCCGTTCGATGGCGCCATGCTGGCCTGCGACCTCTGACGTTGCAGCTCTGGCTGGCCATTGAACGCGTTGGTTTGCTCTTGCGCGTAGCCGTACGAGCTAACGCTATGAGGCGGGTAGGCAGAGCCGAGAGCGCCGAAGCCTTGGGGTGCGCCATAGAAGCCTTGCTGTGCTTGCGCAGGCATCATATGGTTCTCGAACGTGGGGGAGGCAGGTGCGTAGTCTTGGACGACAAAGGATGGCGTAGTAAGGCTATCCTCCTGCTGCTGCTGCGTCGCAAGGATATGTCGCTCGACCATGGAGGGTGGCCTGAGACCGGCATGCGTGCGTCCCATACCTGCCATGTTGACGGGCTCTTGTCCGACGCTATGCCTGCCATGCACAGTGCTTAGCAGCCGGCCTGCACCTCGTTCGACGTACATACCTTGCAACACCGGGCGGCAGGGCCCAAGCGGAACCAGGTGGTGCCTCGCCTTCGTAAGGATAATCGTCCTCGCCGATCATAGTAGACATACGCTTGAATTTCTCCTTGTCGAACAAGCCGGGATCGTTCCACTCGTCCTCTTCTATGCCATCGTCGGCGCGACCGCCGCCGAACAGGCCTTTCGTGCGAACAAAGTAGGTAACGAGACCCGATAGTACGACGAGACCAACGAGCGCGCCAGCTGCGATGCCGACGATTGTGCCAGTGTGAGTCGAACTGGACGATGTATCGGAATCGACATGCGATTGAACAGACGGCAGAGGTAGCGAGGATACAGAGACGACTGCGGTTGCATAAGTCAGACTGGATGATGTCAGGATGGAAGCTATCAAAGGCTGGGTCGAGCTGGTTGTGGTGGGCACAATGATAGCGGCCACCGAGCTTGACGAGCTGGTCGTAGGTGCCACGACGACAGGCTGGACTGAGCTGCTAGTCGACGTCGTTGAGGGCTGTACGACGGGAGCTGCACTTGACGAGCTCGACGATTGAGTAGTACGAGTAGGTTGAGCAGGGGGAGGAGCTTGCGAGCTAGTAGTGGGTGCGGCAGGGGCGGATGAGCTCGGTTGGGATGAAGTGGCTGCATTTTGTGAATTAGCAGCGGAGCTACCTCCTTGAGCGGCTGTTGATGATGCAGCTGTCGCGCTAGATGCTGCTCCTGCTCCTCCTCGACCTCATCAACACCTGACCTCATTTGAGCTCAGGCACACTGACCTGCGCCGGCGTTGCGCTGTGGCTCTCGCTTCGCTAACCGCAGCATTTGGTGCTGCCCGTTGTGTAGTCCCGCAAATCGCATCCTCGGAATCGATCCTGAGAAGCTAGAAGGTGTAAAGAGGTGGGTCCTCGGTGTGTCGAGGGCGTGTAGATCGGCTTCGTGCGAGCCGTGCGCGTGTTGAGCTGCGAGGCTCAATCAGCCCTCAACTTTGCTTGTTGATGCCTGACTCACTGAGGACGATGCAGGGTACTGTTGTTGTCTGTCTATGCGGATGCAAAGTCGTGTGTAAGGACTTCTTCTTCCGCTAGGCTGGCTTCGAATGTTGTTTTCGCGCGAAAACTATAAACGATCGACGCGCGCCGCGAATCAGCTGATCAATGATTGAGCGGGCGGAACACGACAAGAAGTATGAGGCGTGAAGCAAGGTCATACATTGGCTAGCTGATCGATGCTCCAACAAAGTTGGGCACGCTGCACACGCCCTTGTCGGTCACAATCTTGTGAACCGTCTGCGTGGTCTTATCAATCCAAGCTGCTTCCTTGGTCGGTAGCGTGGTGAAGCCTGGCTGAATGACTTCGAATTGTTTCTTTTTCGGATTGAGCACATCGAGCGGCTTGTAGTCGCCTTCGAAGCCATCAAAGTAAACGCGATCACCTGGCTTGGATTCTTTGGGAGGATCGACAAGCTCGACGCTGCCGTGACCCTCCTTGCCATCCGGCGACGTGGCCTATGCTAACGATCAGCCGAATCGCAGCGCCTGAAAAGGGGAACGTACAGCAAGAACCATGGCGAAAGACTTGATGCCGCGCATGTTGGCAGGCTTCATGTTGCAGACCGCAACCAGGTAGCGGTTCTGCATGTCTTCGATGTTGATGTACTTGACCAAGCCGGATACGATCGTTCTTGGCTCTGCCTCGCCCACATCGACCTGCTCGACGTACAGCGAATCTGCATCCGGATGTCGCTTGACTGTTGACGGCGCACTGGCTGATCAGCGCAGGCAGTGCTCGCAGCCGAGTTACATACCCTCTATGATCTTGCCAACACGCAGATCGAGCATGTGTGGCATTGGCGTAGCATCGGCTGCAGGCGGGGCAGCTGATCCCTTGCCACCGCCCCCGCCGCTCTCGGCGGACTTCTTCTTCTTGCCGCTCTCGCCAGATTGGCTCTTGGCTTCTTTGGCAGCTGCAGATGCTTTCGCAGGCTCAGAGGCTTGCTCTTTGGCGGAAGGTGTCGGTAACTGATCAGTGTCCTTTGGCTTCGAATCTTTCTTCACCTTGACTTCTGCTTTGCGATCAATGACAGGGACATCGTCCAGGTCGATCTCGACTCGCGATATCGGATGCTGGGGAAGTCGTGCAAGCGCTTGTTGTACTTCTGGCAAATTCTGAATGAGATCGTAGTGGCGCGCCACAGATGGCACGCTGGTGCGCTCTTGCTGGCTGGCGGCAGACTGTACCGTATGGCTGGGTCAGCGCGATCGTGAGCTAGCACGAGCATCACCGACGACGAAGGTATGTGATGCAGCGTAGATTGCAAGATCAGCCGCAGAAAGCTGCTTGCTCGCTACAAAAGTGCGCGACTTGAGGTGCTCGTCGAGCGTCTGCGGGCCGAGCCACTTGTGAGCATGAACATGAGCGATCGTGCGCCTGACCGACCCTGACATCCTTCTGAGTGTTCTTTGTCAGATAGCCGAACTGTACTTTTCCAAGCCACTCGAGAATCTCGCCTCGTTCGGCGTCATCGCTTCCAAGCACTCCTTTGGCTGCCCCAGTCCGGTTCGCGAGCTCGACGACAGCATCTGCTAGCTTTCCGTGTACGGATCCGAAGCTGATCTGAGCACGCTAGCAAGTATGAGGCTGCGTTGCGATGGCAAAGAGGAAACGACTTGCTTGTTCTGCCTGCTTGATGGCGGGCAGAGCTGAGCGCAGATAGGTAGCTGCGATCATTGCGAGTGCGGTACCGGGAGCGTCATTGGAGATGTAGAGCGTCTCTGTGCTCATGCTTTGGGTGTAGGCGGCTGCTGGCTGTCCCAAGGCAGCAATTGCCGTCGCGTCCTCCTTGTGACGACATCCAGTCGCCGACGAGATTCAAGGGGCTTCTGCACGACTAGCTACGAGCCAGACGCTCGCCAACAGCTGCTGAGAACCGCAGTACTGTAGCATCGTCCGTCATGGGCTTTTTCATCCCTGCCTCGCGAAGGCAGAATCTGGCAAAGTATGCCTACTCTGGGACAGATAAATCGCTGCTCTCGGTCCGTCGCAGCTCTTCAGTCACCTCAGGCACCGTACTCATAGCTCTATGCTTCAGAGGTACCTGCTAACGCCATACTGGAACTGGCTCGTCACGCTTTTCCCAATGTCATTCGCTCCAAATTTGATCACATTGCTCGTCCGTCGGCTTGCTAGCCTCTACGAACGATGCTGATGCGCTGAGCTGCCGCACAGGGCCTCGCGTTCGTTGGCGTCAACTTTGTCACGCTCCTCTACTTTGAGCCGACGCTGCAATGTGTCGCCAAGCCAGTTCACAAGGTTAGGAGGACATGTATGCTATTGTAGCAAAGCTGACGACCGACACGGCTATGAAATAGAGCTTGGGCGGCTCATGGGACCCACTCTTTGCACCCTCGAAAGAGTCTTACGCGCATGCCGGCCTGCGATGGGTCTCGTCCAAGCTTGGCTTCATCAAGTCTGTACCGGAAGAGGCTCTCCTGCAGCCATGTCCAGGCAGCTGGATGTACTTTTCGTATGTGGTCACAGCCTCCCTTTGGTCTCATTGTGACTAGCAACGGCGTGCATGCAGGTTTGCGATAGGTCTGTTCATCTATCAGTCTCTCGACGCGATAGACGGCAAGCAAGCGCGAAGAACGGGCACGAGCTCTCCACTAGGCGAAATGTTTGATCATGGTTGTGATGCCATCAACACCACTGTATGTGAGCCAGTATGGCCGTTGTCGTGCTGACGCCTCTCACCTAGCTCGAAGTCATCTTGACTGCCTCTGCGCTGAATCTAGGGCAAGGCTGGTGGACAGGTCAGCAATGCCACAACAGCTCAGCGTCCGCTGACTGATACAATCATGGAATTACACAGTGGCTTCACAAGTCGCAACGCTGGCCAATTTCTATCTCACGACCTGGGAAGAATACAATACCTCTGTACTCTTCCTGAGCGCCTTCTCTGGCCCGGTCGAGGGCATCCTCATGATTTGTGTGATCTTTACCATCACAGGCTTCAAAGGTGCGTGTAACATACGCGATACATGGCTCCATGCTCACGGCGTACCCTTTGCAGGCCCGCAATTCTGGGATCAAGGCGTCTTGACGGTCACTGGGTTGAAGGACGTGCCGCAAGTCGCCAAGCTAGGCATCAAGGACCTTCCCCTCAACGACGCCTTTCTTGTCTTTGGCCTTGCCGGCTTGCTCTTTAACATTATCTCGAGGTGCGTCAAGATCCGCTCGTAGAGAAGCGGCTGATCACACCTACGCAGCTATGCCAATGTCGTGTCTGCTCGCAGAAAGGCAGGCAAGTCGACTTTGACACCTTTGTTCGGCCTCTTGCCCTTTGCCGTCACGGCTACACTCAATGTGTTATGGCTGCGAGGCACACCAGCCATCCTACGCGAACATCTCATCACATTCTGCGCATACTGGGGCATCAGCTTTGCTTACCAGGTCAGTCGTCATCGTTCATGGATCTCTTTGACTGACACGACGATCAGGTCGGCCTACTCATCGTCGCTCACGTCACCAAGGGGCCGTTCCCGTACTACAACATGCTCATGATCGTATCTGCGCTGGGTGCACTCGATTCGGTGATGGAAATCCAGCCATCGAAGCAGCTGCTGGGCAATGATGGCCCGCTTGCGCTTGTCTACGTCGCGCTCGGCCTCGCTCTCGCATTGTATGCCTTCTTCGTGCTCGATGTCATCTATGACGTGTGCGATTTCTTCGATATCAATTGTCTGACGATCAAACGGAAAGAACCGAAAGGAAAGGAAGCTGTCAAGTCGGCTAAAGGGGGAAAGAAGCAGTAGAACTATTGCGCAAGATAGATCTATACCCGTTCGCAGTGATACAAGCAACATGCATTTGGGGTCTGTCTCTCGTGCAAGGCCTCGTGATCGTGATCAGAAGACGTACCAAAGCAGCAGCAATGTGCAGACTGCGATGATACCGCCCAGAATGAACGTATCTCGCCTTCGCCGGGAGTTGATCATCCCGAGTACCGAATTGATGCCAGGTACCTGGGCTGCATGGCATAGGGTCTTTAGCGTAGGTCAGCATGCTTGGCAACGAGGGCCGTACCTAGAACGCCATTGATGCGCGTGCTGACGCCCTGTATCGTACTACGTTGCCGGGAGAATTCGTAGCGCGTCTCATAGGCCATGCCGAGAACATCGTCGGCCATGCGATGGCTGCTGTCTATCTTTCCCCGTTCGCTCAACAGCTGATCTTGCGCGCTCGGATTCGTGCTCGCCCTGAATGCAAATATCTCCTCTCGCACGGAGCCCAGCAAATTTGCGCGTGACTCGGCATCTGTTATCGACTTCTGCAAATGCAAGACGATGAGATGACACCGAAGCAGCTGAGTGGGAGTCGTGCTTGCCTGTGTTCGTCGAAAGTCTCGCGTGTAGTCTGCGAGGATTTCGCGATGTCGTGTGGCTGTGTGGACCATGGCAGTCGAAGCAGTGGGATCATGATCGAGCAGATCGGACATCTGCTCCACAAGCTCGGTGAGTCTGCCGAGGCTTTGGCTGATCTGTTGCTCGACTTGGCCATATTCGCGCTGAGTCGCTTCGGTCAGTCTGCCCGAGCTCGAGTACGCCGTCGAGTTCGTTGCTGCGAGCTTCGAGTACTGTGTGAGCAAGCCTTCGAGCTCATTTTCGAGTGTCCTTATGCCTTTGCGCACGCTGTCCCAGCTCATCCTGGGCTCAGTCGAACGGCAACAGCGCGCGCGTCACGCCGTCGACGAGCTAGGTAGGAGCTGAGCATCTGGCCCACCTCGCCGCTCGGCTATGAACGATGATCTATGACCTCAAGTCGATGAGACTGCCCGCCGCGACGGCTTACAGGCAGCCGTCGGGCAATGGAGCCAGTGCGGCCTCATCTACAGGCTACTCACCCTTGCCGAGCTTCTTCAGCCGCGCGAACCTATCTGCCTCGAACGGATCCGACGAGCCTGCTTTCGATGCCTACGACAAACACTATAGACGTCAGGCATCATCTGGTCTCTTCTCCATGCCACCAGGCTGGACATGGGCACGGCTACTGAGGTGGACAGTCGGCTTGGCAGCCTTGATCGTCAGTCATGCGCGTCTACGCTCACCCGGTGCAAGCTGAATCCGATTGCATGTCTGCAGGCCTTCATCTTCTGGTGGTTCTTCGAGCTCCATATAGAGATTGCCCTCTATTCGCGTGGCTGGGTGCGGTCAGCGATCGTCGACCTCCATCCACTCTCGAGCAATTGCTTCACTCTCGCCAACGTCCAAGGCAGCGCCTACAATCAGACCATAGCATCAGCGCCAAAATATCACGAGTTACAAGCAGGCCTGGCCATGCGATATGGATCAGATTGCTACGACTTTGCAGGCACGATAGCCTCTGAACCTCTACCAGGTCAGATCTTGCCCGAGCAGACAATCTATCATACCTACTGGCGCGGTGATCTGCGGCCGCTGGGCGAGCGGCAGATCTTGCTCCTGCTGTCAATTCTAGAGACGCAGAGTCAGGACCATTCGACGCTCATACTCTGGAGCAATACGCCTCAGACTTTCGAGAGCTCACTCCTTACGCCCCTCATGCGCAAGTACAGCCACAGACTAGATACTCGTGTGATAGATCACGAGTCCCTAGCCAGAGGGACGCCCATGCAGGGCTCGTCACTCCTCGGTGAAGCCAAAGATGCGAAAGCATGGCTAGATGGCGATCTCGTCAGAGTCCTCGTGCTTTACCGGTTCGGTGGCGTCTGGGTCGACATGGACATGCTCATGACGCGAGACCTACGGCCGCTTCTAGAGTCTGAATGGGTCACACAGTGGGATTGTTACGGCAAGTCTTGCGTTGCCCAAGCGCCCCATGGAGCTGAGGACTGTGACGCTGCTGCAGAGAAGCCATACCAGCCTCTGAACGGCGCAGTGATGCATTTCCTCCAGCAGAGTCCTTACCTATGTGAGATGCTTCACATCATGGCCAACGACGTGCCGCCACGGGCTGCCTCGACTGATTGGGGTTCTCTCATGTATCACAAACTCTGGCGGAGGCTGGTCGCGAACAACCATCGGCCGTTCAAGATCCTACCGTTCTGCTTTACCGACGGCAGGAGCTGTCGTCTCGACAATCGCCTGCCGGATCCCTTTGCTTCCGATCCGCCCTACACAGACTCCCAGTGGACAGAGCTGGCCAGGCGCCTTGATCGCGTCTTTGGCGTGCATCTGCATAATCAGTGGGAGAAAGACTTTCCCCTGCGCGGCTGGGTCAGACGCCTCATCACCGATTCTATCCAGACACGGGCTGGCACCGATCTCTAGACGCTCTCGCAAACCCGTCGCATCTCCTCGTTCTCGGCAGTGCTGTTGTAGATATCATGTTAGCCTCACTGGTGGCGCCCGCGTGGATGTGAACGCTTTTGCAAATAGGCTACAAGAACCGAGTCATGCGATACAAGTATGTACGCCTGAAGAATGGGCGTGCGTGAATGTCCATGATGCCAGGCGTGTGAAGTCAACGGAGATCTAGAGGGCACTCATCATAGGGCGGCGAGTCCAACAGCGCCAAAGAGGATCGCCAGACCGAATGCGGATGCGGATCGCTTTTGCGCGTCGCCCGTGAAGACGTTTGTGCTCTTCGTCTGGATGGGTACGGGGACGCTGCTGATGATCGAGTAAGCCACAGAGGCCTCTGAGCTCGATGCTGTCTCCGTCACGGTCGACGCTACTGCGTCCGTCGAGGTGACTGGCGCAGGTGTGGTCGTGGTAGGCGCAGCAACGATTGCAGTCGTGGAAGTAGACGTTGGTAGGATGGTGGTGGTGAGCGTGACACCTGTGAGGCCAAGCACTTGCTCCGCAGTGATGGCATCGACACTTCCGGCGGCAATGAGGGTGTTGATCAGTGACCCGATCGAGTCCTCGTTCGTCACATCGCCCGTATTGGTCGGGTTCGTCGACAGCGTGCCCTGAAAATTGGCAATGGCCGTTGCATCATCTTGTAGCGTACCGCCGTTCGTGTCGGCCGAGGTAGAAGCAGCATCGGCAGCGAGATAGGTACAGGCTTGTTGGAAACCGGCCGTCGTACCAAAGTTGAGGTTGGGCACTGTCGTCGTAAAGGTAGCGAAGGAGGGATCAGCCGAACAGGTCGTGTAGGTCTCGTAATTTGCGTTGGTGCAGATGCAGGCGACGATGTCCTCCAAGGCCACCGAGAAGGTCGAGCCCGTGACCGGAGGCGTGCAGGCTTGGATGTTGGTGACCAGTTGCTGTCCGTACACAGCGTCAGCCCACTGCTCCGAGATGGTTCGATGCGCCAGGAAACCGCGACGAGGCTTTGCGCAGAGGGTGAAAGGCACGACTCACATCGCATGCTGACGCAATGACTGCTTGCGAAGCCGCTCTGCGTACCAAGAGGCTCGCCAAGGGCAGCAAGTACACTGTCGCTCTGCCCATCGTCTTGTCCGGTCCTTGCTGCGCGGTCGAGTCGAGCGAGTTGAAGAAAAACAGCGCGTGCCTGCCAACGAGAGCAGTCGTCGGCCATGCGCAGAGCCGCTCACCGAGCCCAGCGTGGCTTCAGCGCAGCTTTTCCGGCATGCACTTGTCAGCATCGTGCCGTCTCGACAGTCTCGCCAGCCGACGTGACTCGGCTCCAGCGACAGGGCCAAGTACCACCCAAAGATTTCACTGCACCCTCGGCAGGCTCAGATGCTCGCATGCTTCCCGATCAGGACATCCGCAAGAGCGATCCCCTGCGAAGTCTCAAGGGGAGCAAGTCGCCACCCTACCTGCCTAGACCCGTCGGCGTGCTCCATCCTCCCACGACGGTACCCATCACAAAAGAGCAAGCTCAAGAGAGGCTGCTTTCACAAGAGCGACGTATGAAGGAGCGCCGGCATCTGTAGGTCTGCATGCGCCTCGCATCGTTGGCTGTGGCCTGACAACATGCGTTCCAGAATAGAAGAAGTCGGCAAAGGCTACTTCCAGGACATGAACGAGATTCGCTGGCACGGCGGCAAGCTATGGCTCGGTCCCCCCACGCTCATTCGCGCAGACGTAGGTTGACAAGATCTCAATTTGGATGGCATCAGCTCATCATGTTCGCCCGCCGCCAGAAATCGCTGTACTTTCCGAACATACAAGGCATCGCGTTGAGCACAAAAGGCCAGCGGCATACGACAGACTTACTGACCGACAAAGTCTCTTTGCTTGCTATATTGAGCACTCAGGTCTCTGCAGTGGGTCTGACCGCTCTTCTGGCTTTGGGCTCGCTCATGCTTTGCACACAGGAACACGTTCAGACCTATGTCGAGCCTGTTCTCGAGCAATTCCAGGCCGAGCCGAGATTCCAGGTCGTGCAGGTATAACGCCTACATGATCAGCATGCTGCCTCCTGTGTTGACCATACCGTCCAGATCAATCTGCAAGAGAACAAGCTCAAATCGTTCTTGGTGTCGATGTTCCTGTCGACGCTTCGCAAAGCCACGCCGGAGCATCTACATGATACCTATATCCTGTCACATCAAGACATGGAGTACCTCCGCGAGGTAGTCTGCTCTGCTTCTTGACTCGAGCCGGGCTAACACGCAAGGCAGCCGCTGGGCATGATGAACAAGCACCTTGGTTATGTCTATCTCATAGATGACCAGTGTCGGATCAGGTGGGCTGCTGTCGATCTGGCTTCGCCTACTGGCAGAGACGGCAAGGGTGCTGGGGAGGTAGCCAACCTGCTCTCCTGTATTAGAGCTCTGCTAGCGCGAACCAGATAAGCCGTGGCCGAGAAAAGTGATCGACATGGCACGCGTTTTGTCAATTTTGCTTCATCGGCTTGCGTCGTGCCAGCCTGAAAAAGAACTAGGCTTTGGAGACGGGCTCGCTCCGGCAAAGAGGATCCACGGATCCAGCAGGACCTCAGTTGCTTGCGATGGTCGACTGAGCGCATACTCCCTTCATCGGCCCCAGCGTGAAAAAGTCACATTCAGGGGTCGACCTTGTGAACGCGTGACCTCCAGACCCTTGGCTACTGTCTCCCTGGCTGGGCGCGCTCGACGAGCAACACGCGGACCCGTCAGCGCAAAAAGCTCGAGGAACGGTAGCGACAACGCTCGACGATAGCGTTGGGCGTGCCACACAAGTCCTGACTTGGGCCAGTACGCTGGTGTCACGACCCCGCGGCAAGCCATGGATCTGTCATGGTGTCCCGTATGCGACCGGCAGATCGATCCTGTGCCAGACGACGAAGCTGCACACGCCCATGCCAGCGAGCTGTCCGGCGAAGGACACACAAACGCGCCGGAGGCACAACCTCATCAACCTCATCCACTCGCCAGAGCTACGAATGGCACCATCAAAGCCAAGCCAGGCGCTTCTACAGCGATCAGACGCAACGGTAGCGCGGGCAAACTGCATAATGCGCGTCCGCATAAGCTCGTTTCCTTGCCCCCGCCCATACCGCTCTCGCCAAGTACTACCGCGCTCAAGAAGGCAGACAAAGGTAAATCACCAGCATCAGAACAGCCCAAGCTCGGTCTGCAATCCTGGGTTGGCTTGTATTGTTCCGACGACTGTCGACGGGTGGACGAGCTCAGATCGCGCCTCGCTTTTGCCGACCTGGAAGCACACCCCTACGATCCCGAACTGAACGGATTGCCCGATCAGCCGCACTCCTCGGGCGGTGCGTCATCGCGTCGGTACTCGTCAGATAGACCGAGCGGACCGAAACCGATCAGGCCTACCTTTCTGGCCCAAAGAAGCAGCGGTAGCGCTGGAAGTGACATACCCTGCTACCAGAGCACAGAATCGCTTCTCTCACTCGACTCGCCCACTTTCGGACCTTCTGCCTACTCCCATCCTGTGCCTCAACGGGCGCAGGGAGCACTGGGCTCAGGCCTGCGAGCGATGACGCCCATTCACATGGGCTCATCACCGTCTAAAAGCCATCTGTCGAGCGAGCCCATGCCTAGCACGCGTACGAGAAGCGAGGAATCCGCCAGCAGACCTCGCTCTCTTGCGCGTTCCTCGACTGGTTTCGCGCTGACAAAGGCACCTCCGACGCTGTCAGGCACAGTCACGGAGCCTGCAATGGCATCATTAGATCCCACTGCTGCTGCCGTACTGCCGCGCGCCTCTTCTTTCGCACAGTTGCCGCTCAAGCATTCGCATAGACATCAGCTGTCGAATAGCTCCATGCCGCATCTCTCTTGCTCGCCTAGCTCTGCAAGCTCGACGCTGTCAACCGCGTCCAATTATTCGACTGGTCAGTCTACAGGCCCATCTGCCACACTCAGACGACCCAGCGCTGGCTCGAGCGATCATCTCTCGCGAGGATCAGACAAGGAGCGCGGCCCCACCGCGTTGCATTCTGATTATGCGCTGTACTATCACCCCAAAAGGATACCCTCATCCCCTTCGATCGCGCCTTCGTACAGCATACCCAATAGACCTGCTCCTCCCGACGCCCGGCTTCTGTCTGCATCTGCCGGTACAATAAGTCACATCATCAATGCCAAGTTACCGAGGAACTCGCTAGCCATGACGTCTGGGCATTCGCGCGGACCGAGCCCCAACGGCCGCGACAGAACACCCACAGGAAGTCTGAGCGCTCTACCGGGCTTGCCTCGCGCATACTCTGCCGCTTCGATACGTCAACATAGTCCCCGCCCGCCGCCTGCTCGCTTCTCAACGTCCTATTCGAATGGCTCGCGTCTCGGAGCAAGAGCTGCTTCGCCTGCCCACCTTTCGAGCTCCTACAACCGTCCCGGCGTCACGCGGGGAAGCTCCCACCGTTCAGATACTTCTTCCGAAGACGATAGCAGCTCCAGCTCCGATGACGCCGAGCAAGAGCACTATGCTCGATCGCCTGGCTATTTCCAGCAAGGCGAGTACGAGCAGCAACAGCGAGAAGCTCCGAAGGGCTGGAATTGGGATCGCGTGCCCGGCAAGCTTGCGCAATACCAAGCTATGGACCTCGATAAGATTCGAAAGACCCAGAGCGGTAGCGATCTGCCGCTGCGAAAGCATGGCTACAAGGCAGACGCTCAGCCGGTGGATCGATCGCGGGTCTCTTCACCTGCTCTTGCGACGGGCAGCAAGAAGCGACTCTTTTACTTTTCGACCGATGGAAGCTAAGCTGTAAAAAAACTCATCTGTACGTCTCAAGGAAACACTGGAAATGCGCATCTCACAAAGGACGCAGGTTCTGCAATTCACTCGCATGCAAGCTGTAGCTAATGTATAGACCTGTAATCTCATGACGTCTCGTAAAGCCTGCGTGGAGGGTTGTCTGTCTTGCTGTTGAGCGATCAGCTGTATCAGGGACACAAGACCAATCTGAGAAACTAGCACCGCATGCGAACATAGCTGCTGAGAGGATGAGAGAGAGGCACACGATGAGGATGATGCGTTTGCCGGCTCCAGCCGGGTCGCGCGCGCTTGTTCGCTGATAATTTACTCGAGTCGGCCACCAGTAGAAAGTCAGAAAGAATGCTGCTCGCTGCTCGTGCTGCCGCAAGACCGGCCTTCCGAACGCTCTCGCAAGCTCACTCTGTTCGCTATGCGTCAGGAAAGGTCAGCTGCTGCCGTCGTTTGAGCTCGCACGAGCTAGGCTGATCAGCTCGTTCGACTGGCACAGAGTCTGTCGGAAACGATTGCCGAGATTGTGCCAGAGCGTCAGGAACTGGCCAAGAAGATCCGTACAGAGTATGGACAGAAGAGCCTCGGCGAGATCAAGGTCGAGAACGTCATGGGTCAGTCACGCCATTCTTTTGCTGTCGGGCGTCCACTCGTAGCTGACACCCATGAGCTCATCAGGCGGTATGAGAGGTCTCAAGGTCATGATCTGGGATCCCTCGGTGCTCGACGCCAATGAAGGCATTCGCTTCTGGGGCAAGAGCATCCCAGAGTGCCAAAAGGTCTTGCCCGCCGCAAAGGACGGAGAGGAGATGCTCCCGGAGAGCATGCTCTGGTTCCTCATGACCGGCAAGGTCCCCAGCCGCGAACAGACGGACGATCTCATCGCCGACTTGGCGGAGCGCAGCACCATCCCCGCCTACGCGGAGAAGATCATTGACAGCTTTCGTAGGTATCGCGGTCATTAGCTCTTGCGCGGGCTGACGGTAGCGTACGCGCACAGCCAAGACACTCCACCCCATGACACAGTTCGTGTCTGCCGTCGCTGCACTCAAGTAAGCATATCGCACCTGTCTGATCTATACTGGTCTCACATTGCTCGCAGCCACGACTCCAAGTTTGCAAAGGCTTACTCGGCTGGCATGAAGAAGTCGGAATACTGGAAGACCACGCTCGAGGACTCGCTCGACCTGATTGCCAAGTCGTTCACCGTCGCTGCCCGTATGTGCCAGCTTCTTTACAGCATCTCAAATTGACGCGCCTTGACAGGCATCTACAACAATGTCTATCTCGACGGCGCTAGCAAGATCCCAGCTCTCGACAAGTCGCGCGATCTCTCATGGAACTTTGCCAATCAGATCGGATTCGGAGACAAGAAGGGCTTCATTGAGATCATCCGTCTCTACAACGCTCTCCATACCGATCACGAAGGCGGCAACGTCTCTGCCCACACCACCCGTACGTGCTCTGCGGTCTGCCTAGCATGCGAGACTGACGCGCTCACACAGACTTGGTCGGATCTGCGTTGTCTGATCCTTACTTGTCTTACTCGGCTGCGCTTGCCGGTCTTGCCGGTCCTCTGCACGGTCTCGCGAACCAAGAAGCACTCAAATTCGTCCTGTCCATCAAGGACGCCATCGGCGGTGATGCGACGCACGACCAAGTCAAGGAGCAGCTCTGGAAGATCCTCAACTCTGGTCGCGTCGTTCCTGGGTAAGCAAAGCCCCATTTCTCGTGACGGCCACTGATCGAAGTCCGCAGATACGGCCACGCTGTCTTGCGCAAGCCTGACCCTCGCTTTGATGCTCTGAGAGACTTTGGCAACCGCAACAAGGACGTTGCTGAGGATCCAGTCTTCCAGCTCGTCGACAAGCTCTTCAAGGTCGCGCCAGGCGTTCTCACCGAGCACGGCAAGACCAAGTACGCGCCCATTTTGACGTCGCGTGACGTGTATTGACAAGCGACCGCAGGAATCCTTTCCCTAACGTCGACGCAGCATCTGGCTCGTTGCTTTACCACTACGGTCTGACTCAGTTCGAGTTCTACACGGTCACCTTTGGCACATCGCGTGCTATCGGCGCTCTGTCAGCGCTCGTACATGACCGAATCATCGGGCTGCCCATCGAGCGACCCAAGTCGGTATCTATGGAATCAATCGTTCAGATGTTCAAGTAGACCGCGCAATTCGCGCCAATTGCAAAATCTCGAGGATGACCTCTGGCTTTCATTGCGCGTGATCCTAAGATGTTTCCCTGCGAGCCACGTGCTGCGACTGAAACGGCCATGCAATGCATGCAATGCCTTTCCTTTGTGACAATACCCTCTATGCTACATAAATCATGCTTGCGTGTTCCTGGCCTTGCGTGCTTTTTGGCCCTGCGATCAAAACAACCCCAACAGAGTCCGTAGCTGTTTGAAATTAGGCGATCTACGCAGCAAGCAGATTCAGGATCTGGCAACGAAAGCAGGAACGAATGTGGACACACCCGAATCCAGTAACAGGGTCCCAAGATTTGGAAGCCACGAAGCCTGGCGATGGCTGTTAGCCACTTGGTCACGCGCACAGCCAATAAGCTTACCTGTAGTGTTGCAGCCGAACGATGAGCCGCTTGTGACATCCGTGAAGCCCTTTCGAAAGCGATCTAAGCCTGACCCTGAGATCGAGGCAGAATAGGCTTACTGCTTGCCCGATTGTGTAAAGGAATGGATTGAAGAAGCCTAGTGTAGGACGACCATTGGCGATGAGATTGTCGTTCAGTAAGGTGATGATGCCAGCAACAGTAGGAGCGGAGGCGCTGCGATTCACAATGAGCATGTCGCGTATCTCTAGCTAATTATGCGCACCTCGTTCCACCGACACTGATGTTCTTTCCATCCCAGACGATCGCAAACTTGCTGCCTTGAGCTGATACGTCCGGAAAACCTCGACCGTTGGGATTGAACTGTCCAGCGTAGGCTTTGCTCTGAGCTTGGTGGCCTGCTAAGTAACTTTGCACTGCGACTTTCTGATACGCTGGCGTGCTGAAATAGTTACTGAAGCCGCCACCCGACGCAAAGCCACCCAGTGTAGTATCTGTTGCGACCTCGGGATTCAAGCCTTGCAGAGCACCGACTGAGGTGACACTGCCAAAGGATATCAGTGGGATGCAAGTCGAAAAGACGCAAACTCACTATGGGCAAGTCGCAGGGAAGGTAGGAAGGAATGCGGGTTGCTTTGTGCCCACCTTGAAGCAGTCGCCAGAGATACCCACCCCGAAGTCACCGCTAGAGAAGATGACCGTCACGCCGCGCGCTCCGAGTTGCGCGAAACCGTTGCAAACCCTCTCTTGGTAGGCAGTAGGTACTGATTGCTCCTCATCGCCGTACGAGGTAGTCAAAACCGGAGGAATCGAGTCGAGCGACAAGAGATAGTCGAGCTGCTGCTGGTAGGGTTCGCTACCATTGTCGGGCGTCTCCAGAGTGGGTATGCTTGGCGGTGCCCCTCCAGTACTGAGGAAATCCGATCCGATGGGATAAACGAAGCCGCCCACTGTTTGGACATCCAAATTTGCCTCAATGTCGATCTCATTGGCTACATCAGACGCAGAGAGCGTTTGGTGGTTGATGGCACCATTGATCTGCGTGTAACTGTACTTGTAGTTGATCGCATCGGGTCGCTCCATGGCAGCAAAGAGCTTGAAGTCGGAATAGACCGCGGTTTCATTCAGATAGCCGGAGACGGTGATGAGCGTTTTGCCTGCCACACTGATCATTAACAACGATTGTAGATGACTGGGGATGGTCGCAGACCTTTCGTCTTGGGTACGTAGTCGATCGTGCCGTACAGTGTACGAAGACAAGCGTTTGTTACGGCATGCAAGTTCGTGCAGACTTGGCTGACCGAGGCATTCCTCGAGCCGAAGATGGGTACGAAAGGTGGGATAAAGTCTGCAGGAGTCATGGGGGTGTGCGTATGCCTGAACGCTTGCATAGAGCTAAAGAACGTCGTAGGTTGAACGGTATCGATATGTTCGTGTAGAGACGCTGGTAACGAATAACGTAAAGTGCGCACTGCACTCTTGCCAGAGATAGGATGATGATAGATATCGAACTGCGTATCGAGCATGCGGCTCGCCGTAGAGACTGGCAAAGTGAGTGTGATCCAGTCCTCGGATGCGGAATGCTTGAGCGCGTTGCGTTGCAGACCATGCTCTCCCAGGAAGTCATGGACAGCATCGAGCGTGTTTTGCTTAGGCCTGACATAATCTGCTACGCCTTGCTTGGTAAGATGTTGACCATATCGCGGGTTGAGCGGATCCGAGATCTCGAGCAAGTCCGCCTCGAGCCCCGCGGCATCCTTCTGCTTCAGACCGAAGTGCAGAGTGATCGTGTGATCAGCGGGGGCTTCGACTGTCTTGAGCCAGTGTCGGGGCACATCCGGCAACTCATGTTGGACCTTGTAATCGGCCTTGAGTGCAGGTGCCGAGTTCACGGGCCTTACAATGGCAAGTGCGCCGAGTGCGATCCACGCCAGGCTCGCCATTGTGTGCAAAAGTGATTGTGGTTTGGTGTATACAGTCTATATAACGTCCATCGTGCTCTTATCGAGCAACCGCGAGGTCAGGAAGCGGACTAGGTTCTTGTCTCAAAGCTCAAAGCGCGCTAATAAAGTGAATATGCAATTGTCCGAGCTCGGATCATATTAAGAGCCCATACGCCGGCGTGGTTCAGCCGAAATGTTGGACATAGGCCTTACCCACCTCTTCGAGCAGATCGCTCGTCTGCATGGCTCGCCCTGTTCGATCGAACGCTCGATGAGAGCATGTTCGCGTGATCGTCGCGCCCGCAAATGCAGCCAGGAGGGGCAGCCTCTCTGTCGGTATTCGCTCGGCGCCATCACTGTATATGACGATGAGCACATGATGCTGACAACGGCAGGAACTTGACCCACTCTTCCTGACCCTCTTCGTACGTCTTCGCCCAAGCCATGAAAGTACCAACTGTGCCGCTGAGCACGTCGCCCTGACCGCCGCATCGCTTGAGGCCGCCTGCCTCGTCGCACTTGAGAACGTCCTTGCCGTTCGATATGACATCGACCGCGCCCTTTTGCAGCACCGTCAGACCGCCCAAGGCGTTGGCGAGCTGCTTGGCCAGTGTGTCCGGATCACCCTTTTGATCGATACCCTGCGGTCTGCTGTGAGCGGCAAGCTCAGGTCAGCAAGCTCGACGTACCATCTTGGAGCATAGTCGTCCGAACTCGACGACGTTGGGCGTCAGTATGGCGCGTTTGTAGCCTTTGATGACTTCTGGCTCGCTCTGCACGAGGAAGAGGCCATCTGCATCGATGACGACATATTTGGCATCTTTTCGCGCGAGTTCTATCGCTGATCGTGCTGCGTCTTGCATGTGTTGCTCTCTGCCCAGCCCGGGACCGACAACAATGATGTGCAGGCGCGACAAAAGTGCTTTGAGCTCTTCTTCGATCGCCTTCGGATCTCTGTCCCTCCCTGCATCAGCACGATGTACATATGAACCGCTGCTCTTCGTACCCATCTTGCGCAAGCAGCCGGTGGACGATCAAGTCTGCCAACATGATGAGCGCGCGGATGCAATCTGCGCGAGAGAGGCGGACCAGGCGAGTATGTCTTGATGACGTTGCCCGCCGATGGCTCACAGATCACGTGTGCTAGATCGGCACCCTATGCTCGTATGAGCTTGGCAGGCATGGACCGTGTGAGACTGACAAGGCGCATGGCGGAGTAAGAGGAGAAATAAGGAGCGCCCGTGTAACTGCGAGGTGTAAGCGCTTTGCGAGAGCGCTCATGTATGCGCCATACTCTTTGCTGCCTCCGATCACACCGACCCGGCCTATTGGAGCGATGAGCTGGCGCTTGTAGTCTTACTCAGGCTCATACCTGCTTGGCCCTTGTGCTTATCCGAGCTGAGGCTGGGGATGATTCGACGAATCTCTGCATTGAGCTGCGAATCCATCAGCTTGGTCTGCAGTGGTGAGCTACCGTGACCGACCTGGCTGGCACTGCTCATGGTCGCAAGTGTTCGTCCAAGAGTAGTGAGGTGTCGGTCAGCTCGCATGGAGCCATCGTCATCGAGAGCGGGGCACTTGCCCCTCTCGCGTTGTGGAGACTCGTGCTCCGCGAGCAAATTCGGACCGACAGCGAACACTTCCAAGTCCCCCTCATCCCCCTTCCGAGACTCTCAGTAGCATGCGAAAGATGATCAATACCATTCTTGCAGTCGTCGCAATGCTCATTGCAGCTGCACACGCTCGCATTGGACCTACCTCACTCCAAACACTTCGCGCCGTACAAACGACTGGCAAGGGGCCAAGTATCAGCTCGGCCAATGCTGTCGATGCGACCGGGATCACAGCGGGTGGTGTGACATTCAAGAATGCCAAAGCTCGAGAGTACTATGTCGATGGCAGAACAATACCGCTCATGGACTTTGACATCGGTACATTGCGCACGTTATGCTGCTCCCCAATCGGAGCTGAGCCGAGAGAGCAGGACCACTATTCTCTGGCTTGCTTCCAATATCAGCAGCTGCTAATGAGACGCGCAAGCTGTTCTTCATTTTCACACCGACGCAATCCGGCAAATCAAGCAAGGATCTCGTAATCTGGCTCAATGGAGGTATGCAGGCCCGGGTTGCCAGACAACGGCGCTGAGCATATCGCATAAGGACCTGGATGCTCCTCTCTCGAGGGATGGCTTCAGGAGAATGGCCCTGCTACCTTTGGCTTCGGTCAGGCGGCGCCGACCCTCAGGACGAGTGGCAATTGGGCACAACACGCGCACATGCTTCACGTCGAGCAAATGGTTGGCTCTGGCTTCTCTCAGGGCCCTGTCACTGTGACCAACGACGACGAGCTGGCAGTGATGTTCATCGGCTTCATGCAGCAGTTCCTTCTCCTCTTTCCTGAGATGAATGGCTTTAGCTTGTACATGACCGGCGAAAGCTATGCTGGCTATCACGCTAGCTATATCAGCAAGAACATTGTGCAGCAGCCTGCAGCACTCAATCTCACTTTCCGAGGTCTCATGCTCTTTGATCCCAGTCTTCACTACGACATCATCCAAGAACAAGCACCGGCCTTGCCGTTTGCACGCTATTGGCAGGACATCATGCGTCTGAACGACACGACGCTTGCTACGCTTCAGACGCAAAGCGATCGATGTGGTTATACGAACTTCTTCGATCAGCTCACCTATCCGCCCAGCAAAGCTCTGACCTTTCCAAACGGCCGTACTACAGCGACTGAAGACTGCGATATCTTCAGCGCTATCATCAACGCCGCGCTCGTCATCAACCCCGCCTTCAATATTTACGACATATTGGACATTTCGGTCTTGTCCGACCCGCTCGGGCTGCCCGGCACCTTCCCCAGTCAGCAATTTCCCTTTAGCGCCTACTTCAATATAGAAGCGGTCAAGCAAGTGCTCCATGCACCCAACATCACTTGGGAGACTTGTGCTTCCGGTAAAGTATATGCAACACCCTCTGGCTACGGCACGAATGCTCCCTCGACTTTTGAAGCCCTGCCCATCGTGCTCAATGCTGGCAAGCGAGTCATCATCGGGCACGGTGCGCTTGATTATGTGCTCATGCAGAATGGCACTCGATTCGCCATTCAGAACATGACATGGCAGAACAGGCAAGGATTCCAACAGCCAATCGGCTCGGGATTGTTTTATACAGGCGCACAAGGCAGTGTTGGCAATGTACATGAAGAGAGAGGCTTGACTTATGTCGAGCCTTACCTCAGTGGGCATATGGTATGTCCGCATGTTCACACTTGACCCGGATGACATGACAGATCAATGTACTCGCAGGTGCCGCAATTCCAGCCGTTAGTGGCGGTCAAGATGCTCACTTATCTTCTCGGTCAGATTGACACCATTGTTGGAAAGTAGTCGCAGAGTATCCGGGTATATTTGTATTGGATGCTATGAAGATGTGCCATTGCTCGCCTCCGCCAAGTCTGCTCGAAGAGGCGAATAAAATTGACAGACAGTCCTTCGAGCTTCGCGCTTTGCGTCACGCGTCGCCGGCGTCGCCATGAGATGGATTTGCTGAGCTGTCTGGGCCACAGGGCCAACTCTGATGAGCTCAAGCGAGCTGTCCAGTCTCTTCATGGTCCGCCAAAGTCCAATGGCATTATCGAAGGCGACATCAAGGTCTATCGAGACGGGGTGTATATCAACCATTACGCACTCGGCTTTTCGCTATTCTTTGAGCCCGTCAAGGGCTACCAACTCCAGACACGCATGCCATCAAGCGACGTCGACTATGCGCAGCTACAGCTCGCAAGTCTGGACATCTACAACCCGTCAAAAGACAGCAAAAAGGTCAAATTTGGCACTTTTACAGGATTGCCTTTGCGAGTCACTGCCGGCATCGAGCTAGCCAGCGACACGACTGGCAAGCAGATCGTCAAAGCCTTGGGTGAGCCCGACCGCAAAGGAGGCGGTGCTGGACCTCAGGGCGCAAGCATGGGCGTCTGGATAGAATACACCAGCCTGGGACTCATGCTCGAATTCTCCTCGAGCGGGCTCGGATCTTGGGACACCGCGGCTACGCAAGCATGGTCTGTTGCTACGCTATTCCCGCCAACGCACGACAGCGCGAGGGAAGAAGAAGCCAGGATGTTATCCGTTCATGAAGCTCTGCGTGACGCGTCTACGCCTGCATGAAGCTCGCAAGCCAGTCACACAACAACATGCTCATGCATCTGGCTGAGCGATCTCACGTCTGGCCGCCTTTCTTCTAGCGACTGTCAAGGCCATTCGACCTGCCGAGCTGCTCGGCAAGCTAGACGGGGCCCGCGCCGCCCGGTATTAGCTGCAAGCCTGAGCATCAGCTGTCACGCGCAGCCAGATAGGTCGAGCGAACCATTGCAATGTTGTTACCGTTGAGCAGGGTCTGCCCTAGCTTCGTTGCTTTGCGACCCTGCGCTGTGTTTTCACTGTGAGAGCTTGTCAGATGGAGGCGTCACTTTCGTTTGCAAGTGAGCGCACTATTCGGTGACGTCGTCGAGGACCATATTGACAAAGTCATCGAATCCCAACAGTGTGCCTACGATCTCTCTCTCAGACTTGAGCACGACCCATAACCTCGAGCCTGCCACAGCCAATCAGCTTTGCCAGCGCGTCCAGACTGGGGCGTTGCCTACCGATGCACTTGTCGATTAGCTCTGCGCCATGGTCAATGATGATGGCACGGGGAGCTGCTCAGACTCACCAAGCGGAAGGATCTGTGTCGCCATGAGCCCAATTTCCTGGCGAGCTCCGGATCACCGATCACCTCGCAGGCGCAGGCGGGCGGCTCGAACGTACGCGTCAAAAGATTGATCGCCGAAATCGTTCGAGTGCAAGGCTGGGCAGGGCTGGGTGCCAATCTGATAATAGGCTGTCATCGCTTCATCTCAGGCAAGTCTCCTGGGCGAAGCTCGGCGTAGCAAACAGATCGAGTCAGCGTATATGCACGTCAGCTCAGAAAGCGCGGCATCCCTGCGCACGGTCTGTGCGTTGCGTGGACGCATTCTGTCAAATTGGTTCTACGTTGGGTTCGTGCGCTGACGGTCGCCTCGAGCAGGCTTGCGCGCAATACTTGTCTCTATCCATCTCGACTCTGATTGGCTGTCGGTGCATACCCCAGCCGACCTAGGCCAGCCTCATTAGGCCATCTCGGAACCACATCAAGCTCGCGCAACGCACAAATGTACCAGAACGTCAATGGCACCCGCCCAGGCCACCATCATAGATCCTCAACATCTGGCTCCACGCCTGCTGCTATTCTCAATGAGCACATGACCTCGCCAGACCCCACCTCGCTCGCTGCCGTGCCGATGAAAGAGTACTCGGCGCCTTTCGAAGTCACCGACGTTCGTCCAAAGGATGTCGGCATCCGTGCGTCACCCATCACCATCTCCATTTGATCAAGCTGACATATCCATAGATGCGCTCGAGCTGTATTTCCCCCATCGCTGCATCTCGGAAGCAGACCTTGAGCAATTTGATGGTGTATCCGCTGGCAAGGTACGCCTTTGTACTTTCGCGTGTCGCTGGGCTCACAGACGTGCGCCAGTATACCAAAGGTCTCGGCCAAGAGTACATGGCCTTCGTCGACGACCGCGAGGACATCTACAGCTTCCTGCTGACAGGTGAGCCCGGCTAGATGTCATCCGATGAGAGAATGAATCGAGCCGGCTGCGCAGTGACGTCCCAACTGCTGCATAAATACAACATAGATCCTAGAGCAATCGGTCGCATCGATATCGGCACAGAGACCATCATCGACAAGTCTAAATCGGTCAAGACCGTTCTCATGGATCTCTTCGCGCCCTACGGCAACCATGACATCGAAGGCATCGATTCCAAAAATGCCTGCTACGGCGGCACAGCTGCGCTCTTCAATGCTCTCAACTGGATCGAATCGTCCTCCTGGGACGGCAGATACGCACTCGTCGTCGCGGGCGACATTGCCATCTATGCCGAAGGGTCAGCTCGTCCTGTAGGCGGTGCCGGCGCCGTCGCGATGCTCGTCGGCCCCAACGCACCACTCGTGCCAGAACCCACTCATGGCACGTTCATGACGAACTCTTGGGACTTCTATAAGCCTTCGCTGGCCTCGGAATTCCCCGAAGTGGACGGACCGCTCACACTCATCGCGTACTTGTCAGCGCTCGAGTCGACGTATGCAAAGTATCGCGAGAAGGAGTCTGCCCGCTTGACAAAGTCCCAGACGTCAGACTCGAGCAAGGTCGATCTTGACTACTTTGACTACCTAGCATTCCACGGGCCATACGGCAAGCTCGTGCAAAAGGGCGTCGCACGCATGGTGGGCCAGTGTGTCTTTGTCAGTCATCGCGCTCATGCTTGCACAGATGTACGGCGACTATCACGCGGATCCATCTGCACCATTGTTCAATGATGTTGATCCTTCGCTTGCCGATGTCGCGCGATCGCAAACTTTGACCAAGAAGGATGTCGAAAAGACGTTTATCGACCTGTCTGCAGCTGCCTACAAGGAGAAGGTCTGGCCATCTACCAACTGTATGCGACGACTCGGCAACATGTACACCGCGTCGCTGTACGGTTCACTCGCCAGTGTCCTCGAGTCTGTTGCGCCAGAGACGCTCCGTGGCAAGCGAATAGGCATGTTCAGCTACGGCAGTGGTCTTGCAGCGACCTTTTTCGCCATCCGCGTGAAAGGCGATACGACAGAGATACGTTCAAAGGTCAATCTCGACGCGCGTCTTGCCAAGCTGCAAGTCAGACCGTGCGAGGAGTATGTGCGAGCACTAGAGGTATGCCGATCTCTCGCTTTCACATTACGATGCTTATATGGTCATGCAGCTCCGCGAAGAAAAGCACAACATTCGCAACTATACCCCAGATGGTCCTGTAGATGGCATGTGGCCAGATACCTTTTACCTGGAAAAGTGCGACGACAAGTTCAGAAGAACTTACGGCATCGCTCAACCCTCGCAAGAGCGCATTCAAGCTTGAAAGCGAGCTCGCGCAAGTATACCCCGGCCTCCATTTGTTGACTAATTGCAGCATTTTCTCGCACTGACCCTCCTTGCCCTCGGCTCCCGCCTTTGACCTCGCTTCTTGAAAATGCTCCTTCCTCGCCTTCTACAAAGCTATAAGTACAGCTCTGCTCTGGTCATACGTACTTCACTGATAAGCCAGCTCACAAACATGAAGATCATCATTGCTATCGCATGTGCCTTTGTCGCGTATTCCACCGCACAAACCGTCGCACCGATGGCAGACGCAGACGTCGACGCGCTCGCGCCCATTGCTGCACCTAATGCGACGACACCCGCAGTGCCCGCAGCCAATGCTACAACGCCCTCTGTCAATGCAACAATGCCTGTAGCGAATGCCACGATGCCGATGTCGATGAACTCGACAATGCTCGCAACGCCTTCGGCTGCCACTCCCGAACAGACTAGTGCGCCCGATAGTGCTGCATCCGCATCACCCAGCGCCAACACGAATGCAATTATGGATCAGCTGACCGCGCTCGAAGGTATGGTCAGTGCAACAGCAGCGCCTACGATTCCCAAAAGCTTCGACTTTGGCGCTGCACAAGCAACTGCATTGGTATGCCTCCTGTCCCGAACGTGCTATGCCCGCGCTGAGCGCGTGCCACAGCCTACAAATATCAATGATATTCTGTCTGCCGCGCCCACACAATTCGGCAGCCTGGCGTAGACTTGTTACATGCAGGGCCTCGCATCTCTGCTCTGATTCGACAGGTTTGTGCTATGCATGAATACGAATCTTTGGCTGTGATACGTTTATTACTAGAGAGACTTTGCCGCGAGGACGTGCGCGCGAGACGTTGGACGCGAGAAGTTACCGCATTGAATAATTATTCAAGTTTTCGCGCGAAGCCTCATTGCTCGCGCCCAGGCGTGACGCAGCGTTCGCATCAAGTCATCTCGTAAGTCGCCTCGCAGCTGCTTTGTGGCTCGTACGGTCGGCCCCGTCGCGCATGGCCACCTCGCAAGTTGACAAAGTTGAAGTCAGCGTTAGGCGCCACATCCTTGCCAATGCTGGTTCTTCACCTGGCTTGCGCTTGGTCGTGCGATCAGCCTCACGCATCGACTCGGACTTGCTGCTCTACGATACCGCTGTCCTTCCGTCCGACTGGTGATCACCAGAGCGTACGCTGACCTCGCTTTGTCCGTGCAGTCGATCAGGGACGGATTGCAATGGCGTTGAAGCGCATCAACAAGGTTCGGATAGCATCGCTCGCAATGGCTTGTGAGCCTGACTTGGGCACGCTGTCTTGACAGGAACTCCTCGATCTAGGCAAGGATCCACCATCGTCATGCAGCGCAGGGCCGACCGGTGACAACCTGTACGTTAGTCTCACTACTAGATCGTGACACGAACGCTCATCGTCCCTCGTCCGGCGCTTGTGCAGGTTTCAATGGCAAGCGACGATCATGGGACCGGGAGACTCTCCCTATGCAGGCGGTGTCTTCTTCCTCTCGATCACTTTTCCGACCGACTACCCTTTCAAGCCGCCCAAGGTCGCTTTCACGACCAAGATCTACCATCCCAATATCAACGCAAACGGCAGCATCTGCTTGGACATCTTAAGGGAACAGTGGAGCCCTGCGCTGACAATATCCAAAGGTACGCCCTGCAAACCTTGGCATAAGCGGTGCATGCTGAAGTCACCAATCACGCAGTGTTGCTCTCGATCTGCTCGCTTCTCAACGATCCAAACCCAGACGATCCGCTCGTACCGGACATTGCGAATCTGTACAAGACCGACCGCGCTCGCTACGAAAGCACGGCAAGAGAGTGGACCCGAAAGTGCGATATTTGCATCAGCTCTTTGCCCGGGAGCTGATCAATGCCACAGGTACGCGACATGAAGACATCAAGACTTAGTACATTAGCAGCGCATCTTCAATGTGTCTGATCGTAGATTGCAACTTCTCTCATAAACGCGCTGCTTCGCTCGTGCTAGCTTGCATTGCTTGCGCTCCAGATGCAGATCAGACCATCTTCGCCGCCTGAGACCACTCTGTCACTGGCGACATCGTGATGGATGCAACGGACAATGTCGCTATGACTGCCACTGAATGTGGCGAGTACCGCGTCTGGCTCATCGACGCTCTGCCTCGCCACCACGAATTCACCGCTGTCAATCGAAATCTGAGCCAAAGCTGAGCTGGACAGAGAGCTACGCACGACTCGGTACCCAGCCATGTCTGCACAGCATCAGCAGTCACATCTGCACGAATGACGTGATGGCTTTGCCAGCCTTGCTCTGTCTGACCGCGCACATCGCCGAGCTCGTCAAGGACCTCACATTCTGCCAGATCCCAAATTGAGATGGTCTCTTGGGTCGTCAAGCAAGCCAAGCGTTCTTGCAGCATGCTCATCGACCGCAGTGGCGCGCCCTCGTTACCCGTGGCTATCACGGCGTCGTCTTCGTCCGAAAGGCGCGTGTCGAAGCAAGTCCAGAGCGTGTCCGTCGATCCCGAGAAGAGCTGGTGTCGTCTGTGAGGATGATAACGGACACAGGTGATGTCGTCTGAATGCGACTCTGTGTAGGTATGTACGACCGCCGCTGCTCGCAGATCCCAGATATCGATGTGCGCCTCGTGCAGGGCAAGTTCAGTTCCTGCTGCTATCTGCGTCTGATGGCTGTCGAACGCGCCGCATGTGTATGCTCCCGGTCGGGCGCTCTTAAGCGACAGGTTGCCGCCTGGCGCGCCCGTACGCAGATCATAAAGCACGGCGTCGCCCTGATCTGATGTCATGCAAAGCACGGGAGCTGGCCAGACGGACCCTGTGAGGGAAGTCACGTTGGCTTTGCCTTGTATCGCATTGAGCTGCTTCAGGGTCGCAGAGTCATATGTCCGTATGGACTTGTCTGAGCCGGCAGCTGCAAAAGTCGAGTCGAATGCAGCCAATTCGAGGACGTATGTGCCGCTTCGACCAAGCCGGGCTTTGCTCACGAGCTGGCCAGCTATACAATCTGGAGCTGGAGCGAGTCTGCGCACTTTGCGAGGCCGCTCCTCAATGTCCATCGAAGCGAAAACTGTCGGGGTCCTTGACCGCCTTGGCGCTGAGTTCCACTGAAAGTCACCACTGATCTGTGGTATCAACTGAATACGAATTCAAGAAGCGGCGGATGCTGCGCGCGCACCGTGCACCGTGCAACGACGAGGCTACTTTCATCGCGATGGCGAGTGCGCCTCGAGCCAGGCGACCGCTCGCGCCAGCCATCGAGCATACAGGTCTCAATGGCTCGTCGGACGAGAAACTCACAAAACGCGGAACAGTCCATGTCGAGACGGCGGCACCTCTGGCCAAACCTCAAGGAGGACTGGCGACGGGCTGGCTAGCCCAACCGGCACTCAAAGGCAAGGGCAAGAGGACATCAGCCGTACAGGATGGCGGCCCCCTCGATTTTCTTGGCGGAGGGCTAGAGGTGCTGTCGGCTGGCGAAGTCAAAGTGCTCGTTGGCGTCTTGCTGCTCGCTTGCTGGGTACGGCTGTGGCATCTCGACCGCCCAAGCAGCGTTGTGTGAGGCTTTCTGGAAGCTGTGTGCAGAGCAAGACGCTGACGCAATGTCTACAGATTCGATGAGGTACACTTTGGAGGCTTTGCGAGTAAATACCTCAAGAGCAAGTTCTTCATGGACGTCCATCCGCCCCTGGCCAAGCTGCTCATCACACTTGCCGGCTTCGTGTCTGGTTTCGACGGCAACTTCGATTTTAAAGAGATTGGCATGTCCTACAAGGAGATGCGCGTGCCGTACATCGCGATGCGGATGCTGCCTGCTACTTTGGGGATAATGCTCGTCCCGCTAGCTTATTTTACCCTACGCATACTGGCGTGCAGACCAACGACAGCACTCATGGCGAGCTTGCTGGTCACTTTTGAGAACGGCCTCATCACTCAATCACGACACATCCTACTCGATTCACCATTAATATTTTTCACTGCACTCACCGCGTTCGCATGGTGCGGCTTTGCCAAAGAAGACGAGCGGCGCTCTTTCACACCAATCTGGTGGTCTTGGCTCACTTTCACTGGCGTCGCTCTGGGCGCAGTCGTCAGTTGCAAATGGGTCGGTCTTTTCACGATCGCGACTATCGGCTTGGCCACGATCAAGCAACTATGGGACCTCCTCGGCAATTTGCGCGTCTCTTTGCCGTTGCTAGTTCGGCATTTCATCGCACGTGCAATATGTCTCATCCTGATACCCTGTCTGTTCTATGCGAGCATGTTCGGCTTGCATTTTGCCGTCTTGAGCAACTCTGGCGAAGGCGATGGCTTCATGAGCTCAGAATTTCAGCATTCTCTACGTGGGCACGGCATGGAAAATACGTTTGCCGACGTCTATCTCGGCTCACGGATCACGATCAAGCATCTCAACACGCAGGGGGGCTACCTGCATTCGCACGCGCATATGTATCCTGGCGGAAGCCACCAGCAGCAGATCACGCTCTATCCTCATCGAGATGAGAACAACGACTGGATTGTCTCCAATGTCACCGCAGAAGGCGCACCCAAGATCGATTTTCAGACACTCGAACAGCTCGTACCTATCATGGACCGGACTGTCCTTCGTTTCGAGCATGCAACGACTGGCAAGAGGCTACACTCTCATGACGTCAGACCACCGGTTTCTGAGGTCGACTGGCAGAACGAAGTCTCTGGCTATGGTTTCGAAGGATTCGATGGTGACGTGAACGATCACTTTGCCATCGAGATCGACCCCACATACACAGACTCAAGCGACAAACTCGCGAAGAAACAGATTCGTTCACTGCGTACAAAGTTTCGGCTGCGACATACACTCACAGGGTGCTATTTATTCTCGCACAAGGTCAAGCTGCCTGAGTGGGGTTTCGAGCAGCAGGAGGTGATCATTGCACGGAAAAGGCTATCCACTCGCTGATCTAGCCCTCGTGCAGGTCACATGCAATAAGAACCCATCGAAGGCTAACTCGATTTGGTATGTTGAGACGAACAGTCACCCGCAAATCCCTGCGGATGCAGCTACGGTCAACTACAAGGGTGCGGGCTTCTGGAGCAAATTCTTCGAGCTCAATGCCGTCATGTGGCAAACCAATCAAGGTCTCACCGATCGACATGCCTACGACTCTCGGCCGCAGTCCTGGCCTGCGCTGAAGAGGGGCATCAAGTCAGTCGCACGCTAAGCTACATTGTTGTGCTGACCCGGCGAACCAGCTTTTGGGTCAAAGATCATCGACAGATCTACTTGATCGGCAATCCCGTCATCTGGTGGTCCAGCACACTAGCCGTGCTCTTATACGCAGCTGTGAGAGCGCTCATCTTTATAAGAGCAAAGCGCGGCTTCCAAGACCTCAACAATACATCTGTCGCATTCTACGACGGCGTTTGCGGCTTCCTGGCGATGGGCTGGGCGCTGCACTACTTTCCCTTCTTCCTCATGAATCGACAGCTCTTCCTACATCATTACTTTCCGGCGCTATACTTTGCCATACTCATGCTCGCCGCCATATTCGATGCCGCCACGAGCCGGCTTGCCCCTCGGTATAGACTCGGCGCAGCTGCGGCCTGTCTCTTGCTAGCTATCATGGCCTGGGCGCATTGGTCGCCTCTCGCCTATGCTGGACAGTGGACACGCGGGCAATGCGAATCAGCCAAGCTGCTAAAAAGCTGGGATTTCTCCTGCTCGGACTTCCCAGTATCTGTAAGCCATTCTGCTGCGAGCATATGTCTGAGCTGACTTGGGTGACGCAGCTCGCCGAATATACCACAGCAATTGTGCCAAAAGAAGCCGCACGTGCAACGCCGACAGCCGAGGATGGCGTGGTGGTCGATGCTGTGGTGCCGCCAGTGATACCACCGCAAGAAGCGGAAGAGCCGAACTTGGCCGTCAATTTCGATCCGCCATTAGATCCAACGACGCCGGCTGCAGTCGCCCCGATACAGAATGCTTTCTCTGATCCGCACGCAGCAGGCGAGATCGTGCAGACAGCAGGATTACCGCAAGAAGCCGCCGAAGCAGAGGCTGTGATCGAAGAGGGAGATGATTCCGACGCGCCTGTCACCTATGCCGACGATCCTGACGCAATCCAAACGACACGAGATGAAAGTGTAGCACTACCGGACAAGGCCGAGCCTACTGGCGAGGAGGTTTCGTGACGGCACGTCATTGTACAACAGTAAACCGCAAAATGCACACGATCTTTATACGCGACCGCCTTGCTGCAGCGACATCAGTGCACCGACAAACGTGAGCATCTGCGCGTCTGGTCAGCGATGGCACTTCCTGTGCAGAAAGACCTACCAGTTTTGCCCGCACGTCTTTGATATCGTCGGGCACAAGGAAGATGAGCGCGCCAAGCTTTCGTGCGACCGAGATGGCCAGCTTGGCATTATTGAGACATTCGTCGTCATTCCTTCCTTCCAAGACGAGCGAGTAATCGACATAGCCGGGCTTCATGCTGTCAAGCAGGTCCAGGAAGAAATGAGCGTTCTTGAGGCCAGGATCCCGGAAACTGCGCATTGATGAACGCTTGCCACCGGCTTTGACAGTATCGTTAGCCCATCGAACGATGTCTTGGTCTGTGATCTCTTTGCCGCCTTTGCTCAAGCCTGCTAAAGTAGCGGTCACGTTCTTGCGCATCAATTGCCAGACTAGGCCGAGCGTCAACGTCTTCTGTCCGTCGACAATATCTGCGCCCTGAATGCCGACAAGCTGCATGTGGTTGGCTTTGCCAAGGTCGACTGCGTAATTCGTATTCTCGACCGCTTTGAAGCGCGAGAGCTCAGGCGCAGGCTCGTCTTGGTTGACATGCGCAGGCTTCTTCGACACTCGCCGCCAGACGACGGATCCAGGCGCGACTTTGTCAAAGGCCTGCAGTAAGACCGTGCCATCTCTGAGATCTTCGAAGAGGTTGTAAACGCCCGGTTCGACGTTGAGCGAATTCAGCCAGAGTGTGAAGACGCGCGCCTCCCGCTCGCCTTCTGCATCAAAGTCCTCGATGACAGGCCGCTCGGTCTCTTCGAGCGGCTCGAGACCAGGCCAAGTATTGAAGAGGTGGGCAACAAAGGCCAGATTGAGCTTCGGATTGCCTGCGACCATCGAGCCTGCTGTGAGATATTTGCGACAGCCGATTCTGTCTGCGTTCTGCAGGGTCTGCTCTGCTCGCTGCAGCAGGTCGCGCGTCTGTAGAGGGTTGCGTGAACACTGGTCCGGTTTGAGCTGATTGAGCAGCACGGTGTAATTCTCTGCATCATGCACATCTTTGGAAAAGTTGTTCACCCTGATCGTGCTGATCAGAACAGCCAAGGGAAACGCAAAGCAGCCTACCTTCTGGGCCAATTGGCGGCTTTGAGATGATAGTTGAACCATCGCAACAAGATCTGATCAGGCGGTAGCCGAAGGAATTGCTCGAGCGTTTCGCCATCATCGAGTAGCCGATACAATTCGGGATGGAGCTTGATGTCGATCTTGCTGAGCAGGCCGCGTCTGATGATCTGCCATATGAGCCCAAGGACGAGGTGCTCCCTTCCCTCGATGAGATCGGTCGGTCCAATGTTGACGACCGAGCACCCGATGGCTTTGGCCGATTGGATCACAATGTTGTTGTTCTCTGTCATCTGGAAATTGTTGATGCCTTTGGCAGCAGGCGGCGCAAGACCGGTCGAAGGACCGCGCTTGTGTCCTTTGGATGAGATGTTGAGCACACGCTCGTCGATCGTATCGGGTACAGAATCGTTGATGAGCTTAGAAAGTACGAGACCGTCCTTGCACTCGTCAAAGACTTGCATCGTATCGAGCGGTATGGGCAGCCTTGAGCCGATGTCAGCATCTCCAGCGAGGACCTGAGGCGAGGCATCAGCTCCAGATCTGCGTACATCGCGTGCAGACTGACCGAGTTGATATGACGAGTAAACTCGACCCGCTCGTCGTCGTTGATGGTGTGGGCAGAGCTCCCTGTACTGCCGCCAATCGTCGTCCTACCCGGCTTACTCTTGCCAGGAATGAGACCCGCGCCATTCTGCGACGAGCTCGCAGTGACGCGGAGCGAGCTGAACAGGTCCGCAAATTCCTCTACGTCCACTCGCCCTGAAGCATCAGAGACCGACTTGAGCGCTGCTCGCACTTGATCGTATCCGTAGCCGTGTTGCTGTGTGAACGCATCCGACACTGCCCTCTGTGACAGATACTTCGCTCCGTCTGCATCCAGCGAGCTGACAGAATGCAGTCCGATCAGCTACCGACGAGGCGGACGAGTAAGGCAGACTGACTTGAATTCGTGTACAAGCGACATCTGCGGGCAAGAGGCAGACAGCATGAGCCACTGTGTTGCGGACTGCCGCCAGCGGAGCGACGTACGACCTCATCCTGAGATAGCTCCGGATGCTTCTTGCGGATCTTCAGAGCTTCCATTGCGGCTGACTGAACCTGAGCGGTGCACGCCCGACAGTGACGAGTTATTAGGTGGCGTCGTTCTGCCTCGTCGTCGCCAGCTGGCAGGCGCGTCACCACGTCACCACGTCATCACCACTGGACCTTGGACATCTGCGGATACCCGACATGGCTCGTCAGCCGAGCGGTGCAGATCAAGCAACCGAAACGTATGAGTCACTCACGGCCGACGAAGTCAAGCAGCGACTGGACGAGCACGAGCACGGCGAGAGTGTGTGCTGCTCGCTTGCGGCGCGTACATCCAGCTGAGACAAGCGATTCCGCTCGCAGTTTCCACGCTTCTCGACCTACTGACGGAACAGCTCGAAGCGCTCATTGCCTCCTATCGCGCAAGAACACAGAGTCGTCTTCTGCTTGAGCAGATACCCGCAGAGATTCGAGCAATGAAGAGTGGGTCCGCATCATGCTTCAATGCATGACAAGTCTGATGGCGTGCAGTGAGAGACCTGGCTGCGTTCAGCTGGGACATGGATGCTGCACTCAAGTCGCGAGAACGAGGAGCGCAAGAGCCCCTCGGGCGTAGTCCCAAAAAGGTCAAATCCTTCCTGGAAAGCCTGAGCAGTCCCTTCAAGACGCGACAGCCGAGTCCTACGCCCGCGCCAGTCCCGAGCACATCCCAACTAGCACAGCCTACTGAACAGTCTCTGCCGAAGAAAGCGACAAAGAGGCCGAGCGAAGCGCACCTCAACGGCTCGCCTGCAAAACAGCCAAGGGTCTCGTCGCAGGTAGCTAGATCCTCTCCGAAAGTTGATCGCTCTCATGGCTGATATCGGCGATAGGATGCAAACACAAGGACACGCACGACAGGAACAGCCACACCGAGTAAACGCGCACCGCCCGGTGGTTTCACCTACCGCGCAAGGCTCTCATCTGCACTGCCAGCACAAGCGCCGCCTGTCACCATCTCGACGCCCAGCACCAGCACTTCACGCTCAGGAGAGTCACGTTTGCTCACGCATACTGTCAAGAGAAGGCCCAAAAAGGACGAGAGCATTATGGCCTTCTCCGTCAACGGCAGTCCGCTCGGAGTACTCGACTTGCAAGGAGGCTCGGATGACGAGGACATGGACGATACCTTTATGCTGGAACAACGTTCACCGCAGCAGGCTTGGCAAATGGTAGATGATGATACACCGAGTGATCCTGCAGGGCAGCCTAAGACACAGTCGAAAGCGGGTGCATTCTTCAATGGACTCTCGCCTAAAAAGTCTGCGGAATCGCTCCTGAGGAAGCATCCTTCGAGAATCCCCTCGCCCGTCAAGGGTGTCGTACCTCAAGGCAATGTCAAGGCCAAGGCGAATGCCTTTGCGGCTTCTATGACCTCGCGATTGCCTGTCTCGCCCAATAAGCTCAGGCGGCCAGCCTCCAAGCAGGCTACCATGCCTCCAGCCGTCAGCACTAGCGCCAATGAGGCGAGTACGACATTAGCAGCAATGCGTCGCCAGCTTCAAGCCGTCAACATGGCCGAAGACGATCGCAAGAAGATGCAGGGCCTGATCGACTTGCTCGAGCGTACTCAGCAGGGCATCGCGACGACATAGCACCCGGTAGCGTGATGTACGGATGCATTGATGCACGGCTCTTGGGCTCTACAGATAAAGTACAAGTGAGAGCCTTAACGATGCTCTTGCTCATTGCCATCTTGAGGTGCCGTTTCGCCCCTTCTCCATATTACGCTCGAACCAACATTCCACAATGCGCCCACCAGATCTCGTGCAGTTGTCGCAATCTCGACCGTCCGACCAAAGACTGAGCTTTGATCGTCATCGTATTCGTCGTAGCCGAAGCCATAATCGTCTGTTCGCGCAGCAGACAGATCTGCGCCATAGGTGACCGAACTGACACCATCGTCGAGCTGTGCAACCGTCGTTGTGCCGTCGGGATTTGCTCCTATTAGCCGTCCAGCAGCCGTGCGGAGAAGCGCCCGACGAGCAGCAGAGGTCTTCGCGCCGCTCGGCTCATCAGCCCATCTGAGGAAGCTGAGCTTTGAGAAGGAAGAGTTGCGATCAGCCGCCTGAATCGACGGCGAAGACGGTATTGCAGGCGAATCGAAAAGATAGCGATCGTCATCATCGTCATCTGAACCGACTTCTGAGGGTGGTCGGAAGCCTCTGCTGATAGTAGGCTTCGCAATGGCAATAGGCGCCGGGATGATCGTGCTCACCGATGAGCTCGGGCCTTTCTTTGCGTTCGCAGTCTCGGAGCGCGGCGATCGTCCGCCAAAGCTGCCGCTGCTGCTACCGGAGCCAGGCGATCGCGGGCTAGAGCTCGCACGCAAAGTGTCCGCATCCGAATAGCTTCCAAGTGAAGTGCCAGCCTCGCTGCTGCTTTGCCTGCTACGCGGTGTTCGACCGCGAGGAATCTCTATTGGACGCGAGCCTGACAGATCCGAGGGAGAGTACGAAACCGGTGATGCTGCTGACCTGCGGTCTATAGAGGCTGAGCGATCGAGCGAAGCTGAAGAGCCTCGTGAAGTCGAGCGACCGCGCGAGAGGAGTGTATTCACATTTGGCGGCGACTGACTAGGGGAATTGCTGACTGGCGTTGGCGTGCCGGATCCCGAAGGACTTCTACTGTACGAATCTACAGCAATATTAGCCTTGCTTTCAATGATCATGGCCGGGTGACATACCCAAATTCTCGCGGGAGCCAGCATTGTAAGGTGAATTTGCGCCGGAGGAGCTCGGACTATTGCCCGCACTGCCTCGACTACGCCTGCGAGATCCTTGCGAAGAGAGCGATGATGACGAGGAAGTGCGCACTGGCAGCGAAGAGTCGTTACTGACTTCGCCTACGCCATACCCGTCGCCAACGACCGAATTACCAAGCGAAGGCGACGCGACGGTCTCTTCCGTCTCGACGTCAGTGGACTGAGTGGCCGAGTCTTGAGCAGTCGGACGCGTTGTCGCGATGTAGCTCGCTTGGGTGCGTTTGGAAGTGCCGACGAGATCTGTCGCGCTATCGGGCTCCGGAGATGAATGCTCCTCATCAGTCGAATAGATTACGATAGGACTAGGAGCGGGCAGCTCTTCTGATGACTTGAGTGTCGTCGGCGCTAGCTTTGCGATGGTGTGATGCTCTAGCGTCTGCAGTGGCGCAAAAGTCGCCGAGCGGGGACTCGACTTGAACGTCAAAACGTCATCCTCGTCATCATCTTCGTCGTCCTCGTCGCCCTCTGCTTCCTCCTCTTCGTCGATGAAGCGATGGTGCAGATTGCTCAGACGCTGCTGCCGACGATAGTGTGGATCTTGATCGTCCTGCTGATCGACTGCTATACACTGTTCGACCCGATGATTGAACGAGATGTGCTTCTTGGGTTTAGAATCTTTGCTGTTCCTTCGACTGGACTGACTGCCGCCCGCGTGTGGCGTAGATTCGCCGTCATCGGAGACCTCAGGACTGCTGAAGCGTATTGCCGTCGAGGTTGCAGGCGATAAGATACTTGCGCCCGCTACCGCAGTTTTGCGCAGATTGGCAGCGTATGGGACGCCCGGACCAGCAGGAGCGTCTGTAGATGCAGCACCGCGAGTAAGATAGTCGCCATCAGTGGCAGACGAGCCAAGCACAGGGCCCGGCGACGAGGGCAGATTAAGGATATCAGACAGTGATCTGTACTTGAGAATGGGCTTCTTCGCCCTGGCAGTTGAAGCGCCCCGAACGCTAAGAGGAGCTTTCTCTGTGTTATCCGATCCATCGCTCGATAGGCTAGACGCCGCTGTACTTTCGAGTCCCAGACGATCGCCGAGGGTAGCAGCTTTGGGCGGCGGCACAGGGTCGACGCCGGTGTGCAAAGGCCCATAGAGCCAAGTGACGTCACTGTCCTTCAGCCTGCGAGATGCACTGCGTAAGTACTTGCAGCGCAGGGTCAAAGAAGAGCGCGGACCAATTGAGCGTTTCTGGACTGATCGTTTTCAACTTGTTGCGCTGTTTGGCCCATGTACGCCAACTCGCATTCTCGAGCCTGACGCCATTGACGATCTCGTTCTTATGTTTGGTCATGGCCTTCCAGCTCGCCCAGACATCCGTCTCATCCCACTGGTGTGAGAGATAATCCACGCAGATGCTCGGCAGACGAGTCTGAATCTCCGAATCGTCATTCAGGGGAGTTTGCGGCCCTCCTGGTTGGCCATTCGATGAAGTCTCCCGGCTAGCGTTATGCGAGCCCGCGTCCGAGGAAGAGGGAGAGCCATCGCGCGAATTGTTGTAATGGTACGCGTGAGACACGGTCGAGCCTGGCATGTAGGGCATCGAGACATTGTAGGGATAGGCGGGAACGACGATGCCACCCGAGGTGGTCGCGCCGGCAGAATAACCTGCAGTGGAGGAAGCAGAGGTGTACTGCACAGTCGAATTTTGAGGCTTCAGTTGGCCCGACGTTTGCCTGGGGGATGCTGTAGGCGACGACTGGTTCGATGCGTTCGGACTGGCGCCGGCCGTGACTGTCGGCGTACTAGAGAAAGAGCTGTCGATGGATGCAGATGACGCAGAAGCGCGATGTCCGTTCAGTCCGCTGGCTTTCTCGGCATCGTCAAGCTTGGACATGACAGACGGTAAGGCTTCATCATCAACAGATGACACTGATGACACTTCCGCTCTGTGATCGTCCGACGAATCATCGGCAGAGCAGCCATAGACTGACCCGGCCGAGCTCGACTCGTGAGATTCGACGGACGAGACAGAGGCTGAATCTGACTCTTCCCGGCCGTTTTTGGGCTTCGAAGCAGTCGCCGTTGCAGCGGCTGCCTCTGCTTGTTGCTTGCGCTTGATCGCTACTTCATCCGCCGCTTTTGCTAACATGCCCGTACTTGCGGGAACGTCGCTCTCGTCCGACAGCTCGGCTGGCTCGGTCGTCTCCGCCTTGGCTGCACTGGGTGTAGGCTTCTGATTCGGCTGAGCAGATACACTGAAGCCGGTCCTTTGTGAGTAGGGCTTGGAGCCCGAAGCGTCGAACGAGGCTCGTCTCTTGACTTTTGATGCGATGACAGGCGCCTGAGGGGCAGCAGTGGGCGGTGAGGGCGGCTTGTTCGCCATGGTCACTGCAGCTACCATCTGATGAGGCCGCCAAGGATGTTTCTATGCGTATCGAGGCTACCGCAAGCAGAGTCAGCTGAGGCTCGACTGAGCGAGTCCGTGCCCACTTTCTATGGATTGACGGTCTGAACGGTCTCGAGAAGCAGGCAAGATGCGCCTTTCGATGATGCGGCTACCTCACAGGAATGCCAGTGGCAGGACAGCCATGTCGAGAGGTCTGTCAGCAGCGGGAGATGAGCCTCTCTCCTCGTCTTGGCGACCGAGCAAGCTTACTTTACAGTGAGCAGACTGTCAGTACTGTCAATGCGATGATCGCTCGGCGATGGGCGGTACAAACAGATGCCAGCAGGTCGGTCTCGCAAGCCGAGCTTGAAAGAGTCGACGAGAACCCGAGATCAGCCGGTTGCTAGGCCTAGCTTGGAGCGATGTAGCGCACAGACTGGGCACACTCGCACGCTCCAGACAGTCGAAGCGAGACCCCAGCGCCACGTCGTCACCGTCACGAGAGGTGTGATGCCGTCCACGCTCTTGCGACAAAACGGATCCACGACCGAGCGGTTTTCCTCGCCGAAAGGAAAGAACGCCCCTCGCGGTGCCTACCCCGGCCAAAGTTTGGCTCGATTCTATCGATTTGGCAGGACTTAGCGAGCGGGTAGCGTGATCACGCTCTTCCTCTCGCTTGTCTGCCGCTGCACTCAATCACGATGGAGTCCTCCTGGCAAGCCGGGCCAGGCCAACGGAGCGTGAGAACTTTACCGCAGATCATGATCAGCCGATCACGAAAGAGACGGCAAATCGAGAGCCTCTGAATGCGCATCGTCTCCATATGTATGGCTCCATCCACATCACATCGTACTGATGCTAGTCTGAACAAAGAGCTGCGTGGGCAGTCGGCATCTGTCTCGACACGCTACACCATTGCATGGCTCATCCTTCGTGGGCTTTGATCTAACTGTAATTATTCCGATTGAAGATCCAGCGGGACGTCGAGGTCTCTCACTCTGCCGCTTCTTGATGCACATGTGACTCCTAGCTACATAGCCTCAATGGGGTCACAAGGATGACTCGTCTGTGGGCAGACTGCGAGCTCTATTTTTTTTCAAAGACATTTCGCGTCATTTGAAAAAGCATTCGGCAGCCACTCAGGCGTTGACTCATCAGGAAGTTTGACGAGGCGTCCAAGGCTAGTCTCCATCCGGCCAGGACCTGTTCGCCGCCTTCTGACATACTTGTGACACTACACAGATGGGTCGTCGTCCTGCAAAGTGCTACCGCTACTGCAAGAACAAGGTCTGTCAATGCTGACTGATCAGCCTTGATGGCCCGCTTAGGATGCGTTGAGCTTCACAGCCGTTCCCCAAGTCTCGCTACAACCGAGGTGTTCCTGACCCAAAGATCCGCATCTTCGACCTCGGTCGCAAGAAGGCACCCGTAGAGGATTTCCCTTACTGTCAGTCCCTCACGACCTTGCTCAGTACTCGCATCTGACCCTCGTTGGCTTCCCCCGCCCCTTCGCAGGTGTCCACTTGGTCTCGGACGAATATGAGCAGCTCTCTTCGGAAGCGTTAGAGGCAGCTCGTATCTGCGCCAACAAGTACTGCACAAAGACATCCGGCAAGGATTCCTTCCATCTCCGCGTTCGAGTCCACCCTTTCCACGTCGTCCGAATCAACAAGATGTTGTCCTGCGCCGGCGCCGATCGACTGCAAACGGGCATGAGAGGCGCTTGGGGAAAGCCATACGGCAAGGTCGCTCGTGTCAACATCGGCCAAGTCATTCTCAGCGTCCGCACGCGTGACTCCAACAAGGCCGTCGTCAACGAGGCTCTCCGTCGTGCCCGCTACAAGTATGTGACACCACTCCTCCGCATTCGAGCAGCTTGCTGACCGCCTCACTCGGGTAGGTTCCCTGGTCGCCAAAAGATCATCGTCAGCAAGAAGTGGGGCTTCACCGCGCTCTCGCGACAGGAGTTCCTCGATGCCAAGAATGCCGGCAAGATCAGAAAGTAAGTCTGCTTCTCGCCGCACAGGAGTTCCACTCAACGAGAGCCGTGTCAGTGATGGCGCTTACGTTCAGTATCTCAAGGAGCACGGCCCGCTCGTCAAGAACCTGCGCACTGCCGATATCGCCAATGGCCGTATTTGATGCGCTCGTTTGGATGCATGCTAGCTGTTCCCGCGATGTAGCTACATCGAGAGGACAGTCCGAAGTCTGACAGGCTAGATTTTGTATTCTTTTTGAGGATAGTACAGTACAACTGACTAGATCTTGCTTTGTCAAGGTGACCGGCCTCCGTCATAACGAGGACTGGGACGACGAGCAACAGGAGCTCTGCGCGGAGGCGGCGAGATCGAGCGGTCCCTAGGTGGCGGCGAGCGAGAGTCGAACGAGCGTGAGCGTGCTCGATGTCGAGGCAAGGGACTACGAGATCTCGAGCGACGAGGGTCTGGCGATCTTGAGCGTCTGTCATATCCACCCGATGGTCTACCGCCGCGTCCTCTCGAGCTGTACCCGTTCGAATGACCACGGTCGTAGCCGTTGCCTCTTGCGCCAAACGCGCCTCTACGTGGTGGTGGACCATCACGTCCGAATGCACCTCTGTAACCGCCTCGTTCGCTTCGATACGGAGGTGGTCGAGCTGGTTCGGGCGAGGGTGTGCGCTTCTCTTCTGTTCGGATGGTCACGCCGTCGAGTTGGCCCTGATCCATGTAGGCGATAGCTTTGTCTGCCTCTGACATGTGATCATACACGATATCCGCTTCTCCTCTCGGACGACCTACTCTTGCACATGCTCAGTAGATGTCACCGCACCTGTACATAGAATGCGCTCACCTCCTCGCGGGATGGCAAAGTCGATGGACAGGATTTTGCCATACACCCCAAAGATCTCTCTCAGATGGGCCTCGGTGACATTAGGCGTCAGTTTGGACAGCGTGACCGTTCTGTCTAGTAGATGACCCCTGCTCTGTGCGACGGGGGTGGGAGATCTCGAGCGAGAGGACCTAGGCGAGAGCGAGGGTGCTCGCTTGCCTCCTGACGGTCTACGTGGACTTGGCGACCTACCCGTCTCGATGTCAGCCCTGCCGATGAGCCTGATGGAGCCTGTCCGCCTACCTTGACATGCTGCGAGACCTGCTGCGGTCCATAGCTCGTCGACTCCGCCGTCGTTAGCTATGTCTGCAAGCAAGCAACCAACAAAAGAGCGCGCGTGGCGGCAACGCACCGGCACCCTCTCGCTCGTCAGGCCGGCCTCAGATTGCGCCGACATGGAGCGGGGTCCGTTCAGACGAGTGGCTAAGCTCTACAAGAACCCGCTCTACGTGACCGACGCCCAAGACCTGGCGACTCGTCGCAAGGCAGACAAAGTATCACGAGCCTTTCAGGAACAGCAATGCGCGAGATGCTGACACTTGGGGGCAGGCTGAGCGGCAGAGGCAAGCAGCACGTGCTGCGCGATTCGGCGAATCGAACGGCGATGCGTTCAAGGAGGACGATGACGCGGAGGATGATGTCGGAGTGGATAACGCGCCCAATGAAGCTGCTGAAGAGGCCACAGCTGTTCCTTTTGCCTATGCGCCCACAGAGAGCTTGCAAGCTCCCACTACAGATCGGCTCTCGACGTCTGATGATCTCAGAACGAGTGCACTCTCCCTGCGTTCAGACTCTTTCAAGACCGCTTCGACCGGTCTCATCTTTGACTGGCTGAACGAACTTCTGCCTGCATTGCCCTCAGGCAAACACCGAGGCGGCAAAGCGATCGGTCTGGAATGGATCGCAGACGACGCCATCAATGTCGTCTTTGCGGACTCTACAGAGGCTGCCAACGCGCTCGTCAGGCTGACTGCCGGTCAATCACCTGGCGCAAATCAGGAGGATGAGCTGCACGAGATTCTCAAATCGCTCGAGAGCGTCAGCGACATGTATGAAACGACGCCAGAAGAGGAGTTGGCCCTTTTGACGTCATCTAGATTGGCTCGACCGCTGCGCGCAATGTCCACAGGATCGACAACTGTGACATCAGACGAGGCCAAGCTAGCAAGAGACAAACGTCTCGACTCAGCTGATCAAGACGCAATCGCTGTTGATGCTCCCACGGGAACTGATGATGATACTGCAAGTCCGCTGAATCGAGCAGTGTTTGCTCGATTCGCTACCCTGCACGATGTCAAAGCGAATGTCAACCGAAAATCGGAATGGCATCGACGCGAAGGCAATCGCGCGGGCAAAGACGGCTTTGCAACAGCTCATGTCGTCGGGGACGAAATCATCGAGCAGGACGACGCTCCTCCGCCTGCCCGGGGTACTATACTCGTTGCTCAAGAGACTTCCGATGGCAGGAGGCCGATAGCACGCTTGCCGAGACACTTTGTTGCGAGCGTCGAGCAAGCGTCTCGCATGGACGCCGTCATGGCCTCTTCCGAATTTGGCAAGAGGATTTCGACAGCACTCGAGAGCAGAGTCTACTACGAGCCGATGGGCAGGACGAGTTCGCAACGTGTCACAAAGCATAGTCTCGATGATGAGCTGGATGCATGGAAAGCTTCGCAGGGAGCGCCGGTCGGAGAAACGAAGCAGAGCAAGCGCAAACGGTCAGATTCTCCAGAGGACGACAAACCGGAAGATATCGAGATGCGGCCCATGCGACCGCTGGCCCGACGCGTCAAAGTCAGTCTCGACGGCGGCGCGCTGGCGAATCGTGTAGGACCAATGGCGGCGCTGCTCAAAGCAAACGCAGCGAGACTGCCAAAAGCTCCCAAGATGGAGGATGTAGAGAGCGAGGCCAAGTAGAACATAGGGCTGTCTGCATGTTGTGACAATGATTGTACATGTAATTCCTTTTGCTTCTGGGATTGTCCTCTACAGGTCTAGTGCCGGTTGCTTTGCTAGCTGTCGTGCTCGGCGCCTGTCAGATCACGAACCCACTCGTAGGTTGCAAACGATGTCGCTATCGATGGCGATACCCTGTCACGCTATCAGCACATGATCTGTGTCGCATCTGCAGACTGACTTGAGTAGATTGATGCTCAGGCCCTTGTAGAGCGAGCGTATGCCTTCGCGCCGAACCATGTCGACCATAGCCTCTCGAGCAGAGTTATAGTGATAGTCCATTTTGGACATGCCAGAGACTTGCATGACGCGTCTGACGACATCGAGCGGATAGGTCAGCGTCTGGGACAGTCCGCCTGCTAGAGCGCCACAGCAGAGTTTATTGAACGTGCTTGCATGCTCGCCGTCGTGCTCGAAATGGCCACGAAACAGTTCGTACGTATAGAATTGACAGCCTATGTAGGGAGCGACACTGGCAGAGGTGGTGATGCAGCCTTTGTAGAGGGCTCTGACACCTCCCTCGGTACGAACGACGTGTCGACCCATTTGGTACATGGACAGGGAAGCTGCTTCTGCCGTCGATTTACCGATCGATGCCGAGGCGATACTGACGCGACATCGGATGAGGTCGAGCGGGTATGTCGTGACGACAGAGGCGACGCCTGCGATGGCTCCTGCGAGTAGCTTTCGCGGTGTAGACAGCTCGTGCTGCTCGTTGGACAGGACGCGCTTGGCCTGTTCGTAGGCCAGGAACTGCATCGCGCGGGATCAGCTGAGCAGATCCCACCCTGCGGATGATTGCGGGAGCTTGCCTGAGTTGCACTGTAGGGAGCGATGCGTAGGACATTGGCATAGTTGCCTCTGAACATGCCTCTCATGCCCTCCTCTCGCCATATCTTGCGCAACGAAGCGATCAGGCCGTTGTACGCAACCTCGCTCTGACTCTGACACTGGTAGATGAGTTTGAGACGTTCGAGCGGTGCGACGACGGTGCGGGAGGCTATGCCTGCACACCCGCCTGCGAGGAAGTAGCCGGCAAAGTCGGAGGCGTGCAGCGAGTCGTCTGCCGGCTTGTCTTGCTCTGTCGAGGCACCGGGCTCGTTGACGTCGGGCTCGAGCGTCGGCCTTGGCGGGACATGCCGTGCATCGCTCGTCGTGGTGCTCATGGCCGGGCCCGCTACCGTTCCGTCATGTCGTCAGTGCTCGCCTGAATTGGGCAAAGCAGGAGGATCCTGTCTTGCCCCGATCGCGCGCCACGAGGCCACGACGCTCGACTCAGGACGACGAGAAGCCTCGTCATGCGATTCTGTCTGATCCTGGCACTCGCAGGCCTTGCGCAGGCCCAGTTCTTCGACTTTGGCAACATGTTCGGCGGGCAGCAACAGGCCCAGCAAGGTGCGAGACCGGCTCAGGATACCAAATCGAAATGGTACAGGCAACAGGTCGACGAGCGTGAGTGCCGTCAGCCAGCCCGGGCAAGGGAAGTAGCTCATGATGATGGCAGTCTCGTGCAATGACTATCTCTGCCCGAACACGCTCGACTGCGTGAGCTCGCCTGCCGCGTGCAGCTGTCCGTCGGTAGAGGATATCAAGTGTCAGACGGGCCCGGAGACGTTTGTCTGCACCCGTGGATCAGGCTGCGATGCCGTACAACACGCTCTCAAGACTGGCAAATAGGCCGGTCATGGCTTCTGTGCAGCAATGAGGACGAAGCCGACTTGACGACCGCGATGCCACCACCGTAGAACGCTTGCAAAAGCAAGATACTCCCACCAGATTGTTCTCGATACGACGCCAAAGTTTGCGTCACCTGCACGCTCCTCGAGAAAGGCGGCGAGAGGCTCAAAGACGTCGGATGAGATGTCTCTTATGTTGATGTTGTTGTACCCGATCCCTTGCAAAAGAGTGACATACTCCTCCATGTCGGTCACCATGTTCGTCCACGGCACGCCGGCAAGACGGCAGACAGCCCATTGCTTGAGCCTGTCGAACGCACCGAGCTTCGAGATCGGCTGAAGCATGACAATGTCAGTCAGCGCGAGCGTGCCGCCAGTCTGTAGACATCCATAGGCATTCCGCAAGAAAGCCGCGCGAGTGTCAAAGTGGTATGCACAGTCGAGCGCAATGACAGCATCGTATCGTCGGTCAGGATTCCGCGTGTACTCGATCGCATCACGCTGGTAGAGATGGTGATCTCTCAGCAGATTGGCATCTGTTAGATCACGCAGGCGCTGCTCAGCAATGACGGCATGAGACCTCATCGTCGTGACGGCATCGATGACGTCCGGTCTGAACGTCGCTTGCCAGACTCTGAACGTCTCGCCGCAGCCACAGCCGAGTTCCAAGACAGAGGACTGGCCGCGTGGCAATGTCGCGTCAAGCCGGGCATGTTGTACGAGCTGCAGCGCTAAATCTGCTGCCTCACATTTAGCAGTACGGACATCATGGCGCTGTGCCATCCCCCCACCTTGGCAGGCCGTCGGAAAGTCGACCGTCTTGGCCCAGAAACCCATGTTGAGCCAGAGCGAGTCGCATCGGATATTGAGTGCTGCATGTTGTAGGGCATCTCCGTAGGCTTCATGGCCGTACGATGAACGGAAGCGGCTGACGAGGTACCTGACGAGACTTGGCGCGAGGAGACCGAGTAGGAGGGCGACGGCGCCTTCTATCATCGACCACCCATCGCGACACAAAATAAATCGTACGCGAGCGGCGTTTCGAGGCGCAGCAGCAGAAGCAGCAGCAGCAACATGTGCCCTGTCAGCGACGCCGCCGGTCTGAGCAGCTGAGCAGACACGCCATCAGTCGACTGGCGAGTCACGCGATACCGCCAAGTCCGGCCATGGCTAGCGGGTACGGACCCAGTGCAGTCTCAGCCAGCGCTGGCAGTATGAGCAACGCCAACGCAGGCCAACAGACTGCTGCGAGCGATTACTCGGTCTCACATAGCTCCGATAGCTTTGCAGGCTCCACGAGCAGCAGGCCCAGTGCGCCGCCTTCTTACTCGCCCGCCTTACAGTACGGCCATTCGGAGGATGCCAATCAACAGTACTTTGCCAGGCGGCCATCTCACCAGGTACAGCAACAGGGGCAGCACATGAATGGCTACGGTCATCTAGGACACGCTGCTCATCATCAGAGCGCGCACGGTGGGTCTCAACATCAGCATATCGCCGATTACTCGTCTCACTCTATCGCGAGCAACGATACTTCCACCCTCCTGAGGGATCAAAGTGTCCTTGGCACTTCTATAGAACGATCTTGGGATCAACTGAGGACCAAGTTGGGTCAGCATCTGCCAATGCTCGCGCCCAAAACGCTATTACCTTACTCGCCGGCCATGGGAGGTCCCGGCAGGCCATTACATCGCGCCTCTTTGACCAGATCGAGCATCGCGCCCGTCGCCCAAACGCTCACGCCAAGCTATAGCACCATGCGTTTCGTCGCACTCTGCTCTCTGTGGTATGCCTCTTCGGCCGCATCGTCAAATACGGGCAAATCGATCATGAAAGCCTTTCGCTACCCTGTCACCTTGACGCTCATCCAGTTTGGCTACGTGGCAGGCTACTGTCTCATCTTTCTGGCAGTCCGTGAGACCGCGAGAGGCGTAGGCCACCATGGCGCAGGATCTAGTTCGCGCGTCGCATCGCGCACTTGGGGCGTCAAGAAACCTTCACGGCAGGCTCTACATGGCACGCTCGTCATGTCCGGCTTCCAGATTGCTGGTCATGTCTTCTCGAGCATGGCCATCGCGCGCGTACCTGTCAGTACTGTGCACACGATCAAAGTCAGTCCATACGCCTCGCGCGGTCTGCGCAAGACTGACGTGGGCGCACAGGCATTGAGTCCGCTTTTCACCGTCGCGTCCTACGCGGTCTTGTTCAGAGTACGATACAGCCCTGCGACCTATGCGGCTCTCCTGCCACTCACGCTCGGAGTCATGCTGGCATGCTCCTTTGACGTACGTGCAAACGCGCCAGGCCTCATCTGCGCCCTCGGCTCAACGCTCGTTTTCGTGTCTCAAAACATCTTCTCGAAAAAGCTCTTACCTAAGGACTCGTCCTCGTCGCCTCATACGACGACAGCGACGAGTGGCAAATCGCTCGACAAGCTCAACTTGCTGCTCTATTCCTCCGGATTTGCTTTCGTATTTATGATACCGATCTGGCTGTACTCGGATTTTGGCGCCCTGCTGGCAACAGAGAATGTCCTACCGGGTCATATCAGCAGGACAAGCTTGTTCAGTCTTTTCTGGACGAACGGCACTGTACACTTTGCTCAAAACCTGCTCGCTTTTTCGATACTGGCCAAGACTTCGCCGGTGACTTACTCCATCGCTTCGCTTGTCAAGAGGATAGCCGTCATCTGTCTGGCCATCATATGGTCAGGCCAGCACGTATATCCGATACAAGCGCTCGGCATGACCATGACTTTCGTCGGATTGTGGATGTACAATCGAGCCAAGGGCGATGTCAACAAGGGCGAGCGTAAACGAGGCCAAGTAGAGAAACGCATGGAGCTGCTACTACCGACCAATGCGAATGACTTATCCGATAAGATGACGCCTGATATGACACGGGCGAATACACCCGTAGACAAACTCAGCCCTCAGGATCTGCCACCGTATCAGCCGCCGAGTTTCCATTCGATGAATGGCAACGGATATGCGCATGCGAATCAGAACCCGCCACCTGCATCGAGCTCGACGGCGACGGCAAGGCCGATGCTCGATCTGCGGCGAGGGACACTCGATATCAGCTCGGGCGGTCCAGTGCCCACTTCGCCTCGGCAAAGGTTACACGAGGGTACCGGTCTGACTAGCACCAACTCCCAGGCGGTGCATGTTCACTGAGCCGCCTTTGTGCAACGTCTTGCTTAGATGGGAGCTGTGTACCTCATTGTAATCTCTCCACACTCCAAGCGAGCTAGCGCGAGGGATGTCAAACAAAAGTAGCACATGGCCTGCCAGCTGCATTGGATCTACTTGAGAGGAATGAAGCGAGACGAGTGCGTTGCTCCGATACCTGCGAGTAGCCTCCCGACATTAGCTGCTGTCATAGCCTGCGGGCGAGGAGCACTTGCCTGGGCGACCGTGTCGGACGGGCTTGTAAGAGATCGAGAACTCGGCTAGGTAGAATCCGACCATGTCCGCTCGGATCTCGATGGTGTTGAAGGTCTTGCCGTTGTAAATGGCGACCTGTGAACCGACCATCTCTGCAGGCGACATGGATTAGCACATCGCGAGAATCGCAGGTCGTGACATGCCTGGGATGATAGGCAAGTTGCGGCAATGCGTCTTCACGACTGCTGGCTTCTCGCCCGGCGCTGCCTCCTTCTTGGCCTTGCGCAGCTTCTTGATTAGCGCAGTCGGCTTGCGCTTGAGGCCTCGCTGGAAACGACGGCGAGCGCGAGCGTGGACGAGCTCCATGAGTTGTTCATTGCTGAGATCGAGCAGTCCCTCGAGCTAGCGCCATGTGGAAGTCAGCTAAATGCACTCCTAACAGCCGAAAGATCCCTTCAAGGAGTGCAACGAGGAGCTCGAGAACTGTGGGTTGGCTGCCTCGCTGACTCCCTTGCCGGATCAATCGACGGTCGATGCTGCTCACCTCGACACCTCGGTAGGTGAACTTTCTGAACGTTCGTCGCTTGCGAAGCTCCTGAGCCTTGTCTGCCTCTGTATCAGACATGTTTGCGTATGCCTGCCGCCTGAGATGCTTGACACGCAGACTGAGGCTGATTTAATCGAAATTGCCTCTGCCAAAAAAAGCTGCCTTCAGAAGTCTTGGCATTTGGTGGCCAGCGCGCGCTGTCAACGTCACCGCTGGACTTTGGCAGAGCTCACAATGGCCATGTCGGCAGGCGCACGATTGCTACTATGTCTCGCGATTGTACTCGTGCTTGCAGCGCCCTCGGTGCATGCTTTTGGCGCCGGCAACATTCCCTCCTTTGCGTTCATGGAGGGCAAAGCATTCCGACACGGTGACATCGATGACGTCCTCGCCGAGCTCTTCAAGGCAGGCGGGGCGGGCTTCATGGGCATTGGCGGCAAGAAGTTCGGCGGGCTCGATATCAAGCGCGTCTACTTTGGCTCTTGGCTGTCCGACTATTCACAAGCCATGGACGTCGCTGGCTTGCAGAAACTGTCGAAGCAAGCTATCCTCAACATCGTCATGCTGCTCGGCTTCCTCGAGTTTGGCTATGCCACTGGCTCTTTCGAAGTCACAGAGGAGCGCTTGTTTGTGTACTCTTGCGTGCGGCACATCGACAATCCGCGTGGCTATGCAGACGACTTGCCCGGCAAAGATGCACGTCAAGTTGATCCCCGACTGAGAGGTCCCATCGATCCACGAGAGCTCGAGATCGATCCTCGCACGGGCATGAAGAACTATATCGCCAACGAACGCGGCAACTGGGACACGAGCACAGCTTGCATTCGACGCGGTCTCTTGCGGTGCATAGAAGCAGGACGGATTGCACGAAGGCAAGGCAACGAAGATGCTCTGCACGACGCATACCGCTTGCTCGGTGAAGCACTACATACGTTCGAAGACATGACAGCCCACAGCAATTGGACAGAGCTCTTTCTCGTCAAGATGGGCTTTAGAGACGTCTTCTGCCATGTCGGTCAAAATGTCACTGTTCAGAGTCCCCACGGTCCTTGCCCGCCTCTCGTGACGGGTACATTCGGAGGCCCGGACTTTTTATACAGCGTGCTGGGCGAAGGTGGCGATAAGCTCAGCGAGGCAAGCGTGTCTGATCTGAACAAGGCCATCAATCGCGCCAAATCTGAGCCCACCGACTCGACCGGTTCAGCTCTGCATGCCATGTTTGGACAGCTACCAGGAACGTCTGGCAATCATCTCTCGCGTGAGCTGGACGATGTGCAGAGTGAGTCCATCGGCAATTTAGTGCGACGGTGCTCAATCGAACGCAGACATTTCTCGCGACCCCATGGATATGTCACCTCAAGAGCTTCACGCCGTCTTATGGAAGATCCTCAAGTTCAGAGATGACGTCTGTCTCGTCATCGAGCGTACGATCGAAAAGATTCCGGGACTCTCTTCCTTAGTCGAGAAGCTGACGACTGCCATCAATAAATGGGTCTTCACCGTGCTAGAGCCATACGTGAAGCCGGGTGCGCTTTACAGCTATCCTCACACATGCGCTGATACCTCGCTCAGTTCTGATGGGCGGCACGTCGGCTTTGCAATCGGGCAGCTCTGCAGTCATCGACAACCCGGAGCAATACGCGGTCTGGGACAATCCTACCGCATCTGATCCAAGTCGGTGATGTTCTTTCGCAAGCGGGCGACGCTGACGCTAGCGTAGCGCACTCGAACTTATCAAAGGATCACTTCAACTTGATCCTCAACGAACCGGCCGGGCTGGTGGCCAAAGTCATCGTACGACACGTAGTCACGGCCGTAGTCAAAGCATGGCAAGTCCCCCCGCCCTCTGTCGTCCAGCATATCTGACCGAGCGGGACAGGGACGATGACTCCGATCCGAATCCTATGATCACGCACCTCTGCACAGCTATTCATCACCCCTACTTTGCTGATCAGAACAACCCAATCCAGCGCGAAATGGGCGAATGCATGACCGCTTGGGTCAAGGGACTCAATCCACAAGATGCCGATCACAACCGCCGATCACTGACTAAGCTTGCCGTCCGACAACACAAGAACACGCGTCGTGGAACGAAAGATCCCCAGCAGTCTCAGTCTTTCTTGCCTGGCCCACAGCAGCTCATGGGTAGTGTGCAACAGTCTGCTGCGAATCACTTTAATCAGGCAATGACCAATGTGCCTGGCTATAATCAATATCAGTCATTTGTGAATGAAACCGGCATGAATAGAGGCGGCGGACGATTGGGCAGGGGCAGGGGCAGAGGGCGAGGAGGTGGCAGGCGGAGAGAAGTGGGAGGCGAAATGGGACAGGATGAGTACGATGACGATGACGAAGAAGAACAGGCAACCTTCCCAGAGCCCTCGGGAGATCACGCTCGCATCAGCGACTCGCAAGGTCAGCAAGGTCGCTTTGGTGACCAGCTACAACAAGCTCCCATCCAGGGCGGCTACAGCTACGGCGGACCAAATCAAGAGGAACAGCAGGCTCAGGGCCTTGGGGGGCAATATGGCGGACCAGGCGGGCCACAGCCTGGCTACGGCGGACCTCAGCAGGGCTATGGGGGACCTCCGCAAGGATACGGGGGACCTCCGCAAGGATACGGCGGCGGACCTCCGCAAGGATATGGTGGGCCACCGCAAGGTTACAGCGGGCCCCCACAAGGCTATGGCGGACCTCAACAGAATTTCTCGGGCGGTCCTCCTATGCCATTCCCTGGAAGTCAACAGGCGTCCTATCCGGGCTATGATCCACAGCAGCAGCAGCAGCAGTACGGATTCCAAGAGCAGAGCTATCAGCAGCAAGGTCAGCCATACCCGGGCCAGCCGCCTTACGGACCGGGGCCAGGTCAATATGGCTATCCGCAAGGACCACCTCCGCCAGGCTGGCAGTAGAAGTATGAAGTGTTGTACAGCGCTCTCACAAGACAACATGGACAAAGGCGAGATATATTCAAGCAGAGGCTTGTGCGAGCTCCAGCTGCAAGGCGTCCCTTTGCTCTTCGAGCTTCGCTAGCCTTGCCACGAGCTCATGACGTGGATCCTGCTCTGCCTCTCTGGCAGCTTGCTCCTCCTTTGCTCGCTGTGCTTGGGCCTGCATGACGCGTGAGCGCGTTCATACCCGTCGCGCTCGAGAACGCACTCGCTGTACCAGCGTCTCTTCGCGCGTCTGGAGCTTGACGAGACCTTGCGCTGCCTTGCCCATCAACTCGTCTAGCTGCGGTCCAATCTCGTCACTGAGAGCGTCCTGAGCATCCCTGACTTGCGTCCCCGTCACGAGATCATAGCACTGTCGAACGAATAGCCCTCATGAGCCGATGTCCACATTGTGATGCAGTGCCGGACCTTGGTATTGTGTAATATCCTTTGCAGTCGCGGGACGTCGTACGTGGCAGCATGCATGCTTACCATGGCTGCATGAAGCTGCGAGACGATCAGGCACCGCTGAGAGAGGACTGTGGCCGACTCACGAGCTGGCAACTCGCGTGCAGGCTCTGCGCACAGCTGTCGAGCGGCACTTCGAGGCCAGTCGCAAAGGTCGTGCTCGCCATAGACTTGCGGCCGTCCATGGTAGAAATGGGCAATGGATGCAGGCGTGGAAGTCCGTGGGAGCTGTCACGCTGATGGTGCAAAGCGCGTTGAGTGGAGGAGAAGTCTGACGGAGGAGGCTCCTGCTACCGGCTCCGTCTCATGAATGTGCTCATCTACAACGACGCCGGCGTATCCGAAGCATCAGTCAAAGGGATTGCACGCTGCCTGAAGATCCTGCTGGCGACGACGCACGACGTGCTCACTGTGAATGCTCATACGATCGCAAATGATCCTTGGCAGGCGAGCACTTCGCTGCTCGTCATCCCAGGAGGCAGAGATCTCCCTTTCACCCAACGGCTGAATGGCAAAGCAAATGCATGTATTCGGCAGTGGGTAGAAGCCGGCGGTAGCTACCTCGGGATATGTGCAGGCGCCTACTTTGCGTCCGCGCACGTCGACTTTGAGGCTGGCTCTGCACTCGCCGTCAAAGGTGACAGAGAGTTGAGCTTCTTCGGCGGCACTTGCAAGGGGGCAGCCTTTCCCGGCTTCGTCTACGAAAGCGAGAGTGGCGCACGTCATGTACCCGTTGCGCTCAACCAGGTTCACTGGAGCCGAGTCTGGTCAGACGTGCCTTCCCAAGCCGAGGTCTACTGGAATGGCGGCGGCACCTTCCAAATCTCCGAGAGCACGTCCCGTGCGACTGTTCTAGCAACCTACTCCGAACTTGACAATGCACCGGCGGCCGTACTTTGCCACGTCGGCAAAGGCAAGGCACTTCTATGGTCTGCACATCCAGAATATGCCACCCGCACAGACATGACCGACGATCGGGTAGCACCCTTGATGCTACCCACGCTCCTTTTGCTCGGTATAGAGGTTGCTGAAGGTACCAGCACGCCTGCACCGCCAGTCTACTGTGTACAACATCTGATGAGCAACCATATGCTCGGCGTAGTATCGATCACGTCCGACATACAAAGGGCGTTTGGTGATGAAACGATGTTGCGAGATACGACAGACGTCTTTCGCATCGTAGGCAGTGGCGAGCCAAACGATTTTTTGCCGTTTGTCGGACATCACGGTCGGCCAGATTACCAGTGCGTACGGGCATGGCTGCAAGGAAGCGTGCCACCGCTCTCGGTCACGCCTCTATTCGATTTCTCGGCCTATTTTGCCGCACTCACTCGTAGGCGGCTGAGCTTGCTTGGTCGTGTCGTGCTGTATGCGGAAACGCTGTCGAGCACCCAGACCACGCTCGACAAGAATCCGAAATGGCTCAAGGCCATGCCGAGCGGACTCGTTTCGATTGCGTCCCATCAGACCGCGGGTAGAGGCCGCGGTGGCAACGCATGGATCTCTCCAGCCGGCTGCTTGCAATTCTCGCTCGTCTTGCGAACGGGCAAAAGGTCAGCTCCCAGGCTGGTGTTCCTGCAATACATGGTCGCACTAGCTATCGTTGAGGGCATACTGGACCTCCCAGGCTGCAGCGACCTTCCAGTGCGCCTGAAATGGCCAAACGATCTCTATGCGGACATGGGCGTCGACGCACCTGTTCGGTACCAGAAATTGGGCGGCATTCTTGTCAACTCGAGCTTTGCCGATGACGACTTCACTCTCATCGTCGGTGAGTCATCCCCCCTCGCGTTTATGCCGTCCCTAACGTAGGGTCACACAGGCTGTGGGATTAATGTCTTCAATGAAAGGCCAACAACTTCAATATCTGCTTTGCTCCGAAAGCACAATCTTAGCGTCGCCGCGACGATTACCATGCCGGAAGTTTTGGCAGCAATACTCTGCAAAATCGAGGCGAAATGGGATTTCTATTTTTCTCTCTGGCGGCCTCTCGAGCCTTTTATACAAGCTTACACGCAGCATTGGCTTCACACCGACCAAATTATCACCCTCGAAGAGACGGGTCAGCGCCTACTCATCAAGAGTATCACGCAAGATTATGGTCTGCTCCATACTGAAGTCATGGATGGAAGAGAGAGGACGCCGGCGGCAGCTTTCGCAGATTTGCAGCCCGATGGCAATTCATTCGACATGTTACGCAATCTCGTTCGACGGAAGACATGATGACTTGCTTGTGATGATGCATTGTACAATGCTGTCGCTATACAGACTGGAAAAGACTCCAGATCCCTTTCGCGTACGAGACAATCTCGTCACCGCCGAGCTTGCTTTCGCCGTAGATCCTATCCACAAAAGTGATTGGCACTTCACCGATAGTGTAGCCGGATGTTCTAGCTCGCACAATGATCTCCATTTGAAAGACGTAGCCTTTCGACACTGTCATGTCGATAAGGTTGCGCAGCACCTGGGTTTTGTACAGCCTGACGCCTTCAGTCAGCGAGGCCTTCTGCCCAGGGTGAATGCATACCTGAAAGAGCCAGTCACATCGGATACACCTGGCCATAGGACGAGCTTCGCGAGCAAATTCGCACCTCGACTGATGATCTTGCGCTTCAGATCCCATCCGTGCACGCCACCGCCTATTCTATACCGAGTCCCTGTGACAACATCATAGTCGCGTCTCTTTTGCAGCCTGCTCGCAACAGTGTGCCTATCGGCTGGCGTCACGCGAGATCACTGACCTTATGAATTGTGGCAGGAATTTGGGCTGCAATGCGCCGGGTCAGCTTGCATTGACGCGACAGAGTGTGCCTGACATGATGAGAAAAATCGGCGTCCATGATGATGACAAAATTGCCGGTGCAGCTGGCTATGCCGTGCATGTAAGCTGTGCCCAAGCCAAGCTTGCCTGCTCTCGGCCTGAGGATCTGAGCGCGCCAAGGGACTGAGCGCGTGCTCGTGCTACATCTGGCGCATACGCACGATACGATGGTCGCCATAGACCTTCTGTAGCTGCTGTGCTACTTCTAGTGTGCCGTCTGGCGATGCATCGTCTACTATGATGATCTCCCAGTCGAGATGTCTGAGGATTTGCGCGTCAGTCGTTGATGTAGACCCAAGCTATAAGCTGACTCGGCCTCGAACACTCGTGCGAGCAACCAAACGATGACAGGTAGATTGGATCGCTCGCAGTATGTGGGCAGAATGACAGAGTACTTGTCTGGCATGACGCAATGGGCTGCCGAGCGCCGAGAGGCACGGGCACGTCCACGAAAGCGCGACTGTCGCCCTGTCGAGTCACAGGATGCGGCAACTAGCGATGACATGAACTACAAAGAGGCGCAAGAAGCAGAGCTAGAGGTACTGCAGGCCATCTACGGTGATGACTATACAGCCGGGCCCAGCGAGAAGGCAGGAAAGACAGCATGGAAAGCCGTCAATAACTTGCTCGAGTTCAGGCTCAGGATCCGGCCTCTCGAGGTCTCCCTGCAGGGCAAAGTCGGCGTGACACTTGTCATCACTCTTCCCAAGACCTACCCTCGCATTGCAGTACCTCTCGTCCAGCTCCAAGACTGCGCTGGCCTGTCCCAAGGCCAGATACAATCGCTAAATGATGCACTCTCTGCAGCAACGAAGCGCTTGGCAGGTCAAGAGATGCTCTCTGAACTGGCCGACCTGGCTGCCGGCATCATCACAGAGCATCATAGCATCGTACAGTCGGACACACAAGCCAGTCTGAGCGACGAGATGGCCCTGCGAGCCGAACGCGAGCAAACTGAATTCCAGCTACAACAGGCTGCCCTTGCCGAGCAGCATGCCCGCATAGAGACAGAGGAGAAGGCACGCCTATCTGAGCAGATTGAGTCGGACAAGCAGCGCAAGCGTGACGCCGTCAAACTTGAGCGCGAGATTCGAGCGAAAGAACGCGCAACTTTGGCGGATGATGCGGATGAGCACGAGATGGAGCTTGCTCGCAGACGGATACCGCTCGAGCGTTTCCCTCACAGCCTCTACCTCGACGAAGGCACTGTCGACCACGCTATCGTAATGCGAGGTGCCCGGATCGAATGCCAGCTTCCCTATGGCGAATGTTGTCGCGCGCAATGTCTCTTCGGCGAGGGTCAATTGCAAGCGATCCGAGTTCATGAATTCCAGATTTCCAATCCTTTTCTTGCCAGCTATCAAGGCCGCCGCAAGCTGATCAAGCTTGTTGACGCCATCAATCAGGTTGCAAAAGTGAAGAGCGCACTGATCTCTTCCACCTTTGGCGCCGCTTTGCTTCAAGGACGCGGTGCATTAGAAGCCCAGGCCGCGCCTCAGCGTCTGCTCATCATCACCTCTGACGAGCAGATACCAAATCTGCGGCAGGTCCTCTCTGCCGGCTCATTTCCACCACAGCGCGCTCTTGAAGTCGCTGTCTTGCTCACGCAGAGTCTCCTTGGCCTTCACGAAGCTGGCGTGCCTCATTGTGCCGTCAATCTGGATAATGTGTTGCTCATGCCGGCTCAGCAGCTGTCACTCAAACTCTACGGAGCAACGTGGCTGGCAGAAGTCGACGATCTGAATGCGGCCAATCCGTTCAGTAGGGCGTCATCGCACGCAAAGTCTGTCGCAAGATATCCTCTGCCATGGTGCAGTCCTGCAGCGATACACGAGCCGTGGCATTACGATCGCCCGCGGGATATGTGGGATCTTGCAATCGTCTTTTCGCAACTGTTCTTCGGCTCAGAAGTAATGGACGTGTTCGGGTCACCCACTGAGCTCCTTCGGCGACCACCAGCGCAGCTCGGCGACGATCTGCATGGTCTTCTCGCTGCGCTGTTTCGGCCTGAAAGTCGCCAGAGGCCGACAGTTCAGCAAAGTCTCAAAGTGCTGCAGGCTGTCGCGATGAGCCCATCAAAGATCTCTACCGTAGTCTATGCGCCATTGCAGCAACCTCTGAGTACGCCATCCATGCGCTCGCCACTCAAGTCGCCGCGCAAGGCGACCGATGAGGACACTGGCTTCTTCGGCAGTCTAACCGTGCCTCAGGCAATTTCCTCCTCGCGCTACCAAGCAGATTTCGTCGAAGTCGAATTTCTCGGACGGGGTGGATTCGGTCAAGTTTGCAAAGCGCGCAACAAGATCGATGGCCGATTCTACGCGATCAAGAAGATCAAGCTGCAATCGCGCGATGCTACCGCCGAGCAGAAAATTCTCAGGGAAGTCACAATCTGGTCTCGCGTCTCTCACGAGAACTTGGTACGATTCCACACATCTTGGATCGAGAGCGAGACAGCAGCGTCTGGCGAAGCCGATAGCGAGCTTGGCTCTTCGCTTCAATCCGACTCGAATAGTCGCGTGCATACCAACGGCACTTCAGCCTCGCCCTCGGACGACAGTGATGATGAACACAGCGATCTCGACTCCGATGGCGATTTGGTCGATGATGATTTTGAGTTCTCTATGGCGAATGACCTCAACGAGTATGCTGCTGATGCCAACGAACGCGATGCTTCTTCGTACCCCTTCGTTCGTTTTGGGCCAGAGCGCAGCGGCGCACCTTCCTCGAACGTTACTGCATCTGCGACGCCTACGTCCCTCAGAGCGAGCGCAAGTATACAAGATCTATCGAATGGCGCTTCATCGCCAACCATCAAGCGAACGCTGTATATTCAAATGGAGTTGATCGAGGGCGCTACTCTAAGAGAGGTGATAGACTCACAAGGCATCACCGTCTCTGAAAGCTGGCGCTTGCTGCGTCAGATGCTCAGTGCCATGGAGCACTTCACCGCCATGAAGTGCGCCTACTTGCCTTATACATTTCAAAGAGCTGATGGACTTGCAGCATTATTCATCGTGATCTCAAGCCGAGCAATATTTTCCTTACTCAGCGAGGTGATATCAAGATTGGCGATCTTGGGCTCGCGGTCGAGCAAGATGCCACAGAGCTGCTGCCCGATGCTGCACATGAGCCACAGAGTCTAAACGCGGAGATTGACCTGACTTCTGCAGTTGGCACGTCACTGTACATTGCGCCTGAGATGATGGCGAAAACGTCGGCCGCCCGGCCTAATGGACCCCGATATAACAACCGCGTCGACATGTATGCCCTTGGCATAGGTCAGCTCATTCCGCTGTCTGCTTGAAAATTAACTTAGAAGCAATCGTTTTAGTCATGTTTGAGATCTGGTATCCAATGAAGACCGGCATGGAAAGGATACATATCATAAAACATCTACGCACACCAGAGGTCGTCTTCCCGGATGACTGGCCTGCATATGGTGATGCACGACAGACGCGCATAATCCAATGGCTACTTTCGCATGATCCTGCAGCACGAGCCTCGCCTGCTGACCTCCTAAAAAGCGATCTCTTGCCGTCCGCTATAGTCGATGAGACTCTTCAGGAGATCCTGCGGATACTCTCACAAAGTGGCTCTTCCAATCGACAATCGGTGTTGAATGCAGTCTTCCAGCAGCCGGTGCAAGATCGCAAGCGTGCCGACTATAGCTTCGATGCCGCGCCCGATAGATTCAGAGCGTTTGACTCGCTCGTAAGTGCAACTTTGCGTTCAATCTACGAGCGAAGAGGCGCCATCGAGTATCCGATTGATCAGATTCTGCCTGCGCACGAAAGCTACGACAAGGAACACGCGCGACTTGTCCGCTTGATCGACGAAGACGGTCTTGTCACATCAATGCCTTTCGACCTCGTGCTGCCTTTCTGCCGTAAAGTCGCTCGGGATCCTGGGTTTGCACGCTTCAAATCCTGGACCATTGCTCCAATCTATCGGCGTAATCCTGCAGGAGGTTCGCCCTTAAGTGCACTCGCCAGCTCCTTCTTTATCGTTTCGGAGCAGCGAACAGTTGCATCGGAAGCCGAGCTGATTCAAGCAATCGATGCAATCCTTGACGTGTTTCCGATGCAAGAGGGCTACGAGCACCTCGTCAATCACACTGACATCCTCGATATCATCTTAAGACCGTTTGCACTTTCGCGTCGTTCCGTCGTTCGTTCTGCTCTCGAAGCGTTCCGTCGTACTACCCGGAGCTGGGCCAAATTCAGCAAAGAAGCAACCGAGGTGCATGGCCTCGAGAATAAGGAAATCGACACTCTCGCGCTCCTCGACTTCGCAAGCGAACCAGTCAACGCTGCGGAGAGAATCCTTGCGGCATGCCCAAGCGATCGCGCAGAGGTGGAGAAAGCTTGCGAAGAATTGCAGGCGATGGCTCGCATGGCTAGCGTGCTCGGTTTGCATCGTCCGATCTTCGTTGCACCCTTGCTCTCGCTCAACGAACGGTTTGTCGGACCCGGCATATTCTTTCAGACATGTCTCCCAAATCGCAAGGCAACATTGGCGTCAGGTGGACGGTATGACAAGATCACAAGCGAGCTCGCCGCGCCGGACAAGTCCCATATTCTGCCGCATGTCGTCGGCGCCCAGATCGCGGTTGCCAGATTGAAAGAAGCCATAGCGCGTGATCAAGAGCTTTCGACACAAACTGCATCTGATCGGGGCGCTTGGTCGCGTCGTCGAGTAGATGTTTATGTATGGCTGAGCACATCTGTACGGCGTCCAGTACTGATGCTTTTACCAGGTGGTCTCGTTCGCTGATGGACTCCTCGAAACCCGTCTCAGTCTAGTTAAGGAGCTGTGGGCTCGTGGCATACGAGCGGATCTGATGTACGACCACGACTGGCAAGAGATCGACGTAGAGACGGTCGCAGCAACATGCCGACAGGAAGGCGTGCTTTATATGGTGATCGCCAAGCAGCGTAGTGGGTCTAAGGATCAGATCTTGAAAGTGCGCGACATGCGAGGGGGCGAAGAGGAAGTCATTCGCGCTGACTTGGCAGAATATATCGAAAGCAAGATCGCGGCAGAATCCAGAACAGATCCAGCGCGAAGGGATGCATCGACGATATCTACGGCATCGACACAGACAGACAAGCTGCTACCCAGCGCGAGCAACTTTCATCTTTTGTTGCCTGCTGATCTCGAATCAAGCGGGCGGGATGCCAATCGACGACGCACGAAGCAAAAGTCCCTCGTCTTCGAGAAGGCGCAAGCAAACATCATGCAACTCGTTTGCACGACAGATGCGCTGTCTGTATTTGCCATCGATGTCGATGGTCAAGCGTTTCGTACCATGTCTGAGCAGACAAGCTGGGTGGTGGAAGACGATGCGCAGGCAATCAAGACGATTTGCGACCTCGTTCCGCCGAACCGCAAAGCGTACATACTGTCTGTCCGAGACCGTCTGAAGCGCTTCAGAGCGGACAATCCGAACTCTCTGTTTGTATGGCTATACTCGATCAGGGAGTACAGAGCGGCTTTGTTGTGTCTGTCATCATATTAATTGATGTTGTCTGTACGTATCTATCTTCCTCTTGTCTCGAAAGGCAGCGTTGCCATACAAATCGTTGCGGTTGCAAACGCACCCGCACTAACGAAGAGCGGTAGAGAGACTGATAGACTAAGCAGTAAGCCGGTCAACAAGGGCGCGATGATGCCAGCAACGCGACTGAGAGCAGATGCTATCCCGCAACCTGTACCACGGATACGAGCCTCAAAGACCTCTGGCGTGTAACCGTATATAATGGCATCTGCGCTGCCAGTGAGTCCTTGTGACGGTGCTTGTGAAAGTGCGTACACATGAGCGTAGCCATAAGGCTGACTAGCATCGAGCTCAGCACAACTCCTGCTTTGGAGGTGACCATGACGAATATGAAGGTTCCCAGTGCGGTCATAAGGGTCGAGAGCGCCATGGATCCTCTGCGACCAAGACGAGTCTCGATCAGATAGGCGCCAATGATGCTCCCTGGACATCTGCAAGCCAATGCAGCTCTGTTTAGATATTGATGACTCTCGAGAACCGACTTACCCTGCCACCGTGTAGATTACATACTCTTGTAGCGATTCCGTCAAGCCGCCGCCAAGCTCTTCTCGCCCTACTTTGTCTTCGAGAAACTTTGGCAGATAGACATTGAAAATCGTGTAGCCGGCCGAGACGAAGAACCAGATGAGCCAAACAAGGGTCGTCGTGCGTGCCCACTTGGGCGAGAAGAGAATATTGATGCGTCCTCTGAGCTGCTCATAGGAGCTGAAAATGTTCTCTACGTATCTCGACCAGAACGAACGATCGATGCTTGGCGTGTGCTTACGCTCATGGCCATTTATCTGCTCGTCCGGATTGGCAGACTCGGGTACGTGGTCGTACACAGTCTGGGGTATCGGCGCCGAGTCATGCATGTCGACATCGTCTTGCATGTCTTCGACACTGAGGTCGATGACCTTGCCGTTGACTCGCAGAATCTCTCTCAGGACAAGCACGGCTTCTTCTGTCCGGCCTGATACGACGAGAAACTTGGCAGATTCATGCAAGCGGAAGAAGAGGACTCTGCAGAGAAACATGACAAAGGTCACGCCGCCTAGCGCAAGCAGGAGCAATTTCCAGCCATTGTTTGTACAGAGATCGGCTACGTCAGATTCTTGCAAATTCGAAACGCACGATCGACTTGGCAGTATGATGAGGGCGAGCAAAGAAGTAGTCACAGCACCCAGTGAGAAGAAGAACGAGAGGCCAGTGATGAGAAAATGTTTTGTCTTTGGTATACACTCTAGCGCCAGGGTGCCGTCTGTGGAGATACTGCCACCGACGCCTGTGCCCAGACAGACGAGGACGAGGCAGAGCTGCAGAAAGGATGTCGTGAAAAATGCGAGTGTGCCGAAGATGGCAGTGACGAGGAGTGTGCCTTGGAAAGCGTACAATCTGCCGTAGGAATCGCTAATGCTTCCCCAGAAAGACGCGCCTACGGCCATGCCGGCAAACATGGAAGCCGACAGAAGGCCGATATAACGATCGCTGACGGCATATTCTGCCTGTACACGAGGCAGGATGACAGCGATGCCTTGGAGCCAAGCATTCTCGGCTGCCCAACCTCCGCCGGCAAGCAAAAGCAATCGTTTTTGGTACAAACCAAATCCGACGCGCTCGAGCGTTCTATCCAGGGGCGTCTCACTGTGCAGACTAGCGCTTTCTTCTTGGAGGGGAGACGATGGCTCGTCGTGTGAGCGTGTGCCATAGTCGATACTCGAGAGTTTGCGCGGCTCCCATGAAGGCTCCAGATGGTCAGGCTGAGCGGTCCGAGGACTGGACGAAGGAACGTCTTGCCACGCAAGCTGATGCTCGTCGAGGAGCGCTTGACGGGACGTCATCACCGATACATGTTGGCTTGATATCGACCTACCACTTGGCCTGGCCGCTGTGTGACGCGGTAGTAAATGACCCCAGTCGTCGCCACGCGACGTGTCGAGGGCCAGCCAAGCTTGGCCAGCGAGTGCGATGGCTCAGCAGCTTCCGCCTGGTTGGGCTGCTCAATGGTACGTATCGCTGCAGTGCTCATAGCTTGACGCATGCACTTTCGCGCTCCACTGCCACGTGCATGTCGCTCACGCCAACGTTGCGCAGGGATCCCCAGCACAATCGCAACCTCTACATCGGTGCGTGGCTTTCCGTCTGCTAGCTGGCCTTCATTACTGAGGTCGACTCCTCGTCATAGATACGACGACCAATCGCTCGCAATGGGAGCCGCCGACCGGTCCAGCTGGCGGCCTGACCGGACAGCACGGACAACCCGCGCCGAATGGAGCTGCCATGGCTGGTCAGCAAACAGGTGCAGGAGGTCGTGGCACGCCCAGTACAAGTGCACCCGGCCCTGCACGCTCGAAGCGACAGTACGCTGCCAATCAGAATGAGCTGTACTATGGCAATCAACAAAATTACGGTCAAGGCACGGCTCAGCAAGGCAACGATCAAGGTCAATTTTTCTCGCCTGCTGCACAAGCTGGACTGCAACCGCCACTCGCATCGCCCGGAACGCTGCCGGGCGCGAATAGAATGCCAACGGCGCCATATGGGCAGCAACAGCCTGCTCAAAATGGCGCTCCCCAGTCTGGCTTTCCTTTTAATCCTACCGCTGGCTATAGTCAGCCGTCCACCTTTCAGCCGGCTTTCTCGCCCCAGCAGCAGCCTCAAGGCAGCGTGGCCGGCGTGACAAACTCGTTTGCTGCAATGAACGTCGCCAACAGACTCGTGTCTAACACGACCAACATCAATCTGATTGGCCTGCCGTTGAATCCCATCGAGCTCAACATTCCTCCGCCCCTTATAAACCTACCGCAAGGCGTCAGTCTGTCCAAGGATTTGGGTGCTCGGGCTAGACTGACATCCTGGCGTTGCTGACGTTCAGTGCTGTATCTCTGACAATCCTAGAGCAAACGCCGATCCGAGCTATATGCGATCTACCATCAACGCTATACCCACGACGAACTCGCTCTTGCAAAAGTCAAAGGTGCCCTTCGCGCTCGTCTTGACGCCCTATCGCAGTGTCGGGCCGGATGATGTAGGTCGCGCCCCGATTTTCCAGTGAGCAAGCTGACTGTGCCACAGGACGAAGTGCCCGTCGTCACCGACACCGTCATCGCGCGGTGTCGACGCTGCAGAACCTATATCAATCCTTACGTGACCTTCATCGAGTCTGGCAATCGATGGAAGTGCTGCATGTGCTCGCTATCCAACGAGGTGCCCCAGCTATTCGACTGGGATCAGCAAACAAATCAGCCAGCAGATCGATGGAATCGCGTCGAGCTGAATCACTCGGTTGTGGAGTTCGTCGCGCCTTCGGAGTACATGGTCAGGCCGCCACAACCGCCCGTATACGTTTTCCTCATCGACGTCTCCTATGCCGCCATCCGAACAGGTAAGCCAGGGCGCGCGTCGGTGTCATTTGTGCTGACAGGTACGCACAGGCATGGTTGCAACTGCGGCAAGAACGCTACTGGAATCGCTCGATAGACTCCCCAACGAAGGCGATCGAGCAAAAATCAGCATTATCGCCATTGACACGTGCCTGCACTTCTTTTCTGTTAACGTTCGCCGTTTCCTCTGCGTAGGTACAGCAAAGCTGACATTGGAGATCAGCCGGGAGCCACCGAGCCCAACATGCTCGTCGTGGGCGATTTAGACGAAATCTTTCTGCCAAAGCCAGCAGACATCCTGCTCAATCTCACCGAAGCTCGAGCCGGCATCGAAAGCTTACTGGGCAGGCTCAATGACATGTTCAAAGACACGCATTCTGTCGGCAGCGCTCTCGGACCAGCGCTACAAGCGGCGTACAAGCTTATCGTGAGCCATCTCTGTCTTGCCAACAGTTCTCATCCTGATTCGCGGGCCTTCACAGTCTGGTGTGGGAGGCAAGATCTTTGTCTTGAGTGCAACGTTGCCCAGCTTAGGGCCTGGTGCGCTCAAGAACCGCGAAGACCCGAAATTGCTCGGCACTTCAAAGGTGCGGATATCGCTCTAATGCGAGTCGCAGCATATTAATCGTGTAACAGGAATCGTCGTTGTTACAGGCCGCTGCTGGAGGTTTCTACAAAGGCTTAGCCATCGATTGCTCCAGAACGCAGATTTCGGTCGACATGTGGCTCTTTACGTCGGCTTACACCGATGTCGCTACCCTGAGTGTGTCTGATTTCAACAGCTCGAGTATGATAATATACTGATCAAGCATATCGCCCATACAGGCAGTCTACCGCGGTACACTGGCGGTGCGACATTCTTCTATCCGGCTTTTGATGCGGGACGATCAGAAGATGCGCTCAAATTTGCGCACGAATTCGCCAACGTCGTCACGAGTCCGGTCTGTCTTGAAGCGGTCATGCGCGTACGAGCTTCCAAAGGTATTTGGGAACACCGCACCCTTTGCGCCGTGCTGACTGTCCCGCAGGCCTGCGGATGTCTGCGTGTCATGGCAACTTTTTCGTTCGCTCGACGGATTTGCTCGCGCTACCTGCCGTCCCGATCGATCAATCCTATTGCATCGAGATGCAAATCGAAGATCCCATCGCGGCGCCTATTGTCGTGCTACAAACCGCCGTACTGCACACGACCTCATTCGGTCAGTACCGTTCAGACTCTTTGAAGCATGAGCTCACGTCTGGCTGAAGGCGAGCGTCGCATCCGCGTCATCACGCTGGCCCTACCGACGACGGCGAGCATCAGCGAGGTCTTTGCAACCGTCGATCAATCGGCGCTCGTCACTTTGCTTGCGAACAAGGCCGTCGAGCGGTGCATGCAGGCAAAGCTTGAGGATGCTCGCGATGCCCTCCAGAACAAGCTCATTGACATTCTGAGCAGCTTGAAATCTGTCATGGCCTGTACGTCAAGCTGTGGCTGCTGATCAGCTTTCGCTGACATTCACGGGCAGCTTCCGGCCCCAGCCCGCAGCTGCTTGCGTCTGAGAATATGAAGCATCTACCGTTGCTCATACTTGGTCTGCTCAAGCACGTTGGGTTGCGGCAGAGCTCGACGATTCCCTCCGATTTACGATCTTACGCCCAAGCGCTCTTAACGACTCTGCCAACTCAATTATTGATACCCTACCTTCATCCCCAGCTCTACTCGTTACACAATATGCCTTCAGAGGTTCGCACATTGTTCTCTGCGCTCTCTCTGCCGGGCTGACGGAGCTAAATGCAGTGTGGTACGGTTGGCGAGCACGGCGTGATCATGCCATTGCCGTTGCCGGCCAGCAGCGAGCGCCTAGAGCGACACGGTCTTTTCTTGATCGAAGATGGACAGAATCTCTTCCTGTGGATCGGCCGTGATGCTGTGCCAAAGCTGGTCAATGACGTCTTTGATCTGCCGACTTATCACTCGCTCGCTGGCGGCAAGATCACGCTTCCTCAGCTGGAAAATGACTTCAACAAACGCGTGAATGCCGTCATTGGCAAAGTGCGAGAGTCTCGCAGAGGTCCCTATTGGCCGCATCTCTACCTGGTCAAAGAAGACGGCGATCCTTCGCTGCGCATGTGGGCACTCAGCATGCTTATCGAGGATCGTGCGGAGCACCTGCCGTCGTACGCTCAGTGGCTGGGTCAAATCAAAGACAAAGTGAACGCTGCTTCATCTTAGGTCGTGGTCTTAGTACATTGTACAATCTAGATGCAAGTGGGTAGCTATATCATTTGCGAGCTTGCGAGAGCGATACATGCGATGAGCAGACTTGCGAAGTTTCGACTGTCAAGTGCCGCTGCCGATGATGATGATGCTGCCGATGTCCCAGAAGAGGGCGAGGCTTTCCCCGTCGAAGTCGCTGCTGTCGATCTGGAGCCCGCGGCTGCTACAGTGGAGGTCGGCGAGTCTCCGTAGCTGGTGTCAGTCGGTGGTACAGAGTTTATGCTTTGGAGTAGCGAGATAGCAGAGCTGCGAAAGTCATCTGTCGTCATGTCTACTGCGTTCTCAGTGAGATTGAGTAATGCGGCGCTCGGACCGTAGTCGTTCCATTGAGGCAAAGAGTCGCCATTTGGGTCTAATCCAGTGATGAAGTTACTGGGCAACACGTCAGCTCGCTCGATCAAGGTGAGCAGCAGGGCGGGCGTACATCCAATAGTCTGCCACCTGATACGCAAATGTTGTCGTCTCATGCAAGAAGATGAAGATGATCTCTGAGCCGTGTGAGATACCCAGATGGGACGCAGCGGCTAGCGCACTGGATGTCGTGCCGAGCTGGTAGTTCCATGCTTTGACACCGCTGCTTGCTGCATACTGCGCAAATCGTCTCCTGTTCGAATGAAAGGTGAAGTCGCCGGCAATCGAGGAAACCCGCTTGTACTCTGCATTAAGACCGAAGAGATTGGTGCCAGTGTCATAGGGCGAGCCGAGCGCAGGCGTGTTGGGATAAGCTGTCAAGATCTGGCTGATGTTGCCGTTGATAGGTGGCTTTTGACCCACGACGACGGCGCTCAAGCCAGCTACGATCTGGGCATCGCTTGTGACGCCGGTGGGCGAAAAAAGAGTGCCTTCGTCCCTGACGTCACCCATGATCATGGGCACCTTTGCAAAGCTGCCACCTTCTATGAGCTCAGCAGGAGGAGCAGTGACCAGCACGCCGTCATAACATGGCTGGTAAGGCAGTACACCGGAAGGAGCTGATTTGAGGCTGTTGGCTGCAAAGACGGTAGCGAAAGGCAAAGCTTGTATGCAAGCAAAATCGGAGCAGCCTGACGATGTCAGCAAAGGTGTGTAGTAGTAGCTCTGAGCTTGTGCGATACTCAGGTAGCCTCCCCTGTTTGCACCACGTCAGCTCAATGAAACTGACAAAGCAGTCGCCTACGTTGTAGGAAAGCCAGACTGCATGATCGCGCCGCGGTAGAGAGACGAGTCTGAGTAGAGCAAGTGATGGCCAACACTGAAGCCGCCTGCGCTGTCTCCGCCCATGACAACCTTGGTAGGATCACCACCGAAGCTTGCAATATTGTCCTGGACCCATTGAAGCGTCATCTTCTGATCGAGCAGGCCGGCGTTGAGATCGCTGGCAGACATGTCGCTGCTTGCCATGAAGCCGAATATGCCAATTCTATAATTACTTGCGACCCAGATGAAAGGCTGGTTGTTTGCTATGGCTCGCGTGAGTATGGCGGTGGGATTACGATAGGTTCCTGGTCCATCGGCATAGCCTCCGGCGAGCGAGCCGCCATAGAAATGGACATAGACTGGCAGACCAGCGCTGGCGGCGGTGCCGGTAGGGACATGTACATTGAGCACGAGACAGTCTTCACTGACTGCACTGGCATCTGTGCCTTGCGGACAGGCGTTGCCCGAAGTGGTGGCTTGAGTGACCGCCGAGCTGCTCGTGTTGATAGCCTGGGGCGCTCGAAAGCGTAAGGAGCCGGTTGGTGGTTGGGCGAACGGTATCCCGAGGTATTGATCTAGGGTGCTGTTGACGGTGGTGCCTGCATAGGTGCCTTGTGCGAGTGCTACAGTGGGTGGAGAGGATGCAAGGTCGAGTCCAGTAGACTGGCTCGCTGAATCTATGAGAGCAGAGACGAGAGTGCTGGTGTACTGGTAGTGCGACCCAGCGAGAGTGGAGATGTACTCGCTCAGCAAGTCGGCACTGCTGCCAAAGGTCTGATCGACCAGCCGCTGGATGGTCGACGGACTGACCGGCGTGCCGTTTGCCGAGACCGCAAGGCACGCCAGTCCTAGCTGCTTGAGCAGCATTGCGTTCACAGGTAGCAGATGAGCGGAGACGCAGCTGCGCCTTGCAAAGAGACCAGGCTAGCTGATCGACCTGCTGCGGCGAGTCTGAGCCATGTCAGTGGCGGCAGGGCAACGTTGGCGCCGTCGGCCTAAAAAAGCCTCGAGCGCCTGTTTCATTAGGCAGAGACATCTGCAATGTCAATGAAGCCCGAAGACTACATTGAGATCTGCAAGCAGCAGCGGCAAGCAACAGATGCGACCCCATCTTGGCAAGAGCTCGTCGAGCTCGTACGGACAGGCCATCTAGAGCGTTTGGGCAGGTCGACCAGAGATGAATCGCTCTACCAACAATTCCGCTCAGCTGTTGCTCGGGACTATCCTAGCGTCACATCATACCTAGCCAAGCGACTGGACTGGCCAATCAATCATGATGACACCCCAGAACTCTTTGATGTGAATATTCCGGCCGATTCGCTGCGATTGAGAGTGAACGATTGGGCGTACGACTTGCCGAATGACGTAACTCATTGGCTAGCTTGGTCCAAGCGACCTATACTAGCACCAGGCGAGCTCAGAGGCGGATGTCGCGGCTTCCTCCCTCCTCATACCATCCTACTCGAGCCTGACTTGACACCGACAGAGCAAGAGGCAGATCAACGCATTCGAGCATTTGTCGGGCAGCGCTTTCCGCCTCAGCATTTCGAGACCATCTACTTTGTCAATCCGCCCCTGCTTCAGTCTGTACTAGCAGTACCCCATGTTCATGTTTTTGCAAAGAGGTCTACAACTCAAGAATAGCCGCTGAACGACCAGATCCGCGCATGCCAGTCACCGCTCCCTGTAGCAAGGTAGCCCCCGACTTGCGACACCGCAATCGAAATCACTGGTCGATGCTACCATCAGCCTGAGTGCTCTAGGCCACAGCACGAGACTCACCAGAGTTCTTGTGACCTTGCAGCATGAAATGCGCCAAGCCCGTTTGCGGATCCCAAAATTGCACGCCTCGGTCTTTTGAACCAGAGACGATCCAGTGCCCGTCTGGCGAGACTGCCACTGACAGCACATAGTCCTTCACGAAGCAAGATCAGACGGGCCAGAAAAGCAAAGAGCTTAGACTTGCCTTGTGTCCGCTCAAAGTTTGAATGCAAGTCGCCAGACCGCCACTGTCTTCGCGCTTGATGCTACTGCTCTCGAACGCGGAGAGGTCCCACATCTTGAGTGTCTTGTCCAGCGAGCCCGATACGAGCCATTTGCCATCCGGTGCAAACGCGACTGAATAGACGCTATCCTTGTGGCCTTTGACTTTGTCGAGCAATCGACCAGTCTGAGCATCCCAGATTCTGACGAGCGTATCGAGCGAACCCGCAGCAAGTAATCGTCCGTCTGGTGAAAGTGCGACGGATGTCACGCCTGCGTCGACACTCGCGTCACCGGCAGAACCGTCGTCGATATTGAGCGTGAAGACAGAGATGCCCTTGTCCATGTCCCATACTCGCGCAGTCTTGTCGCCTGATCCAGAGACGAGCGTACGACCGTCGTGCGAAAAGGCTAGGCTGTAAATCTCCGATTGGTGCCCGTGAAAGGCGTGCCTTATCTTGCGCTTGCTCAAATCCCATATCTGCTCCGGATGACTCATTAGCTTCTGCGCACTAGTCAGACGATGCACTGACTCTAATGATGCGATCTTCTGAACCAGTCGCAATGTACTTGCCATCCGGACTGAAACAGGCACTCCGTATGTAGTTGTCTGCCTTGCTGTTGCTTGCATCATCAATCAAAACACTGTGCAACAGAACTCGATCAGGGGACAACCCTGATGGAGGAATCGCCCGCTTACCAGAGCTTCGCGCCAGTCTTTGTGTCATACAGATTCGTATTTCTATTGCAGCCCGTCGCAAGCACCTTGCCATCTGGCGAGAAGCGCACGCAGCACACGACACTGCTCAGTCTCGTCAGTCGATGCCAACGGGATCAGCATAGAGCTCGCCTGTCATGCACGAGGGTATGGACGAGCCCGACATCGAGCACGCGCTTCACTTTCGGGTTGAACATGGTCAACCAATCTGAACCCTCTTTCTTGAGATCTCTCGGCAAGGTGTCTGGATCAATGTCGACGAGCGGCAGTTGACTGCCCGGCGTGCCGGCACCCCCACGCGGGGTCTGGGAGGACAGCGCAGATCGAGCAGAATGTGTCCCGTTGGAGGGCGAGCTTTCGGATTCGCGAGCAGAAGTGCTCACACGAGGTCGATCTTCCGCCTCGCCGCTTCCAGAGTGTGACCCGCCATTGGCAGGGCGGGGAGCCGGCACCGGCGTCGTGCGACCAGGTGGAGCAGATCCAGTCTTGTCGCTGCTTGCGGCAGTGCGCTGAAGCGTGCTGGTCGAGCCAGCTTGAGGCACAGGTAACCGCGGGGAAGCTATCTCGTCTTGCCTTGCGCGTTTGGCTGCTGGCACGTGATCCTCCCGCCCATCTGGTCGCTCGCGCGGTGCAGCGTGTGGACTTGCGTAATCGCGCCGAGGCTGGGGATGCATTTTGCTAGGCCCGCCGGCATGATCGTGCCTGTATTGCTCCTGAGTACCGGCCTGTGCAGATTTGGGCGAGATTGTGGGCGGTGCTGTGCTAAAGGGTGCAGAGCCGCTGGCAAAGGGCGCATTGGCTGTTTGACTGTCAGCACATGCGCTTTCACATACTCATGAGAGACGCACGATGCTGATGCTGATGTGATGGCATCAGCAGCGGCTCTTGATGCGGGTTGCTCGGCCGGCCTTGCGCTTGCGCCTGTACCGATTCGAGCTCCTTTCGCAATCTCATCACCTCGTCTTCATAATGCGCCTTCACTTTGAGATGCTCTCGCTCCAATTCGAGTAGATCGTGTCGGAGCGCTTGCACTTCTGAGATTTGGTTTGCGGCTATGTGTCCAGCATCAGCAACTATGGGGGTCGATCACAAATTTGGCGTACTGTGTGCCTCAAAGTCGAGATTTTGGGCCTTGAGCGTCTGAGCCTCTGAGGTGACTTGGTCAAACTCGCCCTTGACAAAGTCGAGCAGATCTGCCAGTCTGGCCCCGGTAGGTCCACTATTGTGACTACCGCCAACGACTTGATTGGAGCTCGTCGTGACGGCGCTTGGTGCGCCCAGAGCCCGATGGTTGTACGTCGAAGGATGGGCCATGATCGCTCTTGCTGCTTGGCCTAGCCCGCAACGCTATCGAGCAGGGCAAAGAGGCGGTCGAGCGGTGCGAAAGCGTCTATCGCGCGGTGCCCGCCTCGGAGGACCAGTGCGGCCAATGCCTCTTGTGGATCGCAGGCAGCCGCTTGACACCTTTCTTGAGATCCCCCACTATTGATGGCTTTCACAGATCGCTCGCTTAGTGCCTCGACAGCGCACGTAAGGCAGAAACGAGATCGACTCGACTCGTGTCTGCGGGAAGGAAACTCGGGGAGATCGGAGGATGTTCCAATTTCATCAACGCATGATTTGTCGCGGCTCGTCATGACCGACAGGCAAAGCTCGGAGAGTCTACAACAGCTGTACGAGACGCAGAAAGCTGTTCAGCGTCCATGCAGAAAGCCCCCAACTCTCTAGTGGTGTGCTCGCTTGCCCACGCAAGCCTTTATAATCGCCATCCTCTGTGAAGCCTTTAGTGTAGTCCGAGACGTCGAATGCTCTGTACTCGTGGTGCGCGAGCCCTCGAAACGCATGCTTACGTTGCCGATTTGGGTCGAGCAGCTCATAGAGCGGTATTGCAAACACTCGCTGGACTTCGCCGGGGTTGGGCAGCAGATCTTGTACGGAGAGAGTCGCAATCTGCTCGTCTGCGGACTGTGAATGGCCATGTAGCACGGCAACGAATGAGGCGACTTCTAGGCCATCTTTGCTCAATGTCGGATCAAGCTCGCCGAGGACTTGTACGCGCTCGGCAGGCAAGCCAATCTCCTCGTGCGTCTCTCGCACATAGCACGCGCAAGCAGAGCTGTCGCTGGCATCGATTTTCCCGCCTGTGAGAGAGATCTCGCCTGCATGAGAGCGCAATCTGCCTCCTCTGACCGTCAAGACTATTGCAGGTCTGACTGCATCCCGTTCGTAAGCGTATGGCGAGGCTCAACAGATTCGGCTTACTGGTCGAGCCTCCCAACGTGGCTAGCCGCTCATGCGCATTTTCGTCTCTCCACAAGACGGCGAGCTGGCTGCGATCATGCGGTACTGCGACGTTGCTCAAACCAACGCCGACAGCCGCTCTGCCGCCGCTCCATCGCTCGAGATTGTCGCCAAAGAACAGCTGTGAGACGGAATGCGGCACACGCGGAAGAGCCAGCTGTTGGCCGATCAGGACTGCAGTCGAACGTGTCAGGGGTCTGAGAGGATCAAAGAATGGCTGTCGACGCAATGTCGTTGTCATCCACCTCTCCTCATCCACTCGTGCACTGACCGCGAACACGTCGACACTTCGTCGTCCGGGGCAGCTCTTCCGAGCCGACAGAATCAGCGAGCTTTCGACAAGATCGGCCAGCATTTCGCCGATGCGTGAAGGCTCACAACACTCACTCGACCAGCATCAAAGCAAGCTGGCCTTCCACGGATCGCCAGGAGTCGTCACACGGACTCTTCCCCGACGGCCCCTTGGGTCAAGGGAAGCACAACACCGTGGGCATCGCGCTGTACTAGCCTGATACACGATCAAGATGGCATCCCTCTTACCCGCCGAGATGCCAGCCACGGGCGCCACGGTGAGCGCACCGGCAGCGCCTGCTCAAAGCGACTCGGACAATCGCGTTCCGGCGCCCGAGTCTCGCCCGACGCACACACACGAGGGCCATGACACGGCTAGCACTGCATTAGAAAGCTCCCATCCACAACTCTCATCGACATCTTCAGATACATCGGACACGGCCAATGAGACACTTGCACGCGAAAAGCAAAGCATGGACGAGAAGCACTCCACAAAACGCTCCAAAAAGAGCCTAGAAAAGTCTAAACAAACAGAGACGAAAGTCGACATCGACTCACTCGAATCGCTTCCGCCCAACCAGCGTACTGTCATCTCAGCACAGCTCAACGGTACTTCTATGCGTACCAAGGATGGCAGACCGGGCTACTTTGACGTTCTTGCAACCGCGACGCGTGGCGAGTGGGCGCTCATGTTCCTCGGCATTGTCGCCGCTGTCGTTGCCGGCTCTTTGCAGCCTTTGCAGACGCTCATCTTCGGCAACTTGACTCAAGTATTTGTGAACTACAGTCTAGCCTTAGCAAGCGGTGAAAATACAGAGGCAGCGAAATCGCAGCTATTCTCGATCGTCAGTCGCGATGCTGGCATCCTTGTCGGCATCGGTGCAGCTGCGGGCATCACTACATTCATCTATTCCGCGACATTCGTTTACACAGGAGAGGCGATCACTCAGCGCATTCGAGAGGCCTACTTGCGCAGTGTACTCAGACAAAACGTCGCCTACTTTGATAGCGTTGGAGCTGGCGAGGTCACCACGCGCATCGCGTCAGATACGCACAGTATCTACGAAGGCATCAGCGAGAAGCTGCCAGTGACCGTGCAATTCTTGTCTACCTTCGTTGCCGCTTTCATTATCGCTTACATCAGAAGTTGGAAGCTCGCATTGGCACTAACGGCCATCGTACCGGTCATCATGATATCTGGCGGTATCATGGTCTCCCTGCAGTCTAAGTACAAGGCCGAGATATCTGATCGCGTCGGTGAGGGAGGCACGCTGGCAGAGGAAGCACTCTCGACCGCGCGTACTGCTATTGCCTTTAATGCTCAGACTCGTCTTGTCGACATGTATGACAAGATCAGTCAACGTGCAGCTGGGCAGGTTTCCATGCTCTGCTGCGGTCCAAGCGCTGATATACGCATGCAGACTTGGCGTCAAGTCTGCAAAGATCTTTGCATTCGGCCTCGGCGTTGTGAGTTCGTCCGTCCTTCTTCATGTCCTTGCTAAGATCGCAAGGCAGATTTACTGGTCTATCTATGCAGCATACGGTCTTGCATTCTACTTCGGAATGCTACTCGTACGTACAGGCGATACTTCGGCAGGTATCGTCATCACTGTCACGTTCGCACTGTTGCTCGGCACATTTTCGCTCGTTTCGATCTCGCCGAATATGCAAGCCTTTTCGGCTGCCGACGGTGCAGCAGCTAAGCTCTTCGAGACCATCTATCGTCTACCCTCAATCGATTCGGGTAGCTCAAAAGGTCGCAAGCTCGACAAAGTCATAGGAGAGATCAGCTTTCACAACATTGACTTCTGGTACCCTGCCCGCCCGAAACAACAGATCCTTCACAACTTCAATCTCATCGCACAGCCAGGTCAGAAGACAGCGCTTGTGGGCGCTTCTGGTTCAGGGAAGTCCACCATCGTCGGTCTGCTCGAACGATTCTATGATGTCGCCGAGCCAGGCGCGGTAATGCTCGACGGTGTCAATATCAAGGACCTCAACGTGACTTGGCTGCGCAGTCAGATCGGTTTGGTATCGCAAGAGCCGACACTGTTCGCAAACACGGTCGCCGGAAATGTCGAATATGGCCTCATCAACAGCGAATACGAAGATCTGAGTGCAGAGAAGAAGCGTGAGCTAGTCATCGAGGCTTGCAAGTCTGCCAACGCGCACGACTTTGTCATGCTACTTCCCGAAGGCTATGAAACGCGCATCGGCGAACGAGGCATGCTGCTTAGCGGAGGTCAGGCACAGCGTATCGCCATTGCTCGTGCAATCATTTGCAACCCAGCTATCCTCATCTTTGACGAAGCCACATCAGCGCTCGATGGCACTTCCGAGGCGGTCGTACAAGCAGCACTGGACAATGTTTCGCAGTCTCGCACGACCATCACAATCGCTCATCGTCTTTCCACAATCAAGGACAGTCACAACATCGTCGTTATGAGCTCCGGTCGCATCCTAGAGCAAGGCCGACACGCGGAGCTACTGCAACGTCAAAATGGCGCATATGCGCGACTTGTGTCCGCACAACGATTTATGGATGATGCCGAGCCATCTTCTGATCCTGAAAATGAAGAGGAGCAGCTGCTCGAGGAGGTCAATGCTGTCAGACCGCAGCTACTGTCGACGCCTTCACGGCCTAGCTTGAGGCACAAGATTTCACTCAAGCCATCTCGAAGCAATGACCCGAATGAGCAAGATCCCAAGTCTGCTCTACCGCTCAACATCAATGACTCACCATCTCGCTACGGTATCTACACGCTGTTTAAGCGCATCGGACAGCTCAGCGATCACGACGAATGGAAGACTTACTGCTTGGGAACGCTCGGAGCTGCACTGGCCGGTCTAGTCTATCCTGCTTATTCGGTCATCTTTGGCTTCGTCATTGGTGCTTTCGGTGATCCTACACCAGGTGCACTTGCTCATGCAGGTCAGCTGTACGGTCTCATATCGCTCGGCTTAGCAATCTTCGCCGCGATCTCGATCTGGATGCAGAACTACTACCTTGCTGCAGCAGCAGAGCGCTTGTCGGCTCAGATACGCAGACGAACACTCGAGGCCGAGCTCCGTCAAGACGTGTCCTTCTTTGACCTCGAAGTCAACTCGACTGGCGTGCTCGTCACCGCAGTTTCTGATCGAGCTTCGAAAATCAATGGTATGGCTGGTGTTACTCTGGGGGTCCTGGTGCAGTCTTTGGTCACCCTATTGGCTGGCGTGGTCGTCGGCATTGGCTTTGCACCGAAAATTGGCGCAGTCGCTCTCGCGCTCGTTCCCTTCACCATCGGCGCTGGCGTGGTACGCACAAAGGTGGTCGTCGAACGTGATGCCAAGATCAAGGTCGTCCACGAAGAAAGTGCTCAAATAGCTTGCGAAGCTGCAGCCAGTCTTCGCACCGTCGCTGCTCTTACGAGAGAGGCTGACTGCGTGCGGATCTATTCCGAAGCTCTGCGCAAGCCTCAGGAGTACACCAATCGTCAGTCTCTCAACTCCAATATTGTCTACGGTATCAGTCAAGCGCTATCGTACTTTGTCATCGCGCTCATATTCTGGTACGGCTCGCATCTCCTGGTCGACGACGGACTATCTACCAGAAGCTTCTACGTCGCATTCTCTGCTGTTGTGCTTGGCTCAGTTGGCATCGGCAACACGCTCAGCTATGCTCCCAGTGCCGCTGGCGCGATCGGAGCAGCCCGGCAAACGCTAGCTCTGCTGGACAGCCGAGCCAGTATCGCTTCTGACGATACAACTGGCGAGATCATCGAGGCGCCCGTGGGCGGTCTGGAGGCTCGAGACGTCAAGTTTCGGTACGCAACAAGACCGCATATCCCCGTTCTCAAAGGCATAGATATCGAAGTCAAACCCGGGCAGTTCATCGCCCTTTGTGGATCTTCAGGCTGTGGCAAGTCGACCTTGATACAGCTGGCCGAGCGGTTCTACGACCCGATCGAAGGCGTCATTCGGTTCGATGGTCGGCCCTTGCCAACGCTCAATACGGGCGCGTATCGAGATCAGCTCGCGCTCGTTGCTCAGCAGCCCACGCTTTACAGCGGTACTGTCAAGTGGAATATCGTCATGGGCGCGACGAAACCGGCAGATCAGGTCACAGATGAGGAGGTCTTCGATGCTGCACGACAGTCTAACATACACGATTTCATCATGACGCTGCCAGATGGCTACGAGACCGCCGTCGGCAGCAAAGGCGGTCAGCTCTCCGGTGGTCAAAAACAGCGAGTATGCCTTGCTCGTGCGCTGATACGCAAACCGAAACTACTATTGCTCGATGAAGCCACAAGGTACGTCGGAGTTCATCCGCATTGCTAGACCACCAGCTTACCTGCAGCCTGCGCAGTGCACTCGATTCCGAGTCCGAGCGCGTCGTGCAAAAGGCTCTTGACGAAGCTGTCAAGTCTCGCTCGACTATAGCGATAGCTCATCGACTGTCATCCATTCAGTCGGCAGACATGATCTATGTTCTCAGAGAAGGCAAGGTGCTGGAAAAAGGCACTCATACACAGCTACTGCAGAACCGCAAATTGTACTTCGAACTCGTCAATCAGCAAGAGCTCGAGAACCGCAAACACTAGTCGTCATTGTTGTGTCTTGTAGAGATTGTAAGACTTGTGGTACTACATGCTCTCTTAGCGCGAGGAGAAGTACGCATATCGCAGGCAGCACTAATGGTCCTGTTGGCTTAGCTTGAGGCTAGCAAAGGTCGGCGAAATCGGAGAAGTGCGTTGCCGGCGGTCGAGTATGCGTGAGTGCCAAGCAATCGTAGACCCGTGCCGCCACCACAGTCTCCAGCAAGGTAGGGTCCAATTCTAGCAAAACTCGTTCCGCTGCACATCTTTGTCGCCAAACTGACAGCCTTGGACTTTTCCCGTGGACCAAGCTGTCGCATACAGCGAGCACACGAAGCTTTATGGTCGAGACTCCCCCTCACTGGCAATCAGTCCTTGTTCGATGTCGCCTCAGAGTGCGCGTTGTTGACGGTCGAGTATGCGTGAGTGCCAAGCCATCGTAGACCCGTGCCGCCACCACAGTCTCCAGCAAGGTAGGGTCCAATTCTAGCAAAACTCGTTCCGCTGCACATCTTTGTCGCCAGACTGACAGCCTTGGATTTTTCCCGTGGACCAAGCTGTCGCATACAGCGAGCACACGAAGCTTTATGGTCGAGACCCGCCCTCACTGGCAATCAGTCCTTGTCCGATGTCGCCTCAGAGTGCGCGTTGTCGACGGTCCAGTCTGGAGCGGAATGGAATGCGACTCGGAAAGTTGCACCCTTTTGTATCAGTCGCGCCATTTAATCGATCTAATCGATCTTGATGTCTCCACTCGTGTCCCCATCTTCGAGATCCGACCAGCGCCCCGGCAGCAGCAACCCATGGACTTCGGTCAGCTGATCAATGCTACTTCGCAAAGCACGTCAGTCCGACCCAGCAGGCGATACGGATATGGAAGAACATCTCAACTGATACGGACATGCGGTTACTGTAGCGCAATCCGCTTGCTGCGCAGTATTGGACAAGGCGCCCATCTGACTGCACGCGAGGGACGGGGCGGATAAATTCAGGTCGAGACTTTGCAAGCAATTAAGCAAATCACTGAACGCTATCGGAAAATCTCGCCTTCTGCGCGTAGATAACCGAGCCGCGCCGTACCTTCTCTCGGGCCGCACGCTTCCGATCTCGCCATCTCTTGGCATCTATCGGCAGCATCTATGGTCTGAGCGAGACTGTGCATGTAGACCTAGCTAGACTGTGCATGTGCAGGTGCATGTGCAGGTGCATGTGTGCATGTTGTCAAGACTACAATCGGTCATGTTCCTTCACGAGAGTATCGTCGCAGGGCTGAAGGGCCGGGCACTAGGCATCTCTCTTCGTGTACTTTCCATCGCGCGCTTTTGCCGAAAAATGCGGCACATGCAAGTGGTTGGAGAAATGCGACAATATCGACCTCAAGGCTGAAGGACAAGCTTGTGATGTGCAGTGACTATAGAATACAATACTCCTGTCCTTTTCTTGTAGGCCGCCCAGTCGACTCGGCGCATGATTGCCGGTATGTCTCAATGGAGCATTTGAGGAACTTCGAGCTTCACGTCGCACCATATGTTTATTTCATACAGCGAGATGACTTGACTGTTTGTACAATACGATTCATATTTGTTTACTGCTCGTTGAGGCCTGCGATGGTGCGCGTTTCCCAGATGAGTTGTGCAGAGATCTTGTTGGACGCGTGCTGCAACATACGTGTGTGGCGAATTGCGAGTCCTGCGACGCGTGGCTTTGAATTGAGTAGCGGAGCAGTGACAGTGGACTCGAGCTACCTTTGTAAAGCTGCACTAGCAGATCTGCGGATGCCGGTCCACTTTGATCTGTAGAGCAAGAGTGAGCTTATAGGCCTGCCGCTGCAAATGTCGCACCGTTCATGATGTCAGTCGTGTTCAGGAACGTGCCGAAAGTCGCCATGAGCTCCGTGTCAGGTGCAAAAGTACCAAGGATGTATTGGCGAAGATATCCTCTGAACTCTGCGGTCGTGTGTTCCTTTGCGGGTGTCGACTCTCCGATGGTAATCTTGAAGACCGCTTGGTTCGTCGAGCGCAGGTTGAGTGTTCTGATAAGGCGCGCATCGCCCTCGCCTGATTCGATTGGTATGCTCTGCTCGGCCTCGGAGCTGCTGGTCGATGCATTATCGGCTGCAACGGCCTGACTAAGATGTTTCTTGCATGGTCGACAGATCTGGTACCGTCTTGCTGCGCGATTATGGGGATGAGCCACAAAGCTCGTGGTGGGCTTCGTCTGCGAATGGCATTTGAAACAGCCGGTAGCTTTATGATTATGTTCAAGGCGCTCGGGAGATTGTGCAAGGATGAAGGTGAGCTTGCTCGGGCCGGATCGGACAGGCTCGACAGTTGCCATCCCATTTGCGCGATTATTCGCGAGATGATCGTGATTGTCCTCCTTTGCGTGGTCATGATCCACGTCTGCAGTTCACGTCGTCAGTCAAGCATCACACTGATGTGCCACGCTTGTCATACCCGTATGCCCATGTTCGAGAGCGTCTGAAGAGTAGGTCAGGGCTCGCGTGCATGTTGCTTCAAAATCAAGCAGAGTGTCATGAAAGGCTGGTGGGCATGTCAGCTCGCGCTTTGTTTGGCGCGTTTGCGAGCTCTCACTGATGGGTAGTTCGTCGATCGTCGAGTCTTTTGACGGAGCATCGATGTACGATGCATTAAAATCCATGAGCGGATAGACTGCATTGTCTGATCGGGTCAGAACAGCCAGGGCAAGACAGTACAACAACACGCACCGTCCTCTGGGGCGCAGGTCTTGATCGGACTGGCTGGATTGGGAGTATGGGTTCCCTCTATGACCCCGTGTGAGCGATTTCGCAAACTTGGGAGAGACCTAAGCACCTTGATCCGTTGCATAGTCGCTTGCGTCCGTATCGTCCGAAGTCGAGATGAGCGGCGTTCCGGGCTCTTTGAGGCGGTCGTTGATAGCTTTGACCATGGCAGCAATGCGTAGGTCCGAAGCGTGCACGAGGGCGAGCGCATTTGCTCGAATCGTACGCTCCGCTCTTAGCTCGGTCAGCAAAGTGAGCAGCTCGGACGTGTGAGTCGATGAGCGACCAGAAGCGCTCGGCATTTCTGAGCCTGGTATATAGAATAGTTGTACGAGTAGTATCGCGCGCGAAGGAGGTAGACCGGTAAACGATCTGTTACCTCGACGCGTATCACGTGAATCGTGCTATTGACATACCGACGAAGTAAGCTGCTTCGCCTCCCGGTCATGACATCTCTCGCCTTCCTGCTGACTCCGCGCGCTTCGTCGAAGTATCCGGTTCGTCTGGCTTTCAGATGTGGATCTCGGCACGCAATATTGCAAGAGCGGCCATGTACCCGCTCTGTTCGCTCGGTGCCGATCGACCGCCAAACACTTCGCATAGACTTCCGCAGTCTGTGCTTCGCATAATTGGATGTCCTCTGAGCCGCCCGCAGCGCAGACGATGTCTCGGAAACCTTGCCAAGGTAGCCACATGACGCGCAATGGGGCGAGGTTGCATAGCGCTTTGAACGCATGACAGCTGTCAGAATCTTCCGCGCGCTCGTTTGTTCGAATCCGTCTGCCCCGTCGAGCGTTTCGAGCTGCTCAACCGCACGCCATGGCCGAGAAGAGACACCGCGAGGCCAGCATGCGGTTCACGTGAAATGCGAAAGGAGGCACTATCTCGACTTCCGCGGATCGCTCGATAACGCTGGCATCTTTCCGATCGATCTGATTGTGTGTGACTGTGTGATCCGCCTCGTGAGGTCAGAAGGTCTCGGACGGGCAAATGTGATGGTGAGTCGGTCAATGGATGCCGACTGCTGACCAGATCAGTCGCGTCACAACATCCGGCATCTGCATCCGGTCGCGACGCGCGCTGAGCAATTTGAGCTGAGCGAAACCCGAAACGCATCAAGCCGAGTCCCACATATTACGATGGACCAGCAGCACAATTGGAGCAGCTCTGAGTGCTATTTACATTCAGATAACGCTTGTCAGGTTGGCATAAGCTGGCGCAATTCGCAGCATGGGCATAAGAAATAACAGACCAGTAATACAACACAGGAGCAAGCCATGCCTAGCGAGAGAGCCCTCTTGCTGTCTTCCTTAATGCATACACCAATCGCTTGACCTCTCGCCTAGCCTCCTTGATGTCCTTGTCAAGCGTGAGCGCTTCTGTGACGCCAGGAAAAGTGGTTGCACCGTAGCCCAAATATCTGCCGGGCGCTACACCCAGATGCTGTTTGTCTATGAGCAGCTGGTCAAAGCAAGGGGTGGGAAGCTCACCTTGTACCACTTCCGCCCAGGAAGACCGCCCGACCTTGCCAGAAAGCCGCTTTCGAACGTTCGCAGCTGCGAGTTGACGCGACGAGCTTGCCGGCTGGAGCAATGCGGTAAGCTCGTGAGACTCTGTAGCTTGCTCGCTCGCTTCGAGAAGGAGGTCGTCGCGCGTGAGAGAGCCTTGACTGCATTCTGTAGCTGAGCCAGTCCTATGTCTGCTTTCGCATCGAAGTCTCTGGCAATCTTGCTGATTCGATCAAAGTCGTCGAATAGGACGTTGGAATAATAAGTGACATTGATCGGTAGTATGATAGGCTGCGCAATCCGCAAGGCGGCAAGACCCATGACTTGAGCAATCTTGACGTGGCGAGTAAAGCCCGGATCGCCGAAGCGATTCATCCAGGCGAAACTATCGAACTGACTGTGATAGTGATAGATAGGATCCTCGGCGCCTCGAGCAAAGCCAAGATCCGACGAAGCGATCCCGAGATGCTGAAGAAAGACAGAGAAGTCGGAGCCTGAGCCCAGAGGTGCTACAGGCGGTGCATCGATCTTCAGATCCGATAAGAGCTTCTCATAGAATGGCGTGAGTGACGGTGAGGCACCGATGTGCAGTCGTGAGCCGCTCGCAGCGACATCGACATTGAGGTAAGTCACGACACGATCTTTGAAGAATGTGCCTCCGAAAGATCGCTGGGAAAAGTCCTCGCCAGCTTCTGTCGAGCCGACGAGCCCATACTCTTCTGCGTCCCACGAGGCAAACAGGATGCTTCTGACAGGCTTCCAGCCTTGCCTCATGAGCTCGGCGAACCCGTGGACGATTTCGTGTACAGCGGCAGTGCCAGAAGAAGGATCGGCAGCGCCGAAGACCCACGCATCTCTGTGATTGCCAACTATGACGACTTCGTCTGCAATCTGGCCTTCGATCATGGCATATGTGTTGTAGATTGGCGTTACGCCCCCTTTGACAACGTTGACGACCTCGATCTCGAGCTCAGACGGACCGGTCCAATAAGAAAGGTCGAGCGCGCCACTGAAACCTTCCAGTTGCTGTCCGCGCCCTTCCAAGGCCTGAAGTAGGGGCAAAGCATCGACATACGAGAGAGGCAGACTGGGTATCCGCACAAGGCTGCTCGGATCATCTGCGCCTAGTCGTTCTGCATGCTCGTACGCTGGCTTGTTGGGTGTCAGAGGATCACCAGGATAGACAGAGATGAGCTGAACGCTGCCACGCTGGACCGAAGTAGGCTCTCTTGCTGGCCCGAATGGGTATGCTTTGTGGCCATTGGCGAGGGTGATGTTGCCGTCCTCTGCAGGATCGGTATAGATGAGCACGGCTGATGCGCCTGCTTGCTGGGCTAGCCAGACTTTGAGACCTCGAAACACGCCGCCATATCGGACAAGCACGATCTTGTCGGTGACGGAGATGCCTTTGGATCTGAGCAGCTCAAAGTCTTCCACTCGGCCGTAATTTGCGTAGACGTATTGCCCCGTGGCGGAGCCGTTCTTGCTGTAGCCATGAAAGGTGGGTACGTCTTCATTGCCAGTCGCGCTCGTGGGATCCTCCTCGATAAAGACATTTTCACGCATTGCGGCTCGAAAGACGACCTCTGAAGCATTGCACAGCTTGACTGAGCGCAGAACAGGATAGTTGAGCAGAGGATAGTATGTATCGGTCCAGGCTCTGATCTTGTCGACTTTGGGGCTTGTTTGTGTCATGAGCCGCCTACTGTCCGTTGTGCCGCTTTCGACCGTCACAAGATCGTCAAGCTGAGCCGGCAGACCGAGACTGGTGCGCCATTGTCGCTGAACATCGTACGCAGACAATTTGCCTTGCGATGTCCCTGCCAAATGAGCCTTCGATGTCATCGCCTGCAGGTTGGACGCGATTCGCTCGCTCGACGGCATTGCAAGGTATTGTCGCTCCAAAACGTCCTGGGGCATAGTCGAATCTTGCAAGCTTTGATAGCTGAGATGTGCCCGGTCCATTCGAACCAGATCCGAGAGCCATTGGAGCTCTAGTGCGGGTGTTTGGATGAGCCCGATCACCCAAGCAGTCCAGACAATTGATGCCAATGAGCTAGCGAACAAAGTGATCCGCTCTCGCTTCGAAAGTCGTCGTCGATTCTGTTGAGCCGGCGGAAGCTCTAGCTTTGTCTGTGAGAGCTTCTCGTACTGCATGACGGCCCTCTTCACGGAGCGGCGCTCGAGCTGGAGGAGCAGTCGCGCTGTCGCCAGCGAGCAAATAAATCTTGCGCCGACGAGCAAGGTGACGACTGGACGAAGCATGGGCATCAAGCTCAAGAGCAAAGCCGGAAGAGACGGCAAGATGATGCACACACCACTGGCTCATCAGATTGCCGAAGACAAGGCAGGGCGGCCGCTCAAGGTCAAGTCTGAGCGCAAGCAGAAAAAGACAGGGAAAGGCGCAGATGATGATCAAGAGGGCGTACCGCAGAAGGCGAGCTTGCATGCAGATCATCCAGACTGACGAAAGCTCATGCGTCCTTGCGATCGAACAGGCTCGAGCAGACTTGACGAAACGCATCCTGCATTTGGCGCGAGAACAGCAAGACGAAGAATTAGCTCTGCAGCAAGGCAACCTGCCTGAACCTGCAGCTCTGCCATCGTTCGTGATCGATGATACTGCCGCATGACACCGCTGACGTCCGAGCAGACGAACACCGGCGTCCCGGCTTGCGCAAGCCAAAGACGACGCGCTCAGTGAAGATGAAGAGGAGGATGAGCTCGATTTTGACGAGGCAGAAGCGGAGGAAGAATACGAGGAGATGACGGACGAGCAGTTTCGGATGATGCAAGAAGACATGAATCACGAGGCAGGCGATACGCTCGCTGATAAGATCTTGGCCAAGATCCGGCAACATGAGGACAGGCTAGCGGGCAAAACAGGTCAGCTAGTCTCGCAGTCTGCTTGTACCTCCTTTGACCGAGACGAACAGCACCAAAGTCTGTCTCTGGCGCAGCTGAGCTCAACCCAAAGGTCGTCGAAGTCTACTCAAAGTGAACGACTTGATATCTTACAGATGCGCGCGCTGAATCATCATCGCACAGAGTGGGTCAGCTACTATCGCGATACAAGTCAGGTCCTCTCCCCAAAGCTTTCAAGATCCTGCCTACGCTACCGATGTGGCCAACTCTGCTCTCGCTCACTCGGCCGCAGAACTGGACCCCTCACGCGACCTATGCCGCCACACGCATCTTCGCTTCCAATCTCGATCCGCGCCAGAGTCAGAATTTCTTCCAGGAGATCCTACTCGACAAGATCAGAGAGGAGATTGCGATGGAAAAGAAGCTCAGCGTGCAGCTTTATATGGCCATCAAGAAGGCGCTCTACAAGCCTGCAGCGTTTTTCAAAGGCATCCTCTTTCCCCTTTGCGAGGTCAGTCGTTTCGTCTCTACACTCAGCGAACCTCTCCTTACTCAGCTGCAACAGAGTGGCAATTGCACTCTCCGCGAAGCTGCAATCGTGGGCAGTGTGCTCTCGAAAGTGAGTGTGCCTGTATTGCACTCGGGAGCAGCGCTGCTCAAGCTTGCCGATATGGAGTACTCGGGTGCGCTCACTCATCCTGCCCATGAAGGATTGCTCATACTGTCAGACAGGTCCGAACAGCTTGTTTATTCGCGTGCTGCTCGACAAGAAGTATGCGCTGCCGTACAAGGTCGTCGATGCGATCGTCTTTCACTTTATCCGCTTCAAGCACGATTCGAGGCAGTTGCCAGTACTCTGGCACCAATCTTTCCTCGTCTTCGTCCAGAGGTGCGCTGCGTGCATAGATCGCATGGGTGTAGCTCATATGTCCTGCAGGTATAAGCAAGATCTGACAGAAGAGCAAAAGACTGCATTGCTCGAGGTATTGCGGATCCAGAACCACGCTCAGATCACACCGGAGATACGGCGAGAGATTGCGTCGAGTGTGCCGAGGGACGCAGAAGTAGAGATGATGTTGTAGATTCTGTTGTCAATGTACATCTGCCCCATTCACCTCTTCGCTACTGTGCGGTGTTGACGTTGTGAGGCCCCGTGTGTACCATCTATCCCGCTGCTCGCCTGGTCGCTCCAAAGCGTTCAGGCAATAGTACGCCTCGCTCAACTGTGCTCTAGCGTCAGCAGGCATCACAAACCATGATGTGCGGAGATGGCACCCCAGCACGCCAATCTTGTTCCTTTTCGGCTTCGTCCGGATCCGCAGGCTCATGATCAGAGATGGACGTAAACGGCTCGGAAGGCACCCATTCACATCGATGGAAGGAAATCCCTGTCGAAAAGGCGTCGATGGCCGTCAGGAGTAGGTCATAAGCAATCTGGTAGCACCCTGGCAAGCGCTTTTGGGCAATATCGAGCTTCTGATCGAATTCGATCTCGTCGGTCTCGTCGTCGAGCTGAGCAAGACGGACGAGAGCGGCGCAGATAAGAGAGCCGCCTGACAAGCAGATACTGCCGATGCATCGCAATAGAATCTTGGCATCTTCTTTGCCTGGCTTGTGCACGGCTGATTGTACACGAGAGATGAGAAAGTCGGAAATTCCGGTGCAGGCATCCGCAAGTTGGATGTACTGGGCTCCATCATCGTCGGATGGCTGTGACAATCTGCCGATGAGCAGTTCGAAGTGACTCGCAAGTTCTTGTGAGGCTCGGATGAGCTCGTCGTCGTCAAAGATGCTACGACGTTTCGGCGCAATGATCGCCTGATGTGTTTCAAAGACATCTACGAGCTCTGAGACGAGCGTCGAGAACAGAGACACCGGCAGGAGCGATCCATCCCCCTCGCTCTCTGATTCGTCCGACAGCTGCTCAGGTAGAGATCCTGACGGTCTGATCTGTTCGAATACGTGTATGCTTTTGTCAATGACCGCGTTTGCTCGCTCGAGGAGCGCTCGTCTTTGTGAGGCAGACATCGGCACAGAGGCTGCCACGAGCTTCTCGTACGATGCTGTGAGCCACACGAGCAGATCTCCAGGCTCGTTTGCCTTGAGACGCTGGCCATGATGACCGTCATCTTTGAAGAGCAAACAGCATAATTGCCAGACCGCCCAGCCCTGGTGTTCGTCGAGCACTCTGGTACGCGCAAGCTCAACGATCTCACGATGAGCCTTCCGTGTCAACCTGCTCGTCTCTCCGTCTGCGCCTATCGCGGTCGCCACTTCATAATCCAACGAGGCGAGGTTTTGAAGTCGCTCGCATTCCCAGAGCAAAGCGCGCACATGGTCTGCTTGGTCTTGGTCCGTGCCGGTGCCGTCCTTTGTCGCGTGCTTGTCTGCTTCTGTGCGGAGCTGCTCGAGTTCTGCTCCTGGGCTCAACCCTGTCGAGAGCTTGACGGTCTTTGTGTCCGTTTGTGGTGCAGACGTAGATGCAACGGGCTCGTGTCTGGCTGATTTTGACTTCTTCTGAGCTGCGCCGATGCCTGCTGGTCGCTTTGGCATCCTCGAAGCTGATCAGCGAGGGCAGGCGGGTATAGATTCGACGCCTTGCAGGTGACTCTTGGGCCATCGCGCTGTCGCTACCAAATCGTAGGCGAGTCAGACGACGAGCGGCAAGATGGCTGAGCCGCCAGCCAAGGACCCTTACGAGCTGCTCAGTGTCGCCAATGCAGCGACACTGGCGGAGATCAAGTCAGCCTACCGAAAGGTACGTCGTGGCCGGCAGACTGTCATGACGCCCAAGCTGATGCACTCCCGGTACGCTTCAGCAATCGCTCAAAGTCCATCCTGATCGCAATCCCGGCAACGCACAAGCGGCGGCGCAGTTCCACGAGCTCACGCTAGCCTATGAGCTCCTGCAAGACCCGGTAAGGCGAGCATCGCATGACAAATTACAAGCGCACCATCGCGCGAAAGCACAACGATTCGCTTCACTCGACAAGAAGCGCAAGACCGATCTCGTCGATCTCGAAGCGCGCGAGAGAGCTTACAAGCTATCAAAGGAGTCTTCAGATCGGCAGACGAGTCAGCGCGGTCAGGAAGTTGAGAGACTCAAGTCTGAAGCGCAGCGAATGAAAGAGGCTCTCTTGCAATCCCGTCGCAACAATGCCCCTGCAACTCCGCCTCCCTCTGTTGCTAGAGTCCCGGAGGATGCGCAGCAGACAGCTTCGCTGGAGAGCACAGTACGGCTGAGATGGCGGAAGAAATATTTGCCCGATCTCGACTCGCAAGCGCGACTGAAGGAGCTTCTTGCCTCTCTGGGCGCAGTCGAATCGATCGTACTGGCACCCGTCAAAGCAGACGCAAAGTCCAACACTGCTCTTGTCGTCTTCGGCAGCATTGCAGCAGCAGTGAGGGCCGTTCGAGCATCGGCAACACCCAACACCGCTTTTGAGCATATTTCTATCACCTGGGCAGGCGAGCCGCCCTCCCGAGCAGGCAAGTTGCCAACACAGAGCGACAGAGAGGTCGAAGTGCCTCCTGCGGCTAGTGTCACCCTCGAGGAACTCACCCTCGGCCGACTTCGAGAACGCGAAGCCGAGCGAGCACGACTAATGGCTGAGCTAGCAGAGCAAGATGCCAGTACCTAACCACTCTCGAGTATTCAGCGCCGTCTTGGTGGGCTGCGACTCCTTCGTCTCTTGTCGTTCTGGCGACTATACTCCTCTGGCCGTCTGCTTGAAGATGACTCGAATGCGATAGCGGATCGTTTGCCAGGCGCTTGCGCAGCCGTTCGCTCCTCCGCTCGTCTCTTCTGCGCTTCAGCTGGGCATTTCCCAGACATCAGCATCAATCGCCGTACAGCAATCGAGGGCCTACCTATGCGAGAAGCAGAAGCTTCGGGCGGTAGACCATGCTGGGCGTCCCAGACAGATTTGGGAAAATTGCTCGTCTTCTCGTCGATGTTGAGAAAGTCGACGAGCTTGGACAGGATATGGGGATTACGAAAGGCTTTGTTGCGTACGAGCGTGTCGTTGAAATGAATGCCAGTCGATTTCAGTTCGTGAAACGTAGCGAGCTTGGCTTCGAGCGTCTCTGATACTGGCTCTGCTGAGCTCGAAGGATCTACACCCATCCGTTGCAGCAAAGCAAGCCGTCGTTCGTCAGACAGCAGGCCCGCAGCAAGCTTTGGCGTGTCCTGTATCACTCGGGGACTGCCTCGAGTGCCATCAGGTGATCCGACGCGCTGGACAGGTGGAGACGTCGAAGGAGGTCGTGAACCGTTGCTTTGCTTCTTGGCGCTCGATCGAGTGGCTTGAGGCACAGAACTGATCTGCAAAGACGAGCCCGAGCCGACCTGATTGCTCGGTATCCTGACGCCCGCTAACAATCTCGTAGGCGTGTTCACTCGCTCCGGCGTGCTCCTTGCTGTGTCCGACGTGATCGTCTGCACTGCAGCTATGCTGGCCTGCTGCGCATCTCCGGCCTTGTGAGCTCATCTTGCTGTGGGCTCCAATTGTGATGTACGTGCCTTTGGACTTGGCACTTGCACGTCATCCGGTTCGCCATCGCTGCTGCCATAGCCGACCAAGCCTGTTCCGTGCTATCACAGTGAGCCGTGAGCTGTCATTATGCCGAGCAGCAAGCTTACCAGGCATGGCCATGTCCAATTTCCTTGCACAAAGAGGAGCCGACACGCGACGGCGAGCTTGCCACGTTGCAGAGAGTGTACGGCTCTGGTCTCGCTATGCGCCATGCGTACGGCAATGCTGCTCCTCCGATGGCTCGGGCTTCTCTGTCTGATCACATATGCACCTGCAAGCGAGACGCCCGGCAGCCGACACACGAACAATTGGGCTGTCCTCGTCTGCACCTCTCGCTTCTGGTCAGCAGGCCTGCCTCCAGGCCGTGCGCAAGCTCACGAGTCGGAACGGTCACAGGTTCAACTATAGACATATGGCCAATACGCTAGGGATGTACAGGACCGTCAAACGACTGGGTATACCGGACTCACATATCATCCTCATGCTCGCCGACGATGCCGCCTGCAATCCGCGCAATATGTTCGCAGGCACGGTGTACAGCAATGCTGCCCGAATGCTCGATCTCTACGGGGAAAACATCGAGGTGGACTACAGAGGCGAGGAAGTCTCTGTGGAGAACTTTATCCGCCTGCTGACAGGCAAGTCAATCCAACGCGCTCCAATCCGCCGTGCTGAGCCAGTCGGCGGCGCAGGCAGAGTGCCGGAGGGGACGCCCAATTCGAAGCGTCTCAATACAGATGAGAACTCAAACGTCTTCGTCTACATGACAGGACACGGCGGCGACGAGTTCCTCAAGTTCCAAGATTCTGAGGAGATCTCTGCTTTCGATCTGGCAGATGCATTCGAGCAGATGTCGCAGAAGCATCGCTTCAACGAGCTCTTCTTCATGGCCGACACTTGTCAGGCCAATACCTTGTACTCCAAGATCTACACGCCCAATGTGCTCGCCACCGGCTGCTCGGCCAAAGGAGAGAACTCATACTCCCATCATGCAGATCAAGATATAGGGGTTGCGGTCATTGACAGATTCACTCACTTTGTCCTCAATTTTCTCGAGGGCGTCAACAAGACCAGCCAGACGACCATGCAGTCTCTGGTATGTCTGTCACAGCCTCTCACTGAGCCAAACTGATTGCGATTCAGTTTGACCGCTATTCTTTCGATGAGATGCACTCCAATCCTGGCGTCCGCTCAGACCTATTCGATCGCTCACTAGGGCAAGTCCTGCTGACTGACTTTTTCGGCGGCGTATCGGCTGTCGAACCTCTCACACATCTCACCTTACAGCCCCAACCCAACGATTTGCCAAATTGGACATAGCGCAGAGATCACATTGCGCGAGATGTTGTTGTGACGCCATACTGCAAAAGATCGCTGCATGTCTAGGCGAGTGTACAAGCAGACTGCTTGTGGGGAGAGTACAAGTGTGATTTTGCGATTTTTGGGCATTCTCTAAAAGTTGCCACGCGCGAGCAAGCCCTCGGTGATTTCGCCTGCGCGCATAGCCAGAACGCTGTAAGAATAGTCAGCCTACTTGCGATGGCCTGAATGAAGCAGACCATACCTCAAAAGAGTATCGCTGATGCCGTGCGTAGCTTCATTTGACCCTTGGAGCCAGATCGTAGGTTTGAAAGCGTGCTCCTGCTCATCTCGGCAACAAATGGCGAAGCTGGTCGGTAGCTCAAGCTTATAGTCTCTGCTGACGCCAAAGTATGGAATCTCGTGCGCATCGCGTTTGGCTCGCGTCGGTCGCTCTCCGGTGCAGTGCAGACATTCTGTCGAGCCCAAGGGCGACGTGCCGGGAGAGGACGCTTCGCTCTCGGCACCCGATGAAAAGATAGCAGGACTGTTGCTCTCATCTGTGGTGTACGACCATACCGAATTCCTGGAAGTAGACTGATCGCGAGCTTGGACTTTGGTGCGTATGGCACGGTCGACTTGCTGTGCATGCTGCCCTTGACTTTGCTGACCGAGAGGCGAGCTCAAGTATTCTGCCTCAAAGAGTTCGCGCAGTGAGACACTGCCGGATGATGCCTCTGAGAGCGTTTGATCTGCGAAAAGCAGGTCTTGCCAGCCTTGTCGCTTATAGCCTGTACCGCAAACAACGGCATCGTAATGAACCACCTCGACCTGCGACTGCAGAGTATGTTCCAGAGTGATCTTTATGCCTTTATCCGAGTCCGTAGCATCTAGGATATCTCTGTATGGCAGAATGCTCATGATTGATTGCTTCTTCTCTTCCGAGGCGTAAGAGTTGCCGGTTGCCCGAATGTCTTCTTCTACTCGCGCCTCGTACATCTTCTCGTAAATCTAGCTCACGTCATCAGCTTCGAGCGGTTTATGATGTGAGGGAGGACGCACTGCTTCTAATGTGACAGGGTTGACGACGGCGTAATTGGTCGCCTTGGCCTCTGACAAGACGACGTCGCGCTTTTCTTGCCCAGAACGCTCGTTTGTCCATTCATTGACACGATCACTATCCTCGCATTGCTTGACAGGTGGCCTGGCTTGATTGCCGAGGCCGACTGCGCTCGTGAGGCCTTGATCCTTTGGCTTGCCGCCGACGCCATAAACAAAGTCAGTCATTGCAGGATCAAAGACCTCGTTGCTGAACGGGCTGTCGTCCGATGGTCTCAAGGCTCCTCGTCGGATGATGAGATCAACCTGAGGCTGCGCATCCTTGCTGATCTCCGGATGCTGAGCGATGAGGTCATCTAACTGAGTGTGCAGATTGAGGAATATCTCTGCTGCCGACTGACCACCGCCAATGACTGCTACTCTGAGCTGCTTAGGCTCGCCACCAGTTTGCTCGTCGCGGGACCGCGCCGCGAAAGACGATCGTGCGATCTTTAGCAAGCCTTCGACTTTCGACAGGTACTGACTTGAGTGAATGATCCTTTCTGACGAAGTCGAAGGATCGGATGTGGCAAGATGCGCTAGCGAGGACGGGTATGATGGCGAGCCGCCCGGCGAGATGAGCAGATTTCGCGCGCGTCGCTTCACGCGCTGCTCGTCAGGGCCAGGCGGCGATCCCGCAACAGTCGATTCGACCTCGAGGACCTCGATATCGCTGTCCGTATTGGCAGAGTAGATGGCCTTGACGCCAGCACCGTATTCGCCGTAAGCCACGCTGATGCCGGACGGAATATCCTTATTGTTCCGTCGAGATGGCTTGGTGACTTCGTTGGCACACCATGCCATGTAGTCAGCATATTCGCGCCGACTTGGCGCAAAGGTGGAGCGGTTGATAAATGTGGCCAGACGGTTGTTGTGATTCTGCGATGGCGGCATTTAGCTATGCGCCTATGTGTATATGCACACACGTACCAAGTAATTGAGGAATGAGTAGTGCGACGTTGGATCGCGCATTGTAACAAAGTCCTTGAGGAAGCTGCACGATCTCGACATCAGCGCCATCACAGCGAAGGTACAACGTGCTCACGAAATCTGCATGATCGATCCCTGGATCATCATCGACGGATGCCATAGGTATCGCTCGTGTCCCTCGATGAAACAGGCTTCGATTCGACGAGTGGACTCGTTTGCTTTGATGGTGCCAGCATCGATCCGAGCATTGTGCTCAGCAATAGCAATCGCAATGGATAGGTTGGAAGGCCCAAATCCGACGCCGACGAGATCGAACGTCTTGCCTTCTCCTACACGAGTCATGACGCCTAGAGTGCAATCGAGAAGAGCGATCAACAAGGATTGTATGTGCGTCGACCACCTGACGAGCTCTCGCTATGGCTCCGTCGAGAGTACTTACGCCGGACCGTGCCAGACGATTTTTATATATTCTGCCGTCCGATCGGCTCTCTCTGACGAGAAGAACTTTGTCGCGTCCGCAGCGGCGATGTCAGCGCTAGCGCCGAACAGTGAGATCTTTGACTGGCACTGCTCCAGACCCGAGCAGACCGAAGCCGTTTGAATATCCTAATATCCAAATTTGACATTCGCTGATCCGGACATCGTCGTCATTGATCTGATTGCGACAATTACTGCAGATCTTGGCGCTTGCCGCGCGCTGTCTCGGCATGCGCGGTAATATAATCACTGGCATCCTTGCGGCTGGGCGATGCAAAGCCTTCCCCTCTGGATCCTGCGACGAGATATGCTCGCACACCCCTTAGCTCCTTTCTGTGCTCCAATTCGTACTCTGCGCGAACTTCCGTTGCTAATTGGCAGCGAGTAGCTTCACAGCTCTGATAGCATCAATGAACTTCAAGATGATCAGCTTTGCGGCCTCTGCCCTTTTCTCAACACTAACTTCCGCCTCAATTGAGCATTGAAGCGGGTATCACCATCCTCTGACGCTGAGAGCCTCAATAGTGTCATACACTGGGAAAAGCCATGCACCAGTTATCCGACACGGACAATCTGTGCTGTCCCTGGGTCGACGGGTACCCTGACTGTGACTGCTAGCGATCGATGTCTTCTCTTGACGGGTGCACGGATTGCATTAGCAACGCAACGCTCAACATCGAGGTCGTGCTCGACGGGGCCTTTTTTTCCGACCTCGAACGCCACATCTGCTTCAAGTCAGATCGAGACAGTCTAGCTCTTCTTGAGACGCTGACATGGGACGTGCTCGCCGAAGTCGAGTGGAAAGTTAGCTTGAGCCACACCACCCTTACGATGAGTCCACCCAGCTGATCTTGATCCTGAACACAGTGAAGGCACGTACGGTTGAGTAAGTTACAACACGTTCCAAAGGCAGAGCCTTACCCGGCGTGTAGCGCCCGAGATGCCGCGACCTTCACCGAAGCATCATCAGAATATCGCGATAAGCAGGTGCAGTTGGTAGACATGTCCACTCTGAAGTCAGACGACAAGAACCAATGCATCTAGCCGGCTTAATCTATCCTGCGTTTTGCTTCTTTGCTACCATCAGTGCCATTGAGCGGCCTCTTGTTGCTATCAGTGAGGGCAGACAGGTCGCCCAAAGATTCGATGACGTAGTCCGGCACGACTTCTGCATCTTTCGCTTGATAGTCTTCTCGCTTTTGTACGCCCGTCAGTACGAGCAAAGTCTTGATGCCACCATTTTTGCCGAAAGCGATGTCGGTGTCCAGCCGGTCACCGATCATCAGCGTTCGCTCTCGGTCGATGTCGTGCCTGTTTGGGCCATGAGCTCGCTCGGGGCATGACAGAGCGGTTGCGCACGTTTTGAGAATGCAGTCAAGCATGGGCTGGTTCGGCTTGCCAACGACGATGGGCTTGTTCTTTACTGCATATCGCAAGGGCGCGCTGATCGCTCCAGAACCTGCACGCATCATCAGAAGTGCTAACGCAAAGGCGTCAGTCGTCGGTCTCACCAGGGTAGAGCTTGCCATCGGAATGAGGAAACCTGCAGAGCTGATTAAGTCGCGTCCACCAGATCACGTCTTGCCTACGTTGTGTCGTCGTTGGTCAGGATGAAGTGGCAGCCTTTGTTCTCTTGCAGATAGCGATGGGCTTTGGCGATCTTCTTGTAGTTGATGTGCATGTCGAAGCCCGCCATGACGGCTCCGACGTCTGGATCCGACTGGATAGAGCTGAAATCCATCAGGGGTACGAACACGTTGTCTTTGGAATCCTGCCCACGCATATGCCTCAATGATCTCAATCGGGAGGGAAGAGGGAGTGTGACTGACTGTGCCGCCGCAGTAGGCGATGCCCTCCGATTCGAGCTCTTTCTCTAGCCCATCCTCGCCAATAACATAGACTTTCTTATCTTTGGGGAAATCCAAGACATATTTGAGATAGGCTACGCTAGCATAGGCCGAGCCGAAGATCTCTTCCTGTCCGATACGACGTACATTCAGCACGCAGACTCGATGAAGCAGCTGTCCGCGAACGATGTGAGCCTCTAGGCCAAGTTTGTCGAATTTGGCCTTGAACCCTTCACGCGCTTTGGTGGCATTGTTGGTGACGAAGATGAGCTTCTTGCCTTGCTTGCGCTGGTACGCGAGGAAGTCTGCGACGCCGGGTATGACGTTATCGCCATGCCATATCTGTCGGGTGCCCGCTGAGCTTGACGATGCAAGACAGCGAGAACAAAGCTGACCACGCCATCGCAGTCGTAGAGGAACGTGTCAAACTTGTCAAAGAGATCTCTGTAGTCCTCAATCGACTCGAGTTCATGCGTCATCTGCGCGCGATCAAAAAAAGAGCAAGTCGCGACGATTGACTGATCCAATCCTGACAACACGAAGAATGCATTTGGCTTGCAGATCAATCTCGCTTGAGATCTCTCCGAACGATGTCCAGCTCGACCTTGTTCTTGCCGCCTTCCCTGCTGACGACCTTGAGGACGTACATCTCCAGCCCATCGCCAACTTCGATATGCCTCTCCGTTGCGCCCGTGAAGGAGTCGACGACGAGACCGAGCACTCGCTCAAGAGGCAAGTTCGACCGCCCCTCTTCGTCCAAGATGCTCTCGCCCTTTGGTAGATTCTGGTTCTTGCCCATGACCTGTGGACGAAGGCTTGAGCGCGACTGCAGATAGAAAGGAGTGAGATCCTCACCTGGTTGTCTAAGAACGGTTGTACGAGCGACTGAGCCGCACCGGCAGATCGACAGCTCTCGCGCTCGTAGCTGCCCACCGGGTCGAAAGAGTACACCGCGCCAGTGCCATCTCGGTCGATACCTCCCACTGAATGACGCGTCAGTGCTGTCCGTGGTCCGAGGCTTGCAGAACGCACAGATGACGTAGGAGTAGTAGGGGAAGAAGCGCTTGCCGTAGAGCATCGTCTGAACGAGTCGAGCGATGGCGGTCAAGTCAGGGTACTTTTGATGCTACATCACACGCCGATTGTCAGCTATTTCACGAGCTGGTGCAGGAGTGCCAGCTGACTGTATGAAAGTACCACTGCAGCCGAACAGGTCAGTGAGCGAGGAGTATCTCGTCCCGGTGGGGCGTACCTCCAGACGCTGTCTGAGCTTTTTGACGAGCGTGTTGGAATCGGCCATGAAGCCTTGAGTCGCCATGACGGTCTCGTCCGTCAGTGCAAACACTCTCGGCTGGTAGCGAGACTGGATCGAGTAGCCTTCCGACTGTCGAGTGTCTGAGGCTACGACTGCAAAGTCTCTCGACGACACAGCCAGGATCGTACCGCCGTTCTCCTGACCATCCACGCACGAGTCGGTGAGCTGTCGCATGCACCGCTTGCGCGAGTTCCTGCTCACCGAGTATGGATTGAAAGCCCGCTGTTGAGCGCCTGATCGTTCGTGCATGACCGATGGCTGAGCATGGGCGAGCATGCTGATGGTGAGCCGGGTCTCTCTCGAGTACTTTGAGCCTCGCAAGCGCGTCACCTCGCTTGCTTGCCAATCGCCCGAGCTCGCGCTGCATCTGCCCAGTGTGCACGCGAGCCAATGTCTTCGCCGTCGATCAGCCTGCGGGCAGGACGATGTCAGCGCAGAGCCGAGACCAGATGGGTCGATCCACTGCCCGAACGAGGGTGCGCCGAGCCGAGTCAGCCTCTTTGGCGCGATGTTCAGCTCATTGCGACGACAGGCTCCTCTATATCGAGCAAGAAGACGATCTCACGCACTGTCAGCCGTCTCGTCTTGGTGTCTACGTATTTGGCTGATGCTCGTCAACAGTGCGATGGAGAGATCTCGCTACAAACGCCATAGTCGACGATCTCATCCTCTTTCCCGGTGATGCATCGTGAGCACTCATGGATGCCCAGCCTGCTGACGGGACTGATCCTTCTATTCGGGGACAGCTTCAGCAAAGTATCGCAATCGAGCACAGGCAGGATATACGTCCTCAAGTTCTCCTCGAGCTCTGCGCGACACTTCTACTGGCTCCAAGATCCCTCGGACAGCGAAGATGCGGCTCAGACGAAGCGACTCAACGACCTCATCGTCAACGACGAGCAAGACGAACAGGATACGACAATGGCCTCGTGAGCTACACCCTCTCTCCATTATGTCTGCGCAAGCCATTGCATGATGCCATGTTGTTCTCCTCCCCTGCTCGCGTTCTTTGGAGTGAGGCTGACTTTCTGCACTCAGCAACGCCGATGCAGGTCCGTCCTATATCCCAGCCACACCGGCGCCAGCTCAATCTGCGGCTCCCTCTGCGCCTGCTGCTCCTCGCAAGCCAGAATCAACGCGAGGAACCTCACAAATGGATCAAATGCGAAGCATACTCGCCAACCTGGGCCAATCACCGCTTGCGCAGCAGGACGAGGAGCCAGCTTACCATCTGACGGATGTTCTCCAGCCCTCGCGACTCCTGCCGCTTCTGAGAGACGAGAAGACGCGAGAAGCTCTGTTCCCATACCTGCCGACCGATTTTGAGCCTACCGAGGAGACGCTGCAGCGAGTCATACAGGGACCCGAGTTCCGCAGAGCTGTAGCCAGTCTCGACGCAGCTCTGCGCACCGGCGCTCTCGCCCCACTCGTAGCAAGCTTCGGCTTGCCACCTGATGCTGCAATGGGCGTTGACGCTTTCCTCAAAGCGATACAAGACAAAGCAGACAAAGAGAGACCAGAGAGCATGCAAGAATGATAATCCATTGCATGTCGGTCTGCTCATATGCGAACAACAAAAATATACAGTCTGCGGAACACAAATCTCATTTCTGTCCCTTTGCTTTCGCTTTGCTCTTGTCATCGCCCTTTTTGCCTTTCTTGCCTTTGTTGGCTTTAGCTTCTTCCTCGGCTTTACGCTTCATCGGGTTGATGAATTCGCCGGACGGCGCAGCTTTGGTGAAAAACCCGTCCAGGCGTCCTTGCTGCTTGGTCTGCAAGCCAGACTTGATTTTTGCTGCTCCTTTCCGGACTCTGTCCTCACTGCTCGCCCGCGTTCAGCTCGGGATCTCTGTTTTCATGTTGGCAGCCTACTTGAATCCCTTATCGCGCACAAGAAAGTCGACCAGACCTTCGATATCGGGATCTTCCCATTTGAGCTGTGCGCGAACGCTGAGCACATCTTCATCGAAAGACATGATGGCTCACATCAACCTCTTCGGCTTTCAGCACATCCGGATGCTTGAACAATTCCCGCGCTTCTCGGTACGGCCAATCTTCGGGCGCCGCTCGAGGTGTATCTTTGAGCGCTTCGACGACAGCATCGAGATCACCGTGGTCTTTGATCAGCTTGAGAGCGGTCTTTGCTCCGATCTTCGGCAACGGATCCACGTAATCGCAGCCCGAGAGAATGCACATGTCGATGAACTGAAAAGGCGGGGGCATCAGCGCGATAGGTGAAAGGGATGAAGGCAAGCAATCACTTCGTCCATGGTCAGCTCCATGCCCTTGAGGACTTCACTGAGCTCGATGACATCAATGGGCAGCTTGCGCTGCTCGGAGAAGGTGAGGTGGCGCAATATGATGGGCGAAGAGAACGTCAGAGTGTCCATGTCTTCAGAGCCTGTGCCGTAGACCTGCGCTTCGGTCGTGATAAGCCTGCGACCCTGCGAATGGAATCCATCTGGCTGACCAATCCTCCACGGCATAGTTCGGCACATTGCGCTTCCGCCTCGGAGGGCGCCTGCTCGTCTATAAGCCGATGACGCGCTTGGTCTGACAAGAGCGTACGATAATGAACGGTATGCCCATCAGCTTCAGCAGCCGCTGACATTCCTCGTTGTGCTCCTTGGTCACTCTGACTGTCCTACGCGAAAGCTTGTCGATCTCTTCGACAGTGCCTGCCAATGAGAGCATCAGACGCGTCTTGCGAGCTCAGAGATCGCTGACCTGTCTCTTTGGCATCTTCGCCTTCTTCTGTCGCTTCCGCTCGCTTTGCAAATCGTTTTTTGAGCTGTGCAGCAAGCTCGCGTAAGCCCCTCGTGCGTCTGTCTCGTCGATAGAGCATGCTCACCACGCCTGATTTGAGATCAGGGGGCTTGCCGTCAAAGACGTAGGCAGGCTTGATGCCGTTCTCGACCATGCGGATTGTCCGATAGAAGAATCCCATGAGGTGTGACGTCGTCTCGCCGGATTCATTCATGAGCTGCTGGCCGTCTTGTTGCCTGACGGCAATGAGGAACTGTGTGACCAGCTTGAGCGCCAGTGGACAGCAAGCAGAGACAAGCTTGCCTGATCTGTGAACGCATTCCATGCTTCAGCCATTGCATAGGCTGGCAAAGCAGATAACCGCACATATAGACATGCTGGCGTCTACAGCAACCTTGCGGCCAAAGAGGTTCTTCATTTCTAGTTGCCGAATGGCCTTGGGAGCAACATCCGAGATGAGATTGGTCAGACCCTTGATACCTGCCCTTCCGATGATCAGCGAGGTCGCACAGCAGTAATTTCAGGCTGACCCATCTCGTAGCAGCGCTCCAAGCTCGATCGGCGAAAGAGCAAAGCGACGCGTCGTTTCTAGCAAAGTGCTCGAACCCCCTCTGCGCTTTGTCCTACTCCCTCTTGACATCCCCTCGCAGATGCCTACAAGTACAGAGCGATGACATCTCAAGATCCGTTGATGACGGCGCGCACGCTGTCGGGCTGGCTCAAGCTCACAGATCAGCTCGATAGTACATCGCCTGCTGTACCCAATGTACGCGCTCGCAGCATGGCCACGAGGCCAGTGCAGAGACCCGAATGGCCCCCAATGCTGCCACAATCTGCTTTCCTCTCTCCAAAGCGGCCGCGCTACGATGCGACACCGCTGACGCCGCTCACAAGCACCTCAGCAGATGCGCTACTTCTCCCAGAGGAGCCGGCCAATCGCTCACCTTCCACACTGCGGCACCTCAGTCAGATGGTGATTGGCTTCGCGATTTTTGATGCTGGCGAGGAGCTTCTGTTTGCGCCCTCGCCCAACTCGACGGCCGCATCCATCGCAATAACGAAGAAAAGAGCGACTCTTGCCGACAGCTCACCATCCCATGTAGCCAGTCTGATTCCCATTACTCCGCCCAGATCGCCGGTACGGCCCTTCCATACTTCGAGGGGAATTATGTATGAATACGAGAAAGATCAAGGAAGACACACGTTCATGTGTAGAGGACATGCCATGTCAACAGACACCTCGCCTGGCCTGCCTATCGCTTGCATTATCACGGCTATGCTAGCATTCGGTTTACCTGTACTCTCTGTTCTCGTCAATGCGGACGCGTGGCTCCATGCGATGCCGACTCGCATCTGCTTCATTGTGCTAGTCTACGCCTGGCTGATCGCCCTAACCTCCCTGACGCGGGCAGCGCTTACCGATCCTGGCATACTACCAACAGACATCGATACAAAGGAGCCTTCGACAGACTATCGCGAGATTCAGTTCGGCTTGTCGAAGTCGTTCAGGACGAAAGAAGAGACGGTCTCGATGGTCTGGATGACGACCAAGTATTGCACGACTTGCAAGCTATACCGACCACCACGCGCGAGTCACTGTCGTCTCTGTAACGCTTGCTGCCTCAATCTCGATCACCACTGCGTCTATTTGAACACGTGCATAGGCGAGCGCAATTATGGCAGCTTCCTGGCAGGGCTAAGCGGCGCAGTCCTTGCCCTGTCGCTTCTCATCGCACTCCTGGCCATGCAGCTTCTAGCCTCAGCGCAGCCTGTTGATATATTACCGCGGATACTCAACCCTGTTCTATTGAGTGTTTCCGGCCTGCTGTGGGTGCCAACGACAGGTTTATGGTATGCTACATGCTGTCAGAGCTATTTGTAAGCTGACAAGGCGCAGTCTTTACCACGCTAGACTAGTATACAGAGGTCAGAGCACAGTCGAATCTCTACGCTCCGGCATGCACGACCTTATACAAACGCCCTTTGCTCAACGCACACGTCTCAGGACTATCATCGCTTTGGTTGGCCGTCCCGTCGTACGACAAGCTCGTCAATGGTCAAGGCCGGTGCGGGTCGACGACAGACTCGACAATCCGTTCGTGTGGGCTCGTGAGCGACATGTACAGAATCGCAAGCCACCACCCAGCTGGCACGCTTCGTTTGCCAGCGCCCCCCAGAAGACACATTAGATGTGCCTCGTCTACTCTGCGCAGTGCAGCCGAGATTTCTTGACCACAACAGGACCAACGAATTTGTCATACCTCGCTCCAGGTTTTCGCAGCGGTGTATTGTTGGAGTCTTGCATTGCACTGAGTTGAACGAGGACCACTCCCAACAGCACATCTCTCCTCAGTCTCTCTGGTTTCATCCAAACAATGCAGCACTTGCAAGATGCTCTCTTCTGAGCGCAAATGGATTCGGTGTCAGTATCTTTTGAGCTATCGCAGAATAAAGGGTAGTGGGAGGACGTTAATGAGCAGCTCGACATCGCCCTAGCGACTGTTATTGTTCATTCGACTCATGCACAGCGTACGATCACTATAAGAATCTGTAGCGATACGACAGCGGAGGGAAGCTTATGTCGACGTATGCCTTGAAGCCAACATCTTGCAAGGTCTGAAAATGAGGATGAGCGACTGCCCCCCGGCTTATCGATAATGCCCCTGATCCATCGCTGGTCTGGCCGCTGCAGTCACGGAGCGTGAGGATCATATAAGGGACTTTCTTCTCGTAGACGGAGACACTGATGATCTGGCTCTTTGGTTTGCATCGAGAGACAAGGCAAAGGCATCCTAAGTGCGCACGATTCACCTCGTGAGCTTGTCGTCTCGGGTGTTTAGCACTTGCACTCTGGCCAGGCGGGGTCGCCCTGGCAGCACTCTGTTGGACCCGAGAGGCAGGTAGTGCAAGGAAGGCCGCTGCTACTCTTCGGCCCATGACCCTGAGATCTGCTCGCCTGTCAGCTTGCCACTAAGCCTCGGCAACAGACTCACGCTGTAGTCCAAGCCACGAAGAAGGAGAGAGCCATTGTCGACACGATGGAGATCATGAACATCCTGTTCAGACGCTTTGCTTTGCTTCGCGCTGCCTTGTATATGCTTCGCCTTGCTTGACCTTGGTTCGTCTGGACTGTGTCTGACCATGATGCGGTGGACGTGCTCGGCCTTCGACCGAAGAGGAGGCGAGACTAGTGATTAGCTGAAACAGCGGAAATGATGAGCTAGAGGGAGACATCGGGCACTGTCCGATGTGCATTCTCCTCCGTATTGACCCTTCATGAACAGAACCGACGCATATCATTCAAACAGTGGCGCGGTAGTCGTCTTCACGGCTTGGACGCTCTGAGCCAGTCGAGTGTATGCTGAATGCATTGTATAGCCAGCCAAAGCGTTGTTTGGCACTCGAGACTGCTCCTGAAAGTCCATCGGTGCGCCTGGCGTTTACATTCCGGCCAATGAGGTCCGCCCTCGCAGCAGGCTGGTCCGTGGAAGCACGCTCAGCATTCATGGCCACTGCTGCCGCCTGCTGGCGCGTGATCCGGGCTCCTGCGCGGCGTCAGCGCGATGCGATCAGGCTCGACAAGCAAGTGACGCGATGACGGTGGCTGTGAAAAGCATCAGAGTCATCGTCGTGACGATGGTAGGCTTGAAGAGGATTCTGCTACGCCTTACAGTCCTGATGAAGAGAACGATGCTTTCTGTTGATTCGGATCGAGTCAGATTCTGTCTGGGCGATGGAGACGGAATAAGAGTCACCCGTGCGATGGAGCAGTTTGGGTCGGGGTCACGCTGTGCAATTGCACGATGATCTGAGACGCGGAGACGGAGGCCGGCTGACTGAGGCAAGCGAGCATGCACGCAGGTGAAGTTCTGAGCTTCGTGAAGGCGATAGGCCATGCAAATGGCTAACGCGAGACAAATGCATTGAGCGTTTGCGCAGCATGCATGTTGCGAGCCAGGCGAGCAGGCGCGCTAGCTGATTCAGGATCTCCTTTGCAGCACTGCTTGTTGCGGGCGGAGCAGACGTCGCGTTCTTAAACTATGCTGCTACTCTCGCTGCCGCGGGCATGCCTTTGTGGCCATGAGCGACGAAGGCAAGGTTGGGCAAGCCACTGATACACTGATGAGCATGACCGAGGAGACGGTGGTCAAAATGAGGACCATCTTGAACATCGTACCTGACTCTCTCGATTTGCGCGTTGCGATCAATCTGTCGGGCTATAGGGGGTTAAGGAGCAAGCCAGGCGACTGTGGCAAAGCGGTTCTCGAGACATTTGCTCGCCGGTTGGGCACCTCCTAGCCGGAGACTAACGGCCAAAAGCAGTGACAGAGCTCCCGATAGCAGAACCAACTGAGTCTCGGAGATCCGCGATGTCTGGCTGGTCACGTATGAGCTGCAACTCCTTTTGGGGAATCGACCGTTCGCGAGCTTCTGGCCCATGACATAGTCTACAGTCACGCTTGCTCTTCCTCGGGCTTGTGTTCACACGGAGCCAAGAGCACAGCAGTCGCTCGAACGGACGAGTAGGCGAGCTCGAGAATTGAAGCCCAACAGAAAGTTGCTGAGAAGAAAGGGCAGTCAAGCAAAAGTCGTCAGCGTCCGAGCAATAGGACTCAAATGAAATCGCTCGGTATAGGCTGCCGAGGAATACCAAGGGGGCAGTCTGCTCGCACGGAAGGCCTGACCAGCTTCTTCTGATTTGGTGAAGCCATGTCGCGTTTCTTGTCGGACACGTTCAGACACCTTTGGGCCTTGCAGTCGCATGAGGTCGCCCGAGGATGCTATCAACGGGCACGGTACTACGCATACGCAGTCTCCAGACCGTCGTGCAAGCAAAAGAGTACGGTACTTCCACGAAGAAGACGAGCATGAGAAAGAGCAGATTGGCGACTTGGCCAACGGCGCTGCAACGAATGGCAAGCAGAGCAAACACAAGCGAGCCTTGCGTGCTGCCGATTTGTTGTCCTCTCGGAAACTGCTGCCCATATGGCAAGGGAGAGAGGGCATATGTCAGCAAATACTGAACAATGACACAGTCGTGATACTGGGCGAGACTGGCTCTGGCAAGACGACACAGGTACCGCAGTTCCTGCTTCAGGCCTCCAAGCAGACCCTACGCATAGCTGTCACTCAGCCAAGAGTCGTAGCGGCGACATCGCTCGCTGCTCGCGTGGCGGATGAGTTAGGCTGCAAGCTTGGCACATTAGTGGGCTATACCGTCAGATTCGACGATATTTCGTCCAATAGGACCCTGATCAAATATGTCACCGATGGCACGCTGCTCCAAGAGCTATTAGGAGATGCTCCGCTATCGGCCTACGATGTGATCATCATCGACGAAGCGCACGAGAGGAGTCTGCGATCAGATATGCTCATGGGCTTTCTCAAATCAATACAAAGCGACCGCAAGGAAGCGCATGCCGACGGGCAAGTCTGGCAACGAGGGCCTCGTCAGGGCGAGCCCGTGTCTGCCTTGCGCATCGTCATCATGAGCGCAACGCTCGATGCTCAAAAGTTTAGCGCGTTCTTTGACAATGCACCTGTCCTCTTTGTGAGAGGCAGGCAGCATACTGTTTTGACGCGCTATACCGCCGAGCCCGTACAAGACTTTGTCGACGCGGCGCTCAAGACGATCTTTCAGATCAATCTAGAAAGGCCGAGAGGCGATATACTGGTTTTCTTGACGGGCCAGGAGGACATCGAGAGCCTGAAATCATCACTAGAGTACTATATAGAGACTTCGCCCACCGTAGGAAGGCCAAACCTGATCATACTACCGCTTTACGCTCAGCTGCCGCCGAAACAGACGAAAGAAGCCTTCGCGCCTGCGTTGCCCGGCACGCGCAAGGTCATCCTGGCGACAAATGTCGCAGAGACTTCTCTCACGATTCCAGGCGTGCGGTATGTCATCGACACGGGTATGCAAAAGGAGAAGCGTCACCATGCAGCTCAAGGATTAGACTCGCTGCTCGTCGAGAAAATCAGCAAATCGTCAGCAATGCAGCGAGCAGGTCGTGCAGGTCGAGAGGAGGATGGTGAATGTTTCCGGCTGTACACCGAAGAAGACTACAATGCGCTCGAGGCATCGAGTCTGCCGGAGATCAAGCGTGTCAGCCTGTCTTTTGCGCTTCTGCATCTTATGGCCTCCGGGTCGGAGGATGTGTATACCTTCGATTTTCTAGATGCGCCTGCTGTCGATTCGAGTAAGTCAGTGACATGGCAAATAACGATGTCTGACTCTTGCGCGCAGTCAAAATGGCAATGCTCACCTTGCATGCGCTGCAAGCGGTCAGTGACGAGGGCAAGATAACGCCTCTTGGCAGGAAGATGGCCATGCTGCCTCTGGACCCTACAGAATCTCGAATACTTTTGGCTGCTTTCGAGCATGGCTGTCCTTCCGAGATTGTCGACCTCTTGTCTCTTCTGTCTCAATACGACTCGCTGTTGATCAACTCCTATGCAGCGCGAGAACAAGCGACAGAAGCGAGAAAGGTGTTCTTGCATCGCGATGGAGACCACATGATGCTCCTCAACATCTTGCGAGCATACGTCGAAGTGGAAGATGATCAACGGGCATCTTGGTGTCGGGAGCACTTTATCAATCATAAAGCTCTTCAAAACGTGCTGCGGACTCAAAAGCAATTGCGCGATCGATGCGTACGGCTCAAGCTCGACTGGACGGTGACGTGCGGCGAATCGAGCGAGCCTGTCCTTCTCAGCTGTCACGCTGGTCTCTTCCACAATGTCGCTATTGCGCATGACGATGGCCAGTATCGTACCGTCGGCTCCTCTCGCATGGTCCGTTCAGATCGTGCAATGCGTGTGTAATTAACATAGCATTCAGGTGATCAAAATTCATCCTTCGTCAACGATACACAATCGCAAAGTGCGCGCAATAATGTATCAGGAGTTGGTACGCCCGAGGTATTGCTGCATGCACGTGGGCTGAGTATCATACAGGTACATACAACCAACACGTACGCGCGATGCGTCTCGACCATACAGCCTGCATGGATCCGTCGAGCATCATAACTCGCTGATCAGATTCGCTACTTTGGTATCGACAAATTCTTCGATATGCCATCCCGATGACGGGTCCTTGACGACACCTGCTCTTCCTAGCGTGCTGCGCATCGGATGATCAGACAGAGACCATGCATGACGACGAAGGGACATACTCGAGCACGCTAATGATCAGTCCTTCCTTGACGATCCGCGTGTCGTGAGGATACTTGACATTCTTTTGCCACTCGACAAAGTCTTCTCTGTTGTAGCCAAATTTGTGAACGATGTAGTCGACGTTCGGTCCATCTCGCGATGCTTGTGAGTCCGCCTCACGGGTGTGCTTCGACAAGTTATCGAGAAAGCTTGTCACTGCCTCTGGTTGGCTAGCAAGGCTGCGCGCAATCGTCCAAGATGGCCATGGCGTGACGACTGAACCTATGAAGCGCACCTCGCCCGAGTCTAAGTAGGGCTTTGTGGTGTACCATTCCCACAGAAAGGCGGAAATTGTGCCGTCATTGGTCGCATTTCGCAGTGCTTCAAACGTATTGAGGACGACAAACTCGATAGGCTCAACAGTCTCGTTCGCGGCATCGCTGAACCACTTCTGCTGCCAAGCCATATAGTTGGCCATGACCTGAGAGCCAGATCCCACTCGACTGATCCCAATGACCGTCTTTCTGAGATCTCCGATCGACTCATAGCTGCTCTTCTTGCCTGTGACTACTGCCCAATTGAGCGGAGAGTCTACAGCCGAGCCGACTAGTTTGTATCTGCCCTTGCCGGTTGCTAGACCGGCGATGAGTGACTCTGTGAGCGCAATGGCGACATCGACCTCATTCTCGTTCAGCCGGCCTATCATCTCTCCTGTACCGCCGGGACATTCTACAAGCTCGATCGAACTGTCCGCATCTGCAAGTCGATAGATCGGGAGTGAGACTTGCTCAGGTACGAAGCCGACTTTGAATGTCATCGTCAATTCACAGCAATGCACGAGGTGACACGCGTCTATCGTTCATCGTTAATGATCAGATCAGAACATGAACCTTTGCAATCCTGATTCTGACGGCCATTTGAAGGGCTTGTACAGAAAGACGTACAAGGTCAGCGCGTTGATGCCTACATAGGATGCCGTCTCGAATAAAAGGCAAAGCTGCCATTGACGCCGTGTTGCAGTCTGGGGACGTGACAGATGCAATCGATAGACCAGGAATGGCAGGATGTAGTAGCGCGGTTCGATGAGTGGTGTAGGCACGAGCGCCAGTGTCGTTGCCAAGAGCCAGATTGTATAGCTCAGAGCTGACCATGTTTGTGCAGCAGCTGTGCAGAGGCGTATTAGCGAAGCGAATTCGAATGTAATTGGCGAGAAGCATGCCTGAGATCTGATGCACCAATACAGCAGCGGGTAGGTAGACAAGGACCATGATGTAGCGCGCTAGCGGGTGAGCTTGATAAATGCGTTGCCACACGTAGAAGACATAGTGGCGGTTGTCGCTGAGCATGAAAAGATGCTCATACCTGCCCTTCTTGTCAGCACAGATACACCGTATCTGATGGCCAGTCACGTTAGATATCTGACCACCACAAGCATTGACACGCAAGCGAGCGGTGCTCTGTGCAAGGGGTCAGACGAGTCGTACGACTCTGGCCGCGCTCACAGGAGTAGAGCTGCGCGAGACGGCCGGAAGTGCAGCACGGGCACGATCAACAGAGGCGCATTGAATGCTGCTGTAAAGGCGCTGAAGTAGAGCAACTGAGGCAAGTGAAACATCACGACATGATTTGCTTTGTCGCCTGTGAGTACGATGAGTACAGCCCCAGCCTGTGTTGACGTAATCACCAAGCACAATGCCGCCGTTGTACCGTACAAAAGCGATGAACAGAGCAAAGACAGGGACGAATGGCCCGGCTAACTTTGCCACTGTCGCCGGCCGACGGAGACATGTGCTGACAAGGTCGACCAAGATCGTAGGCATCCTGCCTGAGCGGAAGCTTTCTCAGCAGGCTGAGGAACCAATGCAAATCTACGCACTAAGGGTGGCGCTCTCGAGCGGAATGGACTCGAGATCGCGTCGCTCTAGGTCGTGCACGAGAGCACATCCTGCGATATAGGCGACCCAGACGATGTTGGTTTGCCGTAATGAGACCGACGCTAGTCCGAGCTAGGAGAGAGCATGAGCTGTGCTATGATGGCAGCCGGCAAGCGTACCAGAGCAGCAAGAGCTTGTTGACGCGAGAGACTGCGTTCATATGCGCCGAGCATGAGCGCAGTCGAGAGCATGTCGGTGTAGTACAGGAATGCAAAGAAGTATAGTGGAGGGAACAGGGCAAGCGTGATAGCTTCCAGTGGCTCTGTAGGCTCCTCTGTACGTTGCTTTGCGCGGCTCTTGTCCCAAGTTCTCCGTATACGCAACAGCCGCATGATGCGATACATAAGGAACGGCATTGCGCAAGCCAGCGCGACATTGTGGCTTCGTAGGAAGGCAGTCGAGCAGGTCAGACGGGTCAAATGGTGGGTGGCCGTGCTGAGGATGTAGCTGTTCTGCAGCAGATGAGCGTGACGAGTGTCATTTGCGCCTGACGCACAGTCCGGGCGGGGTCGTCAGCTTGGGATCCCATGCTTGCCAGTTGCCAGAGCAGTATGCTTGCGCTTGGGGCACATGAAAGATTTCATCCTGTCGAGAGGGGGGGCTCAGAACCTGAGATATTACCAGAGCATTGCATGCTTTGTCTGACCATGTAAGGCTTTGGCACTTCTTCGTTGATCACTTTAGCGATCTGTAGCGTCACTGCAGCATATACTGCACCCAATCTCAGCCCTGCCATCCCTATAAGGATAGCGCTCGCGGGCTGCGAGCTTCACTCCCTTCAGTTCGCGTACGCGACGTCGCTCCACTCAGATCATGTGATATGAATCCTTTTCAATACGCTGACATCACACCGGCTTGAGATGACTGCTCGATACGAGTGCAATTCCACAACGCGATGGCAAAGCTGTAATGTTGAGCGTGCCGGATGCTTCAGCTTGAGGACAGCATATGTGAGCGAAGTGTGGCGAATGGCTGCTCGATATTCTGAAGCGGCCGTGCTTGAGAGATCAAGCACTGCTGATATCCGCCCTGGCGTCTAACGAAGACGACATGGCAGTCAAGTGTATGACAAGAAAGCCAGCCGAGCAGAAGTGCACGATGAGGCCGGCTTGCCTGCGCCCAGTCAGGCCGGCGACGTCCGCATCGTAATAAGTATGTCAGCGATACCAATATCTCGGCCCGGCAGGCGATCAGCCGCGTGGAGCCTCAGTATTGTCTACGTCGTCGTCGCCTAGCGCGAAAAGCTCGTCCTTGGCATCCCAAGGATCGTCAGGCTTGCCGTTCTGACCATCAAAGGCATTCATGCCGCCCAGACCGTCCTCGAGATCGAGATCAAGCTCTTCTAGTGGCTGGTATAGCTCGAGCAGTTCTCGGTTTGCGCGATAGGTTTTCTCAAGCCGGCTTGAGACGAAATAGCCAACTGAGCAGCCGAGCAAATTTGCCTGTACAGCGTTTGAACCATGTGTCTCACCACTGCTAGAAAGCTTACTATGATATCGCCCAGCTGAAACGTTTTGTACTGTGCTTGCCACCCATAAGCGCGCCCTTGCGAGCTCATAGAGGAATTCGCACAGGCAAAAGGGCTTGCACAAACTCTGAACATATGCCCCCCACTGCACAATACGATGAGCATACGCACACTGTTCCAAATACCACACGCGTACCGAAGAAGGCCAGTGTGCCACACCAGATCGCGTTGGCGCGACGCCATAGAAACACGCGCCTTGCAGATTCTTCGACCTCGAGCGTCCTACAAAGCGACTTCGTGAGCCTGCATCAAATCTGACATGAGATCTCCTTACCAATAGAGACAGGACGTCGCTACAGAGAAGCAGACAAAGTGGAGCGCTTTGTCGTTGACGGGTAGCTTGCTGCCCGCTGTCGGATGAAAGCCGAGAATGGATAATATGATGAGCGTGAACGCCGTCAGCAATGCAAAAGCCTGCGCGCTGGTCAATCACTGAGCCGAGCGGGCCACAAGTGCACGCACAGGTCGAAAGCGCAAAGGTACCTCTTGGCCCCGGTATCGGAGTTGCACGCGAAATGAGGCGAGCAGGAGCTTGGCACCTCGCTTCTTGAGGCGATCGGGCAGCGAGCGCCTCCGCTGACCTGCCGTCAACTCGACCATGACTGAGCTGGGACTTGCTGGCTTGTGCGATGTCGTCACGCGGTCGCGACAAATTGCGCACGACCATCCGGTATTCGGCCGAAAGCCTCTCCCTGCTGGCCATGCAGACCACACTCGAACGATCATAGGTCCAACACGCTCAGCTAGATGGCAGATTCAGAGTCTGCCACCATGGCTCAGCTGGATGACCAGCCGCAACTCACTTTCCGAGCGATCAGCGTTGGCTTGCTCGTCGGGACTTTACTTTGCTTTGCAAATGTTCAATTCGGCCTGCAGACGTCTTGGGTCACAATGGCAAGCTTACAGTCTGCGCTCGTAGGCTATGCTATCTGTCGTGCCATCGAAAGCGCCGGGCTCTTTGCAGCTAGCCCACTCTCGGCGAAAGAGAATGTCTTGCTTCAAACGACTGCAGTCGCCGTTGGCACGATGCCGCTAGCTGCAGGTCTGATCGGCGTCATACCGGCACTCGGAGAGCTCAAGCTAGACATCGATGGCGTCGAGCCTGTCACGCTCTCTGTCACACAACTCATTCTATGGTGTGGTTCTGTCGCGGGTTTCGGCATCTTTTGGGCGGTGCCGCTCAGGAAGCAGTTCATCGTGCGAGAACAGCTTGCGTTCCCCAGTGGCAGAGCGACAGCTGAGATCATAGCAGCTGTTCACAAGGCGCCACGACCAATCAAGACGAGCTACGAACGGATACCAGCCGACGAAGAGGAGAGCACTACCATGCGAGCAACAGCAGAGCGTACCTTTGGCCGTGCAGGCTGGCTCACGCTCTGGGCCTCCATGGCAATCTCTGCCGGCTACATGTGTCTCACATTTGCCTTTCCGGTTCTATACGCATTACCTGTCTTTGACTGGATTTCTGGACATGCTCTCGCCCGCAGATGGGCTTGGTACTTCAGTCCGAGCTTCAGCTACATCGGTCAGGGTATCATCATGGGCCCAGCGACAGTCTTTTCGCTCGCCGCTGGCGCATTCACTGGATGGGCTGTTCTGTCTCCTCTTGCGCATTATGCCGGCTGGGCTCCTGGCCAGATCAACGCAGATGACGGAGCGAAAGCCTGGATACTCTGGCCTGCACTCGCTATCATGACAGCAGAATCGATCATGAGTCTCGCCATGATGATCTTCAGCGTTGTTGCGAGCGCGCTGCCCCAAGCCAGGAACCTCAAACCGGGCGAATCGCCCAAATCGCAACAGCTCAATCTACCGGATCAAGAAGAGGAAGGCTATGATGACACTGCAAAGGATGTGTCAATCAAAACTGTGCTAGCCGGCTTGGCAGCGACCACGATCGCATGCGTCCTGTTCATCCATATTCTATTTGACGGCATCAAGCCGTGGGCAACGCTGCTTGCTGTCCTAGTATCTGGCATACTATCCGTACTGGGCGTGCGCGCCCTCGGCGAGACCGACATCAATCCCGTCTCGGCAATCGCAAAGATCAGCCAACTTCTATTTGCTTTTGTGCAGCCTGGCATGGTGGCCAATCTCATCGCGGGCGGCATTGCAGAGAGCGGGGCCCAGCAAGCAGGCGACCTGTCTCAAGATCTCAAGACCGGCCATCTCTTGCATGCCGATCCGAGCGTGCAGCTTGCTGGGCAAGTTATTGGCTCTGCCTTCAGTGTGGTCTTATCGCCACTGATTTACAACCTTTTCCGGACTACGTACAAGATGCCGAGCCCCGCGTATCCCATCCCCGCCGCAGCGGTTTGGCTCAATCTCGCGCGCCTTGTCAACCATGGGCATCTACCGCCACATGCTGCCAAGGCGATGGTCGTCGCTGCGGGTATCTTCATCTTGTTGTTCGTCGTCAAGACATACAGCAAGACAGCAGGCAGTAAATACCCTCGCCTGCAAAGCGCTGTGCGCTACTTTCCGTCTGGTATCGCATTCAGCATCGGTTTTGTCATAACGCCCAACTTCTCCATTGCCCGTCTTATCGGCGGGCTGATTGCCTATGCTTGGAACAACCGATACAGCCATAGTCGAGATGCGGACCAGAAGCATTTGCTACTTATTGTCCTCGCTAGTGGCTTTGTGCTTGGCGAAGGCGCGGCGTCAATCGTCGGCCTGACATTGCGATCGCTCGGAGTGCATCCACTTTCGTATGCAGGCTGCCATTCGCATGGCGGCGGTTATTGTGCATAGAGAAATATCGACCAAGCGGTCTGTGCTCAGCGTTGCTTCTCGCGACAGAGGCCAGCCTCTTTGACCATGACGCTCGACCATCTCGCCTTCAGAGCGCGGAAGGCGGCCTTCCGTGATTGGTCTAGTATTCATAGTCATAGCATCACATCAGCAAGTCATGTCGGAGCAGGCTCGAATCGTTCAGACGCGCTCGGGCAGAAAAGTGACACGCAAGACCGCCCGACGCAAGACCCCCGCAGAAGCCGTCGAAATACTTGAGCAATACTTTGACCGTGCTCGCTACATCACCGAGTTGACCAAAGACGAACGTGTCAGTCTGGTCGAGCAAACCGGTTTGCCTGATCGCAAGATCTGCTGCTGGTGGGCCAATCGGCACGTCTCTCATCCTTGCATCAGACGCGAGCTGACGGATGTGCATAGCCGGGTCAAGGCTAATAGAGATCAACAAAGAGAGGACGAGCAACATAGAGCCGCTGCCGGAAGTCTTGCGCTCGGCAGCACGTCGTCTGCGTATGATTCTCTCATGCGACTTTACGAAAGCGCGACTGCACAGCGTATGACATCGCCGGAACCCTCGCTCACGCAATGGTCAAGTGGATCCTCGTCAGATCATACGTCGATTCTGGAACAGACAATTGCGCCAGAATCGTACAGCGACATGACTTGGCTCGCCGATTCGATAACCCCGTCCGCCCTGACTTTCCTGGACGTGCACTACTTTTGCTTTGGAAATCCTGCCGATCCATGGATCGCTGCTTCGACTGGCGAGAGGCAATGTAGCGCACACATTGACACGATCACCTCTGATTTGATTTATACGATCTTGGACGAAGACAAGCAGCTGCACATGACGATGCCGGCTACGTCCATTGTGTCAATCCATCTTATGTTCGTCTCCGGTACAGACGATGCTTCCATCTACGTCCAGCTTTCTCGTGCGCCGATCTTCACTGCTGTTTCGCCTGAAGAAGGCTGCCTGATCACGGGCGACTGGTCACCGCAAGAGCGAGCAAGGTACGTTTGAGCCTTGGTAACGAGCGCTAGCTGAGCTCTATCTCTGTCGAGCAGCGCCACCTCATATCCGCATTCTCTGCTTATTGGACATGCTCTTGCAGCTTCAGACGCTCTCAGACACAATTTTGGCCACCTGCTCCAGATTTGTTGCTCAGATGACGCGTCCGCTCTCATCGGCGAATTGGAAGGCTCTACGTTCGCCGAATCGATGATGCAGACGCTTATACCTCACGGCGATCTAGACTGCATCGACCTCTTGACGGAGACGACAGACTCGCACTGCTTCACGAGCAGTACTCAAGACCTTATGGAAGCGCAGCAGCAAACATTCGCAGAGCAATTCGGATTTGACACTTTCGCATCAATGTCCTTGTAAAATAAAGTTAGCAAACACTAGATTTGTAGCAGTAAGCATTGCATTTGACAAATTAGAGCTTTGCGTAAGCACTGATCTTCTTGCGAAGCTTGTCTCGAACAAAATCGAGGAAGCCTTCGGTCGTAACGTAATGTTCCCGTTTCATGCTACAAGGCAATCAGCGCTGCCCAATCTCGATGACAGGGAACCCACTTCTTGCCATGTATCGCCAGTGCCAGATCCTTGGTCATGACCGCGTCTTTATCGACAGCTTCTATGCAACAAGCCTCGAGATCCTGAGCAAATTTGAGAAGCTTCTCATTGTCGTCGAGCTTTGCGCGGAAAGCCAGCCCCCTCGTCCATGCATAGATCGATGCGATTGAGTTGGTAGACGTCTCGTTGCCCTTTTGGTGTTCTCTGAAGTGACGTGTGACGGTGCCATGGGCGGCCTCGCTTTCCATGATCTTGCCGTCGGGTGTGATGAGTTCAGACGTCATCAGTCCTAAGCTGCCGAAGCCCTGTGCGACTATGTCCGATTGTACGTCGCCATCGTAGTTCTTGAGGGCCATGAGGAAGCCACCGGAGGATTTGATCATTTGCGCGACCATCTGTCGGGAACGTCAAGCTAGCAGCTCGTACGAAAGACAACGAGCTCACATCGTCGATCAGTCGATGTTCATACCAGATGTCGAGCTTCTTGAATTCGCTCGCATATGTCCTGCTAAGACATCAGTGTGGTAGCAGCATTGTCGAGAAGACGAACTCGTCGTATATTCTCTGGAAGGTGTCCTTCCACATGCCGTCATAGCCCTTCAAGATTGTATTCTTCGTCGATAGGTACTATTTTCCGAATGAGTGAGCAGCGGCCTATCGTCTTGGCCTGCAGGCTCACCATTGGGATCTTTTTCGAAATTGCCATTTTGAAGGATGCATGCGCAAAGTCCTCAACGCTCTATGGTGGTCATTAGCCGGGTTTGGTACGCCTGATGTGAACCTACTTGAACAGTGTTGTACATTGCTAGACCCATTCCTGGGCCTTTGAAGTCATAGACCTCCAACGTTTGCTTCTCGCCTTTGCCATCCGATGGCGTAAAGACAAGCTCAAGCTTGCCCGGTCCAGGCGCTTTGATATCAGTCGATCGGTACTGTCCGCGGACGAACTAGCTATCAGGCTTCAGTGAGTCCGAGAGAGTGCTGACGGACCTGATCGGCGTGTGCGTGTCGTCCTACCACGATAGGCTTGATCCATCCGGGGACACTCTTTGGTACTTTCTCCATCACGATCGGCTCGCGGAAGACGGTTCCTCCTAGTATGTTGCGTATAGTACCATTGGGCGATTTCCACATCTTCTTCAGGTGGAACTCTGCAGTCCACCATGAATAAGTCTGACAGGTCGCGTTCTCGTATTTGACTTACCTTCAACTCGCGCTTCGTCGGGCGTGATGGTGGCACACTGCGGTGAGTGTGAGCCTATACAGCCTTCCGTGCAGATGGATGCTCACCTTGACGCCGACGCCATATTTGATGATGGCTTCTGCTGCCTCTGTCGTGACTTTATCGTCCGTCTGATCCCTGTGCTCTATCCCGAGGTCGTAGTATTTGAGATCCACATTGATGTACGGCAGGATGAGCTGCATAAAAGAACCCTGATGAGCAGGAGAGCGTGCTCAATCGGACTGAACATGCCTCGTCTTTGATCTTGTGCCAGATGATCCTCGTCATCTCGTCGCCGTCCATCTCGACGACAGGGTTAGCGACTTGTATCCTCTGGTCGGACGAGCTCGAAGCTGCGTACAAGCACGCATCAGACACACGCATGGCTGAGGTATGACTGCCCACCTTGCCGAGTCGACATGGCTCCTAAATTTCTTGCGCAAGGTGGTGCAGCGTAACGACTGTGTGAGCCTGCTAGAGCTCTCGGCTGGAGAAGGAGAGATGCTCGTGCAGCACTGGAGAATGCTGTGCGCCCTAGTCGAGGCGCTTGCATGGGTCGTAGGAAGCCGGAGCCTGGACTGCGAGTGAAACCGGCGCGGAGCAAGTCGAGTGCCCCTTCCCCCCCCCCTCCCCAGTTCACTGGCACTGATGCTCATCCGGTCTGCGCTCAGGCGAGCGCCCAGACGGACCTACTGGCGAGCGGCAACCTTCACGGCAGGCAGTGACAGCAGTGCAGAGCTATGCGATCCTCTGTCGTCTTTCCTATCGGGCACAGAGACCTCCAAACCAGATGCGCTCATCTTTGCCCTCTCGCAGAACTTGCCGAGCGAGGTCATGCTCAGGATCCTCGACATGCTCCGCCAGGCTCATGCAGATGCACTAGGCTGTCTCTCTGACCCTCTACCTGCTTCTGCTTCAGCGATCACGTCAGGCGAGGACAGGTTGGCAAGTGCTGCTGTTGCGATTCACTACCCGTCCGATGGAGCAAGAGCTCTCCGCTTCACATCGAAGGTCCCCGGTAGACCCAAGATCGCTCTGGGCAGAGAAGTGAAGCGGGATGTAGAGACGTATGTAGATGATCGGTCTCATTGGGGTCGCATGTCACGCGTTGCCGTTTCCGACCTGCGATCGGCTCAGAACACCCTCGAGCAGATCGATGGTCTGACCGCAGACGACTTGAAAACAATGACACAGACCGTCTACTTCTCGGACGATAAGCCAGAAGGTCTGCTTGCCGCTCTCGATCGGCATTGCCCGCTCGCGGCAAAATCGGGCCTGATCGCGTCAAGCACGCCCTTCGTCACCGGAAGACCGTTCACGCTTCTCAAAGGCAGTCAGATAGAGCAGCAAGGTGCTGTAGGCGTAGCTATCGTCGATGGCGAACCCGGCACCGTCAAGCTGCATTTACGTGATATGGCAAATTTTGGCGGCAGGAAACGCGTCACGCAGTCTGCCGGCAATATCATCCTCGCACTCGATGACGCCAACGCTGCTGCACTTCTGTTGCAGCACATACAATCTTTTGCATCAAAGACTGACGCTTTCGGCAATACGGCAGAGTACCTCAATAAAGACAAGAATTACTACATAGCCGTTTTCTCCGAAAGCGAACGACCGCCTTCATCTCATGAGAAGCCTATCTTCCTCAGCCGGGTCATATCTGGCGATCCCAAACGGGGTGCAATCTCGATCGATACCGAGACCGATATCCTACCGGGGCAGTGGATCGAATTTATGCACCATCAAGGCGCACAGTCGGCGGCGATCGAACCCTCAGCGAAGCCGATGCTTAGCTTTGTCATGACCGCCACCGAAGAAAGCACACCGTCCTCACAGAGAAGCAAAGAAGGGGCCAAGACGATCGAAGGACAGTTCCTTGCAGCGAGCGAAAAAGGGTTTGTGCTGCACGATTCTGCCCGTCCGCTGTCGCACAGCTGGATATGCAAAGTGCAGGATGCGATAGCACGAGCTGCACTCACATAGACTTGTATCTGACCATGCAAACGGAGTAACAACAGGGCTTTGCTCATAGGTAGAGGCCTTCCGGCGTGCCTTCCTTCTTTCTATCGAGTACACGTTCTCTTGCGGCGTCAAAGTCTTTCTTCGTCACTTGCATGCGTCGTTCTCGCAGCGCAAGCAGACCTGCTTCTGTGCAAACTGCTTTGATATCTGCTCCCGATAGCTCGTCCTTCTGACCGATGTATTCCTCTAGGTCGACATCGGGCGCGAGTGACATGCGAGATGTGTGTAGCTTGAAGATGTGGCGCTTCGTCGTGGCATCGGGTAGCGGGACTGCAACAACATGAGCCAAAGCCAGCTTTCGGGGAACAATCGGACCCACATTCGATCTTGCGGTCGATGCGACCAGGGCGAATGAGCGCAGGATCGAGCGTCTCGATTCGATTGGTCGCCATGATGACCTGCGGGACTCATATGAGCATCATGTTGCACGGGCACGAAAGACGTCGAACCTTGACATCCCCACGATCGTCGAAGCCGTCCAGCTGATTGAGTAACTCGAGCATAGTACGCTGAATTTCCCTCTCACCGCCGGAATTAGAGTCATATCTGAGCGTCGCGGATCAGCAGAGCCCTGATGCTGTACTGCATATGGCTTACCTCTTTGTGCCGACTGCATCGATCTCATCGATAAAGATGATAGAAGGCGCATTCTCGGAAGCCGTCTTGAAGAGCTCCCTCACAAGCTTGGGACCGTCACCTGACAGTTCACGTCAGCTCTGAATGGCCGTCAGGTCGAGAGAGAGAACGTACCGAGGTACTTCTGGATGAGCTCTGAGCCGACGATGCGCAGGAACGTCGCGCTCGTCTGATTGGCTACGGCCTTTGCCAGCAGAGTCTTGCCCGTTCCCGGGGCTCCGTAGAGGATGACGCCCTTGGGCGGCTTGATGCCCATCTCTTCGTAGAGCTCTGGCGAAGACAGCGGCAGTTCGACAGATTCCTGTCATTGCAAACATGGATGAGACCAGCCCTTTGTCTGATGACGAATGCCCCACTTTGATCTCTTGTATTTGTTGAGCAAGCCCACCAATGTCCGCATATGACTCCGTTGGCGCCTAGAGCTCCTACATCAGCGAAAGGCAGGTCAGGTGAGTGTGTAGACCTGCCTTGTCCATCTTCATGATGCTAACGCTGGGATCGGTATCGTCTGCGAGCACGCCGATGATGGCCATCGTCTTGTGGTGTAGCAGAACGGATGAGCCTGGCTCGAGAGCATCCTTGTCTACAAAGCTCATGATGGCGACATAGTACTCTGGGCCCGTCGCACTCGAGACGATAGCGTGTTCGTCATCGATGATCTCTTCCAGCGTGCCCACTCCCATCGGGCTCCCTCTGAGATCTTCGACCTTGCTACGCTCGTCCTTTGTCTTGTCGACAACAGACTTGTCGCCGCTCGCCGCGCCTGACGCGTCACCCTCGCCACTTGTCGCATTGGCGTCACTCGATGAAGCCAGACTGGGTATGAGACGCTCCTGATTCTGAACAAATTCATCCTCCATGAGCAGATAATCCTTGATTCTCTCTAGCTTGAGTAGCTTCAGGCGACAGCGAGTGGTAGGTGACACGGCAGGCAATCGATTGATGCTGTCCATTCCGCCCTTGCCTCTCTTGGCCTTCTTGCCCACTCGCGTGGGGATGGGCGGCTCCCACTTCTTCTTCTCATCCTTCTTCTGACCATCCTTGCCTGCTCCTGCGCGGCCGCCGCCGGGTGTCGAGCCTTGCTGACCCATCTCGCCTCGTGCTGATCGCGCGAGCTAATGAGACGCGCAAGCGAGCCAAGTCTGACCAGATCGCAGCGCCTTGGCGATCTCGGAGCTGATCAAGCGTCTGGCAAGTGTGCTAGAGCCTCACGAGGGATGAGGTTGCTGCAGATGGTGCTGGGTGTAGCGGCACAGGTGTCGCGAGTGATCGGGGTCGTCGCTCCCAGATACACTTGAAAATTTGGCATCTAGTCGCGCGTCAGCCACAAGACACTCAGCGAGAATTGTGAGTCGCATGAAGCTGTGTCGCTGGAGAGCGAGCTGACGGAAGGAAGCACAGGGAGCCTGAAATATCCCTTTCCTACGTCTTCACTCAGAAGACAAAAGCAAAGCGGGGGTCTCCAGTTCGCACAAGGAGCAAGATCAGACACTGTCGCTTTGAGCTCGTAACGCCAGACACAGACCAAGATGGGCAAGACAAAGGACGTCAAGGCGGCTTACTTTGAGAAGCTCCGCGTACTCGTCGAGACTTACCCTGCCATCTTTGTCGTCGAAGTCGAGAATGGTGCGCACAGTGGCCTCAGCCTGCCATTGCGCTGACAGAGCTTTTCCCGTCTGCACAGTCGGCTCGAATCAGATGCATCAGATTCGACAGGCACTCCGAGGCAAGGCAGTCGTCCTCATGGGCAAGAACACGATGATCCGTCGTGCGATGCGAGGCATGATCACCGAGTTCCCTCAGCTCGAACGATTCCTGCCTTACGTCAAGGGCAACGTCGGCTTCGTCTTCACAAAGAGTGATCTCAAGGAGGTCAGAGACATCATCGTCGCCAACAAGGTCGCCGCACCTGCCCGTGCCGGTGCCTACGCTCCCCTCGATGTTTCTATCCAGGCCGGTCCTACCGGTATGGAACCTGGCAAGACATCCTTCTTCCAGGCACTGGGTATCCCTACCAAGATCGCAAGAGGTGCTATCGAAATCGTCTCTGTCGTCAAAGTCGTCACTGCCGGCACTCGCGTCGGTGCCTCAGAAGCGACCTTGCTCAACATGCTCAACATCTCGCCCTTCACGTACGGAGCTGTGCCCATCGCAGTCTTCTCTGACGGCATGGCCTTCAACCCGTCCGTGCTCGATGTCGAAGACAAGGTGCTGATCGATCGCTTCCTGTCGGGCATCAAGACGATTGCCGCCATCTCGCTCGCAATCAACTACCCCACACTGGCATCCGTCACCCACTCGCTCGTCAACTCGTACAAGAACTTGCTCGCTGTCGCGATCGAGACCGAATACGAGTTCGAAGGCGTTCAGAAGATCAAGGCTTACCTTGCCGATCCTTCTGCCTTTGCTGCTGCCGCGCCTGCAGAGTCCGCCGCCGCTGCCGACGCGCCTGCTGCTGCCGCCGAGGAAGCGCCCGCAGAGGAAAAGGAGGAATCCGACGATGACATGGCAAGTTCGCTGATGAGCTTACACCCGTTCCATGCTGATACCATGCTGTCATGCAGGGCTTCGGTCTCTTCGACTAGACATGTCTTCCATTGCAATCTGTGCTCAGGTCCAAGTACATGCCTGACCGCTGCTGATGAATTTGCGCGCCTTTTTCGTCGATCGCTTGCGACATCTCTGTACATATCGACACCTGCTTTGCTCAGCGAATCCTCCCGAGTCTGAACACTTTCTACCGACACAATGTATTGGTCACAGAGGCCGACCAGCTGAGCATTCGCAGTCTCCATCAGCGATCTGCAGCGTCGCTGTGTCAGCGAACAACTCGGCATGTCGCCTTGACTGCCGCCGGCCATGCCAAGCAGTTTGTTGTGTCAAGCTCTGCTCCCATCAATGCCTCAGGACTCACGCTAAAGCTTTGAGATGCTTTGGCAAAGCTTCATCAGGACTCTAGTCTACCGGATCCCTCTGACGTCGAGCGTCCTTACTCGCCATCGATCGATAGATCGACACGCTTTGACTTGCTCTGCAGCAATCGACTTCTCCACGTCATAGACATTCGGACTTCCTCGATAGCAAGTCAGTCGGGCAGTCACTCGGCTTGACAGCGCGGACTCATGCAAGCGGTTCTAGTGTCTCCCAACTTCTTCCTGCTCGCGTTTGCAGCCGTTTTGGTAGCACAGACTGCTCTGGCGTTCGTGCTTTGCCCGCCGTCATCTCAGGCCGTGCTCATCGATCACAGGCATCCGAGAAAGCAGTGCATGTTCTGCCCGGGCGAAATGTGCTGCGAATGGCCACATTGAACGTCTCAAATCTCTCAGTCTCGTGCGCTGCAGCTCATCATCGGCTTTCGCAAGCAGGTGATTGCGTTGTCGGCATGTTCCGCAAGTCCAAGTAGCATCATTATAGCCCCGAGCGCGCAAAGTCAAAGGCGCGCTGGACGTGTTTGGAGATGCATTCGCCGCTAGCTCTGTTTCGAGGAGGCTCCAGATCAGCGACTACTTCTTGCACGGATCTGAACTTTCCTCGCCACTTCTCAAGACTGACAAAGAGTACGACAGCAGCATCGATATTCGGAGTAAAGAGATGGACTTCAAGACGATTCTCATTATGGCTGCAACGATCCTGACCCTCGCCGAGGTTGCCAAAGCGTCAGCATTATCTCCTTTCTGACATGACTCACACTCAATCGATTTGCAGCGGTCCGACGGGATGCTTTGGCTGTCTCTTCAACGGCATTTGCTGTCCGGGCGACAAGAAATATCCCCGATGCAACTGCTGAGCTAAACGTTTCGCCTCTCAAAAAAAACTTCGATGCATTGACTTTGGCACTGTTTGCCCGGCGCTTATCCTCTTCGAAACGCTAAATTCTGCCTCGTTACCGTTTGACGGTAAACCATCCGTTGACACACAGAGTCCGGCTGATCGGCTCGAGCTGATGTTGCTTCTGATCTCGGCTTCTAACCAAACAGACTTATCAGAAAGACAACAAAGAAACAGAATGGCAGCCAAGGTAGGCTTGATCTCGATGGCAATCCTCGTTGCGAGCTTCGCCTGCGGGTAAGCCAGTTCCTCGCAAGTTTTTGGTGGTCTTGACTGATGGCCAAACAGAGCACAGGCAGGCCGCTGGCATGACCAGACTGGCTCTGACTGCTTCACGTGCTACACCGGCACCGAATGCTGCCCAGGCACCCCTTCGTGGGATCATTGTGACTGCTAGAAGAGCGGCAAATACCGGCCGCCGCGACGGCTTCTTTGTGTTGAGGCTTGCGAAGTGACCTGAGCTCGTGCGAATGACCGAACAATCCTGGGCTGCAGATCAGTCCCACTTTCCAGAAAGCGCTGCTCAGCCGATCACTGCGCGATGAGGAAACGAAAGCAACATGCATCGACGATCTAAATGTCCATTGAGCGGTTATGCGCTGGCGGGTGTGACAGCGGCGGGCGTAGTCGCAGCTGATGAAGCTGGCTGGGCAGCGCCAAGGACAGGGAATCCCGAAGGAAGCGAGATCGAAGGGAAGCTGATGGCTGGGAGTGCCGTGGGCAATGCGCTGCCCGAAGGGAGTGCGGTAGGCAGGCCTGGCAGCGCCGTGACAGCCGAGGGCGTGCCGGAGACGCCCGGGAGCTGAATGCCCGAAGGGAGCGTGCTGGGCAGAACGATTCCGCTGGGCAGAGCGGTGGGCAAAGTCAGGCCTGCGACGGTGCCGGTCGAGCTAGGGTCGACAGCGGCGATAGAGCCGAGCGGGTTGTTGGCAAACGGTCCGCTGAGACCGGTGGCGGCGGTCGTCGCTGCAGCAGGTGCGACGGCAGCGTCCATGGTAGGAGTGGCAACCGACGCGGCAGGCGTAGTCTGAGCGCCAAGGATGTTGCCGAGGCCGCTGAACTGGTGGAGAGTACCTACATGAGCTCAAGCCGACAGTGAAAACAGTGGACATACCTGGGGCATGGCAAAAGCGGAGGTCGCGAGCGCAACAAAGATCATCATTGTGTACTTCATATTGGCTGTGTTGCTGGTAGTAGTATGTAGTAGATGAAGGTAGAACAGTAGTCGTTGTGATATTGATGGGCAAGGGAGGCGGTCTTTGAAGCTTGGGACTGCGCAGGGTCGGATCAATGAAGAGGTTCGAGCGGTGTACCTTGCTGCCGAGATGATCGTGCGCGGACCCACAGCTCCTCCTGAAGCGAGCACGGGGGGATCGAACGCATAGACCGTGCGAGCACGGGGGGCTCGAACGCATGGACCGTGAGGACTGTGTCCGGCCAACAAGTCGTTGAGGGGGTGCGGCGTCGGACACGTAGATGCGCATGTACGACGAGCTAAGCGACACTTTGTGCCGGTGCCGAATCAGGCGATCAGCTGCTCCGAAGGTCAATGTCTGAGACGAGGAGAGCTGTCTTTGTCGGCGCAGAGCGACTTGGCTGAGGGCGCTGAGATGGACATGGGCATCATCATCGCGACGTGACCGTCTCGGAAAACTTCAGCGTCTCGGGCGACCAGCAAGCTCGCCAGGATGGACTCGATGCGAGGCACGACGTTCGAGCAGGACATACGGTTCGCCGACAAGGACAAGCAGCTCCTCAAGACGATGAAGTTCCCTGCCGAGTTTGCTCAGAGAGTGAGCCTCTCGTGAATTGGTCAACCCACACTTGCTGACGAGGGGCGGCAGGTCGACATGCGCAAGGTGGAGATGAGTGTCATGCGACCGTGGATTGCCAGGCGAGTGACAGAGCTGCTTGGCATGGAAGACGAGGTCGTCATCGAGTACGTCAACGGTTTGCTCGAGGACAAGGCAGCTCCTGTTAGTCCTCATTCCAAGCCAGCCCTGGGCCTACTGATCTGTATGCCGCACAGCTCGTTGATCCGAAGAAGATGCAGATCTCTCTGACCGGCTTCCTCGAACGCAAGACGGCTCCCTTCATGATCGAGCTGTGGAATCTCCTCCTGTCTGCTCAAGCCTCACCTGTCAAAGTGCCTGCTCAGTTCATCGAGGAGAAGAAGCGAGAGATGCTGCAGCGCAAGACTCAGTCTGACCAGGATGCCTCTCAACGTGTGGCCAATGGCGCACAGCCTGGTCCCACTGGGCCTCGAGATGCTCCACCCCGTCGACAATTAGACGAGATCAGAGCGCGCGAGATGGCAGACAGGCAGGCTCAAAGAAATTTCCAAGGCAGCGATAGAGGCTTCTACGGACGAGGGCGTGGTCGAGGAGGTTTCCAGCCACCGCCTGGACGAGACTCGGGCTACGGATCAAGAGGACCGCCCCCTCGAATGCCGTCGCCGCCGCCGCCGCCTAGACGCGATAACCGCCCTCGCTACTATGAGCCACCATCGCGCGATACTGACCGTCGACCTAGGTCTCGCTCTCGCACACCTCTTCGCCGTGGTCGAGATTCGCGCAGCCCCGTCAGATCGCTCTCGCCACGTCCAAGGCAGAGAAGGCGGCGCGATTCTTACTCACCCTCGCCTCCGCCCAGTCCAGCTCGTAGACGTGTCGGTTCCTATTCGCCTTCACCGCCGCCCAGATCGTCTCGACGACCAGACTCGCGATCGCTCTCCCCGTCGCCGAGAGGAAGGCGTCGAGCCGATTCGTACTCGCCTGCTCCTCCGCCGAGGGAAAGGCGACGAGCCGACTCGTACTCGCCATCGCCACCGCCTCGATCACCTTCGCCTCGCAGATCGCAAAGAGATCTTTCTGAAGAACGTCGGCCTCGTCGAGAGGCTTCGTTAGATCGCAGGGGCTCACGCAGGGCGCGCTCGCCATCGTCCCAGTATGAGACAGGCCATGACTCGCTGGCCAGAAGGAGTACGCGAAGACGAGCAGACTCGCCTCCCAGACGACGTCGCTACGACTCTCGTTCGCCGCCCCCGAGAGAGCGCGCGGCCGAGAGATCTCGCCGCAGACCGTCTTACTCGCGTTCGCCCTCGCCTCGATCCTCCCGCGCGAGGAGTGGATCAGTCCATTCGGCAAGTCCCCCTAGAGCGGAGAACAGCAGTACTCGTGAACCTTTGCTCAATAATGCTTCCGAGACCAGGCCAAAGCAGATCTCGATCAAAGGTAGCGCGAAAGCTGTCGAGCCTATCGTTGTAAGTCGTCCTCATCCTCTGCGCTCCTCGCTTACGATTGGATCAAGCAGCGGCCGAGCATGTCGCCCGAGACGACCCCCGCAGAGCGAGAATTGCGACTCAAGGAGGACTTGCTCAAGCAAAAGCTGACACGCAGCAAGTCTGCTACGCCTGGCAAGCCAGCGCCTCTCTAGAAATGCATCTATCTGCCGGCGCCGTAATTGGCGCCCGTGTACTTCTTCAGTCGCTCGACCACTGCCTTTTCGTCTAGTTCTTCTCTCGTGCTTGCTGGGATCTGCGCAAGCATCAGTCTTGGACATGCATTGCGACCTGCATCGGTTCGCGTACTTCTAAGCTGAAACTGTGCAAGACTTTTTTCACGTCTGCAGATTGCACAGAAGTCTTTCCGCGACGCATGACCTTGACGTCCTTGCCTATCCAGATGATGTACACCATCCTTTGCAACTCATCAGCTCAAACCAAGTTGTAATGACGCGAGCGTACCTGACGCGTTTGCTTTCCACGTCAACGGCATATTCTATGCGGGCATAGCCGTAGGAAGCCCTGCTATCATCTAGCTTGCTCTTGAGCTCGTCTAGGCCACCTTCGCCAGTCGCAGTCACGCTGAGCTTGTCGCCTTTCTCGCCATAGTCCAACAGAAGCCAGTTTGTTGGTTTGGCATCACTCCGCACGTCTTCGTAGCTGTCGAGTGAGCGCGGATCAGCACAGAGCCTACTTACATAGTCTGACTGACGCTGCTTGAATGGCCGGGTCGCTGACGTCGGCCATCACGTAGGCCGAACAACGTCACCGAATGCGCCAAACGACGCGACTTGCCACAACGCTGGGAAGCGACTGCCCTCGCACCGTCATGCGACGTGGCCGTTTGAGATGAAGTCACGTTTCAGCCTGCGCAACAAGCCTGACGGCGAGTCTGCGCCAGGCACGGGCAAACCCGATGCGAAAGCCGACAAGAAGCGACCGCCAATGCTGACGGGCCTGTTCAACGAAACGCGCAAGATCCTGCAAGCCGTACCAGATGACTGGCCTATGTTCAGCTCTCGTCAGGAAGATTATGAGCTGAAGGACGTCATCGGCTTCGGCGCTTCATCGGTCGTCTACTCTGCGTACTTCAAGCCGCTCGACCGAGATTGCGCCATCAAAGTGATCGACCTTGAGCGATGTAGCTCGTCTGCGATCGATATGCTCAGGCGAGAGACGCAGCTCATGTCACTCAGCAAGCATACGAACGTACTGCGTGTGCGTGGCGAATGGGTTGCCCAGTCGAAATTGTGCATAGCAACGCGATTGATGCATCATGGCTCCCTGCTCGATATCATCCGCTTTGCACATCAAGACGGTCTAGACGAGGTCACATGCGCGACGATACTCAAACAAGCGCTCTGCGGTTTGGCCTACCTCCATCTCAATGGCTACGTACATCGCGACCTGAAGCCCGCGAACGTGCTCCTTGATTCTGACGGGACTGTCCTCTTGGGCGATTTCGGAGTGGCTTCTCTGCTTCTCGACGGCTCGAACACGAACGGAACATCGCGTACGACCTTTGTAGGCACGCCGCTGTATATCGCACCAGAAGTGGTCCGCAGTGACCTCTACAATCAGGCAGCAGACATCTGGTCCTTAGGCATTTCTGCCATCGAGATTGCGACTGGCAAGCTCCCCGGACAATATCTCTCGACAACGAAGCAGCTTCTGGCTACCGTAAACGACGTCTCGCCTACGCTGGACATACTTGCGAACAAGCACACATTCTCAAAGGCGTTCAAGGATGTCATTGACAATTGTCTGCAGAAGGAACCCGCCAAGAGGTGAGCTACTTGTAGTACAACTGTGCGCCTGCTGATGTAGATACAGGCCGACAGCAGCGAAGCTACTGGGCCACGCCTTCTTCCGCCAAGCGAGGTCAAAGCAACACCTTGTCACGCAAATCTTGGCCGACCTGCCACCTGTGAGCGAACGCCAGCACCGCCGTCGACTCGACTCGATACACAACTCGATCTACAATGACTCGTGGGATTTCAATTCTATCAACACACCTGCACGTTCGATAGCAGATACGCGCGACATCTTTGCGGGCTTCACCGCTGCCCTTGTCCCTCCCTCGCCGGGGTTTTCTCTCCTACAGAGTCAAATGCTGGCAACAGGTCTACCACTACCAGAATCGCCATTACCTGCAAGCCCAGCAGACGAAGACCTACCGTTCTCACCCCGGCGGATGAGACACGGCAGCGCGTCGGATAGCATGAGCAGGGCCCATCAGCGCCATCGCAGCGTCACCTTCGATACTGGTGCATCCAGTGTGCGCGATGTCTACGAGTAGACAAACTGTCGTTCTGGCTGCCTTCATCCGATCTCACTGTACAATATCCGTCTTCGGCGAAGGACCGTCACCTCGGTTCTCCGACTGACGCTGCATCACGTGTACAAATGTCGTTGTATCCTCCTGCGCATCCATCTACTCTGTAGGTATGTCAGATCGCTTCCAGTAGATACCCTCAAGCAATCTATGAATTCATATGCAAACACATTGAGAAATACGATACATTGCAGGCTCGTGATATGAATACAACATGCTCGTGAGCAAATACAAGTACACACAAGCCTATGAAAACAGGAAGCAGACCCAAGACGGAACAGAGCGCGCCATCGCAGCGAAGCAAGGCTGATGAGAGACCTACCGGATCACGAAGAGCAGCAAGAGCTTGAGTGAGCATGAGCATGATATTGCGTATTGAGCAGAGCGTAGGCGATCGTAATGTTGACAGTCTGACAGTCTTGAGTCGCGATCTGGAGTCGGCCTGCCAGTCCTAGCAACAGAGAGCCACTCTGCGCCAAAGGACCGGACTGACAGGCAAATTCGAGAGAGGCGACCGGCGCGTGATGATACAGACAAGGCGCCAGCGCGAAATGCTACAGCCGAGCACCGCTCGGTAGTGCGTCGCCAGGACTGATTGTGATACAGCAGTCTGCCAGCACCGCTGACAGACTGATGACGTCGCCAGGACGTCGACTTGCAGACGCATGCGCCTGAAGCCGGTGATGAGGCGCCGAGCCGTTGCTGCTCGAGGCGCTTGGGAAGTGCGACAGAATGCCGCACGAGACAGCGCGCCAGATGCGCGCGCTAGCGATGGCTGGGCTCGACCTTGGGTTCGACATCTTGTAGATGATTGCCCTTGCCGTCTGAGTTGATAGTCGTCGTCATGAGCTGCGATGCTCTACTCGGCTACGGTGGTGTCGACTCGGCTTCCTCGCATGCAAAAGCTTCGACTGTCGCGCTTCGTCTCCGTTGTCGGGCGTTGATCCATCAGAGCTNGGAGCAAGTTCTTCAAGCGAGCAGAGGCAGGCCTTATAGCTAGCGAGGTTCTTACCGGGACTTATGTGATGCTTCCACGAGATTGAACGAGGCTGAGAGAAGAAGTCGAGGAGGAACGCAACCCCAGACCTAGCCGAAGCTAGCGGGACTGACGAAAAGCCTGCAATAAGAGACCAGTCAGCATTTGATCAACGAAGAAAAGGTGGCAGCGACTCATCTTTTGCGTCCGAGTGATGGCCGAGGAAAGTCGCGGAAGGGGGGAAATGGGGGAGGGGATATCTGCGCTCTCACTCTTGCGGTCTTGAATCTTCATGCGCGGTTGGGAGCATCACTGCCCGAGCCTGCTGCCTTATGACTTCCGCCATCTGCTGCTGCCATCCGAACCTGTCCGCCCTCGTCAGGACGCCAAACTAGAGGGAAACTTAGCGCTAGGCCTGGGCGTGCACTTGAATTCACGCAAGCCGACTGAGCTGACCGAGCGAGATCTGACTGACTGACAACGACCCAGATGACGACGGCAAGAGCAAGCGAGATGTCGAATCCTGAATACCCAAGGTCAATGCTGCAGAGATGAGTCAGCTTTTGTCTGTAGCAAGCGAAATGGGTGCACTCACATTGTGCCATCGCTAGCACGGGCTTTACGATGTCCGACGCGCTGCTCGAGCGATTGACTTGCGGCATACACGTCTTAGAATACAGCGACTGTGCAAGATGTAAGCAAAGTCGCGCAAGAATCAAATGACCGACTGACCAGCGCAGCTGTCGAGGATGCGATACACGGCCCAGCCGAACTGATACACAAGTAAGATACATACTCTGCAAGTCGGTCAGCCAAGTCAGCGGAGAAAGGAGACGGCGACTGACCAGACCAGCTGAAGGCACCAGGCGAGCAGACCAGCTGATCAAGACGATACAGACTGATAACATACAGCTCGTCGCCCCCCAGAAGCGACGAGAGACGCCCACGGTGGCTGTCATCAGCGTCAGCTCGGTCCAGAGAAGAGCGAAGAGGAGCATACCTAGCCATGAACGTCTGNNNGCGAAGAAGAANACGACAGAACGCGAGAGCTGCCCCTGACCCGTCCTTGAAGTCGATGGGCGGCAGCTTGCTGACAGAATATCGCCAGTACGTCGCCAGTATCATGCTCATGCTCACTCATNCTGCCCCTGCTAGACCCGGNCAGTNAACTCATCAGTAGAACACCTCCGCTTGAGGCAGAAGCATCNTNNNNCCTTGCTCCTCGACCCNGCCCGTCATNTCGTACTCTCCAGACAGATTGCGATGTCCGGAAGATCTACGCATGAACGACAGTGGACGAGGTCGAGTTGCGACGGGCGACTCGACGGCTGACTCGATCACAAAGGCCGAGAGAGCGCCGAGCCCTGCAAAGAAGCTTGCATCAGTATCAGTAGAAGGATGAAGGCGCAAGAACATACTGCGCCGCTGATCCGTCTTGACTTGCACCAAACGAGACCGCGTATCGGCTAAGGACCAAGTCGCCATGGAGCGAGGCATATGACTGGTAGCTGGGCCAAACGCGATCTCGCCGGTGTAATGTCCTTCAATCTCCCTTTCCTCTTCTGCATCCCTCCTCGCTGCAGCCGCCAAGTGCAGCTGCAGTTCGCTGCCAATAATAGGCTCGAAGTCACCGAGAAGAGAGCAGAGGTCCTCATCATCGCTAGTGTCGACACCGCTTGACGACTGATCCGCCGAGTCATGGACGAGCTCGGGCACAGAAGTCGAGTCGTCTTGAGAGAAGACAGTATCGCACGCGTCGTATCGCTCCGAGTCAATCGCATGTCTTGTCGCGCATTTGATGCCAACGACGAAGAACAGAACGGCAGAAAGACTCAAGACGAAAGAGCGATACTCGAGACGATGCGACCGCTGGAGGTAGTGCAGCGCAGGTGCAGATGGGAGCGCCTTGGCCAGCTCGACCAGATGACCTTTNTTGAGCGCGCAAAGACCAGGAGCGAGCGGTGTTGAGGCGCATGTCTGAGCACTGAGCAACGCGGGACTAGCGACGATCGGATGATCTTGAGGATCTTGAGGTTCGCCAGAGTACGTGCAAGTGCCGACTGCGCGAGGAGAGGGCAGACAGACCCCTCTCGTCNTTGTCGGGAANNGCATCGACACTGCTTCGACGAGATCGAGCTTGGGCGTCTCGCAAGCAAGACAGACAGCAAGATCGTCGTCGAATGTACTGCTCGTATCGTCGTCTGGTGTTGACCACGGAGAGCCGACCGTGCGCCATGCGTCATGATCGACCGCAAGGCGCTTGAANTGATCGAGCTCGAATGAAGCACGCGGTCGAGGAGCACCCGTCTTGGTTGGCTGGTCGATAGACAGAGCCGATAGCCGAGACGAGCCACCAGACGAAGACAAGACGAGCGTAGGCGTAGGCTACGAGTGTGAGAGTCAGCCTTGGGCGAGATCATCAATGAACGAGAGACTCACGAGATATGAAGGACCATAAGTCAGGACCGGCAGCATGGTCGGTTCGTGAGCGACGCACTGTCGAGGAGTAAGGCATCAGCTATGTGCCATGGCGGGTGGATCAGGATAGACACTGACCCAGCTGCCGAGATCCATGCATGAGAAAGTAGCATTGACGGGCTGAAAGACAGGCGCCGCCGTAGCCTGGCAAGCATGTCAGTCATGTCCGAGCGTATAGAGAGCAGTATGAGTGACTGACCATGGGAGCAGAAGGCATGAGCGTATCAGACTGATCCTCCGGCATCATAGACAAGATCGCCATATGAGCCATCATGATCAGCCGAGCGACTGCCATGGCCATGATGACCGATAGCAAGCNAACTCTGAGCACGCTCTCGCACGCTCTAGNACCAAGGACNAAGTGCTCTCAGGACAGCAATACCCCCAAGGAGTATGCACACGAAGTCCAGCGGGAATTTCGAAGGACCCGCCCCTTTTATGGTCGAGCGGCCAGCCGGTCACCTGACTTTTAGCCGAGCTCCCTTCTTCACGTTGAGTTCCTTCTCCTGCATCACAGGCGACGCAGCGTGCTCGCCGAACGTCCTTGCCCCTTCCGAGCCGCTGATCTACATTTGAGCCATGACCAGCATGTTTTCGTAGCGATCGCGCTGATTCGGCTCAAGCTTGTAGCTTCGAATGCTTTTTTGCTGGCGTCTATGGCAGCTGTTCGTCCAGTACCGAGCGCTCAGGTGGTAATACTTCGATACCCTCGACCGCGACTGGCTTGCTATAAGCCACTGCAGCTCGAGAGTCTCCGTAGCATCCACCACGGCGGCACCGACGCGTCGATTGGACAGTCACGAATGCCTTGTATTGTGTCTTCTATCGTTCAGATCTCGGCGCATCCGGAAGATACTGTCAAGCTTTGTGACGGCCACGACGCAGTGCTGAAAGCCGGGCCGCGCCAATGGGTAGTATAGTGCTCGAAGATGGCAAGAAAGGGCAAAGGGACGTTCTTCCGACTCGCTTGGCTCAAGGAACGAAGCAAAGAAGCACTTGAGACCAGTCTAGCACTCCTCTTCTCCATGCACAACACCTAGATTGCCCGGGACAATGTGGCGTTACCAGCTGATCACCGTCCCATCGGAAATGGAATTGTCATAATGAACTGCAGCGCGTCGCGTGACTTTTGATATCGCGATTCGTAAACTGTGTCTCATCCGGATCTGACATCTACGCTCGGCCTGCTGACATATTAGCTTGCGGCAAGGTGTCATACGAAGCTCGCATATAGCCAGAAGATGCAAATGCGCACTCATGCACCGTCACAGGGCTGGCATGCGGTAAGAAATCAAGAGCGGGATTGCGAGCCACAAGATCGAGCGCTAGTGAAGACATTAGACCGAACGTCATGCATTCACGCTCTGGGAGACTTGACTTGACTATCACAGCCGGATCGCGCGAAGTCGCCGGATGCTCAAAGACCTTTGGCAGGCAGTGAGCGGATAAGAGGGACCTCATGTGTTTCATGTGACAGCGTCTTGTTCTTGCTCTGCTGTTGCATACGAAGAGCGTCGGCCGTGCATGAAATGCTAGCGCTCCTTCGAAAGCACCTCCCAGAGAGATGGCGAGTGATCTGAGGCGAAGAAAGTCCGGTGAGCAGGCGCTTCTCACGCATCATGTCGTTGACGTTCTCATGAGCGCCATATATCCTTCAACCCCGAACGGCTGATCTGACCGCGCTCGGCATCTATCGACGGGCATGCTGTCCGGAGGGCCGTGAAGCCTGCAGGCCCCTTCGAGCTGAGCTTGAGATAAGCGCTTCGGAGCAGAGAGCCTACCATGCGAGGAGGTTCCGTCGGCGTGTTTGATCTGCGCCGGTCCTGCGGCGATGGTCTTGGTGATCTTCGGCTGCCAGGCGCACCATCGAGCGGGATGAGTCGGCCTAGTTCTTGCGCTTCGTTGCGTTTGTTGCGAACGGATGGCATCCTGTCACGGGCTTTCTTCTCCCATTGCGCTTGCATCTCGTCCGCTCGCTCCAGATCAGGTTGCCATCTGCTCTTGAGTATCCTCCTGACGGCCTCGGGTGAGATCTTGTACCCGTTTGCCAAGATGGGGGTAGCGTAGGCAATAGGGTCCATGGCGTGAAGTTCTCTGATATCTGCCATTTGCATGCGAGAAACCTTACGAGCTGGGTTCCAACCGGCTGGGAACTGTTCTCTGAGCGCTTCTCGATGGACCTTCCAGCGTCGGATGACTGCATCGGTCTGTGAAGTAGGTCGAGATGAGGCTCCTCCTCTTTTGACTGCTACTGCCGTTTCGTAGGCATCTCGAGACGCTTGACTGAGATCGAGCTCGAGCGGCGCATCTCTGGATCGATCAGGTGCAGAACTCAGCCAGCGCTGGGCTGTCGTGCGCAAGCCAGACGGTCGCCAACGTTGCATCTCTCACTGATCAGCCGACGAAAGCCAAAGGCACAAAGTCGCGAATTTTGTTGGTGGGGCAGCCAGCCAGACGAGACAATCCTGCCGCCTGTGTGCTCCCTTCCCTCTCTCACTTACCTTCTTACGAGGATCAGATCTGCATCGTCTGTAGCGAGCATGGCGATGAGACTCGGCTGACTCCGCTCGACGCTCGAACGCCGAAGGACCCCTACAACCAGGGCGTCTCAAGTCACGCAGCGGTGCTTATCTGCTCTCAGCTTCCGCTGACTCTTCTGAACCTCGCTCTCCTCGGCAAGCACATCTCACCAAGCGAGGCATCATGGCTCTCGCCAATGCTACTGCAATCGGCAATGCCGCAGGCACCATTCTCGACAGTATCCTCAAAGCTAACCTCGGCGTCACACGAGCGAATGTTTCCTTCTTTCCCGACCTGACGGGCTGCACTTACAGGCCCGGCATACCCAAGGGTACGCTCAGTATCGCGCAAACGAGGCACGACTGAGCTCAGGAATTGCGATAGACTACATCCTCGGCGCCCCGATCGATCACGCAGGCGGTGGTCGTTGCTATCCTTTCCATCTCAACGGATCCGTGGCCTATGAAGGCGTCTTTGCTCATTATGGCTACAACCCCTCTATGACGAGCGCCTGTGTATTTTTGACCCTCTTCATGCTTTTGACCGTCATACACGTCGGTCTCACCATCGCAAGCAAACGCGCATGGCTCTCTGTCATCGCCATCGGAGGCTTCGTCGAGTGCATTGGCTGGCATGGTCGCTTGCTGTCAGCTTTCGATAACGGTTTCAGTGCTGCTTCAAAGAAGAGCTTCCTCACATCCACCGTCTGCTTGACTATAGCGTGCGCCAACTTTGTAATTGGCCGAAGTCCTCGACGCTGATCAGGTTCGAGAAGGCCCGTCTTCTTTTCAGCAGCTTGTTACGCCACCCTCGTTCTCATCGTTTCTCAGCTCTCTCAGTATGGCCACGCAACGCCCAGATACTCGCCAAGAAGCATGACAATCTTCTTTTGCCTGGCCGACTTTCTTTCGCTCGTTTGTCAGGCCATTGGCGGCGCCCTCACGTCAACAGCCAAGACAACCAGCGCAAGAGACACAGGCACACACATCTTCCTTGCCGGCATTGTCTTCCAGCTCGTGATGATGCTCGTCTTTCTTGCGCTATACCTCGAGTTCTTCTATACTTACAACCGACACGTCCCCCGCAAGGTTGCTCGCCTTGCCCTCGGCGTCTTGTTGGCCTCCGTTGCCATCGTCATCAGGGGGCTCTATCGTACCGTCGAACTCAGCGAAGGCTGGACTCGAGGCCCAATGATCCATGAGCCCTATTTCTGTCAGTCTGATACCATGTCGATTTAGTACGAGCTGAGCTACGAGGCTGCAGTCGTATTTGACGCGGCCATGATGGTCCTCGCGATGCTTGCGCTGGCCGCTTGCCATCCAAGATTCACCCTGCCACACGCGGCCGTCGTCTTCAACGAGTGTGAAGTGCTCAAGCCATCTCAGGGTTATCAAGATACGAGATGAACTTCGTCATTCAGTCGCTGACCTTGGTGTATATTGCATGCGAGCGATCTGTCCTAGCTGGACAACTATTTGTCTGTGACGTGGCCTTTTGCTACGCAGTAGCGCGCGAGTAGCGCGGCAGATCACAAGCTGGCAACGCGGCGAGCTCCATCACTGAGCAGGCTGCAAGTATGAGATTGTTCGGCCTGCTGGCTTGCGCTGTCCTGGCGCAAGCTTCACTATTCGGTTCGACGCCAGATCTGGACGTGGTTGCTTCGTTCGGCGCCGATAACCCTTTTGCCAGTACGTCGTGTGCTGCTGCCTGGCGTGTCATGCTGACACTCATGCGCGCTCCGCAGAGGTCTACAAGTCAGTATGACAGCTACATCTGACCTCTAGGAGCTCATGTGACGACATCCAGTGGCCAGGCAAACAAGATCACGCTCACTATGACGAGCCATAGCAAAGGCAGCGACTTGCTCGTCCAGTCTGTCCATGGCTCGTTCAGAGAGATGTCGGGCAAAGAGCGTGTCTTGCGCAACACGACGAAAGCGGTCTACAAGGCGGCTCTGCCCAGCGAACAGCCCGTGCCCATCGTTTATCAGTTCCACAGCGAGTTCAAGCCACAAGATCTCAATTTCCAGATCTATGTGACCTACATTGTGCGCCTCAATCCTGCTGAGCCATGTGGTTGAACTGATGTACTCATTGCTGCGCTCAGGATGGCGTACGCTCGATATAGCAGCAAATCTTGGCTCGAGACTGACGCGACATGGGTGCAGGACAAGAAGACGTACGTGCAGAAGGTGCCCGTCGGTATTGTACAGATCACCGAGCCCAAAGGGTCTTGGCTCGATCCTCAACTGTCAGTCAGCAGTCCATCATCAGCGCGCAGCTTGCTGACGTAGTTTCTCGAGACGACAGGCTGTTCCTTTACCTCATCCTCATGTCAGGAGCAGCTGGCGCGGCTTACTTTGCCTACAACAAGTATGTGAGCTCGTCGCGCAAACGAAAAGGAAAGAAGAAATCAGCAGATGGCAAGGCGAAAGTGCCGGGCGCATTTGGATCTGCGCCCAGTACACCCGCAAAGGGCGGCAAGCCGCCGGCGGTAGATGAGAGCTGGTTGCCAGATCATCATCGTGTCAGTCAGCCCAAGCAACGCAAGGGACAGACTGCAACTTCGGACAGCGAAGGGCAGTCTGATGCAGGCGGCAAACGCAAGCCACGCAAGGGCAGGTGATCGTCCGCACGAAGCCTGCGCTAGACAGCAGGAGCCCGAACAAAAGTACACTGTACTATGCAAAGACATGCATGAAGCAATACGTTGAGTCCCCATCTTCGCCGCCAGCTGTCACACATGAGCGCGGCCTGAGATCAGACAAACTGTACGACGCGAATTTCTTGGACGGTTGACAGGTGCATGCTGAGGAGGGCATTGAACGGCCCTGTCAAGCTTCGTCTCAGCTCTCACATAGTCCGTTCGAGTGTTCAATCAGTCAGCGTCGCTGCACCGTACGCTCAGAGGAAACCTCGGGCCCATCGAGCAAGTTTCTCAAATTCTGCTCGAGAGCTTGCAAAGAAACGCAAAATGCCGCCCAAGAAAGCCGCTGCAGCAGAGCGCAAGGCTTTGTTAGGACGGCCAAGGTATGTGCGAGCAGTCGAGTCGCCAAGTCGATGCTCACTCGCTCTCACATAGCAACAATTTGCAGATTGGCATTGTCGGTCTGCCTAACGTCGGCAAGTCATCACTCTTCAATGTCATTGCAAAGTGCGATCTCGGCAAGGCTGCCAACTTTCCATGTGAGATCTCTTCTTGTTCAGCGCGATCGATGCCAATGACACTCGTACAGATGCAACAATGTGCGCAACGACTTTGCGTGCCCAAGCCAGCTGATCGCTCGAGCGCAGAGATCCAGAAGAAGCGCGGGTGCCAGTCCCAGATGACCGTTTCGACTGGCTAGTACAACTCTACGTACGTTCAGCCACAATTCGGCCTTGAGCCCCTATGACTGACGCGCTCGTCTTAGAAACCGAAATCAGAGATCCCTGCCTTTCTGACTTGCGTCGATATTGCCGGTCTGACAGCGGGCGCCTCTACCGGTGCCGGTCTCGGTAACGCTTTCCTGAGTCATGTCAGAGCCGTCGATGGTATCTTTCAAGTCGTTCGTGAGGGTGCCGTCGGAGCTTGCGCGAGCTGTACGCTGATGAGGTTGCCACCCAGGCGCCTTTGATGACGCAGAAGTCATACACGTAGAAGGCGATGTCGATCCTATCCGGGATATGAACGTCATCCAGACCGAGCTGCGACTCAAAGACATCGAATGGGTCGAAAAGACACTCGAGTCGAAGCGAAAGGCGCGCACTTTGCAATGTCCGAACATACCGAGCAGCTCATGGCGATCTACAGACATTCAGGGGAACGGGAACAGCGTCACTTGCCGACAAGGCAAAGAAGGAAGAGATTGTCAGTCGGCTTTGCTCCCAGCACTGTTTTCGTGCTCATGGCCCGGCCCACCTACGCAGGATATCATTGCAAAGATCCACAAAACATTGACAGAAGACAACCGGGACGTGCGGAAACCTTTGGTCGACTGGAACAATAAAGAAGTGAGCAAGCATTGCTCCACGTCCCTCGACTACACACCTCCTTGCAAAGATGATAAAGAGCGGCTTTTTACATCGCTCGACAATATACCCAGCTCGTCGAGAACCTCTAGGAAGGGTTCGCAGGAGATAACAAACTATCTGAGCGCTTTTGCACCTCTCGAAATCTGCGACAAATTGCGGAACATGGTGCTGACCCACTGTGTTGACAGATCGATGTGATCAACCACCTACAACTACTGACAGCCAAGCCCGTCATCTATCTCGTCAACCTGAGCGAAAAGGACTACATCCGAAAGAAGAACAAGTGGTGCGCCGATCAAGCAAGCGAGCTCATGCAACAGACGAGCTCATCCTATATCGGCACAGGCTTGCAAAGATAAAGGCCTGGATCGACGAGAACAACCCTGGCGATCTGCTCATCCCATTCTCAGTTGCACTCGAAGAGCGTCTGGTCGTCATGAATCCGGCCGAGCAGGCCGAAGAGGAAAAGAAGATTGGCACGACCAGCGCGGTCGGCAAAATCATGAAGGCTGGCTATGATGGTTTGCATGTGAGGTTGCTGGGTCTTCGCCGCGGCGTGAGCTGACTCTGCTACAGCTGATACGTTATTTCACTTGCGGACCGGACGAGGTGCGAGCGTGGACGATCAGGCAAGGTACCCGAGCGCCACAAGCTGCCGGTGTCATCCAGTCAGCCTCTCTGGCTCGGGCTATACATCACACTGATGGATCGAACAGTGGCGACTTCGAGAAGAACTTTGTGTGCGGCGAAATCATGCTGTTCGATGATCTCAAAGAGCTAGGCTCGGAAGGAGCGGTCAAGGCAGCAGGCAAAGTGATGCAAAAGGGCAAGCCTTACGAAATGCAAGATGGTCAGCAAGTCGCTTCCTCGTCTGAGGCATCCCACTGATCGTGCCATTGCTTTCAGCCAATATCGCATACTGGAAAGCGGGCGCATAGATTGGTGCACAATGCAGCTTTACAACACTTGTCACCGCAGACTGGGCTCCGATGGCTCTGGCCGTTTCGTCTTGTCGAGCGCGTCGAGTATTCGCCTGTCTTTTGCGGAAAGCGTCGTGAAACCGGCAGTGAAGCTGTCGACTGTCCGACGAAGCTGCCCTCTCGCAGATCAGCCCGTGTCGAGCAGGATGTGAGTCAGACGAACAGGCGAGAAGCAATGCTCTTGGGGTCCCCAGTCCACAAAGAGCGCGCCGTAGATGGCGATAGAGACACAGAGTACGAATGAGATGACAGACACAGGCTTCTTCCGCCTTGTGGGGTCCCTGAAGTCCGGCCCTATGGGCTGCGCATAGTTGGGCTCGACGGGTGCACCGGGAAGCGCAGGTCTATCGCTGTCCAAGTGTGCTCGGGCAGGACTGGCATAGCCTGGTGGAGGCCGCATGCGAGCAATCGTTGATTGGTGCCGTGTCTGTGCTCGCAATGCGCTACTCAGCTGCCTAGGCCTGTGCATCTTTGACCAGTGCCTAGTGACAGCCACTCAGTCGGCCACTGAAGCGCGTCATCCTGTCCATCATCATCACGCGGCGACCTTGAATTCCTCTGGCTCATCGTCACCAAAATGGATCTGCGCACGATCGGAGCTACTGCAGGCGAGTATCCGATACCCAAGGGCGTCATCTATCAGTATGGCACGGCGGGGTTCCGCATGCGGTATGCAGATCGAGCTTGCCAAAGCTCGGCCATTCATGCTGATAGTACGGTATGGCTACAGCGCCGATGTCCTCGAGCCTGTCCTCTTCCGCGTCGGTATCCTTGCTGCCTTACGATCTCAGCGACTCGACGGCAAGAGCGTCGGCGTCATGATCACCGCTTCGCACAATCCCGAACAGGCAAGCGCCTCCGCCGTCACGGGTTGTCCTTGCAATATACAGCTGCTCACACTCGCCACGCAGGACAATGGAGTCAAGATCGTCGATCCACGAGGCGAGATGCTCGAGAGCAGCTGGGAACAACATGCCACCCTCATTGCAAACGCAGCTACGACGGACGATCTCGTCACGTTGCTAGAGGATCTTGCACAGACCGAAAAGATCAACACTTCTCGACCCGCTCGGGTGGTCTACGGCCACGACACGCGCCCGTCTTGTCCAGCTCTCCTGAAAGCGCTCGAAGATGGTCTCCAGACCATGAACGCCAAAAAGGTCACGCAAGGCCTCTTGACCACGCCACAGCTGCACTATCTCGTACGCGCTTACAACACAATGGGTACACCTCAGTCGTACGGCACCCCCACCGAAGCCGGCTACTACAAGAAGATCTCTGATGCTTTCAAGACTCTCGTCCATGGCAAGCCTCCCCTCTCTACCCTGACCGTCGATTGTGCCAACGGCGTCGGCGCACCCAAACTGAAAGCCCTGCTCGAGCATATCGGCGATTCAAACCTGTCTATACGGATAACAAAGGACGAGATTGACACCAAGGGCGCACTCAACAATAGCTGCGGAGCAGACTACGTCAAGACGCAACAGAAAGCACCCCCGGGAATGAACATTGCCTCGCTCGATCGCTACTGCAGTTTTGACGGAGACGCAGACCGCATCGTCTACTACTACCAAGACCAAGATGGCCAATTCAGGCTGCTCGATGGAGACAAGATTGCCGGACTGGCAGCCATGTTCATCCTCGATCTCGTCAAACGCGCTGGTCTGGAAACGCAGGTCGGCGTCGTCCAGACGGCCTACGCCAACGGATCATCGACTGCCTACCTCACTAAAGTACTCAAAGTACCCGTGAGCTGTGTCGCGACGGGCGTCAAGTATCTCCATCATGCTGCCGAGCGCTATGACATCGGCGTCTACTTTGAGGCCAACGGACACGGCACCGTCCTGTTCTCGGACGATGCTCTACAGGCTTTCAAGACCAAGGAACCTTCCACGCCGAACCAGCAGAGTGCCCTCGCTCAGCTGGCAGCCTTGAGCGAGATGATCAACCAGACGGTGGGGGACGCCCTGAGCGACATGCTCCTCGTCGAAGCCATCCTCCTCCATCGACAATGGGGCCCAGCAGAATGGGACCAAGCCTACTCTGATCTACCCAACCGACTCGTCAAGGTCACCGTGGAGGATCGCAATGCGTTTAAGACGGCAGACGCAGAACGCAAGCTCACTTCGCCCAGAGGACTGCAAGAGAAACTAGACGCGCTCGTGGCGAAGTATCAGCTAGGCCGAGTATTCGTTCGACCTTCTGGGACAGAAGAATGTGTTCGCGTCTATGCTGAGGCTTCCACGCGTGCAGAGACCGATGGTACGTACTCTCGCATGCTCTGCAGTCTATGCTGACATGATGTACCTGCAGAGCTTGCTTTCAAGGCAGCAGGACTCGTTTTCAACGAGGCCGGTCAAGGTGCTCGTCCGGCCGAATTTCTCTAGCCTCTCACTGCATCCGAGAACGGCACGCACACCGCTGCCAGCGCATCTATGTACATGTTGTAGACCTCAACACAATCTTACAATCTTGCTGCTGAACTCCTTTCGCTCCGCGGTGATACGGGCTGCCTTCCCCGTCACGCTCGGTGGCGACTGATTTTGATTAGTTCAGCACGTTCGCGCAGTGCCGCACAGAGGCAGGATCGTAGAAGCACGCAAGATGAAGGCATGGATCTTTGACGAGGAAAGCTATGAGGCCCAGCCCGATCCGACTCTGCCGCATCACTCTGGCAGAGCGGTCCCTCTGGACGTGCTCGCCAAGCTTGGCCTCGTGCCGTTGACGTCGCAGAAGCAAGATCAAGTCGACAAGCTGGCTTCAGAGCGAGGCTACAAGCACCGAGACGAGATCCATGTCAGCCGTGCCGGTCTTGGCGATCAATACGATGCCAAGATCAAGATGTTCTACGCCCAACATCTCCATGAGGATGAAGAGATCCGGTACATCAAAGACGGCCAGGGCTACTTTGACGTGAGAGACGGCCAAGATCAAGCTTGGATCAGGATTCTCGTCGAGCCGGAAGATTTCATCGTCCTGCCTGCTGGCATCTACCATCGCTTCACATTGGACGAGAGCAAAGACATCAAGGCAATGCGTCTGTTCAGAGATGAGCCAAAGTGGACGCCTCACAACAGGGATAGCTCGACAGATCAGAACCCGTACCGCAAGCAGTATCTGGCCGAAGTGCTCGGCAAGGAGACTGTCTGAGACTATCCCTGTTGAGTGATGTCGGATGATGCGTTGTATGCAATCTATGAGAGATGTTTGAACAACAGCAGGATTCAGTCCTCGTGCGCGGTGTCAGCCGGTCTCGAGCGCGCTCTGGGCCGTTGGTCATTACTTGCAAAGTAGACCTGTTGCAGGACGACGAGCAGACGGCGCCGAGGGGGCACGGTGACGCGGCGACCGTCAAAGTCCTCGCCTTCGAGTTCTATAGCTTGTCGAAGGCTGTGACCGATCTCGAGGTAGGAGCGAGTTGCGGCTCGCACGCCCGCTTGACAGCTCACCGGCAAGCTGTCGATCGCTTTGCCTACGTGGCGTAGGTAATGGTCCGCAAGCGCCAGGAGAGGCGAGACATAGGCCGAGTAGACAAATTCGTTGGAAACCTGTGACTGGCCATCGGCCTCGAAGAGCATCTGACGATGGCTCGGCCTTGTCAAGGAGACCGGTGCCAATGAGCTGACAGATGTCGTTGGCGTGGCTTCGTCGAACCAGTCTTTGGGTATATAGATCCGCCCTCTCAGGGCATCTTCCTGGATATCTCGAGCGATATTGATGAGCTGCAAGGCGACGCCCATATCGCCCGCTGCTTTGAGTACTCTCTTGCGCTCGGAGACAGCCTCGCTAGATAGCGAGTGAGGTGCGCCATCGTCTGCCTCCCACATGGCCCAGACGCACATCTCTGCCACGCTGCCAGCGACCCAGCGACTGTATCGAATGAGGTCGGATGTCGTGATGACCTGACGACCCATAGCATCGTGCTCGTAGCCTGCTATGAGGTCATCGAAGGGGTATCTAGGTATGCGCGATGTCAGGTTCGCCATGAGCAAGAAGGCAGGCTGAGCAGGCGCGGGTATATGCTTGTACAGAAATGCAGAGAGCTCGAACGATGATGCTTTGCTGGGCGATTTTGTGCCTGGTCGATGCGCGGGCGGGTAGAGCAGATCGAGCCAATCTCTGAGGGATTGCAAGATCTTCTTGCAGGATTCTGGCGAGTCGGCGTGGTCGATCAGATCGTCTGTGACCCGGCAGAAGCCGTAGAGAGCGACGAGATCGGTGCGTACGGCTGTCGGGAAGATGAAGGAGGCCGCATGAAAGGATTTCGACTTTGTTGCGAGAATGCGACGGGTCTCGCGCAGAGCTTCTAGTCTTGCTCTCGTCGAAGGCGGGAAGCCTAGCACGTCAACCCTCAGCGCTCTTATGAGTAGCGAAAAGTAGGCTGGCGTCAGACCGGGACGAGCCATGCGGGCCTGCGAGGGCTTGCCGGAGAAAGGCGTGGCAGTCTTGCCAAACTGGCGCGCCTCAGCAAGCGAACGTCGAGCGATGACCTCTGGAAAGTTGTCGAGAATGGCATAGGCTTTGTCAAATGTGAGCATGCCGAAGGTGAGCAAGCTGTTGGTCACGAGAAAGAAGATGGCTTCCTCTGTGGGTAGATCTCGCGAGATGAACGTGTGGCCCGTCGATGTTGCTTCTGAGATATGCCACGTACCAGCCCTGAGGGCGATGACGTCGACGAGACAGAGATACGCCGTCGGTAGAAGGATGGAAAGACACGTTTGGACGGGCCTGAGGAGAATCGCGTCGCCTCCGAGGGCCCAAAGGAAAGCAAGAACAGGCAAAGCCCACCAGGCGATGCAGCCAAGGTAGAAAGTCGAACGGATGGGTTCAGCGATACGCCAGCCGTAGGCTGCTAGCGTGAGGAAGACGACGCAAGGCAGCCATCGCAACAGTCTGCTCGGTCTGACAGATCGCTTGCCTGAAGTCAGTTTAGGCGCGAGCGCGAGCGCAGGCAGATCTGGCAGAGTGACGAGCAAGACGACGCAAGCGGTGAGGATAGATTGGATGATGAAGAAGAATATCTCCTCGACGGGCACGAGGCCGACTGTTCCGCTGACCGCCCACGGTGCATAAGTCCATGCCTGGTTTCTGCATGAGCTCGAGACGTTCATCCGCATGGGGCAGACTTGCCTTGTGATGGATGATGTAGGTGTCCCATGGGAAGGTCCATACGGTCGCTATGAGCGCATGAAAGACGATGCGCAGCGTGTCTCGTTGTGTCAAGAACGGGCTGAGGATCGTAAATAATATCGCCGTTGGTGGGCATGTGAAGAGTAGATGACTGCCCGCTACCGATCAGCTCGGCTCGGGCAGCTCAGCAGGGAGAGAGGACTGACACTCTCCAGTAGGTGAGGAGCATCTCATGCTTCCGCTTTGATGTCGACTCGGCGAGTGCTGCTGATGCCCTTCGACGTCGATGATGTCAGTCGCGCGTCGACTTTGTTCCTGGCCTCTTTCCTTCAGCCCTCAGCAGGCACCAGGTCGGCATGGCGACGAATGGGCACCCACAGTCAGCGCATCAGAATGGCAGTGACTCTGCGGCAGTCAATGGCCACAGCGACTCTGTCCCGAACCACACGAACGACCCCAAGGCCATCATTCTGTGGTCCCATCCTCGCTCGACTTCGACCATGTTCGAGAGAATGTTCCTCAATCGACCCAACGATTTTACCGTCCTGCACGAACCACTGGGTGATAGCTACTACTTTGGGCCAGAGCGAATGAGCCCACGTTGTTCGTCAGCCTAGAGCAGCTTTTCCCGTAGACTCTGACGTCTCTGTTTGTTTCCCGCCAGACTCGCCTGCCAAGTGCGCATCCGACTTTCCGCAGCACAAAGATCTCACGTTTGCAAAGGTCGGCTCACTTGCCCTGCTGCAAGGCGAGCGTGACTCACTCGCGAACAGCAATGGGAAGAGATTGTCAACGCTACCGTTGCGGAGCCCGGCGCGCCCCCCAAGGTGTTCATCAAGGATGTATGTCCCTTCCTCATTCTGCATCTCTCCTCTTCCCTTTCTTGCCTCGAAACTGGGCGAGGAGGACGTGTCTGATGTCTTGTTCCTCAGATGGCTCAATACATCATTCCTCGTGAGTCGTGTGACGGGTGGGCGCGCTCTGTCTCTGACACGCAATACAGCCCCTACGGTTGCGCCCAGCTGCCCCAAGGACCAGATGAGTGCCGACGAGAACCCGACTGTCATTCCGACCGAGATTCTACTCAACCCTAACATCGCCCATACGTTCCTCATCCGTCATCCCGAAAAGAGCGTACCGTCTTACTACCGTCTCTGCTCAGGCGACAAGATGGCGATCACCGGCTTCGAGTATTTCGACCCAGAAGAAGTCGGCCTGCGCGAATCACGCATGCTCCATGCGTTCATTCGCAAGCGTCGCGGTGTCGGCACGCCCGAACCGCTCGTCATCGATTCGGCGGACCTGATCAGGAATCCCAACCCGATCATGGAACGCTATTGCGAACATGTCGGCGTACCTTTCTCGCTCGACATGCTCGAGTGGCAATCGGGCCAACAGGAACATTTCAAAAAGTGGGTCGGTTTTCATGATGATGCAGAACAGTCGACCGGCATTGGCAAGTGCTCGCCTCGCAAGGACAAGCCGAGCACGGAGGAGATGCCAGAGATTGTGAAGCAGGCCATCCAGGCCAACATCGCAGATTATGAGCACATGCGCCAGTTTGCGCTCCAGATTTAGTCATACGTCATTCGTCCTTCGGCCAGCAGAGGCACATCTCAAGTCAGAGGAAATCAAAAAGGAAGTCATACACGGGATACTCATAGGAAATATGCCAGGGCAGCGGTAAGCATACCCGATACAATATATGCATCTTGCAGGGCAAGGCGGACATCTATCGAGACTCGACGCTTGGCCGTACTAGGCTTTCGTGAGGGATGGCATCATCCGAATCTCCTTGCCTTCGTTATCGCTGTGCTTCTGGATCTCTGTCAGAATCTTCGAGTGCTCCCAGCCCTCTGGCGCAGCTCGCTTGCCGGTGGCGTACGATAGGATGTCCCAGTCGGGCAAAGTCAAGAACTGTGCGCGTCATGAGATGGATGGAAGACCTCCGGAAAGAAGAGCTAGCGTACTCGATCGTACTCCTTGAGCTCGTTCTCCGTCATCGATGGCAGACGCCGTTTGGCAAAAGTGCTCAGGATGAGATCGGTCTCCAGTATGCCGCGTTTCCGGCTCTGGTAGACCAGCCTTGCGCGCATGGTCTCCACGGGTTCGTCCACTGGTCTTCCCTCTGGATGTGGCGTGATGATATCGGAGGTAGCGCCAATGCTAGCAGGCGAGACTGGCTCGGGGAATTCGCGAGTTTGAAAGGGGATCGGGTAAGGATCGGTGGCTTTCGATGGTCGCTCATCCCCGGGTGTAGGACCATCCTGGAGGACCTTGGTGGTCAGAGTCCTCCGGGGGGCACACTGCACACATCGCAGCGTTCTCGAAGCTCGCAACATCATCGTCATCGTCATTTCTGGTCGATGAGCGGCTGCCCCGTTCGCGCCTTCGCGTCTTGCCTTCGACAAAATCCCGGCTCGCTCCCCGGCTAACCGGCCCACTCACTCACTTATCAAGAGCTACCGAGAATGCTCGTCGCTGACAAGGTCTGGTATGTGACGGGCGGTGCGAGTGGCTTGGGTGCAGCAACGGTCGCCGAGCTCGTCAAGCAAGGCGGTCATGTGGTCTGTATGGACCTTGACGAGGAGCTAGGAGAGAAGCGTACGTGGCGAGCATCCGTAGCTCAGCAGGGCGATCCTGATGCGCATGCTCGCAGTCGCAAAGACGTTCCAGACGACAGTCATCTTCCACAAGACGGATGTCAGGAGCGAGGAACACGTCGTTGGCGCGATGAGAGCTGCCGACAAGGCTTTCAAGGGCAAGAAGACGGGCGGCGTCATTGCCTGTGCTGGAGTAGGCATGGTCGGCAAGGCAAGTTCATCCTCTCCCATCATGTCTGGCAGGATCTGAAGCTATGTGCATGCCAACAGACCGTCAACACGGACGGCACGCCCGCCTCGCTCGAAGTATTTCAGACGCTCGTCGACATCAACCTCGTCGGCACCTACAACGTCGCCCGACTCATTGCGGCCAAGATCGTCTCGGAATATCCTCCACCCGGCAAGCCCGAAAACCTGGACGCGATGGACGCCGTGCCGGATGAGATCCCAGGCGCGGTGAACGAAGATCGGGGCGTGATCATCCTGACTGCCTCTGTGGCCGGTGCAGAGGGTCAGATCGGTCAAGGTGCCTATGCTGCTTCAAAAGTATGGATGCCTCTTTCTTCCTCCGGCACCAACGTGGAATGCTGATGGCCAGCTCAGGGTGGAGTCCTCGGCCTGGCGCTACCGATGGCACGCGATCTGGCACGATATGGCATTCGCGTCATGGTCATTGCGCCCGGCCTATTCAGTACTGCGATGGGCAACTCGACACCACCGAAAGCGAAAGCAGCCATCCTGCACTCTACGGAATACCCACCTCGACTGGGTCGAGCGGAAGAATTCGCTCATCTCTCCCTCGCTATCATCGGCAATCCTATGCTCAACGGTTCCGTCATTCGTATCGTCTGTGTCCCCTCCTTCGGTGTTTGCCGTGGTGACTCATCTGTTCCTGCAGGACGGCGCAACACGCAATGGCAAATTGTAGACTGTGTACTACATCGACAGCATTACATGGGTTACAAAAAGCGCGATGAGCACACATCGCGGGTGCTCAGATTGGTCCAGCGGGCGCGGCTTGAGATGCCGCTTCTGCAAGGACGTCGAATCCACCTGCGGACAGCCGTCAGCGGCCTCGCTATGCCAGGCCGACAAGCAGCTTACCTTTTTGATCGATACGAGCTCGCTTGAGGTTGCCGTTGGAAGTGCTGAGATCATCACTGTCGCTGACCCATCGCTCCTCAGGTGGCGCTGCGCATGATGAGCCGCTGCACTCACCGATAGCTTGAGACCTGATGGAGTGACGGATCATATACACCTTCAGCGGCAGGAGCAGCTGAAGTAGCGCCAGCGAGGGCTGCCCCGACCGTCACAGGGTGGGTCGTTTTGAACTTGGGCAGGGCCTGTTGGATGAACTTTTCGAGAGCGTCGAGGTGTTGTATGAGCTGATGGTTCTGATTCTGGAGCTGCTCTATGTGCGTTTCGAGATGGATGACACGTCTGAGTGCCATCATCAGCTCTTGCCGGCACGACAGGCAGTCTGCGCGTACTGTGATAGACCTGCTTGAGAGTCTTTGAGGGGTCTCTCGAACTTGCATTCCAGGTTGCCGGCTTTGCAACGCTTGCAAGGCGGGTCTTCCATGCCTTCACATCTGTCAGGTCCCATCAGTGCTCGCGACTCCTTCACGAGATAGTCGGGGAGCTAACCTGTTCTTCCCCTTGCGGCAAGCTGTACAGGCACGTGTACTGCGTTTCAGCGGAGAAGCGGAATTGATCGTGGACTCCATAGCAGACTCGGCGAACTGGTTGTTGCCATAGCCGACGGGTTCGCTGGCGAGACTGTGCTCGTGAGCATGGTCACTCATCTCTCGAGAATAATTGACTTTGATATCCCGGTCCGTGAGGCCGTGATCCACGTCCGACGTTGGCAGCAGAAGTCCCGGTAGCCGAGCGCGCGCGCGTGAGAGATTGAGACGAGCTCGTTGACTGCGTCGGGCTAGACAACAGCTCACACGTCATGAGCGCGGCAGCGGACCTGCTTGCCAAAGCGGACAAGAAGGCAGGATCATCAGGGGGGTTCAGCTTCTTCTCGTCGGGCACGTCAAAGTACGAAGAAGCGCATGATCTCTACCAGGGCGCGGCGAATGGGTTCAAGCTCGAGAAGCGCTGGAAGGAGTCCGGCGATGCTTTCTGCAAAGCGGCAGAGATGAGCATCAAGGCAGACGAGAGAGATGATGCTGCAAATGATTTCTGGAACGCTGCCAAGTCGTACAAGAAAGCGCAACCTGCTCGCACGTCATTGATATCTTCATGGCTCGGCTCAGGACTGATCGAGTCTCACACAGTGGCCGTTGCTGCGCTCAAGAAGACGATCGAGATCCTCGTGACAAAGGGCAGGTTCAGACAAGCTGCCGACCGGGAGAGTAAGCTGGCCGGATGCATCCGTCGCGCTCGAGCCTTACGCGGTGTCACCCAGAGGAGATTGGACAGATCTTCCAGCAAGATGCTGGCGACCTCCCATCTGCACTGGACGCGTACGAGCAAGCTGGCGAGTGGTACTCTGCCGAGGATGCGACCGCGTACGTTGTAGTCTGGCTGGACCGGCTCCAATGCCTGATCCGAGCGTTTGCGCAGAACGGCCAATGCCTGTTTCAAAGACGTGGCAGATATTGCTGCACAGCTACAGCAGTACCCCAAGGCGATCGAGCGCTTCGAGCAGGTCGCCTCGGCCTCGCTACAGAGTCCCCTCACGCGATATTCGAGCAAGGAGTACTTTCTCAAAGCTGGCCTATGTCATCTCTGCACTGGCGTAGGGCTCGATCGGCACAAAAACGACGCACATGCTGATCTCGCTAGCAGGACACGGTGGCAGCAAGGCGTGCATTTGAGCATTACGTGCAACAAGACGGCACCTTTGCAAGCACGAGGGAGCACAAATTCCTCGTCGACATTGCCAATGCAGTCGAGGCAGAGGATCAGGCTGCCTTGTAAGCTTTCCGTCTCTTTCTGTGTGCTGGTGTAAGCTGACTCCACCCCGCTAGCACGCAACATGTGGCCGATTACGATCAGCTGACAAAGCTGGACGATTGGAAGACGACTGTCTTGCTCGCCATTCGACGGTCCATTGCCGAGGAGCCCGGGCTGACCTAGCCTAGACATGCCAGCACTGCTTCCGTCTGTACTTGGTTCTGTATGCATGATTGCAACCCTCGCAGGCTGAGTTGTCGCAGCGCTCTATCGCTGTGCTTTCACATGATCTTGCCTGCGCCGCCCATCTTTGGCATCTGCGGCATACGCTGCGATAGACCTCCCCTGTAGACGGTTGCGAAGTCAGACACGCGAATGGCTATGACAGATAGGGTCGTACCGATCCCCAGGGATGCCGCGATTCATGCAGTTGTTTGCGAAATGGCCCTTCTCACCACACTAGCTCATCGTGTTAGCAACATGGGACCGTCATGAGCAATGCGAGACATACCTTGTAGCAAGTGACCTCATTGAGCGCACGTCTCGGCTGGTTTTGGTTGCGAATCGTAGGGCCGCCATCTGCTCGGTAGGCAGGCGCCCAGTCACCGCCCTTCCCTCCCACTTCTTCAGGCCAGTCCCGATCACGGTTTCGATAGGCGTCCTTGGGTTCTTTGTAATTCACTCTGGCTTGCACTTGGTCTCTCAGCCATGGAGGGCTAGATGAGGGTCAGTTTCTTGCGTATTGGTAACACACGAAGCAGCTTACTGAACGAGCGAGCAATGTGCGCCCAGCGGGCAGAAGCCATTGAGATACGAAGGACAGGCAGTCTTTCGGCTGTGCTTGTCTGGACAACTGGGGCCTGCACGCCAGAACGTCAGCAGATCACCTCTGACAACAGAGCGGCTAGGCTGACCGAGATGACAGAACCCTCTTGTGTAGGCTTCACAGTCTTTCAAACGCTCTGCCTCGACGAGGTGGAGGTACATGCAGTCGTCTCCCGAAGCACAGAAGCGGAACTGGGTGAAGAACCAGCATTCGGGCATCTTGCGCATGTTGAGCTCGTGCAGGAACTCGCAGCCCGGTCCCTTTTTGCAGAGCCCCTTGAGCCAATGCTTGCAAATCGTCTTTGAGAGCGCGCCGCGCCCTTCTGCGGGCATCGGTCTGAAGTTACGAATGGACGGTCTGACATGGCGCAAAGGGCAGAGTGCTCCTCGAGGACAGGCATGGGTGGCTGCCCAGTCTTTGCACAGCTCATCATCTGTCTCGCACTCGTCAGCGATGGATCCTGTAGACTGCAACGTGGTCTCACCGAGATCGATACGAAGGGCTAGGTCATTCTTGATGTACTCCTCGACGAGGAAATCGGTATGACGAAAGTCCGGTCGGGCGACGAACTGCTCGCTGATATCGGTCCCTTGCTTCGTCTTGAGAGGCACCACTTCAGGCGCAAGCGGCGCAGGCAATCTCTGCGTCATATGTCTCGATGGGCTCGGCGTCCCACCAACGTCGCTGAGCTTTTGAGCTTCACGTCGCGCTTTCGGCAATTTATCGCGTCACTGCTCCGATGCATTGCTGACTCATCAACCCATCTCAACTATGGCTCGCGATCTATGGATAATGTCATTGTTTCGATTTCAAACAACACAGTGCTGTATAACGAGCTGAGCTCATGAGAACGTCCAGTCGATTGCGAAAGGTTCGCAGAGCATCGCAGAGGGTTCAGCCTTGAGTCCGGGCCAGTGCTGCTCATCGAACGGAAGATCGAGCTGGGCGGCTTCATTGAGTGCGTTGCCAAATGCGGTGTCAAAGGCATTGTCGAACGTGTCGGGGCTGAAGAATTGAACGCGCAGTGCAAAGGGTACGTCTTCGAGTGCGGATCGCCCGCGCTCAAGCGCCTCCAATGCAGCGTCTGCTTCAGCAAGGACCTCGAGAGGTTCGAGCAGATCAGCCGGCAAATCGTATCCCTGGTGGTGCGGGGCAGTCCAGACATCCGGAATCGATTCGTCAAACGACTGACGGCGCGAATTGGGAGGTGGCGAGATGATCATACAGTCACTGTCCTCGCCATCGTCGCTCTCAGACGAGCCAAAGTAGCCGAGGTCCGGCGTCGATGAGCTGATTCGGTCACTGGAGACTTCTGGCGAGCTTTCGTGCATCGACGGGCGCTTGATTCGGCAGAGCGGGCATGTAGCGACGAAGCGTGCGACAATGTCCTTCGGGATAAAGGCCCACTTGGCAGCAATAGCCTTGTGTGTCTTGTCTCGGCCACCGTGCATACACTTGCCGTGAGCTGCCGCGCAGATGCTGTGATACTGTTCCACACAGGCGATGGGCAGGCCATTCGAAGTCGAAACGAGACGTGAGCCGTTAGCCGACAGCTTAAAGTTCTTGAGCGCCCAGCTTCTGAACTTGATGTTGCGCATCTGATCATCCTCTCCCGAGAGGAAGGCCACAATGTCGCCATGGTCAGACTGTGTGACCGTCGTTCGACCTTGCTTGCTTGGACTGAGTGCTGCAAAGTATCCTTCCAGCTGCAGAGCGAAGATCTGCTCGTCTGTCATGATCTCCTTGACACTGTCCGTTGAGGATCGTCTCTGCAGGATCGCTTGAGGTGGCATCGAAGGCGACAAATTGGCAGGCAAGAGTTGCAAGAGTGCGTCGGCATCAAAGTCGGCGCAGGCAAGTGACACAGGAGTGTCAGCTAGCCTTCCATCAGCTCGAGCCTGGCTTGTTGTCATAGCATGCTCACCCATGGTGCTTGTAATGTTCACTTTCTGAGGGATCAGAATGATCTCGACGCTCTTGCTCTGGCTCTCGCTCTCGCTTTCTGCTGGTGAGATGCTTGACAAGAGTTGAGTGCAAGCAAGGAGTTGTACGCGCTCTTATACGCATCGTAGAGGAGAAGGCGGGTTGTTCGTAGCCACGAGCAAGTTATCTGCCGACGGCGACCTTACCATATAGGACTTCAAACTAGATCAGTTTGACGAGCCATTCGCTCCTCAGCTATCCGCCCACGCTTCCGACAGCCGAACATCGAATCTGATCCCATCGTAATATCTCGCAAGAACGTTTACACGAAGCACGAACAGACGACATTGGGTTGGGCTGCAGAGGAGGAGGCAGTAATCGACCGAGGCAGGCGGATCAGCGCGTTCGCGAGCCGCGAAATAAGGTTTGCCTGCTATGTTATTTGATTGTTCTTTCAAATGCAAATCGACAACAAGGGGGATCACAGACATCATTGTGGGCGTAGCTCGCTGAGAGGCATGCGAGATTGCGACGAGCGCTTCTGAGGGTACGAGTTGACCATAGGGTCTCTGCAGACCCTGGATCAGACTCAGAACGCGGGGATCATAGAAGAACACTCGTACTGAATACGTTTGAGGTTGCGGGCGGTGGCAAACCCCGAGGTCGCTTGGGAGGGCGAAATAGGAGCAGTAGCTTTGATGGCCGATGCAGCCGCTACAAGACTGACCGAAGGACCCTCGGGGGCGGAGCTGCGTGCGCGAGTCTCAGGCTGACCTGTACGGACGGGCGTCGAGCTCCTTGCAGCCTGACGAGCTCTGGCTGCCTCGCGCTTGGCGGCTGCTTCTTGTTTCTTACGCTCGACCAAGCTGACATCGTCAGCAGCGTCTTTCCTCTTTGGCTCGCCGGGCAGAACGGAAGCAGTAGCACGGGTCATTGGGACGTCACCGACAGCTGGCTGGTACCGATCCAGAACCATGCTCGCATTGATATCGACGCCCACAAAGTCCGAGTCCATCTGATCGAAAAGGGACTCGTCGTCCGGGAAATCGGCTTCCTCTTCAGCTGCTGGCGCGGCCTTGCAAACAGGAGCGCAGGCATCAACGCTGGCTGCCTGACGAGCATAAGCAGGCACGACAGGTTTGGCAAACACCGCAGAATCTGCAGATCGCGTAATCATGGGACGAGCGTTGGATGCATCCGAATCGTATTGCGACTCTTGCGGGTAAGCCTGAGGGGGCGGCGGCGGACGTAAGTTGTCATTGCCACGATACAGATTGTCGTATTTGTTCTCTCTGTTCTTTGCCGCAACGGGCGCTACTTTACTGAGGCCTTTGGTGAATGTTTCGTCATAGCAGCAGTTGCCAGTGAGCTCGCCGAAACAGCGTAGCGCACGCTTTGTCGCATCAGTGACTGCAGCTTTCCTTGCCTGTCAGGGACCCCTCATGAGCAAATCAAGCTGCATATGCTAGCAACTTACCAGAGCTATAGTCTGCGCGCGGTCAGGGCCAGTGGAGTCACCGGTGCCCACGTCTGTGTGATAGGCTTGATAGCCCGGGATGCTCAAAGACGGAGCGAGGATGACTTTGACAGTAGCAGATGCACATGTAGACCACCTCTTTGTGACCGGATCCATCTCATGCTGTTGAATCGGTGTGCATGCCTGAGCTCAGACTGTGTATCTCAGAGGGGCGACCTACGTAGTCGAATTGCTGATCGAGGATCTCTGTCGACCAACCGTCATAGCCCCACACTTGGTTGGCTATACCGATCGCTCTGTTGCCCTCGAGGTAGTGCAGCTTTCTGCCTCCTGGACCGGGACGACTGCTGAGATGCTCAGGGCCAAGTCGTTTGTCAAGCGATTGCTGTATGTGCGCATGACGCACGCGCTCCTCCTCTTCTCTCTTTTGATAGTACTCGACTGTTGCTGCCGATTGCTCGTGCGGTAGGAATGCGCTGCTAGGTCCAGCTTGGCTCTGGCCGGTATGACAAGTCGAGACGTTCATCTCGAGTGCTTGTTGTGCCCGGACTGCCAGGAACGCAGCGATGACTTGAGAGGAAGGGAGGACCAATGCTTGCGGCTCTGTTCGGCTGGTCGTACAGCCCTCGGCGTCGCCAGCCAGGGCGGCAAAGCGGTTTTGCTATGCGGGCACGAACAACGCAAGAGCGCGTGATCACGTGATCAATGTCAAGGCGCGAGCGATTCGCCAGCCGCCCCTCGTCAGCGCTTCAGCTCACACGCTCCACGATATGCGGAAGAGTTTCGTTCTGGCTGCTCGGGGTGGCTCGAGGGATGCCGATAAGATCACCGAGGCTAAGGAGAATGTGGTCCCGGGCTCCACTACCGCTGCCAGTCGACCGTCAGCCGGTCCAGTGCGGCACGATGCTAACGGCGCAGGATTCGGTCGACCATCCTTCAAGGCATTCAAGATACCCAGCTCCCTCAAGGCGATGGCTGCCAGCCGCAACATCAGAGTACAGCAATCGAGCGCGACCGACTTAGGAGTGCGATCCCGAAAGAAGGTCGATTACGCAGAGCTGGCCGGTCCAGATGAGGCTGTCGAAGTGCCCAGGGAGTCACGCAAAGCGATCTCGAGCAAGCGGGACGATGACTACAAAGATGAGCCTGCGTATGCCGAGGGACCTTTGCTCAGTAATGGTCTCTACACCGACTCGCGCGGGATTCTGGTGGCAAAGCACAATGCAAAGAAGCGACCTCAGTCAGCCGAAGATGAGGACGAAGATGAAGGCGCGAAAAAGAAGAAAGGACGCTTCGGGGGTGAAGACATACCTCCCCCACCGCCTCGCGTGTTTCCCAAGTTCAACAGTCCAAAGCCGAAGCCACTTGAAGTCGCAAAGTCCGCATTTACGATCCCTGCCATACGTGATGCCAAGACGGGTGAGACAATACAATTTGCGCCCTCTCGAGCCGGTGCACTGGGAGTCTGTCGCCGGCCCATGCTTATTCCCAGACCGTTGCACGATCCTCTGGGCGATCGTGCGATCGTCTTGTGGGACCCGACCGTCGATGACAAGGAAGCAGAACTCGAAGCAGCCCGTCTGGCAGAGCAGGCAAAGACTGTGACGCCGGTCAAGCTCGAGGCTCGTGACATCGTCCACAAGTCGATCGCTTCCATCCTCGGTCTCGACAAGCAGAATGAACGCGAAGCAGAGCTCCGGAAACGCAAAGTTCCCGTTGTGCTCGATCCACGTCTGGGCAAAGTCTTGCGTCCTCATCAAGTGGAAGGAGTCAAGTTCCTATACAAAGCTGCAACAGGCATGATCTCCGAAGGTGCATTCGGCTGCATCATGGCGGATGAAATGGGCCTTGGCAAGACGGTAAGCAACACTCACTAATGCGCAAGACTTTATGCTGATCTCCATGATGCGCAAAGCTGCAATGTATCACTCTTCTCTTCACGCTGCTCAAGCAGTCTCCAAAGGCCGGCAAAGGTACGATCGAGAAGGCCATTGTCGTCTGTCCAGCGTCACTCGTGCGCAATTGGGCCAACGAATTCGGTCAGTATTGTTCAGGTTCTGCTTTGTGCACGGCCCCTGACAGCGTAGTACAGTCAAATGGCTCGGACCAGGCACAATAAATCCGCTCGCTATCGATGGCAGCATGCCCAAACCCGATCTTATGGCTGCTTTGCGTCAGTGGGTATCCGCACATGGCCGTGCCATTTGTCAACCAGGTGCGCTGGCCAGCTGATTACCAAAGCAACAGCTAAACATGCGGCAGTCATCATCGTCTCCTACGAAACACTGCGTTCGCTCACTGCTGAGCTCGGCAACGCACCCATTGGCCTCATCCTCTGTGATGAAGCTCATCGTCTGAAGAATGCGACCAATCTGACCTATACCGAGCTTGACAAGATCAATGTTCAGCGACGTGTGCTACTTACAGGCACGCCCGTTCAGAATGATCTAACAGAATACTTCTCTCTGCTCAACTTTGCCATTCCTGGCAAGCTCGGTGCGCGGGCAGATTTTAAGAAGAACTACGAACTGGCAATTGTTCGCGGTCGCATGTCAGAAGCAACCGACAAGGAGCGAGAAAGGTGTCAAGAGAAGCTCAAGGAGCTGACTTCGCTTGTCAATCAATTCGTCATTCGTCGCACGAACGATTTGCTCACCAAGTATCGTATGGGTATGCTTGTACATGATGCCAAAGCTGACCGATCGTGCGACAGTACCTGTCAAGTACGAGCACGTCGTCTTCTGCAATCTGTCGCCTCTGCAGCTCCAACTTTATCAAAAGCTTATCAAGCGACCCGAAGAGAAAGATGCCAAAGGCGGCACGAGCGCGCTTGGCGCAATTCAGCGCGCTCAGAAGCTCTGCAATCATCCTCAACTGCTCGATGCGTACTTTCGTGACAATTTTGACGACTTCAAGAACGATATGCCAGACGGATTCGATCCATTCGACCGTCGCCGCAGTGTCGTCTCGGAGTATTCAGGCAAGACGCTGGTCCTTGATCGCTTCCTTGAGAAGATGCGCGCAGAGACAAATGATAAGATTGTGTTGATCAGCAATTACACCGAAACACTCGACGTGTTCGAAAAGATGCTCAGGGATCGCAAGTATGGCTATTTCAGACTGGAGGGTAGCACGAGCATCAAGAAGCGCCAGAAGCTTGTTGATGAATTCAATAACCCAGAAGGCAAGGAATTCGTCTTCCTTCTATCCTCGAAAGCCGGCGGATGCGGAATCAATCTCATCGGCGCCAATCGGCTCATTCTCTTCGATCCTGGTACGACATCTCTACATTTTGCAATCATGTGCTGACATGGTAAGCAGATTGGAATCCTGCCGCCGACCAACAGGCACTTGCTCGTGTTTGGCGCGATGGCCAGAAGAAGGATTGCTTCGTCTATCGCTTCATCGCGACCGGCACGATCGAGGAGAAGATTTTCCAACGGCAGGCTCACAAGCAGGCTCTCTCGTCCTGCGTTGTCGATGCGAAAGAAGATGCGGAGCGCCACTTCAGCCGCGACGACCTCAAGCAGCTCTTTGCGTACGTTATTCCCACCTTCCGCGTATGATTTATGCTCAATCATTCATGCAGCTACAAGGCCAACACTATCTCTGAGACGCACGACACGTTCAAGTGCAAACGATGCAAGGACGGACGCCAATCGATCAGAGCGCCTGCCATGCTTTACGGCGACACGAGCACGTAAGCTATCGCAAGTCGCCTCCTTGAATGCAGCTAATGAGATCTCAGGTGGAATCACATGAGCAACGATTGCCTTCAAAACATTCATGACGACCTTTTGCGTGCAGAGACAGGTCTGGGCGCGGTCTCGGCCGTATTTCAATTCATCTCTTCTTAGGCGCTGACGTCTACTGTTGTTGCTTACAACAATGCCATCATGTACATTCTATCTCACGCGATGAGCGTTCGTCCTCTGGCAATGCTGAGGATCTCTGGCCTCGCTCTGTCGAAAACGAGCTGGCCTCGTAGGTAGGTTTGCTGCACAGCACCCTGCAGCTCCCGTGACGTGTATGGGGATAGCTTGTTTTTGAAGACGAGATGTTCTTTTTCCACGATGAAGCGTGCCGTGGGATCGAATAGGATGAAGTCGGCATCGCCACCGACCTTCAGGCTGCCTTTCTGATCATCGACTCGTGCAAAATGGGCGGGTCGGAATGCGAGCCAGTCGATAATTTGTTGTATGCTTATGCCGCCTCGTCGTCTGGCCTCTGTCCACATCAGACTAAGTCCAAGTCCGAGCCCACCAACGCCGCCCCACGCCTTGACGAAATCACCCTCGGACAAGAGCTTCATTTCCTGCACACAAGGCGAGTGATCCGACACGACAAAGTCGATCTCGCCAGATTTGAGGGCTGACCATAGTAGATCCTGGTTCGCCTGCTCGCGTATAGGAGGACAGCATTTGAATTCGCACCTGCCTTCTGGTACGTTCTCCGCCGCGAGCGAAAGGTAGTGATAGCACGTCTCTACTGACATTGGCAAGCCAGCCGCCTTGGCGAGTTTGATCGTAGGCAGCGCAGATGCAGCGGAAAGGTGTACTATATGTGTTTTGACGCTCGGCTGCTCGGCTTGGAGCTGCGCTACAAGTTCAATGGCTGAAGTCTCGAAAGACTCCGGACGCGTCTTGAGGAAGGTGACGTATTGCCTTGGATCGAGCTGCGCAAGCTCTGATTGCAGTCTGAGCTGTTCGTGGTCGGTCGTGGGTGTGCCAAGCTCAGCGTGGAACAGTACGGCCGATTCGGTGTCTTTGAGTCTGGCCATTGCCGCGCGGACCTGCTCGCCGGTCACACAAGGGAATTCTTCGACGCCGCTCTCGATCAGGAAGCACTTGAAGCCTCTCACTCCTCTACGTACGAGCGGCAAGAGGTCGTCGATGTTCGTAGGTACGATGCCGCCCCAGAATCCTACGTCGACGTGACATTGTCCTTGAGCTGCTTTGAGCTTGAGATCAAGATTGGCGACAGTCGTTGTCGGTGGTATGGCATTGAGGGGCATGTCAATGACTGTCGTCACGCCACCGCTGGCGGCTGCCTGTAGGTGCTCGCACTCGTCAGCATACAGGTGCCTGCGAGTTATAGAGCAGCATACTCTCGTACCCGTCTCGAAGCCTTCCCATTCTGTTCTGCCTGGTTCATTGAGATGGACGTGACAGTCAACTAGACCGGGCAGTAGCCAGTCTGAGCTAGTAGATAGGTCGAGCAGCTGCCATACAGGTGCAGGATAATCTGACGCTGGTCTCAAGCCGGGGTGAATGGCAGTCACTCGACCGCTCTCAAGTGAAACTTCGAGGGTGGCGGGCTGCAACTTGCCCTCTATCAAGGCCTCTCCAGCAAGCACCGCCAGTCTCCGCGACATTCTGCCCGCGCCTTGAGACTCCAGCGCGAAGAAACGATAAGCGTGGCAAAGTTGCTATCTCGTCGTCGACGCGACTACAGTTGGCTCCTACAGATTCACCCGCGTTCGGTTTGCATTATCGCTTGCTCTCCAAGCCTGACAACTTGCTGAGCTGCGCCCGAAGAGTTTCCAGTGATGTCAAGGACTGAGCAGTCTCGAGGTCATATTCTGCTTTGACAAACTTGAAGAAGGAAGCGTAGATGTCGAGCACTTCATCCTGCAAAGCACGTCAGCGCTCGGTCAAAGCCTAGTAGAGCACCTCACCTGTATTGGTGGCAAGAGGACCTTCAGTGTGCGCTTATCCTTGAGCCATCGTGCAATGTGTGTCGTGATGTCTCGAAAAGCCTTGGCAAGCAGGCCATCGGGTTCTGCTACAAATTGATCGTGAACACGTCGAACCTCGCCAGACGATGCCCAGTCTTGCTCGCGCAGGACACCATTCGGCTGCTCTCGTGAGAACGCTTGACAACGAGCGAGGAAGTTGCGCAAGGTAACCGTGATCGAGAGCGAGGCTTGCGAGATAAGATCTTCACAGACTGTCTTCAAGCTAAAGTCGAGATCCTATGTAGCTCATCAGTACCGATGATCAGGCATCAAGGCGGTCCTGCTTACTGTCTTCGCATCTCGCATAGTCTCTGCAAAGCTGGGGATGCCTTTGGCCGCCAGCTGGAAAAGTGACGAAGGATTGAAGAGTGCAGACGAGTTCCGCAAAAGACTTCCCAATGCATCTGTGATCCGCGATATGATAAGTCTTTGCTACAATGGCGACATTGGTCGATGGACTTGCCTGTCACGCTGGAGAAGTCCATAGCACGATCAACTTGCACCATGTCAATCGAGCGAACAGTGTCCTTGAGAATTAGCAGGTGCCGTATGCTGAACAGCTGACCGTCGAGCGGGTGCGCGCCTTGACGACTTATGATCTTCTCTGCGCCCACCTGCAAGGATCGTCTACACAACGTGACTGCTTCTGCTGCCAGATCCTCGAAGATGGCCGCCTGTCGAGGAATGATCAGCGATGGCGTGCACGCATATACGCTGCAGGCCTACATTGACAAAGGTATGCAGCTTCGAAAGGACCCAGATTGTCTTCTGTAGCGTGGGGTACCAGCTCCTCTGCACTTCGGCAGAAGGAAGCCTGAAAGCTAGCGCGCCTTCAGAGCTGCTGGCTTTGCCCTCTGTACTCAGACCAGCACTGTTGATCTCATCGCCTTGTAGTCGGTCTGGGAAGTCAAGATCTGATGCTGATGGAATGAAGAGCTCGACCTCGCTCTGCAAGATAGCCTGGGCTCGAAAGACAAGCTTGGTCTGGACATCTTGCAAGATCGTCTGTAGTAGAACGCTGAACCGCAAAGCATCACGCCCTGAATGAGCTTGTTTGCGTGGCCCCTCCATGGGCGACATGGCATCATCGCTATCGAAACGTTGCAAGGCTGGCAAAGGAAATCCGACGTCGGCCAAGAAGTCTGTACGCGCACTTCGGGGCGGCTGCTGGAAGGAGATGTCCTGCTCATCGATTGCTTCGTCCTGGTAGTCCAGATCAAGCGCCATGAGAGCCTGCAGCACAGTGCAGAGTTCGCAGAGCGCGCCCAGGCGAGGTTCGTGGAGCACCCTAGGCCTCAAGGAGTCGTAAAGGGTATCGCACAAGCCCTCTAGATACGCATACGCCTGCTCTTCGCCAGAGGAGGGGAAATACAGCTTGAAGAGGTCCCACTCTTGTATACAGATGAGACGCAGATAATTGCAGCCCGTACGGGTCAGTGCGATGATGTCTTGCTTTGCAGGGTCCATCCGCTTGACTTCGGCCTTGAGGACGGGCCCGACGAGCTGACTGCGAATACTGGACCAAGTGTCGTAGCATTCCTGCAAGAGCGATTGATACTCTTCGGGGTTGCTCGCGGCTCTGGACTCGAGCTGAAAGACTAGCGCACGCAGAGGTTCGAGCAGAGCAGGCTGGGTAAACTTTGCGTACAGAAGCGTGTCCAGGGCAGCCTCTGACAAGTCCTACGGTACGACTCATTGTCAGCACAGCTCCTCGTCTGGAAGTACAATGCGACCTTGCCAGCTGCTTTCTCGGCAGCGTCTTGCCCTATACGTCTGAGCGTGTTGACAAAGTACATCTTGATGAGTGTCAGTGCACGTGTCATGCACTGCTGGAATCGGATGAGATAGATGCTCGCGTCTCGGAAGTCGGCATTGGCCTTGAAGAACTCGAGGCAGACATCGCCTCTCCGAAGTGTGTCGACAAAGCCTTCCTGCAGCACGACGGTTTCGCCGGGAAGGTTGAGCAGTCTCTGCATCGATTCGAGCTCCTTGAAATACTGCAATCTTGCACCGATAGCCGAGGTGACTTGGACGAGCCGCTTCTGATCGGAGAGCATGACCTCACAAGCGCCTTGTAAGGCCCTGCTGTTCTCTTCGACAAACTTGCGATTGGCCTCCATCTCTCGTACGAGCCCTCGAATGTCTTTGACGCGATCCGAGATATCGAGACAGGTCTGGGCATACTCATTCAGCTGCTCGAGGTGATGTCGATAGATGGTCTCTGTTTCGGATTCCATAAGCGACTGAATCTTTGCGAACCAGTCGTTGAACTGCGTCGGATTCGCTATCGATTGATGAGCTGGCAAGCCGAGTAATGAGCTAGTGCTCCCGTCCTGGGCTGGATTCAACAGGGACAGCGAGCGCGTCTGAGGCGAGCCCGTCGGCGTCGCAGCGTTCGACTGACTCGCGGGCGTGCTGGACATTGTGCGCGAGAGCGCAGAAGAATGATGAGCATTCAGGGGCGTGCTCGGTCGTGAGGCTTGCTCTGCAGCTTTCGCCCTCGCCAGCTATACAAGCTATCAGCTCGAGCCATGGCATGCTCATGCTGGCTTACGCGTGCGGGAACGGGTCTCCGATGAGCTGCCCGCTGTATGGCTGCTACAGATGCTCGTTGAGCATCGGTGAGAGGTGCCAGCTTGTCCCATTGCTCGATGGACAGCTTCGAGGTCGAGGCTTGCTGAGGCGCGGGTGGTACAGTGATGGCGGGCGACTGGCGGCCATTGAACTGTGCCTGCGTCGGCGAGCTCGAGACACCGAACGAGAGCGCTAGGTCGCCGTCCCAAGCCATGTCAGACGAGGCTGAAGTAGGACCTGATCGAGCTTCGAGTGCTGAGTGCTTCGAGCTTCGAGCTTCCACGTGTCGACACGCGCCTCTGTCCTCGTAAAATTGACAGAGCAGCTGACGTTGCCACGCACCTCTCATGAGCAAGCACGAAGCCAACGAGCCAGCAGAGGCCGTGCCCAAGCGTCTCAAGACAGATGCAAGCCAGCCCGGCTCGCAAAGCGAACGAGCGAGCGACCCTTTCTTCAGATCCGTCGGCTCTCTAGCTCAAGCGACCGATGCTTTACCAGACGATCATCAGCCTTCTACTGAGGCGGCAGCAAATGGAAACGGTGCGACTACGGAAGAATCGCACCCGGTTGAACAGATTGAGAGCTTGTGCATGGAGTGTCACGAGCAAGGCATGACGAGAATGATGCTCACGACGATTCCTTATTTTCGTGAGGTCATCATCGTCTCGTTCCGCTGTGAGTTCTGCGGGCACACGAATAACGAAGTACAAAGCGCAGGCATGATACAAGGTGAGTCACCCATGCTGCCAGCTGCAGCCGACGCTGAAATTGATGTGCAATGTCAAGAGCGAGGCAGCACGTACACCGTACAACTGACTGCGCCAGTCGATCTGAATCGTCAGGTCGTCAAGTCTGCATCCGCCAGTATCGTCATTCCCTCGTTAGCGTTGACCATTCCGCCCGGCAAAGGCCAATTCACGACCATCGAATCCATCATGCAAGCAACAATAGACGACCTCGAATTTCAGCAGCCTGCCAGACGAAACCTCACGCCAGACGTAGCCGACAAGATTGACGCTTTGATACAGAAGCTACAAGAGCTCTTGCTAGGTCGTGAGGAGGGACAAGCTTTCAAGCCTTTTACGGTCAGATTAGACGACCCCAGTGGCAATTCGTATCTCGAGACCTTGAATGGCTTCAACGACCCCAAATGGTCCAAGCGAGAATACGAGCGCTCACAGGAGCAAGACATACAGCTCGGCCTGGCAGAAGCCGGTTCTACTGCCACTCAGGCTGATACGCATGGCGTGGCGCAAGAAACGACATTGACTGACGACTATAAGCCGGAGAATCCAGACGAAGTGCTCTCGTTCCCGACGACGTGCTCATCCTGTGGTAGCATGCTTGAGACCTTTATGAAGACCGTCAACATACCTCACTTCAAGGTACTGCGATCCATCTCAATCTCCTCTGCCGAGCTAATCTGTGATGCGCCGTACAGGAAGTAATCCTGATGTCCACAAACTGCCACAGCTGTGGCTACAGGGACAACGAGATCAAGAGCGGAGGTGCTATCGCTTCACAAGGCCGGAAGGTTACCTTGCAGGTCGAAGATGCAGAAGATCTCAGCCGCGACATTTTGAAAGTACGTATTGTCATGTCGAGCTAGATCTTCTTCGCTGAGCATGCGGTCGATGCAGAGCGAGACAGCAGGCCTCGAGATTCCAGAGGTGGATCTGTATCTGCATCCTGGCACTCTAGGAGGACGATTCACTACGCTTGAGGGCCTACTCAATCAGGTGTACGAAGAGCTGGACGCCAAAGTGTTTGCCCGCGGAGATTCTGCGCTGCAAGGAGCGCAGGATATGACAGCGATGGAGCAATTCCTCATTGGTCTCAAATCGGTCAGTGCTCAGTGCGACTGAGCGCAAGTACTGGCTCACGGAATCCGAACAGGCCATGACGGCGTCGAAGCCTTTTACTGTCATCTTGGACGACCCGCTAAGCAACTCGTATATCCAAAATCCGTATGCGCCTGATGACGACCCAAAGATGATCGTCGAAGTCTACGATCGATCTCACGAGCAGAACGAGGAGCTCGGCTTGAATGACATCAAAGTGACAGGCTACGAAGGCGAAGCAGAAGCCCACCAAGCTCGCGAGACCGAGGATGCACAAATGGCGGCCTCTTAATGCATTGTACAGCATACTGCATAGAATTCGCATACAATGTGTACATACAGGCTCAAATCTGCACCAATGCATGTCTGTACTAGCTCTCTGCCGATTGTCTTACCGGCTGCCTTAGTCTATCGCGTCGATGACTGCTCTGGACTCGGAAGAAAAGCCAGTTGACAGCCTCCCGTATGCCCTCTCTGGACGCACGAGTCAGTGAGCATTCGAGTCTACATAGTCTGCGAACCCTCTGAGAGCAGATATGGGCATGACGAGCCCCTCTGAGATGTTCATGGCTTCCACTTGACGGTTGAAACGCTCCTTGATCTCTTCAACCTGGACGCACTGATCCGAGTCTCGTTTGTTGGCAAGCACGAGAATGGGCGCTCCGTCTACCCTCCTATCGGCAACGACAGTCTCGAAGACCTGCCAGCATTCGTCGAACCGTTGGGGATCTGTCGAGTCGATGACAAAGACGACGGCATCAGATTCTGCATAGTACTTTGACCAGATCGTTCGCATATCCCTCTGACCACCGAGATCCCAGAACTGGAGTACGGATGAACTGAGCGTCACCCGACTGACTGCTCGCTCGGCACGTCAGACTCTCGCGACTTTCGCTCAGCCAAGTTGCGCACTGTTCTGGCCAATAGTAGGCGCGATCTTGTCCGCCGAGAGTCCGGGCGTATCCGTGAAGTTGTCCTTGACACGCTCGAGAAAGGTCTGCGGGGACAATGGACAATGACATGAGCCAGACGAGCAAAAGGGTAGCGCGCGACGAGACGGACAGTCTTGCCTGCATTGTCGAGGCCGAGGATGATGACATTGAATTCTTCCTTGCGTGTGAGATGCTTGACGAGTCCTGTGAGGAGGTGGTACATATGAAAGACGCCAGAGCGAGTCGCACTAGCAAGGGCGTGCACCGCTTCGAACGCAAGCCGACGGTCGTCGCGTGAGCGCTTGAGCGAGCAGCAGTCCACTCTCTGAGAATCGCGTATGAGCGGTCGAGAGCTGAAGGGCTCGGACTCAGCTCGAGTCACTATCAGCCAGACTACAGACAGGTGGTGCTCGAGATGGTCGGACTAGTAGTGCAGTGTTATAGCGTACAACAACAGCGACATGACAGATATGCGTAGACTATTTCGTCTTCTTGCTCTCCTCACGCTCAGCTTGATCGTCCCTAAAGGCTACAACGACGAAGCCGGCGAGGACGACGTTTGCGACGATGACGGCGACTATGGCTGCTTGCGTCTGTCCCCGAGCTGAAAGCAGAATTACATGAGCGGCGGCAAGAGCGCGACACGTGCCTGACTGACGACCAAAGAGGTAGTGTAGGCTCCCATAGAACGAACCGAGAGGGCCGAGTACCATGGCAAAAGTGAAGAGGAGCAGCTTGAACATCGCCTGTCTGTTAGCAGATCTCACTATCAACTTTGTGGACAGCTATGAGCAACACGAGCTCACTGAGATGCTTTCTCATCCTCTGAGCTCGCCCGTGGTGCCATACTACGCCCCGTCACTGGTTTGAGGGAGGATGACGACTTATCGGCCATATGAGCGTTGGAACGGCAAGAAGGAGAGCGCCTTTTCTCAGCCAGCCAGAGGAAAGAGCCGCGCTCGCGCGGTACGTTAAACTTTGACGTGTGACCGACGACAGCTCTCCCACTCGAGGCAGTCTGCCAACAGGCATGGAACTCAACGGTCTGCCAGACGGCGATGACCCGCGTAGAGCGCTAGAAGATGATCTCTTTGGCAATGACGAGCCCTCTGCGTCAGCGCCACAGGGAATGGCCACAACGATCACGCCTGCCGACTTGGGTGGTCCCTCTCTGATTGATCAGGGCATACCTAGTCCTGCCCCGCCCACGCCATCGCCCGACCCAGAAGATCTCTTCGGTGACGGGTCAGTCATGACAGTCTGAGCTGTGCTGCCTCGCTGAACAGCAAAGGCAGGGATGATGAAGTTGCAGCTGTCAGACAAGGTTCACCTGTCAGGCCAGACATGGATGACGTCGATCATTCTATGGCTGGCGATGAGGATGATGATGACGGTGATGATGATGATGATGATGATGATGGGTTGACGGCAGAGGAGCGTAGGCAGAGAAGACGGTTGGAGTACGAGGAAGACGATGCTGCACCCCAGGAAATACAAGAAACCGTCGCAACCGTGCCGATGGCCAATCTGCCCACCATCACTTCAGACGATGGTCAGGTCAGCGTACTTTCTTCATACAGCTCTGCATCTGCTCATGAGAGAGGCCCGTGGGACAGATCTGGCTGGCGCGTATACCCAAATTCTTGCAAGTCGATAGCAGTCCATTCGACGTCGAGCGGTGGAAAAGCGCACGCTCTGCGGATCCAAATCAGAGCATAGCTGAAGAGAACGTCGTACGAAACCGCTGGATCAGCGAGCCAAGAACTGAGCGCAAAGTCAGCATGCGCGTTCCTCGGTTCTGCCGCGCGTACTCAGATTTGCTCGCACAGGTGAGGCAAAGTAACAGTCGCATCGTACGGTGGAGCGACGGCTCGCTCTCGTTACAGCTCGGTACAGAATTCTATGATATTCGGCAGAGTCTAGACGAGGCAGCAGGCAAGACGATCGATGCTCAAGGCAAGCTGACCCCACGTGGCATGGCTTATGTCGCTGTAGAGCACACTGCCGATCCCAGCAACGTCTTCATCGAGACGCAAGCTCCTCTTGCGGGCGAGATGACATTCTTGCCCACTTCGACCAGAGGACATATCAGTCGTCGCCTGGCTGTGCAGTCCCAGGCCGACAAGCGCGCTTCTGCGCAGTCCCAGACCATCTCGATTGCAGACATCAAGCTCGATCCGGACAGAGAAAAGGCACAACGGGAAGCTCAAGATCTGCTCAAAGCAAAGCAAAAGCTCAAAGAAGCCCGCAAAGCTGCAGGCGGCTCTCGCCGACGACGGGGCGGCTTCTCCCAGAGATCTCGCAATCTGGATGCATTCTCTGACGAGAGTGACGAAGATGACGAGATGGACCTTGACGAAGACGAGGGGCGTGGGCCGAGCGGAGCGGCAGGCACTCGCCGGAGCAGTCGACGAGAGCAGGCCAATCTGCAAAACGAAGAAGATGAGGCTGGCTTTATCGCGCCGTCTGACGAAGAGCCTGTGGTAGCGGATGACGACGACCTCGAAGAGGAGGACGCGGCTGGCGAGGACGAGGATCTCGAGGAGGAAGACGAGCTCGACGCGGCGGAAAAGCGGCTCGAGCGAGAGCGTAAAGCTGCTGCAACTACCGAGCCGGAGCCCGAGACGACAGCTGAAGCCCAGGCGAGACGGCGACTCGTCATCGAGAGTGACGAGGAAGACTAGTGTATTCCTGTCTCATCCGAATGTTTGCATGCTGCCCAGCTGCCTGATGATTGCCTGATTTTCTGGACTGCCCTGCAGCAGGAAGCGCATCGCCAGGATCGCATTCTCACGCAAGACTGCGTCACGACTGAGTGCGATCTAGTCACTCAAGCGGACGACTCACAGGGCGCGTGCGGATCGTCACCGCAAAGTGAGAGCAAGATGGGCAGTGCACCGGCTTCCCGCACGGCTGGCTGGACCAAAGACGCGTGATGGTCCGCAGAAGTAGCTAGAAAAGACAAAGCTGCTTTTTGGATATCGGCAAAGGCCTGAAGAGCGCCATCGAGCGCGTGGTCTTGCTGCTCTGTCGACAGGATGTATTGCTTGAAGACAGTCACCTTGAGGAGGAATTCTGCTAGCTCGTGTTAGTGTGAACACGCGGGCTGCGCTCAGACTTGCCTGCAGCCCTGCGACCCGAGCTCCGGGCTAGCGTCTCGCTTGCTGTCATTTGACCTTTGAGGCAAATAACGGTGAAACTTTGCAAGAGAAACCAGAGTCCTTCGAGGAGCAGAACATCTGTTAGCTGTCGCTGCTGAGAGGCAAAGGCATCTTCTGCCGCCGAGGACAAGCGCAGAAATTGTTGCATGAGCGTTTCGGTGATGGTGTCGAGCACGGGGAAGTCTAGTGCGGCCACTTCTGCATGCGCAATCTTGAGCAGCTGGACTTGTGCTTCGACGATTATTGCGACGGGTGTTGCTTGAGTATCATATATCTGGGCTAAGAAGCTGGATTTGATCATCTTGCCGACGAGGCTATGTCTACCAATTCGGCACGGTCATTGGGCAAGCACTATAGGATAAAGGAACAACGCACACGAGGCTGTATGCAGGTGTATCATGAAGGCTTTCCGCCATGTCCAGTACTTTTGCCATCGTAGTCTTGCCACGCGGCCCTGCCAGGGCCCCTCTGCGTTGCGACTCAGTTTACGTTGGGAAAGCAGCAACTATCTCACATTCGCTCATGACTCTCATCGACAAGCAGACCGAGCAGGACAAGGACTGTCGTTCTCAGCTGCTCGTCTGGCGTGGCGAGCAAGCGGCTATATGAGAGTAAGCAGGGCGCGGCTACACACAAGGAGCGACGCACGATGCCAGGTCGGATGCAAGGAAGCGAGGCCAGTACGAGCGTACGAGCTCATTTTGACCTCTGAGAATGTTCGCCAGGAGCTGACATGTCGCTCGGGTGAATGGCTGATCTAGATCGATCGGTCAGTCGCGCTGGTACTCTCGGACGAGACACGCACAATCTAGGTCTTGCAGTCTCAGTGCCGACGAGGAATGGTAGAGAAGGTCGTGCGGCAGGAGGGGACTGTGTCGAGGTATCAGTCACGTCCGGTGCGAGAACCTCGGATCGCACAAGAGCTTGATTTGATTGCCGGGAGCGAGATTGCGCGTAAAGAGCGCGAGGGCTCGTCCAAAAGGCAGGCAACCTGCTTCGTTGCGTACAATGAGATCATCATGTAGACGCTGCCATGCTCGCTGAAGCTGTTCGAAGACGACTGGCTTGCTGAGACGAGATCTGACGTGGCGAGAGTGAGTTCATGCAAGGAATTGGTTGAGACAAGTTGCACCTCTCACGAGTGGCTGTATTGGTGGCTATGGAAGCAATTTTGTCTTCCAGATCCGCTATGATGGAGGCATAGGGTAGGACGGGTGCCGTGAAGTCGGCGGACAGGAAGGCTGACTGCTGCAGCTCGGCGTCGTCATCGTCGAGCATCGACTGGCAGCAGGCGGTTCGTCACCCCTCGACACGCGACGATCACAGGTAGGCCTTGGCCAGTCGATCCGTGTGGCTGCAGGCGACATGGTAGACGCAAAGGATGTCCAGATGGACAGCAGCAGCAAGACAGCCGACGCCGCAGTCGCCAAGACTGAGCAGAAGCCAACAGCAGCGCCACGATCGCTTGCTCAAGGCAGGTGTCCCAGTACTCGTCATCGCTGCCCGCTCACCCGTTGTTGATGCTCACAGAGCTCCACCACCAGCTAGCATCGTTGACGACGGCCGTAGACTCGCTCGAGCCAAGGTATACTACCCTCGTCTTGCGTTCACTGCCGACAATACGCAAGCGCACTCAAACGCCAGAAGGGAGCCATGCACTCAAGCAAGTCATCGAGGAAGCTTTCCCGTTAGGTCAGCAAGGCCTTGACTGCGCAGGACTCTTGCTCACTCTCCAGGGGATCCCGTCCACAGACTCGCCGCAAAGACAGAACTTGCTCTCTGCCTTTGCCGACCTCAACGCGCTGCCCGAACCTGAAGCACCGGCAAGCATGGACATCGATGGCGAGCCTATCACAGACTCGGCAGAGCCCAAGGAGGCTACATCCGTGAAGGAGAAGGAGAAGAAGAAGACAGCCAAGCCGCCGCGCTCTGCTGCTTTGCCTGAAGCGGACATCTATCTGACTCTACTCACCATCGTCTGGTTGCTCGACCACAAGGAGCTGAGCAAGGCGAGTCTCATCTCGAAGATCCGCTCATCGTGTAGAATTGACACGGGGTGATACGCAGGGCGAGCAGCTGGCATCGCACACGGTCCAAAGACTGCAGGCGCTCAATCGTCGCACGCTCGATCAGTTACAATCGCGCGTCTACTTCTACTTTGCTCGCTTCCACGAGCTTGCAGACGACGAACACAGTCTCGCGTCAATCAGACCGTGCGTATCACAGTAGTCGTCGAAGCATGTCAAAGCTCATCTTTTGCGACGTACAGTATCTTACTTTCTGCACAGCGAACATCAGCCCTGCGCCGGGACGACGATTCACAAGCGACGATACTCAACCTGTTATTGCGCAACTACTTCCACTATAATCTGTTTGAGCAAGCCGATAAGCTCATCGCCAATTCGACCTTTCCCGAAAGTGCAGGCAACGCGCAGCTTGCTCGTTGGTACTTTTATCTAGGCATGTCTCTCAACCTGCGTCTGATGTTTTGTGCTGACAACGAGTATCATGTAACAGGTCGCATCCGTGCGATTCAGCTCAGCTATACCGAAGCGCATGGCCACCTCGAGTCCGCGATCAGAAGGGCGCCTGCGCCCGCCATCGCCCCTGGATTCCTACAAACGGTCAGTCACTGGTTCTCATATCATGTTCCGCCTCTCATGCCAGATTGTCGGTAGGCCTACAAATTCTGCATCATCGTTGAGCTTCTTATGGGCGATATTCCTGAGCGCTCTATCTTTCGCCAGCCGGTTCTGCGCGACGCGCTCGTGCCGTATCTCCAGATTGCGCAAGCTGTTCGAACAGGCAACATCGCTCAGTTTGAGGAGACTCTGGCGAAATACAAAGGCCGCTTCCGTGCAGAGACAACCTATACGCTTGTGCTCAGATTACGTCACAATGTCATCAAGACAGCTTTGCGTTCCATCTCGCTCGCTTACTCGCGCATCCCACTCTCTAGCGTCTGTACGAAGCTCAAGCTCGATTCGGAAGAAGAAGCAGAATACATCGTTGCCAAGGCCATCAAGGACGGCGTCATTGATGCCCAGCTCGATCACGAACAAGGCGCAATGAAAAGCAAGGACGTGCTCGATATCTACTCCACGAACGAGCCGCAACGAGCCTTTCATGAACGCATACAGTTCCTCATGCAGATGCACAATGACTCTGTCAGGGTTCGTAGAGCTCCTGTCTGCTCGGTCGCATGAGCTGATATTGCGCGCACAGGCAATGCGATACCGTCCTGGCGCGCACACGAAAGCGCTCGAGTCCGCTGAAGAAGCCCGCGACAGAGAGCGCGAACTGGCAAAGGAGATCGCAGACGGCGGTCTAGATTCAGATGATGACATGCCAGAAGGCTTTTGAGCTGATAACACGAGTTCCGAATTGCAAGGTCGTGCATGTACAGTGGGTACGCGCCCTGTTGGCCTATGTGCCTCATAGTGCAAGGAGCAGCAATGAGCCAGCAAAGAGCAGAGGTCCGGCTGCAAGCTTGGCAGCGCCGCCTGTTTTGCTCGAGCTTGAGAGAACTGTCGCTGTGGAGACTGGCTGCGTAGTAGCTGCTGCTGCAAGCACAGTTGAAGCTGCAGTTGTTGTTGAGGTCGCGACGACATCGACATTGGCCGATGTGCTGGCGATGACCACTGCTCTGCCAGTCAGTGATAGTGAATTGACGGTGCAGCAGAGGCTGACCATTCTCTCCATTGATCATTGACCATATTGTCGAGTTGAACGTCCCGGCCATGCCGTCGAGCTGAGGTTTTCGAATCAGCCAAAGCCTTCGTCGCAAGCGAGCGGCATACTGTGAACTTGCTCGAGAAGGCCTGCAGAGGCTCTCCAGCAGCACTTGTGCCTGCATTGCTTTGGAATCGGATGAAGCTGCAACTGAGGCGTTAGCTTGTAGCATGCAAAAGTCTGCAGCTCGACTTGCTAGTAGTCACCCCTGCAAGGCCTTGATGAGCTAGCACCTTTCAGCTGGAGATCTGACTTACGATGGTCCGATATTGGGATCGATGCCAAAGACGTACGGCGCCGGAGCATTGAGATCGGGAATAGTTGCAAGCCACTGGAGTGGGGTTTGCAGGTATGTTGATCCGGTATAGATGGTAAGATTAGTGGAGCCCCATTGGTCTACGCTGCCATTCTCGGGCTGCAACAAACAAATAAGGAAACGATACAGAGAACGATCCAGAGCACATACGACGACGTCCCAGGTGATGTTGCAGATACCATTGCCGACGCAGGTTGTCGTATCAATGGGAGAGGTGATCGACAAACCAGCTCGAGCCGTAGCGGCCAGTGAGGCGACCAATGCGATTTTTGAGATCATTGTTGAGGATGGTGTAAACGAGTGTGGGTGATGATCGTATGTGCGTACCGAGTTTGTGCTGCTTGTCTTGCTTGGCTCGAAGCTGGGGAAGAGATAGCCAAAGTCAATTTGACAGAGGGAACAACAAGCGCGTCGTCGTTGATATCTCGCCGATCTCGACGCGTCGGTATTGTCACGCGCTGTGTCATTCGCAGAAGTGACGAAGATGGGCATGCAGTTCTGACCTCCTGTCGTCGACCCTTTTTTCCTGCAGCGCAAGCTGGGGTTCGCAGCAGCTGCGCTATGCTTCAATTTGGTCATCTAGCCGCGCCAGAGAGCGTCTTGGCTGGCATAGAGACGCGACGCCGTCAGCGGATATAGCAGCTTGCAGAACGCGCCTATGCCGAGCGCATAGACGGGCAGCAACACTGCGCTAACATTAGCAAGGCAAGACGACGATATATGCGTTGCAACCCACATAAGCGCGCTTTGCGATTGCGATGACGCTGTAGAGCTTGATGAGGCATAGGCAGCCCCATGATATTGCAGAACGTGTGGGAGACGATGACGCCGAAAAGGGAGCCTGTTCGAAGGTAGACAAAGGTCGCGTACCAGCCAAAGAGACTCGTGTATGTCAGTTGGACCACTGGCGGCCAGTCAGCTCGCGTGGTCGAGCGGCCTACGAACAGACGCACAGGCTGTGAGGCAGCCAACGAGGGCGGCTTGCTTTGTTCGGTCGTTTCCAACAAAGTGCTCGTACGCGTGGTGTGCATGGGCTGCTCGCTCGTCAGCCTGTCCAGGGAGGTCGTTCTGCGAGATGTACCTGTAGAAAAGTAAAGCGGGCTCAGAAAGATGACCTTGAGCATGCTCTGGCCCGCAGCGACGCTCGTGTGCGCTATGCAAGCGCGAAAGACGACTTCTTCCGTGATAGGAGCCTGGCCACGCGTCGTGTGAGCTCAGACAGGTGCGAAAGTGACAGGGATGCATACGATGATAAAGTTTCGCAAGCCTTGCAGACTGGTGACATAGTACTCTTTGCTGGCTCGCCACGAGTAATGGCGTTGGAAAGGCAGAGAGCCGTCCAGCCAACATGTGAACAGAGGACCGGCAAAGAGCGTCGCTGTGAGCAACAGTGGCGAGAGCAGAGACCGCGTCCATTGCTTAGGGCTGACGTCCATAGCTCGCTGAATGTACGTGAGCACCGCTCGAGCGTAGCCTGCAAAGTCGGCGTCCTGTCAAGCGCTTCTGAGCGATACCGCAAGCCTGGACCGAGCTCGCTCGCCTTTCCAGTTGCGCGTGCAGCAGCGCTGTACAATGTCCATGAAGTAGACAGGACAGCCAGAGCGGTCGCTGAGCTCGCAGCGGTCAAGCGAGCCTTGATGACTTGGGGATGGTCGCGTGTGAGTGGTCGACCTTGAGCGTCGAGTGCTTTGCCGACCCGAGTCGCTTTGAAGAGATACAAAGACAGGACATAGCAGCTCGAGTTGGCCAGATTGAGACCGATCGCAGTCGCTGGCTGAAGTGACATGGTGAGACAATCCGCCTGGCAATGACGTCGTCGACTTCTGCAGCGTCGCCAAAGTCGCGTCTGTCTGTCTTTTGAATTTGCTGCCGCCACGATTGGCGGAGGCGGAGCGTCACCAGCGAGCGAGGAGCCAGCAGAATGTCGTCAGAACAGCGGATCTGGCTCATCAGACATGCTCAGGGGTTCCATAACGTCGCAGAAGACTACTCCCTGCTCGACCCAGCTCTCACTCCGTTGGGCATCAAGCAAGCTTCAATATTGCGCACGGAGCCGAGGATGCAAGAGCTACGGTCCTCAGTACAAGTCATTGTGTCTTCGCCGCTTCGCAGGACACTGCAGACAGCGCTCGGCTCGCTAGAAGACGTCCTGCAAGAGCGCGCGATACCTTTTGAGATCATACCCGAATTCCAAGAGTGCAACGATCTGCCCTGTGATACGCCGGATGATCTCAGTCTGTTCATCTACGCCGGTATTGTGCATAACATTGAATCTGCTTGAGCAGACAAGCTAAGAGGAGAATTCGAGCATCGAGGCAACGGGCTCAGCTTCGAGCACTGCAAGCCTGGCTTCAATAGCAAGCGAGGCGCCTTTGCAGCATCGCAAGAAGCTCTCGATGCTCGCGCTGCTTGGGCGCGTCGCTACCTCCGAAGCCTGGATCAGGAAACCGTGGCAGTCTTTTGTCACGCCGATTTCCTGAGACATATGCTGCCCAACGACTCGCCACAAGTGAGCTCACCAGACAATGCGCTGTCGGCACTGACGCTTGAGTAGTGGGAGAACACCGAGTGTCGGATCGTGAGGTACACAGGCGCTGCTCTGACGGACAATGAAGCACATTTCACCGTTGTCGACACCATCAAGCCCACCCCGGCAAAACTGCAAGACACAGACGAGCGAGCCAAGACATCCGGTCAGTAAGATGGACATGGAGACCGACATGATGCAAAATAGACACAAATTCCTCTCTAATCGTCGTGTGAACACTCTAAACTGGGACTGCACTCGTCTCTTGTGCTCGTCTCTCCGCTACTTGCTCCGGTCAACGGTCGAGAGCAAAGTCGCGATCTTCACGTGGGATCTGAGACTCCTCCGGCCTTGCTGACGACGGCGAACGAGCCCCAACGGGAGTCGAGAGGCCGTTGCCGCTCATGAGACCTGCCTCCCCCCATCTGTTGTCATCTGGATCCAGTCCGAGCGACGATTTCGGGACAATCGTGCTCTCCTCTTCGTTATCCGGCCTCAGCGCCCTCTCACGGTCATCCTCGTTGTACGTGTGGGCGTAGGTAGACGTCTGGATGGAAGGCGCATCACGTTTGAGCGAGCCTACCCGTCGTACCCGATCATTGTCCGGCGAAGTCATCGTAGCCTCTTCTCGCTGCGCCTGTACACTCGACTGCTTCTGACCTTTGCTCTGGCTTAGCGCCCGCCTGAGAGTCACGTTCAGTCAGCGAGTCCAATCGATGTAGGGCTGAGTTACTTGCGCCAATTTGACAGACGTCTCATCCGCGCTGTACGATCCTGTAGGGTCGCGCAGAGGTACATGCTTCGCATCAGGGGAGCTGTAAGTCGCTGTATTGTAGTTGACCATCTCTGGACTGCTGTACGTGACGACTGCTGCGGCCGTTCACCACTTTTGCGGGCGCGTCGAGATCTTCGAGATAGTGACGTGGTGACGTGGTGACGGCCCGACTGCCGCGTCGATCATCTTGACACGACTCAATTTCGCAGCCATCTCAGATCTGAAATCTACGGCGGGACTGCATCGCACTACATCTCGTCGATCATCCACTGTGCGGCCATGGCCTCTTCCTCCGCAGCGCTGGGCTGAAAGTCAAAGAGCTTGTGGAAGCAAGGCCCCGGCATCTGGAAGTGCAAATAGGGATCGCTGGCGCTCAGCCTGTCGCAGCATCATCAGCATCCGTGCAAACTACGATGAAGCAGAGAGAGAGAGAGAGAGAGAGAGAGACAGCACTGACTTTGAGCCACAACGGAAGCAAAAGTGAGTGCGACATCGATTGCACAGCATGTGCGAGCATCCCTCGCTCTTTTCGATAGGTATCGAGCATTCTGGACAGGCCGTCGTCGTGGCGTCGAGATACTCCTGATTGGCACGCTGTTCTTCGTGAAGCTTGACCAATCTCTGCATATTTCTGGCGCCATACTGGAGCTCGAGCCTCGCCTTAACTGCATCGTCTCCGTCCAGGTACTGCTGGACGATAGCATTGGACTTTGACATGAGGCAGGTCTGACTTGTGCCATGCCACGTCCTCCTGCAAAAGACGCAAAAGGAGAATTGGCAGGTTGGACAGATGCGCAGCTTTTCGTAGATCTCAAGCTGATTGGGGTCTGCAGGCACGGCTGCCTGACAAGATTCGATAGGACAATACGTCGTCGAGGGATCGCTCTCCGATTGCTGCTTCTTGACCAACCAGACATATCGTTCGTGAAGCGAGTCGCCCACGAGCTGAACGAGCTCTGATCTCGTGAGATCGCCCGGCAAGTCTGCTTCGGCGGGCAATGCAGCGCCTGCCAGGATAGCATCGAGCGATGGCCGGGCTGCCTGAGCTTTCGCACGGTCTCTGACGCAGGCAGGATCAGGACAATGCACTGTCCTGACAATGCCTTGTGCGATGAGCGCTCTGAAGTAACCGGCTAGGCATTCAAAGCAAAAGACATGGCTGCAGCCTGTCAACTGAACGCAGCCTTTGCCTTTCCTGTCTTCGAGACATATACCGCAAGCGAACGATGTGCCGGAGAAGACAGCTGCGCGCCGCTTGGCGTCATGAGCCGCCAGGATTGCGTGCAGCTCGTTGAGATCGTCTGCCCATACTTCAAGCTGGCTTGGTTGCATGACGAGGTCTCTGGTGTAGTCCATGAACAGATCAAGGCAGACATCGCCTTGCCACAGCTCGTTCAGGTCGTGCTTCAGCTTGTCGTGCCATACACTTTGATCGCGCCCGAGTGACCAAGGCGAATCGATGTTGCTGATGATAGGTGCGCATTGGTCAGGATAAGCAGCCGGCAAGACGATGACCAGAGTAAGCGGAGAAAGGAATTGTAGCCTGACGACGACATCCTGGGCCTTGCCTTTGCCCTTGAGATTGATATCTATAGGCTCGTCGAACTGGATCTCGATCGACAGCGTTACCTCGGTCGGGCCATCATGGCGTCTACTGACAGACACCCCATGCTCATGGATCGCCTCGAGTGCAAGCAGCTCGTCATCTTGAGCCTCCTTACAAGACGTAGCCGCTTCTTGCATGCGCAGCTCTCGCCACCGCCGGCAAAGCTGACTTTGGCCCCCCGTCGCGTCTCTTGCTGGCGCCTGTCAGCCGAAAGTCTACCGGTTCTCACTCAGACATAGCCTGCCTGGCCTCGCTCGCCATGACTTCCTTCGGAAACATTGCGCTGCCACCGATGCAGATCCAGTACGCATCGGACGCAGACGAGTCGAGCCGGTGGGAGTCGTTCAACCGCAGTTTCTCGCATGATCTGCCAACACCGCCAGGCTCGCCAGGTGTTTCGCTGGCCAAGCGAGCCAACAGATCTTCCCTGGGCGGTGCAGTTATCCAGCGAGCTCCCTCGGGCATCACAGCGCAGGATGTAGACGAACAATTGGCAGGCACGGCTTTCCTGTCTCCCGACTTTGTCAGATCTCAAGAGTCAGCTCGGCCAGAAACGCTGACGCTGAGCGATCCTATCTACGGCACGACGACGATCAGTGAACCCGTCCTGATCGCTTTGGTCCTCAGTCCGGCTATACAGCGGCTCAAGGACGTGCTCCAGCACGGTATCACGGGCTTGCTGGGTCTGACGCCCTCGCCTGCCATCACCCGGTTGGAGCACTCTATAGGTGCAATGAGACTGGTCAGACGGGCGGGGGGAAGCACAGAAGCACAAGCTGCAGCTCTACTGCACGACGTAGCCCACACTGCGCTCTCGCACGTCGTCGATCGAGTCTGGGGTTACGTCGTCCACGAGGAGGACAAGTGGGACTTTCTCAGGCGAACGACGATCCCGCTCATTCTCGCATCACATAGACTCGTACCCTCGCATGTGCTCGAAGAAGCCAATTTTTCTCTGCTCGAGCTGGATGCGCCAGCACTGTGCGCCGATCGACTAGACTATGGACTTCGAGACAGTCTCAGATTCGGCACGCTCAGTTTGACAGATGCCCAAGCCATCGCTCGAGATCTCGTCTGCTGGGGCGGAAGATTCTGCATGCAATCGAAGGAGCTTGCATTGACGTTGGGCCGAGCCTACATGGTTCGTACCTCGCTGAGTCTCCAGAGACCTGCTCATGTCATGCTCGCAGGAGAGTGACAAGATGGCATGGTGTAATCCTCTCCATGGCGTCATGTACGAATATGCTGCCCAGACGATCAGGCTGGCTTGTGAGACCGGCATCCTCGCCAAATCTGATCTATGGCTGTATCCCGATGCGCCCTTCTGGGCAAGACTCGCAAAATCTGACGACCCTCACATTGCAGCCAGTGCGGCCAAAGTACGATCTGACCTCGTCGTCGTCGAAATCCATCCAGATCGGTCGAGCGAGTCGGCGCTCAAGTCGTCGCTGACGGACAGTGAGGACGCAAAATGGCAGGCTGTCGAGCTCGTCACGCTGAGTATGAAAGTACGCACGCTCGACCCAGATGTTGCAATGAGGGGAACGGACGGAGAGATAGAGCGTGTCATCAGGCTGTCGGATCTCGACCCGACTTACAAGAGCGAGCGAGAAGAGCACATTCGCTTGCGGAACGGATCGAAATCGTTCAGAGTCTACATACCCCGCGCTGCTCTGCCGTCACCCTCGCCAGCCTGGTGACAAAGATATCGCTTTGCTATCGCTACAACACAGCTTTACAAGCGTGACATAGATACCCAAAGAGTCAATATGCAAATGTGTGTTGTTGTGCTGTGCTCAAGTGACTGCATCGTCATGCTGTAGATCGCCCAGTGAAACTTCGGACAGACCTCGCTGCCTCGCTTTCGCCTCTTTTTTCTTCTTGGCCGACACAGTCTTTTGATCGACCGAAGGTGTTGCATCGGCGAGATTCGCCTCTTCCTCGTTCATCGGCGTCTTCGGTCCACTGAGCGAGAACCATCCCCTGGACTTGCGCGACGATTTGCTGTGCGCAGGCAGAGCATCCGGTCGCGCCTGTTTCGCGTCTGGCACGTCACTCTGGCCCTCTTCGGTCACCTTGAGCGTCGCTATACCTCGCTCATCCGGGCCAGCTCGATGTCTCCGAATGCCTTCGCCGACGAGGGGCACCGGTGCAGGTAAGACGGGTGAGCCAATGGCCAGATTATCTTTGGCGAGCTCCGTCTCCTCCTCGTCTTCATCGTTGAAGACATGTGATGCTTTCGAACGTAGCGACAGTGTTGGCGAGTCGAGCAATTCGATTCCTTCATCCTCGTGCTTGGCTTGTGAGCCTCGTCTGAGGCCGAGACGTCGACTGTATGAGCTCCTGGTCGAACTCAGAGAGGGCGACCGGTGATGAGCTGGTTGACTTCGGGCGGAATCAGAGCCTAGTGAGGAAGAGAGATCGAAGGAGCCAGCCTCATTGCCGGCTTGGTTCGTCTTCTGCTTCGTGCTGCCGAACAGCGGCATCGCCGGGAGAGCCACGCCAGAGCCACGAGGCCGCCAATGTCGAACGAAGCGCGTAAGCTCGTAAGGAGGGGGAGGAGGAGGAATACGACGACGACGCCGCCAACGAAGGAAGGATGAGGTCAGGCTGAGCTTCTACAAGAGCCGGGTGGCTGACGGAGAAGAGAGCGTAGATACGCGGTGCTTGTGACAGGTCCGGCAGGATCGGGCAAGACGACGCTGTGCGGCGCCTTGATCGCACATGCTCAGACACTCGGACGATCCGTCCATCTGTTCAACCTCGACCCCGCGGCAGAGCACTTTGACTATCAGCCGAGCATCGATGTCAAGGATCTCATCTCGCTCGATGAAGTCATGGAAGATCTGCAGATGGGCCCCAATGGCGGACTCATCTATTGCTTCGAGTACGTCAACATCCGACTGGCTGGCCTCTCTGCGCTCAAATCTTCCGCTGTCGTTCCAGGTACCTGCTACAGAACATGGACTGGCTTGATGCATCAATGGGCGACTACGAAGACGACTTCTTGATCGTTGACTGTCCAGGCAGGCCCTCCTCTGAACTGACACGACGCGCGTCACCTTACCCGCCGAGATAATGCAGGCCAGATTGAGCTGTACACTCACATTCCCCTCATTCCCCGACTGGTAGCACAGCTCAACCAACTCAACGTTCGCATGTGTGCACTCTACCTCATCGAATCGCAATTCATGGAGGACACCGCAAAGTACTTTTCCGGCGTACTGAGCGCCATGAGCTGCATGATCAACCTCGAACTGCCTCATCTCAACTTGATGACCAAGATGGATCTCGTCAAGTCGAGCAGAGAGTCCCGTGGGGCTAAGCCAAGGCAGTTGGAAAGGTGCTTTCGACGCAGCGCGATGGCCTGCTGAACGGCGTGACTCATGCCATCTGCAACAGGTATCTTGAAGCAGACCCGATGCTGCTCACTGACGAGATCAACGCCAAGACGAATCCAAAGTTTCATGCGCTCAACGAGACACTCGTCGATCTCGTGCGTCCTTCTTGTCGGTGTCCTTTGCAGCAACCACTGAAAATTTCAGGAGCAGATCCAAGAGTACAGCATGGTGTCTTTCCTGCCGGTCGATGCGTCAGACGAAGAGTCGCTCACTGTGTTACTCTCGCACATTGACAATGTCTTGTAAGACTCCTAGCTCGCGCATAGATCACATGCTGACAGCGAGACAGACAATATGGCGAGAACGAGGAGGTCAAGGAGCCCAAGGATCTCGATGGAGGTGACTTTCCCGAGGAAGAGGATTGAGACAGAGGGGACCGTGTTCGCAGGAGGTGTTGTTGCTAGCTTATTTGCAAACGAAAGAAAGAAAGAATACAGTGTTACACGACAACGAGTGTAGAAAGCGAGGCTGCTCTACCCTTGCTCGGACGGGAAGATGTGGCGAGCACGATCCTGCATCTTCGTCATCCCCTTGCCGGCGCCCACAACGCCCACTTTGGCATAAGGCGCGTCCGGCGTCTTGAACATGCTCTCGCCTGTCATGCCGGGTATATGAACACCTGACGGCGCAGGCCAAGTCAGCGCACAGGTAGACAGCACGAGGCAAGGAGAAGATGCTCACCTTTCTTTGCACTCTTCTTTGCAAAGGACTGCCAGGATTTCTGTTTCTCGACCTGTTCGGCCGCCTTGACCTGACGGTTCTCCTCCTTCTTGACGTTCCTGGCACGCTTCCTCGCGTTTTCAGCTTCATCGAGAGCCGACTGAGCCAAAGCACGTTTCTTTGAATCACTGATGGCCTTTATCTCTGCCGGACCGACGGCATCGGTCGTGTTGAACTCGGTCCAAGTGATGCTGTAGACAGGATTGTCTTTACTGCCTCCAACTGCAGTCACACGAGCAGGGTACCACTTGCCATCCTGAGCATATTTGGCCATACAGTCATCGCCCGAGGAGAGCAAAGCACTGGCGGCTGCGCTGGCTGAGGAGGAAGCGCCCTTGCTGCTGCTGCTGCTGTCTGACCGGGCAGAACCAACGACGGATGAGCGAGAGGTCACGGGCTGACGGGAGGAAGAAGCGACGGGTTTGCTTGCCTGGGTCTGTCCCAGTGCTTCCTTGGTGAGGTCCACGAGCAGCTGGACCTCATCTCTCAGCGTCAGCAGGTCCTGGTTCGTCGGATCTTTGGCGAGCGATGTCTTGATGTTGGACAACTGCATCGTCATCGGCTTCATCAGCTCTCTTCCGCTCGAGTCTGGTGCAGATCACTCGCCTGGTACTCGTAGCCCTCTAGCTCTGCCTCCATCGTTGATACGGCTGCCGTCAATCGTCAGGTCGTCCTCCTCCTCGCCCTCCCATCCACTCGCGCCGTGTCATCAGCTGGCCGGCGGCCGAGGGCAAAGATGCGAAGAGCAGCGATATCCTCCCAAAGGGCTGCACATGCCTGTCTCAGGACTCGCGGGATACATAGCTCGGCTATCAGGCGGGCAGAAGCGACGGTCCAGCAGCCTACAGCTCAGCCCGTCATCGTGCACACACCACCGCCTCCGCCTCCCCCTTCAGCGCCCTTGTTGCCGCCCAAACGTCCAGCAGGCGCTTTCCGTGGCTCGCAAGTCGTTCGTGGCTCATACTCATCCTCGTGCTGAGTGAGTACGCTGCTGTTTTGCAGGATCGTTGGCTTTCTGCTCGGCTTGAGCGTCGCGGCAGGTTATGGCTACATGACCCTCTTTGAGGAGTATCAGAGCGCCAGCAACTTGCTCCTCACGAGCGTAGAAGAGCTCAAGACGAGCACACAGAAGGTGCTTGCCTGATCAAGCTTGTTCAGCCTGCCAAGGACTGATACGGTCGTGCGCGATAGATGACGAACCACGTTAGACGGATCGAGAGAGTCGAGAGGGATCTCAAAGCGATGCAGGAAAAGACGACGACGACAGCCGAGCTAGAGAAGCTGCGTACAGAGGTCAAGAAGCTCTACGTACGTGCGACCTACCTGCCTCGACGCGCGTTTTCGCTGATGCAGCTGAGCGCGCAGGATTCCACGCACATTGAGACTTTGGACCTCAAAGCGCACGTGTTTGGTATCGAGAAAGATCTCGGTTCGCTACAGAAGTCTAGCGGATCGAACGTGAGGGTCTAGCGAACCTGGGTCAGATGCATAATTACAGAGTACACGCGCGATTCTTCCAGCTTGCCCAAATCGCGAGACAGAGACCAGCCGATGTTCTAGTTGCGCCGCTTCTTCTTTGCCGCAGGCTCTCCCTGCTTGATGCTGCAGTCCGGACAAAGCCATCTGCCTCGAGGTGCTTCCTTCATGCCGAGACAAGCCAGATGGAACTGAACAGGCAACCATAAGCCAAAGTCTACCGAGAAAGCTGAGAGACACTGACCCATTCGCGTTCGCATTCGTCGCCGTCGCATCCCACCATTTCACCGTAGCTGCCTTGACCGCAGAGGCAGTATGCGCCATCATCCGCTTGCCCTGCAGCATCCGCTTCAGGAGCAGGAGCGATATCATACAATTGCGCATCGATCAGGTCCCGCGTCACCGCGGCAGACGGTGCTTTTCGTTTCGGACCGGGCCTAGAGGCGGGTATATAGGCAGAGTTCGTACTATTTGCAGGCGATCTCGCTTCGCCATTCTCGTAAGATCTGCGCCTCACAGTCCAACGTCAGCTCACTGGCCGCTCAGATAGCGAGAGCGGCGCACGGTTTCTTGCCTCGGCCGCGCTTTGTTGCGCCCTGAGAGCCTGAAGGTCTCTCAAAGCTGGGACTTGCTCGCTTTTCCTTGCCTGTCGCACGGCCTGACTTTGTGACCGCGTTGACCGAGCTCGTCGTGCTCGTCGGAGAATGTGCGATACCATACTCACAATATGCTGCCGATCCCAAAGGTCAGCTCGTGTGCACGACAGGTAGCAAAGCCAGCTCACCTTGCGATGCAGTAGGACGGCGGGGCTTTTTAGGACTGATGGTACGGCCATTGCCCGAGGTACCATTGCTCGTCTTGCGCGACCCGCCGTTGGTGGCAGCGGCAGCTCCAGGACGAGCATAGACCTCGCCCTGCATGTCATAATCGGCTGCAATGTGTGGCGAAAGTGGCTCGCCGGGAGCTCCATATATGTTTGATCCGCCGAGATGCTGTTCCCGTTCTCGTCTCTTGGTGTACTGGTTGTGGTGGATCCGTTGATCTTTGCTCTCGCTATTGGACTGTCTCTGTACATGTGAAGACATCTGGTCCTGTGCGTAGATGTCGGGATAGAGCGCAGTGCGAGAAGCCGGAGGATCGCGCTGCTTCGTCAGCGCTGGACCCCCGTGCCTGCTAGATTGGCCAGCGTGGCGGGGCGCGGGTAAGGCGGTACGCTGATCGTATTGCGATGTTGGTTGAGCTGCCCCTCTGGACGCGTACGGGATAGTGTAGCCCGTCGTACGAGGGGCACTGCTATACGCGCTTCCCCCTGCCTGCGACAGATATTGCATCTGGGCGCCAGGTGGGACAGCTTCCTGACGAAAGCGCTCTGTCGAGCCATTGCAGTATGCCGGGAAGAGACCGGGATAGCCATGCGGCGTGGAGGAAGAGGGCCTTTCCGCAAAGACGCGCCCTGGCAGGTGCTGAGCGAGCAGAGCGGCGATCATATCGAGCTGCTGCGTATGGTGATCGACCTGCGTGTCGGCGCAGATGAGATCAGCAATGGTCCGACGCAGAGTGAAGCGGTGTGTGGACTTGCAGTGTCGCATGTGCCAGTAGCAACTCTGATCTTATCCTCGCCGCCTAGCTTGAACCCTCGAGCTTCCTCGGCGATCTCCCAGAGGAGAGTGAGCCGGGTGGAAGGTCTGACGGTGGGATCCTCCATCATGGCCAGCAAGGTCTGCAGCTTGCCCGTGATTTGGAGCAAGGCGCCTACAGAGCGCCAAGTCAGTTCAGCTCTCTCTGCTGTGCATACGACTGGAGGATGTGCACGTACTGCTCAGGACAGCATCGAGCTCCTTGAGATCGGACAGTGACCGAGTGAGCGAGTGGGGGAGCGAGTCGACGGTGTCGCAGGCGGTCAGCACGAGGTGGGCAAACTCGGCGGCATTGTTCTCTTCGGGCGTGACATGCGGCAGGCCCTGGCCGTCGTAGAGCTCATCCTCTGCATCCCGCATATGCCTCCTTCGACTACTCATCCTCGCTGGCCTGTCCATGCTTGCTAACTCGCTTTGCACTCGTTCCTGAGACTGACAGAGACTGAGCGCGACTGTCAAAGGCATTTGCCGCCGGCCAACAGGCTCGACGTCATCGGCCAGACATGATTCAAGACCTCCCGTTGGATGTCCTCACGGACCATCTGCTCGATCTCCTCGAGCTCGGTGACCTGCTCAACCTCAGCGAGACCTGCAAAGGCTTTCACGACCTCATCCTACGCCAAGAGTCTCTATGGGCGAGGCGTATCCAGCAAGACTACTCCTTCCCCGTCCACAACAGCGCTCGCCGCTTGGGCTGGCTCAATCTATACAAACGCGTTCGACGGCCTCACGTCTATCTCTGGGGAGATGCCGCCAACGGACGACTCGCGCTCAGGCAGGATGATGATCGTCACAGGTGGCTCTACGCTGGTGGGATCCCCGTGCCCCTTCGTGTACGATTCAACGCGCCGCTCGTTGAGCTCATCGCTGGCGGTTGGAGCTTCCATGCGCTCGACACACGAGGGCGAGTATACTACTGGGGTCAGATGGACGGCGAGCAATGGGCTGCGCCCGACGCCAGCTCCACGCATCCTGGCCGACAAGTCAGCGAGCCAGAGCTACTCAACGTCGATCTGCCGCCTGTCAAGATGATCCAGTGCGGTCGCAAGCACGCTGTCGCGCTGGATAACAGTGGACACGTGTACGAATGGTACGCATGGGGCCGCATCTTGCGCATCGGTCAAGCCCGCAGTCAAGCCGGTACTGCGACGATGAAGGCCCGAGCTATCTCTGCAGGCTGGCACTTCTCTGCAGCGATACTCGCGAGCGGCGAGATCGCGATCTGGTGGCGCATATCTAACACGGCGCAGGAGATGGAAGCGCTCGCCCGTCGAGGACTTCCAACTGTCGACACCATCGTCGAGCGCGATATGACGACTGTACTTGCGCCTTCACTAGCGTCTGCCTTTCGCGCGACCAGCCCAAGTCTTGCCGAGGCCGATATCACGGTCAGCAAACTCGCAGCAGGCAATGGCTTCCTCATTGCTCTATCTCAAAGTGGCAAGGTCTACCGCCTAGATGTTGGCTTGCCAGTCCTGCAGGAAGAAGCTGCCGCCGATGAACAGGCACGAGGCAGCTCCGATGTATCGGAACAATGGCTCGTCGATCAATTTCGAGTTGGCAACAGGCGCTGGGAGTATTTGCCTGCTTTTTCAGAGGCAAACTATATCCGGACACATGACTGCTTCTCCGATGACAAGGTAGACAAGCCTACCGAGATGACACGTATAACGCATATCGAGGCACACAACAACACATTCTTCGCATATGCCGCCCCGGACGAATCAGACCAATCGTCATCAATCGTATTGCAAGGTTCGCATGAGACTCGTCCGGACTCATTGCCGACGATCGTACCGGAACTCCAACACAAAGGTATCATCAGGTGCGCTGCCACGCGTCATGCGAGAATGCGTATGTTGACGCCGTGCGCGCAGGGTCGTGCTCGGTGACTGGCATTATGGTGCGCTGACGACAAACGGTCAGCTGCTGACATGGGGCCAATATAGCAAAGGCGCGGTAGGACATGGCAAATCGAATTCTGACGTTCGATCTACGGCCGATGCGACAGCCCAGACCCGGCTAGCTCCGGCCAGGAGGGCTCAACAAGCTCCTGCGCTCAATGTCGCAAAACCGACGGCTGTCGACTTCTCTGTCAGGCAGCCCGACCAACTCGCACCCCGCACCTCGCAGCAATTCGTCTTCAACGCCTCTTTCGGTGGATGGCACTCCTCCGCGCTGACCTTTTCGAATTCTGAAGAGGAGGACGATGACGAAGGTGACAGTGTCGACGACGAGCCTGGTGGAGAAACGAGCGATATGCCCGGCTCATTTCCGCGGTCGAACGCAGAGCCAGACGATCTAGCAGATCCAGATGGGGCGATAGGAAATCATCCCCGCGTCTTCAGAGGCGCTGGAAGATTCCGGATCGGCTACGCCGGCCGCTTCATGAATAGAGGTGCTGGTCCTAGATAACAACAGATTGCAATGCGAGCTCCTTCGTAGTACAACTCTAAAGTCCATGATTTATCGTAGATTGCAAGGTGTTGCAGGCGGCGGCGAACGTGCGCTTCCTCTGGTCGTACTGACCGAGGTTCAGCAGGCTTGATCTGCTGATAATGGGGATGACAAGGTAACATCTAGCGAGACGCCCGGCGGCGACGATCAGCTGAGGCGAGCTCCAGCGCGATCCCATCAGATCGTTCTTCGCACTCGTGTACATGACGGCTGCTTATTCATCAGTCAATTGTCCGGTGCAGATGGGAAAGGCCGTACTTGAGAGCGTCGCTGCGGCCGAAACCTTTGCCGCAGTAAGCACAGGCATAAGGCAACTCACCGGTATGCAGTCTTCTGTGACGATGCAGATCGTAGCGTCGAACGAATGAGAGCGGACAGTAATCACAGCGATGCGGTCGGTGGTTGCGAATGCTTCCGCATGTACGCTTGCGCGAACGCGAACTTTTGCGGCCGCTCGTTGATCTAGGGGCTCCGCTAGCATGGTGATCCGCTTCTGTGACAGGTTCTGTGGGCTGTGCATATGGATTGCAAGCGGATCGTGACTGGATGCAGCTAGTGGATACGCTGCATGGCGATAGGCGGGCTTGGTTTCCCTGCTGTCGAAGATCCATCTGAAGCTTGGCTTTAAGGGTCTGAAAGCCAGCGCGACCAGTGTCTGTATCATTGTCGCTGTCGTCGACCTCATCGGATTCTGATATGCTGCTGGCGAGGCCAGGGACACGCGCGATGAGTGTCGAAAGCCGCGACAGCTGCCAGGGAGCGTTTGATGAGGGGTCAAGCTCGTTAGGCAGACACTCGTCATTTGACGTAAGCGGACCGCGAGCGCTCACGACGGGAGTCTGAAGGGCAGACGTTTCCGGCGTTGACCATGCACTGCCTGGCCACGGACCATCCCAGAAGGGGATCGTTGAGCAAGGACTGAGCGTGACCTGGTCGCTGATTGGTGAACCCTGCTGTGCCATCGCTGACAGCATGCCCGAGGTCCATGACGAGAAAGGCGATGTCCACTGAAACACTGGAGACATCGTTGAGCTAACATCAGAGCGACTCATGCGTGCCAATGGATCTAGCCAGGTGGCTTGAAGCGATCCCGGTCTGTCGGGTTTCTGTAAGCCCGTCAGAGGTGGAACTTCTGACGATGAAGTCGTGTCATCCTTTGGCTTAGTGCGCTCGAAAGAGACGGTCGGCTTGCAGCTTGCAAGGGACGAGACTGACTGGGCTCGGAAAGATCTGGTCAGGGCCGGCAAAGCGGCTACATGACTGGTCGAATGCGAGCGGAAGCGGGACCGGGGCTGACTGGTCACCAGGGCTGCAGCGATTCCAGGCCTGATCTGGTTGGCTTCGTTGCCCGTGCGGTTGACGTTGAGCACTGCCCGGTGACGAAAGCGGTATCGTCAGCACCGGCTTCAGGCCCTTTGTGGCTTGCTGACCTTGGTCCATGAAAGACAGTTGAAAGTTCGTCGTGCTGGACAGAATGTAGCAGTAGCCCTGTGACCGTGCAGCAGGCCGAGAGGGGAGTAATGACTGGCGTTGCGGCGTCGAGAGGATGTGGAAATACGCGGTGCCTGCACGAGCAGACTGCAGCGTCTTACTGTCTGCAAGGAGATGAGGTGGCTGTAGGCGGTCTGCTGACGATGGCTGATGAGAGCTGCTCGTCGCAACGCAGGTGACGCCGAGATGCGTTACGCCTTAGCGCACGCGTTGAGGGTGGTAGGCGCCGCATGTGAAGTGTCACAGATCTGGCTCTGCGCGATGTTTGGCTGCAAACTTTGCAAGACGAAACGCTGCAATCTCATTGGACAGATTTTGGGTCTATTTGGAAGCAGGCTTGAGCTAGCTTTCCTCTTGGCGAGCGCGTTTTGGTTCGGTCGAGCCAGCTGAGGGCGAGATCCTGCGCTTGCCGGCAAGACTCGAAGCTGCGCCAGTATCGTCATACAGGGCAGCGTCATCGTCACTCGAGGCCGCTGTGTAGTCGAGCTCGTCCTCGATCTCGCCAGCGGTCACGGCTAGCGCGTCAGACGGTTCCTGAGCAGCACGCAATCCAGCAGACTCGGCGCCATCTGATGCAGCGATGGGTGCAGCATCGGCTGAGCGCGACGGTTCGGCGAGGCTCGGGCTACTCGCACGCGATGGACTTTGCGTTTGCGCGCTCGGGCTCTCGCTACTGGCTCGGGAGTGATTGCTGCTCGAGGGTGGATCGAGTGAGGGCGCGACAGGGGATAGCAACAGCGCTGCTGCAGATTCATCTTCCTCCTTCAGCGGTGGCAGTACCGAATCCTCGGCGTCGATGGCAACCCTGTTGACTGATAACTGCTGCTCCGGCTTGGTCTCGTCATATGCGTCATAGTCATCCTCTACTTTTGCTAGTCGTCGAGCTTTCGTCATTTCTGCATGGCACGTCGCATGATAGATCTGCTGCGCATGTTAGCACAGCTTGCAAAAGCCCGCCGCAGACCTGCCTTGCCGCCCACTTGCACTGCATTGGTCCAGATGTAATCCTCTTCGTCTGTCAGTTTGGTCTCGATCGTCTCTTGACATATCGGACAAGCCCGCGAGCGAGTTCCTGTCGACTCTGTGACCTTGACAATGCACTTTTCAGGATCAAGCGGCTCCTCTTCATCCTCTTCGACAAGCTGTGTCTCTTCAGTCTTGATCTGGCCCGGCGGCGCTAACCATTCCTACGTGAAAGTCAGCCAGCTAGACTGACACAACGGACTGACACACCTCGCTCATTATGAGCCAAGAGCGACTTTGCGGTCTCGCCTTCTCAAGCAATCTTTTGTTGCGCCTGAAATGCCAATCGAGATGGGACTGCATCTTGCGGCTGCCATTATCGCCGGAGAGGAAGCGAGTACCACACTGTTTGCAAGCCTCGGGCAGCTCATCGTAGATGAGCGCAGGCGCGTCGGGTCTGTAGCGCTGAATGTCTGAAGTCGTGAGCGAGATCTCGAAGGACAGCAGCATAGATTGATAGCGATCTTCGATCGGGTCAATCTTGGTCACCAAAGGCTTAGCAGGGGCAGCTGCGTTCCATCCGCTACCTAGGGCCTGCCTGAGAAGATCTGGATCCATGAGCGAGGACAGGGCAGCCAGATCAGGCAGGTTCTCGCCGTCCGCCGAAACTGCGATTTCGGCTATCTGGGGCGTAATCCCGTCTTCGGCAGTGACGGGCGAGAGCGTGGCAATCTGATCGTGAATTGCAATGATTTGAGCGCTCGTCAGCTGTTGCACTTTGACAAGACCTTCGAGCTGCGTCAAGATCATGATCTGAGTCGCAATGGTCTCGTCTTGAGGCGAAGTGAGCGCTTCTTCTTGCCGTTTCACAAGCAACCGTCGAATGTCGTAAAGCGCACCGGCGCGCTCACCAGGCGTAGCAGGTTGTTGACCCTGCATGGTTGAGCGTGTCAGTGTAGCTAAGGCGGTGGCTCTGCGATCGACTTACATCGCTCTCGTCTGTGCCGCGAATGGACGCGACGTTATTCGCGATCGACTGGTAGACGCCGGGTGCAAAGAGCTCGGAGCCGTTACGACCGCCGGTGCGCCAGGTACCAAGCAGCTCCTCGAGCTTGACCTGCATGCTCTGGTCTGCATCTTGAAAAGCAGTGAGGAAGACTCGTTCAACGAATCGCGAGAATTGATCTGGGTAAACGGAGCCGATGTTCTTGGAGATCGAGTCGAGTAGGTACAGCGCCGGGAGCTTGACGTCTTGAGTGACCTGTGAAGCAGCAAAAGTGGTCATGACTCATTCTCAGACAGCCGCGACCATGGGGAGAGGATTTTGCAGATACGCCCAGCGTCAGAGCCACGAAGGAGATCTCTTCAGGAGCAAGTCCGGGCTGTTCAAGCTTCATGCGCGCCTCGAAAAGCGATGCCCGCAGGGCCTTCGATCTCTTGTCAAAGTCTAGCCCACTTGAGTGAGTTACACGCGCAGCTGCGTCGAAAGCTAAACCTCGGCTAGGCTGAATGCAAGCGTCAATGGGCGAATTGTCAGTCAGGTCGTGCTGGCAAGTCTACGAGCCTCACCTGAGAGTAGTGTAGAGTGGTGAAGCGGAGGAAAGGGAGGCGCGGCGGAGGGAAGAGCGGCTGACTTACGGTCTTGAGGTGCTCATCGAGGCATGAGGAGATGATATGACTCATGTGGATATTGTCTCTCGCGAGCTGTGTGCCTTCGTTGATGAGTGGCTTCGAATTGAAGGTCAGATTGCGCAGGAGCGCTTGGTAATGCATCCTGAAAGCGTTGGGATCGTTGAAGATGCTCGGTGCGCCGATGAAGCCATTCTGTTGCGGGATCTGCTGCTGCATCTGCTGTTGCTGCTGATGCTCAGGCCCCGGATAGAATCCTTGATGAGCGTAGTGCAGAGGCGGTAGCTGCTGCTGCTGCTGTTGTTGAGGCACCTGACCAGGCCAGGAGTAGGAGGGAGAGGCAAAAGGTGCTGGCTGGGCATAGCCCGGCTGCTGCTGAGGATGATGGTACACAGGCATCTGAGGAGGTCCTTGCTGTTGTTGCTGTTGATATTGTCCGGGGTAGCTACCGAATGGCACGGCAGGCTGCTGTACAGGCGTAGCTTGAGCCTGGTAAGGCGAGCCATAGTAGAAAGGCTGGGGCCCTCCACCGTTTTGATGTACATAGCCGGGCGGCGGCTGTGCACCGTATGGCTGAGCGCCCGTCTGTCCGCCCATCTGCATCACAGGCGGCCCTGGCTGACCGTGCTGCGGCCATTGCATGGCTTGGTGTCAGCGTGCGGCAGCGGCGCGCTCTCGCCAACATGATTATTCATGTACCATCGGGCCAAGTATATTTCGATCAAAGGCGTGAGAAAAAGATGAGCCTGGGCGGCTTAGCGTGCAAGGGCGGCGTAGGCAAGCTCAAGTCATTCAACGTACGTTGCCGATCGTGTCTGGCAATCTGTACAACGTGCTGACCCGGTAGATCTGCTTTGCTTCCGTCTTGCTGTCACCTTGTTCGCCTGACTCGCTCTGCTGCTGCATTCGTCAAATTGACGCTGCCGACAATTTGACTTTGCTCGCTGCCGCATCTGCTCTGTCGCTCGGACCGGGCTCCTACAGTATGAAGGACATCTTCAAGGAAGAGTCGTTCGCCGTGCCCGAGGGCGTCACCGTCATCATCAAGGCTCGTGCCATCAGCGTTACCGGGCCGAGAGGCAAGCTCGAAAAGGCATGTGCTCGCCGCACCCCGACGCAGGACGAGGCTAATGGAGACCCGCGCGCTGGCAGCATGTGAAGCACATTGATCTAGACATGAAGGTCGTCAAGAGCAAGAAGGGAGCTATCGTCAAATTGGCAGTATGGCACGGAGGCCGGAAGCACGTCGCCTGCCTGCGAACAGTCCGCTCCCTCATCGAGAACATGATCACCGGGGTCACGAAGGGCTTCCTCTACAAGATGCGCGCGGTAGTCAGTTCGAGCAGCCTGCTCGGTCATCCGTCGAGCTGAATTGACTTGCCTCTGCAGTACGCGCATTTCCCGATCAACATCATCATCAACGATGACGGCAAGAGCGTCGAGATCAGAAACTTCCTAGGCGAGAAATTGGCACGTCATGTGCAAATGGGCGAAGGCGTCACGATCTCAGAATCAAAAGCGCAAAAGGACGAAGTCCTGATTGAAGGCAACGATATCATGTCTGTCTCCCAGTCTGCAGCGTCGATCCACGGCGCCTGTCTCGTCCGCAACAAGGACATCCGAAAGGTCAGCGGACTGCTCAACTGCTCTGAGGGCTCGTACTGATTGCCGTGCCATCGTCTTCTGTCAGTTCTTGGACGGTGTCTATGTTTCTGAGCGAACGACACTAGTGCAGGACGAGTAGATCTACCTTGTATGCGCATGCAACCCTAGCTGAGTCAGAGAAGAGCCCTTGGGGAGCCGCTTGCCCGCCTAGACGGTGCACTCCTTCCTGTGACTTTTACTGCCCATACGCGCTGCGAAGCGCTGGCGCCTGACGACCAGACGAGACGAGCCTGCAAGCTCATTGCGCTTCCGACGGCCGCGGGCTCCATCAGTGTCTCCAGGTGCGCTATCGAGCTAGACCGTCGTAGCGCCGTGGTCGGCTGGGAAGACCGCGCCGAGCGAGCCAGTGACACCTAAAACGCGCGCCTTAGCTCGCCCAGCTTTGCTTGCCAACGAGCTCACAACGCTCGGCGTACTTGTCGAGCTGTGTCCCCAGCAGCCTTCGAGCAATCGATCATCTGTCTGCTGTCGCTTTGTGCAGCAGTTGCTCGCGAAGCTGCATCTTCGGCCCAGCCACGTCGCTTAGACGCTAGCTCGCCAATCAGCTGGGCTGCAGCCGGCCCACTCGCGCAAGCTGCATAGAAGCAGATCGTCGTCAAGATGCAGATGCTCACCAAGTTCGAGTCAAAGTCCAACAGGGTCAAGGGGATTGCCTTTCATCCAAAGTTGACCTTGTTGGCTGCCTCGTTACACTCTGGCAGCATACAGATATGGAACTTCCAGATGGGTACCCTCGTAGATCGCTACGATGAGCACGATGGTACGCTTATCGCACGCTTCTCACCAAGACGTGCATGCATTGACGCGCGCGCGCGCAGGGCCTGTACGCGGTATCGCTTTTCATCCTACTCAGCCCATCTTTTGCTCGGGCGGCGACGACTACAAGATCAAGGTGTTCAATTACAAGACCAGAAGGTGTCTCTACACGCTCCACGGTCATCTCGACTATGTCCGAACGGTCTCCTTCCACCACGAACAACCCTGGATTCTCTCTGCGAGTGATGACCAAACCGTCAGAATCTGGAACTGGCAAAGCCGGACGTGTATCGCCATACTCACAGGTCACAATCACTATATCAGTAAGCCGACGTCTGCTACGCCATGATCCCAGCAAGTAGTCTGACGCGCTGCCTACAGTGTGCGCGCAATTCCATCCCAAGGATGACCTGATCGTATCCGCCTCGATGGATACCACCGTCCGCGTCTGGGATATCTCCGGCCTGCGCAAGAAGGCCACCACTGCTCAACCGATGACGTTTGAGGAGCAAGTACAGCGTGCTAACAATGGCCAACAAGCGGATCTCTTTGGGCATACCGACGCAGTCGTCAAATACGTCCTCGAGGGACATGACAGGGGCGTCAATTGGGTGCGTAACCTCGTGGATCATATACGCACGCTGAGCGCATATGCTGTGACAGGCTGCGTTCCACCCGACCCTGCCTTTGATCGTTTCTGCGGGCGATGATCGTCAGATCAAGCTGTGGCGGATGAGCGACACGAAAGCCTGGGAGGTCGATACTTGCCGTGGCCATTTCAACAACGTCTCTTGCGCTCTGTTCCACCCGAAGCACGAATTGATCATCTCCAATGGCGAAGATCGCACGATTCGCGTCTGGGACATGAGCAAACGTACAGCTGTTCAGACGTTCCGCCGCGAGAACGATCGTTTCTGGGTGCTTACTGCTCACCCCGAGCTTAATCTCTTTGCGGCCGGTCAGTCCTTTGCCCTGTGCTCGGGACTGTGCTGACAAGCTTTGCAGGTCACGACTCCGGCCTGATCGTGTTCAAACTCGATCGCGAAAGGCCGGCCTTCAGTCTGAGCAGCAACACGCTCTTCTATGTGCGCGACAAACAAGTCCGCGCCCATGATCTCAACAGCAATGCGGACGCCTCTGTCGTCAGCGTGCGACGTCTGGGCAGCCAGTATGTGCAGCCAAGGACGTTGAGCTACAACCCTGCAGAGCGCGCCGTCATCGTGACATCTGTCCGTTTTCCTTCCCAAGAGGGCGGACACAAGCTGATGGACGAGAGCAGCCTTCCGAGCATGGTGTCTACGAGCTCGTGAGCTTGCCCAAGGACATCTCCTCGGGTGAAACGAAAGACTCGGCAGTCGATGGCAAGCGCGGCAACGGTGACTCTGCCCTCTTTGTCGCTCGTAACCGATTCGCAGTGCTCGATAAGGCCAACCAGACGATCACAATCAAAGATCTGCAGAACTCGCCCACGCGAACGATCGCATGCCCAGTATCAACGCAAGAGATGTTTTACGGGGGCACCGCCAGCTTGCTCCTCTCTACTCCAACATCCGTCGTCCTCTTTGATATTCAGCAGCAAAAGATGCTTGCGGAGATCTCGACGCCGCCCGTCAAATATGCAGTCTGGTCGAGTGACGGAAACTGGGTCGCTCTGCTGAGCAAACACACCATCATGCTCGCCGATAAGACGCTCGGCCAAAGCGCGATGATTCACGAGACAATCAGGATCAAGTCTGGAGCATGGGATGATTCTGGCATCTTCATCTATTCGACGCTGAACCACATCAAATACGCTTTGCCCCAGGGCGATAACGGGATCATCAAGACGCTGGATCAGCCTGTATACTTGACTCGCATCAAGGGCAAAACAGTATACTGTCTCGACCGCAACGCAAAGCCACGCACAATGCAGATAGATCCAACCGAATACAGGTTCAAGCTGGCGCTGGTCAGACGCAATTATGACGAAGTCTTGCACATCATTCGCACCTCAAACCTCGTCGGTCAGAGCATTATCGCGTATCTGCAGAAGAAGGGATTCCCGGAGGTGCGTCACAACACTCACTCCGCTCCTGTCTGCTGACCGATTATTTGCAGATTGCGTTACACTTTGTTCAGGACAAGACAACGCGATTCGATTTGGCGATCGAATGCGGAAACCTGGATGTCGCTCTGGAGATGGCGAAAGCGATAGACCGCGAAGAGAATTGGACGACGCTCAGCCAGCAGGCGCTTAAGCAAGGCAACCATCAAATCGTCGAGATTGCGTACCAGCGTACGAAAGCTTTCGAGCGGCTGTCCTTCCTCTATTTCATCACTGGCAATCAGGATAAGCTCGCTAAAATGGCAAAGATTGCCGACATGCGAGGAGATCATATGTCGCGCTTCCACAATGCCCTATACCTAGGCAACGCTGCCTCTCGCGTTCAAGTCCTCAAGGATGTAGGCATGTTTCCGCTTGCTTACATGACGGCAAAGTCGAACGGGCTTGAGGAGCTCGCCGACGAAGTGCTTGTCTCTGCTGGTCTGACAGTAGAAGATCTTGCAAATGTGCAAATGCCCAAGCTCGGCCATGTTGCGCCGCCTCAAGCGATCACAGCAACGCAGTCTCTCAACTGGCCTTCTGTTGGCCACAAGGAGAGCTTCTTCGATCGTGCGCTCACGGCGCAAGGCAATAGCGAAGCGCCAGAAGCTATCGAGACCTTCACGAATGGACACGCAAATCCGCAAGAGTCGGCAATGGAAGAATGGAAAGGTGGTGATGACGCTGAGGCTGGAGAGGCAGCGGCAGAAGACGCTTGGGATCTCGGCGGCACGGAGGAGGTGGCAGCAGATGATGAAGAGATTGCACCTGAAGCTGTCAGTGCGGTACCTGCAGCACTCGATGCGATCGAGGACGCAACGCCGGGCATATCAGAGAATGACCTCTGGGTCCGCAATTCACCTTTAGCAGCAGACCACGTGGCGGCAGGCTCTTTCGATACAGCGATGCAGTTGCTCAGCCGGCAGGTGGGCGCTGTCAACTTTACGCCCTTGAAGCCACTGTTCATGTCGATCTACCGCTCCTCCCATCTGCATCTGTCCGCGAACGCGTCTCTACCGCCTTTGTCAATTGCGCTGCGTCGTAATCCAGATGATACCGAGCCGCGCAGCCTGCTACCGATAGCGCCTCGATCGCTGCAGTCAATTACTGCCAACGAGCTCAGAGCGGCCTATGCGGCCTTTAAGAAGGCAGCGTTCGCGGAATGCGCAGACATTTTCCGCTCAATCTTGCACTCGCTACTATTCGTCGTTGCCGCAAACGCGGAGGAGGTTGCAGAGCTCCACGAGCTGGTCTCGCTGTGTAGAGAATACCTGCTTGGCTTGTCGATCGAGATGGAAAGACGCAAAGTTGCTGCAGAGACACCGGGTGATATTAAGAGGCAACTCGAGCTAGCGGCCTACTTTACGCATTGCGGTATTCAGCAGGTGCATCTCGCGCTCGCACTGCGATTGGCCATGACGACGTTTACGAAGAACAAGAACTTTAGTACTGCCGCCATCTTTGCTCAGCGTCTTCTGGACACAAACCCGGACGCCAAAGTTGCACAGCAAGCAAAGACGGTGATCGCAGCCGCTGACAGAAATCCGCGAGATGCTGTTGAGATCGATTACAACCATTTCGAGACGTTCAGCATCTGCGGCGCTTCCCTAAGTCCGATCTACACGGGCTCACCATCGTCTGACGATCCTCTTACGGGCACTCGCTACAAGCCCGAGTACGCAGGTCAGCTCTGTCGGATCTCACAGATCAGCGAGATCGGCAAGGCTGCGAGCGGGCTACGAGCGATGCTGTAAGGGCTTTGTTGGAGTGGACGAGCATACTATGATGAAAAGAGACAACAACAATGCAACGTTTTGTTCGATACTGCTCGCATGTACTTTCGCTCATCGTCGGCGAGATGCCGGTGTCCAATCGTGGACTTTCCAGCCCGGGTCTGCTTCTGTGCCCGGCTTGAGACCAACGAGAGGTGCTGTATTGACTGCTTCAACATCGCGGAGTAATTTTGCAGGAGACACTTACACCTTGCCATAGCTTCACGCTTGCGTTCGAATTCGAGCTCGCTCTCTGTCGGTTCTCGCGGAAGCAGCTGACCCGGGTAGCCCGTACGACCGTCACGGCCTTGTGGAATGAAGTCCGGCTGAGCCGGCAGAGCGTCGATCTGCGCGGATGCCGCCTGTGCGACTTCTGGCTGCTTTGCCCTGTTCAGAGTATCTTGTGATGTCGGAGCTGGCAGCCGCTGATCTTGTGAGAGCAAGCGGGTGTTGTCCTCTGCGATGCGACGCTTCTCGTCTGCATATGCAATGCGTAGCCTCGCGACATTCTGCTGCAGACGCGCAACCCTTTGCGCTTCGCCTTGCAATTCCTGCGTGGCTCGTCGTGTGAATGCATACACAACCGCATGATCTGATGCTGACTGACCTGCATGGTCGGCGCATCTGTCCTTGTGCGCCGGAGCCAGGCAGACCACTGGGGCGGCATGTCATTCGGCTGATAGTCTGACCACTCCTTGTCGACGGCATATTTGACGGTCCGCCTCGACTTGCGGTACTCTACATCGAGCAATGAGCGAGCTGACAGGCCAGGCAGGGGCGCTTACCGAGGCCGTAGGGGATCTCAAAGTAGCAGTTTCCTTGAAGATCGGTGCCGACATAGTGCCGCCATTGACCTGATCTTTCGAGGCTCAGCCTGGCGATCCTGCTTTCCGTGAAAGAGCGTGCGGCTTGCCTATCCTGAACAGACGTGCGAGGCCACGAAACATGCCTGGGCAATGCTGTGCTGTCTGATGATCGGCTCAGCTGGACTCGACAGACGATCAGTCGATCAGTCGAGAGAGACGCGCGCGACTTGTCGACAGGGCGGACTCTCCAAGGCGGCTGCCAGCCTGTAGGGCCGCCCTCCAGGCCTGGCGCAGCGTGAGACAGCATGGTGGCGGACGGAAGCGCTGCTGCTGCTGGAGGAGCTCTGGGCGCCGCAGAGAGCCCACGAGCTCCTGGCAAGTTCGTCTGTCATTGGGGCACATGTCAGGAGACATGCTCATCTATCGACGAGCTCAAGCTGCACTGGAGAGGTCATTTCTCTCGCAAGACCAAGACTGAAGCTAGATCATCCCTCGAGAGTCCTGTCGAGCCGAGTTCCAGCAGGATCGCCTTGCAGGGCGCTGAGCGAACGACAGACGAATCACCTGGGCATTTCAGCTCTGAAGGGCCAGCGATCAAGCGAGCACGCTGGCATTCACCCTCTGAGGTAGCGCAAGAGAGCCACCAAGCAGTTGCGGGCAAGTTCTCTGCCCAGCAACTGCAGACTGACTCTGATTGCATGCTCGACCGTAGAATCGAGAGTCACTCAAACGACAACCCCTGAGTCATCGGAAGGCTCCAATGAGAATGGCTACATGCCCAACGGTATCTCACAGCTCGCCCAAGTGTCCGCTAGTCAAGACGTACAGACGCAAATGCTGCTAGCTCGTTCGTACAGTCGCATTCTAAAGACGCGACCGAGCTGACTAGGGAGCACTCGCAGTGCTCGCCAAGCATCAGGAATCTGTAGAGCCACAAGAGTCACCGCTGGCCTTATCTTGGCTTCCCCAAGGCTGCCCAGCAATTCCTCTTGCGTCTCCGTCGGCTATAGATGACGCAAATACACCTGCACTCGAAAGAGGCCAGAACGGACTACATGTACTGTCGCCGGCAAAGCCAGCTACCGATGCTCCCACTCCGGAACATGGACGTACAAGCTCCGCTTCAGTAGCCCAGGAATCTATCCCGCCAACAGTGGCAGCAAGTGCGTCGGCCGTCAATGGCACAGCCGATGCGGCCCGGGATAACAGCGCGCTACCTGATCTGTCTGGCGATAGCCCGTCCGATGCCGTCCAACAGCCAGCTTGTCCCGGTGAGAATGATGTCGCAAAGATAGTGATCGGGGAAGCGCCTTCCAGAACTGTCAACGAGATTGACAGCAGATCACTGCAGCCGCGTGCGAGGGCCCTATGGCCTCGCCCGCGACCATCTGCACTACTGTCGGCCGGTGCTGCGTCAAGAGAGACTTCTGCTTCTCTCGGCAAGCAGCATGGAGATGTCGACGGACAAAAGCTCACAGTTGCTGACAATAGCTCTCCTGATCCTGCGCAGCGCCTTCCGACGCCAGAGAGCCCGGTCCTCCTCAAAACTGCACCTATGCCAGCGACCGCCGACGTGTCGGCTGCCAAACCCACACGCATTGAAGTTACCGCCAGATGTGATCAGCCGAGCTCGCAAGCAACTGTCACCGCTACCGTCCCCGTGGCCACTGCCCCCAAGCCACCTCAGGCCAGCGCAAACGGAGTAGTGGATATCACAAGTAGCCCGCCTCAGCCTCCGAGTAGGACCCATCGCAGTCCATCGGTTGAAGTGATCAGCACGGTGTCACCTCAGAAGGCCGTGCTAGCTGCTTTGGCGCATCATGGCTTTGCATATCTTGCCGAATACAAAGCTATCGTCTGTGCAAAGTGTCGACATGCTGTTGATCCGCGTGACATCGTGCTACACTACGAAACGACGCACAGCGACAGCAAAAGGCTCAAGACTCGGGTATCAAAACTGCTGAAGCCCGATATCGATGTGCTTGACGCGGTGATACCAGAGAGGATCGCTCTGAAGCACGACATTCCTGAACTACCGTATTTGCGACCTGCACAGCCGGCGTACCTCTGCAATGGCTGCGGTCTGTTGGTAACGTCTGTCTGGAGTGCGAAGCGCCACGGGCCTAGCTGCAGCACATCGCGTCATAGCGGCACGCAGCCGCACGAGGCCTTCAGGGATGTGCACGTTCAATCCTTCCTGACCAACGGCGGCAGACTCTTCGTCGTCGATCCCAGCTCAACAGATCAGGGCGTCAAAGAATTACATGTGCCAGCCTGCAAAGTCTTCGATACCTTGCCGTCTATTTCTACGCCGCTCAGTCAGGCCGCTGTACCTGCTTTGACAATCACGACAACTTCTGCTGCTGTGGCCGATTCAGGCGCGATACATGCGCCCACTTCTGCGTCACCAGGCTTGAAAAGCCAGACGGGCAGCCCTGCCTCGCTTCGAACTGATCTACCTTCACCTCGCTTTGGTCCCGGGAAGCCCATCGGGCGACAGCGTATCTCGACGGCGCCTAGTCCTGTTTCAGATGAGAATGTGGTTCTTGTCACGTCCGCTCAAGCTGCCTCTCTGCTCAGTCCATTGTCTGTTCCCGGTACAATTCAGTCACGTGTTTCCGCTGGGCCTTCGACACAGCTGCGAGACTCTGCACCCGCTGTGCAGCGACAGCCATGGGCACGTATCAGTCCGTCGTCTACGGCAGTGTCACGAGCGCGGGAGCAGCAGGCGGGCGCGGCCATGGTTATTTCCAAAAGTTCGGCGGGGTCTCGCGCAGCTTCTACTGAAAATCAGCAGAGGCGCGAGGGAGACACGAGTAGCAGCAGCAGTATTCCCCCATCGCATCACGCCTCGCCATCGCGGTCTGCGCTCACTTTTCCCACCGCATTGTCCTCCGCTGGCCAGACTTTGCCACTCGTGCCATGGCAAGCCGAGGTAGCGCTACCCCAAGCAGACGCCAGGTCGATGCTGCAGCAGCTAGAGGCCGCACAGAGAGAACGTGACGCACACCTGTCAGCCGCTATGCTTGCACAAAAGCGTTACAATGATGCCCTCGCCACCCTGGCCTTGATGGAACGGCAGTCTCAGGCCTCGCCTGCGCAGTCAGCACCTGCCATCGATGCTAATTCCCTGGGTCTATCGAACGGCTATATCGATGAGCAAAATGTCGACCTCGTCCTCGCTGACCTCAATCGGCAGCCTCAGAGACCTGAGCGAGCTCGCTGTCAAAGCAACACGCGTGAGCCCGATGACGGGGGGTCCGTCGCAAGCTTTTTGCGCGAAGTCAGGGAGATCGATGCTAATAAAGCAGCCTCGATTCCCGACTCGGTCATTGAGCTTGATAACCTTCAAGCTATTGCTGGCATTCCTGACAACATCATTCGATGGGATGGCACACATAATGTGCTCGTCTGTGTGGCCTGCGAGGAACTTTTGCAGCTGCAACATGTTCACGATCATATCGCAAGGAACCATCTGACAGAACTTGCCAACGCGGGATTGGACGTCAAGCCCGGCCAAGGCGGTGACTTGGCCAAGCGGATTCGCGACAGCATCATGCCCTCGCTCATGTGCCTTCGACCACCTCCGGTACTCGAGCCAAGCAATCAAGTCGCAATTCATCCTGAGATAGATAAATTCATCTTTCCAATCGTGGGTGGTATCAGAGCATATCACGTTCGGTAAGCCTGGCCCGTCTCGCTCGCTAGCATGCTAATGTCGACACTGTAGTTGCGATTCCTATCTAGTCTGTACCACACCAGTCACGCGCATCGGTCAGCCGGCGCAAGGCGCATGCGGACGTCTGCTCTGGAACGCAGAATTCGCAGACCGCGCAAAGCAAGGCTGTCGACAGGCTGGTCACCGACAGCGTCTAAGGCGCGTGCATGCGCCAGATGGCTTCTTCGTGCAGTTCTACAACTTTGCCGGCAATCCAGGCATCGCCAGACCCTTGCTCGTCCGGCCAAGTCAGATCTGCGTTGACGCTGCCAGACGGACACTGGTGGGCGCTCATGTATAGCTCTACGTCAATCTATGTTGTTGGCAGCAATGCGAATCGTGAGCCAGTATGATAAAGAAGCGAGATAGCTCAATGAGCTGTCATGGCAGCAGCAGCAAGAGCAGTATCCGTCTTTTGAGGCACGATGCCGGCGGTCGTATCGTGATTCTTGCCAGACTGACCAGCTCCGCCGTGACTCCAGATCTATGACGAAGGTGAGCACGCCGACGCAGCCTACAGATCAGCGACTGACGATAGCCCTTTCTTCCATCAAGGTCTTGTAACGGAAAGCGACGCGGGTGTTCGGCACGTTGGTCTTTCGGATGTCATTGCCAGCCGGACCTGGCAGATAGTAATCTTTCCCAATCCAGTGTCGCTTCACTTGCATTTCGAAGCCGCTCTGTAGGACAGAATTGCGGGCAAGCTCGCACATGTCTGTCCGGGGTTCAGCGAGATGCATTGCTGAAGCAGATGACATACCTGCAGGGGAGAGCTTGAAGATCTGTGCGGCAACGCTGTACTCTTCGATCAATGGCTCGCGTGTCAGACTGAACATGAGCGGATCGTCACTACTGAGGCTGATATTGAGGCCGGTTCGGAAAAAGGCGGGCGCGGGATTGCGTTCGTACATGAGGAAAAGCGCATTGTTGCTCAGAGGCGACATGGCGATTCCGATCTGTTTGAGGTAGTAGAGATACTGTAGGGCTGGCACCTTCCGCAGCAGAATGCCGTGAGAGATCGAATGAGAAGTCAGAAAGGCGGAGGTAAGGTGGTCGGTGTCGCCTGCCTCTCCGGCATGTGGCCGCAGCACGAATGTATCTGCTTGCACACCTTCAGTATGCCTACAAGATGTAGGGCGCCACGTACTAAAGCCTCGCTCTTGCCGCCAGCAGTTTAGGCTCGTCATGTTCGAATAGAGATAATAGAGCCAGTAGTTGTACGGCGGATTTTGATTTGTCGTCCATTGAGCCGGAAATGGATACTTGCGATAAATCCTACAGTCGGGTCAATCGGCGTGCACTACGCGTGCAAGCTGCGCACCTCTTCTCCGCTTTTGACTCGTCGTCGACGCTATCGAAACCGATGACACGCTGTAGGAATATGTGCAGCTCGGGGTGGGTCGTGGGATCCTGAGTGACTTCAAACAGCGGCCGGAAGACATCTGCGCGAGTACGGGTCAGCGACAGCGGGCGACGAGACGATGGGCGTACTTTGCAAGACTTCCTGAAAGCTGGTGACCGTCCCACTCGCCTTAAAAATGTCGTACAATCGCGGGACTTGGATGAGCCACCGCACATTGTCTGAGAAGAGGCCGTTGTTGACGATCCATTTCGCCAGCTTGTCCCATTCGGTTGTGCTCCTACGCAGCGCAGATCGTAAGAGACCGCAGCAGTGTGAGCGGATCGTCTTACCGGCCGTAGATAGAGATTCGATACTCCGCCATCTGATACTTTGTTATGCCCAAGTCGTCCATCACCTCTGCATCATTGTCAGCTTTATTCACTGTCTCTCGATGGTCCGCACCTTTGGTGAGCTCAGCAAGATAGCGACCTGCTGCAAGCTGAGTGGGAGGTCCCTGCGAGCTGTGCAGACGCACCTTGTATGAAATTGTCGGTCTTGAGAAAGATCTCTCTGAGTCGCGATTCGCCGATGGGATTGTACTTCAGATTGAATTTGTCGAAGCGATGAAAGGAGTCTTTGTGCGCGTGCATATCTAGCGTATCAATGGATAGATCGTACGCTGTCAAATTGAGCGACTGGAAGACTTGCGTTAGTGTGAGCTCTTTGCCGTCCCGGAAGATGACGACATCCTGCAAGCCCAGATTAGCCGATTCTCAAGCGGTGATGGGCGTCGCACGTCTGGACTATGCTTCATCTTTGATTTGATGAAGCGCAACAGATGCTTCTGATTCATGCAAGCCGAATGATGCACCTATGTGGCTTATATCAGCCGGACGTCAAGGTCTCGACGACTGAACGCACGTGAGTGTCGACCTTTCGGCAATTGTAGAAATCTCTGAGCAGTACAGATGCTAATGAGCACAAGCAGCATGATAAGCGCGTCGATTACCTATGCGGTACTCGCTTCATGTCGGCAAGCTCTTGGTACTCATTGAGAAGCAGGTACAAGTTCCATTTGCTTTCGAGGTATTTGAGCCGTCGCCAAGCGAACGACTTTGTCGGCCCATCAGAGATGACGCCGAGAATATATTCGAGATCCAGAAAATATTGCTTCAGGGTCGGCACGGTATACAGGGGCTGCTTGCTCGCTGGATCGCTTGCGTAGACTTGATAGACTCCCGAGGCATCCATTGCGAATGAATGATGCAGAGATCCTGCTGCTCGGCCAGGTATCTCACAATCTGCACGATCGAATGGTTTGCGCTCGATCGGTGCCGGATCGCCGACGAGCTGCGGTCTGCTAGGGTCTCGTGCCTTCCAGTGTGGCGGTGGCGGCGGCGGATAGATCTTCCACTTTTCAAAGCGTGAGCTTCGCGGCGCATTCGAAGTCGATGACTCTGGTTGATAGCACGCTTGGGCAGATGTATCGACGGCTGCCGATGTCGTTGTGCTGTTTGGATCGGGACAAAAGTCGCCGTCGTAATTGGCAGGATTGTCTTCGAGTCTTTGACACGACAGTCGGATGTACTTTTCGCGCAAGTCTAGACACTTTTGGAAGGAGGCATAGAGCGCTTGGAGCTCGCTTGTCATATGATCGGCTACGTCTGTCTGCATCAGCAGGAGTCGAGCATTGCAATGGGCCAGCAGACCTCCGACAAAGCCATCGTCGATTTCATTCTCATGCTCGACATGCTGATTGAACAGAGGCCCTTTGGTATTGCTTGCCGGCGAAGGTCCATCGAGCGTGTCGAGGTCATCAGGCAGAGGCGCGATGATGCCATCGCTGTCAAGCTGGCACGCTATCCGCTTGCTCTCCGACTAGAGACCCATCCTCAGTACGATCGAAGTGGATATCAACTCAAGCTGACATGGATGAGCGTCTTGTCTTCCGTATAGTCGTAGAAGGGATGGGCCTGTGGGCTGCTCGGGGCACTGATGCCGTTGACTGCCGCTGCGCCAAATGTTGAAAGACGGTCGTTCAGTCCTGGACGTGGAGTTGGCGTGGGTGACAGATTGCCGGGCGATAGAGGTCCTGGACTGCTAGGTTCTCTGAGCTCGACTTGTTCATGCCCATTTGCTTGCAGTCGAGGACCCGGAGGCATCCTAGCGGCGGCGCTGCTGGCCAACGACACGCTATCTATCGATTATCGCGTCGTCGTCCAAGCCGTCGAAGAGCTCGAAGAAAGCCACGCGACGATCAAGCTTGTCGAGCTTGTCCCTCCAATGTCTCTGCCTGAATGGCTTCCCATCGACGAATCAGTTCCTCATCAGCTCCTCACACTCGTCTTTCCGGTCCGACAAGGTCATGTCAGTATCGTTGATACCAAGCCTAGCGAGATCTCAGTGTGGCGCAGGTTTTGCTCGGCATGAAGCGACGTGGTAAGCTCTCGGCCGTCCCGCTGACTGTCAATTCAATCATCGGCGCATAGGCTTCGGATCAGGGCTCTACAATGGATTCGGCGGCAAGGTTCACGCGGACGAGACTGTTGTCCAAGGCGCAGCTAGGGAGCTTCTTGCAAGTCACAGCAGCTCCGGTCAATGCCGGGCTGACCAATGACCAGACCTTTCAGGAGGAAGCTTGCATAACGTCGGCAGATCTCATTTATGCTGGCAAGCTCTTCTTTGCATTTGAGACACAGCCTCGCCTCATGGAAGTCTTTGTATTCCTCTGCGAACAATGGACTGGCGAACCACACATGTACGCGACGCGCTCACGTAGTACCTCAAGTTACACTGACATGGGATCCAGTACCGATGAGATGCAGCCCGAATGGTTCGCGCTCGACGGCGTGCCCTTTGATCGCATGTGGCCTGACGATGTCCTGTGGCTCGACGCGCTTTTGCGGACCAAGGCGCCCGTGCTGGGTCGGGTCGACTTTGCGCTGCCCGAAGAGGGCGCGCGTACTGAGGACGGACGGTTGCGGAGATGCTCCTTCCTCGACGCGGGAGATGCACGGACGAGCGTGGCGGCGCTGGGCGTCACACGAGAGGCCCATGCTCAATCGTTTGGAACGACCCCTGTATCTGTCCTCCCCCCAGACCCTTCGATATGAAATATCAGAAAGCCTGTCTGGTTGCACTTGCTGCCTCTGTCATCGGCACACATGCATCGCTGGATAAGCGTCAGCGCCAGACGCCTCTTCAGCAGGTCATGCAAATGAAGACAAAGACCCTCGCCTCAGATGGCGGATCAATCATCGACCAAACTGTTATCATCGATGGCATGAACATCCGCTTCCGCGTAGCAGCGCCAGCTTCGGCTTTCGTTACGCCGCCACAAAGCCAGGCCGGCACGCAATCGACAGCGATGACCGGTCAGACCTTCACATCCTCGCGCAAGACAAACGCTACAGCTTCGCGTGCTGCTTCCAACCTCGGCCTCAACGTCTTGCTGCACGGCGATGGAGGCCAGTCATTCATCGCCTTTCCGAACCAAGATAGCCGAGCCGGACTCATCGGCGTTGCTGTTCTCGCCCCCGACGCTCAACTTCATTGGGGCGGTGAGGTAGCATTCTATACTATGTGACCATCTGCTAATGGGCCGTTGTAGGAGGGAGCGGCGTCAACAGGCCCAACTCGGCGGCTCAGACGCGTGCGCTTCAGACACTCGTCACTCAAGTTCTGCCTCCTCTCGTCAGCTTTGACAGCTCCAAAGTGTACTTCTCTGGCGTATCGGGCGGAAGTATACTACTGAGCTCATTTGTACTGCCTATGCTCGCTGGACCGCTACAAATTCGCGGCGCGCTGATGTCTTGTGGCGGACTTGCGCCCAAGACTGACTTTGTGGACGCAGCAAAGGTTCTGCCGAATCTTCGCGTACATTGGCAATCCACCACCGCTGAGCTTGACTCGCTCAAACAATCCATACCGCCTGCCCTGACCGCGTACGAACAGCTCGCGGCAAGCGCAGGCATGACAAAAGAACAGATCAATCGCCTTCAGACTGCCGATGCAACACCCACTGGCGGACACTGTGCTTTTGACGGCCGAGACTTTGAATCTGGCGTTGCTGCTCTCATGTCTGATTACTCGTCAGTCATACAGGGCGATGGCTCAGTGCGAGGTTTGCAAGGCATCAACAATGTCGCAAAGGGCGTCATCGGTCAGGAACGTTTGTTTGCATAGGTGGTGATCATGCATATCAGCCCTCATGAGAACGGTGGCGCCCGCCGTGCCGCGCTCTGGGCTGAGGTCTGAGCGTTCTGTCTGCTCGTGCTCGCGGCTCTGACGCGTGTCGACGCCACCCGTGCCGCGAGAGCTTGCGCGAGCGAGCTCGAAGTCAAACTCGTCAGACCGCCAGCATGGACGCGGATCTGATCAGCTTGGTCAACAAGCTACAAGATACTTTCAATGCCATTGGTTCGCTCGGCGAGGTTTTCGCGCTGCAAAGAGCTCAAGGCTTGTCACAGGCGGTGAAACGGTCGACTTGCCCCAAATTGTCGTAGTCGGCTCGCAAAGCTCCGGGTCAGTCCACCTCTGTTGGCGAGGCTAGCACTGACAAGGCTTCTCGCGAGTACAGCAAATCGAGTGTGCTCGAGACGTGCGTCCTTTGCTCGAGGTAGCTCTGCTTTAGCTCACACGCAGATGAAGCATCGTTGGGAGAGACTTCTTGCCTCGGGGCTCAGGCATTGTGACGAGGCGGCCGTTGATCCTGCAACTCGTACATCTTCCGCCGTCTCAGCCAGCTGGACCGCCTTCTCCGGCGACCGGTGTCGCGAGCAGCTATGCCAGTCTGCCGACATCCTCAAAGATGCCAGTACGGTCAGGCAGGTCAACGCCTAACGCGCCGGGAGGCTCGCCCAACCTACCCGCTGCTCCCTTCCCGCCTGCTTATAATGGAAGCTCCTCGTCCTCGGCATACAGCGCGCCGGCTATGGCACGCGAGTACGGCGAATTTTTGCATACCGACAAGCGGTTCTATGACTTTGCAGAGATGCGAAGGGAAGTCGAGCAAGAGACTTTCAGGGTCTGCGGGCAGAACAAGGGCGTCTCGAGGCTGCCTATCAACCTCAAAGTCTACAGCGAACGCGTGCTCAACCTGACATTGGTCGACTTGCCCGGCCTGACAAAGGTGCGCCAGAGGCTGCTGGACGCGTGCAAGGCTTAGTGTTCCACAGATCGCGATTGGAGATCAGCCCAGCGATATTGAGAGGCAGATCCGCAGTCTTGTACTCGACTACATCTCAAAACCCAATTGGTTCGTCGTGCAATACGACTCCAGTTTGGCTGCAAGCTTACATCGTAGCACAGTGTGATACTGGCTGTATCGCCTGCAAACGTCGACCTTGCCAATTCCGATGCACTCAAGCTTGCTCGCTCGGTAGATCCGCAAGGCAGGCGAACGATCGGCGTCCTCACAAAGCTTGATCTAATGGACGCCGGTACAAACGCGCTCGATATTTTGACTGGCCGCGTGTACCCGCTCAAGCTTGGCTTCATCGGCGTTGTCAATCGCAGTCAGGCTGACATCAACAACAACAAGTCCATCAGCGATGCTATTGACGCAGAGGCCGACTACTTCAGGAATCACCCAGGCTATCGCAATATTGCGCATCGCTGCGGCACGAAATATCTCGCAAAGACCCTTAACCAGGTCTTGCTGGGTCATATCCGGGATAAGCTGCCAGACATGAAAGCTCGCCTCAATACGTTGATGGGTCAGACTCAGCAAGAATTGAATGCTTTCGGCGACTCGGCTTTCCTGGGCGAACAGCACCGCGGCTCACTCATTCTCAAACTGATGACACAATTCGTTCGCGACTTCACGGCATCTATCGATGGCACCTCTTTCGAGATCTCCACGAAAGAACTCTGCGGCGGCGCGAGGATCTACTACATCTTCAATGATGTTTTCGGTCACGCTCTCGAATCGATCAACCCAACCCAGAATCTGACCATACAAGACATCAGGACAGCGATCAGGAATTCGACGGGCCCAAGACCGAGCTTGTTTGTGCCCGAGGTCGCGTTTGACTTGCTTGTCAAGCCTCAGATCAAACTGCTCGAGCCGCCAAGTCTGCGCTGCGTCGAGCTTGTGTACGAGGAACTCATGAAGATCTGTCACAACTGCACGAGTACTGTGCGTCGATTGCAGAGCCTTCTGCGTACGCTAATCAGGCAAGCCACAGGAGCTACAAAGATACCCCCGACTGCATGCTCAGCTGATCGAGGTCGTGTCAGAGCTATTGCGCGAACGGCTCGGACCGACGTCAGAATATGTCACGAGTCTTATCGCTATTCAAGCGGCGTATATCAATACCAACCATCCCAACTTTGTCAGTGGTTCAATTCATCCCGAGCCAGTAAATCATCATCATGCGCGCTCGGCCCCAGCTGCAGCGTCGGCGGTCACTCGCAAGCGTCAGCAAAGCGAAGGAAAGATGTTGCCGCATGAAGACGTTGTGCTGCATTCGAGCGAGGAAGATGACGATGCGGTGACCGGATTGCCAAATGGCTCCCATAGACCGGCATCTGCCGCGTCTGACAAGGGCCGCTCGATGTCGTCATCTGTACACGACCGCTCTGCTGCGAATCGCAGCGTCCCCGGCGCATCACTCCTACAGCCGTCGGTGCCCCCCTCGGCGGAAGCCACGCACGCAAACGTGCAGCAGACTGCAAAAGATTCATTCCTTAATTACTTCTTCGGCGGTCAGGCTGCGCAGCACAACGCTGCAGTCTCTCGACCTCGCAGCGCGCCCGGTTATGGAGACTTCGACCACCACCGAGCTGACAACCCCCTCACCGGGCGTCGAGGCCTCGAAGGCAGCGCAGCCGCTTTCGACATGAAAAGCCTCGAAAAGCATCTCGAAGCCGTCAGTTGCGTCTCTAATTAGCGAGGTGCTGCTGACACTTCTGCCGCAGGCACCACTCGATCCCACATTTCACATGACAGATCGGGAAGAGATGGAGACGACGCTCATTCGCTCTTTGATATCTTCCTACTTTTCCATCGTGCGGCAAACCATACAAGATACTGTGCCGAAAGCGATCATGCACCTCCTCGTCAACTTCAGTCGAGAGAGCATTCAGACTCGCCTCGTTTCGTCGCTCTACAAGGAGCCTATGTTTGCAGATCTGCTCTACGAAGACGAAAGTCTCACGGCCGAACGAAAGCGTGTCGCGGCGTTGCTAGACGCCTACCGCAAAGCCTTCCAAGTGTTGTCCTCTGCCTGAAGAGATGCATCGTTTTGAAGCCAACGTGGGCCTTAGCGCACCGCGCATCTCCCGTCGCGCCCAAAGCGCAAGTCAGCTTGCCGCCCGGCGACAGAATGGCTAGCGAGACCTCGCCGCTGCTGGGCTCGAGCAAGCCCAAGTCTGCACACACCGGCGAGGATAGTATCGATGATGCCGGCCGGACGGTCAATGGCATGAGAGATGCGCTGGCGGAGACGCTGCGCCGAAGAGGTTATGTCATTGCGGCCGAGTATGTCAACCCGATCAGCGGCATTGAGCTGGATGCCTACCGGCCAGAGATCATCTGGGAGCCATGTTCGGGAGCTCTCGATCACATATTCCCAAGCAAAATCGAGCAGGAACCGTCCAGCAGCGCAATCAGATCGGCCCACACTGCGGCAGATGTACCGTCAGACCCAGCCCTGTTCGTCATCGGAGCACTCCATCTCCTTGAGGGCGTACTCGCGGTGGATCAAGAGCCTAGTCCGCTCACCTCACTCGCTCAGAGCTTAGCAATGCAAGAACGACTGCGAGTGACCTCAGATCAGCTTGCGCAGCTGGCACGTATCGCCTTTGTCTCGTCCCTGACCATACTGCAAGATGCGCCATCTAGTTTGCCAATACAAGATCTTGATAGGGTTCTCATCGACCTGCTCTGGCGACAGTATCCCGTGACGGCCAATGCGCCCAGTCACAGAGTTTCGAGTGCGTTTGCGTGCTGGCATTAGTGTCGTGCTGAAGTGACTTGCGCCTGTCAGCTGCCGATGCACTGGCTGCATTGCTCTCGTCGCCACCCATGGAGCCATACACACTTTCCCTTCAGAGCTTTGCTGCGCTGCCAGCAATGACAAGCATCACCGAGCATTCGTGGAACTCAAGTCCTCAGACACCCTCCTCGAAAAGCTTCTGGAGCATCTTTGACAGACTCGCTCAGCCATGGTATGCACAGCGACAAGTGCGCCCAATGTCTGTGCTGAGCCTGTGTGCAGCCTATTTCATGCGCAGTGCCTCGTATTGCACACACTCTATTTGATCATGATCTTACACCTTGCCCTGTCATCCGAATACAAGGTCGGTCGCGACACATCGGGTGTTACTGTAGCTGAACGGAAACACAGCACTATCACCACATCAATCCTCTCGTTACTTGGGGCATCAAGGGTGCGGTGGGCGAGAAACCAAGAGGTTCAGGGCGTCAGACATTCATCATGGGCGCAATGTGGTGGCTCTTTGTCGTCGTCAGTATTGGCTGGGGTACAGAGGTCTGCAGAGCAATAGTGAGATGGCTACGCAGTGCGTGGCCTCAATGCTGATGCGCCAATGCAGATCAAAGGGCCACTTCGCCGATCACTATCGTTTCAGTCGGGCAGCTTGCCCGCTGGCTCTCTGCCCCCGCTCATCGGTCACAGTCTCGTCACACTATCTGTCTTTCTGCGACTATTCTCAATGGGCAAGACCAGCCCTGTCAATCTTTCTTATACAATGCTCGCCTGGTCTTTGCCGTTCTTGGGCGCATCGATTTGCATCTTCCCATCTGGGCTGCCCAACCTCAATCCGTCCTTCCTACATCTTCGGCCGGAGTCATTGCTCCGCCGCAAGCCGAGTCATCAACCTCCCACTGGTCTTCCAAACGCTGCACTGCTGCAACGAGTCGTCTCTGCTCGCTTATCGGGCCTCCGCCATACAAGTGCGTTCCTGCTACTTACGGTCATCCTGCTCAGCGTCAGCCTGAGCGGTCAAGTTGACATCTACGATCCCGAATCGATCGGTGAAGCGATTCCGGATCTACTGGGCGGGCTGCTACCCGGCTTTCTGCCGACAGCATTCCCTTCGCGCGTCAGCATACTCGATGACTCGCGCATTGGTCGTGTGGCGCCAATGGAAGCGCGCTCCTCACTCGTTCTTGCCTTGCTCTTCGTCAGTCGCACTCGACGGGATGTCCGAGCCGCGCTAATCACAGATAGCAGGGTCTGGTGACCGCGTGGATAGCAGGTGGAAAGAAGTTTGAACTAGAGCTCGAACGAGGCATGCATAACGCCAGCGATCAAGATTCGTACACACTTGGCTATGGTAGCACGATTGCGCGACTAGCGCGACTCGATCGCGTTCGAGTTGTCCGCTATTTCAGCTACGACCCTCGCGACCCATACGACGACCTACCTCTTGCGAGCCCGCTCAATCTACCCTCCTTTTTCCTTAAGGACATTCCGTGCACAATTCTAAAGGTATTGCCAAGCGCACGAGCTAATCGTGCAGGCACGCGATGGAAAGCGTCCGTCAACCTCTGGATTTGGCGCCTTCTCGTTGCGCCTGGCCTCATCGTCGTTGGCGGCTTCACGACCCTGTTGTTGAGACGATAAGCTGTATATGGTTAGCGTGGAGCCAGCCCAATGCGAAAAGCTTTCTCTGTTGTCTGTCGCGACATCGTGGCATATCTTGAGCTTGTCTATATATTTGCAACCTGCAATGTGCCTTACGCGACAGATTGGCGCAGACGGCTAGCGCGTGGAGCTGTTAAGCACTCTTTGACACTCCGAGGTCCTGAGATCGAGACTCAGATTTGTCGACTTTTTGCTGCTCTTTCCACCTTTTTGCCGCTTAGCACAGTCGATAGGAGCCTTCTGGGGTCGATTGATTCTGAAAGAAGCGTGTCGACATTGCCTGGATAGCTGGGGGCGGCTGAGTTTATCATTTGACGCGTTCGTTTACCGGGTCGCCTACTGCGCTTAGGGTCGCCTACTGCGCTTAGCCGGCACCGCCGACGAGCGGCATGCCTGACAAACCGGAGCTACAAGTCGATACAAAGAATGGTCCCGTTCTAGGCTTCAGAGATGTCTTTCCACTCGGCGAGCACTCGGGCTATCCTGGCTCACCTGCAAAGCACGACAAATCTCATCATCGGCCGGCTCTACGTAAATGGCTAGGCATACCATTTGCTCAGGCCGAGCGATGGACGAGACCCAGAGCGCCAGAGCCTTGGACAGAACCTCTACAGGCATACGATTATGGCGTAGCGCCACCGCAGCCGCCGTCCACATTGACAAAGATGTTTGAGGGCAAGCAAGGTGTCTACATGCGAAGTCATTACAAGCAATCGGAGCATGGCTGTCTAACCCTCAATGTCTTCGCACCTGACCTGCCCAACGAACAGATGAAAGGCTTGCCTGTCTTGCACTGGCAATATGGCGGCGCCCTCAATACCGGCTCGTGCGATCGAATGTCGTATGACCCCACTGAATGGGTCAGGCGGCAGCAAGCAGCAGGCGAGCCCGTCATCATTGTCACCTCAAACATGCGCGTCAATATCTATGGCTTCTTCGCCCATCCAGACCTTGCCAAGGTGGATCCGGACGGCCTGGCAGGCAACTATGGGCTGTACGATACAATAGCTGCACTCGAATGGACGCGCGACAATATAGAGGCATTCGGAGGAGACGCGAACAATGTCTGTGTCGTCGGAGAGTCAGCCGGAGCTTTCGTGATTAGCCAGCTGCTTGTGTGCGGTCGCAAACTCTTCACACGCGCAATCTTGCAGTCCGGTTTCGCCGCCACTTGTCCCGTGGCACCGCTTGTCGAGCAGTACTCCTATCGCTGGTATCCACAATTGCTCGAGCTAGCCGGCGTAGACGTCGAATCCTCGACCGCAGTCGAACGCGTCGAGGCACTGCGCAAGCTAGACACTGACACGCTCAATGAATGGATCATGGATCCTCAGCGCATGCACCAGTGGGGGATGGTACTCGAGAGTGGGAGTCAGGCTATATGGCGAGAGCCGACTAATCTCAAGATTGAACGAGGCGAGATTGATCCGTGGGTCGAAGAGATCATACTCGGCTGCAACGAGGATGAGGGCACCTTATTTTGCTACTCCATGCAGGTAAACAGACTGATGTTTTGGCTGTGCTCCACTGATGCCATATGTAGCTCTGGAATCGAGAGAATCTAGAGCGCAGACTGGCGTTGACGTTCGGCAACGATTTCGTCAAAGCAGCCGAAGAAATGTATCCACCCACGCCAAAAGATCAGAGACCGGAAGAGTTCACGTCGATGAGTGAGTCTCACCTCATCGGCGATTGGATATTTCAGAGCCAGTGCTTCCATATGGCGCAAAGCCTGGCTAAGCTGCGCAAAACTACGGTGCGGCTGTATCGCTATCAGCAGACAGTGCATCGCTTGTTCGACGGCTATGGTTTCGGCTCAATGCACGCCGCAGAACTCACCGTCCTCTTCAATTGCGACAGTCTTTGGGAGAAAGAATCGGTCGAGGCCAAGACGTCACAGGCAATCGGCTCACGATGGGCAGCCTTTGCCAAGGGCGCAATCTCGGATTGGCCGTTATATGAGCCAGATAGCGCTCAAGCGCTCTATTTTAAGGCGGACGGTTCTACCAAGATTGGGGACCTGAAGCCAGACGAGCAGAAACAGGCTCTATGGATAGGCGCTCTACTAGGCGTATCGCGCAAGATGATCGGCAAGTAGACAATGCATTACATGCGATCTAGGGGCGTCACGCTGAGCAACTTGAGGGCGCTGTTGAGCACATCTCGTGCGCAGGAATACAGATACAATCGAGCGAGCGCAACGTCTGGTGCAGAACCTTTGACGATCAACACCTCCCAAGCCGAGCTGATGGCATGACATAGCTTGAAACAGAACGTGACGATCGTCGATGGCTCCTGCGCCTTGACGGCCATCCTGACGACGTCCGGGTAGGACGCAAGCATCATGACGATATCATGTGACTTTGGATCTTCGAGCAAGTCGGTATTGATTTTGCTTGCCCGTTCGTCATATGGCGGCAGCAAGGTCTCTGGTGCTGCTTTGCGCTCGACTGACGATAACCTGACGTGTGCGTACTGCAAGTAAGGTCCTGTGTCGCCTTCAAAGGATGTCATGCGATCGAGATTGAAGTCGTAAAAGTTGATACGCTTGCCCGACATATCTTGGATCTTGATGGCAGTCATACCAATCTCGTCGCTTGTCCTTTCTGGATCCGCAATCTGCGCATACTTTTCGGCATTGGACCTCATCTGCTCATGCATGCGCTCTTTGGCAGCGTCGAGGATCTCTTCAAGGAATTTGACTTCGCCTTTGCGAGTGCTCATGCCTCTGACCATACCAAAGTTGATGTGCTGCAGGTCTTTCGACCAAGCATATCCCATCAGGTCTAGTACCTTGAAGAATTGTGCAAGGTGTAGATCTTGCTGAGATGCGACGACGTAGATCATCTTGTCGAACTTGTACTTTTCGTATCTCTCGACGGCGCCGCCAATGTCCCTGGTAATGTAAAGCGTCGTGCCGTCTCGCTTCATCACCGGCGTCTTGCCGAGCTTGTACTTCTCTAAATCGATGAGCAAGGCGCCCCTCTGGTCGTGCACAATGTTGTCTTCTTTGAGCTTGCGAACCGCGGCTGCTTGTGATTCTGCAGATACGAGTGACTCGCCAGCGTAGATGTCAAAGGTGATGTTGAGACGAGCGTAGACTTGCTTGTACTTTTCAATCGAAAGATCGCGGAACTCTCGCCACAAGGCGAGACTCTCCTGATCGCCTGTTGCTGCCGTATCAGTCACAGCCACGAGATACGCGACGATGCATGACTGACCATTTTCCATACCCGCAAAGAATTTTCGAGCCTCGTTGTGGATGGCAGACTCTTCTTTCGCTGCGTCGACCTCTGGCTTCTGGGGCTCCTCGTCGGGCGCGTACTCCTTGCCTTGGGCCTCTGCTTCGGCCTTGGCGGCGGCTCGCTTCTTCTGGATGATCTCCTGCACTTCTGCCTCTGCGTCTCTGTTGATCTGGACGTAAATGTCGAACAGATGCTTGATTGCGTCTCGCTCGAGTGCATCACGCGAGCCTATCTTCCGGAATGCTACAGCTAGTAGACCTGCACAAGGTATGCTCGTCAGCGACATCGAAAGAGTCAGTGCGAAGCACTCGCCGAATTGCTTTCCCCAATCGCCCAAGTAGTTCATGGTGGTGACATCCCAGCCGCAGGCGCGATAGAGATTGGCGAGGAACATGCCGATGATCGTACTCCTCAAATGGCCCGCATGGAAAGGCTTGGCGATGTTTGGACTGGAGAACTCGACGATCATCTTCTTGCCCTTGCCTGATGCGTTGTGACCGTAGGATCCTTTGACCGGCGCGAGATGGGTAAGCTGGGTGATCTGGTTGAGGACGAGTCTCTGCAGCGTCGTCCGGCGATATGTGTACTGGAGCACTCCTCCAGCGGCAATACAAGCCGTCAGGTAATCGTCCGGAACAAACTGTGGCTTCATTTCATGAGCACGACGTTATGTACGCTCTGAGGAGGGGACGTGCCTTTGCTGCAGCAGCACTCGCATGATCTTGCGGCTTGCCCTTCAGTCTGAACCGGGCTACGGGTATCGTAGCATCCGAGACCTTTCTGCCGTGCTCGCACGCCTCTAGCACGACGTCTTCATTGAGCTCGAGCGCTTTCGTCAGGTGACGGGCGATGGCGAGTTTGAAGAGGTCAAGGGATGAACGGGAAGGATCGATGAGCGTCGAAGAGCTGTGCAATGGTTCGACGCCAGAGAAGAGTGGATCGTTGAGCCATGACGACGTTGAGGCCTCGGCCATGCTCCTATGGTCGCTCTTTGCGCGCAAGCTCGTTCCCGAGCTGAAACAAGCTATTGTCGGCCTGATGGTAGCGCCAAGAGGTCTCAAGCTGATCGCTCTGCTCGTCAGCCGTCCTAGCACTTGCCCACGCCTGCAAGCAATCGTTCTCAAAATTTTGTTGCTCACACTTTTTGGACTTTTGCGACATGCGACGCGCCCGTGGTGGTCAGGAGGAAGAAGCCCGGACGATCGAGCACAGAGGCACTCAGGGAGCAGACTACGAGGTCCAGAGATGCAAGGAATGATCATAGAACGAGCAGCTCGCTATCACGTCGTTCGTCGTACCTTCATCGTGAGACCAATCTGCGCCGTAAGCGAGCGACTCGTGGCCATCGAAGCGCGTCGTGACTTTTGCACTCGTCTGATCCTCGTCCAGGCTGAGGACCTTGAAGCCTTCGTGCATGCCAGCCGCGAGCAGCATATTGTGTCGGCTGGGGTGCCATTTGAGTCGCCAGAGACCGCCAAGCTCGGAAGCTGCGACGACGCCTTTCATCGAACGGTTATCGAACAGCCGCAGAGAACCGTCGTAGCTGTGAGTCTCATCAGACGAATCGAGCAGCAGTCGAACGAACTGGACCACACCTTCCTACTGCAAAGAGGTGTTCGTCATGAGGATTGCTCTGAATGGAGGTGACGCCGCCATCAAACCTGCGCAGCTAGTCTCCAGTGGGCGGCACAGATAAAAGCACAATTGCTGACCTCTTGTTCACCATGACCGGTTCGGTGAAGCTCGAGCGGGTGTCCCATACTTTGAGCTTGCAATCATCGCCGCCTGCGTGCGCTAATCAGGCGTCATACAGATCGGTACGGATGAAGCGTACCTGTCCAGACGCAAGCCGGCTGCCAGTAGTCAAACGCTGCTATCCAGGGCTACGATCTGCTCAGCTTGGCAGGACACGTGTCTGGACTGCTTTGGCTGACCTCAAAGTCATGCGCGCGCCACGTCTCCGTAATGCAGAAGTCGGCAGCTCCATCGAGCAATGCGATCGAGCCATCCGAAATGGAGCAAACAATCTTGACGTCGCTGCAAGCAAATGCAGGTGAGCATAGTCACGAGTATGTGAAAGCATTGCGGACGATTCAGAGAGACGATTGGACCAGTCCAGCGAGAGCACGAGCTTATCAGCCTCGGCGCATTGAACCTTTGTCAGATCTCGCAAGCGCCACTGCATGTCACTTGAGCGCAAGTCAGCGCATCAGAACCGTGGCCCACCCTGTCTTGCGAACTTCGATAGAGCTCGTGGAGTGCGATGCGACCCTTTGCGTCCGCCAGAGCGACTCGGGCAGCGTGATGATCCCTTGTTCGTGCGGCGTGAGTCTGCGCAGCGGATCTGTGAGTCTCACATACCACTTCGTGTCGAGTATGGCGGGACCATCGAATTTCTGCAGCTCCGTGCTGATCGGACAAGCTGTGAGTGGGTGCACGCAGAGAGAACAGATAGCGGGCTGACAGACTGCATTGCGCGTCTACGTCGTACAAGAGACACCGGCCGAGTCTGACCGTGGCCGGTGAAGCATCGTCCGTCTCGCCGAGCGCTGACTCATCTGGAGCGATCTGATAGGTCCCACAGAGCAGCAAAGATGGTACGGTAGGGCAGAATTCGACAGAGTCAGCGCTGTACTCCGTGTCGACGTGAGCAAGCGATTGTGCCTGACGAGGAGACATTGCGCGGTTGCAGTTGAGGCGATCATGATGTCGCTACCATAGCTTGGGAGTGCACATACAAGAAAGGCAATCAACGAGCAGGTCACGATTGTCAGAGAAGGCACCGTCGAGCTTGTCGGGGCGCGGCGTGTCACGAGCTGAAGCTGAAGTGCCAGCGCAAGCACTCCGTCAGGCCAGGCATGGTCAGCATGCGCAGCAGGAGAGACGGACCCAAGCTGATGTGACGAGGCGCAGTCCTTCAACGATCTCGAGCGTGGGCAGACCGGCCAAAGGTCCACTAACAACTTTAGCCACGATGATGATAGCGGTCCATCAGCCTTGTCGCTTGCATCCCCAGACAGAGGCTGAGGCTATGGATGACACAGAGACGAGCAACGCCTTTCGATCGTTGGCCAACAAGCTATCCCTCCAGATCTTCAAGATAACCTCAAAGTGAGCTCAGCGGATCCAGCTCGTCTCCCGCGCATCCTCATCAACAGAGCAATGGCAGTGTCACGGGCATCAACAAACTCGTCGAGCTGCTCGGGAGCACGAGGGACACGTCCGACCTGCGAACGAAGCTCCACGACCTGACCGAAGTGACTCGGGATCTCGTCAAGGGCTCAACGGATGAGCTCAAGTTGCTCACCAGCTGGACTCCCGAAAGCGTTCGTCGACACACCGAGCCAGTCGTCTCTGCTGATCCATGCTGCACGAGCAACAGAGGCACCAGAAATTGGAGCAAGCAAAGATCTCGCGCGACTTTCAGAGCGCTATGCTCTCCTTCCAGCGGATACAGCGCGCCAGTGCAGAGAAACAGCGGCAATTTGTAGACCGAGCCCGAGCAGTCGCCAGCGAACGCACTGTCGCTGCTCAGGAAGACGAGTACGTGTCGACGGTGGTTGCAAGGTTGCATGCTGATGCAAGGGCCAGGTATCGCGATGAGAACGACAGAACTAGCGTGGAACTGCAAACGCAAAGGTGCGTTCGAGTACCACATTCCTCGTGACCTGCCCATAGCCTGTCTCATAGACTCGTCACACAACAAGCGATACCCGAAAGCGAGCTCGGCTTCCAAGAGGCCCTCATCGAAGAGCGCGAGGGCGAGATCCGAGAGATCGAGTCAGGCATACATGAACTCAACGAGATTTTCCGTGATCTGGGAACGATCGTACACGAACAGCAAAGCATGATAGGTGAGCTCCCGCGGCCCGTTCAGTAAGGTAACGCTAAGCCCGAGTGACCTCATCAGACAATATCGAGAGTAATGTCATCTCGATAGCCAACTCGACCGAAGGCGCTTCAGAGGAGCTCGTACAAGCGCACCAATATCAGCGCAACGCAGGCAGGCGGAAGCTCTGCCTGCTCGTCATCTTCATCGTCGTCGTGGCCATCGTCTTGCTCGCTGTACTTCTTGCCATTCAGTCCTGGCTCCCACTCGCTGACACGTTGGCGAGCAGATCTTGTCGTAATTCACTGTCCATTGTTTGCACATTACTGGTCTCAACAACATACTGTCTTGCCTTGCTCGCGGTCCGTCAAAATACATACACGACCTGATCAGGTCGAACGAATAGACTTTGCTTGTGTGACCCAGATGGCATGTGTTGCTGGGACTGAGCATCCGCCTCGAAAGCCTCGTGGAGGCGCTTCAGGGCCAACGAGGTGGCAAAGTACCGTATACCATCCACTGATCCGTCCGTCCAACGTACTCGCAAAGCCGGATCGATGTCCTCCTCCATGACCGGCAGGGTCTCGTCATGCACCTCCAAGCCCACCCACGCGCCAGGCGCAAAATGGACCTCGCCCAGATAGTGCACAGAGGCGCGCAGCTTCGTACCCGGTGGATGATCGAGCATGACGACGCAAGGAATGCCTTCGCTGAGCTCAGTACCATGCTCTGTGGGATCCCAGTCGACCGCGGCTGACGTGCGAGGTGAGCCTGTGTCGACTTCGAGGATCGCCTGATTGCTGGTCGATGCTGCGCGTGAACGAGATGTCGTGGCGACAGGAGAGTCGTCGACAGTTGCCAGCTTGCTCATGGCATGCGAAAGTCCATTGATCTGGTGTGTGCCCATGACCGGCGCCGCACTCGTCGGCCGTGCGGCGGTCGTTTTGCGTGATTCATTGATGCGAGGGCTCGAGGAATATCCCGCCAGGCCGAGAGAGCGTGCGTGAGAAGGCGCTTGCGATTCAGACATGGCGCGAGAAGCGCCGCCCTCTCGTCGGGTTGTCCTTATGACGCTAGCAGATTCTGCTCTAGACACCGGCTTACGATACGTCGATATTTTGCTGTCCGTCGACAACAGTCTTGATGGACGCGTAGGATCAGTAGCAGGCAATCTGCTCTTGTGAGGATGCTGCTTAGGCACATGTGCCGTCAAATCAGCCACTGATATATGCAAGGCGTCTGCAATATCCTGCAAATTCGCCGACGACTGATGAGCGAATGAGCCGGCTTGGTGCATAGCGGGCCAGCGAGCTTTGAGGAAGCGAGTAATGCGGTCGAGTGCACGCTCAGACGCTTCGCGCGTGCGTGCCGCACCGTCGTGCTCGATCGTGGCACGATGCTTGCAAAGCGCTACATACGTCGTTGCGGCCGTCTCGATGGTCGGCTGGCTACCGACGGTATCGAATAGCTCCTCGAGCGCATCGTCTGAGAAGTCGACACCACTGAGCAAGGCAGTAAAGCTGGGCGAGCACAAGATATCGTCCAGCGAGGTCTGGACGACCGTAGTGACGCGTTCCGATATGGGTTCGAGCATAGCAGCCAGATGCTGAGCCCAGCTATGCTTGCCGTGAGCATCGATACGATTCTGAAGCGTTCGCTTGGCTCTGATGGCATCGCATAGTGTTGTCGCTGTTGTGTGAGCACAAACCTCAAGAACTAGGCTCTGCTGCGTAGCTTGATCAAGGGCACCGATCTCTTGAGCCCAAGCCTCGCCCCAGGCGGTGGTCACGACCTTGCGAGAGCCTTCTTGTAATCGCCGACAAAAGACATCGGGCGATTCGCAAAAGGCGAAAATCTTTGCTGCTCGTCTCGCTGATGCGCCGGTAAAGTTGCGAAAGCCGTGACACATGGACTCGATCTCCCGTTCGATCTCTGTCTTCAGATCCTCTGAGCCGAGATACTCTGCGCAACGCCATATCTGCATGGCGGTCGCCAAGTCTACTGTCTTGGAAGTAAAGCGGACCGAGCCGCAGTAGAAGTACCCAAGCACGAAATGTATGGCCTGGCGTGTGAATGGTGGCGAAGGCAGGGCATAGGCGTTCTGATGCGAGTCCGCGTAAGGCGACAGAACGAGTGCTGAGAAGTATGTACATCGCGAACAGAGTATAGCGCGATGGGCAGACATAGCAATCCCTTCTGCTGAACCATCATTCTCGTCCTCGATAGTCAGCTTCACATCTGCGAACAATTGCGAGCGCCACAGATAGAGGAAGTCCTGTCGGATTGCTCAGCCCGAGAACGCGCGCAGAAGGTCGGGGACCTACTTCCGAAAGGCGCTCGATGCGCTGGGCTTCCAGGTGGGGCGCCGTGGAGATCTCGTCTGGCTCATCAGACAGAAAGGCGTCAACGTCGCGCAATCTCTCGGCGGTGTAGAAGTAGAGCAAGTGAGCCTTGAGGAGCGCAACATCATAGTCATCCAAGCGCACAGATGTCTTGACTGTCGTGGTCGTCGTGCCGTTGGAAACATGTCGGTCTGATGGTGTGCGTTCGCGCTGATGGTGCTCAGAGGGACTTGCATTCTGCTTGCCGTTCGAATGGCTGGCGGAAGCTAGGAACTTGGCCTTGAAGCGGGCGCTCGAACGAGAGTAGACGATCGCTTTGTGCGCCCATATTTGCGTTCCATCTGCGAGAACCCAGCGCAAATCGCCGAAACGATGCTCAGCGTGTTCGAGGAGCTCGCCGAGCTGTTGCTTCCATTGTCGTCTGCTCGCCGGCAGAGGACGGTCCTGCCTGGGTGAGCTCGCCAGGCCAGCGCTCGTCGTCGTCATCTCATTGTTGGCAAGGCGCTGGCAGGCAGGCTGGCCACGCTCGCTTGTTCGCGTGCCATCGTTGCCACGCGGTCCGGCCATCGCATGCTCCGGCATTGTCTTCGTCCCTCCAAGCCAGCGATACATCTTCGAACGATGGCGACGAGCATCGCCGTCAAGCCAGACGGTACCCCTCTCAGCCAGTCATCTTTGGCCGATGTCAAGGAGCTGTGGTCGACCAGCAAGGCAAAGTCGAAGCACGGCGAGTCTCGCTTGTTCTATGGCGTTGGTGACAGGAAGCAGACTGTCCTTGCACTCGGGGTCGGGGAGAAGGAGCCCAAGACAGAGTATGAGAAGAGAGAAGTCTCCCGCAAGCTCGCCGCCACGGCCGCAAAGCAACTCAGAGATCATGAGGAGTCGATCAAGATCGATCCGGTCTACTCGGCCCATGCTGCAGCAACGGGCGCTCATCTCGCACTGTTTGCCTGGAACCTCAAAACGTCGGACAAGGCAAAGACTGCCCTCGCTACTGCCAAGGCTGCCAAGCTCGAGCTTGCAAGTGACGCATCCATCCAGCCTTTGTCAATCGATGTCGGTCTCGATTGGCAAACGGGCAAGATCTACTCTGAGGCCCAGAATCTCTGCAGAGAGCTTCAGGAGCTGCCAGCCAATCTCTGCACGCCTACTGTGTTCTGCGAGCGCGCCCAGGAACTCTTCAAGGGCCATGCCAACGTCACCCTGAACGTCCATGATGCAGAATGGGCAAAGAAAGAACGCATGAATATGTTCCTCAGTGTGGCCGCCGGCTCGGACGAGCCTTGCAGATTCCTCGAAATCATCTACGAAGGCGCAGTGGACAAGCAGCCTATCGCCTTTGTTGGCAAAGGCATCACCTTTGACTCGGGCGGTATCTCCCTCAAGCCAGGTGCAGATATGAAAGCGATGCGATCGGACATGGGCGGGGCTGCCAATTTACTGTCTGCCCTTCACGCTATCGTGCAACTGAAGCTGCCTGTGAAGATTGTCTTCGTTACGCCCCTCACCGAGAATATGCCGAGCGGAAAGGCTACGAAACCGGGCGACATCATCACCGCTCGCTCCGGCAAGACAGTCGAAGTCGACAACACTGATGCCGAAGGTAATCGCACTCCGTGGAGCATATGTCCACGAGCTGAATGGGTTGAGCAGGTCGGCTTGTGCTCGGAGACGCGCTCGACTATGTCGCAACGACCTATCATCCTTCCACGATTATCGACGCGGCCACACTGACGGGAGCAGCGATGATCGCGCTTGGACAAGTCTATGCAGCCGTGTATGCAAGTTCAGACGACCTCTGGCACGAACTCGAGGCGGCTGGCAGAGCAGAGCATGACCGCTTTTGGCGCATGCCACTGGACGATGAGTATCTCAACTGGATAAATCATACTGGCGCAGATCTTTGCAACACAGGCGGCCGCTACGGAGGCAGTATCACTGCGGCCATGTAAGCATTCCTAGTGGACTGTAAACAGCGGGCTGAGAACACGCGTGCGTCAGGTTTCTGCGTGAGCACGTGGCAGGCTTAGCCTGCAATTCGAAAGATAAAGAACCAACCGATACGGTGCGCTGGGCTCACATCGACACGGCGCCGGTCATGCAGTATACAAAGGCGCTAAACGATTACGAACGTGTCGGTATGAGCGGTCGTCCTGTAAGAGCCATCATCGAATGGGCGCGACAGCAGTCGCAGCGATGATGCACTGAAAAATGTTGTCCATTGAGCTGCAAAGAGTACAAGCATGGCTTTTCGATCCTTTCCCTCTATCTGGTCAAGCTAGCATGGCTTGAGCTCGAAGCCGCTCTGTTCTGTCGGTACTGAGAGGATTCTCATAGTGCTGTTGCAGACAGATGAGCACAGCGCAGACGTTCATGCGAGGTGCTTACTTGGTGTTGAAGCTCTGAGACTTCCAGCCTTGTACTGCAATGACGGTCTGCCCGTGCTTTACGACGCCCAATTGCAAGGCCCTGCTCAGGCCGAAGCGAATGCGGTTGTCAATCTACTCCTGCCGTCAACGATAGCCGTGACAGCATCAACAGAAGCTTACGTCAACTTGCCAGCCCTCGTCAGATTCAGGTCGAGGTTCGGAGTAGAGGAACGGATAGCAGCCGCGATGCAAGTGGATCTGACGAGCAGTTTGGTCATTTCGTGTGACTGCACTCCTATCAGCGCTAGCCGATTGGGTCTATTCGTCGCCGCACCTGTCAGGATGGGCACAGAGGGTCGATATTTGCTGATCAAACGAGCTGTATTGCCGCTTGTGGACATGACGATGATTGCGCCTGCCTTTTGTTCGAGCGAAGCTGCCACTGCCGAAATGGCAACAGTCTCTGTGGTGGCCGTTGGGCGAGGTGTCAGCGAACGGAGTTCGTTGAAGAGAGGAGGGTAGCAGATTGTGGATTCAGCAAGGTAGCATGTCTCTGCCATCATCTGGACTGATACCGCGGCGCAGGCGTTAGCCAAAGCGCGGACAAGATTCCAGGCAACGCTGACCTGCTTGCAAGGGATAAGATCCCTTCGCTGTCTCGCCCGAGAGCATGACGCAGTCTGCGCCATCGAGGACAGCATTGGCCACATCCGACACTTCTGCGCGCGTCGGGCGGGGGTTGTACTATGCGTGGGTCAGCTGAGAGCGCACGCGAGCCCGGGAAGCTGACCGTCATAGATTCAAGCATCTGGGTTGCGCAGATCGAAGGCTTGCCGATGACTTGGCATTTTGCGATCATCATCTTTTGCGCCATGAACACCTGACTTGCCGGGATCTCGATGCCGAGATCACCACGAGCGACCATGATGCCGTCTGTCTCTTTGAGGATCTCATCGAAATTGGCAACGCCTTGAACGGATTCGATCTTGCTGACAATCTTGACGTTCTTGCCCGCCTCGCCAAGGTAACGGCGGATCTCCCTGACATCTTCGCCGCGTCTGATAAAGGAAGCAAAGATCATGTCGACGCCGTTTTTGACGCCAAAGGCGATGTCATCTTGATCTTTCTGTGAGATCGCGGGCAGGTCGACGTCTGTGCCGGGCAGATTGACGCCCTTGCGAGATGAAAGTGTGCCATTGTTGATCGACTCGACCTGGACGGTGACATTGTCGGCCGCGACGGAGAGAACCTTGAAGGCGAGGATGCCGTCATCGATAAAGATGGGCTTGCCTTCTTCGATCATCTTTGGCAAATTCTTGTAATCGATGTACATGATCTTGTCGTCGCATTTGTCAGCGTAGGCGGGGTCAGTCGTGATAGTCATCCTATGGCCTGCATCGATTTTGATGTCGGCATCGTTGATCATGTTACCCGTGCGGATCTCTGGCCCTTTCTGTGAACTTCACTGTCAGTCATGCCTCCTATGGCAAGGACGCGACTTGCGGTGTCGAGAGCGATGGCCAGAGGGCGACCCTCCGAGGCGGCTTCGGCTTTGCGTGTGTTGTCGATGACGCTCTGATGGTATTCATACGAGCCATGCGAAAAGTTCATACGGACTATCCGGCAGTATTGTCAGTGATGCAAGGGCTTGAAAGCGCGCAAAGACTGACCGACGTTGATGCCAGTCTGTCTCAGCTTGGTGATCATCTCTGGACTGTTCGTCTTGGGACCTGGTAGCTTGATGTGGTCAGCGAAGATGTCGTTTGTCAGTGCTTGACCGACCAATGGTAGCGATGATGGATGTCTGCCCGCAATGTCAGCACATGGACAAGCAGACTTTTTTTTCCGGGCTGACTTACTTTGCGCAAGAACTTTGGATTCAGACCGTCCTCTACCGCGGGTGGGATCGAGAGCGTCGAGAGCCATTCCAGCTGAGATCCGATCTGAGGAAGTTCCGGCATGCCTGTCAGCCCTTGCTAATAAAGAGGAAATCTGTGCGACGCGAGGGAGCTCTGACAGGGGGACCGCAGACCGGAGCGCCACAGCTGACATTCGCAGAACGTATCGCAGTGCTTGTCCCCGCAAGCTTGACGGAATACTGCCGAGCTCACGCGAGCCATGGAGGGCGCAATGTTCTGCCCACGTTTGGGCTTGATCTCCTATCAGTTCGCTTGACGACAAGCAGCTTGTCAACGACGTCGCGATCGACGTCGCAAGCCAGTGCTTACTCGATTGAGCTTGACAGGCCGCCGTCAAACAAAGACTGACGAGCAGAGGCAGGATGGGGCACAGGCGATAAGGATTGGGCAGGAGCAGCTCCCACGGACGGCAGACCGAGGAGACGGGGCTAGAAGAGCGACTGACCGTGTCTGCCGGAAGCATCTTGGTGTCGAGCACTTGGTCCGTCGTCTTGGCTGATGACTGTCTACGCTAGTGACGACTCGAAGTTTGCGTTGGGCAACGACAGCTGCAACAGCAGTCGATCGCTGCGAGCGCGTCACGTCTTTTCTCAGCTTCTCCCCACGAATGTCCCCAGTCTTCCGGCAATTGCACGCCGGCAAGGCGCTTGCGAACCCGTCTACTTCGCGGTAAAGCGCTGGCAAGATGAGTCAGCACTCTCAGATTGTACTGTCGCAGCGACCGAAGAAGGGCATCGATCCATCATTGGAAAGCGGGACATTCAAGCTCGAAAGAGTGTCCACGCCGTCTGCAAGCGACATTTCGCCCGACGATGTGCTCATCAAGGTCGATACAGTCTCGCTCGATCCCGTACGTCTACCAACAATACTCGCGTGACGCGCGCTGACCCCTATGCGTTCGCTCAGGCAATGCGAGGCTGGCTCAATGACATCCGCTCTTACGTGCCGCCCGTCAAAATAGGCGAGGTCATGCGAGCAGGCGGTCTTGGTACCGTCATCGCTGTCGGCAAGTCCGTAAAGAAGCTCAAGCAAGGCGACAGCGTCTATGGCACGCTGGGGTGGCAAGAGGTCGCAGTCGTGCCCGCCAAGGAGCTTCAGAAGATAGAGACTCCCAAAGGCGCGACCAGGAACGACTGGCTGGGCGCTCTGGGCTTGACAGGCCTGACAGCCTACTTCGGTCTCCTCGAAGTCGGCAAAGTCAAAGCTGGGGAGACGGTGCTCGTCTCTGGCGCTGCTGGTGCCGTTGGTTCCATGGCGTGCCAGATCGCAAAGCTAAAGGGGTGCAAGGTGATTGGTATCGCGGGCACGACAGAAAAGTGCGACTTCCTACGCAGCGAATGCAAGGTCGACCAAGTTCTCAACTACAAAGACGCCGACTTCAAGGCTAAGCTTAGGTCGATACCCTTATTTGACGTCTTCTTTGACAACGTCGGCGGCGAGCAGCTCAACATTGCTCTTCAGAGAATGCGGCCCAAGGCCCGCGTGGTGCTCTGCGGCGCAATAGCTGGCTACAACGGCGAAGAAGGCCAGGGACTGACGGCGTATCCCGCCTTGATTGCCTTCAAGGCTAGGATGGAAGGCTTCATCGTATTCGAGTATGAAAGTCGGTACGCGGACGCGGCGAAAGAGATCGCAGGTTGGTTAGCAGAGGGCAAAATCAAGCGCAAGGAGACCAAGCTCAAGGGCATCGAGTCTTGTCCAGGCGGACTTGTTGGCCTCTTCGAAGGCGCCAACACAGGCAAGATGCTGGTTGAGTTCTCCAGTCCGAGCTCTCACCTGTAGCCTGTCATAACGCATTGGTCGGGATGCTCAATGAGGGATTGCCACGTCACGTCGCGCAGCCCCGCGCGTCATCGATGATATCGATGCAGTGATTTTTGCTGATGCACTCATTCATGCATGCTCGCCACGCCTGACTTGTCACATCTGACGAGGGCGGATTGGGAGCATGTGTATGAGCCAGCCGAGGATACATTCGTCCTCCTTGATGCCCTTGAGCTTGACGCAGCTTGGCTCCGATCGCGTCAACATTGCGTCTGCCTCGAACTAGGGTTTGTGCCTCTACAGCCGTGCAACCGAACGGCCTGATTCTCCCGTCACAGCTCAGGGTCAGGCTGTGTGTCCGCATTCCTGGCAAAGATCATTGGGAACCAGCATCGTACGTGGCATGACACACCGTCAAGCTCGTTACTCAGTCTATCCAGTCTTCCTCGCGACTGATCTCAATCCTTATGCATGCTCAGCCACGGCCCGCACGGCTGCTCGGAATGAGGCGAGCGACACACAAGATTCGCAGTGCCATAGCTGATAGCGAACAAGGTGGCTGTGGACATAGCACAAGCGGATCTCTTCAGTGGCCTGAAAGACCGCCTGAAAGGGCGCATCGACGTACTCATCTTCAATCCGCCTTACGTGGAGACGGAAGAGGACGAGCAACTTGAAGCACAGATGGGCAAAGATGTACAAGGTGCCTGGGCGGGCGGCGATGGAGGCATGACAGTCACGAATCGCGTCCTTGATGCTTTGCCAGTCAGCCAAGTCAGCGCATGGCAAGGACAGGCTGACGCTCGAACAGGACCTGCTGTCGGCTCGCGGCATATTCTATCTAGTAGCGATTTCGCAGAACGATCCGCAAGCTATCATCGAGAGTCTCAACAGTCGGCACTTCTTCGCTCAGATCAGTCTGAAGCGCAGAGCTGGACGTGAGCATCTGCACATCATTCGTTGCACGCGCTAGCCGCGATATTGTTGTGCCGATTGAGAGTGGCAATGTCGTATGTATGCTTCTGAAGACAACAACACGTTACTTCGTAATGGTCCATGATCTATTCTAGAAGGCAGCGGTAGCATCTACCTCGATGGTGGGCACAATCGATGCCATGAACTTGAGAAAGACGAGCAGATACTGATCGACGCGCAAGCCTTCCGGTTGCTCCATCGCGTCGTCGCTTGTGTCTGCTACGCTGGTCGAAGGCGAGACATCTTTCTTTGATTTGCCATGATGTGTTGCTTTCTTCACGACGCCGCCAAGGCCCCAGGTCTTACTCTTCTTGCCCTCTGCCTTTTCTTTCTGAAGTTCCTTCCGCTGAACATCGACTACGCTCGCGTTCATCCTATCAATGACTTTCTTCATCACGTTGGCATGTTTGCAAGGATGGACGCTGGCCATGCTGATACCGCTCAGATGTGGGAAGGGCTCGATGGTGACCGTCTTTTGCGCATAATCTGTGCTGATATCCTGAAAGACGAGCTGGGGCTTGAGCAAGCGTTTGTGTTCATCGAATCCGTTGAGCCACATTCGAGGCGTTTGGTAGTACTTATCGTAGGTGATGTAGCAATCGTAGGTGCGCACACTCAGCAGGTTATCGTTGCCTTTGCTCGCAGTTTCGTCAGTACTATTTCTATGATCAGCACGCAAGCGTGATCACGAGGATGTGACTACTGACGGGCTAGCGACTTCCTGTCGAACAGCGGCGGTATCTTCCGCCTCTGTCATGCCACCTGCATCGAGCGCATCATCCTCCTCTTCGTCCATGTCAGGTATCTCGTCCATGTCCGGGATATCATCGTCTGCTGGCGCTTGCTCGTTCTGATCGTCGATTGCAAGCTTGCCGAGGTTCGTGCGGAGCTTACGCTCCGGCGAGCCCTCTATCTCTGGAATCTCCCTCATGGACTGCTCAACAGAGCCGGTACTTGTTCGCTTGTCTGCCCTGCCGTGTTAGCTGCTTCTTCTGAGGCGGAACTTGCCTACGCACTACCGGAGCCGCCCGTGTGGGTCGCGACCCACTCATCGCCCTCTTCACCTTGCTCACCATCCAGATCGAAGCGCATCAGCGCCTCGGCGTCCTCGTCTGCGTCGGTGTAGACCATCTGGGAGCATCGTCGGAGACATGGCACTGCGCTCGTCAATGATCACACTCGCCGAAGTGATAAGCTGGCCGCGTACCACTGCGCGAGATCAGAAACTGCTTGTCATCCGGAAGAAAGTCGCGCTGCTTGGACTTGTCGCCCGGCGCCCATTGCCAGGTCGGGAACTTGTAGGTCAGGAAATCGCCAGCAGCTACAAATTCGGCTGGCGTGATCTGCCCGTGCTCCCTGAATCTGCTCTCGCGAAGAACGGGGGAGAGATAGTCTCTTGCGAGCCAAAACTGTGTCTGAATAGAGTTGTGGATGGACTGCATGTCGCCAAAGCGGTGCCAGAATGAGCGCTAGTCGAGCAGCTGTCAGAGCTGCTTCTCTCGCAATGTTGATCTGCTTACCCCCGCTGGCTATGCTTGAGCCTCTGCTGGTCGTATCGCTGCCTGTGACAGCCTCTTTCACCCGGCCTGAACGCTACAAAGACTGCTGCTCCTCTTGGCCGCCAACTCGCGCGAGAGCTAGAGTCTCGCTGGCGCGTCGCAATTAGCCCGAAGCCCGAGTCAGTAAAGACCGCAACAGGCTGCCTCTGGAGTGAGCTCGCTCACCAGTCGAGCAGCCAAATGTTCTGCGCAATCTCGGGCGGTCCGCCGATCTATCCAGTCGTATCTGTCAAGAGCGGCTTGATCTACGAAAAGGAGCTGATTGTCAAATACATCAGGTGGGCCGTGTGCACACGCTCGAGAGGCAAGAGCTGACCGTCCGACACAGGGAGAACGATGGCAAGGATCCAGTGACGGGGCAGGAGCTAGCTGAGGAAGACTTGATCGATGTCAAGACATGTCAGTCGGCCCTCGCTCAGCTCTCTCTTCCGCCCCGCCTCTCGCTTTTCTCCTGATGAGTCGCCAAGAATCAAAACTCAAGGACTAGAAGGCTGATGTTGAGTCGGTCATCTCGACCGGCGTTGAGATCACTGTTCTGTTATTCTGACCGAACCCACGCTGCCCCTCGCTGAGCCTCTAGCCGTGGCATGGCTTTGTGCTGACTTTGCTCTTCGTCAATCAGCGCCCTCTGCACCTGCCGCACCTCCCAGACCGCCCACGCTGTCCAGCGTGCCGAGTCTGTTGCACGCCTTGCAAAATGAATGGAATGCCGTAGGTCGTCTTCTGGCTCTGATGCAGCGCCACGCTGACTCGAGTCACTTACAGTTGATGCTCGAAACCCATGCGCTCAGAAAGACGACCACTCAGCTCCGGCAAGAGCTGTCGCATGCACTGTACAAGGAAGATGCGGCCATGCGCGTCCTTGCGCGCATCATGAAGGAGCGCGATCAGGCCAGAGAGTCAGGCTTTGCGTCCTGCTTCTACGCCGCGCTGACCAACGTCACGTCACAGCGCCCTCGCGAGCGTGCAGACTACATTGGGCGTTGCGCCTGCCAACGGCACTGCGGATACCGAGATGTCGGACGAAGCAGTCTCTTCGAAACTGCCTGAAAGCGTCACGCAGCGCATCACGCAGACCTCAGAAAGGTTTGCATCTCGAGGCAGGTCATCAAGAGGCCAAACTGACAGATACCGTGCAGCTTATCAGCAACGCGCAAGAAGCGGAAACCTGCAGCCGACTGGGCGACTCCGACCGATGTCAAAGCCTTTGCGCCAAAGGAAGTCATACCGAGCATGCATTCTGCAAAACCGGCAGGCATCACCGCGCTTGATATCGCTCGTGACAGCAATCTCGTGCTGACAGGCGGCAACGATAAGCATGCGCAGATCTACGATCGCAAAGCTGGCAAGATTCTTGCGACACTCAAGGGCCATACCAAGAAGGTTACGGCGGCGCTCTTTGTCGATTCGGATGCTTCCCTTGATCTGCCCAAACATGTCATCACGGCCAGTGCGGACAAGAGCATCCGCATCTGGTCGGCGCCGGACGCAGGCTCAAAATCAAAGGCAAGCTACGTCGTACAGGCGACGTTGACGGATCACACCAGCGATGTTACCGGTTTGGCTATACACCCCTGTGGCAGCTTGTTTGCGTCTGCCTCACTTGATGGTACCTGGATTCTGTACGATCTCGAGGGCGAGGCGCCAGCGAACGTGCTCAGTATAACAGTGCCCGGGTCGATACCGTGCACAAGCATCGCCTGGCATCCTGATGGCGTGCTTCTCGGCGTTGGTCTGGAGGATGGGCAGCTACGCGTATACAACGTGCCTCAAAGCTCAGAAGCTGCCACCTTCAGCGCACATGCAGACAAGAGTGCAGGTGCTGTCGTCAGTCTCGACTTTAGCGAGAACGGCTACATCCTCGCTTCTGCCGCTGCCAATGTAGGAGCCGCCATCGAGATATTCGACCTGCGCAAGCTTGCTAATACCAGATCTATCGAGCTTGCAACGCCAACGAGCAAGGTCAACAAGGTTGCATTCGATGCGTCTGCCCAATTCCTGGCTGCAGTCGGCTCGGAGGCGAATCTATACCAGAACAAAACTTGGGAGACGCTTCTGTCAAGCTCAACCAATGAAGCCGAACTGACAGGGGTTGCATTCGGCTCGAACGGCAAAGAGATGCTCGTCAGTGGTCTTGATCGGGCCATAAGAGTGTTGTCGTGAAGGGCTGATTTCATCGCTAAATCTGTGCTTTGGTTTTGAGCTGCTTGTGAGTGGAGCAGGAAGGTGATCCTGCCAGTCTCGCTCTGCATGCAACTTGTCAAAGCTTGAAGCTTGGCCGACTGCAAGGACATGCCGACCATGGTCCTCACAGCGCCAGACGATGGTCGATAGACAACTTTACTGATTTCTCGAGACAAGCCACGGCTATGGTAGTAGGGAATGCATGCATTGACAAGTCGAGGTGCGCAATTCGTCATCAGCGAGAGCAATGGCGAGAGAGATGCCGCGCAGGATTGAATCGACACTGATCTGCCGACTCGAATCTACCGGGGTACGTATCTTCCAAGTTTCCGTTAGCTTGCTCTGTCTGATGCAGACGATGCGAGGAAGATCGGTGATGTCANTGAGNGTGAGAATGTATATTCAAGGTAGGCGATTGTCGATANGCAAGCGAGTCGGTGTCCAAGTCATGACGGGTCGAGAGATGGCCAGAGCAATGCATATGACCAGTAGTCTGACAATGAAGCTGATGAGTTAGCAAAGCGAGCGTGCTATTGCGTCGGCGAAGACAGGAAGACAGATGATGATACTGAGCGAGTGCGCGCTAGTGCGCGCTGGGTCGTGTGTACAAATCGACGCGAATGAAGGTGATCTCAACTAAATCTGCGAGCAGANNGAGATGTCNANGAAAAGTCNCGACAGANTATCTGGTGTANTCTGACTGACCAAAAATATTGGACAACTCATGAAGAGACGAGAGAGATGCAAATCGAATCGTCTGATCAGACTNACNANAGGGACCGAAGGAATCGAATGCTTGGATTGAGGAGCGTCTGTGGCCGAGTAGGGTCGCGGCTAGTCAATCGAGCTGAATTCTTCCAGCGTGTGTTGCGATTTCGCAACAAGCTGAAGGCCTAGTTTACGTTTGCGAAAGCGTGACGGGGATGTAGAGGTGGATTGGATTGCCTATGGCCAGACTATAAGTGCAAGAAACCACCGAATGGGAGAACCGACTGTGAGCGGCGCTGATCGATGATCAGAGCAGCTGCTCACAGGTTTGTCTTCACCGACGATGGCTCGGTCTGGTATTCCTTGGAATCCAGGCTGGGTCGTTGGAGATGCTAGGACGGAGACCAACTGAGCTGACGGATGCNAANGCAAACGTCAAGCGAGATAAGGTGAATCACGCCCGCGAGTACGATNGGGTACTGGCGGCACTCGTGCTTGCACGAGGTGGAGTGATAGATACCTGGTTGATCCTGCCAGTAGTCATATGCTTGTCTCAAAGATTAAGCCATGCATGTCTAAGTGTAAACAAATTTATACAGTGAAACTGCGAATGGCTCATTAAATCAGTTATAGTTTATTTGATGGTTCCTTGCTACATGGATAACTGTGGTAATTCTAGAGCTAATACATGCTGAAAAGCCCCGACTGGCAACGGAAGGGGTGTATTTATTAGATACAAAATCAACGCTTCTTTTAGCAGCGCTTGGTGAATCATGATAACTTGTCGAATCGCACGGCCTCGAGCTGGCGATGCTTCATTCAAATATCTGCCCTATCAACTTTCGATGGTAAGGTAGTGGCTTACCATGGTGACGACGGGTAACGGGAAATAAGGGTTTGGTTCCGGAGAGAGGGCCTGAGAAACGGCCCTCAGATCTAAGGAGTGCAGCAGGCGCGCAAATTATCCCATCCCGATTCGGGGAGATAGTGACAATAAATAACAATGTAGGGCTCTTTTGGGTCTTGCAATTGGAATGAGTACAATTTAAATCCCTTAACGAGGATCAATTGGAGGGCAAGTCTGGTGCCAGCAGCCGCGGTAATTCCAGCTCCAATAGCGTATATTAAAGTTGTTGCCGTTAAAAAGCTCGTAGTCGAACTTCGACTCGGACGAGCCGGTCCGCGTCTTTTGTACGTGTGTACTGGTCACTCGTCCGGGTTTACCTCTTGGTGGGCGCCGATGTCGCTTCAGTGCGTCTTGTCGGTTTGCTCCGCTCAGACGTTTACTTTGAAAAAATCAGAGTGTTCAAAGCAGGCCGATTTAGTGCCCGAATACATTAGCATGGAATAATAGAATAGGACAGCGTCTCTGTTTTGTTGGTTGCCTTGGAGATGCCGTAATGATGAATAGGGGCAGTTGGGGGCATTCGTATTCCGTTGCTAGAGGTGAAATTCTTGGATTGACGGAAGACGGACTACTGCGAAAGCATCTGCCAAGGATGCTCTCATTGATCAAGAACGAAGGTCGGGGGATCGAAAACGATTAGATACCGTTGTAGTCTCGACAGTAAACGATGCCGACTGGGGATCAGTGCAGGTTTTATTGATATGACTGCATTGGCACCCAAAGAGAAATCTTTAAGTCTAGGTTCGGGGGGGAGTACGATCGCAAGGTTGAAACTTAAAGGAATTGACGGAAGGGCACCACAAGGTGTGGAGCCTGCGGCTTAATTTGACTCAACACGGGGAAACTCACCAGGTCCAGACACAAAAAGGATTGACAGATTGATAGCTCTTTCTTGATCTTGTGGTTGGTGGTGCATGGCCGTTCTTAGTTGGTGGAGTGATTTGTCTGGTTAATTCCGATAACGAACGAGACCTTGACCTGCTAAATAGACCCGTCGGCCTTGTGCTGACGTTTGGTTCTTCTTAGAGGGACTGACATCGTTTAGGTGTCGGAAGTTTGAGGCAATAACAGGTCTGTGATGCCCTTAGATGTTCTGGGCCGCACGCGCGCTACACTGACTGATCCAGCGAGTTATTTTACATAATCCTTGGCCGGAAGGCTTGGGTAATCTTGTGAAACTCAGTCGTGATGGGGATAGAGCATTGCAATTATTGCTCTTCAACGAGGAATACCTAGTAAGCGTTTGTCATCAGCAAGCGTTGATTACGTCCCTGCCCTTTGTACACACCGCCCGTCGCTACTACCGATTGAATGGCTTAGTGAGGTCTCCGGATCGGCTTTGCGGAGCGGGCGACTGCACTGCTTGGCTGAAAAGTTGAACGAACTTGGTCATTTAGAGGAAGTAAAAGTCGTAACAAGGTTTTCGTAGGTGAACCTGCGAAAGGATCATTATTGAACTACNCTTGGGGAAGGGTCTGTGCGCGAGAGCGGCAGGTCTTCTCTGTACACACGTGCACTGTCTTTTTTTCACACAAACGAGTCGAGGATGAAAAATTATACAAAAAAGAAAATAAAACTTTCAGCAACGGATCTCTTGGTTCTCGCATCGATGAAGAACGCAGCGAAATGCGATACGTAATGTGAATTGCAGAATTCAGTGAATCATCGAATCTTTGAACGCACCTTGCACGATCTGGTATTCCGGATCGTATGCCTGTCTGAGTGTCATGACTCTCTCACCCTTGCTCT